GCAGGTCGAAAGCGAGCAGTCATATCACGCTACATACCTACATACATACATACGTACTCGTACATACACATGTAGGTATTCACAGTTCATCTAACGACCCTACTGCACGGTAATACTCTTATGTACATACGTACCTAGTAGTAAATGGGAAAAAAGGGCAACCCAGCCTTGCTAGATCGCATGTTTATGCGCGCGTAATGTCAGGACTTGCAGTAGTTCGAGGCGTTCTCCTTCTAACAATATAGTAGAATATTTCGATAATCCTTCCCGTCGTAGCACTGAAGCAGCATACGCAGTAAAGAAGGTCGTACATAATAATCATTATTTCCCTTATGTCGCATCGACTCTTACCTAGTGCGCTCCCGGCGCGTTGGTGTGGGTGGGAAAAGGGAAAGGATGGCCTATAGCACTGCATGACAGCGGTTTTCTATGGTTCTGTATGCGTATATTCTTTTTTATTTTATGTTTTTTTCCTTGATTATTATTCTTCTTCGCACACCTCCCTTTTCTAACTCCCCCCTATCGGGCGAATCAGCTTCGACGCGGGCGCGTGCCCCCTAGTCCGTAGCTGCGCATGCAGGTAGATGGTTTAGGTATGGCAAATGGGTCTGCCACCCCTTGCGTTCCGCGTGGTGATTGGAGCGATGGCCACAGGTTCACTAGCACATGGCGGTGAAAGGTCTTCTATGCGACTGCTCTGTCTTTCACATCTTGCGCTGGATTCCGCCTCCCGGCTCAATCTGTTTGGGCTTCTGGCCTAGATTCGATCCCGAGGCTTTCATCGTGACGACCGACCCACTTCTCCGTGGCGGCGTGGTTCGTTCGTCCGGCGATATTGGGAAAGGGAAGAAAAAAAAAGGTTCGATGGGAACATGAACGGAGATTGGATCAGATGGTTTAAAGAGGGCTGCTTACGATCACCGTTACAATGCCGCTTGCTTCCGAGTGGAGAGGCATATTCATTTCTTACAGAGAATGCTACTGAAGAGTCGATATTATGGAGTTGCATGCGCGTAGATTTCTTTCGGTTCGCATAGCGCAGGCACCAGAGGGCTGCTGCTGCTATGCATCGTACATAGCTGTCATCTTGCCATCTTTTTTATTGCCAAGGGATACATACACAAGCCGCCATTCGTCGACTTCGCCGTCGCGGATCCATATCGGACGTTGGTTCGATCGCTACGTGTGAGTCGCCGCTCCGCAACATAGTATCCGTGCCTGACTAGTCCGCTATTTCGAAGGCGGTGGATCAAAGACGAGGAAAAGGGCATCCGAAAATACGTTACAAGCAAATCGGAGCGATACGCCAGCTTAATCTCTACCCAGGTCGCTAGACCCGCGGTTCGATGAAGGCATCGTCAACCCAAAAAAGGTGGCACGCAGCCTCCACAGAGCCCGCTGTCACTCTGAATCGTACAGCAGCTATGGTACAGTTCCAAGGTTAGATTCTAGCTACCCTAGTAGTTCGATAGAAGCTTGGGCGCTGAGTGCTAGGGAGCTAGGAGCTAGGATAGCTAGAAGCGAAAGGTCTCGCGCCCACATGTGTGGGGGAAGAGGGCGTGCGTACGAAGTTGACGTGGTCCCGTTCGATAAAGGGGGAATATTCTTTTTTTTCTCCTTCCTATGTAGACCCGAAATAATAAGATTGGGGCGGTGCAATCGCTTTCGATCTATGATCATCTCGCCGCGCTACTCATTGGTTCGTTCGTCCCCCCACAATTACCGTCTCCCCCTAGCTCCTCCAAGGCTCCTCCCATAGTCTACGTAGTCGAGTCGAGTCGTGGCACCTGATCCTGCTCAACTGCGTGTCATCTCGATTCCTTTCCACGCTGGGAAAGTCAGGCACGCTAAAAGGGGATATGGGCGCGGGTTGCTACCCGTCTCTGGGGCGAAATCTTCTGGAGAGCGAATCCTTTAGGGTCACGAATTATCTCTTGGCGTCCCGATGGAGCCATCTTCGATACATATCAAACCCTCGTCAGGGTCAGGTGCCTGATCGAAGCCTTCCTCTGATTTCTTAGAATTGTTCGCTTAGGAAAGTAAGGCTCCTAATCTCCACTGACCGTCTTGTTCGGATCGTATAGGCAGGCAAGAGGAACGTCCCTGAACAAGCGACCCAGCATAGCATATGGACCCTAATATTGATTGCGTGTCTTCCTACATGCGGTGTCTATCTTCGCGGTCACCTCTGCCTGAATAGAATCCAATCCTGTCTATGTCGTGCACACATGCCTAGGCAAGATCATTACAGAGAGGCAATTCTCTCTGGCCTCATTGGATTTCCAAATAGTCCTGGCAGTCCTGGGCAGATCTGCAGTATAGTAAGCAGAAGCCCTTCAGGGACGTTCCACAGCGTCTACATAGTACCTTACCGTCGTAATATTGTCTCAGCACATTCATGCGGTCAACCTACGGCAAATGAACAGACGAACGACAGGCGGGCGGGAGAAGTACCGCAACCCTCCCCATCTTTCTTACAACGCAGCGGACATTAGGTCGCGTGTGTTTCCGCTCCCTTGCCGATGCGGAGGCGGTGGAGAGGCTGGGCGGAGCCGAGGACACGGACAGGATCATCGTGTCTCGATATTATTAGCGACGCGAGGTATAGTACTACTATTATAACCATGCCGGATCACCCAAAACGCCAATAGTAGGGTTTGCTGTCGAGAACACGAGGGTATTTGCGGCTCCGTGTGGACTGTTTTGTTTCGGCATATTTTAGCCAGTCCCGTAGCTCGCATTACGAGCTGATGCTGGTCCTGATCCAGCAGCTGTTTCGTGTCAGGCAACGTTCGACGGTCTGAGCTTTCTTCTACAGGGCATTGTCAATCCAGGGCTGCCGAGGCAAAAGATGTGTTGTTGTTGTCGTAGTGAGTGAGACCGAGGGCTGCGACTGTACGCCGGTCTGAGCTTTTCACAATTCACCAACCATCTGGCACTATCTGAATCCAGCCGACACTGGTGGGTGAGACAATGTTGACATTTTGATATCACCATCTCAGCCTGCTGGTTACGCGTGTCAGGCTTCGCGAAACTTACCATGGTGTGTAGTATGCGCTGAGGCTGAGTGTCTTACAGTAGATAATGGACGATCGGGTAAGCTTGGGCGGTGGCAGCCAACAGGGAACGATATCCTGCCTCAAATTAGGTTGGTCCCAGTAATCAATCGCCCGAGGCTGTTGTCGAGCCACGTAAGTAATATCGATGTTCCCTTAAGGGTCAGCAGCTGCCAATTCGCAACATCCGTCCCTATCACCGTGGCGTCCGGCATAACCCTGCCTCTTCCCTTCGTCGTCTACGGCTTCTTTTCACGTTTTACCCCCATAATGTGAGACCAATATGTCTGTGATGACGAGAGATAGGCGCAACAGTAACGAGGACAACGTGATATTTTGGGTACCGCATTGCTTTTTCCGCCTTTCGACTAGAAAATTCGCGCTCGAACGTGGCCCCCTCAGGGTTCGTCCCATTCCCTGGCGCCGCGAAAGATGGTGACGCCCGAGTACCACATCGTCAGAGTCAGGTAAGGCTAAAATTATTGATTTTCGTCTGGTGTCTCTTGAGCTAGGCAGACACGGAGGGAAAACCTGCCTACCACGTGCAAGACACGCTGAAAAGTCAGCGTGGGTGTCTTACCATACCTACCGATCTGTCGAATGTGCCGGTCTTCGTACGCCACCAACACTAGACAGGCGATCGACGATGTTGTGTTTCTCCTTTTTTCGCGCAGGCGGCTTCACAGGGAACGAGGCTAGAGTAACCAACCATTCTCTAGCGCCCTAAGGGCGCCGGTATAGCCGCGTATTGAATAACAACTCATTAGATTGCGCAGAGATCGACAACCGGCACTTGCTATTGGGCATTTAGATCGCATCTAGATTCGTCCCTGAGATCGGTCCTGTAAGTCTCAAGTGGGACCTTCGGTGATCATTCTGGCCCCGTTATCCTCCACTGGGCGAGCTATTATTGAAGCATTGCGAGCACCAACGACGCCATTCGGAGATTTCATTTCTAGCTCTTACCCGAGGTCTCATTTCCTATGTCCACTGACTAGCATTGCAGAGCTATCCACCTAGCTGTCGTGTATATATGATATTTTCGGTCATCGGTATATGGAAATAGGGGGCGCCAGCATATGACAATAACGGCTATTAAAGTTGATAGGTGAAGGCTTATGGTTATACCCGAGGTTTAGGCCCAAGTTTGATTCAGTGACCGTATGAGCGACGAGTTACGTGGTCAGGACGATTTTTGGTTCCTGCAAACTCCAGGCTGCAGCATAAGATAGTTTTTCAGCTGAGTTCACCGTAGCTATTACGTTATCATATCCTATAGAACCTAAAGTCTAACCGCCTCCTTTTAGTTAATAGGTGCTAGATATACTAACTAGAAGGTTTAGCGTAAGTCCCTTCGAGCAGATAGATCTTCGCTACCTTGATGCCCTTACTCTAGTTGATAATCTTAAGATCCGTTGGGATCAGTAATCGCTGTTATATTCAATTTGAGTTTAGGGCTGAACTTCTAGAAAACTTCTAGCTTCAACTATGGTTCTTTTACCTAAGCCATACGCTGCCCTATCCGCAACTGACTCACGCTATCGTGGAGACAATGAAGAGAGTCGCCGAGTTCTATCCGTTAAAAGTTCTCGTCTGACTTTCACCGCTGTTATATCCGATGGAAAAACCCTTAGCTTCCTAATCGCGGAAACATTGCGTCGCCTGTGGCTAGCTGAAGACGGAGATAGCTGGAGAAGTCTCGCTCGACTTGTCTTAGTCAAGGACAGCTGGTGAAGACTTAAGCACCGAATCATGAGCATGAAGCTACTAGTAGCCCTATAGGTAATATTTTCGTATAAGATTACGACTCAGCACTCGAGTGGTTCAAGATCAGCAGCGACCTCCTACTATAGCTTAACATACCTAAGCTGAACATAGCTTCACGAGCTTCCTCGGTCGGCAGGTGGCATCGGAACGAAAATAGATCCATAATAATAAAAAACTAGTAGCAAACTACTACAACAACCTAGGTAATTAGATCTGAGAGCGACTAAAGGAATAGCTGAGAAACCCGGATATCACTAGCGCCCTTTTCGCTCCTTTTTTTACCATGTCTTTTCGTGCAAGGAAATTCCCTCCTCCGATACCATGACCAGTACTATTCTAGGTAGTCACCTCTAGCAATCGACATCTGCGGCGAGCGCCGCCAGCCGGCCTAATTGCTGACCTCGATGGGCCCGCCCGGCACCACGGGGTCGGGGGTCATCGGGCCACCGGGAATGCCCGGGGCGGGAAAGAAGGGGCCGCCGGGGATAAACCCGTCGCCGAAAGGCACGTCGCGCTTGCCGGGCACGAATGTCGTCGTAGTACCGTCCGGCGACTGCACAATCGTAATGCCGTATTTAGTCAGCAGTTCGTCCTTGATAGCGGCGATGCGCTTGGCTATGGGCTTCGGCGGGTGCTCTCCGAACCCGTGGAGCAGCGTCTCGTACTCGAGCTCCAGGGCCGTGATGTGCGCCTTCACGGGATCGGTGCTCCCGTCCCCGATCCCGATCGTGTCCTGACGCTTCTTCTTGTCCGAGGGTTCGAGGCCGCCTGTGATGGGCGGTAGAATCACCGTGTCTTGACGTTTCTTATCTGATGGTTCGAGACCACCCGTAATAGGGGGTAGGATCACGACGTCCTGGCGCTTCTTGTCCGAGGGCTCGAGACCCCCGGTGATGGGCGGCAGGAGGGTGAAGGCTGGCGGTGGCGGCTGGCTACCTGATCCGGGGAACCATGTGCCCGGGTTGGTCCACTCAAACTGCCGTCTCTCCACCGTCTTCGTCGGTTCGGAGATGGGAGCTGCGGAGGCCAGAGCCGCGAGGGCTAGGGCTGTGAGGCCAGCTCGATGCATGGCAGATGGAACTTGGCTTGGCAAATGTTAGGATAATAACTAGGCAGTACCCAGATTTTGGGTTATGCGTATTGTAGACAATTAAGGAAGTTTGTAATCTTGTCGTCGGTCTGCTCTCAATATGGGCCTTGATCGTCGCCCAGCGTCACCCACATTTATATAAACTCTTAAGCCATCCCGTCACCACGAATTCCCCTCCGCAACAGATAAGAAGAGTCTAGCTGCGCTTGAGAATTATGGTCGAATTCATTTATTATTAATATCGCTATATTGTCCTTGCGACTCGGCTGGGCCTCAGATAACACAATATACCCGGGGGGTTAGGAGACTTTAACCGGATCGAGTCCTTCCCTCGCAACAGACCACCTGCGAACCACGGGTGGCAAGACATCTGGCAAGTTTTCGTCTTCTTTCGATCTGCCTTTGCCGGTCATCCGCTTATCTAATTAAAAGCGGTATGCTGTGGGAAGAAGACGGAGACATGAGACGACATTTCTTGTGACTGCTGCGTAGATAACCGCCACCGGGAAGGGTAATGCCTATCGTAAGATATAATCAGCCGCTTAAAAGTATCCCACGAATCCCAGGGGGGGAAATAGTTCCAATGACGATAGCGTTCATCGACAAGTATCATCTACAGCCCAAGGTTCTCTATTTTTGGAATCTCAAACTTCTAGAGCGCGCCCTAGTCCAGAGTTTGGATGATTTCGCTTACTCGGAGTCGTCCATCAAGTAATATATAGTCTTGACCCAAGCTGTCGTGCCCTGCAGTGACATATTGCGTTGGCTTCGAGATAATCCTCGTTATGTGATGAGTATCACTGAAATATCATCACACCTCCGGCTTCATGCAGGGGCTCAGCATGACTGACGTGCCCGGCAATCTGGGCAGGTCTAAGACCCGGCGATTGAAAGGCAATACCTGGCGTCTAGAAAGGGGTCGGGAGGCTGGCCGTTCCAGACTGACCTGATAGAAAAAGTCCAAGGGAAAGTTGCGCTCTGCAGCCGAGGTCACGCCATAAAAGTGGTTGTTGGTATCAAGGGCTTTTCGCCGTATCTGGGTTTAGAGCTAGTGGTTCATCTGGAATATTCTGCACCGGGAAAATACAGTACTCCAGAAATAGACCCAGCGTGACATCGTCAGATTTTAGGGACCAAACTTCTCTGAAAGTAAAAGCTTAACCGTTCAAAGGCCGTTTCCACAAGCAGATAATTGATTGAGGTGCCTCTCCCTATTCAAGAGAGGTGCTACATGGATGTTAAGTGACGCAACTTCTAAGCTATGAAGTTGACGACATGCGGAGAGCCGCATCCAATGACCGTGGGATGAATATGACATGGTGGGATTAAATCCTTCACTCATTGTCCCAGGAACACGGAGGCCGCCATTGAGGAGTTAGGTGACATTTCATCGAATGTTGTCCTCCGAGTCTAGAGCGTTACTATCGCAATTTCAACGGATACTTCTCGTGATGTTCCTGAATCTATAGTGAAACTCGTCATAAGCTTGACATTGGGCGTGACGTTACGAAACTATGCACATATCTCCCGACTATGAAAATGAAGAGACAGACCTGGATTGTATCATGTGCTATCCGGCTGGGGAACGGAGCTTGGCTGGATTGAGATACCCCATTTCGGAGACGTCTTGGGACTTATTGGACGGTGGATAGTATCTTGCTGGGGATATTTTCTTAAATCCCCGGAAAGAAACGCCGATTTATGGCCTGGCAAGGAGGATCGGACAGCATAATAGGTTGCTCATACGACCCTTTACATCTTTCGAGTCGCAACATCACTAATATTATCGAAGCGCTGACGAAGGGAATGAATTTATCCGTCCTAATGTTCTGCTTATTTCGACGCGCTTGTTGTCCCCTGGTATTCGTATGTTCCACCACAACCAGTTATCGCCAGGACTACCAGTGTTAGAAATCCTTCACGATATGTTCACCTATTAGTTTACCATCAAGTCGTTTATGTAGAGACCCTTCGTTATCCCCGATTCGGTGTCCTGATCCTCGCCGCAGATGACCAACAGCTAGTAACTGTCTTCGTTCTCGTAGAATCGCGTCGAAGTCCTGTGCCATAATTGCCATTACCTAACTCCCGACACAGACATACGAACTGTCAGCAAAAGTATCCGCTACTAAGAAGACGTCGAGAGCGGAAAGCTGTGCCAATCGTCCCACCAATCGCTTCCTTCCCACCGCTCCGGCCATAGCCGCCTAAAGACCGATTCCAGCTCGACTGGATCAGCTCTGGGTATTTCTGAAAATATCCGCTTGAATTGGTCGTGAATGCCCTCCTCCTCTTCCCTATCTTTTTTATCAAATTCCCTGGCGAGCAGCACATGACGTGAATCGTCTCGCAGGCTACGATCGACTTGCCATGAACCACAGAGCGGGATACCGTATTTTCCTAAATAACGGAACTTGTGACCCAAGCAAAAGTCCGGGCTGGGCTCGTATCTTATCTTCAGTTTCTCTAGCATGACGAAGCTATGGCTTTCCTTTACCATGGATACGGTTTCAAAAATAGATCGAGCAAGAGTGCCGTCCATAGCACTGTTGATAAAAACATCCCGTATATGGCCCTTCAGATAACCGGACCCGGGAAATCGTTCTCGGTCAAAATCATCAAAATCAGACGTGGGTGGTAGTATATCTCCATAATTATGAAACGGAAATGGCGCACACATCTTTAAGGCGAGTTTCTTCAGTTTAGGGAAAGTACCGAGTTCTCTGTAGAGAGCCGTCTCGTTTGCGTCTCCCTTGGTGCGGCAGACTGCCATTTTGAGGCTTTCAAGGAAAGGACATCGCTCTCGGATGTTAGTGACATCCTGTATTGAAAGATATTCGTCCTTGCATGACCACAATGTAAGAGCTCGTAACTTAGAGCTCAATTTTGTGCTTATGTCAATAATGCTTGTCCATCCGATAATCTCAAGAGTATGCAGTCCCCGTAAGTTGCCAATCAAGTCTTCTACCAATCGGCAATACCGAACCAAGTTCTCAATATAAAAACCCCCAGGTTCGCTCAAAGTGAGAACTAGTGTTTCTAGAGACTGAAAGTTATGAGAGCCATTTACTAGATTGCTGAGAGCATTTTCATCGATCATACTGTTAATTCTGAGGGTTCGCAACACAGTGAAGTCTGTGTGCATGCTCCAGTCTGCTAGGACGTGTTCTGTGACTATAGAAGGTTCATCGATATGTCCCCATAGCTGCAGGCATGACAGCGACCCTAATATTCTAGGACATGCTTTGAATATAGGTAGATCCCTCCAATGTGGAAGGAAAGAGGAGTGTTCCTGGTCTTGCTTCCAGACCCGGATTTTACTTCGGAATAGGTGTACCTCCTTCAGGTTAGGGGCTAGCCCCGTAACTAGACGTAATACTGCCCCGACGTGATGTGATGGTAGGCTATTATAAGTGTAATCTACCGCCATACTGATGCTATAAAGGCATGGCGATGTGGCAATCAGAAACTCGTGGGGGTCCGCGATAGGGGGGTCAGGGAGAATGCTGCGTAGGCGGAAATTGTCAATGTGAAGCCTACACTCAGGCCGATGCTGGTGTAGAGCTTGCAGCAGACAAGGTGGGAACTGTCCAGGGCATTGATATATAAGATCCGTCAAGGCAGGTAATTGCTGAATTAGGCCGACTAACGGTAGCCATCTATCATCGGCTTCGTATACTCTTGTTACCGGAGACTTGTCAATTAGGTAGACACTTGGCTGAGGGTTATTGAAACGACCTTCCAAATCAACCACAGGCACAGGCGTCGGGAAATCTGGGGACACGGCACGATTCGGACAGTCTACGCCCGGACCATAGATCACCAAGCGACGGACACTCCCGAAAACACCTAGACGGTGCAAGCTCTTAAGGTGCTCTTGGACAGTTGTGATTAGGTCCACTGGCTCGGCCGCGAAGATCCAGATAGTGTGGGAGAGGAAGGCGGCGGCGATGGTATAACAGGTCCTATTAGACCTTGCAAAATTGAGCAAACTTGGTGGATGGGTGTGACAAAGAATATTGCAGATTTGTGAAATGAGCTCTGTTGGAAGGTTGGTTAATGTAAACGAATCCATGCTCTTTCGTTCTCTTGTTGAAGTTATTTTCCAACTTGGTGTTTAGGGAACTGCAAACTCTGGTCTGTCCTAAAAAATATAGACAATGTACTAATGTCGAGATTTATAGGCAAATTAAATCAACTGCAAGAGGTTAGTTGAATATAATAAAAGACCAGTAGGCCTCACCTCAGAGTTGAAGCTGTCCACGGGATTTAGGTAAGGAGCTGTGACCGGAAATTCTTGTAGCAAAGGATTTTATGTCTTGTTCTGGGATTTGATTCAAGTATAGAACATTGCTAGATTCTATATAAGATGAAACTATTGAATCTCAACAATCGTATAACTCCCCAAGTTGTGTGAAGTTTAAGGAAGGTTGGAAGTGATCGTGTTGATAAACGACAAACGGTGGGTGTGGCGTGCACCACCCCTGGACGAGACCCACAAAACAGCATGGCCCCAGAAAAGCAATTGCCCCCCGATGACGTCGCTGTGTGAGCTAAAGCTATCACGAAAGACCTCCTACTTCTAAAAGTCAGGTAGGTCAACGAGTTCGCCAATGCCCTCACAATGGCGGCGCAATCAAGCTCAGTCCTCCGCCGGGCTCTTCTCTATGGCAAGTGACCATTAAAACCACCTCCACCCACGCTCTAACCAACACCACAGTCCCGGCATCCTCCCCCCGCATGCTGACCAAGTCCCTCGGCCTAACCAGCGACAACATAACCTACGACCTCGAAGACTCCGTCACCCCGTCCGCCAAACCCGAAGCCCGCGCCCAGCTACGCGCGCACCTCCTCGCCTCTCCCACGCGACCGCCCACTGTCTCCGAGCTCGCCATCCGCGTGAACCCCGTCTCGTCACCGTACATCGACGCGGACCTCACCTCTCTCGCCCCTTTGCCGAACATCGACGCCGTCGTCGTGCCCAAGGTAAACAGCGCCTCCGACCTGCAATACATAAGCCAAGCGCTCTCGCACCACGCGCGTTCCCCGCAACGCGAGCCGCCCAAGATCATCGCGCTGATCGAGTCGGCGCGCGCCGTAATGGACCTGCGATCGATCTGCGCCGCGGCCCCGGGCGCGCTGAGCGGGTTGATATTCGCGGCGGAGGACTTCGCGCTGGACCTGTCCATCACGCGGACGCCGGACCTGAAGGAGTTCCTGTACGCGCGGTCCGCGATCGTGACGGCGGCGCGGGCGGCGGGGTTGCCGAGCGTGATTGACCTGGTGTGCACCTCGTACAAAGGGGAGGCGGGACTCGCGCGGCTGGAGGAGGAGTGCCGGGGCGGCAAGGCGATGGGGTTCAATGGCAAGCAGTGCATCCACCCGTCGCAGGTCGAGACGGTGCAGCGGCTGTTTGCGCCGTCGGAGAAGGAGGTCGAGTGGGCCGTTAGGATCACCATTGCGGACGAGAAAGCCGCCGCTGCGGGCAAAGGGGCCTGGACCTTGGACGGGGCTATGATTGACGCCCCTGTTGCCGGCAAGGCGAAGTCGATAGTCGATAAAGCGCAACGATGCGGCATAGATGTGAAGAGCTTACAAGAAAAATGGAAAGACCAGGAGCCCGAATGAATTGGGCATCAATACGATTCGCTCTCATATGCACGCGTGGCTTACAAATCCGCTGTATACCTCTCTGAAAAGACACTTCTATTTCGGTATATGCTACATATCTCAGAATTGGAAGAATTGGTTCGGGCGCCAAAAGTTCGACATCTCAAAATGCTCCTCTTCAAAGTCCTCTAGAGGTTGCGTAACGACGGGGAAAACCCTAGGAACATTAATACCGCTATGAGGATGCTGTGCCTCCAAATAATACTCCCCACCGCCCTGATGGTATATGCTCGAGCTTTCTAAATCAGCACATTGGAGGCGTGAATCTGGGTCTAGATAGGGATACGTATTCTCTCTCTCATTGTCGGCTGAAGGCTTCTGTACAGAGGGTTCTCCATCGAAAGCGTGAAGATCTTGCATCGCTTTCTCTAAACTCAATCCCGGGCTTAAGTTGTCATCATCGTACGAATAGGACTGCTGTTGCGACTCGTTTTCTATCCTAGCAATAAATTCAGCCATACTCTCAGGCTCCTGTGACTTAGTTAGATCCCTTCGACATGAGCTTCCGCTCAAGGTCCTTTCGTATTGATCTACATAGAAGGGCGATTTCATGCTCGGTCTAGAAATAACGCTTTGTGTTTCCGCTGTTCGAGCTGATGGTGTTCTCTGAGGTATCCAGGAAGCTGTATCGAATGATGATAGTGTGCATGCTTTATTCACGGTCGACTCTGACGATGCAGTAATTTGGTCATAATTTTCTGGCGACCCCTGAATATTCTGGGCAGCGTTGTGACTCACTATTTGATGGGTTTGCAGTCTTTCGGTTTCTGGATTAATTAGTGGTACGGTTTGCCTAGAACTAAGAGGCTCAGCCTCCCTTATGTTAGCATGTGGCGATACGACTTGAGTGTTTCTGCCGGGTGGAATTGGGGGTGGTGGCATCACGTCTCGAGAAGTTACTGATAATGGATCGCTCATCTCCTGTGTCCGTATTTCCTGATTTACTTCTGACCCTGCTAAATCTGGGCTTTGGTGAATAGGGACCGCTTTGGCACCTAGCGGATTTGGAGTTTGAACATTTGGTGCTGAGCTACCTTCTACCGGGAAGTCGAGACGTGCATCTCTGGCAATTTTCTGACGGTCAACTTCTGGGGCAATAGAAGATACTGGTGAGTGTGGCACTTCCTGTGATCTAAATGCCGGTGATTCCTCCGTCTCTTGGAACTCGAGTGATGGCCCTAAGCATTTTGTAGGATCCTCAGTCATTATAGCTTGATCTCGATACTTCACCTTCTGGGATCCATTGAGTCCATGACGTGGACTGCGAATGCGGTCTTCTGACTCTACCCGATGAGCGATAGGCACGTGGGCGTTCATTTTCCAATCTCCCGTAGTCCGTTCGGCGAGACGATCGTCGTATAAAGGAATCCCGGTATCACGATATATGCCAGTCGCTATTAGATCTCTCCTAATCCGTTCGGGGGTTGTCGTCCACACTGAACCTGGCACATCTGGGCTTGAACTATTTGCCCGCCTACTAACCTGGGGCGAATGACGGCTGTCAGACCAGGTGAAGTATGTTGTACTTTTGCCCGAGTCCTTTCCACCATCGATACATCCGCGAGTGTTCGGACTGAATGTTTCGGCAGCCTCACCACGAGGCTGAGAGACGTGGACGGGTGCTGAATATAGACAGTGATCCGAAGATGATAAGCTGGATTTTCCTTGGAGACGAGTAGATGAGAATTGATCAGCCTGATAACCCATCCCATGATGATCATTACGGGAACCTGTATCATGAGGTTTTGGCGCCCGATTATTTTTATCAGTCCCATGTGGTAAGAAAAACGATGATACTTCTTCCATCTCCCTGTCTTCTCGTCGTTTCTCCCTCAGGCGAGACTTGGATAATGGTTTTGGTTGAGGGTTTCGCTTCTGATGCTTCAGAAATTGCATCTCAGAGAAGGCTAGGTCCGAAACTATTCACTCTTAGGTTTCAATACCTATAATAGATCCTTGGCAGTCCACTTACTGGGCTGCTTCTTGGATGTTCGTCCGTTCTCGAACAGACCAGGCTTAAGGTGCGGTTGCACCTAAATTTAGGTCAGACCAGCATTAGTCGTACTCAGGAGAGCTCTTACAGTAATACGATCATTCAATACAGCATCGGAAGTGAAGTTATTGACGACGTTCTTACTAGATATCGTAGATTTCCTCTTCTCGGCTTTCTTACGCTTCTTCTTTCGATGTTCTTCGTAGCCACTACCCTCCTTCTCATGATACCGTTTCTTGTTCTTCGTTTCATATTTGTCCTCCCTAGTTTTACGTCTTGGTCTCTTCTCGAAGTTGATCTGTTCGTCCACATGAGACGCGATTGACGGAGTATCTGGAGGCGCTAGACTTGCTTCTCTCGAAGATCTGGCAGGCGGAATATTTTCACGACCCTGTGGGATGGGTCCAGGCCCATAATCAGGAGGCCTAGAGAAATTTCCAAAACCGCTGATGAACGAACTATCGCTGGGAACGATCCGCCTTCGCCTAGACTTCCTTGGATCTCTCATACCCAGGTCCTGAAAGGGGGAAGCCGATTGGGGTAGGCTCTCGGCGGGAAAGCCGTGACGAGGACTCCATTTTTGATCTACACGTCTAGGGTGCTTATTGTATGGAGCTATCGCATTAAGCGGTTTAGATGGATGGTGATTATGCGCGTCTTCTCTCCGATGCCCTTTTGAGTTCCTAGGACAGGAGTGGGGGCTCTGTCTCGCCGTCTGCGCTAGCCAATTCTCGACAATGTCATAGCGGGTGTGTGGTTGCGAGGGCCTATCTAAATTGACTATATCCAAGCTGCTTCTGTGTTGTTTGCGTGGATGTTTCAGGCATAGCCCATCATTGGACACTTGGTAGGATTTACTTTCATCACGCGGCTGGTGATGGCGACGGCGGTGATGCGTAGAGTGACGTGGAGGAGATCGAGAGGCCTCCGAAAAGGTCATCTCGAGATGAAATTGAAACGGCAAACAGCTCCTGAGACGAAGCAAAGCTATAACATCGAAAGGAAAGGCCTACAAATTACAACCTCGGGAGGTTAAGATGTAGGGTTGTAAATCTTGACCCAAGCAGAGGGGGGAGAAAGTCTAAACGAGACGAGATGGAACGTGGGGCTTACAGGGTTAAGTTGCCGGCACACGGTTAGAATATCCCGGCAAGGACCGCGGTAAGGCTTAGTTTAGATCCAGCAAGAGTGATGCTCAGTACTACCATTAATAAGCAGATATACCAAGGAAGGTGGGTTACGTAGAATAGAATTAGTCTACGCAATGTGGGATAGACTAGTAGAGGTAAGAGACACAGATGAAGGTACGTGGCTTCCTGGTCGGGGCCAGCTTGTTACCGATCTTGAACATAGGTTGACACTGATCCATACGGAGGTATAGATGTACATAAAAGGTACCTCCTATCCGGGCTGTCCGGGTACACCTATAGGTACCTACATATATAGGCACCTATGACGTTTGTTGCTCTCAGAAGGTGTCTATAATTAGAGCTGTTGCAACCTCGGCGCTTGCTTTGCCAATGTGTTAGAAGCCACTAATCTGCTTGGATCTCGAAATCTTGGATACTGAAAATAAACAACAGGCACAAATGGGTGGTTGTAAGAGCCGCACACGCTTTCATGTTAGCGGCGTGCTGTGTGCATTGTACAAACCAAGCTTCAATCCCAAGACGTCTGAGAAACCGCGCCAAGAAAGGCCCCTGATGCCCCTGTATGGAAAAATTGGAAGCTGCCCCGAACTTTGGAACTGGAACTTTGGAAGGACCTAATTGGTCCGTGCAATTATGTCCGTCAAGGCAGGGCCTAGGTATCCATGCAACGGCCCAGAGATTTCTTGCAGCACTCGATAAACTTCCTAACCTTCTACAACATCTTAGAATCTCCGTATTCATGGAAGAACCACGTATCGTATTCGGGCTTTGATCGACTTTACCACCGCGGGCTATTAATCCCTCAATCTCTTTCCAACTTGGACTCAAGACGTTTCACCCTTCTCTTACCTATTTGGGCAAGTGTCTACCTAGTTGGAACTAGGCACGCCGTCTACCTTGGGGGTTCCAGCATCAAGGTATAGGGGATATTCGGCGCGTGAGCCGGTCTATTAACAGGTCGCATTCGATGCCTATAACCTTGCGCATCCTCTAGTTACAATGGTTTCCCCAAGAGGGCACTTTGCCATAGGTAGGATTCAATTACTCAATGATCGACTGCGACCTCAACGCTGCATACGACGTCGCATCTCATACGAATGAGCCTTTGGGTCCACGGAACGCATCTTGTATCGAATCTCAGCCAGACTACCTACGCCATCGGGTTTTGACCCGCTTTAGTCTTCACCTGTCACTCGGCATGCACTGTGCTTACCTACCTACCTATATCCATAGGTATCTTAGGTTCACCATATCACACCTTGCTATGGTGTATATTGAAGAATCACGGCTTACTCCATGGTAGCCAACCAGATTATAAGCATTACCTATACACAACACATTAAAGACGCGTTATCCAGTAATAACATCACATGACAACCCCAAAATGCGGCATTGTGGGGTCGAATCGGATTTCATTTACCAAGAATTCAATGGTATCCTCAGGATTCTGGTATCGAGATGGCATCATTCAAAAATCTAGAGTAAACATTGCAATATCTATCAATTGCTCAAATTGCATCTAGATAAACCGAAAGAAAGTGATGATGGAACCCGTATCTCTCAACCAATACATCCTAGGATACAGTATCTCGACGTTTCACTTTCATCCACAACGAAATGCAGCACGTTAGCATCCTTGTCCGTCTCGCATCGTACCAGGATGCCTAACGTCGCTAGACTGTTCGGAGTTCTACCGCATCAAAAACCCATGTGCTACTCCAGCGGTTGGCATACCTCTAATCCACCTAGCTACCTACCCTAGGTAGAGACGTGACTGCTCTCCCATCTTAGTAATATACCCAGCATTTTCAACACCGGCGATACAGGGTCTGACATTGTGGGTAAGCCCGTGGGGAGCATGGAGGGGTAGCGTGCCTCACTCGCATTGCCTGGCCGATCAAATCAGCCTTCCCGTTTGAGTTGACGTCCTGCAAGCTATTGGGTGATCCTATATGCCGAAGGTCCCAAACGAGCCACTCTTGCGTGAACTAGACCTGGCGCTTTTCCTCATATTCACTGAATTTGTTACAGCTATTTAAGGCTAGGTAGGTCTTAACGAGATATTATGTAGGGCTCGAAGGAAACTGAAAAACCAGGCTGAGGATGGTGGATGGCGAACAGACTATAACGTCCTTTTTTTAGCCTACGGCAGGGATCACGAAACTCGAATATTCAACACTCACTACTTCTCGCACCGAACGTGAGACTTTGACAACTACGATCGACCATACCTGGCAAGAAAAGGCGGATATGGAGTATGGTTTAGTCAGAGTAGCTTATTCGCAGATCGTTCTGGAAATCGCTTCACACTCGCCTATTGCATTATGTCGAGCGCAACTCGGGCCAAGAATCGAGCTTGCCGCCAATCGCTAGCATTCCATTTTGGGATGGAGCCGACTTAGCTACTCTTCTGGCACAAGGTAGTTTGTGCCGCGTGGAGTCTCATGCTATCTCCCCAGGAGCAAGTCGAGGTCACTTGCACCTCCTCTGTTTGATGCTTGTTTTGAGCCAACCCTGCTGGCTCCCCTCTTCGTCTATCGACTATACGGTGGAGGTGGATATACACTTATTCGGACCCGCGGACTTGATATTTCTCTCTGCTAAGGGCTAGCAGAAGAGTCTATATAAAATCAGACGGGATCTAGTGCATGGATCTCCCTTCATTCCTCATTCTAGTCAGCAAACAGTGATCCATTCGCCACGGGAGCGCCCACGGGATACCTACCAACCTTTATAACCCTGTCTTATTGGCTACTTGGATATCATACAACAACCCCGCCGTTCTAGGTCCAACCGTTTTCCTTCTCTATACCCTTGTGCCGGCTATAGACATATGTCGGCAGTGTGCTAGCATCTACGAGCTATCCTATCGAGCCCTGTGGCATTGCCTACCTAGGTAGCCACTACCCGTCAGCTCCAACCACTAAACGACCAAACGAAGAACCCGATATCTTGCATCACTGCAGCCTAGCCTTACGAAAAAAAAGAACTGTTCGTGCGTACCTTTCACATTTACACAGTAGCAAGGGGATTTGTCTATTGGAACCCTATTATACATCAAGTGGACCTAGTAATTTCTTCCTCTCCTCATGCCACCTAACTTACTATACGCTATCATTTATTTAGAGATTAGCTTTAGCACCCTTCCCGTTATAGATCGTTTACTAATTCCCGCTATTACAGATTCCCCTATTATCACTCAATACCCAAGTAACAATGTCTAAACTATTCATCGGGTAAGATACAACAGTGCTAGTCGACTTATTGGTTACTCGTCTAATTTGAACGTTTTATCTCGCTCAGCGGCCTCGCATGGCACACAGAAGATGCCACTTTAAGACAGAAGTTTGAAGAATTCGGCCCCGTGGAGGAAGCGGTATGTGGCTCTATTAACTTTTGTCTGCCCATACTACCATACCACTGGATGGGAGACTTTGGATTATTTCTTCACAGTTAGAAAAAATATGAATCTTTAACTAACAAAGCATGGTTCAGGTTGTCGTCAAAGACCGAGACACTGGCCGAAGCAGAGGATTCGGGTTCGTCCGATACGTGAACGAAAATGACGCCCAGAAAGCGATTTCCGGCATGAACAACGTCGAGTAAGGTACCATCTTGGGCCATTTGAGACGGTTACTAATAAGAGGAAAACAGATTTGACGGACGAGCTATCCGCGTCGACAGGGCATCTGACACTGGCCCTCGCGGCGGTGGCGGACGAGGTGGCCCGTATGCTCCAAGGGGTGGATACGGACAACAACCCCAGATGCCGTATGCTGCCGGTCAGCCAGTTGCATATGGGATGCCGAACCAAATGATGTACCCACCTGCTTATGGGCGTGGAGGCTACCCACCACAGCCGGCTTACGGAACCCCCCCGCCACAAGGTATAAAAAGCACGAACCAAACTTGTAGATTGCCTTAAGGGGATATCAGCTACGAAGTAAATGGGCATGGGCTAATGAAAGGCTCCAAATCTAGGATACGCACCGTATGGTTATCCAGACCAGCAACAAGGCCAACAAGGCCAACACCAACACCAACAACAGCCACCTCAGGGGCAGCCGCCATACGGACAGTAAGAGCCCGGCAGACGAGACATCAGTCAACGAGAGCTCTACAGTGAATTTTGATCTTCTTCTAACAGGGCAGTAGCTTGAACAGCAACCTCCCAACCGATACAATCGATACTTGGAGGCCTGGCTTCCCTACAACACTTCAACGCTCATTACTTTCAACGTCATAAAATCGATCATTTACCATCATACCTGATTCAACCTATCTTATATCCTTGAGAACCGACCTTCGAGATTCTGAACCGAAGCGAGGGGATTTACATATGTATATACATTCGTTTTGCGTATCTTCTTCTATTCAACACCATGTATGGTCCTTGTGGGTGACATGAATATCAACACTATCATTTACGACTTTATGAAGGGGAAATGAGGGACCGAGGCTACTTAGGGGGCCTAGAGGTTCGATTTCGAATGCTCGTAAGAGCAAATCACGAGTGTCGACCCAGGAAGAGGAGAAAGAAAAAGAAAATTACTGGTTGGAGAAACAGGATAAGGATAGGAGGCGGAGGATACGACAATAGGACACTAGTGAATCGATATGACGTTTCATATGTACTACCTACATGTGATTGAAATTTCTTAGTTAAATGAGCAAGCATTTGCCCAATAACCATGAAACCCTCTCCCTTAGCACACTACTCACGCCTTCTCTGTCTCTTCCTGCTCGTCCACACTGCTCACCTTCTTGAACTCGTGGGATACAGGACGTTCAAACCCTTCAACCTGCAATTCGCCCGCACGACGCTTGCGCTCGATCTCACGCACCCGATTGGACAGATCCGTCACATGAGCGTCGCCGCTCTCGGGGCTCAACTCGTCAAGCGCCTTCTCCAGACTCAGCAGATAGTCCCGGTTTAGGCCGCTCGGCCCCTCGCTGACGTATATGTGCTCAGCAAGAGCCTGGGGATCCTGAGGGCCCGTGAATTGGTCGTTGTCGGGCGTGCCAATATAGACCAGCGTGCGGATCGAGGCCGACCCGTCCGCCGGATGGAAGGGCGTGTAGTGGATCGTGTATCCGTTGATCTCCCGGATGTCGAGGTACTCTTTTACTTCGGCAACCTTGTCGGCTTTGATACGATACGCGGTGCCCCAGACCTTTTCGGGCGCCGAGTCATGGGCGTCCGCTAGAGAGGCCCAGAATGACCGCTCGATTAGAGTTACGACCCGACCGGGCTCCTCGGGTGTGCCGCGGTGATCTTGACTACATGTCCGGTTACCCCTTTTTCCTTCTTTTGAGAACTGCGAGAACTGAAGGAATTTACCTTGCCTAGAGAAATGAGTGTTATTTACGTCGTCTAAGACAAAAAGGTCAAAGTGAATTATACCTGCCAAAACCGCCGGACATAGCCTGTGACCCAACCGGGCACTCTGCGATCTACCGACAACTCTCCGTGAGCTTCAGTCCATACATACACACTAACGCCGGCATGAATCCCTACCATAATGTGGAGGGGGTTTCCATATTAAGCTCCTGTGTCTCTATGGGTAAGACTAAGCCAATTTATAATATGACTCTTGTAAGTATTACGCACCCGTAGCCAAATATCCAAAATTCGTCCGTCTCGGGCGTCCCGTTGGCTGCCATGGCCGACGCTCGGGTCTAACCACTTTCTTTCTCTCCGTTTTTCCAAAAAGTTAAGTAGGGGTTTTAGATTCGTAAAGTTACATGTATGTGCCTAAAATTAAGAATTAACAATGATATGAACAATTCTATTCACAACTTCAAGATGACGTTCTGAGCCGTTACGGGTAGTTGAGATTGTATCATAAATGCCAAGCATTTCACCTTAGAAGGCTATCTTAAGAGGACCGGAGTACTACCGTTCTCGTGGGTTGCGGCTCCGGCCAACGGACCTATGGATGGGGTTGCAGGTTACTAATCGTCCCGCTAACAGGCAGCTGCAGTGCCGCTGGGATTTTCTTAGGGCTGCTTCCGAACCCAACCGCAGACAGCTTTGGATTTCGTCATTTGGTAAAGACTGCAAGAACCACGGGACTATAAATTTATTGTCTTATGTCATAAGTAATTGCGATGGACACCAATAGGCTACTACTACCTATAGGTATCCAAAATTCCAAGTTTGTAATCAACGAAGGTAATCCAATTCCTCTAGTCTTTCTATCTTCAATATTTCTTGCATACGGCGCATAGAAGAATTGGTATGCACCCCGCAATAACTTCGGGAGCGAGCGTCTGCGCCTCATTCAACATTACAGGCAGCAGTAATTTCAATGTTGGGGATTCCATCCTATTATAGGTGCTCCGCCATACTCGTTATCTCCCTACGTACGTAATAGGGCATGCGCCGAGAGCTCAGCGATACCAGATGAAGGCCTTTGCTGCGAACAAAAGGGATTCCGGGGTAAAGCTTACCCTATTTCGTAGATCTATGAGATGACGGTGTGAGACTTGATGACGGAACGGAACCGGGGAAGAAGCTGCCTTGTCACCAGTGCCTCACTGGTGCAGCTGAGCTTACCAGTTCGAGTCATCCCGAAGTTTTCCTATTTCCTTCACCTATAATTCAACCTTCTAGAAAGACCCGAGAATCGCCTCACCCCATTCTCAAAAGCCGGCTCTGCCACCTTCGGTCAGGGTTAGTGAGTGAGAAAAGCTTGATCCGAGTAGCCGTCGGATAGCAAATCCAGGGTCCTGGAAGCGTTTGATGGACAAACGATACAACACACAGCCCCCACCAGCTCGAACGCCGGTGTATGATTTTGATCGGCCTTCCTGGTGTTACTGCGGATCTGTCAGTTATCTATACCGCATACGGTCTTGATTGGTGCCGGATTCCCACACGACAATCTTTACTCTCGAGATCAAAGAGAACAGATGTCACAGACTCAGGCACCAAGGAAATTTTCTCGGATTTCGAGACAATAGGCAAACATTAAAATCCTTTCAACCCTTTCCCTTTACTACCTAGGTGATTGCATCTATCCGGCTTAGTCGTCGATGAAAGGGACGCATATCGACCTGCTTACCCAGCTAACAACTACCAATCACCAACCAAATCTTTTGGAAACTTACCTACCTAGTAACTGACCCCGAACTCCTATCTCATTATTGACAGCAATCTTTGCGGCTGAATCGAATTTCTTTGTTCGTTCCGTTCCGGTTACACTACGGTTCGGTTGTGCACTGCCGCTTATCCAGTCCACTTTCTATTGCTCCATCTTCAAGCGCCGAAGCAACTAAGAACTAATTTTACCCAATTTAACTGCCCGTCTGCACCTAAGCTACCATCCATCAGCTCCCGTCCCATCAATACAAAAACAAATAAACTTGCGCTCCCAACTGCGCGTCCTCTCCTTGTTTCATAATAAACAAGAGTCGCCGTCTGCAGTCTCTACCGGCCTTCACTCTTTCACTACCCGTACATATCGAGTCTAAAACAGTAAAGACAATCAGCATAATGGCTTACAACAGACCCTATAACCCGGACGAACTGCCAAGGTGAGTTCCCGCTTAATGCTACAATACCCCGCCATCGTCATCGCGCTCTAAACGAGACCCGCGATGATTATATGGTGAAGGGGACAAGTCGTTCGTATGAGAACGCCGCCAACTTCTGTGCGATCGACAAGGAGGCGATTCATTCTCATCATGCATTAGAGCGAGAGCTAACCAGATTTTGAAACCAGATTCGCAGAGCCTGAGCAGGTACGCGCACGCACCTCCGCGAAAACCTCTTATCTGCCCTACATTAATCCCTGCGCATACCCCCTCTTCCATCCACACCCATTTCCAATCTCATACTAACCGACCTCCCCATCGTAGAAGGGCAGCGCACCGAGTCAGTCCGCTAGATACGAGAGCAAACCACCGCCGCCTGTCCCTGGTGCTGGTCCTCGACACGACAGCATCCCACCTCGTCGCGCTGAACCAGGACGCCTGACTCCTACTGGCTACGCCCCAAGTGGCTCGCCGCACCCAGGCAGCTACAGCAGCAACGGCGGCGGCCATAGCAATAGCTACGACAACTACAACTACAGGCCAAAACCGCATTCGACCATGTCGCCACCACCTTCCGCGTCAGGTCCGCGACCAGTGGCGCATAATCGCCCGCCCCCCGCGAGTCGACCACCGCCTTCGCCTACCCCGGGGGAAGGCGCTGCTGACCCGACGCTTCTGCCTCTGTTCAGAGCTGTTGATAAAGATGGTAAGCTATTTTATCATTCTTTCAACCTTTGCGATGTTATGAGCGGCAGCACATCGCATCTATGGATGCCTAATAAGAAGGAACAAAGACATGGTCCAGATACACTGTAATAAGAGTAAGATAAGACTAACAGTCTTCAAAATAGGCACAGGCCAACTCTCCGAAAAGGAACTCTCAGCTGCTCTCGTAAACGGCGACTGGACAGCTTTCGACTCGCAGACGGTGCGCATGATGATTCGCATGTTCGATAGCGACCGTTCGGGTACTATCGGGTTCGAAGAGTTCTGTGGGTTGTGGTCATTCCTGGCATCCTGGCGCGCGCTCTTCGACCGCTTCGACGCCGACCGAAGTGGCAACATCTCCCCCGACGAGTTCAGCAACGCTCTTATCGCCTTCCGCTACCGCCTCTCCCCTGGCTTTGTGGACCTGCTGTTCCGAACCTACGATAAGCGCAACGAGGGTGTCATGAGTTTTGACTTGTTCGTCCAGGCTTGCATTAGCTTGAAGCGCATGACGGATGTCTTCAAGAAGTACGATGAGGACCGCGATGGATACATTACCCTGAGCTTCGAGGATTTCTTAGTGGAGATCTTGAAGCAGCTTAAGTAAGCACTAATCGCGAGATCGAGGAGAGAAATTGCCCGGGGCTGATAGGAAAGGCGGATTAACACTACGTTGGGCTGGGGCGGAAAGCCGTTGGTGTGTATAAACGGACTCATCTATGGAGCGGCCCTCCGAGACGACGGAGGTATATAGGCGTGGGTAGGCCCCAGTTTCCTCGGTTCAAGGGCAAGGCGTGCGTTCAAGCATTTAGTCGTATGAGCAAGCTCGTGCCTAATCATGGAACTTGAGCTAAATGGAAGCATTCAAATCTGGAATGGAGCGGCAGTGAGCATGCGAAGCGATACGGGTGAGGCAGGTCCAAGGATCTTTTTTCTCATGTGTTTGCGGTAGATACCAAATTTATACGGGAAGGGGAGAATGAATGAATTTGCCTAGCTAATAGCGAACAGAAGGCAATCAATCAATCGCATTCTGTCCATATCCACGAGGATAACCTCTTTACGTGATTTCCCAAAGCCAGAAACCAACTTCGTAGAATCCTTAATCCCCAAGTCCTAACGCCTTCATCCCAAGTCAAGTATCCCTTCCCAGCCGATATAACCCCGTTCGTTCCCTTACCCAACCAAGACGCGAAGGTCGAATTGAGAGCTCGACCTGTAAAGCCCGCCGTGGCAAAATCCGCGTAATAAAATATAGACAGCCAAAATAAGATGAATCCCGCCCGTCCCTGGTATCTTTTCATTTTCAAAAAAAAAAAAAAAAAAAAAACCTCATTTCTGACAATCGCGCCAAACCGTTCCCAAAGGTCATAAAACCTATTAAAAGATAAGAGCTCTTTCCCAGTAACTTATGTTAAATATACCATCATAGGCGAAACGAACGCGCCATATCATAACCTTCGAAGTTCCAAGTCTCAAGTCTCAGGCTGTCGCAAGAGCGGCCGTGGACCTGAATCTCAACGAAAGACCTCCCCTAAACGATCTCCTCGATTTTAAGCCAGCCTGAGGGTCAAGCGGCTTCAGTTTACCTAGGTCCTGAGCCTTCATGCTTACATAGGGCTTCGCGTTGTCGAGGGCCCACTGGTCTTTCTGGCTCTCGGAGGACCATAGCATGCCGCTCCCTGAGACAACAACTTCGTCGCCGCTGCCGAGGCGCATGATTTCCGTGCTAACGCCGCCGATACTACCGTTGCTTCCCTTCCGTGCATGTGTCGGTTTCTCGCCGGGCTTCGTGGCGAAATGAGGGCTTAGAGCGATTTCAACCTCGTCGCGGTTCCAACGCCGCGTCTTCAGCATCCCCGTAACCAGTCCACGGACGTCCTTTTCTCCATCATGCGCACTGATCCATACTCTCGCGCCTAGTTTCGTCGCAATCTCGGCACCGGTAGGTACTCCTGCGCAAATATTACCGCCGAGCCACCACGGATTTGATATACTATCCATGCAATGCAAAAGTGCCGTCAACGGAAGTGCTGCCTCAGCCACTAGGTGAGACGTAGCGTAAGGCGCTAGATGGGCGTACGAGATTCCGTGTGGCGAGAATATGACAGAAATAGGACGAGTATGTCCATTCGAAGTAGCCGGACGTACGTGGTTATAAGAAGTAGAACGCGGGAAGTGAACACTTGGACTTGGACGTGCCGGAGAAGGAATCAAAGTCGAGGCGGACTGAACTGAGCGCAATGAATGAGGCGACACTGGCGGTGTGGGCGGCGAGAGAAGGGTATCGGGAATGGATAAGGCGTTTGTGGATGTCGCAATAGATACCTGTGTCGTAGGCGTATTGGGAGTGGCGGGCGGCGTAGGTGACTTTGATATGGTAGGAAGATAGTACCTCAGGTTATGTGTTGGTGGAGGTCGGTACGTAATACCGATTGCAGCGTGTAAGCCTGCTAGGTCGCGTTTCTGCGGTATGAATGCGACGGTCACCTCGCCTCCTTGGCCGCCGGGTGTTGCAGGCGGGACAGGAACTCGTACGACCGACTGCTTGCCCGTCAACCTCGGGTCTTCCCACCGCTCTATCGTCCGAATCTTCTTCTCATCAAAGTACTTCCAACTCTTGATCAACCGTGCTGCTTGTGGCTCGGCAAGAATGAGAGTGTTAGTTCCCCTCGCCGGCAACTGTCGTAACGTAGCTTCATTGCAATGGTCACTCTTATGCTGACTGATGATGACGAGATCTGGCGGAGCCGGCAGTTCAGACAGCGACGATATACATGCTGGGTGTATGTGAGTCGTTATAGAGATTTTTGAATGAAAGATCTTAGAGGGACCTGTTATCCATGGATCAAGGAGGACGGTGAATGGTTTAGCTACGAGACCCTGAGCGAATTCGGGGATGATGGGTTCAAAGGATAAGAGGAATGAGGCGTCGGAGTTAAGGTGTTTCACGGTCAAAGCCATTATGATCGTTGACGAGCTAGAAAGGGTGGTCGTTTCGACTCCCTCTTGGGATAGGGAAAACGTGCAATCATCTGTATTTCGGGGAGTTCAAGGACGGGTTAATGGACCATGGCTGGATGAGAGGAACAAGCGGAACACTAGATGGGCTGAAAAGCAATGGCGGAAAGGAATAATAATGACGAAGCAAAGACGAAGACGACTTTAGGAGGATCATTAATGGCTTGATCCCGGGTCCAATAGAAATAGAAAAATGTCTTGTCAACACGCGAATGGCTGACGAAGCGAGGAATGTCCAGGTGGGTGTACGAAAGATCGCGTGGAAAGAGGGATATTCTGTCAGGAGATGACAGATAGGACAGAGAGGACAGAGAATGACAACGGTGATCGTTGGTTGAATTATAGAATTAGGAAACGATCGAAGGCGTCGTCAAACATTGGAAACATTGGATCTAGTGGCTCAATATCCAATAACCAATCTCTCTCAGATCTCCCTCTCACTATCCCCCTTGTGATATTGAAAGTCTGATCATTGATCGAAAATAGGGAAAAACACAGCACCTTGGCGACCTTATCACGCAACAAACCCTTCACAACCCTTGTGGTGGGCGAGGTCTTGTTTTAGACAATATACGGTAAGCCATGTTTCACATGGTAAGCCGGGGGTAAGTGGATGCGAAGTTGGAAGATGGGAAGATGGGAAGATCTGCAAGATGGGATTGACCATGGAGACAGAAATGTTTCGGCGTTTTGCTGCCAAGTTGTGTACGACGCCGGTTACTCTTAATGCCGGTTGACCCGTGCCCGGTACTTACGACGTAGTATGGTACTTTACCCAAAATCGGAGAAAGAGGCGGCCTGGGACTTCCATCATTGGTCCGCCTCCAACCTTAGTGCAAACTTGGCTCGCTTAGAAGTGCCTACGTAAACTTAAAATAATATGGACATGTTCCAATCTTCTAGAGGTTCACTGTTGTATTGAATCCTTTCCTCTACATCTTCATCTTTGCCCTCAACTCCCGAGGAATTTCAACAATCTCAAACATGTTGGTAATCAATCTTTATAAGCATTCGGTATGACAGGTGGACAAGTAGAGATCATTCTTCATGTCAGCAAGTCTCGGGAAATGAGATACTACCTTGTCCTACTAGAATGACGAGTTCTCATTCTCTCTGCGCGTCCTCAAACACCATCGGACGATATCGTTCCATACGTCATTCTTAACGTCCGAAGGATTAAGCGGCAGTTAAAAAAGTCTGGGGTATTTCATATTTCATGTTCTTCTCTTTTCATAATCTAATTTCCACTACTGTAGCTAAGTAGGTGCTTCATTATACTTGTGTCATCAACTGCGGTCGTTGAATTGTTGGACAATTAAACTCTTGCATATGTCTATAGCACGAGACGAATCTAGTCTCATATGCAGCGCATCTTCTCCTTTTACATAACATGATTTCATATCTAATTTGGTTCATGCTGGTCTCGATATGTTTCCTGTTGCAGGATCGGTCGCTTTATTTACCATGAACTAATGAGCCATTTCACTGGAAAACTGGCAATTATTCAACACATTCCAGAGTCCAGACTAGTTCATTTAAATGACGCGCAGCAAATTAAGACATTCGTGCGGGAAGATACAATAAACAAATAGAAACGGCATGTATAACACAACCAGACGATTGTTAGAGAAATCTAATAATTAAAGATCGTACGTAGCCTCCCTTACCTCTGTCCCTTCAACAACCCCACGCAAGTCTTAGGAGACTTGCCATAATAAAACACAATGATCAGGTGACATGTTAAAATCTGAATTGTAATGTCCTGGCGAGTCATCCATGGTCGAGTATAGCAACAACTTCCTAACAGATCTGGAACGTTAGGTAGATCTCCCTGACACCTGGGAGTGGAAGCAATCTTCACCAAAACTTGTTGGTCTCGATTATAACTCGCACCGGTTTGAACACACCCTGTACAGCTATGCTAATAATAGTTTTACGTCTTCCGGCCGATTGTTTAGTGATGTTGAATCTAGTATCTTCGTAAGCGGTTCTTCTCATCGACTACCATCTTCTCGTATGTGTACGATGCCAATACTTTACTCTACTATATGTAATGCCGCTCCTATGTTTGCGCTTCTCTGAGCTTTCTACTTAGAGATTACCATTTTTATCTCATATACTGATACTAGGTAGGTTAAGGTACAGTCTCTTCAAGCAGTAATGTTCAGGAGCCATGTTCGTATCGGAAAGACACTCTAACATAGAATTTCAAGGTGATTCACGACTATAAAAGTTCCCTGTTGTTATTATTAGACTTGCGGTTTCGAATGCTACCTCTATAGCCCCCGCATCACGTAACGTGACGTCTTCAATGTGCCGATATCAGGCCGATGAATATAACTAGATGCCTATCTCGTAAATTCCAGTGTCGAGTATGGCCAAATGATTTCTTCAAACTTTGGTACGGAGATGAAATTATTATCGCGTGTTTTGGCGTCCTCTTCTCCCACCACGACATTGGGTGGTAGAACCATCCGTTTATAGTAGATAAGTCTACAGCAACCCTCAACTTATTCGTCCGCCGCCAGCAAGTTACTAAGCAACTGCCACTCAAATTACTACGCAAAGTCGTTTTCGCCTTACTAAACTCATAATTTCAGCTGTTCGAGCTATTATGTTTACCGTAACGTTACTAGATATAATGTTATGATGCAGAGGAAAGTAGACGAGAGAAGCGTTTGCTTCATGGTTCCAGTGACATTCAATGAGACGGCGTGCAGGGAGAAAGCACGGATTCCAGGATGGTAAGATAAGTGATAGCAATAAAGAATAGTTTCTAACTAAATTTCTTACATACCTTATAATCCTGCCCCAGATCATATAAGTGGTATAGATAGGCCGCTCTTGGATATAAATTCAATGCGAGTACTTCGCTCCCAGGGCCGATGAGTTGGGTATTTGGGATGGATCACCATCTCCGACGGGCTTACATCTGAGCCACCGCCAACGATGGGCCAAGAAGCATCGAAACCACTACCCGGGACCAAATTACGGGTTATAGGAGCGGGTCTCCCCCGAACCGGCACTGCATCATTCAGCAAAGCACTCGAAATCCTCCTGCAAGGTCCCGTGTATCACGGGGGAACACAGAATTGTAAAGGACCGAGCTTTAATCTGAGGAGTTGGATAGCCGTTTTAGAACATACGCCGATACGTTCCCTTGGAGATGAAGAGTTTGTTCTAGGCCGCATTTCCACGCTTACGGATGGATATGCGGCCATCACGAGTGCCCCGGGACATTGTTTTGTGCCTGAGCTCATGCGCTTATACCCGGAAGCAAAGGTTATCTGCACCATTCGAGACCCGGAGGCATGGGACAAGTCAATCGATGCCATTGCCACGGCTAGCTTGCAGTGGTATCTGCGAATCATACTTTTCCCCTTGTCGCCGATGAGATACTTCCCTCGCTACCTGGATACGCTTGCTGCTGGAAGATGGGCCGAAATATATCATACTTCCGGCAAACCAACAACGCACGTCGGTAGACAGGTCTGGGAACGACATATCCAGCATCTGAAAGAAGTCGTACCGCCCAACAGGCTCATGTTCTTTAATGTTCGAGATGGATGGGAACCTCTATGTGAGGCACTGGGTCTCGACGTACCCAAGGGCATCGAGTTTCCTCGGGTTAACGAGCGGGCCGCGATTGAGGTTTTCGCCAAAGAACAGGTGGTGAAAGGTCTGGTCAGGTGGTTTATTATCCTTACGGCGATTATTGGAGTTTGGCAAATTTGGCTCAGGTTGTGAATTGCCCTTCAAGTCCATGATACATACCGAAGGCAAGCCCGCGAACTTGCACCCAAGAAATCAGGGAAAGTCGGGATATCGTCTTGGAATAAATTACGAATAGCTGATGAAGTCTATGTTCATGCTGAATAATCCCATATTCGGGGCTTCTCAAAGTACGCTTTGCTTGCATTAACACTCTCCACAACTAGACTATATTCCGTTCATCCTTGGCAAATATGCGGGTCGACTCGTAGATGTCCAAGTCCAATCTTGGATCCATCCTAAAGCAATATGCGTTGACTTCAGGAAGATTGTCCGGAAAGAGATATGTGCCGAATATGTTCATTTAAATCGAGGTAAGTAGATGATTTTCTAACAATGTCTGCTACCAGACAGTCACCTAACAGGTACAAGGACTGCAAGTGGTTATTATGTGAGGAAATATAATTCACCAAACCTTGGTAAACTGAAGTGTGTTGTTGGATATGATTTCAATATACGATCTTTTAAGGCTTCATCGGAAGTCCACAGCGAGCAGGTATGCCTGTACGTTTCGATCCTTTTTTACCTAATGGACTTAAGTCGTGTGGCCTTCGGAATATATGTATTCGGCTTGGCTGCCATTATCGAAACAATCAATATCAAGAAATGCTCAAAAATGGACCGAATTGAGATATATGCTTGGTCTAATATCGAGGACTCAGTGAAGATTACCTCTACTGTGATCTCTATACATATACATGTGAGAGATGCCGCTGCAGTAGCTATTGCATTTCTAATTTTTTGGTCGGTGGTGCTAGACATAAACAAGATGAAGCTAAGAAATGTAACCCTATCATTGAATGATACCTAACAGAGGATCATGTGATGTTAAATATCAAATATCGATAAGAGAGCTGAGCTACCTGCCGTCGTCATTGTTTCCAGTTCGAGATGCTTGGTGAGGGGCAGAGGTCTGCCGTACATGATATGTAGAGATGTACCGAGAATTGAAGTGGAAAAGGATTCGTCAATTCCCTGAACCTAAAGCAGGAAGCTTTAGCAGCACGTCAGATCAGCGGTCGCACAACTAAGATAGGTAGCTACGATAAACTGCGACTTCCTCACAAAGGTAACCTCTGCGATAGGAAGTTAGGAAAACGCTTTCTGAGCTCTTCAAAAACGTCGGAGGTACTTACCAGAAAGACTTTTTCCCTTTCAAAAGCTTGCAGTAGCGTTCTATCCTCTCCACATCAAGCTTGAGTACAGTTGAGTAATGGAAAGTACATGGGTACAAAGGTACCTAGGTAAGGTTTACCTTATTTGGCAGTGCCGCACCAGCGCAGTGGAACGGCTTCTAGAAAGTTGTTCTTTAATTAAGAAAAAAAAAAAAAAAAAAAAAAAAAAAAAGAGAGAATAGCCACTTCAAAGGGTATATATTTGTGCGATTCGACTAACCAGTACTACCAATACGAAAGGAAGGGGGAAAAAAGAAGAAATCAACTATATTTTCAGAAATAATTTAATTGTACAAAAGCAAAGGCTCGTCCATACGGATGAGTTGGCATCGTCGGACCAGCCACCCGAGTGGGAGAGCCTTCGTGATGGGAGCGCATACAGATAATCCGGTCGACTATGCGGATGACCAGGATGGGAGCTTTCACTGCCAGGCGCATTGACAAAGGAGAGATTGGGTAGCTATCACACCCATGTCCTACCGACGTAGGTACCTCTATATGGGTACCTCCATACGGACGGATCGCACCCAACCAGGATTGGCCAGGCAGGGGGAATCCGGCTTCGTCTGGAATGAAATGTGTCAAAAACACGTCCGGAATCAGAGAAATAATGGCACCTAGGACACCTATGTAGGCTGCGGTGGGAGCTGATGTCTTACCAGCTCTCTCGTCATGCCTGATGTCTGATGTCATCACGCTGATGGGCTCGGCCAACGGCAACGGATGCTTTTTTTGCCCTTGCGCCGACAGGTACCCTTATTCTTGACTGGCGAAGGGTGATGTGTGGAACATACAGCATGCATGTGAAGAAAAAGAGGGAGCTTTTGAGAATGAAACCAAGCCCAAGCCGCTGACTTACCCGACAAAGTCTTTCATGCCCCGCCATTTCTTCAAGCCTCCGCTCAAAGTTCGGCCTATCGCGTCACCTCCGCAAGCTCTGCCCGGCCAAACGAGCCAAACGAGCCAATGCGAGAGCTCTCAACTGCTAGTTGACAAGCTTGGAAGTCAGTGCACCAGTACGTCCACCTTACCCACCTGCAGAACCCCTCGCCCCCTCAAGCTTCCCTGCTGCTTGTTGCTTGCTGCTACTACTGCAAGCTGGGCTAGCACCGAGGTGGGTATGGATTGTATGGATTGTACCCGTACTAAACCATACATTTATGTCTCGTGGGAGGGCAGCTGGTTCAAATGTTTTGCTGCTTGCTCTACGCTATGAGGTGCGAGGGTTACATTAAACCCATCTTTCATCACTGGGTGCGAGGATCGAATGCCTGCTACTACTGCCGCAAATATTGTGTGCTTTAAGTAGAGGCACGAACGGCGAAGAATCCTCGTCCTCGCACGAGCTTGGCTTTATCGAAGCTAGGAAGCTTGCATCGTCAGATTCCAAGCACAACCAGATCTGGGAGCTCTGACGACGCTCATAACTTAAAAAGGAACATCCCTTTATAGTTGTTTATTACCACTTACTACCGGAGCCGCTCGTGTCGTCGGCTTTTCTCCTTTTTTTATTATCTCTGTTATTGTTTCTCTTGATGCCCGCCCATCACAGAGGTCACCCCACTCTCAAATTTTCAAATAACCAGCCCGTCCCAGTCGATCCTTGGTGATTGATCGAGTCAGGAAGGAAGCTGGCCTGTCGTTAAATCAAGAGGTAAGAGAAGTGTGGACGAGGCCGAACCAATCAGATGGTTCCCTTTCCCTTTGTCTCCCTCGATTCGACTTGTCGCACAAGCCTGTAAATTGTTGTTAAAGGTAAAGGGTGTCTAGGTAGGTGAGGCATGGGGGATACCTGTTTAGCTGCCTACCTGTCTACCTGTCTTTCACCAGGTCTGGTTGGATTTATCTATCTTTGGATGACAAGCTTCAATTTACCCTGTCCGGGGACCTTGCCCTTTGTCAGGAGCTCAGGTACTTAACATTGCCGCATCACTGCTCTGCTACTAGCCTATTGTAAATACACTACATCCATACCTACACTGCCTACTACCTGCCCACCACATACCTTGCTGCTACATCCTACACCCATCCATACACCCATACCAGCCCATACACACTTGTATCTATATACGTACATACGTAGCCAGCTTTGATGTGGAGTACCGCACCCTGACTTGTGGCCACCCTACCTTAGGTACAATCACCTCGCCTGCTTTTGCCTACCGAACCTATCTAAGCTTGGAAATTCCAGTTCCAGTTCTAGTACTGCTCTGCTTTCAGCTACCCTTCCCCCCTCCCCTCCCCAATAAGGTCACCCTCCAAGTCCCAGGTCCCAATCCTTCCTCTTCCTCCACCAACACCTACGAGAGTTCTTCGAAACACCTCATGTAACACCTAGATAGGAGCTTAGAGCTACCTCGGAAGAGCTACCAGAAATTCAACCCCGAATTCGATCGTCGAATGCTTACGCTTCGCATACCTAAACCATCGTCAATTGATAGCTATCAGCCAAACTTCTTATCGCCAACACCGTATCGATTCTCGCGAACCCCCCCGCCTTCGATTCCCGACCAGTAAATGGCGGGGTTGATTAGGTCAAGATGCCGCCTCGATCTTCTTTAACGTCCTCGTTCTCTATTACCGACTCCAATAATGAAGTCGTCTGTCCTCTGCGAAATCAGGATGGCTCTAGTTGTCGCAAGCGCTGCATTGGCGTAAGTCACGTCTCTGTCTATTCATTGACTTGCCTCGGGAAAAAATATTGCGAACATGACGAAGCTCGGTCGGGTCTCATGGTCCAACCAGAAAAAAAATCAAGAGCTATGCCTATGTCTATGTCGTATAACTTTAGAAAGATTGAGTCTAATTCTCTCATCCGGATAAATAGGAAAAGAGATATCGTTCGATGCAAGAGCATATTCGGCGAGCGCATCCCGAACATTATATATCGAAGCTTCCTGCGACCGAGGAGAGCTTCTTGCTTATGATTAATACTCCCCCTTCCGGTCGATCCCAGGCTCAGAATTCTGCCGGCCCACCCCAACCAAACCTCGACCCGGCGCTCAAAGGCTATCCGCATGAGCGTCACGCATATGCTCGAGATGGGTCGAGTGCTCCCGCCACTCCAAGACATAATGATGACTTTTCCGGTGGCTCACTGCTACCAGCAGCAAGTGCTGCGGCCGCCCTAGCCCAGTTGGGCGGCCAACACAAGTTCGAAACAGATTGGGATACCGAAGCAGTAAGGATTCGCTCAACGCAATCGTGTACATTGACGACGATAAAAATGCTAATTCTGACTCGATAGGGTTGGCAGTCGGACAATGACGGCCGAAGGATACCTAGGAGTACAATTGAATTACCACCAATACATGTCGGGAACGAGCCAACTAGTGAACCGTTTCCTTCTTTGAATTCTGCACCACGTAGAGACCTGCTCCCTTCAATTCTCTCAAATTCTCCTCCGGGTCGCTCCTCGACTCTCCCGCCCCTTCACCGGTCATTCGGCCCCAGTCGGCCCAGGAAGCAGTCCATTACCAAGCGCGGCCACAAGAAGCAGAAATCCAAGGGCTCTACTACGGACTGGCTTCGGAGAATTCAGAATGATGACCGCCTCAAGCCAGGAGGAATTGATCGCAAGGCTCATTCTGTCGAGCCCTCGGCCGACTATGGCAAAAGGTGGGAAGACCTCATCGACGCCGCAGCCTCGGCTACAGAAGATATCGATGAGGATAGGACTCCTGTAAGTCGTGCCCGGCACACTTATTTTCCTTCTCTAACTTCCCAGGTCCCCCAATCCCCTATATCCATACACCGAGCTTCCCTGCCCCCATTCCCCCATCAACATTTCCAAGGCTATCAAGCTTCTCCCTTACAACAAGCTCTTACTCCACCATCATTTGCCCAAGAGATTCCAGAACCTTTTCCGTCCGTCGAAAGTGGCGAGAGCGGAGAAAACTTCCATATAGGAGCCTCTGGACTTTCAGATTCATCGCCAAATTACTCGTCACAAGATGTGCACATCTATTGTGCCGCTTGCCAAAGGACGTCAAAACTACGAGAATCTTACGCCTGCACCGAATGCATTTGCGGGCTATGTCGTGATTGCGTCAACATCCTAATGGAGGAGCAAGGAGCCCGCCGAAAATGCCCGCGCTGTGCCACTATTGGCGGCAGATTTAAACCGTTCCAGTTGGATATCCGGTGAAGCGCAACATTATTACGCCCAGTGCCATGGATCTAGTTCAAAGATGAACTCATTCATCATCCAGGATATCCACGCGAATGGCTATATACCTATGGTTACTGCTCCTGCCGACAGGAATATCAACGACATGCCGCAGAGCCTTCGAGTCATTCTTACAACTACGATGGAATCTATTTAGTGCCCGACCGCGACTTTGATAAAGGGCTCAATCAATAATTGGATTATCCAAGGCACTCATTCTTGGCCAAAAGCCAAGCTTATAATATACACGGGTCCGCACCAAACCCGAGTACAACCCTGCTTCAGGAATGTAGGGAAATCGCACTCCCAAAACCATCATGGATACTTTGGTACGACATATAGGACGGGCGTTACTTAGGAACGGCATAGAGAGCGTTTGTATTTAGCACCGATCATTTCACGAACAAACTTATTCACTTCTATACTTTCCCTGGAGGGGCATCCTACGCCGCTGGCCGCTTTCATATATACCGGACTTTCTCTATGACCATACTGGGAGGCAATGCTTGATTCTACCGGCGTTTCCATATCGAGGATTGGCACTATGAACGTTTATAATCGTTTTTCCGAATCTGGTTTCCGCCGAGTAAAGGATTCGAACTGCATGATACGTTTTATTTTTCGGGTCGGAGATACTCGTCTACTCATTTACCCATTTTTTTAACAGCTGCAAGACTCGCGCAGAAAAACGCAAGCTGGTCGGCAACGCAATGTTTTTTTATTTTTTTAAGGGGGGAGAGATGCCACGCGTACCTACTACGATTATTTTGGAGGGGAGTTGATATAAGGGTATCCCGGGGCGTTCATGGTTCGGGACGAACCTTTATATATAGGGTAGCAATGTGATCACGAACACTACGTTAAAGTTACATGTCTGCTCGAAACGCCAGCTGTATATGAACTTGAAGACATTGGTCTAGGAATCTTGGGAGCTCTACTGCTTGCTTAGTTCCACGTCGTTAGATATTTTAGAAATTACGGATTCTTTGAAGCCAGCCTTTTCGTGTCCTACACTGTGTTGTGATGCTGGTGCTTATGGCATGATTAGTCAAGGCTTGTCAGATCTGTCAGATACTGATACCAATCCTGATACTAGCTGAGTAAGACCTTACGGGCTGTACGACGAGGGCACAGCGTAGAAGAAACATCGAGCATTGGTTGCCTATCCATACTTTCGAGCTCAGCTCCAGACTGTCTTACTTATAGAAACACGGGACGCGTGGCTGTCCTGAACATCCTGTGGGAGCGAGCTGCGTAAGCTACGCCGACTTGAAACTTGTGGAAAACAAAAAGTGTTATGTCGATCGTCCATACGTACCTAGGTATACATACTAATAGTATCTTGGCCCTCTCTCCATACGAGTTATTCGTAAAACTCCAATGCTAAGAAGCTAGCTCGGAGGGGAAGGTATATCCATATTAGATTACGTAAAAGGGTAAAGCTTGCGGTAGAGGGGATAATTCGAACATATTAGCATTGTAGATGTCAAGGGTTGACCTGGGTAGGTATTAAGTGGCAAGACTTCACGTTTTGAGAGATAAGACGGGGAGATGAATGGTATGATTCGACTTCATGACTTATCCGAGTGAACAACGTAGAATTCTCCATCGGGTTCTATTCAAGGCATCCTCATACCTCGTAAAGAATAGAGGCAATGGCGTGTATATATGTGTACATAGGCATTCCATATTCTTCAGCCTAATACACCCACCGCACCTTTCTCAACCCCAACACCTTAACATCGCCGCCGCAACTCCTCCCAGGCCCCCTTTGCAATAAGATATACAACTTTGACTTGCCCTGCCTAACCCTGCTCAGCCTTGCCTCGCCCTCACCCCATCTCCGCCTTTTCCCTTACCCAACACAATAATCTTAACCCATCTCACCGCCCAGGCCTCTTAGCCTCTTTCGCCTTCTCCAGCAGCAAATTACGCATAGCAGCGCGCACGTTACGACTGCCGCCGAGCTTGGGGCCCTTCAGCACATCCTCATCCTTCTGGCCGCCCTTGCTACCGCCGGGGCCGCCGGAACCCCCGCCGGGCGGCGCGTTGGCCGGCTTCTTGCGCTTCTGCTGGCGCTCGGCCTGCGCGTCCATGAACTCGCGCCGGAACTCCTCCGCGATGCGGTCGTCCGCCGCGCCGTCCGGCTCCGCGCCGTCGGCGCCGCCGCCGGGGGTCGGCGCCGCGGGGGGCGTGGGGGTTTCGTAGACGTCTACTTTTGGGGGCGTGTTAGTATCGTATCTGTACATTATCATACTAGGTAACCCCCGGGGCTAAAGCCCATGCGTGCTAAGAAGAGAGGGGGAGGGGAAGGGGAAGGCAACTCACGTCTGTTCTCCCGTAATATCTCCTCGACCAACTGGTCCCTCCTCACGTCGTCGCTAGTCCTGCGATTCCGCGGACGCCAGGGCTTGCCGTCTCGCCCCAATCGCACCTTCCTCGGGCGCCCGCCGCCGCCGCTCTTGCCGTCCGTGTCGTCGTCGTCGTCGGCGACGGCCTCGCCGTGCAGTATGCGGCGCGTGGCGCGCTCCGTCAGCGCCTCGTTGCGGCTGCGCGCTTCGTCGCCGAGGTCGATCTCCATGAGCTGGCCCTGCAGCGCGCGGTGCGGGTGCGCGGGCGGTTTCGTGTCGCTTCCTATACCAGTAATGTCTTTATTGTTTCGCGGCTCCTGGTGGTGCTGGCTGCTAGACGAAGACGGTACGACTAACCCTATACCCCGCGGGGCAGGGGATGGAGCAGCGGCGCTGGTGGATGACGAGGAAACGACTGCGTGGTGTCGCCTGGCTAATTCGGATTCTATGTATTCCTCCCTTGCTCCATCAGCGGCTGCGCAGGCTGTCGTTGCGGCGTGTGGTATGTAATAATTGACATGATTGACATCAAGGAAAGGAAAGAGAAGAGAGAGAGAGAGAGAGAGAGAGGACGGAAAGTGAAAACACGAAAAACGAGAGACATGTAAGAAGAGGGAAAGGGAAAAAAGGCGATCAACTCACATGTGCTTATTAACAAGCTCGGTCGACAGCCCCGTCTGCGGCGCGAACCGCTTCTGCACGCCGGCCGCGACGTCCAGCACCTTGCCCTCCTCCTCGCGGATCATCAGGCTCAGGTCGTCCAGCATCTCGGTCGCGGTCGCGGACGGCGGCGCATCGCTGGTAGGGCCGCCGAACTTGACGCCGCCTAGCCGCGCCTTTCGCGCGTTGCGGAGGCGCAGGACCTCGCTTACCGTCAATCCGCTCTCCTTCTCTTCTTCCTCCGTCGCCGTCGTCGTCGTCGGGGCCTCGGTGAGGTTTGGCGATGCGGTTGCTGGTTGCGGCGCTTCGGCGGCGGTGGTTGCGGGAGATGCGTCTTCGTTGACGTTGTTGTTGTTGATGTTGGTGTCGCTGGTTGGTTCGGCTCGTTGCCTGTACGTCTTCCTCTTCTTTCCTCGGAAGATAACTTGAGGCTCGGGCGTCGCCTCTGAATTTGCGCTGTCCATCGTGAAAGGTAGCTGTCACGTTTGTAATATTTATCTCATGGATGATCGGATTGTTTGTGTTGTGGAAGTGGATGCGATTGATGTTTGACAAGAAGTACAACTACTAGGAGGTACGTACAGCGTTGGAAAGGAAAGTCCAGGTGGAACATCGAGTCTAGACTGCGGTCTTCGGAAGCGTTGATTTACCCGGTGATATGCCGCTTATCGTGGATAAAGCTGCCATTGCACATGCTAAAGCCAAACCCTGCATACTGTACGCATTCCCATATGTAATCTACCAATCCACTACTACATCGCAATTAAAACCTCAAGATGTCACAAAGAGTATGTGAGATTCTATTGCAGAAAAGTCTAAAATCGTGATCATGGACTAAATGGATTCAGGTCTACTTCCTAGCCCACGGCCGAGTGCAAGGTATGAACGACTTCAACTCCGTCATAATAGGTAGCGGACTATATAGATACAGACTAGAAGACTGACGTCACAATACGACAGGCGTGAGCTACCGCTATTTCGCACATAAGAAAGCAGCCGAGCACAACATCACCGGATGGTGTCGAAATACCGAGAATGGAAAAGTGAGACTATCTTGCTGTAATATGTATTCGACGTACTCACACAATCCAGGTTGAAGGCGAGGCCCAAGGAGATGAAGACTCCATCAAATCGTTTCTGAAGGAACTTGACAGAGGCCCGACTCATGCTCATGTCGTTAGACTGGACAAAGAAGCCAGAGACGTGCAAGAAGGGGAGGCCCGCTTCGAGGTACGGAGATGAGGGATGAGTGACAAGTATAGAGTATCCAACATGTAGCCTCGACAAACCAGCAAACGAAGGAACATAGACTGTATTCACATAAGCTGTAACATAACCCTAATTCCATATCATTACAAAGATATGATATCAAGGCATTCCAGACGTTTTTAGCAACCTCTACTAGAACCCCCTTCCTTTCCTCTTAGCCACGGGCTTCTTCACCGCACCGGAAGTTATGATCTTTTTCGTCCCATTCTTTGCTGCTGCCGGCTTCTTCGCTGCACGTTCTTCTTCTTGTTTCTTTTGTTCTTCATATTTCCTCTTGTCGTCCGCCATCTTGGCCTCTATCTCCATCTTGCGATTGAACTCTGTTTCGGTAATGCGCTTCTCCCGAGCCGAGTAACCTTTCTCCTTTACGGAATAGAACACGCCCCCTAGCTCGGCAAGCCAGTGGGGGTCGACAGATGTTACTGTGGACATGTACTCTTTTGAAGTCAGGATGAGTTCGTGGTAGACAACGTAGTCTGGCAAGAAGCCGAGACCGTAGAGGGCGCTTGTGGGATGGAGTTGTACGGTGACCGATGTGCGCAAGTTGATATACTCCCCGATACCCTTGACTTTGGCTGCTTGATGATAGTAGCCCGAGCAGATGCACTTGCGAATGATGTCCCAGTCTGTACCGCAACTGATCATTTGCATCTTTTGCATCTTCATGATGTCGAGAAGCTGATCCCGGATTTCCTTGGCCCTGCGTAGGGACTTCGGGTGTAGAAAATGACGCGTACACCAACCATCCGAATAGCCGTTCGTTTTCCATTGAGAATACACATGGAGGTAGGTTAAGTGATCAGATTCGGGAACGAAGAACTTTTCGCGTGCAGCATCTGACTCTTCTTGCCGCTCCTTCGGACGGTAGAAGACGTTGGGAACAGATAACATGGAGACAATTGTCACCATCTCCTCGCTACAGCCATACTCTTCGGACATGATAAGAAGCTTCGCTAAAGATGGATCCATTGGAAAGGCATTCATCTTAGATCCTAGGTCTGTCAGTTCTCCAAGGTTATCTAACGCGCCTAGGGCCCACAGGTCGAAGAGAGAAGTGGTGATGGTATCTTGTGGGGGCGGGTCCATGAAATCGAAATCAAGCAAGTCTCGGACACCTAGAGATTTGAGCAGTAGCACCGTGTTGCTAAGATTCGTCCTTTGAATTTCGGGGATTGTCTGGATATAGAGTTCGTCCTTGAAGGCCTTCTCAGTGTACAACCGGAATGCTTTGCCAGGGCCCGTTCGACCTGCACGACCTGCTCGCTGACCACCGTTCGCTTGCGATATTGGCGTGATCTGCAACGTATCCATGCCCATCCGAGGGTTATACACCTTTAATTTAGAATATCCTGCATCTACCACATACATGATACCGTCGACTGTCAAACTAGTTTCTGCGATGTTCGTAGCCACGATACATTTCCGAACACCAGGCGGCGCCCGATCGAAAATCTTGGCTTGGAGATCTGCAGGCATTTGACTGTAGATTGGAAGAATACTGAGCTTGGGTGGATCTTTCAGAGCATCGAGACGCTCTCGTACCAACTCGCAGGTGCACTCGATATCTTCCTGACCTGTCATGAACACTAAAATATCACCAGGGTCCTGTGATATGTGAATTGAAAGCACTGACTGAACAGCTTGATCAACGTAGTCTTCGACCGGAGACCTATGGAACATGATATTAACGGGGAAAGTCCGACCTGGAATGGTGAACTCGGGCGCTCCGCCAAAGAAATCCGAGAACCGTTTCGAGTTCATGGTAGCTGAGGTGACTATCAGCTTGAGGTCTCTTCGGCGCTGTAGTATCTTGTTGAAAAGTCCCATCAGTACGTCCGTGTTCAGGGCTCGCTCGTGGGCCTCGTCCATGATTACGCAGGAGTAGCGATCTAAATCTCGTTCGTTGAGCGATTCTCGAAGCAGAACACCATCCGTCATGTATTTGATGACAGTGTCTTTGCTAGTGCAGTCTTCGAATCGGATAGCATAACCAACCGTACTGCCTAGTTTCACCTCCATCTCCTCGGCCACTCGTTTCGCTACACTCATGGCTGCAACTCGTCGGGGTTGTGTACAACCTATGAGGCCACGTTCTCCGTAACCTTCTTCGTATAGAAACTGCGTCAGTTGTGTCGTCTTTCCCGAACCAGTCTCACCAACCACGATGACAACTTGGTTGTCCCTGATGACTCTTAATAGATCCTCTCGCACGGCGAATGCAGGCAGAAATTCCCTCTGTTCTCGCAATGTCTTGCTCTGACTGAACGCACTTGCGCCGTCATTCTTTTTCATGTGCTCGCTGAACTTGTTGGCTCCAGACTTCGGGGCGTCTTCTTCGGTGGCTATTGGCAGAGCACTGTCGCCCTCGTCCTCCTTCACGCCCATAAGATTTCCAAGCGCGGTACCTGCCATATTAGTAGCCTCCTGGGCTTGTCGTTGTCGTTCCCTTTGCTGCCTCCTTTCCTTCACCACGCGGCTACCTTTGCGACTGAATACGGCCATGTCACTCTGGTAGTCCTTGACGGCAGGTACGGGTTCCAGCTGCTTGGTAAACACGGTGCGTCCGTCTAAAAAGGGAGGCTTAAGATCGTGAACAAGTAAATGAACGCGAGTCCCCTCGTTATCCTCGTCGAAATCATCGCCTAAACCTCGTCGTTGGGCAACACCAGACGTAAGCATGCGATTAGTTTCCCAAGCATCATTGTCCTTTTGTCTTTGTAGTTGACGCGCATTCATATGTTTCCCGGCCTTCTTCTCGATCATCTCGGCTTCCCGCTGTTGCTGTTCGACCCACGAGGTATCGTACGATCCAAATGGATTATGGGAGTCATCGCCGAAGGTATGACCGGTTTCATCGCCTGCGTACCAGTCTCGGTCGAGAGCGTTCTGTTCCTCTAAGCTCACCTGCGGTTCCGGGCCATCGAATTCTTGTTGTTTGGGAGTTGATGCATAGTGAGACTGAGCGCGAGGAGTGGAAGCGCGCGAGTTGGAGCCATGTTGGAAGCGGCCGTGTGGTCGAGAAGGATGACTCCGGTTTGGGAGAGAAGAGTAGCGGTCGTCAGAGCGGAGAGGATTAAAATCTAACTTCCGCCTCTTGGAGCTGCTTCCATCTTCCCTATCCATCCTTGGGAAGTATTTTGTTTGATATATCGTTGGATAGACGACCTAGAGAGTTCCAAGGTAGTGGTCGTTGCCGGCGATTCGAGGTACTAAACAGTTTATATTTAGGCGACGAAAAGAAAACAATAGTGAAGTGGAGCCCGTGCACTTTAACGTTAAGCTTGGAACCGCCCAGGGGTCTATTTACTTATCTACACTTATCGATAGAAAGAGCCCCGCTAAAATTTTAAGTCGAATTTTTGTGAATTCAAAAGTTGGCGGGGCTCAAGATCTTGATCTTTTGCGCCCAGTACAACAATCTGGTTGATTCGAACCAGATCGCAAATAATTAGCCATGTCGTCTATGATTACCACCTCTACGTGGGTGCCGAGAGGTTTTGCGGCGCCCTTCCCGGCAAAATACGATTTTGACGAAGACGAGTTCGAGAGAATAGCCAACCTAGCTAAGCTGCAGCTAAATGATGCGAACGAGGATTTAAAAGAGGCGCAAGAAGAGGATGGAGACGAAGAGGAAGAAACAAATAAGGAAAGCAGCGAGAAAGACACAGGCGACTCAAATGATAAACCCTCATCACAGAGTGGCGATGCTGAAGAGTAACTTCACACTCACTTATTATCTTCGACTACCTACTAATTCCGCCAATAGCATTGACATTGACGACGATGACCTCAAGAAGTACGATTTAGAGCACTACGACGACGATGACGACGAGGGCGAAGGTCAGAGCATGGATATGTTTGGAAACATAAAATCTCTAGCCTACTACGAATCCAACAAGGACGACCCCTATATCACAATACCCGAGGGCGAGGCCGATGATGACGATGACAGGGAGGAACTACAAATTTTAGCGACAGACAACCTCTTACTAGCCGCCAAGGTCGAAGACGAGCTTGCGCATCTCGAGGTCTACGTATACGAAGACGAAGCGGACAATCTCTACGTACATCACGACATAATGCTTCCCGCGATACCCCTCTGCGTTGAATGGCTAGACATTCCCGTATCGAAATCCAACGTGGATAAAGACTCGACAGCCAACTTCGTCGCGATAGGGACAATGGACCCCGACATCGAGGTCTGGGACCTGGACACCATAGACTGCATGTACCCGAACGCGATCCTAGGCCAGGGCGCGAACCCGCAGGAGGAAGAGAAGAAGAAAAAGAAAAAGAAGAAGTCGAAGAAGGCCAACGACGAGTACCACGTCGACGCGGTCCTGTCCCTGGCCGCCAACCGGAAACACCGAAACCTCCTCGCTTCCGCGTCGGCGGATAAGACCGTGAAGCTGTGGGACCTGCACACGGCGAAGTGCGCCAAGTCTTACTCGTACCACACGGACAAGGTGTGTTCGCTGGCGTGGCACGCCGTCGAGTCGACGGTGCTGCTGAGCGGCAGCTACGACCGCACGGTGGTCGCGGCCGACATGCGCGCGCCCGAAGCCAAGGCGCCGCGGTGGGGGGTAGAAAGCGACGTCGAGAACGTGCGGTGGGACCCGCACGACCCCAACTACTTCTTCGTGTCGACGGAGAACGGGATCATACACTACCACGACATCCGCAACGCGCCGGCGAACCCGTCGGCGAGCAAGCCGGCGTGGACGCTGCAGGCGCACGACGAGTCCCTCTCGTCCTTCGACGTCAACGCGCACATACCGGGCTTCATGGCGACGGGGTCGACCGACAAGACGGTCAAGCTCTGGAACATCCAGCCGACGGGCCCCGCCATGGTGGTCTCGCGCAACCTCGACGTCGGCAAGGTGTTCGCGACGAACTTCGCGCCCGACCCCGAGGTCGCCTTCCGCCTCGCCGTCGCCGGCAGCAAGGGCACGATGAACGTCTGGGACACCAGCACGAACGGCGCCGTGCGCCAGGCCTTCGCGCACAAGATCTCCGACAAGGACAAGGCGGGCGCGGACGGCAGGGAGAGATTAATCGGCGTCGAGGAAGACGAGAGCTCCTCGGACGAGGACGAAGGCGAGGACGAGAACGGCGAGCCTGAATCCATGGATGAGGATTAGGATTAAGATTACCTTCCTAGGTCAAGATGGGCCTCATCGCGGCTTGGGGCTGTGCGATATGTCTCGCGGTTAGATCATATTATGTCGCGGCTAGATGCGTTTCTGGTTCGACAGTCTGGTGCTTAGGTACTTAGGTTGGGGGGTCCCCATCAAGTTACACGGATCAGATAACATGTTTCTGGTTTCATGTGTTCGGACGAACCAGTTCAAAGGCGGGTTTATTTATAAACGTGTCAATGTATCAAATGCGAACGGGCTGGGAAACGGGGTCAAAGCCAGGCGCGGTCGGTTGAAACCAGAAAGGGATGTGTGACACCTTGCTCTGAACCAGACTTTGACAGCTCGCCTAATACAGATGAATGCTACCTACCATCCCGTTCCCCTAATCAAGATATGAAAGTCGCTTGTCTTGCAAGATCGCGAGATCGTGAGATCTACGGTGCCTCTGGATTGCATGGCGATGGGATTCAGTTACACGAGGATGTGATAGCTGAACTAGATGTGATAATTGACTCCATCAGCTTATTGTTTCGTGGCTTGATTAATCATTTCTCGGGGATCAACTAAAACCAACAGCCAATGGATCCCATGTAGTTACCTACTTAGGTACTCAATTGCGATACCAGCCTTGAAAATTACGAACGATTCTAGAAATTCGATATTGAGGCCAACATTTATTAAACGCCGCACAAGTTCAAGCGAAGGCTGAGTATGTGGCACATACAATTCCCCCTTGCCAATTATCCTATTGAAAGGGAGACATGGACAACCATGCGAAACAATATGTAAGCCAGCATGCGTAGTCAGAGTACGTACATGCGTGGATGTCGCAATGTTTGTCACCAGGTTAAAGACATCGAAGAGAGGGGTAGAGGTCTTTGCGATCCCTCAATTGTGACCAAGTTGTGACCGAGTCGTGACCAAGCAAGGAGAAGAATGCCCACATTGGATACGAGATAAGATTCCAAGATGCTATCGTGACGACGACCCTCTGCAGGTTTGTCCGGTCCGATGCAGAGCACGTCCAGTTTGTGCGCGCATATCATAGGGTATAGGAGAACCGTAGCCGACGGGACCGGCATCCTGATTACGACGCCGCCCCGTGGAGCCGCTCCCTCGGCGACAAAATCAGCAAGAGATCAGAAGTTGGTCTGGAGACTGGATGGGAGCGCCTGAAAGATGAAACAGCCGGGCAGCCACAGCCAATGACGGCTGGGAACAAGCAGCCAATGAGGGTTTCTCCGCAATTAACGCCTTGCATGTTTCTTTTAGCATGGGCTTCGTCGGTTTCAAACTGCGGGAACCCTAGTCAGTTGGTTTCCTCTTTTTTTTCTTTCTTCTCTTCTCTTTCGCTCTGCCTCTTCCCGAAGCGGGAAAAGCCTTGTCGAAATCCGAGCAATCAACTTGATGTGTTAGAGAGCCAGGGGGGATCCCCGGTTCCTGAGAAGTGTTCAGGAGATTCGCCCACTCACAGCCCACCTTTCCCACGATCAGCACGATTCTGTCAGTGGGCTTGCAGGCTTTATCAGATCCATGTCGGCGGTGGGAGGGGAACAACCGGGGGGAACTGCCTTGGGACATGGGCGTGGTAAATTGCGAGGTCAGACCTTTATTCAAGCGCATTGAAAACTGATCAAGACTAAACCAGTCTTTGTCCTGTGGGATTGTACGCTCGATCAGGTTCTCTATTTTGAGAAAATGACCAAACTTGCCAAATCAACCTGTGACCAAGTTCAACTAAACTCTTTGAGGTTGTAGCAGAATGTGATCCGAGTACATGGACATCGTCAAAAAGATGGCCACGTAACGGCGCAATTTTATGCTGCAGTGAATCGGGATGACTTGATGAGTTGTGCAATCAATAGAAAAGTATGTCATATCTGTACGTTAGCGATGGAGGGCGGACAGGGCGAGTTGGGCGAGGAGAGGTGAAAGATTTTGATTCTTCTGATGTTTGCTCCGATGTGATTGGCTTCAATTGGGCAGAATTGAGTTGGTACCTGCATATAGTGGTTGCTCAACGTGGCGTGGAGGGTCGGTGGACGGTGTTAAGTCGGGAGACTCGCCGGGAAGCCTAACTAATCAGATTCAAGAAACAAAGGCTCCCTCTTAGCAGCTAGACACCTGATTCGGCAAGCCACGACCTGCCGAGCATTTAGGGTCCAGGGGTAAAAGGCACTGTCGGCCAATCCGCGGTCCCTGTTCATTAGATTCGCCTGGGTTCCCGTCCTGCACTATTCCCCAATTGGGAAGCGCCTAAAAAAATCATTAAGTACAACGCAGTAGGTAGAGGGGATTGACAGAGCTTCGCAGGGATCTAAAAGTCGTCCTTCAAGTCGTTGTCTCTCTTGAGTCTTCAGGTACCACTGTCGATCGATCAGGTTGTCTTTCCTTCGCAAGCCCTAACTGAATATCAAACCGAATTATACTAGGTTGACTAAGATACTGAGGGATGACATATAGTAAAGTGATCAAAGTGGTCAAGATGATCAAAGAAAGGGAATAGTACGCGTCTTAGACGTTTGGAGGTGAAGAACAAAGAATCTAGACGGGTCAGTGCAGTTGGCTGCGAGTAAGTTGTTAGTAAAGTCCACCTCCATTAAATCCACTAATCACTGTGGGTACTCCAAATCCCGGTAGGGAGGACATGCGAGGATGTACTATGCTAGATATAGTGAGTCACTTATACACCGCGAAGGCCCCAGATTTGCCTAGATGTCACACTAAATCTTACCGGACTGGCTGGTACCTGCAACTTGGTAGATACGCGTGCCCTAAGCTCGCACCCATTTCCCTGTAAGTGACCAGGTCCCCTAGGGCTTCAATGTTCTTTCCCATGTCACACCCTTGTATGCGCTTTATTATCGTTTCTCATCGCCGTCCTTTTCATCTCTAAAGTGCCTGCGCTCTCCTTTTACCTTGTCTTTTACCTCTTATCCCACTCATTCTACCCACTTCCCATCCCACTGGGACTATTCTTCCTATTCATCATTCATTTACTATTGTTCTCTTGATCCTCATCCGAGACTTGTCGCCGGCCACGAATTAACAAGTCGTTTGAGGTCAGAATTCAATCCTTACTTTCACTAACACATACGACGACGACGTTTCTCGCCATATCGATCCTTGATCAAATCAGGAACCTGGTTGTTTCACTGTTTCGTTCTAGTACATTCAAAATTCCCATTTTTAGCAAATCTCCAAACAACGTGGAGATCGCTTAAGAACCACTCTCTCTCTTTTCGAGCAATCAACCGACGGAATTTCATTATTGACAGCAGCTCTGTGAATATACGCGGAAAGTAAAAAAAGACAAAAAAAAAGGGTAGCTCCACAGGCCATCACTTTAAGGAACACTGTGAGAGTTTGATATCATACATCATACTTCGACAAACCTTGGAAAGGGTCAACTACGAGTGTCATACAAACACCACACGCATTTCACTTCATCGCGGTGACTCCAACTCAGTTTTAGGTCACCCTTCTTATTCACCTCGACTCCATTTAGGAATTCCGAAGGCTTCATCATCATCTGTCAGGAACTCCGGAAAATCAACTGTCAACCTGATTCCCTCACAGCAAGTGACAAGTAACGGCAACCTTACATTTCGCAGCTGGACTAGACTCGGCCATTGTTTGGCACTTCTGCTTGGTCATTCAACGTAACGATACACCTGTTTTTAGAGGGGAGACCGAGACCCCGCGATCTCACAGGATCACATCAGGTCGTTTCGGTAGAACCAACCACACTGTCCACCTGCCTAATCAGGGTAACATCGTTCCCTGCACAAGCTTCTGTTGAGCGCGCGTCCAAAAGCGGCATCTAGCACATTAACAAGACAAGTCTTAGTGTGCGATTATCACTCCGGCTTTTTCGCTCAACTTAGGGTTGTCACATTACCCGACTTTTGTCAACCGTCAGTCAATTCTAGCCACGAGCTTTAGGTTTCTAACCTACTCCCCTCCCACATCCTTTGTGAAGAGGGTTTGGCGCTCGAAAGCGGATTCGCGCAGCTCGGAGAAAGCTGTAGGCGCGCGATTTCTGACTGATTCAATTATCAGCTTATATTGGAGATCTGCGCAGTCGGATACCCGCGTCCAGGTGACACAACATAAATCCGAGCACGCCGGGACTGGTCGCCTTTTAAGTGTGTTGCTTCATATTCTGGAAGTCGTCCAGGATATAGACACATTTCTCTCCGATTTTGTACCATTAAGAGGTTTAAACACACATAGTCAAGATGTCTCTTGCGCGCGCCTTCACGACGAGGCGAAAACAATCGTCGCAAGACTTGGGCATACTGCCGCAGCGGAGCAATACTACAGCCAGGAAAGATTCCATCTCCGTTCGCAACAAGATCTCCGGCCCTATGGCGCTCACCCATACAACCAACATGCTTGCATACAATGCGCCGGATCTATACCCTCAACCAGAGTCTTCTCCGACCGAATCCAGCAAATCTGATGATTCCTCCACTGATACTCCCCGTACCAGCGCATCGTCGCCGCCGACGAGTCCTGACCTGCCATCCGCAACTCGACCAGGCTCGCCTGAGCCTAACCACCTTTCGTGTTATTTTGTCGCCCCGGGTAACAAGCAGGCTCCACCAGTTGTGAATGAGGCTCCAGTGATTCCCAAGCGCTCGCCATCGCACACCAAGAAGGCATCTATGGACAACCTGGCCAACAAATTCTCGCGCTTATCCAACCAATCCAATAAATCTGTCTCCACCAAGGCGAGCTTTTCTCTTTCCCGATCGTCGTCAACGTCGACAACGGCCACGAGCGTTTCATCGGGCTCTTTTTCGCGGAAGCCGTCGATATCTTCACCCAGCGTGCCCGCAATGCCTTCCATGGTCACATCACCACCCCCGGCTCGTCCCAATTTCCGCCGTGACTATTCCGACACGCAGCATCCTTTTGGTCAAGAGCTGGCGCAGGTATCAGAGCTCGCAGAGGAATTGGGCGTGAAAGAGAAGATGCAGGTGATCGACGAAGAAGAGCAGGAGCTTATTGCTAAGGGTCTCCGCTCGTTCCGACCTGAGGATTACCTGGCCGAAGTTCAAGGGCTCTTCGCCACATTCTTCAAACCCGAGCCTGCCGCGATGGCTCCAGTGTGGATTTAAACAGCAAGTGGATCACTTTCATCCCATATCTCGCCGCCGAAGATATGGGATCACAGCATCTGCGGCACTTCGATGTACATATTGGGACAGTTTACATACAAGTCTGCGCACAAACCTACCGAATAAGGACAAACCTGGTACTGGAGACTTGGTGATCAGATTTACGGATACAGTTGAGGAGTTACGGTTGATATTGCATTCGAGGCTAGGTCGAAAAGAGGTGATCAAGGCGTTCGAAGGCAGATTTGCGATTTGTGGATTAATACCCCGAGACACTTGGCACTCGACCTCTAGCGGTCATTTCTTCTGTTATTTTGTCGAGTTTTGGTGGATTTATGTAGGACACAACCTGTGGTCTACGAGGCAACTCTGGACTATCAGGACAGAGAGCACAACACTTACCATTTCATATGGATAACGTCCTTTCTCTTTATGAATCAGGATTAGGTAGTTTTTTAAACGACGATCCGAATATCAAGATGCGCAGAGATATGAATGAGTATTGATGAGTTTTGAGCACCAGTCTTCTACTACCCACAATGAATTGTCCGTGATACCGAGCACGTGTAAATGGTCATGATCAACATGCAAATAAATTTTATTCCATCAATTCCATTACCAGTAAAACGCGCTCTAGAGCAGTCTACTGATAATCAGCCCGATCTTCATTTGCCGTAAGTCGTACGCGTACTCAACGTACTTCGAGGACTAAGCAAATAACATCACTTCTGACTAACCATCACAGTCATGCAACTATTTCTGCAAGGCATGTTACATAGAGATTGATGTGAGGTAGCTACATGTGTTGCGACGCATCACGCTCCCCACACATTCGATTGACTTGCTATAGATAGCAGGCGACCCCTCCTTTTGGACGGTTTGGTACTCGGCGCGGAGGGTCTGATGATAAGAGCCTCTCCTCCTTATTCTGGATTAGCACCGGTGGGATGCGTCAGACTTGGACTTGGAGAGGGCAGTTACTCGGGCCAGCGCCCACTTAAAGGATTGCTTCTATCTTACTAACGGACCTCGGTCTGAAACAGATCTTCTATTTGGCAAATGGAGTACAGTATGCAGAGCTTCTCTAGATCCTGTGGTCTGGCGATTTGGAAAGGGATGACTTGGCCACTCGGCCCACGATCAGGATCGGAGATTTTTGTATGTGTGTACGTGTGTGTTCTGCAAAGTAGCAGAAATCCGGGACTACCGAGCTTGCGAGTGCGAAAGGGAAGGGCCAAACTTGATTTTCGAAACTAACCCTAATACCGAGCTTACCAACGGGGGGTTTGCGAATATAACGTAAGACCGCTTCCTTAGGTCGCCAAGTATTTGCGCGACTAATTAGGTAGCAACGGGCATCAGAACTTTATCTCATACAGATCGAATGCCGGAGGTAAGCAAAGCTGAGGGTCGGATAGTAAGCTGGAAGATCCTTGGCTGCGTTTATGCCGGACGGAGGAGCTACGCCCGCTGCGTAGGTAATGGAACCTCGGCGGCCAATCCGAAAGATGGCCTGGATCGTCGGATCGTGGCGAGCTCTCGGTGCGGCTCGTAGTTGGAAAATGTGGTAGGTAAGTAGATATAATATCTGTGTGCGCTGATATTGGATGAGGTCATGCGAGAATGTGAAACTGTGTGTAAGCAATAAACTATCCTATATATTGTATGATGTTGGTGAGGATTACACAACACAGCTTCAAACTTCTTAAAGGCAACTACGTACCTAAGGTAAGCAATAAAGGTGACGTGCGGCACGGCGATTCGGCGAGCACCGGTCAGCAGCCAACCTCCATCCTTTCCTCAGGTGAGCTGTTTCATGGTTGCACCTAGGTATGTATGCAAGGTAAGTCCGTCGCCACGACCGTGGTCCTGGACGGGCCGCTGGCAAATATCGTCACGGGTAAAGTGAGACATGCATAATGTGTGTAAGTTAATATATTGGCATGTTAGACAAACGATCCCTACCAGCAGTCTAGCTACTACGTAATAATGATGTTGCCGCATCGCATCTGGCAATTCGGTGCAGGCGACGGAGGCGCGGAGGAGGTCGGCAGGATCTGGGCTGTTTCTGATCCTCGATCCCATGAATCCTTTGGGCTATATATTCAGCTTGAGCCAGCTGAATCCGACCAACTCCGAACTGGATTCGAAACGGTACAGTCTAGGCGCGGACCCAGATGGCATATAAATCATGCCCAAGCCCCCAGTTGGTTCCAACTAGATCTGTTTCCTGATATATCGAATACCAAGAACCATCTCCAGCTTCCCCAGGAAATGTCTTACGCAGCCTGCTGCTGCTGCCATACCTAGCATCGCATTCATGGTTGAGTGTGAGCTAGTGTATTGCTACCCATGGCTTAACTGCTTGCTAGCAATATCAGAAAGGGCAAAGCTCTTTGACCCAGTGTCCGGGTAGGCATAAAATGCAATGTTTCTAGAAAAGGGTGAAGAAGCGGGAATCATGTGATGAAAATTAAAGGACAAGTAAAGGGACAGCGATGATGCTCTATAAAAAGATACCGTCCATTAAAATCCACTAGAGCCCACTGAAGCCCGCTAAAAAGATTGGATCGACTGGGAAGTTTCGATCAATTAAAGCCGGCAACCAGCGTACCCCTGAAAGCCCCCTAAAGTTACTTGGGTACATCACGATTGACGTATTTTCCAACTGCATTCCAACTTTTTTTTTCTTGGCTCCATCAGTGAGTGCTTCGTCCAACTCCCGTCACCACCGCCGTCACCGACAAGAAATGAACAAATGAACAACGATACACGAGTTAGTCGTACAAGCACGAACGACAGCACAGAGCGTATGTGCCGATCTTACCGACACTCCATATCGGAACCGCCTCCGTAAATTTTACCTTACCTATCCCTAGTCATCGGGTCTTAGGTAATCTTTACGGCAGACAAGACGAAACGAGAGAACACCAGACGAATGTTGCCATCTTGAATCCTCCCCCCCTTCCCCCCTTGCTCCCCTCCCCGCCCGAAAGCAAATGCCGCGCTTGCCCGCGCTCTTCCGCCTGCCCTCGAAGCTGCGGCGGCGGGCCCGACGCCGGAGGATGACGACCCTACTCTTCCTGGTCCTCGCCCTCTCCTTACTCCTCGTGCCCTTCTACATCGTCTACAAGCCGCCGCGGTCGCTGATCCGGCACTTCGCGCGGCGGTGGCCGGACGTGTTGTGGGAGGTTGAGACGGACAAGAAAGTAGTCGCCCTCACCATCGACGACGCGCCGTCCGAGCACACGCAGGAGATCCTCGCCGTGCTCAACGGCCACGAGGCGACGGCCACCTTCTTCGTCATCGGCGGCCAGGTGCCCGGGCGCGAGGAGACGCTGGCGGACATCGTGCGCAGCGGCAGCGAGCTCGGCAACCACGCGATGCACGACGAGCCGTCGCGCGCGCTGCCGGACGACGAGCTGACGGCCCAGATCGAGGCCGTGCGCGACCGCATCCGCGACGCCTACGCCACGGCCAACCTCGACCCGAACCCGCGCATGCCGCCGCAGTACTTCCGCCCGGGCTCCGGCTTCTTCAGCGACCGCATGCGCCGCCTCGTCGACAAGCTGGGCTACCGCCTCGTCCTCGGCAGCGTATACCCGCACGACCCGCAGATCAGCTGGCCCTGGCTCAACGCGCGACACGTGCTGAGCATGGTGCGGCCCGGCGCTATTATTATATGCCACGACCGGAGGGGCTGGACGGCGCCGATGCTGAGGAAGGTCCTGAAGCAGCTGAAGAAGGACGGTTACCGCGTGATGAGCTTGACGGAGATGTTGGAGGAGACGCGGCAGCGATAGATGTCGTGCTGCGGTGGTTTAGGAAATGTGGTTACGAATCCCATAGCAATACTACTACTACTAATAAGGGGCGGGTTATGGTAGGGCACCTGACCGTCTTCCATGCATTCTGGGTTAGATATAGGAGCACTAGACGGCGTAATAATGGAGTTTGTACTTAGGTATGTCACGGGCATTGGATGGCTAATAGTACCCATGTATGGCACTGTATATAAAGATCTTAATTATAAATGATGAATGAAACTAGATGAATTGTCTTGGTTTAAGAGACGTAATGGGAGAGACAAGAGTAGAACGATAGACCTTGTAGGTTCTATAGATGTCTGAGCTATGAGTTGAATGAGACTAACCCTATAATTACTAATATTCTAACATAACCTATCTTCTAATATAGCCCATATCCTAATGGTAATATGTTGACATTAAGTGGGATATTGGGCTTCATCAGCTTGAGAGGACTCCTTACTTACTAGTATGAGATATTGAACCACGACCTACAAATTAGAAGCCATACGCAATTTTCACTACTCTTCTAGATTCGTTTCTTAAATTAAGTAGATATAGGAGCTATATAGCACATATGAACTACATAGATCGTTACTTTGCAATTCTAAACAATTTCATTCATGTCAAATGCTCAGGTATCTATATCAAACAACAGCACTCTATCCTCTAATTAAACCGCATACATATATGTCTAATACCCAAACTTCATGTTCATCATATGTACCATAAACCTCAGCTCACTCCACTTCAACCATCTATCGTCATCATACCCCACCCAGTATATTAGCACTCCCCGTCCCCTCACTCTTCTTCTTCTTCTCCCTCCTCAGCGCCGCGAACCCCTTAGCCAGGTCATCCCTCAAGTCCTCAAACCCCTCGATACCGATGCTGAAGCGAAGCAGTCTCGTATCGACCGTAGCATCCGTCATAGCGCGCCACTCGATCAAGCTCTCCACGCCACCAAGGCTAGTCGCGTGATGGAACAATTCCAGCTTACTCGGCAGCCTACGCGCGTCGTCCTCGTCGCGCATGTAGACCGCGAATACCGGGCCGAACCCATTCGGCATCTGCTTCTTCAACCACCCTTGCTCCAGGTCCTCTTTCTGCAAGCTCGCGTGCCGGACCTCGAGGACCAAATCATTCGCCTCCCCGCCCTCTGCCGCCTGGTCCGCGAGCCACCTTACCAGCTCCTCCGCGTCGCGGCTCTGCTTGCGCACGCGGATCTCCAGGGTCCGCAGACTGCGCACGCCGAGCCAGCCCTCGAAGCTGCCCATCACGGACCCGAGCACGAGCCTCTCGGCCCTCAGCTTCTCGACGCAGTCCTCGTGTTTAGGGTGCACGGCCAGCACGCCGGCGAGCATGTCGCTGTGGCCGCCGAAGTACTTCGTGCCGCTGTGCATGACGATGTCGGCGCCCAGATCGAACGGATCCATCAGCGGCGGCGGCGCGAACGTCGCGTCCACGCTGAGCCAGCACCCGGCCTTCCTTGCTCTTTCCGCGAAACTCCGTAAATCCCGCGCCTCGCCCGTCGGGTTCAGCGGCGTCTCGACGTGTACGACGTCGCCGGGCCGCAGCTCCGTCTCGAAGTCGGCCGAGAGCGGGACCGTCTGTAGGCCTGTGAGCTTCGACAGCAGCGCGATCACGCCGTGGCACCCGTGGTACCCCTCGCCGATGGCCACGCGCTTCGGGTTCAGGAACACGAGCATCGCGTGGAAGGCCGAGAGCCCGGAGCTGTAGCTCAGCGACGGGCCCTTGAGGATCGACGTCAGGATCGCTTCGAAGCGCGTCGAGTTCGGCGCGCTGTCGCGCGAGTACACGTGCGAGTCGTATTGGTTGACGGGCTGTGAGGAGAAGGTTAGCTAGATATCCTTCTATTTTGTGTATGTTGTTTTTTTTGCCACTTTTCCTGTCTACCTAGGGAGGATAGGTGTGGCAAAAGAGAGTAAGCGGTAGAAGACCGGATAGAGTAGAATTGTTGGAAGGGGGGAGAAAGGAGGCTTACGTTGATATTAACCCATCGCTTGAGCTCGTCCGGGTTCCTGCTATACCGGAATGTGGTCGAGACGTGCATAGGCGGGGCAACGGCTTGGTGGGAGTTGAGGAAGTCGTCGGCGTGAATCGTCTGCGCTGATATCGAGAGATGATGTAGCCTGGATGCTAACTCTCTTGCTGTCGTCGGTTTGCCATTTTCGGTAGCCACGACGGGTTCCTCGTGAGCCACGCCATTGACAAGCTCTGGCTGAGCGGGAACTCCATTACTCTCTCCGTCCGCCATGATCTGTGTTCTTCCGATTTCCTGCTCCGGGGATCCGTTCGTCTATTCTACCTTAGTAAAGAAATCTGGCTGATCTCCCTGTTGAACAGACTCGCTAGTTTATCATCTGGATATGTAAGTAATTAAATAGAAGAAATAGATACGAGAAGCTAAACAAGTCGGATATATAGTAACACCTAAGTATATCTAGAAGATAGAAATAGGCTCAACGGAGAAGGTCAATACTTAGATCTCCACTAATACTACCTGACTATCCACCTATTACGGCGGCGGGGTAAAATAGCTTCTTTCTGAGTCGCCGATCTATTAGTAGCTCTCGGACGAGAGCGAGTGGCTTAGTGACCTTTAAAAGCTTTTATAAGGGCCGGTTCTATCTTGTCGTGAGATACGCAATTGTTACGCTATCAATGAGCGAATAGGGGCAAACTTCGCTGGAACATATGGATAACGATGGAGAACGATGGAGTCCGGATGTCAGTTCCCACTCCGTTATCGGGAGTCCGTGCCGTTTATAATCTCGGCGGTACGGAGTCAGATGGTCGAATGGGAGGCTCTAGCACTAGCGCAGGTAAGTATTGTGTGAATTGTAGGTATTATTAAGTCTTCCATTCTCTGCGAATCCCCTCTTCTCCCCACCCACATCACACATGCCATTATATGCGTACGCCCTTCCGACGACATGTACCATGATTTCACCCCTTTTCTGTACCTCGCTACTTTTTTTGTACGCCGTCGCTCAACAGAAATTTCGTTGTAGATAACGAGTTATAAACAAGGACCGGGTTTGATATCGAAACATCGTTTACCGTGAGATATGAGTGATCAGATCCTTAAGCGCCTTGCTAGTCCCATCCGCAAAATGACAAACCGCCTCGCTTGTTATTCCCAATTATAGTCCAGGCCGAACAAAAGGAGGTCGACTCTCTATACATCAAATCCTATACAGCAACTCAAGAAAATTCGTTACACGTGATTATATATGATTGACAGTAGACATGCTCTAGAATCAAGTTCGCCTGGACGTTGACGAGCCAGGACTTGGTTTCCTCGAGCCGCCCACTACCTCTGCAGTACTCCCGAGTAGGTCCATCCTTTGATCGGGATCAACCCTACTAATGTTGTGATGATTGACGTGGCCGTAGCTCGTGGGCCTATCTTCAGTATCAGTAGATGAGGGCATCTGATTAGAACCTTCCGTCTCTGCTGTCGATGATACCGAAAGGCGCTTCTGTGAGTTGCTTCGGTCAAAAGGCAGTCTCGCCGACGTACCCCCCGGGCGCATTGTAGATTCTGATTGAGTCTGCGACGGTGGAATCTCTATAGACGGCACGGTTTCAAGTCGCCTTCCACCTAATGGATCCACGCTTGAATTCCGTTTTGAGCTCTTTCTAGGTACCTCGGGCACTGCCGGCACATCTCCGGCTTCCGTCGGTGCCTTTACCGTTCTCTGTGATGCCTGTCTACTCGCTTTCGAGGGCAACCTACTAGGGACCTTGAAGCTCGAACCGGTATCGAAGTCGGGTAGAAGTGGTGGGTCTTTAGATACTTTCCTGAACTCCACAAGGTCTAAAGAGTCGTCTGATCGAGCTGCTTCGCCGTCTTCATCCAATAACTCGCCTTGGGCGCTGTCTTCGACGACACGCTTGCTCTTCCTCGACCTTGGCGTATCATCCTCATCATCGCTTTCTATGGGCCCATTACGCACTACACCCATAGCTACGGGAATACCCTCTGGTGGATCATCGCTAAATTCGCCGCCTCTTGCCTTCATCGCGGGCGGCATCCTAGCACTTCTGACTACCTCGAAGCCCTTCCCCTTTTCCTTAGTCTTCCCGCCAAACAGACGTTTAAGCCATCCTGTAGCATTTGCCACCGGGCTGGTAGGATCTGCTGGTCCTGTGCCTAGTCTGCGACCTGCTCCCTCGGAGTTTAATGCTGGACCGCGCACACCGTAGTAAAAATCAACCTCGCGGGTCGAGTAATCTGTTCTCGGAGCGAAGACTGGTATGTATGGTGCAGGCGCCGGGGGTGGATTTATTCTTCCTGGAGGAGGTGCATTGTCCTCCCCATCGGTGAGCTGCCGTTCGGGCTGGCTCAGTCGGTGGTTTGACAAGTCGACACTACCTAAGGAACCGCGGGTCCGATTTGGTGAAGACGAACCGTCATCGATGGTTGCTCGGCGAGCACGTGGAGGGCGGTAGTAGGGATCTGCTGTAGGTTGGGGACGAGTTGCCTGTCCTGGGGAGGGTAGGAAGGAGAAGGTACTAGCATCTCCAGGGGTTGTCGTCGTCGGAGTAAACGCGCCACCACTACCTAGCGGAATCGAGTATGTATCTAGACTACGGGCGTCCAGAGCGCTAGAACTCCTCTGGTTTGGCCCAATAATGATTCCCATACTGCCAGCCGATTCACTTCTTACGCGACCATACCCTCTCTTAGTTGCGATTTCGGAGTTTAACATAGCAGTGCTACTAAGTTGGCTTTGTCGAGATGGGCCACCGCGTCGGTCCACACGCCTCGAGAGTTGACGAGCGCCAAAAATCTTGGACAATCCGCCCCTAGTCTGACCGTCGATGTCGTCTCCTCCGGCGCCCAACAGACGCGCGATTACTTCGATGATCGTCTGTAACGCGTTTAGGAAGAAGCCGAAAACGAGAACACAGGCGTGTATCAATAAGATCGCATAGCCAATCCATCCCTTTTGGCCTTCCGAAATCCCCAAACTTGGCGTGAATGCGACCATTAATATAACGGACACAAAACGGACTATCGAGAATCCGGTATGGTAAGCATTCATCGAGGTAGGCGAATGAAAAGGCCGGAATGCATGAAGCGTTAGTATTTGAATCACCTCGCACACGGCTAATATCACTATTTGTGCGGTACCAGACGGCTGCACGGCGCCAATCGCAATGCCGCGCATAATTGTTAATATGATCGGAATTAGCGCAAAGGCAGCAGCTTCGTCGGAATATGTATTGTAAAGGGGGCCATAAAGAAGAACTGTCGACAAATCATCAAACAGATGAGACCTTGGTTTGGTATTGGCAATGATATGCATAAGCCATATCGCAAATCCAATGATGACAACCAGAGTGAGGGCGGCCAGAGCTGTAAGGTAGCCCGCAGACCGGGTTGAGACCACCAGCTGGAAGGTAGAGAGCGCGACGATAGGTAGTAGAAAATAGCCGAAGACGAGACGAATAACATTGCCGGCCGAAAAAGGTATGTTCTTAGCTCGAAGGTCTTCCTCTGGAACACGGCTGATGTATCGTAGGAGCCATCGCAAAAAGAAGCCTACTTGGATCAAGAGAAGCACGGCACCAATGATAACAAGCAGCCATACCATCATCCCAGCCCAGATGTCTTGAACCTCACTCATCCCATCTAACTGTGCAGTAATTTCGAGACCGTATTTGCCATTCGTGTAATAGATACCGTCGACAATATTTTGCCACGGCTTTGCGCCGGTCACGAAAGTCTCGTTAAACATCAACGAGGACCACGAGACTTGGCTGGCGACTGGCTGGTAGAACCCAGGATATTCCAGAGTGAGACTCCCAGTTAAAACAATGAACTGGATATACTGGAGACAATCTCCAAAACCTGGGGTAACTAGACGTAAAAGGTCTGGATCTCTTCCATAATTAGACGTCCAATGGAAGACGTCACTAGTACCCCATGGACTGGAGATTGCTGAGAAGACTGTCGCAAATCCCACTAAGATTAGAACAAATAAGGGGATGAATTTGAGAGGCCACGCGATCCCTCCGAGGTCTGGCGTGACGATTGCAGATACACATCCGATCGTGGTCTTCGCCGCATCTCCGTACCAAATAATAAAGGTCGGAGCGAACGACGTGAATGCGTATGTCGAAGAAAAGTCATTCGAAATGTTGAACGAAGAAAGACCATCAGTCGAGTTCCTACGTAGATTATAGATATTAGTATGATATGGCAAGAAATGGTAAGCCCTCTTTTCGTATTCCCAGGAGGGGGGAAACCTACGCAGATATGTTACTAAACACGGGGCCAAGCGGACATGTTCCATTAATGAGGTTATCGCAGAAATTCACGTTCGAAACGAAAGGCTCGTATGTTAGGACATCGACTTTGCTGTGTAAAGTAGTCACTTTGCGCTGACTGGCCGGCACACTCTGATCAGGCTCATTTTGTATTTTCCCATTGAGTACCTTAGTTGGGTCGTTCCAATCCGAAGAATTCCATGCCGGCAGTGCATCGCTGCCAGCGCGGCCCGTCACATTCCCCCAAACAGTGACCATCAAGTTATGAGTCGGGTTCTGAGTATCGAATACGGCATCGACGTGCAAGGGAACCCATTGGAGCTGGGCTTCTCCCTCCGGTTGATTAGAGTAGATGTAGTTGCTGTCTAGACAGTTGTCGAACGCCGGCAACATTACGGCCGAAGCGGTACGAATCCAAGTACATGCTACCAAAGAACGCAATATGATACTAGCAGGAGACGAATAGTTTACACGTCGTTTGGCTGGGACGAAGGCAGAAGACGACGGCCAACGCCCTCCTTGCTTGGATCCACAAGCACCTGTCATCTTTTCGGGCGAAACACTATCTGTTGTATACGCATCTTGAGTCTCGTCAGGCTCGACGTCGGCGTAGCTCGAGTAAGGCGTAGGAGTACTGGGAACTCTCGAGGTATAACTTCGCATCGTTCGTTATCGGCGAGTATTTACCAGGAGTGTTTCGTCCAGGGCTTAATGCGGAATGATCTAATACCACTAAGGCCGCATCATGCTAGAACGAAGAGCAGTTTCGTCAGGCTAGTCGACTGACTTCTGCAACTTAACAATTAAAGGAGGGAGCGCGCGCGACGGAGGACTTTGCTAGACGTGGTCGGGATGGCTGTGTTTCCTAAAAACCGGAATTCGATGGGTTTGCGGACGGGTAGGTGAAGAAAAGAATTTAGATTATAGATACGAGTAGAAAATAACAAGATGATGCGAGAAGATTGGGGGAAGGAGCTGTAGATCGGATATCGGGCAGCTGGGGCGTTGATTGTGGCAGTGCGCCGTTCGGTTTATGGTGGTGATTATGATGTTACCAAATCTAGCGTATGAAATACATTCAAAGATGTACCGCTCGTCTAACAATCAAATCGAAGGATCCCTGCTTGGTGGATTGTTGGCTTGCTTACTGCTCGAGCCAGGGCTTTTGATTCGAGGGTTTGCTGGTTACGGTTATGTTCATTAATAGAAATGCCAAAATGACAGAATATCAAAAGCGAGAGTGGTAAGAAGTAGAGAAACGGTGATAGTGACTGTGACAACGATAGAAGAGTTGTGTTATCAACAACAGGTTTTATTATTATGTACTTGCCAATATGGAAATTGGGATGAAAATCAGAACAAAGAAAAAAAAGTTCGTCAAGAGCGGAGGAGAAAGTCCAGGGGGACCCTTGAAGCCGTCTTAAACGCCAACGCATCTTGCTACATTAGCGCCTAAGACTTAAAATACGTACCTCGTACCTCGTAAGGAGATTTCAATATGCTGTAATGAAAATGGTAGAAGCTGACGGATCGCCCTATCTTTTCAGCGATCCTAAAAATTGCTGCCGTGACAAAGGAGATAGAATATGAAAGAAGCCACCGATGCTATATTAGTGGGTGATTTATAGCTATTATATCGAACGACACATCTATGCGATAATTCATGCTCTTGATCAATCATTAACCAATCACAGGCGATGACGAGAGCAATGAAGTCATTACAGTTCGACCGCTACCACCTGCTAGAATAAGAGAAGACGAAAGGCAGGTATAATTGACGATAGTCCCTGAAATCCCAAGAGTATGGGCAAACTCTCTACTAGGCAAACCTTCTTTTCCTTTCGTCCCTTCTCAGACTCCCCTAGCTAGGGGTACCTACTTCCTGCTATGTAAGGAGCATAAGGAGCTATCCCATGCATCATGTGAGAACCAAGCCGTCACACAGATGCGGAGACCACGGTACTTATTAGTTTGTAGTACAACACCGAAGCTTCTCTTCATTCAATTGTTCTCGAGCCAAAAATTGAAGTCTTGTCCAACTCGGTATCTCTTATATACACCATTGCATCGGGTATTACGCGACAATATCAATTAAGTAACAAGCTCTACCAATGATATAACCGTTACAACCCATTTTTGTAATGGACCCCCTTTTATAATTTTATCCCACCACCACCTTTAAGATTTAAATAATAATAATTTAATTAATTAATATATAATTAAATTAAAAAAAATATTTATTTTTTCTTTTATTATTTAATTTTTAATTTATTTATTTTAATAATAATATAATTTTTTATTAATTTATTAAATAAAAATTTATTAAATAATTTTTTTTTAATTAAATATTTTTAATTTTTAATAAATTAATAAATATTTTATTTAAATTAAAATAAATATTTTAATATATATTAAAAATAAATTAATTTAATTACGTTTTTAAATTTTAATTAATTATTTAAAAAATAATAATAATTAAAATTTAAAATATAAATTTTTTTTTAATTTTAATAATTAAATTATAAATATTATAATTTATTTTTATTTTATTTTTTTTAATATTTTTTAATTATTTAATAATATTATTAAGTTTTTTAAAAATTTTTTAAATATTTTTTAATAATTTATAAAAAAAAGTTTTAAAAATTAATTATTTTTTTTTTATTTTTTTTTCTTTTCGTTTAATTAATATTTTTAAAAAATTTAAAAATTATAAATTTAATTTTCGTTATTTAATTAATATATTTATAATTAAAAAAATTTTTTTATTAATTTTAATATAAATTTATAACATTTATTATTTATAAATTAATATTATAATTAAATATAAAATTTAAAATTTTATTTTTTATTTAAAATAAATTTTTTTAAAAAAAAAATATTAACGTTTAAAAATTATATTAAATTATTAATATAAATAAAAAAATAAATAAAAATTATTTTATTCGTATAAATTAATTATATAAATTTAAAATTAATATAAAAAAAATAATTATTAAAAATTAATAATTTATTTATTTTAGTTAATTTAAATTAAGTTTTAAAAAATTAGTTACATTTAACCACGTTACGCGTGGTTTACTTAGCCCGTACCATTGTATTTATAAAACAAGCGTAGCGTTCTTTAAAATTTAATTTAAATTAATTTAGTTTAAAAACGGTTCCATTAATATAAAATTAACTTATTTTCGAATATAAAATTTTATATTATTTAATAACCACGTATAAAGTTTTTTATAAAATATATTTCGGGGTTAATAAAATGGTTTTTAAAGTTTTTTAATTATTTTAAGTTTTATTTAAACGTAATTTAAAAATATTTTAAACTTAAACGAAAAAAAATCCACGTGTAAATCGGTAGTAAAAACCACACCTATTTACTTTAAAGCCACGATATCATAACTAACGGTCGGATTAATTCGAAACTTAATAATAAATTAAATAATTAATAACATTACGTTTAAAGCCTTTTATATATTCATTATTTCGAACCGTTATTATATAAAAACTTTATTAAAACTCACTTAATAAAAATTAACTTAAAATAGCTTTAATAATTTTAAAAATAAGTTTAAAAATAAATTAATAATTATTATTTATATAAAAAAAATTATTTATTTAAAAAATAATTTAAATTTTTATTTTTAAACGGTATATTTAAATATTAATTAAATAAACGCGCTTACGCGTTTACGCGTTTTAATTAATAAAAAAATTCGGTTACACCGCGATTTAAGCGTATTAATTAAATTAATTATATTTTATTAATATAAATAATAAAACTTATATATTTAAATCGTAATATAATTAAATTTTTTTAATAATTAAAATATTAATAATTTTAAAAAATAAAAATAAAAATAAAAATAAAAGTTTATTAATAAAAGGAAAAAACGATTAAATTAATTTAAATTAATAACATGTTTTTAATGTTTTAAAGGAATCTTATGATTTAATTAATTAAAACTTATTATAATTAAAAAAATATAACTAAAAACGGGCTCATTAATTTAAATTCGCTAAAATAATAATTTATATTAATTATTTTTAAATTTAATTTTAATTAAAAATATTTATTTTAATTAATAAATTTTTATTTTATTATTAATTTAATTATTTTTAATAATTATAAATTTTTATTTAATTATTTTTTAATTAAATTATTATATTTAAAATTTTTTATTTTTATAAATAATAATAAAAATTTTTTAATATTTAATTTTAAATATATATTTTATTATTATTATTTATAAAATAATTATTAAATTTATTATTTTAACGTAATATTTTTTAATAATTTTAAATATTAAACCACCGTTTATTTTTTTTTTTAAAACTTAATTTCGTTAATATTATATTTATTTAAAAATAATATATTATAATATTTATATATACCGTGTAAATAAAAATAAAACGTTTAAATTTTTTTTTTTTATTTATATATATATAATTAATATTTATAAATTTTTTTATTATTTATATAATTTTCGTATTTCGTTTTAAAAATTTATTTATTTATTTAACTTTAAATTTTTTAATTTTTTTTTTAATAATTAAAATAAATTATATAAAAAAAAATAATAACGTAATTAAAAACTTTCTTATAAATTTATTTATTTATAATTTAATTAATTATTTTTTCTTTTTATTTAAAAATTAATTTTTATAAATATATTATTTTTTTTAATATAATTAAATTTTATAAAATTATTATAAAAAAATAAAAAAAATAAAATTATATTTTATAATTATTATTATAATTAATAAATTTTTTATACATTTATTATAATATATATAATACGCTACTTATAATTTCTTTTATTTATTATTTTTAATAATTTAATTAAAAGTTTAATATTATAATAAAAAAAATCTAAAATAAGTAATAACAATATAAACATTGTAAAAGGAAATCCATTACAAAAGTAGGTTGTGACGGTTAAGTGGTTGTATCACAACTACACGACGTCTCGAACAACTTTCCCGATTCTAATGAGTTGTTGTATATTCGTCCTACTTTATCATCTACTATGTGTGTACACAACGGAGCTCACAAAACCCAATCTTCCATGACACGGGTAGCCGATCTTGTTCCTTTCATTATTTTGTGAGAAAGATAGTCCTATTTGTATGCTATTTCTAGTATCGTGTCCGTATAGCGCTGGGTCCAGGAATGCCGGTCTGCTCAGCTACAGCAGAAGGGGTTAAGGAGAGCACCAACAGGTTGCGCCAATGGCTAGTTAGCTGTGGCGCGCTCGTGTCAACTGATTCCGTCGCAGCGTCGCGAGCAAGGAATCTAGTTCGGACGCCCTGCCATCAGCCGTTGAGGGAAATGTTCCGAACGAGGCACGGTAGAGCTTCTCGTTGGACTAAATCCAATACGGGTCTTACGGGGTCTGACGGCGGGGCCACACAGCTTCACGAGCCAGTCGTTGTGCAGCGCATCCCACTGACAACTAGTCCGCGGTCCATCTCGGTCTTGGCTTTTATGCCATAGTGAGATGGAATTAGAATGGGAACCGAACGCGAGAATTCGCATCGCCCTTAGCATCAGGGACCTCGCGCGCGCCCAAGACACGTTAAGATAGATTTTGTTTGTTCTTCGTCCGTTCTTCGCGCAAATGACAATGGCACTCCCACATCCCATTTTCGTCGTCCCGGCTGTTTTAGGCACATCCCGCAACAGCGGAGCCGCCGATCTTAAGTACCGCCCGCATCCCATATAATCCGAAACGCGTCATTGCATGCAATTCCTTATGCGATACGAGGCCCTGGAGGCGGAAGCCTGCCTGAGGCTTGAGCAAATCGAGATCGACGCCTGGGGTCTAGACGTGGCACAGCATTAGCGTTGCCGAGAAAAAGCAGGTTCTCTTCGCTGTATGCCGACTTCACCTCGTTAAAACTAGGTGGGTTTGTCCGTTAGTACTGCCGTCAAAACACCACCTACTAGGTATATGTATCATAGGGCTGTCTCTTGGAGGGGGAATCGAAGGTCTCAGGTCGGTTCACCGCTTAGTGAGCATCTGGGCTCCAAGTTTTGTTTCTAACGCATCCCTTCAGAAGAGAGTCTCACCAGTCTGGCATTTTGCGCCATAGCCACGCGTTTATGTACCAATAACGAGAAGTCTGACACTAGGAGTTCATCGGCAAAACACGTGGCGACGAACTTAAGCCATCTTTTCTCGAGTTGCTTTTTATTCCATCCCGCCGGGCTCATAGTCCTTGCTTGTCTAGTCAAGTTTTTAACAGCCAAATTTAGATTTTTACGTCATGGTAGCTTCACAAGACAAGCTGCGCAAACATATCGACTTGATTTCACTTTGCCTCTGGGTGAGTATGTTGGTTTTACGAGATATTGATCCTGAAAGTCAATACAACTCGGGTAGATGGATATAACAAATGAAGCCGAAGTTTCTATCGGACCTCGGTGATCTCACCAAAGGAATAATCTTCGATATCTCAACAAAACCAGATATACAAGCTCAATCATATGCCAAAGATGTCAATCGGAGTCAATCAACTCAAACCGTGCGGCCCGTCGTCCCGAACCTAACTCCCCTGAGGGCTGCAAGGTGCTTAACTTTATCCCCTAGAATAAAATACATGTTAATAACAACTCCTCCGAAGCCTACCATCTACTAATTCGACTTTACGCATACATAAGATGTATTGTGACATTAAGATGTGTCACCAAAAGGATACAAATCTTATCTCCTGCTGGCGCCTCTTTGAAGACACTAAGTATGAAGCGCCGCTGCCTGAACCCCAGATCAAATTAATTTATAAGAACTCCTAGGTAGAAGATGTATAGTAAACCATCGTCTTCCCCTTTATAATTCAATAGGTAATCTTATCTATTCAGAATCCTTTAAGTGGTTGATAGATTATCAACAAGCACAATGCCTCACTATGACTGGCCAAAAGCCCCTTTCCTCTATAGCCAGCTCCTTATGGGATATTGTTTATCATCGCTCTTCTCATAGGCCCCCGGGTCTTCATTGCCCCTCCTCCAGAGACTTAATATGAGCTTGATAATGCCCACTCGATATTCTTTACCTCCAAGGCAAACAATTTAGGCTGGGGTGTTCATAGAACCTATCTAGACACACTCGGGTTCTTAAGGCTTTACGGGTATTATTATCAGAGTCCACATTTAGGTATCATATTTGTGTATTACTTCTAGTTCGCCATCATTTACATGAAAGCCCCCTTCAAAGCTACGTGACAAACGAAGATAAATCCACATGATCTTCCCCCATATACATAGCAATCATTGAAGCGTCTGGTACTATAGCTCGTCATATATAGCTCAAGTTAGTGTCAGCTCGATTCTCCCATGTTCGCTTTCTCCTAGCAAGAAACAATCAGCCGATAAGAGGATCATTAGAACGCCAATTAGCACCCAGTTCCCCTTCTTATGCTCAAGCAACAACTGCGGCGCCTTTTCCTTTCAGTAAAGAACAGAGGCCAATCTCAAGCTCTGCTTCCTCGCCATCAGCCATACCGCGGCGCCCCTGAAGCAGCGACATTAAGCGATCTTCGACTGTGTGGCCTGTGTCAAGGTCCATTTCGAGACCATTCTTAACGGCCCCTCTTTCCATGTATTTATCGTAAGCCACGCCTCCCTTCATAGAGGTGCGCAAAGCTTCGATACTCAACGCCTCGACCAAAACCATAAAATGCATCTGGTTATCAGATGGAACATTCTCCAGCGGCAAGAGAGAACTTTTCATTCGCCTGGGTTTCTTCGGAATTGCGCTGTTTTCCTGTGCAGTCATCGACTTCTGTCGACGCAAGAGATACGCTCTGGGATCATCATGAGGCAGGGTCGTTTTGATCGGCTCTTTGATGTTCGAACTGCTTCCTGCTTGGGCATGATCAAGATTTGACTGGGTAAATGGTTGACGTTGCGCACCGGCTTTTGCGCGTATATGGGCCTCGTAAGATTTATGGTTAGAGCTGTGACTGTCTTTCTCCTGAGAAATTTGATGGTTGAGGCTTCGTCTTGCTGCTGCTAGCATCTTCTGAAGGCCATTCTCGCTATTGTGTCCCCGATCTTGTAGATCTAGATGATCTACCTCGACAATGTCCTCCTCAGGTCGTCGCTTCTTAGATTTCCTTGCAGCACCCTTAAAGGATATTTGAGTTTGCTTCATGCTCTCCGAGGCTCGCTCTGGTGCATTGTTAAGCGAGAGATCGCTATTAGGTATTGTTCTCTCCGCGGATGAAGGTGGCGACCATGGTGCATAATCACGACGACGTCGTGACATAAGAGGAGCGGACATATTGGCGCTATACGTTGCTTTCCGCGAAGCTATCTCAGGCGGGCTTGACATTGGGCTATGATACGGGCCACCTGGTACTTTAGGTCGAAATTGACGGGAACCACCTTGCGGAAACAAGCGTTGCTGGCTTAGTGGGACATCAAGATCCCGAGGTACTGCTCTTGTGTGGCGAAGGATAGGGGGATCTGGGGTCATTGATGGTTCTAATACAGGTAACGATGAGCTATCCACATCTGCCAAATCCCTAAAAGTCTGTTCCTTACTCCTGTTAGGCGCATTTGCCTTAGCAATGGCCCATGGATTTACATCTTGTAGAGTCGAGTATTCGACGGCATCAGCCCCGTCTTTGTGTGATTGGGAAGGCTGTGTACGTTTTTTGTTAGGATAATTATGGTTGTATTCGTTAAAATCTGTGGACATGTCGACTTGACATCGAGTAGATCTGGTATTTGGCGATATTACCTTGGATCTCGGTACCCCTGTAGATATGGAGTCGTTCTGGGTAGTTAACATTTGCGTATTTATTGGCGTGAAACCGATATTTATAGGATCAGATGCCTCTTGTAGGGCTTCTTGTGAGTGTATAGACAGAGGTTGATGGTCTATGATTGACTCTTGTTTAGATTGAGCTGAAAATGTCGGCTGTGACGTTGTATGGTCTCGCACCTGCAACGGGATACTTCCCCTATTGCCTGCTTGAGGGCGGCACTGCCCCTGTAGCTCAGTGAATGATGAATCTTGGGTTGCTGGCCCATCCCTTTTGTCTAACGTAGAGCTATGCTCTACCGAATTGCTGAGTGTAGACATCACATACACTTCCTTACACAAGTCCCTAAATCCATCAAGCACTACATTTTCGTTGGAAAACAAGACGTCATCTTTAGATGGCTCAACATTTGCATCATAGCTCCCAGGAGGACACTTGATATTTAGCCGAATGAAGCAGTCCCTTGGTACAGTAACCGAGGAACTTTGCCGGAAAGCAGTACATATCTGCTCGATGTAGATGCTTAGCAATTTCTTCATGGTACCTCCCTTACCTGTGATAGGGCGGCCGTCGACAGAGAAATACTGATGCTTTGGTGCTTTTGAAGGGTCACAATTTGGCTTGACAATAAGTGTTTCGAACACATAATTTCCACTTGATGGAGGATTAGGATTGTTCAAAGCATCACTCTGGCGCTGGCCCTGAAGCTCGTTTATCTCAAATGTCTGCTCAAAGCAATGAGTCGTAATCTCTGCCCCGAAGAGCTGTATCGCGGCTTCCTTCACACACGCTTCTGGTTTTGGCGAGTAAGACCAAGTTTGCTTTGGTGAGTGCAGGACTTTGAACGAGAGCCTGAGTTGAGGTCTTGCCATAGCATAGGAGCGAAGGACTTCGCGAATCTTATCAATCGTTTTTGCGGACTCCTTGATGGCGACTTGCTCACGAACAGGTAACTTGCCGAACAGACTTGTGATACTTACTGTAGTTCCGACCGGCGCTGACGTGGGTTGTTGTTTCAATACACCTCCTTTGCCTGGTACAATATGAAGAATAGCCGCAACGGGCTCTGAGGCGATTTTGGTGGTAACCGTGACTTGAGCCAAGGAATTTGCACTTGCTAATGCCTCCCCACGAAACCCAAGCGTCTTGACGGATTGAATCCTTAGTTCTTCGAAGCTTCTGAGTTTGCTTGTGTGACCACGTCTCCCGAGAGCGTCATAATCATCTGGATGAATACCAACACCATTGTCTCGGACCTCGATCTTCCTGACTGTATCGGCGGATGTTATGACTTCAACTGAGGACGCTTTTGCATCTATTGAATTGTCAAGTAGTTCTTTGACTAGAGTGACTGGCGTCGTAATGACTAAAGAAGAGCCCAAAAGCCGGGTTGTGGACTCTGGTAAGCGAGAAATGGAAGACATGGGGACGATTGAAGTAGGCCGAAAGAATCACAGACAGAAACAACCTTTGACATCCATAGAACTTATTAGGATATAATGACTCTGTGAAGTTGATATAGAAATCTTCTAACGAAAGTAATAGAAGCGAAGATGTTTTTGTGTTTGATGAAGAGACTGAAGGGCTCAATGGCAATGAACCCAGGTGAGCAGCAAAGGGCTCCCAGCTCCTCCCTCATGCCTTCCATTGAAAGGGCCTTGCCTTGAACAATCCTGGAGGTGTTGCCGCAACTCAAATTTCATCCAACTCACTCCTTCCTTCATTTGAAATATGAATGTATCTACCTCATACCATCCTAATAATAAAGTTGAACACAAAGTCAATCCAACTATAGGCATCTTTGGGTGACGAAGACACACAAACCTTAGGCGCCGTAAAAGGAAACTAAGACAGGCAAGGCTATCCCTGTCCGGACTTGCGTCATGCCCCTCTCCAGTTGCTGCGTTCGCTCTCCCTCAGCCCACCTCGCAAGCATGCCGCAATACGGCCTAGGAATCTCTTACATACCTACAATCCATACCTCCCACGAAGCAAGCTTCCGTCTCACCCATTTCGAAAGCGGCCTACTCCTCTCCGAGTTTCACTAACCCAGCATTCCTAAGCAACTTCACTCAACTGCCCTTCAATTGGCGAAACCGCAACCCCCTCCCGACGATCCGCTCGCTGCTCCGACATCGACTAGGTATTACCGGTATACCAGCAATCAGTAACCAGCGAGTAGACCTCTCCGGCGCGAATTTGATACCACCTCTCTCTAGACACATATATCCGAAACAGAAAACCAGAAAAAAATGGCACACTCGCTCAAGGGCCCCACGCCACAGGAGCACGACGGCAGCGGCCTGCGCATCGGCATCGTGCACGCGCGCTGGAACGCCACCATCATCGAGCCGCTGGTCAAGGGCACCAAGGACAAGCTGCTAAGCCTCGGCGTCAAGGAGTCTAACATCGTCGTGCAGTCCGTCCCCGGGTCGTGGGAGCTGCCCATCGCCGTCCAGCGGTATTTACCCCTCCTCTTCCTACCCTTTCCCCTTCCCCCTCTCTACCTAAGTACCGTAACTCATTAACGCCTCCCCCACCTCACAGCATGTACGCAGCCTCTCAGATCCAGCAATCCAGCAGCGGCGCCTCCTCGGCAGGCGACCTCCTAGGCGGGTCCACGACAGACCTATCCTCGCTGCCGACCCCGAACCCGTCGTCGACGCAGCCCTTCGACGCCATCGTCGCCGTCGGCGTGCTCATCAAGGGCGAGACCATGCACTTCGAGTACATCGCCGACGCCGTCTCGCAAGGCCTCATGCGCGTCGGCCTCGACCTCGGCGTCCCCGTCGTCTTCGGCGTCCTCACCGTCCTCGATGAGGGCCAGGCCAAGACCCGCGCCGGCCTCGGCCCCGGAAGCCATAACCACGGCGAGGACTGGGGCTCCGCCGCCGTCGAGCTGGGCGTCAAGCGCGGCGCCTGGGCCCGCGGCAAGATCGAATAAAGCAAAAGTGTATGTATGCCTACATACCTACTTGGGTACCTGGATATGGAACCAAACGCAACGTAAAAAAAAATTAAACAGAAATAAACAGAGAGGAAGGAAAATAGATAAAGAAAAGGTAGTAAAGAAAAAAAGAAAAGGAATGAAAAGTAAGGTAGGGCAAGGGTTACTTGGCTACCTAGGCACCTACTCGGATGGTCTTGTGTAAAGCTGGGCAAGGCCTCGATAAGTTCATAGGGAAGATTGATTAGCCACGCTCGCAGACTACCTGAATAACATGAACGAAAGCTACTACGCTGAACTTATGGCAGGTATATGAAAACTATTATGCTTTCCCCCGTTCATGACTTGGCGCACGTCACATAGTATCTCTTACGACTAGGTATAATACAGAGGTGGGTGGATAAAGTATTAGATTACTGGTATATAGGCTGGTCTATCATGAGTCGTCCCGCCACGAATTTCAGACGCGCCCCCAAATCCATCCCAACAATTCTCTTTCTAAGTGGCAGGTCTTTCTCTTATCCAAAAGCTGAGTCTTATCTTTCTTGCGAACCCAGATGCGCCCCTTTCCCATCACATATACGAAACTGTGATTCTGAAAATATACAATTCGAACCGTCTCCTACTTTAAGGAACCTCCAAATATTAGGCGGAAATGGTGTCGAGGGGAAAGAAAGGTTTCCTGGAATCCAAAACGACAAGGGTTAATTTTTTCCCCGTTGTTCCTTGCACATGCACCATTTTATGTAGCCAAATGTAATGCTAGATATAGCCTGGTAGAATGCACATGCGCCCTTTAGTTGATAAGCGCTCCAATATCATCCCCAAAAGTCTTCTTGGTTCGCCAAATGCTCTTTTTCTTCTCCCTCTTCGCTTTCATTGCTTCCCACCCTTGCTCATCGTCGTCATCGTCCTCCTTGTTGTTCATCGGCGACACTTTTACTTCAGCTTGGAGCTTCGAGTGTAGAGTTGGCAACGCGCCGGACATGCTAGACGTTCTTCCGTGGTCGAGCATTGTGGCACTGGAAACCGGTCGGTAACGTCCAGGTAACCCGATGTTGCTGCGCTCCGAAGGTGCAATCGAAGGCGCGTAACCTTGGCCCTGAGCGCGGATCGATGGGGCATAACCGTTCTGTGGAGGCTGGAGCCACGACGCCGAACTTGGCTGGACCATGCTCATCGTCCGCATTTGGTTATCACCTCTCGGCAAATCCAAGTTCATCCCGTTGCCCATATTATTTCCCATCATGTTGTTTCCCATCATATCTCCCATAAACGAACCCCGTGGAATTTCTCCTAGTGAACCCATTGAATGCGTCGGCGTGTGTCCTTGAGGTCGGAGAGATCCCTGCATCTGCTCTTGTCCCTGCCCTCGATCGGTCATCATTTGCATGAACTGCATCTGCATCTGCATAAACTGCTGCATTTGTTGCGACATCTGCATTTGCATTTGATCGCTCGGAGTTAGCATTTGATTAGGCATTTGGGGCATACCCATTGGATACATCATCTGAGGAGGAATGCCATTTATAGGGTCAAAGCCTCCGTTCATCCGCATTCCGTTCGCTTGGATGCTCCTCGTGTTATCAAGGGCTGGACTACCACGCCGCATTGCTCTCGAACGTTCCTCGTTAGCAATCACGCCTACTAAGCCACCGGTAGGTACCGGCGGGTTAGGGGCAGCAACACCACCTCCAAGGGCAAATGATTCTCTCGGAGGTTGGTTGATCAAACCTGCACCGAGGTATGGGTCCTGGGGTAACCTTCGAGCAAATGGCGGAAGACGACCCCCGTTGGCCCCAACACTTTCGCCCATGACAGATCCCGGTCCGCTAACATACGAAGGTTGTTGGACAGAAGCTCGCAAATTAGGGTTGGATGACATGGTAGTGAGTCGTGTCGGCGGTCGATTCTTGTTGGGAAATCCGTGTGCCGCAAGAATTGCTAGAGGCACCTCTTCATCCGACTCAGAGCCATCCGAAGGAGGAGACGGGGATACACCTTTGCTAGGCCCGTCGTTCAATACTAAGTTTGGTGCGCTTACTGACAATGAAATGCTAGGGTGAGAAGCATGACCACTCATGTTTGCGTTCGTGTTCGCGTTTGAATTCGCATTCCCGGTCTCGCCGGTCACTTTCATCATCTGTTGTCGGTAAACCGTCATATGAGCCTCTTGCTTCTTCCTCTGCTTGGCAAGTTGTCTTGTTTTCTCCCGCTCATCCTCATCGTCGTCGTAGTTATCTTCCTCCTCCTTGTCCGACTCCGGGTCGTCGTTTAATCCCATTATTTCCTCTCGAGCTTTATCTTGGCGATATTTCTCGAACTCCGCAGGAGTCATAACTTTGTTCTGCGGCTGGCTGTTCGTACGACCGTTCTGTCTCGGAACATACCTAGGGCGGCTGAGGGGTCTATCGAACATATTGTCATCATCGACCTTGGCACCGAATCGAGACGATTTAGAGTACGAGTCGGCATGGCTGGATCTCAATTCCGAAACCTCGTCTTCATCCCTCCTATACCGAGTAGAACCACCACTGGGACCCGATTCCTCGCTGGATAGGAACTGGGTGGCCGCGATCGAATCCCTCAGCAACGTCGTATCTTCGTCATCTTCGTCCGAGCGTCGCCGCTCGAGAGGAGTGGTGTGGTGTCTCGGAACGGGAGGCGGCCGTAGTTCACTAGCGGCGGGAGGAGAAGTTAAGGTTCGGCCTGAACTCAACAGCCCATCGTTCGAATGCTGACTGTTCCATGAGTGCTGCGGGGGTTCGACAGGTGCTGTGTTGTCGATATTAAGTGGAGCAGGCTGACTAACTCGGTTCGACATTAAGCCCTTTAGCGTGGCAACACTCGCACGTTTATCAAATTTAAGCATGCTGCTTAGATCACCCCCTAGATCCAACATGAAATCCCTGTCTTCAACTTTCGGAGGTGTTGCAGTACTGGTTGTCGAGGCGGTCTCAGCTCGAGAGCGACCACCACGAGGCGTCCCAGGGCTATACTCATCGGGCATCGACGGCACGGCAGGGACGGATTCCTCGGCTGGTATCGTTGGTAATGATGTCTTTTTGTTGCCAAAAGAGAAAGTCCTTCCCGCCTGCTTTAGAAAACCGCCACCATTCTTATGTGGCGGTGGAGCAGGACCCTCGGCCATCGACGTATGCTTTCTTCCAGCACTGTTGCGCCAGTCTTCTTGTTGTGTGAAGTCGGTTGAGGAGGGGGCTGTTGAGGCGTTGCTGTGACGGGAGGAGTTATCGGAGGCCGTCTTTGTAGTGTTGGAACTTCCACTGCCCCTAGGGAGGATCAGTAAAATTGCACAACGCTAGGGACTAGCCTAATATATATGCCTGCGGGCGTCTGAGACAAATGCTGTGCTAAAATCTGAGTAACCGGGGGCGTAAAATTGACCCCTAGGCCCAGGTCCGGGCGCCAACTTGGCGAACAGCTGAAGTAGCCGGTCGGTTACTTTGATGTAAAAATAGAAAAAGGAAAAGAAGATGCATGAAATATTATCTAATTCGCACGTACCGATTGTTCTTCAAACCCGCAAAAAGATTATCCTCCGCTGCAAGATCGGAATGATGGATGTTGGGCTTTGGCGCAGCCGCCGTCATCCTAGCTAACCTAGCGCCGCCATCGAAAGATTTCCCACTGCTCACTTCCGATCTCTCGAGAACCCGAAACGAATGCTCTGCTATCGGTCCATTTGGATCTTCTGCTGCGGTCGATTTCCGCCGGAAGGTGACTGGAAACCTAGGCATATAGATTGACTCGCCTGAAATTCTTCGGGTTTAACACAAACCCATAAAACGAGTTAAGATCCAGGGATTGCAGGTATCGGCTCGCTCGTGTAAGATCTCTGGTGGTATGTAAGACAACGAAGGAATTACAATGCTAGTTCGAATTGCCCGTCTCGAGGACTGCGTCGGAGCTTAAATTCTGTTAAGTATCTGAATATGACGCGAACAGGCGGGATACTGCATGGTGAGGAGAAATACAGGTCAGCCGTGTTTTGTGGAAATGTAACCAACCATCCTACTGGGTCCTGCTGTGATGGGATAGCTGAGGAACACTTGTCCCTTAGTCCCGAATGCGTAGGCAATAATGCCTTGTCGTTCGTCTCCCTCTATTTCTCCTCTCTCTCTCGGTCGGGTAGGATAATGGGATGACGGGACGAAGTTTATAAGAAAAGTCAAAGGTTTATTGCTTCGACCAACCCCAAAATATAGATAATATTCTTGTAGTAAGATCGAAACATCGAGCTACTTGCAGAAACCCCTCCACTTTTGGAGAAACCTTTGTGATCCGCCCTTCTCGGTCTACTAAATTAAGTAAATAGATAGTTGTCATCACTTACACAAATAGGAGAATTAAAGCTTGGTGGACGAGGACGGCTTGCTAGCAGAACGACGATCGCTTGCCGAGGTCGAAAGGACAGAGATAAACCTTATTTATTAATATAGTACGTAAAGCTGCAGGATAACAAGGTATGCGATGCGATGGAGAAATGCGAATCGAGGGATTGTTCAAACTAATAGGAACAGAATCGGACTGAACGACGGTACGGACAAGCAGGGTAGAAAAAGCACGTTGTTGATCACGGTAAGAACGTGGTTAGTCTTCCGAAACACGACTTGGTACTGACGTGAAGCGGCCGAGCGAAACGAAGCGATCGAGGCGACTCCGCGTTATCAAGAATCAATGAGAGTATCCAGCGGTCAAGCAATATTATGGTCCTAATCCGCAGCCTAGACGGCAATACGATTTAGGAAAAGTTTAAGGATGCTTAGAGGTGGCTGGGGGAATAAGCAAACGAATGATGAATAGGCGAAAGAATGGATAACGGAGTTGAGTGAAGGAGTTAGAAGAAAGAGAAAAAAAAATTAAAAGTTTAGGTAGGTGTGAGCGTTCAATGACGAGTGACGAGGAGGTATGGTGTATGGTGTACGGTTGTGTGGTGTCAGTCAGGCGAGGAAGAGGCAAGAGCGAGACGTTATTTTTCCTACTGCGTACGTTCTCGCCAATGCTCTGGGCAGGTACATGATTCTTTCCAATCACGGGCAAAAAAAACCTGGACCTGGAAGGCACTCTTGGCTCAACCTACCTGCATGCGTACATAGCACGGTACATACACATGCGTACCTTGGGCATTGAATGGATTGTATGGTATGGAATTGTTGTAATCCATCATGCCCATCCATACTAGACTCTATTTTTATTTAGAGAGTTCCAGTTCTATTGTGACCTGAATCTACCAGCTTCCCACATACCATAGGTACATTCAGATGCGAAATGGTACATCAGATACAAAGGGTGCTACCTCTTTTGGATAAAATCGGGCGGTCGGTGGATGACGAGTGGAGTTATCAGGGCACGCTAGCTGCATTTGATCATGCATTGCACGATCAAGTGTCCAGGTACTTGAGGTACCTTGAGATACGGGCCACGGGGCCTGCAGTTTCTTGCAATTGGCCGACGTTCTGGGCTTCGCGGCAATGGATGATGACCTGCTTGGAAGGAGCGCGCTGGAATTGTAAAGGGGGTTAACAATTTTCTGTTGGCAAAAGAACGAAAAGAATTGAACGGCCGTCGAGTCCCTTCTAACGCTCGTCTAGTCGAGGCCTAGATTTCAGGATGCCAGTTGTGTAATAACGGCTTTGAACCCGGGGAAACGGTTACATCTTGAATGCTTCACCTTGATGAATCGGACCAAGTTGAACAAGCAGCATCCTCCCCCTTTGCTCCCTTTGGTACCACATCTGCCCCATGGATATATGTACCGTACGTATTGTACAAATCATGGACGAGCTGCATATCTGTGGACACTGGGCTGATAAACCCAGTAAACCCAGGAAGAAAGGCGCTAGAATCGGCGAGGTACTGCTAGGGGTAGAGGAGCTAACTGGGAAACCAAAGGACCCTAACGGAGAACGATTTACCTTGGCAACTGCTTGGGCTATCGCTGAGATGGCATGCAATGTGTTCACCTGGGGGCAGCATGTTGTGCGGGACAGCATTCTACATTTGTAGCAGTTCACCTGCCAACCTGCCAACCTCCTTTAAAACTAGCTAAACTCGCCAGAGTACGCAGGCGCTGACGCCACAAGGAATGCATGTGTCATACGCGCACCTGGTAGAATTGTACCCGATTATTATTTCCCGGTACTGATACGGAGTAGTGACTTAAGTGTTGACTTACCTAGGAGGTAGGTAGATAGATATTTATGTTCTTCGTAAATCAATAGTGAGGCATGACGAACGAACTATAGCCGGCAATGGCAGCTTATACTGAAAATCCAATTGATTATTGAGATATTTGTGAAAAGCAAAGAAGAAAAAAAGTTGGCGAAAAAGTGCAAAAGCAGATATCGTATTGTTCCAACTTCAAACTTGTTTAGTTCGCTAATGTGACGATTTATGTAAAGGAGTTGTCAAATTTTGAACCAATCAGAGATCAGCCCCACGAACACGAGGGTTACTGTGTAGCATAATGGAAATGATTAACAGAGGCCCATAGAACAAACAAGCCTAACTCGAGCTGAAATCGAGCAGAGCCTCTAATGATTTAGTAGTAGGAAATCGATTACCCAGATTACCTACCCACCGCCCACCGCACCGCCTTAGGGCTTTATAAGAACACAATGCTGTCAATTATCTTTGCATCAATCGAACAAAAGACCCGTGGACCCATGCGAGGGAGGATCTAAAACAGTTTATGTAGTGATTGAAGTTGCAAATTGCAGTGTGTAAGCGATAAACATTGAATCCAAGGCATTCAGGCATGGGGGGGCGAAGTTAGATTTAAGTGCTGTTAACATCGTCAAATAGGTTTAACTGTCATGATCAACCTTAACTTTAGCGAAGCGAAGAAGTTGATAATAAACTTTAGGCCTATTTCGCGATGTACGCTGTACCTACCTAATCTATCCTGTACTACCTTTCGGTTGCCGTTATACCGCTCTACTAGTTGCTAGTCTTCCAGGATTACCCATCTAGCCGTTGGCGCCGTCCGAGGTACGAACCATTCGTTTGGAAAGAAGTATAGTGACATTGAACGTCGGACGGCTTTTGTCTATTCAAGAGTCCGAGCTGCCGAGTTAGCTTTTCAATGATACGGTAATCCTCAATGGAGGTACCTTAAGCCGAAGGGGCAACGTCGAACTAGCGTAAGCGTGCATATAGATCATGATGTGTACGCTGCAAAAGTATGTATTATCAAGCTTTGTCTCGGTCCGCCAAAAAGATGCCTTAAGTTCATTGATATTAAGACATATGTTCTTAACGTACTTTGTATGTATGTCACGCTCTTTTGCTCCCTTCAACCTCCCATTAAGGCAGCGCCCCTCAGCCACGGAGATGTCATGCTACCTATGCCGCAACCATCTGTCCATCTCTCGATTCAGTCTACTATGTAAGCTTGCGATAGGCATAGAGCTTGTCTTAAATTGAATCCCATCAGTCTCGGATCAAAAATTTTAACACCTCGTTTGGCGCATTACTTAAGCTGACCAAGCGCCCGGCGACGCGGCGGTTACCAGCTTGAACCCCACGTGTGAGGTCCGCATTTGACCAATACTTACGAGTACATCTTCTACAATTCGAGATACATTCCTGATCTTTAGTGATTTTGTGGAGCGGTCCCTGAGCGAGAGGGCAAGGTGTGTAGACCCGAAGACTGGGGGGAGCCATGTTTAAGTACTATGTATAAATAATCCCCTCCAGAGGCCCCGATCTTCTTCTCGTATTCGTCCAGTCAAAACCTGAAAGCCGCTTTTTTTGCCCCGGACCGCATTGTTGACTCTACCATCTCCGACTCGGATAAATATAAATATGAAGCATTGCACGGGCTGAGCGGAATACTCCATAGAAACGAACTCCACGACATGCATCGTCGATCTTCGATTCATAAGAATGGGACTTTGCCTTGGAAATTCAGTCGCTCTGAAGCTTCTAGACGTTTTACATACGTATCCAGGTACTCCATTATGATCGCTCAGGGGTTCACTTGGTTAGCTTGCACTTTCGCCCCATCCATATCCCAGCCAATAATCCTTAGCGTCGGTGGACCACACCATCCAGGGGTTCTAACTTCTAAGAGCTCAAAAGCTCGAAAAAGACCGGCAGCCCGGAGATCACTGATCAGATCTGACGTGGGAATCCTGATGCTACCATCCCCTTATATTATACATATACGCGATGCCATGAATTGCTTACCTACATATATGAATTCGGTCTTGAATATATCTTGAATATTGCTGTTTGGCCTGAGCGGAGCACTTTCCTACTTGATCCCAACAGGACAAGATACCAGGTTCAATAACAAGGCATTGTTTAGTGTCAGATGTCGAGTGGTAGAGGAGACGGGTATAATTGACCAGATTGGACATAAACAGCGCACCCAGCGACGGGCTTGGAAAATAAGTAAATAAGCCCACGCAGTACTCAAGAGACGCGCACGATCGATCAATCAGACCAGCCCCGGGCATCTTTAACTTCCCACCCCCCGCCGCCAACGCAGCCACGTAGTCGTCATTATGCCTTTTCGATCCTTCCTCTTCTCCTGTGGTAATTGATCTTCGGGCAGATCTTCGCCAAGCGAAATCATCTCTAATTTCTACGGACGTGCTACTTCAGCTAGCAACAAATTCCCTTAAAAACTCATCTGCATACCAATGACATCAACCACGTTATTGTGGAATGTGGATGTCTTTGCACTTGTTGACAAGAGAAAAGACGGTAGTTTACGTAATGGGATCTGTTGATGTCTGAGGTCTAGATTCGCAAAAAGGCGAAAGGCTATTTGAATAGGCAATTGACATGATATCGATCTGGTAAAGAGACCCAATCTTTGTTGGCCCATACTCGCGAACGAAGCTGCTAATTGGATTTACGGAGTCCGAATAAAATGACGTCCAATACACATACCAACATTTCAGCCTTAAATCGGCTGACTACCTACATCTTCAAGTGTTGGATAGTCTCATGCCAATACCAAATAAGGCTAGAGTCAACCAGAACTTAAATTGGTTATGATATTTTAACTTAAGTCGGCGGCCCTCCTTGTCCGGCACGTTGCAATCCCTGTCTGAGGCTATCTGAGTAAGACCCAAAGAAATTCAATGCCCAATTGAAGTAGTACAGAGGCTAGACTTTGCCAAGGTTTTTCATAGGTAGAAGAATTCCTATGAGGGCGATCATCGGATTTGCGGATGTGACTATATTCAACTCCCGCCTCTTGATACAGCATCCAGTCATCCATGTTTATTCAATAATTCCACACGTTTTGGAAGTCTCGCCAGGGCGAGATGCTACCGAGAAATATCATTCACGACAGGCTTACTCAAATAGCCAACCCATGTCTGGATTTACGACGGTTCACCTTCCCCTAATAATCGCGAGATGAAGATAGCGTCGGTATGTCCCAAAGGCCTATCTTCAGCTTCATGGGCGCTGAGCCCGTTGTCCTGGCTGGTCTCCTCGCGATGGATGGGAGTCTGATCAGACTCCCCCTTAGGCTACCTAGAGAGAGCCTGTTTCCTCGTTCATTTATTCCAGGAATAACCCTGGCGGATATGCTGAGAGACATCAAGTCAGGGTCAGTAACGTATAATCTTCGGTGCTAGTGTCGAGTTCTGTTTGTGGACATTCACTGTCAAAGTGAGATGAAGGCCTGAGTCTCTAATACGTCCGCAACCCAGTCAGCCAGTGTCACAACCACGACCCATGAGTGTCCTGCGTACGCATTCAAGTTGGTATGCAACTCTCCTGTTTGCTCTCTCTCTCGGATTCAGTGCTATGTGTTGTGCTCCAGTCACCGCCCTTACATGGCCGCTGCTGCTCCTCTCACTCGAAGGGATGTAAGTAACCGTTGACCTTGGTCAATGAATCGGTTCTTCAAACTGTTAGCTAGACATCCAAAGAGGCGGGGCGGTTGCTACAGGTCCAAGGACTGAACCATAGGCATAGAATGCCGCGAGCAAACATGAGGCGAGAAAAAACTCTGAGACCCGGAGGCAAAGGTGTAACGCCAAACTCGTTGAAGACTAGCTAACAAAGCGGTCATCGTCAGCAAGCACTCGTTAGTTACAATTAATTCCATGCTTGTAGCCAAGGATATCAAGATCGGGGCAGACGTGAAATTTACCAGTCTACGGCAGCCATCCAGGACGATAATTCAATCATTGGCTGTCCCATCATCGTGGCCACGCGTATATACACGATATACAAGAATATATGCCATCGTCTGGAAAGTAAGTCGAGTTAAGAAGTTGCACTTGAAGTGAATATTATTATCACTAAACCCACCCTCCCAGGAGGCAGGGTGTAGGAATTTAGTGGACACAGGCGAACCTACTCACTCCCTTTCGCCGGTGATAGGAGAAGTAATAAAGTGGAAGCCTTTAAAGAAACTATAAAGAGATGTAGTTAAGAGAATAAGAAAAGGAATCAAAAAGCTTTATGAAGTCCTAGATTTTATACATGGAGGATACTCTTCGAAAGCACAAATAGTAGGTTTCCAATGACACATGGATAGAGTTTTGAGTGATAAAGCCACCTAGGCTTCAACTACCAATTCAACCTAGAACACGCTATCTATGGATTATTGTCATGTTTTTGAAGTGTTTACATAGGTGAGTTACAAGGATGTAAAATGTGGCGGTATAGATTGTTGATATGGAACAGGGGCCTTTGAGTTAGAGAAGGAACGGCTATCAGCCCGAAAAAAATCTTTATACTGAGGACGGTGAACCGAATATAGGAAGCACCTCCGAGTCTAGGAAGGTGCACCTGCGCCGGACTTTGGAAGGAGCAGTATGTCTAACTAGGTAGGTAGTTCTCTAAGCCTTAAGTTAGGTCGCTGAATATCTGAATCTTACGTCAAGATTTCTCCTACTGGGTATCCGGATAGCTGGTATATGAGAGTTTAGAATTCAAGTACCGATATATCACATATACAGATAGGCTACCGGTAGACCGAAAGCCAGGTGCCGGTAATGGACTGGATTTCAGGGGTAAATTGTGGGGCAAAAGGGGTTGCTTGAATAGCCTCACAACGCATATATCCAACCAATAAAAGATGATGATGTAATTGAACTAGGTAAGTCAAATTCAACTGAATACGAAGAAATAATAATGAAACATCTATTTGGGTTGTTGAATGTACTAGCAAAAATAATACATATCTCAATACACATGAGTAGCAATCTACCTAGAAGAATCCCACCCCCTTTTTTTTATAACCCAGCAACCCTTTCATACTACGATGCACCGTGGTCCCTTAGATTAAGCCCCAATCACCATTGCTTTTGGTAAGTGCCTCCGTGTCGATACCAGCCTTGTGCTTAGCGAGTTCATCCTCCATAGTCCAGTCGCTCCACTTGTGACCGGGAGGCAGGTTAGTATTCTCGAAAGGGCTTCCACTTTCCAGGTGGGCTCGCGCCTTGGCAAAATTTTCAGTTGCGTACTTCTCCGGTTTGTGTCCCCAAATCCACTTGCCCTGTAGCATCGGTGGGTTGCTTTGGGATTTTACCGCGTCGACTTCACGATGGACATTCTGCATGTTGACGAAGCCTGTACGCTGGATAAGTGAAACACGCTGATATCTGTTGGTTCAAGAAAATCAGCTTTCTATTAAAAGAGCACGTGTTTCCTGACACGTTTGGATAATAGGGAATCTAATGAGAGCGGAGAAGGAAGAGCTCACCGCAGTAGTTCGTGAACTTTAGTCGCGACTCCCTCATTTCCCTTGCCCGCTAGGCGGAGACATTCCCCAAGTGAGGCGGCATCTTCAAGGGCCTGAATAGCACCATTTCCCGAAGTTGGCAAGAAGCTGTGAGCACTATCGCCGAGCTGGACAATGTGTCCACCGGACGATGTCCACCGAGGTTGGGGATCTCGAAAGCATAATGACCATCGTACGATGCTGTTTTCGGGTGCATGAAGAATCATCTCTCGTACTAAAGGACTCCATGTTTCCGGGCCAGGAAGTTTTGATAGTGCAGCTTCGTTTGGCACCGTAGTTGACCAAGATTCTGCTACCGTCCTGTCATCGTCCTGTAACGTTTATTAGCGACTATATAAAGCAGGCTTGTGTCACAATTGATGACAAGCTATCTTACTTCGGTAGTTATACCGACCGATACATGAAATTTACTCATGGTTAAGAAGACATGCTGTAACAATGAAAGTTAGTGATTGTCTATTAGATCGACCTAGAACTTTCAGCTCCTTAAAGGAGAGGGGGGGAACCCATGTGACGTACGAGCTTATGAGCTAGTAGAATCATTGTGTGAGGCCTTTCCAAGTCTTGCAAAGCATTTTCTATGAAGGGCGCATCTTTTAAATGTTGTGTTGAGTACATTGTGCGATAGACCTCATATCCGGTTTTGATCGCTCTCACTGGATAACCTAATGTGACTCCACTATAGCACCTCAAGTTAGAATTGTAGTCTATATAGGTAGCATCAATAATGTATACATGGAAAGGGTGTGAAGAAGATTACAAAAGCTGTAATGAGGAAGCTACAAAGGTGACTTGAGATAATAAAATAAATGATAAATAAACTTACTGAGATTTGGTACCGATGCCATCCGCAGCTATAACGACGTCGGCTGTGAACTGACGGCCATCATGAGATACCACAGTGGCATTACCCTTATTCACATCTTCCTCGTACTTCTCAATAGCGACACCGAAGGTAACAGGAATGCCGAGTCTCTTGCATTGGTTGTGAAGCATCTGGGCACAATAATGACGACCCAGAAGTGTTTTAATTCTAAGTGGATAGGCGCCATGCTCAGCGACTCCTTGTTGATTGTATTCGAATTCAGCTTGGAATGTTTCCGTGCCGTCTCTAACATGAAAAGAAACGCGACTATCCCAAGCAATATCCTCATACTCTTTTAGCATACTGGGATAATGGTGAAGGGTTGTGAGACCCGAAGGCCCAATGCTGAAGATATCGCCTATTTATCTCCTATCAGTTTACTCAACATAATGAGGAGGAGCCATGTTAGTATATATACCTTGGCCCAGGACCACATCTGCTTTCTCAACGACCTCGACTTCGATACCTTTCCTCCAACATTCTAGGGCAGCCATCAAACCACCTACACCAGCCCCAACAACTAGAGCTTTCGAACCAGTGACTGGATAGCGAAGTACTCCATCGATGATAATGTTCTTGCTTGGCATCATCACATTGACGTTCGAAGTTGATGTGTTTTCTGAAGGCATTTTGTCGGCAGTGAATACAGTCTTCAATAGTCTCAGGCAAGTTGCAAAATCCTAGATGTTAATTCTAGTGTGAAGACGTATGACCATTGATAAACCAAGCTTTAAGCTTTTATATTATTAGAGTTGACTTCCAGAAACCTCGAAGGTAGGTATCGACAGACCACGGCAAGTAGCTAACACCGGTCTCAGTAAAAACGATCATCGCGATTGGTCAGACTATCACCAGTAAACAAATGTTGCATCGCGGACAATGGATTAATACTAATAGCGAGAGGCCAGATGTGGTATTCGCTCTATGTCGGCCTCCGACTCTAACGTTGCAGTTTCCACTTATCTAGGAATTCGGGTGAGTAAAGAGACCACCGCCGTGTTATATGTGGAGCTTAGAACTGCAAAAGTTGCAAATGTAGGACTGATACTCTCCGTCCACCGATGAAGATCGATGTTATACCTAATCATATTGTAGAAGGGTCTGAGCTTTCGACATTATTCATAGGTAATAAGCTCTGAAGTGACGAATTAGGTGGAATATCTAGTGCCACTTACCTAGATGATCCTCCCGATCATCTAGATGTGTCACGTACCTATTATTAGGACACCCAATACGGCAATAGCTAATCAAAAGTACCCTCCTGGTAACGATTCATTATTACGCCAATCGAGGTTCGAAGAGGATGATATTATTGCCCCGCACATGCTTAGAAAGTTGTATCAACAACATGGCATGGTGATATCTTTTTGCTGTCTATATTTACTTCATACCTAGACATACTATCTCTTATGAATGCACATACATTATGTTTTTATCACTTCACTATTATAATTCTCTGGTCATTACTTAGATAGGTGGATGTATACTTTGCGGGTTAAGAAAATTACCAAGACGATAGAGCTAACCAACTGACAATTGTAATCTAGAACAATGTACCTTCCAACTCTCAAGGAATATCGTGTGGGAACGAGATCCTGGATATAATTTACACTACCTAGTTTGTGACGCCTCCTTGTGCCTTCGGCACTGAGGTTTAATTAGAAAAATGGGCAGTGACTAAGACAAAACCTCCTTCTTTCGTATAGAAGGTCTTTTATGTTACTATGTATTTCCTTAATAAACATACTAAAAATAGAGAAAAGTAAGGATCTTCATAAGAGAAACTACATTAGAAATCAGTATATCTGTTAATTATTGGTATCCATATTTTGAAAGAACGGCCCGTTCTCGTGATTGAAGCGACGACAGCACGAGGTGTGACGAGCCAGTGCTAGTACCTCATGATATATTGCATATCTACTAAAGAAAAGTATTTCCAAAATAAACGAAATAATATTAAGAAGAGGATATTTACAGCGTAGAATTAATTACATAAAAATCAGGACGTAGGTTAACATTTGAATATCCCTTAATTATTTGGAGCCTTTTCCCGCCATTTAAAGCACAGTACTAACAACATGAATGAAGGCATCCTAAGTCAATGTTATAAAGCTGTTATAAGCGCTAACAGTTGACTTCTTGGCCGTAAGAAGTCCTAAACTGGTCTCCGGTGTTTCCGTGCCAGGCCCGGAAGGTCACCGGGTTCCTCGGAGTTCGAAGCATTGAATCAAATTGTTCCGGTCCGCCCATCCCGGGATGCGATTAGTAAGGACCCACAAATGCCACACTATGAACCTCGATAAAGGTATATATTCGTTACGTAACTGGGGTGCTACATAAACTCAATTGAGCAAATTATTTCTTTATTGAGTTGGTACCCCGCGATGCAATATTTTTTTCGTTTTTCACCACTCTCGGAATATTGAAGTAGAACTTGGAAGTATACAACTAACTCCTCTACTGTTGGGTCTCCCGTTGTGCATTGCGTTAAGTAAAGCATCTCGCATTATCATGGCTGAAGCACGGATCTCAGTACTTTGCAGTGGAAATGGAACAAATCTTCAGGCACTCATCGACTCGTGCGCTTCCAACGCACCTGATAGCATACGGGGCAAGATTATCAAAGTGACGGTAAATAGGAAAGGGGCATATGCTACCACGAGGGCAGAGAAAGCCGGCATTCCTACGGACTACTTCAACTTGGTCAAAGATGGATATCAAAAACTCGGGGAGAAGGATCCGGCGGTGTTGAAAGAGGCACGCCTGAGATACGATGCCGATTTGGCTGAGAGAATCTTGCGAGATAAACCGGACCTTGTCGTCTTGGCAGGCTGGATGCACGTTCTGTCGACGAACTTCCTGCGGCCGGTCAGTACTGCCGGTGTGCCGATCATAAATCTTCACCCCGCTTTACCGGGTGCGTTTAAATCTCTCTGCATGACCTTCTCGTTTTGATCCTGACAATGTCTCACAGGTGCGTATGATGGTGCTGGTGCGATTGAAAGAGCCTACGAGGATTTCAAGGCCGGAAAGCTCGAGGACAACACAACTGGAATCATGATTCACTATGTCATTGCCGAAGTCGACCGTGGCGAACCTATTCTAGTTCAGAAAATCCAGATCCAGGAGGGAGAAAGCCTAGAAGACCTAGAGCAGAAGATACATGGATATGAGCATGACCTGATTGTCAAAGCGACTGCATTGTTAGCAGAGAAGGTATCAGCGGCAAAGGCAGCAAAAACGTGAATCGAAACAGAAGGCGGGGTTGACGATGGCATCGGAGACCGAGATCCAGCAATTGCATGATCCTCGGGAATGGAACAACATCGGATTCGGCTGCTTTGTCTTATCTAGGCAGGATAGGATACATCGCAGGTGATGTACCATCCGAAGCCTACGAAGCGTGCAAATCATTGGCGTTTGTATGAGACAGCCGGGTCGCGGCAGACCTCGTACTTAAAGCACAAGCAAGCACAAAGGGATTATGCACATAGTAATATGCATGTTGAAATCCGTCAATGAAACGTTGAAGACGCGGGAGACGTAAACAAAATAGAGTTGAACTGCATGCCCTAGGTACAGTATATATGTATATTATAAGTGTTAAGTGAGGGGATAGGGGACGCAGGTCGTACGCGGATGCGGCAGTGCAGATGCGGATGTGCTCGGAGATAAATGGCGGAAGGAGGATAAAAAGGAGAGCGACGATCAAAGGCGGTTCAGATCACAACTGCGACGGCAAGTCATTTCAGAGATGCTAGCACTTGCAGCGCTGAAGCTGAGTGATGCATAGACAAGACGCCGCGGCTTGGCAAGCTATACCCGAATAGGTGTGATTGGCGTGGAGAGTTTCTGCGAACAGGGTGCAGGCAGGGTGTAGGCAAGGTGCAGACCCTCTGAAGACCCTCGAAGACCCTCTAAAAAGCTCTGGAGATAGTTCTGCCGACCCACTGGAGCCGCCGATACTGCGCACAGTAAAGGCGACAGTACGTAAATGTTAGCCTCAAGCAACGACGCAGAGCGCCTGCAGGGTCCACTCGATGTTACCTTGGGAACTCGGCGTGCAGGTCTAAAACATGCCCTAGAAAGAACAATGGATTGATAGAACAAAACAATATTAGGAAACGACCACTGCGTAAGCGTCTCTTTAAATTTATTTTCATATGCCTTTTTTTAATACCTCGCCAAGTGTCTTAGATTTGTTCTGTTTATCTTCGGTTGAGTTATTTTTCCCCTTCGCTAGTCGAAACTGGGAAAAAACAAACGTCTCTATTTCCAATTGTAGCTACACTAGTTTTAGCTAAGTCTACTTACGCAGTGCGCCGTCACATTACTATTTTCCAGCATCCCACCATCACTCTCACTCCCGCTTCCACAAACATACTTCTCTGCCCAATTGCTATCTTCTCTTCCTTTTCATCCCTTCTCTTCTCTTCTATCCGTATTACCCGCATCCATATCTCACCTACATCACCGCCAACATGTCCGTGGATAACTCCGCCGCCCGGTTATCTACCTCCGACCCGCGCCGAGAAGGATTCACCTCTTTCATGAAGGGATCCTTCGCTCTCTCGCAGGAGGAGAATGCTGCTCCTATAACACCTCGCGGCCACGGCGCCCTCACTCAGCTTCTCAGAAACCGTTCCTATGGCTCCTTACACAACTACGGAAGCACGTGGCGCGGCGCAATGCCTAACGTTGCAGATGACGAAGAATCCGCCTTGTTGCCACCCTCATACTCGATCTCCGAGCCCGATGATGGGGATCACCGCCGGACCTCAACCGAAGAGCGCCGGCTAAGTCAATTGCTCAACAGCACCCCTATGCGTTCTATGCGACTTATCGGCAACCCGAATCCAAGATACAAGTGGGGGCGCTACTGGAAGACGGAAGAGCAATTGAGTGCTATGAGGAAGCCATTGCGTGAATACTACGAACGCGTCAACTTTCTGGTACAGCAATACATTTACATTGACCGCTTGCTCGACAGCAGTTTACCCCATGATCTCGTCAATGAGTACAATACACTACATCACAGCTCATTTAAGGACCTCGACATTCCAACCACCATTTCCGAAGAGTATTCGAGTGCAAGTGCCGTTAGTATCGGCAAAAGCAACCAAGGAAGTGGTCAGGGTTCCGATGGATCGGGTGGTCCAATCACTCCCATTACGAACTTTTCAAGTCCTCAGAAATCCGGATTTATTGTCAGTGAGGATGCCGATGCCAACAAGGATACGGAGCCAAGTCTTCCCGTGACCAAGGTGAAGCGTACTCCCAAGGACATTTACCGTGCCACCGAGACTACTCCCTTGTTCTTCAACAATGACGAGGATGACGATCAGTGGGACGGACCAAAACCAGAGATTCCGTGGCTAGAAGAGGACGAGGAATTAGACAGTGGCGACCAGATCGTCACGACAGCCATCTACGTCAATTTTGCGGCAAATGTGATCTTACTAGCGGGTAAGATCGCAGTCGTTATTTCCGTATCATCTATGTCAGTATTGGCTAGTTTGGTCGATGCCGTGCTGGATTTCCTATCGACGGTCATAGTATGGACGACGACTTGGTTAATCTCCAGACAAGATCAGTACAAGTACCCGGTTGGGAGACGCAGATTGGAGCCTCTAGGCGTTCTTGTTTTCTCGGTTATCATGATAACATCGTTTGTTCAAGTCGCGCTGGAATCAATTTCACGATTGCTTTCGCCTGACCATGAGCTGATCGAGGTGTAAGTAACTGCTGTTCTTCCTCAGGTTGATTATGCTAATCTGTTTTTAGTGGGATACCTGCTCTCAGTATAATGTTTGGGACGGTCCTAATCAAGGGACTCTGCTGGTTATGGTGTCGTTTGGTCAAGAACTCGAGCGTCCAGGCTTTGGCTGAGGACGCAATGACCGACGTAATCTTTAACTTGGGATCAATATTCTTCCCCATTGTTGGCTTCTATGCCAAGATTTGGTGGCTGGATGCTCTAGGCGGTCTTATTCTCTCACTCGTCGTCATCTTCAATTGGTCTCGAACTTCGCTGCAGCATATCAAGAATTTGTCCGGATTCTCTGCCACCGCCGATCAGCGAAACATCTGTGAGTCATAGAACCCATACGTTTTCTTCGTTGATATGTATTGTAACTAATTCTGATAAACAGTGCTCTACCTCGCAATGCGCTTTGCCAATACGATCAAGCAGATTCAGGGTTTGCAGGCCTACCACGCCGGAGATAAGTTGAACGTCGAAGTCGATATCATCCTCGACGCGTCTACCACATTGAGAGATTCACACGATCTTTGCGAGAGTTTGGGTTACGTGTTGGAGTCGGTCCCGATAGTGGACAGGGCCTTCGTCCACGCTGATTATGCCAGTTACAACTTGCCCACCCACATGGAACAGCAGAGTGGTTAATGGCTTGGAGATATCACATGATTAAAGGGAGGACGTAAATCTCATTTACATAAGGAAATCGTTGCATAGTTCGGTGTGTCATTTTCATTTCATGGCGGGCTCGGTTGGGAAAACAGATCCTGGTGATTTTTTAAGTGCGATACCATAACATCGAATTGCTTTTATATAGCACATTTGATGATGTTTTACTATGATCAAAATACACGCGATCATGGTTCTGAACGGAACATCTGATGATAGATCTTCAAATGGATAAGGAAAAAAAAATCTTTGGACCGGCAATGAGACGGGTATTACTATGCATATGTGAGACCGAGAAACAAGATCCATGCATATTGAGGTGAAGTCTTCGTGGAGTCAGGTTGCCTCCGCGAGTCGCTTAAGCCCGGCTCATCAGGAGCGCTCGGCCCTTTTGCTTTCTAAGCGGCGCTCTTGGGGCGGCACTGGGCAGTGAGGGTATTTTATATCCTGGTAAATGCTCGGGAGTTCTTATTAGGGGTTTGTCATTGCGGTCCCCACTGATAGACTTCTGTTAGGACTAGACCCCTGACAAATATGTTCCTTGTTCTTACCTACTACGTAGTAGTTATCAACAATTCGCACATGCTAGACTTAGTGCAAGACTAGCCGAGACTGAGCTATTGGTCTTGGAGTTTATTCTAACCGTCGTGGGTTACGTAATCGGGGCTAAGTCAAAATTGACAGTTGAACACCATTTCATTTTATCGTCATCGGTGTTGAGAAGTCTTGTGACTATGGTTATCAGGCTCCAATTGAGGTGTACTTCGATTTCGCCTCAGAATCAATTGCCGAGCTTGGCTAAAAAAATTTGCATAACTAGTTCTCTTGGTTATCGTATCACGCGTGCTAACATATGGGAAACCTAGCAATTGATTTCGAACTATTGTAATATCTGAATATGCCGTACCTACCTAGATACGCCCTGAAGATCACCGGGAAGAAATGGAGAGACGTCTCAAAATGTCAATCTACATTCAGTACTGCGTAGATGATAGTGACCTAAGATAAGTTGGCCTTCGATAACAAAGTTGCATAGGTAGGAAGAAGCTAAGGGACTTGGCTAACGACCTTCTCCAACATAACTTGCACCAACAGCTCCACGACTGGCCGGAAATACTTGGTGTAATAGGTAAGAAGCAAATTGAGCTAGCTGCTATACTTCGGAAAGACAGAAAGACAGATCTATGGGGTTTACAACATAATGTTTATCTACCCTGATATGCATCACCTATGAGTTATACTTAAGGAGTAGACTTACAATCGCTATCTAGACTCAAATATCACCAAATTGAATAACCCCCTATGAAGTCTCACCCCTTATGTTGGTCGCAATGCGCTTCCCCATACCGTTGCTTCGTTTGACGTCCTGCGGCTGGACGCAATAAAAACATGAGATAGGGAACAGGAGGAGACGGCTCACAACGCTCCGCCCCTATATTGGTTACGCCCTGACCATGTTTGTCTACCTAGGTAGGCACATTTGGCTCTATATTGGCCGCTTGCCTACGACGGCAAAGTGGTTGGTCGCCACCGCACTTAGTTGGCATATCATCACCCACGCGATGGAGATTATCATGTATTTGAGGCTAGGAAGCGAGCTAAGGATACTTGATGGCTTTTAAGCATTGATAACATCAAGTTCAATCGCATACGTTGGCCTGCCATGATTTTGCTCCGTTCTTGTCTTAGGCTTCCTAGCTGCCGACGATCAGCATACGTTATACCTGATAATTAGTAGAATTAATATGTTGCGATTCGATGGCAAGCTATATTCTAGCAAAGTGTGTCGCTGTATTTCTGGGTTGATCTCACACATATCCTCCCACTGTAGTTTAAAACGAGAATTGTGGGAAATATACATCTAGATAGATGCGCCGGTAGCTAGTAATGGAGAGGACGCTATCGAGTACTCTTTTGAGATAAAGAGTTAATTTGAGAAATTTTAAGGAAAAGGGATGGAAACAAAAACCTGGAATTTCTTTCGTGGTAGGACAATAATGAACAACCTGAAGCCAGTAGCTTGGTAGGTGACGATGGAAAAGGAGATAAAAGTGGGCCCACAAAAAATGTACGAGGACACACAGTAAGGTTATATACCAAAGTAAAGATGAGCCTTCCAACAATTCTCCAAGTACTTGTTTGAAATGAACAACTTGACTCAGTTGACGAGCAATGCGTAAACACCGATGAGGAAACCCGGGGTCCAAACATCACAACTGAGCTAAGATGGTTCGAAACGGGTGCTTGGAGACTTGTTTTTTGTTTTTATTTTATTTTTTCCCTCACGTTTTCAATTTTATTAATAAACAGCACTACTAAGGATCGGAAAGGATTCTAGCCTCTATATGTATATGGCCTTAATTCATAAGATTAAAAAGAATAATTATTCGGACACGACTTAATAACTAGTTAGGTAGATAGGACATAAGTTATACAAAATACCGTAGAAAGGAAGACGTCAAACCAAAAATGCATTATGCGCTGCACCGTTGAGTGAGCCTTGAAGTTCCCTTCGATGCCGCTTGTATGTGCGACGAATTTGGTTGATAAAGTTAGGAGAAACGAATCCCAGGAGCTGCAGGGAAGGAATAAAAGGGGTTGAAGGGGTGAAGGGAACTCAATAAATGAAAAAAAAGGAAAAGTAAAAAAAGGTACGGCAAAAGGTGGAATCGAACCCTGGCAGTGCAAAATGGGAGAAACACCAAAAAGGTGCGCGCAGGAGGAATCGTCCCCCTGCAGGCCCAGCCTCATTACTATTTTTTTGCCTAGGATCAACCGGTAATGAGCTACTGCGCCCTCCCCTATTACTTTCGATCTTGGGAGTACTTAGTTTGCGGTAGTGATCAACCATGGCTAGGGTGGTAGGTACCCCATCGTCGCTTTAGGTTGTACCGTCTCTGTGGATTCTGACGGGATTAGAATGGTGGTATCAAGATTATTCAGTCCCGTACCAGACAACTTGACCATTCTACCATCAGTACCATCGGTTGAAAATTCTTGGGCTTTTTTTGACTTATAACCCTTCTATCGAGGCCGGTGACGACGGTCGGTGTAGGGCGAAGTTTTGCCGTGGTTGCCCTTGGATATGTTGAGTCATTCGAACGACCGAGAGACGCGTCGCGGTTCACCAGACGCGTCTGCATCTTGGGAATACGTTTAGCCGCGTTTCTGGACGATTCGATTCTACTAAGCATACTGTGGCTTTAATGGGCCATGTTCAAGCCCCTTTAGCAGGGCAAGTGCATATACTATTATATTGGAATTTATCGTACGACCACCACAGAATATCTGGCCTCCTATTGATAATTTCCGTCATTACAAATATGCCAAGATAATGTAATAGATACTCATGAAATGACATGACATGGCTTATCCCATTGTAACGGTTATCCGTTAGCAGCGTAGGTACAAATTCATGCAGTTTCTATGGGTGTCCGTGGGCTCCAGCTGCAACCTGTGCCTCAATTTACTATACTTGTTAAGCCCTAGGTATATATAGCTAAATGCGAGCAAAGAAGATGTCAACCCAATTTTTGGTATTCATGGATGGAACCCCTTTATTTTTGATAACCGATAGCTATGAATTCAGATGCAGAATATCGCTAGCGGATTAGTCCTGCATTAAAATCCAATGACACACAAAGTACCTACATGGAAATGGTTGGAACCTGGAGGACTACAAGAGGCCGTATAATACTCTACCTGAAAATTTAGCCTGCTTCTCTGCAACTCTTAATAAGTCGTTTTTACTGATAGATGCCCCTAACGACAATTCCTAGGTAGGTGGTCTCCTACTGGAAATGCTAACTGGGTAAGTTATCTATCACTCAATAAACCGAAAATAGGTTAAAAGTGATGTTTCATTCAGGTACCATATTATATTCATGCCAATGAACTAGTTAAAATTCTGGAGTGGTTGTAATAACCTTTGAAAAGGGGTAATCGACATCCCTGCAAGTCCGTTCTGATTGGCCGATGACCCTAGTAAGTGGTCGAATTTGGAAAGTCAGCTCTGATTATATCACGTGTAAATCGGGACACCAACCTCGCAAGGATACCTATTATATTGGATCTGAGTGTTACTGGTGGAAGGGGAGACCTAGCCTTTCTTGAGATTACATGGGTACCTATGTGGTAGGTACCTGGAACAACGCAGCCAGATTATTGACTGTCGGTTCATTCATGAAGCGTCAACTAGGTACCTAGGTAAGACATAAAAGTTAAGACTGAGGACGATGGTATTTCAGTTATAATTCTTAATTCTTTATGTGATTCATATAATTCTTATAAAATTAACAGCCAAAAAGATCCTAAAGCAACCTACCTCAAACACCAACCTTACCTACCTATCCACCCACCCAATCCCTAAAAGTAAAAACTTCAACCCACTTCACCTCCCCTCACCTAGGAGGCCCCCTCTCTTGCTCCCGTCTCCAAACCCAAGCCGCCTCAGCAAACAGCCCGAGGTCCTCGAGCAGCATGCACACATCATACCGTTCCGCCTCATCGCGCTCCTCGCCCGGGTATCCGGGCCCGGCCCCGGCCCTCCTCAGCTCGCGCTGCCCCTGCGCCGTGACCCGGTCCAGGATCCGCACGTACTCGTCCGCGCTGGCGCGCCGCGCCCAGCCGACGACGCCCACGCATATCCGGATCCAGGTCGTGATCCACTTCGCGTCTAGCGAGCCGGCCGCTTCGCGGAAGGAGATACTGCGGTGGGTGACGGTGGCGCCGTGCTGCTGCTGCTGGTTCTGGTTCTGGTTCTGGTTCGAGTTGAGCGAGCTCAGGGTGTACGGCGCGAAGTCGTAGTTGAGAGGTGGTCCGGGGTGGCTTAGGAGCTCTGCTGCGGTGGCCGCCGCGTCGCAGGAGGAGAGCTCGGCGATGCCTTGTTCTGCTGTGATGTTGGGGTCGGAGTGAGGGTTGTTCGAGGGTGCTGGGTATCCTGCGCGGTCCCATTCTTCCTCGGCGATGGGAACGAGTTTGTTGATCGAGGCCTTGTAGGAGGTTCCGAGGTCATCTGGATTGTGGGGCCGGAGCTTGGGTTCTCGGGTTTTGGGCATCGGGGTTTCGGGTCGGGGTGTCGCGGTTTCGACTCCTTCAATATATGTCCATATATCCGCGATTTTTTGGGCACGGGTGGATGGCGAAGTATTCGAGAGCCAAAGAGGAGCGGTTTCAACCGAAGGGAAAGAAACAGGCCAGGAGGTATCGGATGAATGTTCGCTCCGCAGCCCCTTAACTCTACAAGCGTCCTGGATCTCAATTAATAACATCGCCCATAGTTCGTAGTCGAAATCTTTTGGGAGACGTTCGGTTATTTGCTCTTCTGTCTTCGACATAACATAAGAAGAACCATCAGAACTATGCGTCGATCTCCCGTCGTCTGACCATCCTTCTTGCTGCGGATCTGCTAGATTAGCCATGAAGTTAGGATCCGGGGGCTGGGCGTAGGATTTCAGGTCGTGGAGCATCTTTTCGATACCTTTGTTCGTTAGCGCAGCCTCGTCGTAGTCCTGCGGGCTAACATACTCGATGCCTAGCTCGTTATCTTCGTTGTGAAAATCGGTAAGCTTAGCTAGGTTCTCAAAGTTTTGGACGATGCTTGGTGCATCGATCTTGATTTCCCGGTGGGCAGCCGGGTGTCTGAGAATGTTGCCGACCCGTCGCCATGCGAGATTCCACCTTTCAGTTTCAGCATTCCAATCCCAAGAGCTGCGCCCGGCCGCGATATATTGCGAAGCAGCAACCAAGATTTCGTATTCTTGATCGGCGTCCAACAATCGAATGTCCGCGTGTCCGTAAAAGATAGCACATTGAGCCCTAAGCATGAGAGTAATCTGTTCTTTGGCCGGGAGTTTATAGAGTTTCGTGTGTCCATAGTTGTCATGGCAATACTGGCAAAGCCACCCGTACACCCTTTCATCCTGAAGCGAGTCCCAGGCTACCCATCCTATATTTCGATGTAGGGTATTTGGGTCGGGTGGGACAGGAATTTGTCGATCTTCTTCAAGCGCTCTCTGCCATTTTTCCAATACACCCCGGGGCGATGGTAAACGAGGTTCTGCTGCGGCATTTTCGTCGGAAGATTCAGACTGCCATTCGTCATCATCGTCATCATCATCACTACTGCTCTCATTGCTACCACCATTGATAGTATCGTTGTTACTACTATCGTTCCCATCATTATCGTCACTGATACCACCATTTCTATCGGCTTCGTCAATGTCCTCGCCTAATTTTATAAACGGACCAGCCTCGTTACGCCACCGCGCGAATTCTGCCCATCCTTCCTTGCCGCCGTACTCGGTCTCCTCTCGGGAGGTATTGGAAAATTCGGTCACTGGTATGGGGTCATATTCCTCGTGAAACTCACCTTCCCACTTCTTTGAAACCTGTTCAGCCGTTGTACCGCGGGCAAGGGCACTATCGAGACGGATACTCCGACTGGTGTCGTGGTACCTTCGCCAGGGTGCATGGAGGCGGGAGAAAATCGGGTCTGCGGCCCAGAGAAAAGCCCCTATTCTCTTGATCGTAGCCGCTGTGAACAGTCTCGTACCGTCCCCGACATGAACGCCGAAGTTGCACGTGGGGTTAACGCGAAGGCGGTAAGTGGATGTCAAAAGGTTGACAACGAACTGGATCCGTTCGAATGCTGCCTCTTGGGACCACATTACTGGGCTGCGAATCTTGAGGAACTGCCAGAAGTAACCTTCTAGGAAGTACTCATTCGTACTACTCGCGGCAGCAACTATCCAGTTTGAAGGATCGATATCATCAGCTGAGGACTGTGTTGGCTCGCTCGGTTGACTTATGACGGGAATTCCGTGGCTGTTGAAAGTATTGAGTATATGGGCTAGAACCGCTGTTTCTTCAACTTCATTGCTAAAATCGACTAGTAATAAAGGGGGTAGACCTTGAGTTGTGAATTCATCTGGATCTCTGCCCCCGGTTGGAACGTAAGCAACAAGACATTCTAGCTCAATGCTAAACGAATGACGAGTACCTACCGGCACTGTATAATGGTTCGTTTCAGCCATTACGAATTAAAGTGAGCCGAATAAAGTACGACCCGAGACGATTTTTCCTGTCGGTGAGAGGAATTCCTGATTCTCTCTTCATCACAGTCCGAAATCATCTCTTATCATCATTTGTGAACAACTGAACTGTGTCAGCTTAAAGTCTTCGTCGTGGGATGGGTTGTATTAAAATTGAACATATTACTTATGCGTGAAAGGAGGATCTTGGAACAATGCCTTTATCCAATCTCTGGGTCCTCTGGGACAAGCAGCGGACCTTGGCAACAGAGCCGAGGTGCAGCTCAAAGCCGTCGCAACCATAGGGCTTTATAGATCGACATTAGCCAAAGAAGAACCCGGCCTTGTTTGATCAAGTGTATTGTTCAGTATCTGCTTTGTGGCATGCTATAGTAACTAGCTTGAAGTTTGACAGTCTCCTACCAACCACAGCCGCGATGCAACTCTGATCTTAGTACCATGCTCTTAATCACTTAAACATTAAAATCTCCATCGACATAGGCTAAATCATCAATACTCGAATCGTCTCCTCGTGAATTGGGGTTGTCACGTGCAACATGACATGTCCAGTCCGGTGGATTATGATTGCTGCGGGTGTTGAAATGTACAAGAAAGGAACGGCAGCGCCATTATAGCAATTCCATCAGCAACCACGGCTTTTAAACCCTTTAGGCAATTATTCATCCTACACCCATTATTACTCCTAGAGCATATAGGCGAATAGGCCGACAGCAACAGCAGCAGCACCGTTTCCGAGATACTGAATGTTGGTGGGGACAGCTCCGGCATTAGAAGTCGAACTCGCTGCAGCCGAACTAGAAGCAGCAGTAGCGCTTCCACTAGGCGCCGCAGAGCTGGAGCTGCTAGTTGACTCTCCTTCTCCTGCATGAGCCGTCACATTTTCCGTACCGCACTTATCACCAAACGTTTCAGTGCAGTTCTTCTGGCCGGCAGCGTTGTTCTCCTCTTGCGTGATGCAGTTGCTCTGAAGTCGCTCGCAAACGAACTAGCCGGGGCGTGTAAAATTAGCTTAAAGGCCTAGAATAACAACGGGAAAGGTTAGCGAGGAGGAAATCCATTCTTACCCAAGGCATCGTGTTCTGGAAGTCATTCATGTCGGGGTAATCACCGCCCTCGCACTCACACGTAAAATCTAACGTGTCCTACACTTTAGTTAGCCATGCGCTCAGTTCAATTCCAAGAGCAACTACTAAAAAAACTTACGGTTGAGCAGGCATTGTTGATCGCATTACCGCAAAGCGTGCCGCAGCTGTCCGTCTGTCCTTGGCACCAAGCAACTTCGGCGAATAGTCAGTATTAAGCTCAGAGCTGTTATTTGTTTTAGAATCAGACAAATATCTTACCGCGATCAGAGATATCGACTGTGCTCGGGTCAATTTTGAAGGTCGAGTTAGAATTCGCTTGAGCAGAGACGAGACTAAGTGCGGAGAGCGCGACGACGGCTACGTTGGTGGTGAACATGTTTCCGATTGAGCTACCGAAGTAGGAAGTCGATCGGCGTAGGTGTGCACGATGCGATGAGTTAAAACAACAGATTGGTTAGGCGAACCAAAATGTGTAGGTATGTGTTATGTGTAGATGTAGATAAGATGTCTTCGGGAAAGAGATGATGGTTTGGACTACGGACGGAAAGACGAGATCGGAGAGAAGTTTTTGAGAGCTTTCGGATGAAGTGCGAAGAAGAAAATGGAGATGGGGGTACGTAATATTGTCAGACGGGAGGGTTGTACCTGACTTAATTATCTAGCTTCAGTTGACAGGGGTGGGTAGGAGTTGACGTCCGGATAGGTAATATGGATGTTTTAGCATTGGGATCCAGCTGGGAAATTTTCAGAAGGCGCGGGAAAAATATGAGAGTAGGCGAGTTCCAAAAGAGCCAAAAGAGCATTCTGACGACGAAGCTCACGATAACGGACCCGGTTTTCTCCAATCATCTTTCCCCAATTCTGACAAGGATCTGACAAGGATCTCAAAGGTCTCTTTCTTTTGGAACTTACTGGCGTTGCTGCAGTTGCCGCTTGCCGGCCGACCTATGCATATCTGTGTTAGTTGCCACTAGTAACTCTAGTTGTCTAGTGCCACCATCAGGCCAGAAATTTGGAAACGCCAAGGATCAAGTTTGCGGTCCATTCTTACCCCAGACAGGGAAAGTCAAATCAGACTTCACCAATCAGCAGACCATCACGCTTCCTCTTCTTTCCCTATTAGGCTAGGACGGAATGAAGTATTCCAGTATCCAAGCATCCCTGTCTCGGCAAAACTCGTCACGACTGTTGCGCACCTAGACAGGTACATACATACCTGGTCAAGGTTTTCCCTCTTTGTCTCGTAGGATTCGTAAAAGACTGGTCCAGCTGGACTCTGTTCAAATTTACACGTAAGATATGATCGATATCACTCTCGTCAATATTAGTTCTATCCTACCTCGCTTCATACATACCTCGTAACCGAATCACACTGCTGAGTCAGTGTTGCCCATTACGAGAATGATAACTGTCCACGACAGCAATGCAGGCTGTTCTTCGTATCGCTAAGCAGTTGGAGGTACCGCATGCGGGGTTTATGCATGTATGGTTGCATCGATTGATGTATTGATGGGCTGGATCTTCACCTGCTTTCGACCGTGCCTGATGGAATGGACTTACTCCGAAGCTCTCTGGTTACCGACATGTAGGTACAAGCTGTACCCAAAGTGCTTACACCAAGAAAATAATTGGAAGGCAAATTACACATGATAACTTTAATTCTTTCAACGTTTTTTTAAGCTTGTGAGCCCAATCCATTGACGATGGACGAATGGTACGATATTCATTTTATTAGGGTCGATGGGCATCAAATCTTTTAGACCTAGATTATATTATCTGCTAGGGTCTGGAAATTGATTTCTGTGACAGTATCGTTAACCCTCCCCCGGTCATCCGCTCTGTCCGCTCACCGGCAATCGGCACGCAGTCTTTTTCTTTCGTTGGATTGTTTTCAATAGCTTAATTTGATTTGAAAGGCACCCTGGATCTTGTTCTTATCTCCCTTACAGATATCCTTCCCCTATATCTAGGTAACTTCATTAAACTGGCCTTGATGGTGTTTGGAAATAACTAGGTACATACTACATATATATACGTTGTGGTTGAAAAAGGATGTCCGAGGCCATTCAGAATAGTGCGTGCGCCAATAGCTTATCTCTTAATGCTACCACTTGGAACGCACATGAAACATCCCGGTCGGCCTTCTCATCATTTGATGACCACAACCTAGACCACGCGTACTTGGCGGTAATTTTGATGCTATCCTCCTTATTGATGGGATTCTTGGAATTGGGTAGCTTCGGGTTTGGATAATTTCATGGTTGTCTGGTTGACCATTTGGATTATTGAATCCGCACCGAGCAGGACCTCGGAATCTTTGCAGATAGTTTATCGGTGTGCTGTATGTGTACTGTACCTACATAGATATGGTTTAGCGTCTTGGCTTCGATACGCGAGCAACTGGAGAACCCAGCGCCAATCACTGACGATCAACTTGATAGCGCAGATAAATCCTTCCTTCAGAAGCTCCACGTGGGGCTCATATGGACGGATATACCCGCTAACCTTCTAAAATAGCTGGAAATACCGAAATCACGGCTGAGTTGTCGTCATCGTCCTATCGATACTAGGTGGTTGGGAGCTTCTTCGAACGCTTGCGTTTGCATCACGATGACTTCGACCATACCAACCTCCTTATTTTCGATTGAGACTTTACTAACCCCGCAGCCTTGACCGCCATCTCCCGGCTGGCCTCGTTCGAATCTTCGATTGGAAAAAGTCATGTATTGACAATCGCTCTACTTTCGCAACAATCGAGGTGAGCGATTCTGGCAGTCTGGTTACTATATGTTACCTCCAATCCTTCTGGCCCCCATTTCACATGCATCCTCTCATGTATGACTTCGATCTAGTGAGACCGTACTAAGTCGTCTCCTACTGTATCAAAGCCTGCTGAATCTCTTGGCATAGCTCCTATCCCGGTCAGATCACGTCTTGGCAAGAATTATTCTGGAACTCTTCCCCAGATTTTAATCTACATCCTTAAATAATGTAATCCTGTTGGCCAATGGATCGGATTGATCTTTGGCGAGGGGTTCATTCCGATTAACCTGCATAACTTACCTCCGTACTTGTTATAGCTAGCTTAATACCAAGACGGACAATTACCTACCTAAGTAGGTAGGAAAGTAGCCATTCTCACCGAGAAGATTGCTTCAATTAAGATGTCTTCAATGAGTTATAACCCTGTCGGATACTGCCATCGTATAATATCTTCGGCCGAGAATCTTGACGACTTGGCTATTTCGAAACTGATTGGCTGCAGTATACACAAATATAGAACGCAACCCCGTCTAGAGTAACAGCTCCGGATTCTCAGATCCCACCGAACATAGCTTCTTCGTGGGCTTCTATGTTAAGCTCTTCGTATCATCGCCGTTGGAGGCCAAATCCAATTGGTGGAATTTGAGCTAAATAAAGCCGCCTGGTAGAGAACACCGAATTAATATATATGTTATAGGAATTGCCCAAATGCTAGCATAACTTTCGTGGTAGTTATTCTCAAGACGCCCCATTCAACCTACGAGCAAAATGTTCGCCTCCTTCTTTCTAGTTCTATTACCACTCACAGCGGTACAGGCTGCGCTCAAATACAAAGGCGTGGATTGGTCATCCGTTATAGTCGAGGAAAAGGCCGGGATATCTTACACTACTATAAGCGGAACCACCGAACCCCTTGAGAAGATATTGGTGGAAAGTGGCGTCAATACTGTCAGACAAAGAGTCTGGGTCAACCCTCAAGATGGGAACTACAACTTAGACTACAATTTGAAGCTAGCTCAACGAGCAAAGGCGGCCGGATTAAGCGTCTATGTAGACTTCCATTTCAGCGATACGTGAGTAGTACATTGGCGTCTTTGCTTGGTTATACTATATGTAACTTCACCATGTGGGCTTTAACGAGACCTCATATCTCTAGATATCAATTTTATATACCATTATAAGGATTGTAATCGCTAAGTATTCCTTTTAGATGGGCGGATCCGAGTCATCAAGCCATTCCTTCTGGTTGGCCGACCGGTATCGATGACCTCGCTTGGGAACTTTACAACTATACAATGGACGCATCAAACAAGTTCGCTGAAGCGGGTATCTCACCTACAATTATCTCAATTGGTAATGAGATCAGGTCGGGACTCCTGTTTCCAACGGGCTCGACTAGCAATTTCAACAATGTCGCCAGACTTCTACATTCGGCCTCCGCCGGTATCAAAGACAGCTCTCTGTCTCCCCAACCCAAGATCATGATTCACCTAGATAATGGGTGGGATTGGAGTACCCAGAACAATTGGTATACTTCAGTTTTGAAGCCCGGTACCCTAACCACGTCGGACTTCGATATGATGGGTGTCTCATATTATCCGTTTTAGTAGGTACTCCATCATAATTATCACATCGCTGAAAAGGGGCGCTATTATCGTAATGAACCTTGGAAGACAGTAGCTAACTGAGTAAAAGTAACTCAGGCGCAACACTTGCTAATCTCAAAACGAGTCTTACCAACATGGCAAACACTTGGGGCAAAGAGATTGTTGTGGCCGAGATTAACTGGCCCACTCAATGCTCTCATCCAGCTTACTCATTTCCAAGTGACGTGAAGAATATCCCCTTCTCCGCGGAAGGTCAGACTACCTTTATGCAGGAGACAGCTGAGATATTGGCTGGTGTAAAGAACGGGAATGGCATATTCTATTGGGAACCTGCTTGGGTGGATAACCAAGGACTCGGGTCATCGTGCGAGTCTAATACAATGTTTTCTGTAAGTGAATTTAGAGAGATTCGGTATTTTCCTTCTTTGGTCGCGTCTCTTTAGAAAGCCCCTTCTGACTCATCTCCAGTGGCCCGGAAAAGCATTATCCAGCCTAGCAGTCTTCAAGGCAATCTAGCAAACACGGCTTATCCTATTAACAAGATTGTAGATAGGAGAGATTAGCAATCCCCAAAAAGCAGTTTCTTTCTTAACTGTCAAAGAACGGAAACAGTTGATGTTCTCACCAGACTGCCACCGTTATTGTTCTCGATCCGCCTTGCGCTTTATCCTATTTTTAGTTCTTTACGAGATAGCTAGGGGCTTTCTCATGACACACAAAGGATAAGTGGTCGTAGGACACAGCATTCAGGGGTCCCAAACGGCATAATTCGCCGCGATAATCGAAGACAATGAGAGTTATCAAAAGAAGCTGACCATGCCTCGATACCGGGCCGCTGGTCGCCCGCTCCTGAGTTTCCCTCACCACTTATTTCTTCTCTTCTAGAAATGCGTGATGTGAATAATGAAGACCATCGTCAACCCCGGCGAGTTGAAATGCCCCTTATCAGCATCCCGACTGAGACTGTCCACCCTCATGTGGTCCGTCCCGACGAAGAACCACCATCTACAACAGAGGCGACCAATTTAGGCACGAGTGGTTTTGATGTAGGGATAGACACATGTGGATTCACCACAGGTAGCACGGGTAAGCTGCCTCGTCCAAATTCAGAGCAAATATTGTTCAATTGCTAACAAGGCCTCCCTAAAGTGACTTGTGAATTCGGATATGACTGTACCAATGTAGGGGACTACCGCGGGTGCTGCGTTGCTGGCGCCGCAGACTGCGTCGCTACGATTTACACTGAGTGTATCGACCATGAGAAGGCCCCGAACTCAGAGGGCTGTGGACAACACACATTATGCTGGTTAGTCAAAAGCGAAAAAAGATCCCGTACCATAGTACCACGATAGGAAGAGATAATAACTAACAATACTTTCTTGGTCTAGCCCAGATTCAAAACCATACTGCTTCGTCTATGCGTATTCGACCGACAGCGACCCCGACGCTACTCTCACCTATGTCGAATGTCAAGAATCCGAGGGGTTCGGGGAGATGTTTCCGTTTCCGCCGGAACTAATGACAATGACATCGAACTCATCATCCACGGAAACCGGATCTTCGTCCGACTCATCAAGCCCCGATTCCGCCACCGACGAACCCGAACCTGAGCCCTCGTCCTCTCACTCCTCCAGAAACGCGGGTGCGATAATCGGCGGCGTAGTAGGCGGCGTCGTGTTCATCCTCCTGATCATCCTCGCAGCCTTCCTCCTCCTACGCTACCGCCGGCGGCGCCGCCAAGCCAAACTCCGCGCCTCCATCATCCCCCTGGGCCCCGCAAAGACACCACAAAGCTCAACGGACGCCTCGCCCGACACCGAGAAAGACCAAGCCCAAGCACAAGCCCAGATAGTAGCCGCACCAGCCCGATCCAAATCTAAATCCAAACCTACACCTACACCCACCCCCACATCCCCAAGAGCAGCACGTAAAAACCCCTTCCGCCCCCTCTCCTCAATCCACGAACACCCACCCACCGTCCCTCCATCAACCACCCTCGCAACCCCAACCCCCTCAACAACACTCGGCCGCAACAAATCCACCTCCGCAGCCACGACGACCTCGTCGGCGCGCGGCAGCTACGGCCCCAACTGGCCCCTCGGCCCGAGCAACCCGCTCGCCGCGCACCCCGTCGACGCAAACCTCAAGAAGCGGCTGAGCGACAGCCGCCTCGGCACCTTGAGCTTGGCTCAGGCGTTAGCCGTGGGACCGGGGATGGGGATGGGGATGGAGGCGTCGCGCGTGCGGCCGTTGGATTTGGGGGGGACGACGCGGACGCGGACGCCGCCGCCGGGGAGCAGGCCTGCGCCGTTGAAGTCGCCGGCGAGTGTGGGGGGTGGGCTAAGGAGCCCGAGGTTGGATTTTGTGCCTGTGTCGCCGATTGTGGGGAGGATTGGGGATGGGGGTGGTGCGAAGAGTGCGGGTGGGGGTGCGGGAGCGGAGCCGGTGTCGCCGATTGAGAGTGATGACGAGGGCGGAGGGGAGGATACGCAACGGCTTAGTTATGTGTCTGCGCCTAGCGCGCATTTTGACGGGGATGACTTGGTTTCGCCTGTGAGTCCGCACGTGGGGAGGGACGAAGATGGAGATAGTGATGGGGGACGGGTGAGCCCGAGGACGGTTAGTCCGCTTGAGAGTCGACGTGGGAGCGAGGCATCGTAAGATGATGAATCGCGATGCTGGTATTGGAGATTTGGTCATGGTTTATGACGTGTGGTTAAAAGTTTAAGGATGGTTCGTCTATATATACCAAATACATTTCGGTTGCTAGGGGTGCCTATATTAATACCCGGTGGCCTTTTTATGTTACATGATTTCTGTACACCTACCTAGGTGCCTTGACGTTTAATTGAGAATGGTACTGCCATACGCTTGTCGTGAAACCATACCCGAAGGAAGTTGCCGGTAGATAAGATGGACTTGGGATTGTCTTGTGAAATCGTGTAACGTTTTGTGTCATTAGACATAGTAGTACATATTACGAAAGGGGTGTTGAATGAGTTATAGTATTGTCAAGGCTTCTTGTCAAGCACCACGATAATGTCACCAAAAACATCATCTCCAATTTGTTCACAAATAAGAGTCTCCTCTTCCACTGTCATTGTTGATGAAGATCGAGGAACAAGGTTGGTACTGTGTCCCTGCATGGAGGTCTCCTGTCTACCAAGATATAAATGTTAGCTCTTCCCTTTGGCCTTTCAGATTCGATATCTCACTTATATACCGTACTTCATGCTTTCTAGACTATCCAAAGAACCATAATACACTGTAGTTAGATTGTGAAACACTTGAATAAACATGCAACTTTGTCACCTTGTCTCTCTTGGCTTTGCTGCCACTGCGGCCGCCCAGGTCTACCAGGGCTTCAACTATGACTCTGTCAACAGCGATGGGTCATGTCGAGGTTATCCCGATTTTCGAGGCTTCTTTGAACGCGCTAAGAACCTGGCCGGTACCGAGGGCCACTTCACGGCCGCCCGTTTATATACGTCGATCGAGTGCGGCACAACAGCTGACCCCATCTCAGCATTCCAAGCCGCGATCGACACCGACACAGATATCCTCGTCGGACTGTGGGCTAGCGCTGGTCGAAACGCCTATGGGAAAGAACTAAGCGCACTCATTACCACTGCTAAACAGCTAGGGTCTGCTTTCACTGATCGTGTCATTGGTATTAGTGTCGGATCTGAAGATCTCTTCCGAAGCAGCGTTCAGGGTCAACCAGATGATGCGGGAGCTGGTGCTACAAGTGCAGAAATTGAAGGATATATTGGTTGGGTGCGAGATTGGATTCGTGGTACAACTCTAGAAGGCAAGCCGATCGGTCATGTTGATACTTGGTTAGTCCCTCCTTTTATCCACCCTGAGTTAGGGTTGAGAGTGTTGAACTGATCATGATAGGACCTCCTGGGTTGCGCCAGAGAATGCTGGCATCATCTCATCTGTCGACTTCCTAGGCCACAACGCCTTCCCCTACTTTGAGACAACCAGAATCAATGCCATCGAAAAGGCCGCTGACAACTTCTGGTCTGGCCTTAAGCAGACCGAGAGCGTTGCCAATGGCAAATCTGTCTTCATCACCGAGACTGGTTGGCCAACCAGTGAGTTTCCCGAAAAATTATCAATAAGTCTCATATCTTACCTCGTCCCCCTTTTCACGCCCTTTATGGATACCCTAGCTAATCTGTTCGCCGTATAGTGGGTCCCCAGCAACGAGATGCCGTCGCTTCTGTCGACAATACCAAGGGCTACTATTCGCAGATTGGTTGCGCGCTCTTCGGTCAGCGTAATACCTTCTGGTACACTTTGGTTGACTCCAATATGACCCAGACAAATATCTCTTTTGCCCTCACTCCTATTGACAGCGCTGCGCCCAAGTTTGACTTGACCTGCTAATCGCGAAAAGGGGTAGTGCCTAGGTTGGCGTTGCTGAAGAATGAGCTTCACCAATATCATGGACTACATCAATCTGACGGAGCCCGACGGAATAGATAGGGCTTGGAAGAGACTCGTGCCGTGTTGTTAAAGGAAAACAAGAGCTAGGTAGGTACCAACGAACTGGGGTTTAGGGGGTACTCACATTGGTGTAACTAGATGATCGGGTATCTACATGGACTTTCGGCTTTAGCATGTCTCAGCTGTTCATCACTTACGTCAGGGAATCAGCCATCGCCGAATATGTTAGCTTGAAAATTAGCAGATACGGGCAATCATTAGACACCTATCTAGGTACCTATACCTAAGTAAGAACAGCTCTGAGTAGATACCCGCTCACTATGGAATTCATGATCAACCGCGTGATGATTGTATGTCTGGCTGCTTTTCTGACCAAGCTTCATCAGCCGCTTCCTTAGCATCAAACCCCCATAGCCATGGCTGGAAGAACGGGTCTGCAAGTAAATTAGGGTAGCCGGCAGTAGGGTTGTCGTTCTCGGTCACCAACTCCTTATCGCGCTCATCTTTAAGAGGCCCGTCAGCCATCTGCCAAACACGGCCGTTCTTCATACTTGCACGTAGTACGTGACCCACTCTTTCTTTACGCAGTCGATGAAAGATCTCGAGGGCGTCGTTTATCTCAGTCAGAGACTGTGATTTGCCTAGTAGGTGCGCAAGTACTGAGGCAGACTCAAGACCTAAAGCTGCACCCTGCGCTCTGTGCCAAACGATGCCGATTAGCTCAAACATCGCTGATGCGATGACAGATAGTAAAACTTACAAGAATGGCGGAACTTGATTTGCCGCATCTCCGACGATGCAGAACTTGCCGTCGCCACCAATCCATTGTGTCTCTTCGTTAACCATCATTGGCTCGAAAAACATCCAACGCTTACAGCCGGTTCCTAGGCTGATTAGCTCCCTCAATTTCGGATCCCAGTTCTTGAACTGTGCTTTGAACTCCTCAAAGTCGACAACCTGCGAACCAACGAAACTGTCTTTAGGGTCGCACGACCACGGCCACGTAATGGCGATATTCTGCAAGCCACCAAGCCCATAGGTGACGCCATGACACTCGGGACCGAGCCAGGAAAGTATCCTGGGCTGTTCGACGATATCCCGTAGGTTAGGTCGCTCCAACATGAGTTTCTGGTCCACAAGAATCCTATTCACGATTCTCCCGAGGGGCTTGAATTCAGGCTTGCGTCCGGTCAAGGCCTCGCGAACAGCAGAGGTACCGCCATCTGCGCCGATGAATAGGTCGGACTCGAAGTTCTCGGTAGGAACGTCACCGAACTTCAGGATACCGTTCGTTATATCAATGTTCTCAACCGAGACAGTGACGCCGAACCGTACCACGACACCTTGCGCGATAGCTTCGTCATAGAGGATCTCCCGGAAATGCGGGCGATGGATTGAAATCAACGGAGCGCCGTACTTCTTTGACAATCCTTGCAGATCTAAAGTGTGCAGCGCTTTGCCTGTCTTGTAATCTTGTAATATCATCGATTGGGGCAAAACACTCTTGGTCATGATTTTGTCGTAGATGCCAAGATCTTGCAGTACGCGAACGGCATTTGGATGCAACTGAATACCGGCCCCGTACTATAGAGCGTCGTTTAGCAAAACTTCAACATCAACTTTTCCTAAGGGGTGCAACTTGCAGTCGTGAGGACGGCATCCTTCTCAAGTATTGTCACTTTGAAACCGTAGCGACGCAGAAGGATTCCACCAGCAAGGCCTACGATTCCAGCCCCTATAATGCATATGTGGAATTTAGAATGGAACCCGGAGCCTGTTGTATCTGCTGAAGAATGCGAATTCATAATGAAAATGCAAGCCTTGCTTTATATTTAAGAGATCTGTTATAGAGTACCCTGGTAGGTAAGTACTTTTGACCCGGACGGATCTATCCGACCCTTATATAACAGGTAGTAGACGTGCCGGCGACCGGACCATCCACGCAACCCTTAACTCCCGCTCCTGGAATGTGTGAAGGATGTCTCAGTCCGGTATTCCCTATTTGCCCATTATCTTCGAGAACCTTACACTCAGAATTTACCGAGGAGGCGCTAGCTACCGTCGGAAGAAGCGAGGTATCTTTATCCTCAATGGACTGGTGATACAGGGAACATTGAGTAGGTATACTTCTTAGAAGTCGCCAAGTTTGAGCCTACCGAATAGGAGGACTCCCTGTCTGTCTTTCTTTTCCCTGTCCATCGATGAGTCCTTGACGAGCGCCTAGCTCACCCCCCCCCCATAGTCATTACATTTCTCTTAAACTCACGTTCAAATACCATATGTCGATTATTTGGATTATTGAGAACCTAATACCGATTGTCTTATTTGGTCTACTATAGCATAGCGATACGGTACCAACATTCAGCTTCGCTGTGCTCACCGAGCGTGCGTGAATCCTCAGATTTACGCGGCTATGGCGTTTATTATGAACAGCGTGTACGACACCAAACAGAATGACTTTGTATTGTTGATCAATGTTCACTAGTTCTCTCTGGTTCGGATTTGAAAAGTACCTACCTAGGCACTGGTACTTTAAGCTGCGATTGGTGGTGTAACATACATAGATTAGGTGGTTTGAACAAAGAGTCAATATCCCTTGCGTCTGACAACACCACGTTGGGTACCTACCTAGATATGCTACTCCGTATGGATATTGCTGGTAGGAAAGGTGTCGTCCTTATACAATTCGAACTATTAGGTACTCGCTTCCATCCCATCATATTTATCTTCATTCTCGTAAATTCATTGCTCGTTAAAAATGGCAAGCTCTAGTTTCATCTCATTGCTTACGAGCAAACTCTCTTCGAAGTCCAAGGTCCTTGGGGATCCGACATCGCCAGATTTCGTGGCTTCTATGGCCCGTTGGTCCAACCTAGGCGTCAAGACACCATTTGCCATCGTACAACCGGCAACGGGCGAAGACGTTATAAAGACAGTTCGCGAAGCCCTGAATGCCGGTGTCCCGTTCGTGCCTGCATCAGGCGGCCATAGCCCGTGGTCAACAATCGGTAAAGAGGGAATCGTCGTAGATCTGGCCCTTTATAAGGGCGTTGAAGTGTACCCACAGAGGCGTCTGGCTACTGTCAAAGGGGGCACACTGATGAAGGATTTGCAATCTGTATTGCACCCTCATAAGCAGTTCACCGGTACGTGTTCGAGAGGGAGCATCGACTATGTTGTTGAACATATGTTTCAAATGACTGTCCCATGAACTCCTACTTATCTACGTATTTGTAGCTGTGGGCAATGGGAGTACAGTCGGCGTTATTCCATATTACCTTGGCGGCGGCATCAGTACTTGGTATGTTATCAACTACCCACTGTAACGAAATTCAATTCTTCCTTAATCGAACTTCGTGTGCTTTTTACCACTAATCAAGAAGTAGTACGTAGTGATAATCCTCCCCTTTCCCGCTTCATTGGAATGAATTAAAAGGGGAGAAGCAGAGAGACAGCCTAGCCTATTAGACCTTTCTCGATCTATATGACTGCGACGAGAAGACTGTTAACAGATAGACATTAGATACTCCGTTCATCGGCTTCGCATGCAAGAACATCGTCTCGGCGAAGTTTATCAATGCTCAAGGCGAGCTCATAGATGTTTCAGAGACCGAGAACCCCGAGCTCTTATGGGGCATTAGAGGGGCTGGACAATTTCTCGGCTTAGTCACCGAGCTAACTATCAAGACGTACCCATACTCGATTCTGGGCAACGACAATGGGCAGCGGATGTGCGGTACCTATATCTTCCTGCCTACGCAGCTGGATGCCGTCTGCTCTGCCTTACGTAAAATCGCAGAAAGTTCCCAATACGTGTCATCAGGTCACTGTATGATCGTACAAGCACCCCCTGACATGAAGCAACAAGTCCTCCTAGTGGCGCCGCAGATATTCTGTTCGGCTGAGGAGGCTGCGGTCTTCTTCCAACCCCTGATCGAAATAGGTCCCGTCCAGCAGGCCCTAGTCCCGTCCACCTTCGAGAAGCATAGCGACCATCTCGATTGGATATGTGCCGAAGGCGATTTCAAGCGCTTCAACCAAATAGGGCTTCCAAGCTGGAGCACCGAAAATTTCAAGCGACTTGCAGAACTGCATGCCGAATTGATAGCCAGCTGCCCCGACGCCGTACGTACGGGATACACTCTGGAGTGGCATACGCCATGTAAGGCGGAGAGGCAAATGAAGTCGTCGTTCGGACACGAGAACGTGGATTGCTGGCTGTGAGTTATTCCCGACTTTCTTAACCCCGATACGACACTGGCGTCGTAGAAAGTAATGGTCCTAATTTGCCATGTCGCTACCTAGTAATTTGTTGAGTTGGTACACGGACGCTGCCAACCACGAGTTGGTTCGTAGCATGGATCAGAAGGCACAGGCCGCGATGCGCGCTGGCACTCAACAAGATGACTTTATTTCTTACACCAACACGACGCGAGAGGATCCACTAGAGTATCGCTACAAGGAAGCTGATAGAATTGAAGGGCTGAAGAAACTGAAGAAAGAGTTTGACCCCACGGGAGTATTCACCAAGGAGCTTCTTTAGGCGTAGGTAGATCGTAAATGAGGGTTCCAGATGTAGGTTGGGTAGAAAAGACGGATGTGAAGTGGACATCAATAGAAAAGAGGTTTGCATAAAATTGTACAAATATGTGGATATCATGTGACTTGTGTGACCTGCGGAACTAACGTCACCCCCTGTCGACCATTACCCGAGACTGTCTCCACATTTATCCCCTTTGTTTAGTCCAAATCCCCCCGAAGATGATGTTTCGAATTCCTGCTCGTCTCATCAATTACTACATATTCGAAAGAGGTCATGAAGTGAGGCGAGAATCACTCACGGCCTTATGCTTCACACCTCACACTCTAGGGGGTTAAATCATGACCCGTCTAATCAAACAAACAGCGCCGATCCGGCCACCTGATAACTTCGTCCCGGGCCGGAAGCGCCAAGCAAACCTCCGATATGTCTACACTCTCACTGCCTTCGTATCTGTCGGGGGCTTCCTCTTTGGCTGGGACCAGGGGGTGATGGCCATGATTATCGCAGACGAACGTTGGCTAAACCTGATGCAACCCTCTAATGATTGGAGCGTGGGCTTTGTCATAAGTATCTACAATATCGGCTGTGTTATTGGCGCGTTGACCACCGGGTTTTTCGCAGATGCGTGTGGCCGCGAGAGGACGATATCCCTAGCAAGCACAGTATTCATCATTGGCGCGTTAATTCAAGCCGGTTCTTACACCATTGCGCAGATTGTAAGCACCGAATTCGCTCCTTTCCCCGAATAAATGCATTATGAAAGTAGGCCTGATTTTAATCCCACTAGAGCGTCGGCCGCTGGGTGCTCGGACTCGGCGTTGGCGCATATTCTGCCGGTGTTCCGCTCTACATATCGGAGATCTCTCCGGCTGAGCTCCGCGGTAGGATTGTAGGCATCGAATTGATGATCCTTTGCTTCGGTGAAATGGTCGTGTTCTGGACCGTCTACGCTTTCTACTTCCTCGACTCCGACGATTGGTGGCGTCTCCCGCTCGCCATTCAGGTCGTGCCCGCTCTTATCCTTGCCGTGGGCTGCTGGACGTGGGTACCTCCTAGTCCTCGCTGGCTTGTTGCCGAAGAAAGATACGAGTGTGCACTCGAAGTCCTCTCAAGGCTCCATGGTTCCGAGGTGGCCGAGCTTGAAATTAGCGAGATTCGGAAGACTGTCTCTGAAGAGCAAGTCGTTACACAGGCCACTTGGTCAGACATGTTCAAGCCTCCGGTCTTACGCGTCACTCTGTTGGGTATTGTAATCCAGATGTTCCAGCAAATAACAGGAACGAATGGTATCTTCTACTACGCCCCTTCGCTATTCAAGAAAGGAGGGATTACGGATCCTACCATGGCTAATCTAGCCACTGGAGGTATCGGTGTAGTGCTGTTTCTCAGTTCTTGGATACCAATTTTCTACTTTGATCGCTTTGGACGTAAGACCTGGTTTCAATTTGGTCTTGTAGGCATGATCTTTGCTCTAATTGGAATTTGTGTTCTACAACAACACGCATTGGACTACCCAAGTAGCCCGGTCAATAATGCTATTGTCATCTTTCCGTATATCTTTTATACGTTCTTCAACATGAGTTGGAGTTCGGGCTCATGGACCTATGCTGCCGAGATCTTCCCGATATCTCTGCGCGTGAGTAAATATCCAGCTATTGAACCGTATATTGCTAATCTTCTAACCTAGGCGAAAGGCAATGCGCTATGTACCGCCTCCCTCTGGATGTCGAACTTCGTAGTAGCTCAAGTATCTCCTCCCATTGAGAGTGCTACAGGTTATGGTCTTTATGTGCTATTTGCAGTTATCTGCGTCATAGCATTCTTCTTCGTGCGTTATGTTCTTGGTAAGCTGTCCCAGTAATAATGCATCTAGTACGTACGCAATTTAACAGCTTGTAGTTGAAACGAAGGGTCGGTCACTCGAAGAGATGGCAGAGCTTTTCGGAGTCGACGGGAACGAGAAAGATCAAAATTCACAAGATTCGGCAAGGGAAGGTAAGTACATGGTGAGCCAGTTCCTTATCGTAATGAAGTGCTAATCCAATTTTTTTGTGGCAGGATTGCTCCAATATAACCCAAGAGATGAAGATGCTACATTAGTCGACGATGACTCGGAAAATATCCCTTAAGTACCTACTTACTATTGTACATGACGATCCGTAGCAATCTAAATTTGAGCTGTATCGTAAGTATTACACTATGTATACGATAACATGCCGTCAGGACCCTCAGTGCCACACGGGGGCGACAGAAAGTTGTTGTGGTAGGGTTATCACTGTAAATTTTGGGTTGAGCTGCAAAAAGATTAATAATACCTACTAGTCTTAATGATTGGTTGATTTCCCCTATTTTAGGCAGTCCTTGCGAATTCGACAATAGTACCTAGTCAATGCAAACAAAAACGGGAGCTCAGACGTGCGGTCACTGTGCTTCAGCAGCACTTTCGGCCTTGATCTTAGCTTCGTATTCCTGGAAGTTCTTAGTTCCCTTCGGCATGCCATTCCACATCAGACCCTGCTCATCCATCAACACCGCTCTTGTCTCCATGATCTTCTTCCACGATGGCAGTGAAGTCATACGCTCATGCCATGCCTTGACATTTGGGAAGCCGTCGAACTTGTTCGGCTCGGGAACGCCGAGCGAAGTGTCGACCCGGTCATTCCAGGGCACCCAGGCCATGTCAGCGTAGGTCATCTTGTCGCCTACGAGCCACTGCTTTCCCTCGAGGTAGCCCTCTAAGACGCCGAGAACACGAAGGACTTGTTTCGTGTACCGGTCAATAGCCGAAGGAATCTTCTCGGGATGCAGGTGAATGAACCTACGTTTATGAGTATGGGATTAGTCACTCAAACATTGGCGGACGCGTCACTTACCAGCCAGCTGCGCCGTAGTAAGGGCCTTGGCCACTCATCTGGAAGTGTAGCCACTGGTTCAAAAGATGCTCCTCCGGAAAGCTGGTGTATGTCAGAAGGTTCTTGGTATCGTATTGCTTGATGATATAAGTGATGATAGCCCCTGACTCCCATAGCGTTAAGCCGGTATTTGGGTCCTCTATGACCGGAACGCGGCCATTTGGGTTAATATCAGTCAGAGGCTTCTTCTTGACATCGTCAAATCTTATAGACTTGACTTCATACGGCACCTGAAGATGTTCAAGAACGAAGAGCACCTAAAATGGGGTTGGTATAAGAGCTATCAAGCTTCACCTAGGCTAAAGTTCTGCTCAACCTTACCTTCCACGGATTAGGTCCAGGAGCTGTAAGTCAGTTAGCAGGAATCACTGAGAAGGGATCAGGCATGGATCGCTCATGATAGACTTACGAGTTACCCATACGCGAATAGGCTGAGTCATGTCGTCACAGGTTCTTAGAAATAATAAGTATTTGAATCGATAGATTGAAAAGCTATGGATTGTCAAGACAGAAAATAATCTCAAGTACGGGGGTATGAATGTTCTTTCTACTGATATTTTTATGGATGAAGCTCTAGAACAAAGAACGGCAAGGGATGATAACATACTGTATGTTGGGAAGCTATTATCCACACTCTTTACGTATAAGGTTGCGTATGCAGGTAAATGTGCTCACACCAAGTCTATGAATAACCCGTGCAGCCCGTGATATTTTATTGTGTTGGAACGTATGCTAGCTTTCCTTGGGTATCATTTCAGATCAGGAGAGGGACATAAGGGAGTGATTAAGGCAAATGAGGTGTCGGGTCTGCGTACTACAACGAATGAATTTATCAAGGAGGTGACCAACAATCTGTAGGTGCGTACAATCGTCAAAAGCTCGTGGCAGTTCTCTAGGTATGAGTTAGCCACTACATTATCACATTATCCCGAGACTTAACGGGTTCTACCAAATATTCTTCAAGGGGGACACCGTGGACGCATCCGATTGGATCATATTTGAAGTTAGTAAAATGATCAGAATCCCTAAGACTGAATATCATTAAGTATGCAGTTGGCAAAGTAAAACAATGCACTAACAAGCGACACATGTGATTTTATACAATCCAGATATACCTAGGTAGGTAGGTAGGTAGGTATGTAAGATGAAATCTACCCGAGAGGTCCGTCATCTCTCTTGATATTTCTTAATATTTAGTACCTACTTCTATCTGCTTATACTTCTATTTTAATCATGCCCCAAAAACAGCTTTAGCAATGATATTGCCAACACTATCCATTCCACTAGGTTGATTCCCTTCTTAATTCGAAGCCTAGGGATAGGGATACTTAACCTTGTCCTCAACCCCCAACCCTGGAGGTCATTAGTCCATTTCTTAACTACTTTATCATCGTTTCTGGGGCGACACGGTCTGAACCTCCTGAATAAGCACCATCACATTAATTGATATCCATATATGTCGGACGCAACTTCTACCACTATCGAAAAGGCGCCAGCTCTGATCACAACAGGGCTTGTAGCCGTTACCGTTATATTCCCAATATTATCTCTAATAGGGATATGTTTTCGTTACAAAGTTCAGCGCCGCCCGGGACAGCATCTTATGGCAGACGATTGGTGGCTTGCGGTCGCATGGGTCAGTCGAGGGTCTTGGAAGATGTCACTTACATGATATCACTAAACTAACATTGAAAAGCTCTCCGCATTGGCCATGAGTATAATAGTATGGACTTTTGCGGGACTTGCAGGCGTCAATTTCTATACTATCGATCTGTCGACTGCTACTAGAGATGCCAACTTGGTACGTATATTCTAGGACTCATTCGAGTATGCTATAGTAATGAGAAGCTAACAAATCGACTTAATAGTGTCTTTGGATCGCTAGTTGGTTCAACCAGATTGCTTTGACAACGGTCAAGATCGCTCTTCTCCTCTTCTATAAACGAATATTTTCTGTGAAGAGTTTCCATGTTGTCGTATGGATTGCGATTTCTGCCGTTTCATGCTGGGGCATAATATTCTTTTGGGTAAGAAACAAGAGAATCCAATCTTCGCACAATGTCCAAGAGGCCAAGCTGACAATAGGAAGCTCACGATCTGCTGGGGCAAACCCATCTCTAAAGCATACACAGGAGTGGGTATATGGCGGTATGATGTTACCGCAACTAGTCTGGCAAATGTTGGATGCAGCATCTGCCTCGACATCCTCGTACTATGTTTGCCCCTATTCGTCATCTCTAGGTTACGTTTACCTACGAAGGAGAAGATTGCTATCGCTCTGATCTTCTGGCTCGGTATTTTGTATGTGTCAATCCATTTATATAATCGATCTATACTAACGAAAGATATACAGCTGCTGCGTCTGTTCCATTGTGAGGCTTGTCCTTTTGCACAAGGTGCTATATGAGGTCGTTGACTCGGCGGGCAACATTGGTACGCTATCCCAGGACATATTACAGATAACAAATGTAATTCTGATCCTTATAGGTGTTCAATCTACGCAATCCTGCTTCTTGATCATCGAGCCTCATTGTTCTATTATTGCAGCATGTCTGCCTTGCTATGGCCCGCTATTGGCCGGTATGAGAGGCCCTGAGTCGATGCTACATAGCTTTCGCTCTATCTTCTCACTTCAAAGCATGGATGCAACACATTCGAATAACAGAACCCGCAAGCCAGAGGAAAACGCAACAACCATATGCATCACGCGAAAGTTGCCTTAAGGAATTACTACTATTGTCAACAAACCTGAGTTGCCCTGAGCCCTCCTGAGCCGGTGCTGCTTTGACCTGAGCCAAGGGTGAGCCTCCGGCACAGACCCAAGTTCCTTATTTTTGGCCATATTGGTTAAAATTACCGCTTATAAAAAGTAAAACCACATACTTACATAGTGATTGTGGGGGTCCTTAATTTGGGTATATAATTATAAAGGCTTGTAATTTTTAATTTATTAAAAAACATTGAAATAGTTTTTTAACGAAGTTTTTATATAATATTAATTTAAATAAACGGAAAATTTAATTAAATAAAATAAAAAATATTTTAAAATTATTTTAATAATAATTTATTAAATTTATTTATTAAAATTATAACACGTGGTTTTAATTAACGAATTAAAATTTTATAACCCGTACGATTTAAAATAAATTATTTTAATTTATTTTTATTATTTACGTAATATAATTTTAATATAATATATAATTAATTTAATTAATATATATTTTATATACGTTATTAATATATTATTTAAATTTTATTAATATTATTAATATTTATTTTAAAAAATAATTTATTTAATAAATTTTTAAAATTTTTTTTATAACGTAAATATTTTAAAATTAAATCGTAAAAAAAAATAATTTAAATAATATTTTTTTATAATTTTATGGAAATAATTTTTAAATAATTTTTTATTAATTATTATATTATTTTTATTTATAATTATTATTTTTATTTATTTATTTTATATTTTTTAAATTTTATTTTATAAATAATAAATAATTAATAATATTAATAAAAAATATAATTTTTTATTATATTATTATTATTTTAAAAATATTTTAATATAATTTTTTAAATATATAAATATAAAATTAAATATTTTTATTTAATTATATAATAAATGTTTTTTAAAAAATTATTATTATTTAAATTAATAATAATAAAATTATAACCGTAAAATTATTATTAAAATATAATATAAAAATTTAATAAATTAAATAAAAAATATAAATAAAAAAATTTCCGTTATATACGTATTTTAATAAATTATAATAAAATATAAAAAAAAATACCGGGGAAAATTAAAAAAATATTTCGTAATAATTTTAAAAAATAAAAATATTAAAATATTTTAAACGCCGTTATTATAACGGTCCGTATTTTTTTAATGTAATTTAATTTATAAATGTAATTTAATTTTTATAAAATTATATTTTTAATAATTAATGGAAATAACCCGTGCGTTTTATTTAAAGTTATTTTAATTTTTATAATGCCACGCATTTTTTTATAAATTTTTTTTTCCTTAAATTTAAATAATTTAATAATTAATTTAAAACGTTTTAAATTAAATTTTATTATATATAATTAATTAAATTATTATAATTATTTAAATTATTAAATTTATTAATTAACCGTTAAAAATAACGGTTAATATAATTTAAATTAATAATATAATATTTTTAACGTTTATATAAATAATTTATTATTTTTAATTTTAATATAAATAAAATATTTTAATAATATTAAATTTATTAATAAAATTTTTAAATTTATTATATTTATTATATTTTAATATTATTTTAATTATATATAATGCTTTTAAAAAAATAACTTTTATATAAATAACATATTTTTTATATAAATATTAAAGTTAAGCTTTTATTTTCGTCGCGTTTTTTATAATTATACGTCGGAAATACGAGTTTAATCTAATATAACAAGGCGGCTAATGGTTGGTTTAAATCGCAAGGAGGTATTTCAATTTATAGTTTCTATTCTCAGCTCTGTTAGACATTTCACGACGGCCAGAAAAATCGAGCGGCCAGATGAGCCTTTTGCAAACATGCCCAAACGCGATAGAAAGTTAGTGAAAGAGAAAGAATAGCGTCGGCGCGTATCATCACGAGGGCTAATGGATGAGCCATCAGGCTCGGGCGGGTTAAAACAATTGAACCAACAAAGAGGGCTATGGAATATATAACACGTTCGCGATCAAGAAGATAGAGGGGCGGAAAATTATATAAGTCAGGGTCGCCTTGCTCGACATCTTAACATTCAAATCGGAATATCATCATCATCATCATCACAGTACTTCAACCGTCAACAACCATCCCTAACATCACCAGACTGTACACCTTTCTGAAGCCATTCCTTCTCAAGTCATCCTAGCCCAGAAACATACTCGACTATAAACTTAATACTGTCTCTTGAAGCCTTCGGGATCGAAAAAATCAGAATCTTCTTCACTAGCCAGGCTCCTAGCCAAGCCCAAGTACGTGTATACGGGCCCCATCAGGATCCCTCAAATTCCGCCCTTCTCTCTATTAAAGTGTCCCTCAGTCTTGCAGTGACTGACTTGACTTGCAGTCAAGCAAGCAATAAATATGTGTGCAGGCATCGAGACTTATTACACGTGTGGTTGCACTTTTTTCAAGCCAACACAGACCTGCCCCAGGCCTTGCGCTGAGGTCCACACCACAATCTCCTCAGTCAATCACCCCCGCTTTGAGCATATGACGCCACCGTAAAACGCGCGGGAGTACCGGACGGGGAGATAATTGGGATGGGATCCTTCTAGGACAAGCACTCTGTTTTTTTATAAGGCCGATGAATGTTCTAAGTCTCCCGCCGTAGGTCCACCCAAATTTGAATAGGCAGTGCAGTTGAGAACCTTGGAACTAGGAGGGGGGAGGGATTTTGTCCGGCTAGGAGAACGCTCAGTTAACTTATATCACTCATTATAATTTCGTGAGGGTTTGGAAACTCAGGACCTTCTTTGGTTTAGCTCCTCGTGGATCGAGACTACATGGGGATGGAGGGCAGAAAATCGTGCCGGTGCTTCACAGGCAGCAGGCTGCTAGTTAGTACCAGGCATGACTACATGCTCCTTTGCAAAGTCACCTTCAACTTAGATAGAACATAATAGCCACTCGTTTAGAATAACCACACTCATTCGTTTCTCCATTATTCGCACATATGGTCTTCGTAGTGCTCTACTATCTACTGCCTTTTCACCGCTTCTATGTTGAAGGCCGCGGGAGTTCAAGTGTGGAGTGTGCTAGATACCTATCTTGGTGGGTAGTATCACGGAATCAGCGAGAGTTGGCTGGTAGGTAGAGCTGTGTGTCGATATGGGGTCGAATGAAAAGCATGCACCCGAACCCCCGAACGTCATAATTCCTGCCGACGGCTTCAAACCTGCCTGCCTCCGTAATCACTCCCAGTCTGCTTAGCCACAAAACATTTGGCATCATAATAGGGCCTTGAACATTAGGTAGCCTTTCTGATGAGCATGACCAGATCTCCGAAGCACTCGTGATCGGGAAACTTAGTTTCGACATACTCGTTCTCGATCATGGCTTTTACTCTCGGACTATATATAGAGAACAGCGACAACGTTAGATTCTAAATAATTATATCACAGCGTGGGCTTAAAGGATATGATATCTGACTGCAAGGGAATAGGTCTGAGCTTACGTTACGGCGCAATAAGGATGAGGTCCTCGCTTCTTATCCCAGATAATCAAAGCTGGACGGCATATGTCAGCTACGATGTCGGCGACCGGAAGGTCAGCGTTGATGCACACGAGAACGCTGGACTCGTCCAGCTCTAGCCATGCTTGCGGATCGTTTAGGACGGTGAACCCGGCCGAGCGTAAAATATCCGTATCTCGTTGCGTATAGGCCGGATCCTGGACATACGGCTGGGTGGGCGACGCCGCGTCGAGCAAAAACCCGCGTCGAACTAGGGTTAAACGAAGGTCGGAGACAAGCGAGTGATGAAGAACCCGGCGTTTACTTACTTGCGACTGAAAGACGAGTTTTCCCGAAGCAACGGCAATAACCTTAGTTAAAGGGAAGGGTATTTCGATGTTAGATAGCACTTCTTGAAGTTGCGCGTAGTGTTCGGTTGTTTTCCAGTGTCGCTCGATGGCCCGGTATGTGTTTAGGTCCTCTTCCGGCGCTGCGGGCCGCTGCAGTTCTAAGGAACAACTCTTCAGATTTTTCTTTTGAATCCTAACGATAGAGCCAATCCTCATGGGGAGGTAAGCCGACTGGAGATCGAATATTGCTACGTCCGGATACTTGAAGCTAGTAAGATATTCGATAGCGCAGTAATGAATGACCCTTATCTCAAAATTTTAGGAAATACATAGAGTAGCTTCCGGACGGAGTTATCTTACCAGGCTGGATCGCTGCAAATCTCATTCTCCCTCGGAGGTCTGCGAATTGGAGGTGGGACAAATACTTCATAATCGACTCCATTAACCCCCCTCATCGTGATGTTTCCACCGTTGTTTCGGTCACCATTCTGAAAACGGTGTAGCTCTTTGCCAACTTGACGTATGTTATCTTTTGTGAAAATCGGGGTACCGGCATCATAGATGGACTGGATTTCACGAAAGAGTAAGTCCATTTGCACGAGTTTTTCCTTGTCAGCTGGTCTCGTTCTGGGTCCCATTATATATAGTATACCCAGGTTGTTTTCCTACCTAGGTGTATATAATACTATTGGATATATTTTAGATTACCTAGAAGTGGTAAGTGCTCGAGATTTATCTCGGGTTCTTATGTCGCGCCACGTTTTTATGGGAAAAGGTCTTTCAGGTCTGTTGGTAGCCCGTTTCCAGTTCTGCCTCGCAGATCGCCTTGAAAGCAGTAACCTCCAGGGCTGTTCACCTAACATACATAACCCCTTGTACATAACCTAAACCACTAGCCTAAAATAGTAAAGATCAGACGTCGGATAGGCTAAAATAGCGTCTTAGATTCGAACTGCCGCTCTTTACCGCCTTCCGTTCTGCCACCTGATCCCACCAGTCCCACCCTCCTTGCGCCACCCTTTCCTGCAACCTGTTTTTCAAAACGCGATAACAACCCCGGTTCAAACAAACATATCGCAAATTATTCCAATCTATGGCCTCTAACCATGTGACTTGACTTACTAGAGCCAAAGCAAGAAAGGTTCACACATAACCGACGATAATTCGAGACGCACGTATATACCATTCGCCCTTTATGAAAATTCCATGATGAATAACGAAGCCGAAGGCAACGCCGATCAACCAAGTAGTAACAGCGATTCATGTCTCGTCCATAACATCAGCGGCTGAAATACATATTAGTGAAGCGTAAGACGACGTAGGTGGTCAGGGCATGTATTTAAAACTACCTGAGCATCCCCTGGATAACGCCTGATCAGGCCTAAGTAAAGCTGGTGCGAAGGGTAGGGGTCTGAAAAGGGCAACTTTCGGATGATATAACAGGTAATCAATAAATACACTATAACCCTCAAGTTGATCCAGAACAACGCAACGAAAATCGGATTTCTCGTCAAAAAGATCATAATGCTACCGTATATCATTCAAAGGAAGACCTTACGTCACATAATGTCAGCAATGTGCTTAAACATAGCCAGGAATCGATCACGGTGACAGAGGGCCGTGATGTTAATGATTCTTGTAAGATAGTTTGAGCTTTTTTGATAGCGGTATGTCCTTGACTTAAAAGTAAAGCACATGGCATTACAATGCAGCTTCATGGCAAACGCACGGTGTAGGATATTGTTTTCGGTATCTAATTAAATACTCTTCATATTGGATTCAGGTTAATATTTGGAGCAGCATCCAGTTCTTAATAGCGATTTTATAGGCAATCATATGACTCTATTGATCCCTAATAGGTTCTTTCGTTTTATTTATACAGATATATATACGTGTGCATGCCTATCTATTACCTAATCAAATCCGCAGTACACATGAATGAAACATGTAGAAACACTGATTAATTAATTATATGCATAGTAATCATGTCTACCTAGGTGGTAAACTACAATGGTGGTATTTATGACTTTGGGTTTAAACTTGAACTACTATTGCGCGAACAATACCTGTATAAGAGTATAGGTAAATTCCCTTAAGAACTCGTAGAAATCATATAGGTTAACCAATCAGCGTTGATAAAAAATTGCGCAATTACAAAATTAAATAGGTATCTAGGTAATTAGATGGCAAGATCGTCAATAGAGCTCAAGCTTCAGGGGTAAAACCTCAAGTCACGAGTCACAAGTCACTCAAATCTCCAATACTTTTGTTTAACTCATATTTTATTAGGTACTAGACTCCTTCCTCCGCCAGACAATCTCAGCTAATTACTGTGAATCAGAAAGCCATGTTGCCAAAACCAGAAACCCTCCATGAACCCTTTTTTTTTATACCTTTTCCTCCCTAGTAAGTGATCGTCAGACGCCGTATCGATGCAAAGTGCGAAGTGTCATTCTGCCTCATCGACCCCATAAACTCCATGCTAGGAAAGTGACTTGAACGTCGTGAAGTCGTATCATTCCACCATCATTCCGGATCGGATAGGAAGAAAGGAGCGCAAAGGTTTTCGTCCGGTGACCAAAAGGAGCGAAAAATTGATTGTAGTAGTAGTAGTGACGATGGTGGAATAGGGTGTCAGGGTTGATTAGATAACCCCTTAGTTGACAGCGATGCGGCGTCCCTCCGGCTTCTTCGACTTGGGCACCACGACGCTGAGGATACCGTTGTTCAGCGAGGCGTTGACGTTGTCCGTGTCGACGCGGCTGGGGAACTGGAAGGTACGCGAGAACTCGCCGACGCTGCGCTCCGAGACCCAGAACTTGTGCTGCGGCTGCTGTTGCTGCTGCTGCTTGTTCTGCTCGGCCACCTTGCCCTTGTCGGTCTGGGTTACGGTGGTGCTGGTGGGGGCGCCCTCGGTGTCATCCTCGACGGTAGGCTGGTGCGCCTTGTCGTGGTGCTCGGCCGCGCCGCCCTCGGTAATAGCGGCCTTCTCCGGTGTCTTCTCGAGGAGGCCGGCCGGCGGCGTGCCGGATTGGTAGGTGCGCTCGACGCGGCCGCGCACGACGATGGTCTGCGGGTCCGTGAACTCCACGTGCACGTTCTCCTTCTCGATGCCAGGCAGCTCGCCGTGGAGCTCGTACGTGTTCTCCGTCTCCTTCAGGTCGAACTTGGGCGTGAAGGTCGGGAGGTGGCGGCCGTGGCGGCCGCCCTGCTGTGCGGCGGCGGCGCCGTCGGTGTTCTGCAGGGCGTACTTGTCGAAGTCGTCGATGAGACGGAAGAGACCCGTGAAGTTGGGCTCAGCGGGAGTGTAGAATCGAGGACCGAACATCGACATTTTGGATGTAGTGTGGAAGTTGTTGTGTGGTTGTAGAGATGTAGTAGTGGTGATTGGTTTGAAGTGCTTGGAAGCTCTGGTGAGTCTTTGCGGGTTTACTTTAGAAGTAATAGCGCGAGTAGATTGCATAAAACGTTTTGTTGTTTGTGTGTTTGTTTGTTGTTTTGCTTTGTGTCTGATCTGAGGAACGAGGGAAGAAAGTCTCGAGATGTCTGAGGCTGCCTTAAATAATTGAGAGGCAGCAGCAAATGCAAACAGATGCACTTTCTACGATGTTCAGGAAATAACTATGGAGTTACGAATTGAATAATCATTGGAACGATCCAAATTCATCTGGAATGAATTGGATGCTTCTATTAGGTAGTAATTACGATGGCATTACGAGACGATAACGTTCTTTCTCGTTGTCGCAGCGACAAGTCGTCTCACGATAGTACGTGAAGTTGTGAGAATTCACCAGAACATTCTACAACGTCCCACACAACGTACCGAACTTTGTCTGCCAACACAACCTCATCGTACGATCTAACTGTAAAACTTCGATTCTTGGGGACTACTGTGTCAACATGATGAATCATGAAAACGTTGTATTTTACACATATCCGCACCATCTTAGACGACTGATGAATTGAATCGAAGATGTTGTTAGTGACAAGATACTTTCGATGCGGATGGAAGAAAGGGGGTGGGGTGTGTATCGAAGAATTATGCTTACATAAGTTGTAAAGTACATGTAGCGAAGTATATATGTACGTAGGCACATGAAGCCCCAAGAACCTTGGAAGTTTCCAAGACTGTGGCTTCTGTGGCTAGGAGCTTAGGCTTGCTGATCGGGAATTTTTCGGTTGATCATTATGTCATCATGGGGCTGTGGTGGCGGTGCGAAACTTGGAAGTTGGGGCTTGTCAGGATTATTCAGATTATTCAGCCCTAGGTGGCTCTCTGCTCGCCAGGTGGTCCTTGCTTTCGACCGATCATCCCAAGCGCTAAAGGGCTTGGCAGGGGACCCATCTTGGCCCGCCGTGACGTCATTCTGTATATCGAATCAATTGCGGGTGGTTTCTAATTATTATCTACTTTCATTTCTCCATCTCGGTCGCTCAAATCTACCCATCTTCTACTAGCAGCTTACGTAGTAGAGCTTGTACATCGATGTAGATCGCGGTTCTAACCATCCCTGCCGCCCCCGCATGCATGACAGAAAATGGCAATTACTCGAGTGAGCACGTGAATATGAGGGGCGCTTAGCAGGGTATGGGCATGTATCTTGATGTATGTATAGAATGCTTGTTTACTTGCGATGACGTTGGTCTGCAGTTCCATTTTCTTGCGATACCACGGTTCTCCTACTCCGGAAATGACGCCGGTGGCTACTCTCTCCGACGCTGGTAGATTATTCTGGCAAGTCTAGCAGAAATATGTCATCCCAGGCCATCCCAGGCCATCCCAGGCCCCATCCACGGATCTAATGTACCGAACAAGGGGCTTCCCTGGCGGGTTGTCTCGGGCCATCCGAAGGACCCTGGATGTTGTCTAAGTCGTCTTTCGGGGTAATGATATTCGTGATAGTTCACACTTCATGCCTCGGGGAAGAGATTACTAGGTGCTAAGATGCAGCAACAACACACCGACACATACGGCCCTGGAGCTGTACAAGCTGTACAAGCTGTACTACTAGTTGTCGTTGTACACACAACAGCTGTACACACATCCATCTCACATCCATCAGTACGAATACCATCAAAGTACCATCATCATCACGAGTAGCATGAGCAGCATGAGCTATAATCCAACCCATCTTGGCATTCTTCCCAAACACGTATGCATCGTTCGATAATGACGATAGTTATGCAAATGGCGTTTCCGTCGTGTTTCTTCTTCATTATACCGGTACTATAGATCAACCGCAACCATGGCATCGCTGTGGGGCGCTATCTATAGTACAATATCATGAAGGCGCCAAGCGCCACTTTTTTTGTCGTTCCCCCTCGACAGCGTGTATATACAACGACCAAGCTGTACCTTCGGACCAGCATTCTTCTTTTGCTCGCTTGCTTGCTACGCTCAGCATAGCCAGCCGAGGCTAGCTCGACAATTTTTTTTCTTCTTTCGCCACCTCCCTGGATTTCGGCGGGTTTTGCGCCCACTATACGGGGTCACGCTCATCCTCATCGGTACGGGGGAGGCATGGGCGGTGGAGGATATCCAGCGACGATGGGTATACCGGGCCTCGCTCCCATGATTGGACCGGGACTTTGAATGCGGTTGAATAGCCCGATTAGTCTTCTGCCAACAGACGGCTCCAATTCAGTCCCATCTCTTGCTATCTTGACCTCCCTGTTAGAATTCCAAGGGTTTCGTAGTCCGCGTGTTCGGTAAAAAGGGAGTCGCGTAGTCGAGAGCCACTCGAGCTTGAATGGTTTGCCCCATGCCTTATTAGACCCTCCTTCGCCTTCCTGGGCGCTCTTAGCGCTTGCCGAGTCGTCGGAATCCTCCGCGTCGGCTGTCGAGTCGGCGTCGTCCCTTTCCACCTCCCAGAATATAGTTCCTCGAGCCGAGTCGTCGATGATTCGACCTCGCGGGCAAGTGTCCGTAGCTTCGGTGGGAATAGCTTTGGGTAGATCCAAGTTACTCGTAGTCTGGGCCTTAGGCGCAAATTCAATAGCCGCTGCCGGATCGTCGTTTATAGGCGAGGTCATTCTTGCATAGCCGAAATACTCGCCCGATTTGTTCGCGGAAAATACCAAATAAACATTATCAACCAACTTTTTGTATGTTTTGTTAGCCGAATTTGACAAATTTAAAACTTTAGTGATAAATAATGAAGGTTAATACTTACCTTAAACGCATTATTCAATACTTCTTCATTATGTGCCTGAGTTGCCCACACGCCAGTTCGAACGCTCAGCTCCAAATCTTCCACCGTGAGACTTTTTAGTATAAAGAATTTATCTTTTTGTGGACTGATATCACCGCTGGCCTCGTTTCTAGACTCGATTTGTGTGTCGGATACAGGTGTCGCTGATTCTGAAGGCTTTCCTCGAGGGCTTGTCATCGATTCAACTGAAGCATTTTGTCCGCCGGGTGAAGTAGCTGCTGCTGGTCCTGTCGGCGCTGTTTGTCCACCAACCCCTTCGACTGTACTCTTTCGTAGCCTACTGACTAGTCGTACGGATTGGAATTTTGAGTCGTGAAGTTTCTGCTGGGCCCCGACGCAGCTTTGTTCGTCCTTGAAATTCGCAAAGGCGCAGTTGCTCTTGGATATGAGGAAGAGCGATTCCAGTCCAGGCGCTTCTTTGCATACATGATGGACCAGGCTCATTAAGTCAGTTTGCGGAGGTAGATTCCCTATCCAGATGGCATGGCCTAGCAAGTCTTAGTGTTCCTAGAGTCCTAAGTAATGAAAGCCGGATAAGCTCACCACTTTGTCGGGGTTTCCGGGGAGGGCCTCTAACAACGTTAGATTGCGAGTCCGTAGAAGCTAAGACATATTATTAGCTATTCTAACGCATTCTTTCTTCGAGATTGGGTAACCGTACTTTCACCCCGGGTTGAACTCGCGACCATATTTATTTGGTCGTTCACATGTGGCGGTGAGACGTCTCTTATGTCACTAGATGAGCCATCCGCCAAGATATACTGTGCCGGATTCATCTGATTTTGCATATTCGAGTGCGGAGATTGATATTGATTCGTGGGAGGGTAATAGTAACCGGCGGCGGAAAGAGGATGCTGAGACTGATTCATCAGGACTTGGTTCGTGTAGTAATTTAAGTTATGTCGTGGGGACATATTCGACTGCTGTGGCGCCTGGTGTTGCTGCTGCGGCGACGGAAATTGCGCATTATAGTAGGACGACATCTGCGGATGTTGGGGTACATAGTAGGGTTGGCCTCCAAGTTGGGCCATATTCGGCGGTCCTGCGAACTGAGCGATTTGCGGCATAGGCTGGATCATGTTAGATGACGGAGCGGTGTTGTATCGTTGCTGAGGTTGTCCTTGGTTATAGTTAGGTCGATATCCAGATGGCGGAAGCGCGGCAGCCATCGCAGTCATATTGTATGGTCCTTGGCGAGCCGGTCCCTGGGCGTGAGACATCTCGAGTTGCCCAGAGAAGGCGTTCGGCGATGGATCGTAGATTTGATACTGACCTGAGAAGGCGGGATTGCTCGCTGGATTAGCACCCTGCGGCAACGGCGGCTGGCCTTCATTCTGTGCGCGCCCTTGATACGCGCTGCCAACAACGTCTACAGTCGCAAGCTCGCTGTTGGCCGCCGAAGGCGGTGGGACATCTTCCATCGGGTCTCACCAGTTGTAATTTTGACGACTGGAGAGAGGAAGAGCTCGGATGCCAAGTCTCCGGGAAGCGTTGCTTCAAACCTGTAAGCAACCGGAGCGAGCCTATTCCTCTAATACTTGCTTGACGGACTAGGTGTGGCCAGGCGTCTGACAAACCCTAAATTGTTTGGAACCCCGTAATCCTGATGAGGCTAGGAAAGGAGGAGATGTAGGTAGTCTTGTGTGGTGTGGCGCAAAATCGACGAAGGCTGAGCAGCTGTCGACCAGGGCTTGGTCAAGATCCGGACAGGCCTCGACGATGTATCAGATCGGTAAGGAACAGAGCTCTCGCGTACCTTCTAGTGGCACCACAACACAACGATTAAGTGATTATACTTGTGGGATTATAGATGGATCTACCGTCCGAATCATCCAATCCGAAGATGAAAACAGATCCGGCGCAGGGATGGCATCAACAACCATAGGCCGATGAGCTGGGTAACTATGGGGTATTGGGGAGAGGGATTTGGGCTCCCAGGGTAGAAAAAAATTCGATTATGGGTGGTCGGTTTTCCGGTAGCTGTCTAACGCCTAGAACTTGGACGAAGACTCAAAATAGCTTCGATAGGATGGGGTTGTGGAATTGCCGAGGAGGACTCGATGATCCGTATTACAAAGAGAGACCCAGAGAAGTTATTCTTCTCTATCAGCCCCAGAAGAAGGAAGTTAGATTAGGTTATGTCACGTATGTAGGTAGGTTAATGCGAGTATCGACAAAATTATTAGACGATGTGGCTAATTAGGAAGCCCATGTGGCCCGACGTGACTTTTCAATCCCGGTCATTAGGGCATCAAGCAGAAGCGGTCATTATGTAACGACAATCTTTCCCTTTTCCTTCGGTATGTATGCAGTATGGTATGAGGGAAAACATCATGAGACAACGTCAAGAAACATTACAAGGAAGTTGACGACTCGCGGCAATGCAGGTGGCTAAAAAGCTAGTCTTGTCAAGCTCGCCTTGGACACGACCGCGAAGTCTAAGTACGGTAGTGCAGGAGTACCTTGGGGCCTTCGCCAGGGCAGATCAGACGGCGAACCAGAGAATCGAGGTGATGCAGGACTATCCCGGCTTCAGGGCCCCCGGAGTGGATGGGTTCACAGCGGGTGGCCCAGATAAACGACGGGAGCCGAACGAAGCACTAGGAACATGGGAATTCAGTAGGGGAGTGGGAAATGATAAGCCAATGGGCTAACACGAAGCATCAATAGCAAGAAACGAAAATTGGGGACTAGATGAGATGCGAATTTGCAGTAGACTGATGGTGTGTGTTTCGTTGGCGCCGTTTTTTTCGCCACCAGACCCTTGGGTCCTCGTTTTTGGGGGTCCATGGGGTCCCATGAGTCTCGAAGCCAGTTGTTACTGACACCCTTTGACAGGACATCTCCCAAATCCCGACTCCCTGCCCAGCCACAAAAGTTCTAGCCGGGCCTTTAGTAAGGAGATTTTTTTTGTCCTAAGCACCCTAAGGCGAGAGCCTCCATGGGATTGTCAGATTCGTGATGCCGATCTCGTCACAAAATCTTTCGGTACCGGTTACGATCAGGGTCTTAACGCACAAATCTGTCCTTGCAGGTTGTTAGATATGTGGTCCATCTAGGTCGACCGGTGCGGCTATCGTTAGGGCCGAACCAATCCTACGCAGAACCAAAGCCATCCCAGGGACCTTGAAGAACCTAAGCTGCTAGGTGCTAGGTAGGTAAGCAGGTGAGGTGATTGACCATAGCTACCATCACTACCAGTTGGCTCGAAGCGGAAGCGGAAGCGGAACGGTACACTAAGAATCTCGGACACTACTCGAGATGACTAAATTCACCTTGTACCCTACGCTGGTCCCTTCTAGATTTGGCGCCGGTTTTCCAATCGCCAATGTAGATTGTCCATCTGGCTTGTAAGATGGTTTCCTCTTGCGCGTCCAAGCACCGTAATGCACAATACCCCACGACGGAGGTACTTAGACTGCTGGAGGGGTTCCTCGTAAGCAGCCAAGCCAAAGCGAGTCCCGCTGCACTTACAGCGAAGCATTTCTACAATTAAATGAATGATACGTTGAGCAAGCCCCCTGGGGGTATAAAAAACAATTAAATAATTTAGGAAATATGACGTGTTTAACATGGATTTCCTAGGAGAAATTGACCCCGTTTATGGGGGCTACATATTAATTACGACGATTTGAGGGACTGCTGTCGGTTGGTTTGTCGTCGTAATGTCGTCGGTGGCCCATTTGCCCATTTGCCCATGTAGGCATGTATGGGTATGTATGCGGTTGCAGGTGTGTGCGCACATGTATTTAGCCCTTGCTGGTTTTTCCAAGGCGATTTTAGGCGGAGGGTGAAGATCTGTGAATCTGATCGGCACGCCTGGTTGCTTGGGATGATGAAATGGGAGTCCAGGGCTCGGCCTGAGCCGCAATCGACTTTTTGTCGGATTGTCGCAAATAGGATCGGGGAAATTGTAGATTGGTGTTTTCCCATCCGTTCCCCCCATCTCTTCCTTGTCGATGTGGAGATTGTTGATCCCTTGAACCCTGAGATTCTGGGATTTTTGGAGGGCCGATGATGTCGATGATGAAATGTCTCCAGCTTAGCCCTGATGAGTTTCGACAACTCTGCAACTCTGGCGTCGCATTAGACAAGCGATGCTGGTAATGAGGTCGTTGATCTCTTAGAAATAGCTTCTATTGGTGTCCAAAGGACGACTTTTACTGCTTATCCATTTCCATGATCGGTATTTTGCACATGCATTAGTTGAAGTACCCAGGGTACCCTGAGTACCCTGAGTACGTACACTTCCTGCAGTGCAATTGAGGATGTGCGATGCAATTGCCATGTAAAGGTATACGGATTTACAGATGTACGGAAGGTGCAAGTACAGGGAATGGTATTTTTAAAAGGGTACAGCCCGGAAATGTACACAACGTATCTGGGTCGGTCTATGCTTTAAATGCGGAGAAGGCGTCAGGCCACAAAGCCGAACGATGATCAGCGCCATTTCTGTCTGCTAGAATAGATATTATCTGCTATGGTATGTTGAAAGCAGGTACTGTACCGTACTCAATCTGTGGCTTCTGTGTAACATGATGTGCTAGATATGAGGATATACTACACATGGAGCTTTAAAGAGATCTTTATTTTCTGGTCTTTACAAATTTCAATTTATGGGGATAATATTTCACATTAGCAATATTCATATCTTTCATTAATCATCTACGCATATAATTAAGTCTTTCTCATGTACAATTCGGCTTTCGGTTCGACGAATCCATAAAGTCCTTCAAATAAACTCCGACCGTTTGCTTATTTGCCACTTCTTCCCCTAGGTATTTCGGTCCGCTAATCTGACCAGTTTTCCAGTTAGACATGTCTCCTCACCTGGCAGACCTGGTAAAAAGGTTCATCATCTCTTTACTTTACATGCCTCTGATCTACATGACCAGGCATCGTGTATCTTTAGTAACGAACATGTAAATCCCTTATGCATCATGCAGCATATGCATTATTACCAGCATTAGCTGGGCTGGCTGGTACCCAGTTAGGAATATGTCGAGGCACCTGCCACGTAAAAAACTGGATTGGGTTGGGTGTGTTTGTGAATTTCATCCGGCGGCGCCACAGCCGTGTCCATATGACCACCACCGTTATCGATGCCGCTCTTATTTACTAGTTTCATTTAGATATTCATTTATTGATGTTACCCTTTACCATTCTTGGGTTCCTACCTACCTAGGTTTGTGGATTGCAGGTTGTAACTAGTCATCTGGACCCTATCAACCTATCTGTAAATTGCAAGGGAGAACTTCCAAGGCAAGCACAAGGTTAATAGGCATCTATCGTACCTGTAATTGATGTGCTATAAGCTACCTACTAACTAAGTATAAATGTGGCTTTAGCAGAGGCTTTGCAGCGGAACCTTTGCTCCGGGCGGAGAATTGACCCATAATTCGTGGATAGTCTGTATTATGTGCAGTCGTAATCTTAGAACTCAACTTGACATAAGAAATCAAATATTGAAATCCGAACCATGCTGATTAGTTAATACCATGTGAAATCTCTAGATATGCGGAAGTAGAAAAGCGCTATACAATCTAGATGATTGGTATTATGTAGATGAGCCAGCAGGCCCAGATAAATCAGACACATGCATATGTACATCGACATACTAGGTACCTATAGTACCTACTAATACCTACTACGTAGGTACCGTTCAGTATCCATATATATGTCAAAGTTTCAGGGCAGTTACCTTGTTACACACCTTGGATATACGGTGCTAGTATCTATAGTTTCTGCCACTAAACTTGCCGAAGGAAGCTTGCATGTGATCCGTCCCGTGCAGGCCGGGATCAGCGATAGCGGTTTCCAGAACTAATATGCCGATAATTCCCTGCCCAACATTGGCGTTACACAACTCAGCCTCACTTTTCCGGTTCCGTATAACTGCCCTCTAATCCCTCTTCATTCACGGTTATTATGGATGACTCTGGACCTTTTCGAATGATCGACCTTGCCACCACGTTATGCAGTCTAGACTCTACCGACACCGACAATTCTCTAACGAGCAACCGACTTTTTAGTCTGACAACCCGCCTACTTCGTTCTTCCCGATTACTTGATATTGCAGCAAAATACGAGCTCAACATGACCTTTTCGGGAAATGATCAACGCCGAATAGTCTTCTGATACCCAGATAACCTCTTTAGGACTCTAGGAGCTTCAAATGATTTTCAACACTTCCACCAAAAAAACCAGCTGTATTCGTAAGTCTGCTTTGATAGGCATGGAGCCCGCTCCGGAGGCCTCTGGATTTTCTATCCTTCTTTGCTGTACCTGGCAGCCTAGCTAAAGTAGCTCATATTAGCGCTCCGACATCAACCACGACCAATCTCTGCTTCGTGGAACTGGCAGACTGGTAAACACAACTACTATCCCTTGCCTTTAAGATTCCTTGTGCTTGCACGACAAGCGTTAACGCATATTAGGACCTAACGGCCGGTACGTCCTCTTGCCTCCCTGCATTCTGCCCTTTACATGGTACACTTGTATAGCGTACAGAGCGCTTATTTCTCGAACACAATTCTCCAACAATTAAGTACTTGGGACTAGCACCAATAACTGAAGGAAACATAATGTGAACTTCGACTCTTGCTGCTATTGTGGCGTTTCTGCCCAAATTGCCACAAACTGTTGTTTTATCTGTTTTCTGCCTAGGGCTACTTAAAATTACGCGTTATCATTCTCTTGCCAATTTCTCCGGATCTGTCTCTCCTGCTTCCTAAATCCATACGGTAGCTCTGATATTTTCTTCCTTTTGTCGGCATGCTTCCCCACATTCCTAGCCCAAGCTCCAAGAGCTGTCTTGAGTTAATTGGACGGTTCTAACTCACTCTGGAAGGCAGCTCGAGCCACAGAAGTTAGGAAATAACCACGTGGGAGAACTAGCCGTGATTGGTATATAAGTCGTGGGGGAGGCTCAACCGAATCACACTTGTGATGCGCACTAAGAAAAGCGCCTCAACTATGAACTGACGTGGAATTGACAGCTCGTGAGGTTACGTTCAGCGACATTTCCATTCATCTGGATACAGCTAGCTCTGATGCTTTTCTAACCTACTAACCCGGCCCTCTTTGAATCCCCTTATCGAGTAAAGCTTATAGCCCAGTAGGGCCAGACTGCATGATCGGCCGCATCATCCTGTGGCGACCCGACAGTTAACTGGCTTGTCAACTTGTCGCAGCTAAAGACGGAACTACATCGAGATGTCAGTAGTGCTAATTAAAATCGAACCTAAGCTCATCGTTAGGTGGTACCCACACAGGTGCTAGAACGATCATTGGCGACATATATACTCCGTTAAGGCTGGCCAATGACATGGCATAGATAGACTGTTTGCTATAGCTCTACTAGGATCTTATTAAGCTATCCAATCATGCCTATCGATTCGCCCTCGGGCCTCGCACCGAAATTTCTCTAAGTAGGGTATAATGAGATCTTCTAAGTAGGTAGGGCCGAAAGGGCAGCCTCATACATTCATACTAGAGAAAAAAAGGGGTATTGACCCGCTGGTATTCGAAGAGTTTGCGCGTCTCAAACCGCCGGCATTTTCTGAATCCCTATTTGCCACTTTAAACCGTCGGTACCGTCTTGTTGGGTCAAACACGCTCCCTTATGCGAACACGCGACATACCCCTGGACTTGGAGCAGATTGGAGTTATGTTTCCGTCTCCAACCCGGCTGTGCGCGTTGAACCGGAGCGTTCCGTAGCGACATAAGGTGAGTCGGTAGATACTGGCAAGATTTAGGAACTTTACACGGGAAGCCTTCGGAGCCGGTTGAATCACGAGTGTAGTCGTGTGTTGTTGTTTTTAGACGGGTAGTGGCATGATTATCCGGAAACTCGGGGGTGGTCACTGGTCAGGTCAGCTGACACGAACGAGAGCCCCGTCCGCCAATCACCTCCAACGGGAGTCGCCGGCTACCTACCACATACCAAGGCCGAAAAGTAACGAAAGCACCACCGAGACCGCGACGACGGTTCTGGCCCTTAGAAATCACGCGGCGGATGATTCAGAAATCAGTTCATGGCCTGTTTTTAGTATTATGCAAAATCGGAGTTTTAGTCCGAGGGATCCTTCGTGTATGTTGACCGCGGTTTCTGTCGCCGGCTTCGCTGCTGGACATCCTGGACCAACTCGGTTGTTGGGGACGAATCTTTGAATTGTTGAGAACATTTCGGGTCGATTAACACCGAATTTATTACACCTACTGTTATATTACTTGCTTACATAATTATAGGAGGTCAAGATACCCTAGGATGGAAATTTGAATTGGCGCAATGGCTCACATGGCTCTTGAACGAGAGGCTGCCAGCCAGAACGGCGTGCGCAATGAAGCCCGGAATGCAGATCTCGGAATATTGTCATGAAGTGGGCGCGGTGCGGCCCCTGCACCGGAGCGACAGACGTCTACCGACTCAATGGCGGTAAAATGGGCTACGGAGTTAGATAGACGAGAACACGGGGATCGACTAAGCGAGAAATCAAGAAATGATAGGCGAAAGGCCCGGAAAATGCGCAAGCGTCGCTCGCTTATGTTCCAATAACCTTGGAAACATTACGTTAGGAGATCCCAAATAGGGTGGAAAGTGCATACTGTACGGTTAAAAACAAGTTTAATCCCCTGTCCTGTACGAATACGGGGTTCGTGCTCAAAAACCGAGCCTCGTGCTTGAGGTGAACGATCATCAGTATCTCAGGTACGAATAATACGTGGTCACGAAGTGTAGCTCTGAGAGGGGCAAATCACTTTACCAAGCCGTGAGCGATATTTTGGAGATAAGCCGAGGTCAATAATACTTGACCTGGATTCAAGTGTCTTGCTGACCTTGACCCTAAAGGATCTATCTATCAATAGAGTCGTATGTACCAACCCCCGGGTTGCAGAAACCGGGGGAGCACCGGATTATCTATGGCAACGCATGAGCAGGTGAAGCATTGGATGCTCGAGTGGCTTTTCCAAGTTCCGTAGAAATTAGCCATTTGCTGAAATAGAGCAGGCTTAACCTCAAGCATCGATGATCAATCATGATTTATTTAGACCCCAGGAACTCCGTTGCCTATGATATGGTACACAGCCGCCTGAACCGGAGCAGTGGTTACTCCTTTAGTCCTTCTTCAACGGGAGAATCTTCTCCTCAATGCCATCCTTGGTAATGACCATCATCTGCAGAGCGTCACCGACTTCGATATGTCGTTCGACCGCGGAGTCGAACGCATCCTTGACTAGGATCTCCACCTCGTTCCTCGGCAGCGGCACGCGCTCCCGCTCCTGCAGCTCGTGGCCGACGCCGCTTCCGGGGATGTACTGGTTCTTGAAGTTGACCTGGTTGTCGAGGAAGGGCATGATCAAGCTTCCGGCGGCGCCGCCGGCGCGGCACTGCTCGCGCTCGTAGCTGCCGACGGGGTCGTAGCTGTAGACGGCGCCCTTGCCCTCCTCGTCGAGGCCGCCGAGGATGGCGTAGACGTAATAGGGAAAGAAGCGCTTCTGGTACATGATGGTGGACAGGCGCTTGGCGCAGGCGTTGACGGACATGGGCTTGCCGTGGCGGTAGCGGTACATCTTGCAGATGGCGTCGAGGCGCTCCTTGAGGGCCTCGCCGTCGGCGGCGAAGCCGACCACCGAGAGCAGGATGTTGGCGTCGTCCTGCGACGAGTTCGACCCGCCGATCTTGAACACCTTGGGCGAGTGCCGCGTGTTGATGCTGTAGCCCGACGTCAGACGGGTGTCGCCCGCCATGATGGCGAAGTCGGCGCCGGCGATGGCGAGCGTGGAGCCGCCGTTGTCGGTGTATCTGCCCGGCGTTGGAACGTTAGAATACCCCAAGTTTTCGCGGGTGTGGGGGTTGGAGCTGCTAGAGTATTTGGTATGGGCTTACGGGTTGAAACGATGTTCTCGTAGGCCATCTACGGCATCTTTAGGAACTTCGGCGAAGGAGTAGTTGGGTCCGTTGAGGACGGGGTTTTGGCTGAACATGGCCATCTTGCTCGAATTAAAGCCGTATTATTCAGACGTTTTGGTATATGTATCAACGTTGTATCTGTCGGGCTAATTAGACGTAGAGGTAGTCGATACGATGGGTTGGGTTGATGGAAGGTGGGTTAAAGTGGGAAGCTTTGATGATGATGAGGTTTCCCAAGGTTCCAATCCACGCGCGTCGAGCTTGCAGCCTTGTTGGCTCGGGCTTGCACCTGCACTTGACAGGGGTAGCTTTTGATGACTAAGAAATGGTGCTACCTTGAGGTCCCACTTTATTTTGAATGGGAATCCACCATCTGCATCGTCACCAATTTAAATCCATCCGACTCTTTGCGACAACATCCCCCTTTTATAGTAGACGTTGTTATTATCATAAACAATTTGTCTATTTGAAAGCCTCTACTGTCAAGGTTGGGATGATTGGTGCTATTAATCTGCAGGAACAATAACCAGCCTGAAAATGGCACGCAACGTACGCCAACAGGCGCTGCAGAAGATCGCCATACTCTCAGCCACCAGTTCGACGACCGCCTTTGATAGATCTGACCTCGATCGACTATGTAGAGCTACGAATATTCGCGGGAAGGGAAAGGAAGCCGCCAATGGCTCGGCCAATGGATATACTTCGTCTTTGGCTCGTGTTCCTATGGTAAAGTCATAACTTAAGGCTGATAATAGAGTGACCAGAGTCAAAATAGCTAACTAGAGTCCAAGACTATACGTGAATTTGAAGTTCTCATCTCCCTCTGTAAAGCTGCGCCGATGGTCCAGAGCAGTTCCAGTGCCCAGAAGCTCGTCAACCAATTAATACCTTACATCCTCGATGCGCATGCCCAGACCTTCCTCCCTTCGCCTGCCTTCAACAAGATCGAACCGTCACCCATCGAGGCATTGACTGCCAATGTAACCGGTGCCCTTCTCTCGCTGGGGAATAAATATGATGATCTACACGAGACGGTGTCTGACAACATCTGGGCCCTCCTGGCCGCGATGCGTGTAGCCATACAGGCCACAGTTCCTCCTAAGTTCGACGATACTGCCCAACCAAACCTAGAGGATGCCATTCGTGTTGCAACTATAGCCATCTCTCTCTTAGGTTTCTTAGATGCCGCTTCTGCTCAGGCTAACTTTTGGAGGACCGGTGGAAGACTAGCTCTCATCCAGAGGGTTAATAACATGCTCACTGAACCCTTTCTAACCGCCGTGGATGGTGCATTTTCTACGATTCGAAATGCTCATGCGTCGGATCGTAATGCTAAGGACTGGAAGAGATGTCTTCGACATTATTCTCACCAGGGACGGCCTTTAGGGCCTATGCTATTACAAAGAAGCTTCATGTGGCTCTTGGTTTCTGCAACTTCTCTCCTAATCGCGGATGTCAAGCTTCTCAGGTCTTCTCACATCCTTGACTTGCTAATGACAAAGAATAGCCTGCTGAAGCTGAATTCTCCAAGTCCCGATGCTGATTTTCAGTCGATTGAGCTGTATAGCAGTATTGCCCAGGAAGTGATGGAACGCCTCGAAGCTAGTGCTGACTTCATCGAGCTCGGCTCGTCTTCGCAGCAGAGATTAGCCTACTCTGTTAAGGCCTCTACGATTATTAGCTACCTTAACTGTACGGTGCTTAATGAAGATGCCGCGGACCCGGAATTTCTCATGACTTGGCTTCAGGAATGTTTGGATAACTCGATCCAAATGGCAGACGAGACATTGGCGTCGACTGTCCTTCGTTCAATGGCTATCGTTTCTAAAATTTCGCCAAGCTTTGCTCCTACTGTAATTCGACTTCTTCCCCGATTCCTTGTACAGACTTCACTATCTAGCAATATTGTCGCTACTGCGTCAAGATGCCTGGCTTTTGCTTTGCATTTGCTTTCCCAGGATTCTGTCATTACTACGTTATATACACTTGGAAATGTGCTAAGCCCGGATGGCGATCAGAATGTCCAAAATGGACCGGCTGATTTCGGGCCCGGTGCTGCTGGGCTATCAAATGTCTACCCGGCAGGACATTCTACAGGTAGTGACTTGTCACTCCAGATTCGAGGGGAAGAAGACACTTCAGTTGTGTATGGGAATATTGTGCAGGCGATATGCAGCATTGCAGATTTGTGTAATGATGAGAAAATCACGGCACTTGCGCAAGCGATGCTGCTACAGAAATTGACGAAGGTCAACCTGCAGGTCGACAGCCACATCATTACCGGAGCCAGCGTCCTCTCTCTAAACGGAGGGCAGTTAGAATTCAGGTCACTTCTCAGATTGTATTCGAGACTGTGTCACAACGCGACTGCTGACGATAATGCGTTGATTCTCGATGCTGTAAGACTTCCCCTCAAATCTCTAATCGATGAATATTTCTAACGTATCTACACAGGTTAGGAAGGCTCGAAATCACATATCAGCAAATGTGAAGCGTGATTCTCCGCTATTTGAAATATATTGGGATCACATATTAGAAGAGTTGATCTCGAAGGGTGATGTACATCAGTCTCAGCACATGAAGGAGTCTGATTTTGAGTTCGCTGCGCGCGAGATTGCTGAGCTCCTTCAACCTGTTGCAATTTTGATGTCGACACATGATTTTGTTACAGAGCTACCTGGCCAAGATGATGATAAACACTCTCTGATTCGAGATGCTTGGTTCAACATTGTAGTACATGGCTTCACACCTTTGACTGAGAGGGGCCAGAAGTATATCAATGAGCTACGGATCATGGCTATTCACTCCCCGCCACTAGTAGCCGAGCAGAGAGGGGAACAGGTCGAAAGTGATATCGAGCTAAATACTGTTCTTCGCCGAGCCAATACCTCAGAACGGGAATCGAGGCAGAAGAAGCTGCTTACGGAGCTTGTCCCGTCAAAAGTTTCCGATATTAGAAGTTTAAGCTACAGGAAAGTCATGTTCCTGCATGCTGCGTATCTGGTTGAAAGTCTCCGCGCTGATTCCGGCGACTGCACCAAGACCCTATTTTACTATCTAGAACCGAGCATGCGCAAGGAAGATGTACGAGGTGTTATGGAGGGCATCACCACTGCGGTCTTGGACAAGTATTTGTCTAAGACTCTAGAAGCAAAGCTACCGACTTTCTCAGCCCACTATGCAGCCTCACAGCTTGCAACGATTTTCTGTGGGTGTTGCCATCGTATTCAACGCGTTCAACAAGCTGCGTTCTATTGCGCCGACAAATTTGTTCGAGAGACCCCTTCGTCTCTTTGTCAGAAGTCATCGCTGTTTGCGCTTCTTGAGCTGTTGTCTCTTATGTGGATAAGCTGTCTTGAAGCCGAAACGGAGATGTATGATCCACGATCAATCTTTACGTCTCGCCTAGGAAATGTTACAGTGGAACTTTCTGACGACTATCTGTTTCGAAAGACCACTCTGAACAACTTATACACGAGAGCTAAATCTTGGGTCTCGTTGGCAATCAATCTAGCGCATTCTGACGTTAAGGGTTTGCTCCAGACATATCTCTCTGAATTTGAAGACGAAGGGGCGTATGGACACATGTCACTTGGTCGATCATTCGCAGTGGAAATGGGTTCATCGATTCCTGCTACGGATCAGAGATTGACCTCTCTAGATCCCGTTGGTCAAACCGTCATCAACACGGCATCTCATTTTATTGCTCAATACACAACACGCCAGGAATACAGATATGGTGAGACGTTACCTAGCCATGGTAAGGATCTCGTAAATATCATGCCGATGATGCGACGAGACTCATTCATCAAAGCTGCACCAACCGACCGCGCCGACGCTGTCACGGCATTGGCTCATGTAGAGTCCCGGGTTACCGGCAAGAAGACGACTCCTCTCCACGATGTGAGAGATATTCTTCGACGCGCTGCAGCTCTGTTGTGTCGTAGTGGGAGAGATGAGAGCTCCATCACTCATTACCTTGTTAGCATCCCCTTCAGGATATTTACCAAAGAGTCCATTAATTTTGGGGTCTCTCTTTGGTTGGGTGTCATAAATGAGAACCCTAGGATGGAGTCCCGAATTCTTGCTGAGATCGCCCAGCAATGGGAGATCGTCATCCATAGGAAACTTGGGCTGTTCAACCCTGCGCTAATGTAAGATGGTCTCTTAAAGCGTGTTACTTCGATGCTAATATGACTAGGCACCCGGATCCCTTCTTCCTAAAAGAAGAATTCGCTCCTAGCGATAACGAGGGCCTTACGAGGCGTCGACAACAGGTACATAACCTATTAGCTCCACACACTCGCCTCATCCAGTTTTTTAGCAGTCACTTCAACGCTACACGACTAGGTAGCCCGGATACACATAGAATATTCCTCCGTATGCTCGATGTGACGCTTGATGCCATGAAGAAATCGGTCTCCCATCCTATGGCCAGAGAACTTCGCTTGCGAATTGTTCTGTTCAGCTTAAGAGTGTTGAAAATGACTAATTCAGTCCGTCCGGCGACTCAATGGCGACTTAAAGACAAGATCCTGTCTGCAGGACTGGGTTGGTTTAGTTTTGCACCAAAATGGTCTTTTGGCAGCAATCTCCTTCAGCTGAAGACTGAAGTCCGGCTTATTATGGATGTTATGAATGCCCTCAAGATAGTCTCTTCCATTGCGTCTCAGACCGTTGGCAACTTCAAATCGCTAGCTCAAAAGGAGACGCTATTTCAAACATTGCTAGAGAGCGAACAGATTAGGTTGAACGTTTGGGTTCATCCGCTTAATGATGGACATAGACAGCATACGTTGGCCCATAACAAGACAGCACTAGAAGTGAGTTTACTTTCCCCCTATTTAATGTAAACTTTGTGCTAATTTGAAGACTACTCTGAAACCACTCGTTCGGGTGGCTTGGGCTGAAGATCCTTCTTTAGCAATAGAGCTGGTCAACAGATTCTCCATCCCAGCTGTACATAACGAGGTCCGTTGGCTGTTGTTGAATTTCCCAGCCAAGGCTATCTCCGATCCCGAAGCTCTCCCAATCCTATTGGGAGGCGAACTACCGCCTGACGTTCGGTTCCAGCTAAAGGTGCCATAATCCTCCATTCTGCTTTGTCTGATATATCGCTAATAAACACAGTACTTACTCTTCTGGGCTCCGGTCAACCCCGTGACGGCTGTCACGTATTTCTTGCCGGCCTATCGGAACCACCCGTTCCTCATCCAATACGCCATGAGAGCATTAGAGTCTCACTCGGTCGACGTGACATTCTTCTATGTGCCGCAAATAGTGCAAGGTCTTCGATTTGATGCTCTCGGATACGTGGAGCGTTACATCATTGAGACCGCGCAGTTCTCTCAGTTATTCGCCCACCAGATCATCTGGAACATGAAGGCGAATTCCTACAAGGACGATGACGCAACAATTGTAAGTAGTGCCCTTTTTGAGCACGATGGCCCTTTTACTAATATATCCATAGCCGGACGCTATCAAGCCTGCCCTCGACAAGGTGATGGAGAAAATGGTCGGCAGCTTTTCCGACGAAGACAAGAATTTCTATGAAAGAGAGTTCGCATTCTTCGACGAGGTCACTAGCATTTCTGGTAAACTCAAGCCTCTAATCAAGCGTGACAAGCCCGAGAAGAAGCAAAAGATCGAAGAGGAACTTAGGAAGATCAAAGTCGATGTTGGCGTCTACCTACCTAGCAACCCCGATGGTGTTGTTATCGGCATTGATCGTAAGTCAGGGAAGCCTCTCCAGTCACATGCGAAGGCGCCCTACATGGCTACGTTCCGTATCAAAAAGTCGAAGGGTGGCGTGGAAGAAACGGAAGAAGTTTCGCAAGAGCTAAGCAATGGCGAGTCAGCGGAGGAAAATACGATCGAGGTCTGGCAGAGCGCCATCTTCAAGGTTGGTGATGACTGTCGACAAGATGTGTTGGCCTTACAGATGATTGCCGCGTTCCGCGGTATCTTCCATAGCGTCGGGCTCGACGTCTATGTGTTCCCATACCGCGTGACTGCCACGGCTCCCGGCTGCGGTGTGATCGATGTGTTACCTAACTCCATCTCCCGAGACATGCTTGGTCGTGAGGCAGTGAACGGGCTGTACGACTACTTCATCAGTAAATACGGCAACGAGGACTCGCTCCGGTTCCAGCACGCGCGCAACAACTTCGTGAAGAGCATGGCGGCGTACAGTATCATCTCGTTCCTGCTACAGTTCAAGGACCGACATAACGGCAACATCATGATCGACGACCAGGGTCACATCTTGCACATCGACTTCGGGTTCTGCTTCGACATCGCGCCCGGAGGCGTTCGGTTCGAGCGCGCGCCCTTTAAGCTCACGGGGGAGATGCTAGCTGTCATGGGCGGAAGCACAGACAACCAGGCCTTCAAGTGGTTCGAAGAGCTGTGCGTCAAGTCGTTCCTCGCGTGCCGCCCACACGCGGAGAAGCTGAGCCAGATCGTGCTCTTGATGATGGAGAGCGGACTTCCGTGCTTCAAGCCCGAGAGCGTGAAATTCTTCAAGGAGAGGTTCGTGCTCGAACGCACCGAACGCGAAGCTGCTGATTTCGTGAGGGATCTGGTGAGGAAGAGCGCGGGAAGCTATAGTACCATGGTGTACGACCAGTTCCAGCTCATGACCAATGGCATTCCCTACTAGGTTGCTTGGCCTTACTAGGTTTACTATAATAAAGGTGGATGTTCGAGATGCTGTGAGTTTGTGGGGGCGACGAGCTCGTTTGCCTGGTTCGGTTCACTTTAGTTCAATTCAAATCAGTTTTAGAGTTAGATGAGACGTAATTGTAGCTAGCTAGTAATAATACCAGAGGGAGCTCTGATGTGGTGTTTTGGTGTCGTGAGATAGGTGTATATTATGTAACGAATATCGCCTACCTACTTTCTTCTGCTCCCACGATATATTCATATCGGTAAACTTGAGCATATCCCTCTACTATCTACCTATTCTAGAGGGAATATTCAAGCAAAGACGGAGTAATTGCTCAGCAGTTGCCACCGATAACTGCATACACAGTACCCCAGGTTCATCGAATGTTTGCCAGAGATAGGCTTGTCTAGATTTGCTTAACTAAAGGCCGGTTGACGAAGTAACTTTGCTTATAAAGAGGCCTAGAACTCTAAGCATTAAGAAATTCTACAACCGTTACAAAACACGGTGTAACTGCAACGAGATTACACTTGTATATTGCTACCCTAAATCCTCTTAATAAGTAACTTGAATAGCCTTATCTGTTATATATGGGACTAGATGCGTCGAAAGTTGCAGTACAGCACGATATGGGGAATCGTGGGATTTAAGAGAACTACGGCTAAGCTTCTCTTAGGTTACATGCGTATTGATCAACGCCTGAATGGATCAATTCGTCGATACTCGACGCTATTCACCGCATTTACAAACATCGATCTTCGCTTGGATTGGAAGCTCATAGTCGTAGTTTCGATAGACTTTTTAAGTAGCCTTATCTCTGCTACGATCACCAAACAAGGGTTAGGCAGTCGGGTCCATTGATCGACTAAAAAAGATCATATGAACGTTGCAGCAAAGCGAATCAGCCGCGATGCATGGGAGTTTACGCCCGTCGGTAGCGTGCCAAGTTGTGGGCTTTTTTATCTGAGACGGAACTGACGGAGCTCGATGAGATAGCCAGGCGATTGTCGATGATTGCCCGGATACGCGTGACAGCGGCATTAAAGGCAGGTATCCAGAAGATCATTACCGCGACCAGCAGGAGCCGATCCGGAGCTCGGTCAGTTTCGCATCATGGGCGAAGAGGTGGGATGAAGATGATATGATGAAAAATGACGAATGGCTGCGTATGTTAAATGCTGCTTTCTATTCTACCCAGTCTCGCGGAGTTTCAAGCTTCCCTTGTTCCCCAGATAGATTGTGGAATTGGTATCCTCGCTTTGGAGAAACAAATAGGGAGAATGCCATTCAGCCCATTCAAGCCCATGGCTTGTTAGAGAGACATTTGGTAACATGGTGTCCCACCGGGGATTGGCTGCTGATTTCGATGCATTAAACAAAAATTACGTAGGGCGGGCCGCCCCCCTTTTTCACTTTCACGAGCCTAGCACTGGACAGGTACTTGCTAAGTACCAAAAGAGTATCTCGCGAACTTGTACATCAGGTCCCACTATTCGGACCGGCTCTTGGCTGCGAACATCTCTTAGCATCGGAATTCTACATGTTTCGAGAACTCGCGCGGTTCGTATTCAAGGTTGAGTGGACATGGTTTATGTCATGATCGCTCAATCCTGTTGTTCATACGAACATGGTAAAATATCGTCTAGTAGTGATTATATACGTGCAATGTACGTACGTATGAATATCGTTGGAAAGTGTCAACAGAAATTCAATTAGTAGCGTTGCTATGCCAATGCATATTTATGTGTACCTGTATTGGTGTATGCACGTATGCGTGCTTAAACTAATACATGCATGCATCGTGATACCGTTGAAATGATAAGGTTGAGACCGGCTCCTCTTCATTTCCTTTAGCACGTGTTGGAATTTTGGTTAGATCAGATTGGATTGCTGGTTAAGTGCGTATCTATGTGAGTAAGGGATACTTAAAAGTACTTTAAAGCTACGCTAGGTCCCGGTAGCGTTGATTACGAACGATAACTGGTGGATTCTATTGGCCATTGATGCTTGTTGCCCCACATCGTCCCATGCCAAAAAAAGAAATCGAACCAGCATCCAGCTTCAACCCACGTCTTCGCCTCCGTTTCTAGTTTTCTTAGGCTCACTGGCTCCTTAAGTCCAGAGACACTTGCACAATCTGTCTTGAGTAGATCTCCCGTCATCCAAATAACCCACCATCTACCAACGGTGCCTTTCGTTCTAGACAACAACAGACTTTCGACAACCTATTGAAGTCCTATCTGACCCGTCTGGTGATCATTTGATTATCTGACATAACTCTCGCTCGTTATCCGCAACTGTTTTCCTATTATTCTCTTCCTTCGCTCTTACATAATAACCTGTAAACCTATTTATACTTTGCCTGTCGAGGAATTCAGACGCGTAATCGAAACAAAGCTTGAAACCATCCCGTCATCGCACCTCGCACCACCTTCGCATTCTTGCTTTAACCTTCTTTCGTCACTGTCGTCATCATCGTCACTTACGTATTGGGCCATATCGAAGTCATGCTGCGATATTAATGTCCATCGATCTGCAACCAGCATAACATCGCATCAATTGCGCCGCTTTCCCGTTTCGTTTTAACCTGGCCTTGCAACTTGCCAACCCTCTATCGCTATGGGGAAGAAATGTAAGTATACTACCAGCAACTAGCAACTATCGACAATCGACTTTACCGCCTTATAACTAATATCGCTGCGAATTAGGGCGATGGGGTGTCATATTAGATGCCGGTTCCTCGGGAACGCGTCTACACATTTATCGTTGGCTAGATTCCGCGAAAGCAGTTAAAGACGCAACATATGCGGAATTACATAGCTTACCGAATATTATCACCAAGGACAAATGGACGAAAAAGATACGACCGGGCATTTCGACTTTCGGCGAGCATCCGGAAGACGTTGGACCCGATCATCTGCAGGAGTTGGTAGAACGAGCACTCGATGTCATACCCGACGACAAACATGCCGATACCCCCATATTCCTTATGGCCACCGCCGGTATGCGGTTATTGCCGCCTACCCAGCAACGAGCAGTCATAACGGAAACATGCTCATACTTTCGCGCAAACACGAAGTTCTTCCTTCCCGATTGCGATACGCATATCCAGGTTATTCCAGGCGAGACGGAAGGCTTGTACGGATGGATAGCTGCCAATTATCTCCTGGGAGGCTTCGACGATCCAGAAGGACATGCTCATGGTAAGAATCACCATACATACGGATTTCTGGATATGGGCGGTGCTTCAGCGCAAATCGCATTCGCACCAAACGCCACCGTTGCCGAAGAACACGGCAACGATTTGAAATTATTGCGAATGCGGAGTTTGAACGGCGCGCCAAAGGAATACAAGGTTTTTACCTCGACGTGGCTTGGGTTTGGTGTCAATCAAGCTCGGCAACGTTATGTCAAAGCTCTGATCGATGAGTTCTTAATCAACGGTGAGCATGAGGTACCCGATCCTTGCCTACCGAGGGGTTTGCGAACAAACGAGAAAGGCGAGACTATTAGGGGAAGTTCGAACGAACTGGAGCTAGTTGGCACAGGGGAGTTCGACGAATGCTTGAGACGGACAAGGCCTCTATTAGGCAAAGACGTGGCGTGCGAAGATAAGCCCTGCTTATTCAACGGCCAGCACGTCCCTCCAATCGATTTCGACGTGAATCACTTTGTGGGAGTGTCCGAGTACTGGCATACGACCCACGGTGTGTTCGCGAATAAAAATGATGACACCGCGTACGACTTTAACACATACCAGAAGAAGGTAGTAGAGTTTTGCAGCCAACACTGGGCAGAGATCGAGTCAAATGTTGAGGCGCGAAAGAAGGACCACGGGAAAGAAGCCCAGGAGGCCTGTTTTAAGGCATCCTGGCTAATCAGTGTGCTACACGAAGGCATCGGCATACCGAGGTACGGCATAGAAAATGCGCCAACCCCAGGAATCAACGTCACGAAGGGAATTGGAGAGGCCGCTAAGGAAAAGGGGTTCCTCAACCCGTTCCAGGCTGCTGACGAGGTTAACAACATCGAGATTAGCTGGACACTTGGGAAGATGGTACTCTACGCGGCCGGCCAAATTCCTCCTAAAGACAACTACCTTCTTCCCGTTGGATTCGGAAGCAACGTGAAGGGCATCCCTGCAGACTTCCAATACGCTGGGTCCAGTTACAATACGACATCAGCAATCGACGAAGAGGATGATTGGAGTGATACTGCTGAGGATCTTATAGATCATGCGAAATCGAAATCAACATCCGGATTCTTTTTCTTCGTCTTGATTTTCTTATTTCTTGCTTTCATGTTACGGAAGAGAGACCGGCGGATGCGGCTATACGGTAAAGTCAACAAAGTACTACGCCGGCGCCGACGCCCGAGCAGTCCACGGAAGGTCGGTTTCGGACTATCGACCATTACACATAAACTATTCGGCCGCGGATCGTATAACTATGAAAGGGTATTAGAAGAAGGCGATCTCGATCAATTCGAACTAGGCGATGCTTCGTCAGATGAGGGTGATCATTCTGATAGCAGCGCAGGAGCATCAAGGGTCGGTCGATCGTCTGGCCTAGCTACACCCAAGCTAAACATGGGTTCTTTCGATGATCTGAAGAAGCATGCTCAGCCGGGAAACGCTCTTGATCGAAGCGGATTAGTAGTCCGAACAGAAAGTCGCGAAAGGCTTTTCCCACAAATGCTCAACGCCGGCCGGAGGAGTCGAGCAGCGAGTCCTACGAGACTAAAGAGTCCTTTAATGAGCCCCCTAACGGAGGATTAATAAACACTTGTATTCTATTCTTATACCAAATGAGCGACAACCTCATTGCTCAGGCGGCGCACTACTTGTAGGGCTACGGGTTCGGAGTTACCAGGACAGGGGCATATGAGGCAACGGAGTTTAGGCGGCATGGGATTGTTGCTTCTTGTTATTCACGGGACGAACCTTGACGAAGTCAGCTTGGAGCAAAAGCATCTTGAATTTATTGATGGGAGACGTCGTCTCTTCGAGGGGTTAGCTGTCAAGGCTATTTGAACACATCACTTTGACCATACATGGTCTGAATATATGAAATCAGCTGAACCCCATTGGCCGGCGTGCTGTTATGTATGTCTCAACTGCCATTATGTGTAAAGAATTACCCTAGGTACTTAGGTAGATTACATTATTCTAAATAAGTCGACCATAAGCCAAAATTACTGCTGTACAACCCTCTTGCATCTGGGATTGTGTTGATTCGTTTCTGATTTCTCAGTGAGCTCCTACCAACACTCCGTATCCTAATCTTCACCCACGCATCCACCCGTTCCCTTTTTTCCCTTTTTTTTCTTCTTCCCCTCTCCTTCATTTAACACGCCCGTCGACACCAATTAATCCTGTTCCCTCTCGAGAAAGGCCGGGTCGTTCCGGACTTTGTTCTCGAACTTGCGCCACCACTCCTGGAAGGCCTTCAACGGGACGACCTCGACGCCCTCGGCGCCCACCTTCCCGCTGAAGCCCGACAGGAAGTTGAACGCGTTCTGTATTATGCGCTGCGCCAGGATCTGCGTTGACGGTTGGCCCCCTCCTCCTACTCCCCCCCCAGCTCCCGCGTGTGGTACAACAGTGGTAGATGTAGAAGCAGAAGGGTCGCCAGGGTGCAATTGCTGTATCTTCTCGGCCACAACGCCCGCCTCCTCGACGCTAATCCCGATCACCACGCCCTCGGCCGAGCTCGAGCTCGTGCTCGGCGACAGCTTGAACACGGCGCTCTCCTTTCCCGGGCCCACGCCGCCCAGGAACTGGAAGCGCGGGTCGGAGCCGTCGGCCGCGGCCAGCGCGCCCGGGTTCAGGGCCACGTAGATCCCCGCCGCGGTCCCGGGGGGGAGGGCCGTTGACGCGCCCGGTAGCAGGAAGACGCAGAGGTGCGAGAAGGGTTTTGGATTCGGGTTGGAGGGCGAGGGCGGGAGCGTGTGCGGGATCGCGTAGAGGAAGTTCGAGGGGAGCGGTTGCGAGGTCGGGGTTGTTATTAGCGGTTGCCCGGCGGGGAGGAGGCCGAAGAGTGGTTGTTGGGGGGTGGCCATGGCTGTGGGTGTGTGTGTGGGTGTGGTTCGAGGTTTGGGGGCGATCGGTGAGAATGTCTGGATTTTTTATTTTTTTAATTCTGATGCCAATTGGAGAGAAACGAGTTAAAATTGCAGACTTTCTCCAGGACCCCGCGAGGTTTCAGGGGAACCGGCAGGTCTCCTCGTGGAGGTGCGTATGTACAGTGGTGGAATGCGAGGAATTGCAGCTGGAATGAAGAATATGCAAGCAGAAAAAGAAAAGAAAATGGAAGCTTCTGCTGGTGGATTCGACGTCATCGCATGGAGGGGCACAAATATGCGCCGGGAAGGTACAGCAAGGTTTCGTGTTACCTATGTGGGTAGGTGCGTTACCGCTTGGTAACAATGTAACGTATTTGCCTACATGGAATATCTCGGCACGCTAATACGTACGTACAACCTCAACCCTACATCTGTCAACTCCCGAGATGCATCGGTGATTATCTTGGTTATTTTTAATTTATTCGGTATATTGGTCCTACCATTTAGGGTTTCAGGTCTGATTCATTCACCTGACTTCGGAAGATATGCTAGGCGAAGTAACAAGAGAAACTATCGGAAAGAAACTTGGACGTCAACCACGACTTGAGCTTATTCTAAGAGGACAAGCAAGCTGCTATTCTCCTGAGAATAACGGGGCCAAGCACTTATCTCTTCAAGCCCAGATTGACAATAGCAAGCCCACAAATCCTGTGTACCATCGAGTCCCTTTTACTGCTTCCTATTTCTTATCTCCAGGCCATCCTAGTACTCCCTATAGAGCCTACAGCTCCGCCGCATCTGTGTCGAATATCCACAAGACGCTCAGGAAGCTCCGTCAGTCCAACATGCCGGGTCTAATGAGCAACCTTGATATCATGAAGGAGGCAGACGCGTAAGCCGTGCCCCTCCGCTCCAACCAGTAGGTGGTATATATCAGAACTAAAGCACTCATGAACGTATAGCTTTCCTTATGAAGACACGGAGCCAGAAGCATCTAAAACTCTCAACAAGACTCTGTACACGCTAGTATGGAAGGACGGCCAACCACTAGGTTTCATGCTCGACACTGTGCTCAAGGAGCTCCTAGCGACGCCCGAGAAAGTCCGGGGTCCCGTTCTCGTGGACGAAGCTAAGCGGACGGTACGCGCATTTGAGCTGCCTACTGCTGAGGAGAGAACGAAACTCGTAGCTGGCTTGATGGCGTACTGGCGGGAACACGGAACATTCGACATACTACGCGGCTGGCGGGACGAGCTGTGGCCTGTCTTCGGTAGCGACGACGAAGTTCTATACAGCGTCGAACGCAGCGGTACAGGACTACTGGGACTTATGCGGTATGGAGTACACATGACGGCCTACGTGAAAGACCCAACAGCGAGCTACGGCATGAAGATTCTTGTCGCCCAAAGGGCCGCTAACAAGTCCACATACCCCAACATGCTGGATAACTCGGTGGCAGGTGGTCTCATGACGGGCGAGGACCCATTTGAATGCATAATCCGGGAGGCGGATGAGGAGGCGAATATTCCCGAGGAGCTCATGAGGGAGCGGGCCAAATTCAAGGGCATGGTCAGATATATCTATATCACGGACGAGCGGGCAGGCGGCGAGGCCGGCCAGATATACCCAGAGATGCAATGGGTGTATGATATCGAGATTCCGACGGATTTCACTGCTACACCGAAAGATGGCGAGGTCGCAGGTTTCTGGCTATGGACTGTAGACGAGGTGCGAGAGAAGCTCGCCCAAGGTCGGTTTAAACCTAACTGCGCCCTGATATTGGTCGATTTCTTCATCCGCCATAACATCATCACGCCGGAGAATGAGCCCGACTACGACCAGATTGTGCGACGGTTGCATCGCAGACTGCCTTTCCCCGGTCCCCATCAGGTTGGCGTTCCAACGACATAATAACCCCCCTAGATGATGATTTCGTCTGAGCGAAAATGCTGATGCCAGCGATCATTCGAATATACAATAGCCTTACCCAGCTCATGAAATACGGCCCAAATGCATTCATTGCTACCTGTATGAAGCTGTAACCGTAAAATGCGATTATGCAATGATGCTTCCCCTTCTACGCCTGCGCCTTCCAAATTCGAATTCCCATGGTCAATTCGTAATATGCCGTGAACTCGTTGACGGGATGTGAGATATGCTTGGGTGACAGATCATTTCTTGATCAGGAGGTAGGCGTTCTCGACGCGCAAGGGGGTCAACTTCTTGTAGGGACCCTCGATCTGCATTAACAATCCACCGAACGATATGTACGCGCGACTGCAAACCCGGCATGTTAGTATCGTCCAAGACAGTTTCTATAGGGTGCCAAGCAGCAAGGAAGATGAGAAGACTGAAAAAAATAAAATAAAAAGGGGAGGAAAAAAAGAAATTGGGCCTCATACATAGTCTGTCCGTCCCCGTCCTCGAACTTGTAGATCTTGCCGTAGCAGACGTAGTCGTACATGTCGGCGAGGGTGCTCTCGCCGCGGACGTGGCGCCACCCTTTCTCTTCTTCCTCGTCCTTGTTGCCGTCGAGGCTGAGGCTCGTGGCCAGCAGGACCTCGACGTTGACGCCGGGGCGGATGGGGAAGAGCTCGGTGTTGATGTCGAGCGACATGGTGGTCTGGTTGTCGGTCGAGGTGGCGACGATGCGCGCCACGCGGTCGTACTTGGACTGGTCGTGCTCCGTGATCGTGAAGGTGTCCTCGAAGAGCTGGGCGTCGCCCGCCGCTAGATTCGACATCTTGAATGGGAGTGGGTTGCGACTGCCGAATTGAGGTGAGGTGCTGTGAGTTGAGGTCGAGGTTGAGGATGAGTCTAAATTTGGGTTGTGGCTTTGTTGTTGGTGGATATGGCTTCAACTTCGGACTTTTTCTTTTTTATTTGCGGCTGGGTTGGGACTTCTAAGGATTCTGCAGCTTATTGCGGGGTGTGCTGAAAGCGGTGAAGCCTTGAATTTACGGGGGGTCTTGAGGCTCTATTATAGCGCTATCAGAGCAAAAAAGTCCCAAAATTCTGTGTTACCTAAGCGTAGCCGGGGCACAAAGGTAACAAGCTAGACTAAACTTGGCACTGGCTTCGATTTAATAATTCATTTTGAGATCTATATCTCAGTAAGAAAATATCCAATTAGAATTGCAGGTGCTAATTCTTCTATAAACGAAGCCCAAACGGCCGGTTACATCATTTCTTGGCCTTACCTCAATCCAAGAATCGAATTTTATGAATAGAGTCGTTTTATAAATCTGATGCTAGGACCATGTCCTTCAGAAAAAGAAACGCTGTGATTAGCAGCGCAAGCTCATCTCAGTCTGCATCACCGAGAACGGATAATGCGCCCATTCCTGGCGTGAGGCCGTCTCCTCTCGATGGTCGGCCAACGACTTCTACCGGAACCGCCTCTTTAGATAGCCTGCTTGCTGGCCATGCTGGCTTGCCCCTAGGGACCTCGCTTCTCATCGGAGAGCATGGCACTACCGATTTTGCCGGGGTACTTCTGCGTTATTATGCTGCCGAGGGCATGATCCAGGGGCACCAAGTTCATGTCCTTGGTATGCACGAAGGCTGGCGCCACGATCTTCCCGGCCTCTCCACAGACGATAAGAAGTCATCCAGCAAGTCAGAATCCCCATCTGATGATAAGATGAAGATTGCTTGGAGATATGAGAGTCTGGCTTCTGGGGGAGCTCCAAGAGACAGAAACGCGGTTCAACGACAAAATAGTTCTGGAACGGGGGCGAATTCTATCTTTTGCCATTCCTTTGACCTCACCAAAAAACTTGGTCCTGCAGATGTTAAGGGTCAGATAGGCTTCCACCCCTCAATGAGCGTCCCCGGTTTATCTCGTCCAAAGGACGCATTGTCACCTTTCAAGCAGTTCATCAAGGATGTTGCTCACAAGTTGGAAAACTCACCGGCGTCGTGGATCCATCGGGTTATAGTACCGAACCTCCTATCTCCCACTAGCTATTCTAGCTCTTCTATCCGCCCCGAAGAGGTTTTGCAATTCCTTCACGCGTTAAGGGGATTATTAAGGCAGTATCCTACGAGGCTTACGGCAATCACAAGTTTGCCGCTTTCGCTTTACCCCCGGACTACGGGACTCACACGTTGGATGGAGTTACTAAGCGACGGCGTTTTCGAGCTCATCCCACTCCAAAATACCGCTGTTCACGTTCCTCCCCCATCTTCGAAGTCAGACTCTAAGTCCGATGAACAGACACAAGGTCTTGTGAAGGTCCATAGTCTGCCAATTTTCCACGAGAAAGGTGGTGGCTCTTCAGAGAGCTACGCCGCTCACGGGGATCTATCGTTCAGCCTAAGTCGGTCAAGGGGTTTAGTGATCAAACCATTCTACTTACCTCCTGTTGGCGAAGATGAACAAGAGCAGAAGAAATCAGAGTCTAGTAAAAGCATGGAGTTCTGAAGCTTTGTAATGCTTAATTTGCGTCGGATTTGCACCTAGCTATCAAATACATAAAATACGGTGCGAATACGGGGGACGTCACGGGATATTGATACTGTATAATGACCCCACATCAGTCCCCAAAACTTTTTCTTCAATTTCTTGGAGCTCGAGAAATTCGATGCTTCCTCCAACCTCGAGCAACAGTATCAGGTAAGTAAATATTCATATTTTCCTCTTTGCGACACCCCGTTGAAATGATTAAAGAAATCAATAATCTGTCAATCCACTGAAACAACTATGTTGATAAACTCCTATCTGGAAATATATGATCACCCAACCTTTTCTCTACTTCGCATATCGCAAGCTTTACGAAAACATCGAGACTGACCCACGAAAAGACAGGTAGGCACCGCCGCTCCCGTCGTATAGAGATGGCCTCCTCCACCGCGGGCGACCGCCCTCCCGTGCGCATATCCAAGGTCGCGGGGAGGTACCTGCTCTTCGACATCGACGACGTCATGCACCTGCGGCGGCGCCACAACATCTGCGCCGTGTTCGCGGGCACGATCCCGCAGAACCCGCAGCAGAACATATTCATGGGCCTGCCCGTCGAGCTGATGCCCGAGGAGGCCCAGGTCCTCGTCGACAAGGGCGTGGGCCACGTCGTCGACGACGCCGTCTTCCACCCGGCCCGCCTCTCCGCCCTCGGCGACGGCGCCCGCCGCCGCTACCTCCAGGCCGTCAAGGCCGAGGGCCGGATGGCGCAGATGGCCGCCGCGGAGCTCAAGGAGAGCTCCAGGCCCAAGAATATCGTCAATAAGAAAAAGGCGAGGTCCAAGACTCCGGAAGTTGAAGGAGAAGTTCCGAATGGACAAGACGATACGAAAGAGAACGCCGAAGTAGAAGGCGATGAACCTGACACAGCTCTCTTCGCCCCGCCGTCTCCCATATCACCCACCCCTAGACCCTCCAAAGCAGTAGAAGAACCCCCAACGTACGCGATAACCCCCACAACAAGCGCTCTCCTCTACCCCAACTCCAGCTCTCCCACCCCTCCTCCTCCTCCTCCTTCCTCGCTCCCGTCGTCGACGCCGATCGACGAGGTCCCGGCCTCGTACCCGCTGTACGCGCACCTGCAGGACCGCGGCTACTACATGATGCCTGGCCTGCGCTTCGGCTGCGACTACAACGTGTACCCGGGCGACCCGCTGCGCTTCCACAGCCACTTCCAGGCCGCGAGCCACGGCTGGGACGACCCCGTCGCCGTCCTCGACCTCGTCGCCGGCGGGCGCCTGGGGACGAACGTGAAGAAGGGGTATCTCGTCGGCGGGGCCGTAGGGGAGGACGATGGGGGTGATGGGGATGATGGGGATGGGGATGTGGGCGCGGGGAGTGGTGGTGGTGATGGTGTGCGAGAAGACGGGGGGAAAGGGAAGGGTGAGGATGGCTTTAAGCGCGTTGATGGAAGTTGGAATTCAAATCCTAATCCTAATGCGCCTAAAGTGAGGGCTTTCACTATAGAATGGGCGGCTATGTAGATGTAGATGAATACATATAACCCGTCAATGCTTAAAACATGTATAACGCTTCAGTGTTTACAAATAGTCACTTATTGTTGCTATTACGACTATCGTGATCATGGTCGACAATTGAATAAACACAATACGAACATCACACACACCGTAGATATCTTGATTGGAAGTTTAAATGCATTTAACCCCTTTCGGATAGGAGATTTGGATAAGAACCTTTGGTACGTGAAGTACGCGAAGACGTCTATTTCATTGCCGGCATTTCGCCGTATTCCCATCCAGCCGCGACTCTATCCGCCAGAGAAAATGTACCTTAAGTGTACCTAGATGCCTCGACGACAGTAAAAAAAGGAAGAAAACCCTCAAGAGAATTTCGACCTCGCCCTACCTTTCCGTGCCGCAGCCGCGTTTTTCTCGTTTAAAATTGATCCATGTTTCGTTTCGTGTTCCTAATCTTACATCTCGTTGCTCGAGCGACGACCAAAAGAAAGCAGAACCCATGGGATGAGAGGGAATTGTATCGAAGCGGTGGATCTCATAATGCAAATGTAAAATAAAAACAGGACAAACAAATACTCCCCAGCGCCGGCTCCATGTAGTCGAGTTCCTCCATCATGCGTATGTGACCTCGAAAAAGAAAAGATAAGAGAGATGCTGCTTAATGCCAATAGAAGACGGATGTAGGGGGGAAAGGGGTACCCCAATCCCAGTAACAAAGCCCGAACCGGGGTAAAAATGTGTACAAAGAAAGGGAGGATGTGATTGGCATGGTTCGACTCTATTCGAGCAGCCCCATCGCATGCCCTGTATGGCTCCATGCTTCCATCAAACCATCAAGGCACGTAGATCCGGCTAAAACTCACAACCTCCCGTCTACAGCAGACGCACTTGTCGAAATTGTTCATAGCCAACGTGACGCGGCACTCGTCGCATAGACTTAGACAACGGCACGGCCAAACGATGATCTTGCGAGGCGCCGAGTGGCACACTACGCACTGGGGACCGCCCCTGTCGTCATCCTCGTCGTAGATACCACTAGCATCCCGCTCGCGGGCGGCCTCCGTACGCCGCGTTATGATTAAGTCTTCGAGGAGCTCGGCTTCTTCTTCGTCCGAGAGCTTATTCCTGCTAGGCGGGCCGTGAAGGTCAAGGAGTAGGCGTCCGCGTTGGTTCTGTTGCATGCGTGCGTACTGCGAGCGTGTTACGATGCGGTCGGATGTCAAGTGAGCAGCGAGCGCGTGGGCTTCACGACGCTCTTCTGGGCTCGTAGGGCGTAGGAGTCTGGCGAGATCATCCATAGCAAGAGGTTGGTCGAAGGGGGTTGACTCCCGCGACGCCGAAAGCTGCCGAGACGCTTGGGTAGGCGTCCTCTGACCGTCACCGTCTTCGTATTCGCTTTCATCAACCCACGGATCCTGTTCGTCATTGCTATCTCCGATGACGCTGTGGATCATACTCGTCGTATCCCATTCGTCGTCACCTTCCTCCGGCTCCCAGTCGCCGCTCGTATCAACAGAGCCCCACAGATCACCGAATTTCCAAGAAGAGTACAGTCTCGAGTCAATCTCCGAGTCCGAAATGTTGGCTGTCTCAGGATGCCTTCTAAGACGTCTTCGTACCTCCGCTTCCACATCAGCAGTCTCATCATTATAGAATCTGCTGTTCCTCCCATTTCGACCGAGAAGCGAGGAACGTCGATCGTTTGCAGGTTGCTTCTCGTCTTTCTTGTCTTGCTTCGGTGCCCTGGACAGCCAGAGTAGAAAGGGGGGCTGGACCCTTACTCCAATGCGCGACAGTGCTTTCAGGAAAAGTAGCGCGGCCCATCGCAGTATAAGCCTGTTAATTTTCATCATAAACTCCAAGGCCAGAAGCCAACGCGAACTGCGTTCCGTCGCACCAACCCCATCCCTTGCTCGCTTCTCTCCCATGCGCGTTTTAGGTATCTTCTGCGCTGCTCGTTCTCGTGCATATCCGCTTGATGCCCCGAGCTGCCCCTCCTTAATGGGTATCATCCCTATAGCCCCAACGGAATCATAGCGCGAAACACCTAATCCTGAGCCAGCCCAGTGCATACGTAAAGACTCAAGTTCTTTAAGTCTTTCGTCTTCAAGCCACGTACGATTTTTCAAATTGATATCATGATCTTCGTTCAGATAGACAGCTTCGCTTGCCATCGTTATGACTCCGAAGCCCGTTCGAAGCAGCGCCGTGTAGAAATCCATTTCCCGAGAGATGCGAATGTCAGACAGCGAAATGTTGGCTTGCATATTTTCATGTGCAAGTATCAGCCGCTCTCGAAACGACAATTGCCGTCCTGCAGCACTCAGCCGATCCGGAGGCTGTAGGGCCGAAAGGAATAGAGCAACAGCGTATATGCTGAAGCAGATGAGTGTACCACAAAACACCATGACGTGAGGTATAAAACCTATGATACATACTGTAGGAAATTTGAAGAGGCCCATGTGGGATGGGCTGTCGAGTGAAAAGTCTAGTGCTTCTATCACTATGCTTCCCATGAAACACATCGCCCAAAAGCCTGTACTAACCAATCGAAACTTACTCTGAAGGTTAAAGACCCCCAAAACATGGCTAGTTATATGGCTCATAGCCGAGAGGAAAGCTACCAGTAGGACTTCAGGTGGAGTGTTGACCCGTCTCATAATCATAGATCTAGAAATAGCGATGCTGGTCCCTGAAGTGCCCTGATACGTGACGTTGGAAGGACCGCTTGAAAATAAACCCCAGCCAAGCTGGTTACTGATAGCGGCGTCGGCTTCGGCGAATGCTAGAGAATGTTCGAAAAGAGTCATCCCAGTTTCTACAGCGGCATGGCGTCCCTGTACTGCACAAGAAATCGTCTCTAAGAAATGACTTAAACACAAGGTCCCGAAAAGCGGCCACAGAAGGGATAAAGAGCCCTGTAATTCGTTTGAATAGTCGAGAGTGCTCGGAGGAACCATTTCAACAGCGCGACAGCTGTCATAGTCGGTGGCGCCTAAGAGCAGAACTGTGCTAAGTCCATGTAGATACGTAGAAGGTTGGGCGAACATGAGATCGGACGTTTTGCTGGAATTACCCCAGCGCAACTCGGCGAAATCGGGCGACGTCTGGCATTGTATGGATTGTAGAAGCTGTCGAGCTTGGTATGCAAAGAGGATAATAGGTGTAATTCGGAGAAAGAGCCGTACGGGCCATGTCAGGAATAGTCTTCTTCGTGAGGCTGCAAATATGTGCGTCCGGTTCAGAATAATAGCCTAAAGCAAAGTTGGGCGTCAGTAGAGCTTCTATATTTACGATGCCTACGATGGAGGTTGAAAGATGTTAAAACGGAAACTAAACTGACCATAGCAACGCAACACAGTGCCCATTTACTAGTGGCATAGCTGAAGACGCTGCCGAGGCCTTTGGTACCATCGGTCGAGAACTTGGAGACCAAGACGGCGGGGTCCTGATCTTCATTCTCCAACACATCCACTACATTGGCGGCGGCCTCGGATACTTTGGTTAGCATTTCGGCCGCAGTCGTGGTGGTGGTGATGAAGTAGTCGGATGAGGTTGGGTCAGCTATGACTCGTTGCCCGAAGCCATCAACAGCATCTGGGAAGGATAAGATGCCAAGCTTGGTAAGCATCCTAGGTCCGGCCAGAATAAGATCCTCGATCGAAGGAGCGAATCTTGTGACGTTGTTCACGGAATACCTAAGATGCTGTACCGTCCAAGAGGTAAGGTTATGCCACACGCTCGAATTATCGAAGGCCGTAGGTGCAGGTGCGGCCGTTGCGCCTGGCGATGCCATTCCTTGGAGACTGGAGAGACTGGAGACCTGGGGAATGAGGTCGACCAATGGCTCCGAGCCGGCCGGAGTAGGATCTGAGTAGCTTCCAATCAGAAACTACGGCAATTAGATCGTTCAAAAGCCCCGAAACATAGGAATTAGCCAATACATATTCACGAGAAACGCCTGAAGATCTCCCGTCACGAGCGTTGTTGGGTGAAGGTGTCGTCTGGTTTTGTTTGTGTATGAACGAAGGAATGGAATTATCTAAGAAATGATGTACATTAATAGGTAGAGTTTCGGAAGTTTGATAAGGTTCAAGGTTCGCGATCATCACCCAAAGCACCTGCCAAGCCAAGCCCGTCATCGTGGGGTATCCACTTTAACCCACCCTACCAATTTACTTAAACACCTGGACACCCAGGCCGTTTTTAGGTAATTGTACGGCTAGATGCATATTATAAGTGTAGATGATCCTACATTAGCGTGATGGTATCATATTCTAGAAACAAGTTCCATGTCCATGTGGGAAACGTTGTACTAAATTCGATTCGCTCATGGTATTTTCTCGGATATGTTTATTATTATCTGTTGCTCCTAATGGTCAAGTTCGCAAGAAGAACGCGCCGGGTTAGGGGTTTAGAACTTTAGATCAAGATGCTCACGAGATGTGTTGGAACGCAAGCGCATTGGTTATTGCTCATGTCAATGACCATGACCGAACCTGCGATTCCACCAACCAATATTACTTGCAGATGCATCATGACCATAGCTAGCGGGTTATGCCTGCTTCGGCCTCTGCTGCCTATGCCATGACTTCAAGCCCTTTTCATACACCCATGGACGTAACATCATTGGTCTGCTACACCCTAAGCATCAGGCCTAGCGCGTCTTCGTCATGTACGCGAATATCATGAGAATCGAGACTTCAACGTGAATGACTCACATTTTCAGGAAACCATCATCTGAATTTGATATCGACTCCGCCTAGTTACGCCATTATATGAGAATTTCCCCGATATTCCCAAAATTGGCGAGATGAAACTACAATTCTCGCTCAGGTAGAGATCCACGGATAGCTGGCTAAATTCAGGATGGGTTTTGCGAAATTTGTCCCTGACGGACGGTCTCGTCAAGGGCCTGAACGAGAACGCGGTTTGCGCTTCGACATGCCACAAGACTTCGCTCAACCATTTTGTGGTATATCATAGCGTCTGAGGAGGGTAACTGACCCTTGAACCAGATATTGGTTACTTCATCTCTCGTCGGTAGATATGCAACACAGCACGCCGCAAAAATCTTATGATATGCAGCAACATCTGGGTCGAGAACGATGCTAGGCTCGCTTTTCGCATCCTTGGCTACCATGGCCGCAACACCTCCCGCCACAGTGTCCACACAGTCGATACCAGCATCCGCGATAGCAGCCGAAGCAACGGTTATACAACCGCTTAGGACATTCATCATATCCCAGCCTTCGTCTCTGTCGTACTCTAGGGAGTCGCGGTTCTGGTCGCCTTCGATTATAGTGACGACAATGTCAACGCCGCTCTTGGGCCAGCGATCTGCAATAATTGCGCCTCGTAACGCTGTTTCTAGGTGAACCCCTAAATCTCTTTCGCTCGAGTCGCGTAGGTAGCCTCGTCTTTGTCTCGTTGCGAACGGTGCATACTTGACATGTGTGGAGAGGATGATATGAGGAGAGAAAGGCGCTGATCGTGGAAGGGCTCGAGGACCATGGACAGTGCAGGTGAGCTTCAGGCTTGTACCTGACGGGCGGTTCGCAGCTGGATCTTCGACTTCCAAATATGCTGATCCAGAAGCCGAAGGAGTGACACCAGTCTTCAGGACTATGCGCGATCTAATTAGTTGTTGAAGACACATGTAGAAGGGAAAGAAACTTACAGATCTTTCGGACGGCATTATCGCCCGATCGTGCCACGGCTCTCTTTCCTTGGGGCGTATCGTACACTGGAGGCGCCGTTGTGCCAACCGGACCATTTATTCGCCTCCGATCAGCCATGGTCGTTGAGTCCTAAAATGGTTGATTGCTTAGAACTTCAATGATATGTTGTACTTGCACTTGTACGTAGAAGCTTCAATTATTCCGAAAATTCCAAGCAACAGCGAAATTGCCCCACTACCTACCCACTAGCCCCGCTAATCCCTGCGCTCTACTAGCAGTGTAGCTCCAGCACAGACCATGCCGGTTACAAACTTGCCGTCCTCCGAAGATTTTCTTTACCTCGTCAACTTTGGAAAACAATTTTTCTTCCTCCATTCAATCTCGTACATGATTCCATACGACGTTGGACGTCGCAAATGGAAGCCAGAGAAATAACGACTAGCTACCTTAGTATCAAGTATTCATGTGTTCCTCTAAGGAATAATTGAAAGTCTTCATACTATTCAGGTAGGCTAGAGTATGAGTTTGGCTACTTCGAAGTTTGAGCGCCCAATTTCTAAGGTTGATTTTGGGTGACTGAAATATTTTGGTGAGTTATCCTGTTGCCTTCACACATCCACGCACCTCGGTTCATTGTAGGTTTCCTTGCTACTGATGATCTTATAACCACTGTTCCTCGCGATCACCTGAGCGGAATGAACAACATGCACTACCATCTGAAGCATGAACCAGCTATTGCTATTGTCGTCATCGTCCCTAGTACTCTAGCTAATGCCATTTCTAGAAAGACATGCACATTTCTTTCATGTTAACAACAACTACAACCAAGAATCCCCGAATAATGTGAGTAGACTACGATTCTCCTTTGCTATTTCGCTACTGTCCATGATGAATCCTTTTTTATCAGTTCTGCTTCTGAAGCACTGTGAAGATACCCATATACCAAAAAACATATTCTGATCGTACATGTTCATTCGTCTTCGTTTCTTGAATCTCCGAGACGAATTCACGATAGCTAACATACATAAAGTTCGCAGTTATCCCATATTCTTCATCTCTAGGCGATTAACAGTCAAGACATGGCAAATGTAAGTTCAGATGGCTCTCTTCCAACCACATACATGATCATGATGAAAACTGTTTATCCATTCAACTATCTCACAGCGGGTCGAGCCACCCTCCCACACCGTAGCTGCTCTTTTGAGTACGTGATGATCGGTTGTGGAGTTGTCTCCGATAGTTCTAGTTACTACTGGGCTTGTCAGAGTTGTTATGATGGCTTCCGTGTCTTCTATCTTCGTGTCTCGTCTTGAGGTACGGGGGTAGAAGGCCGACTTGCGTGAATGAGTAAACTGGTTTATCTGATGTCTTTCATATCTATTTGGCTTAGATTTGAACTCTGTATTTAATCTTTACTAATTGATCATGGCAGGATTTTGAAGCAGTAAAGCAGATTTTGAATCGCTTGGCTCAGCTAAGTCTAAGCCGTACTTATAGAAGAACATTGTAATCATTTCTTGTGAAACGGTAAGGAGTTTATGATTCAAAGTTGCGGCGTGATATGTCTCATTTGCCAAGCCTAGATAAAATACAATATTTTTGTGTGTAGTCTTATGTCTTCTTGTGCATAATACCAGCACCAGCTTGGTGGTTGGGGAAAACGAGAGTGTCGGCTACTACTACATTTTCTCTTCTTCCAGCAACAAATACGACTACCTCGGCAATATCATCAGGCGTCAAAGGGTCGTAACCACTAAAATGAATTAGTACGATTAAGCCATCCAAATCAGTCGATTAACTTACGCGTAGACAGCATCAGCTTTAGACTTGTCACCATAGAATCGGACGACAGAGAATTCCTAAAAGATCACATTAGCTTAGAGATAGATAGGTGGGCGATGCGGAGAAGAGCGCGGACGACTTACTGTCTCGACTTGGCCGGGATCGATCTCGAGGACGCGGACGCGCGAAGAGATGAGCTCCTTGCGCAGGGACTCGGAGAAGCTGCGGACGGCGGCCTTGGTGGCACAGTAGATCCCGCCGCCCGCGTACGGCTCGCGGCCGGCGATGCTGCCGATGTTGATGATGTCGCCGCGACCGCCGTCAGGGCGTGCGAGGTAGATGGGCAGGATAGCCTGCGTCATATTAATCAAGCCCGTTACGTTGGTCGCGAACATGACATTGATGTCGGCCTCAGCGATCTCCGGGGCGCGGGCTACGCCTTTGACGAGGCCGCTTTTGGGTTTGGTTAGTTAGGTTCTTATAAGACGTTTATGTGAGATGAGGTGGTTTAAGTGTATCGTCTTGATATATGCGCTGGCTCTCATGATCTAGTGCCGAATACGCGCAAACGATCATATAAGTGACTATCAATAACTTACGCATTATTCACCAACACATCGATATCGCGGAATTCCTCCGGCAAGCCTGCCACGAAACCGCGGACCTCTTCGGGAACGCTTACATCAAGCTTCACAGGCAAGACTTTTACACCGTCGCCAACCTCTTTTACGATATCGTCGGCGATTTGGCGCAAAGTTTCCACCCGCCGCGCCGTAAGCACCAGCTTTAGGTTCTTGGGGGCAGTCCGCGCGAATTCGAACGCCGTACTACGGCCGATTCCCGACGAGGCACCCGTGATCACGATGGTCTTGCCCTCGAGGCGCTTCGTTACGGCTGAAGACATGGCTCTTCTCCTGACAGTATCTAGACGGTTGCTAAGGTTAAGTGGCCTGAGTGATTGCAACGGGGCAGTCCTGGGATGCGCTGCTGACGAGAAGACGAAGTGCCGGAGTGTGGAGAGACCGGTGCGCAGGATGGGCATAAGGTGAGCTTGAGATATTTATTTTAGAAGAACTCGAGTATTCAACGAGGTTTTATGAGATTCTGTGAGTTGAGTCACTTTAATAATAGCGATACTATATGTACCTAGCCTAGGCGCTCTGATAGTCTTGATTTTCTATAGTATCCAATGCCGAATCAGCGAGATGATGTGCTCGACCCCGCCATAGCTGTCACAAAGATGCCCCGCCGCCAACTTCCGTATCGGAAGGGTTCGGTTCAAAGCTTCGTCGGCTAGTTCTACGCTGGAAGAAGTCGAATTGATAAGGTAAGGAAGTTTGACATTTCGGTATTTCGCCTATTGCCATTGATTTTATTGTAAGGAAAAGTGTAATCATGAATTTCAAAACCAAATGCTAATCTTCTTAGACACATTTGCACTCTGTAAGCCCTCGGAGTAAAAGTTTTGAGACTTTCCGCGGTTTTTTGAACTACAAAAATAAATTGACGACATAGGCGACGTACGAACGTACGAAAATGCAATCGTTAATCTAAGTGTAAGAAAAAGAAACAAATGCTTACCATACTTCAATGGTGAGACAATGAGCAATTACAAAAAACGAAGATTGAAGTGAAGAAGGCCCCGCCGAGGATTGAACTCAGGTCTCAGGAATTTTTCATTAGTCAAAATCCTGCGTGCTAACCACTACACTACGCGGCCGATGGAAGACGCCTTCTTATGCAAGTAGATAGCCAAGGTTTATGCAGGGGATTACCTAAGGAGAGCCCCGACCGAGTCCACTAGCACCATTTCATCTGCTCTCTGCTCAAACTTCCAACCTTCAAACATAGGTACGTTGGCTTGTCGAGTTATTTTCAAATTTGCATCAGAATCATGATGCAAACTCATTCACATAGAGATTTTTGCTTAATATTATTTTAAAGATTCGAGGTCATTTAAATCTACCTACCTAAGTAGTAACACACTTCACTGACCTAATCACAAATATGTGTCTACGTATTATTCCTGGGTTCCATTTTGACCTGTGTACAAATTCCCGGTCGTTCACCAATCTAGCTCTTACCCACCGACTGATATGGTCTATGAATCAACGGCTTTCTCCTGAGTTCCTAATAAGTATTTTCGAAGACATCATCGTTGCCAAAAATATGTAACAATCCATGACAGTTCCTTGCAGACGTCACATCGAACCAATGGAAACCAACGATGTGCTATGTCTGACATTGCTGACCATTCTCTGCATAGAACTTGAGGATATGACGACCTATAATATAATTAATTAAAACAACAATTGGGTATAAAATGGCGGGATAAATGAAATACTTTCCTAAGAAGGCAATGATGAAAGAACTGGTATCTAGATCGATCTGCAATTGTAACCGTCTATTCGGGAAGAATCAAGTTGGAGATCCGACAAAGCGCATCTAGGCATACACCATGACAGGATGGAATTTACGTGAGGATGACGCAAATTGCAGATTTCACCTACTCGGTTTCCACGAATGTTTATCTATGGTTCAGGAGCAAGCAACAAACATAACGTACCTTCCCCCCGGTTCGAGTTAAACACACTTTGATCGTCCCGAGTACATTACCCCTAAGTACAAACTCAAACCTGAACCTGAACAACAACAAAGTCCCCAACTATTGTTAACTATTATTGATATCCAACTATGTCGGGTCCGCTGGGAGATCTTGCTCATGCCATAACCTCGCCTTTCCGATCGAGTAAGCATGAAACAGAACCAAGTACTCCGGAGAAGGGAAAGTCAGCACAACGTACAGAGGCTAAACAGCAGGAGAAGCTTGAGAAATCCGAGCGGCGACAGCAGGACAAAGATGAAATAGAACAGCGACGACGACAAGAAGATGAGATAGCAGAGCAAGAAGAAGACGAAGAAACCAAGGCTCGTTATGGCGAAAATGTTCACCCCCATGAGCTATGTTCGCTTGAACGGATCGTCGGCCTACCAGAAGGGTCCGAGGTTAACTTCCGCGCAAGAATACATACCCTGAGGCGGCTATCTCAAGCCCTGACCTTCTTGTTATTCAGGCATCAGACAGATTCCATCCAGGGTGTCCTCTCACACGCATCGCCCCATATGATCCGATGGGTACAGCGGCTTAACCCTGAATCTCTCGTTCACGTCACGGGCACTTTGCAGAAACCAAAAGAGCCCGTCACGTCTGCGACGTTTTCAGACATAGAGGTCCTGGTCTATTCTATACATCTTGTCAACCCGGCCAATGACCTACCTTTTGACAACTACCAACCGCCTGACGCGCTCCGTCAACGTCTGTCTGGACGTGTGGTGGATCTCCGCCATCCAAGCAACCAGGCTATATTCCGAATTCGATCTATGATCGTTCGGAAGTTCCGGGAGTCCTTAGAGGATCAGGGTTTCTTGGAGATCCAAACACCTAAGCTACAACCTGCTGCGACTGAGAGCGGCTCGGAAGTCTTCAAAGTGCAATACTTTGGGAGAACAGCATTCCTAGCGCAAAGTCCGCAACTACCCAAACAGATGGTCATATCGGCTGATTTTAAGAAAGTGTACGAGGTGAGTGTCGATCACTCCATTTTGTCCCCAAGTGAAAATCGAATACTGACACCGGCTTGAAAGATCGGTCCTGTGTTTCGCGCAGAGAATTCAAATACGCATCGGCACTTGACGGAATACACTGGGCTAGACATCGAGATGTCTTTGAAAGAATCCTACAGGGAGCTTATAGAGACCATAGACAAATTCCTCAGAGCGATTTTCACTGCGGTGCAATCTATGCCTGAGCTAAATAACGTCCGGGAGCGGTGGCCTAGCAAGGATCTTGTCTGGTTGGATGAGACACCGATTATCCCTTTCACTGAGGGGATTCAAATGCTCCGAGATGATGGTAGAGAAGTCGAGGAAGAGGATCTGTCTACACGAGACGAGATGCGTCTCGGCGAACTCGTCAAGGAGAAGTACCAGACCGACTACTACGTCTTAGATAAATTCCCAGCCAACGCTCGGCCGTTTTACACTCATAAAGCCGAGGATCCGAAATGGACTAACTCGTTCGACATCTTTCTACGTGGCCAGGAGATTTGCACTGGTGGACAACGCATACATGATGCCAAAGAACTTCGCGCAAGTATGGCGGAATCAAAAATCAGTGAGCAGGGAATGGAAGAGTACTTAAGCGCATTCGACCTTGGAGCACCACCTCACGGCGGAGCTGGTTTGGGCCTGGAACGGATCGTGATGCTGCTTCTTGAGCTGGACGATGTAAGAAACGCATCGCTTTTCCCACGCGATCCTAAGTCACTGCCTGCTGGCCCTCCAATGCTTCCTCACCCAGACGCAAACACCTTAGCGCCACGAGGTGCACAAGATGAATATCCCCCTATCGAGAAGCTCATCGCCAATTACGGCGATGCCACTAACACATCCTGGCTCGACGAGCGATTTGAAATTTGGCGACATCCGACCGGAGCAGCTGTAGGGTTCGTCAGGCAAGCAGGCAAGTTCGCCATGATAGCTGGCGACCCACTTTGTGATAGGAAACAATATCACGACGTCATCACATCCTTCGTCAATTTTGTGCGTAAGGATCTTCATCTCACACCCGTATGGATGCTCGTCTCCGAAGAAGTTCAACAGGTCCTAGGCACGAAAATGCGCTGGCGAACACTTAGCTGCGCGGAGGAGCAACGTGTCGACGCTGATCAACACCACAACACGTCCAAGGGCCGCGAAGCGCGCCGCGTCCAATGCGAAGGCATCACTATTGGCGAAGTCGTCGATCCCGACGAAAACTTTATGCGCCGCGCCGACAACGCGATCCGCGAGTGGCAGGCCGGGCGCAGGAGCAAGGGAAAGCAAGTCCATCTCACCGAGGTCCGACCATGGGTAGACCGCGAACATAGACGTTACTTCGCCGCTGAAAAGGAGGGCGCCGTCCTCGGGCTCGTCGTCCTAGCGCAGCTGGCGCCCCGGCACGGGTGGCAGGTCAAGTGGGCGTTCGACTTCCCATCCGCGCCGAACGGCACCATAGAGGTCCTCGTCGAAACCGCGCTGTCCGCGCTCTCTGGCCCCGTGACCTTCGGCGCGGGCGTCTCGGAACGGCTGACGCCCGGCGCGCAGCTTAGCGGAGTAAGGGCTAAGTTTCTGGCGAATACGTACGATATTATTGTAAGGAACCTTAGACTAGGGGGTAAGGCGAGGTTCAGGGAGAAATTCGGCGCGCTGGGTGAGCAGGTTTACATCTGTTATCCGAGACATGGATTGGGGGTGCGAGATTTGCAACAGATCGTGAAGTTCTTTGAGGATTAAGATGGTGGGTAATGAGGTTGATTAGAGATCCCCCTTTTCTTCCGATGCCTTGGCGCTCCTAGGGGTTGTGGAATGATCAATTGTGGTCTTCCAGAACTATGTGGTTTTCTTTCAGGAGTTGGGTACGTCTATCATCACATTATGTTCTATAAATATCGTTTATTTCCAAAGTGAAGTATAAGTCCCGATGCTCGCTTTCGATAAAGGTCTGCAAGTAAGCTGGAGTACCTTAAGAATATGTTCCCATGACCTTCGGCATGTATGAGGCTCTAACAAGCAGTTCGGTTCCGGGTTTCCGTCACAAGCTCGTTCCAAGGTAGATTCTCACATCCTTACTTCCATCCCAAAATGGACTATATTTCATTATACGATCGACGAACTATGACGATATCAATATACTAAAGAACTTTGCCATGTGCTAATAGAGCTGAAAACCCTAGGCTGGATGCGCAGGGCTTCCTAGACAATTACGAATTACGTTCCACAGACGAACCCCGAGATTCCGAGCTGATGCAGGTAAAATGCAACAATCGCGGGCTGGAGAAGGGGATGTCAGCAAGGTTCGTATATGATATCTGAGAGGTCAGTTTTGTGCCGTGTTTCCGTGCCGGTGATTTGTATGCACCATGTACGAAAGATCAAGGATGAATAAGCGACTAATTCAATTCGGAAGCCCTACCCGGACGGAGCTCGGTGTCGCAGGTATGGTTTATAGGTTGGTCATAGCATCACGGACGGGCGCACCCATCCTTCAACGGAATTGGCTCGGCCTCTTCCGCTGTAGTAGTAAGGTATGAGCCTACAAGCCTCACCGGTTGACCATTGCATCTTTCACCGCCGGATTTTTTTGGGCGATAGAGCCGAGATACATCGCGCTCCATCGTCGACGGCTTTGATGTGTGTCACGATTGTGACAGGCATATCCTTAGGTAACAACCTGGGAATAGTGCTCTAAAAAACTGGGTGGTGGGCTTCACAGGGCATGTTGTCATACCTCCGAGAGCTTCGGCGTTACTTACCTAGCAAGTATGCAGTAGGGGTTCCAAATGGTATCCATAATGATGAGGGGATTATCGTATCCATTGAGGGGGAGAAGAAGAGGAGAGGTTGAATGCCTTGAGGATTTCGATATAAAGGGCATATAAACTTCCCTTCTCTTGAACAATTCATGAACCACATCCGAAAGGCTATTTGGGCCCTCGAGTAAACTTAGAACTCAACTTCTTCCCATTTCGCACACTTGTATATCGTTAGTTTTCAAGGATATATATCGTTCGAGATGAAATACGCGAGTAGCCTCACAGCCGTTGGGCTGTTTCACCTGGTAGTTGGTCTCCCTACACCACAGTAAGTAGCCCCTATCATCCTTTAACCCTGCCTACATTACGTATGTAGGCAGGCCTACGGTGAACGTGCTACTAAAGTATGCAAATAGAATGATATATGAAGAGAACCAGGGAAACGTCGGCGGCGTTGATCCACCAATTCCCACCTATTCAGGCGCACCTATAGGCGACCTACGCGGATCGACGAATTTACAAGGCGGCATCGCATCACGGCCGCCAGTTTCCGGGGGTGACTCGGCCGTCGTGCCGGACCCAGAACTAGTTAACGGCCAGGAAGCCGACGCCGACCTAGGTCTGTACCTGGACTTCGAGAACGCCACCTACCCCAACGGCCCGCAGCCCATCCGCGGCGGGAAAGGAGGAACAGATCCGGGTCCGCGCACGTACGAGTACGAGAAGCTGAACCCAGATGTCTACGCCCCTCCCTCGACGGACACGGGCACCGTGCCCCAGGCCATGTGGCCCCTCGGCTTGAGCCACAACTTGTTCGGCTCGGGCGAGGAGTCCGGCTGGGCGCGGCAGCAGAACCAGGATGTGCTGCCTGTATCTAGCGCGATGGCGGGCGTGGATATGCGGCTTGCGCCGAATGCGTATCGAGAGCTGCATTGGCATACCTCCGGTGAATGGTAAGAGCTTATCCGATGTTCAAGGCGGATACAATGCGCTAGGTTTGATTATTTCGGAAAAAAAGCTAACGACTTGATCGCGTGGATAGGGGGTTGATCTTGAAGGGCTCGGTGCGCGTTGCGGCGATCGACGAGGACGGCGCCTCCTTCGTCGACGACGTCACGGCGGGAGACGTGTGGTTCTTCCCGCAGGGCGTGCCTCACAGCTTGCAGGCCCTGCACGAAGGGGCCGAGTTCTTGCTGATCTTCGACAGCGGCACTTTCTCCGAGACGGATACCTTCCTCGCCACCGAGATGCTAATGCGCACTCCTATCTCCGTCTGGGCTAAGGATTTGCAGACCGATGTTAGCTCGTTCGACGACATCCCTGATGCGGAGAAATATGTGAGTAGTTTCTCTTTCAATAGATATTTTAATAATTATGTGCTTCGATTAATAATGATGAAAATAGATTTTCAATGGCACGCCCGTCCCGGCCAACATCTCGGAGCAGAACATCACGTCTTCGGCCGGCGCCTTGTGGGGGCCCACGGGGTACACGTACCACTGGTCGCAGCAGGAATTCCACAACACGACGGGCGGGTCCGTCAAGATCCTCGACCCGCAAACCTTTCCCGTGGCGGACATGTTCTCGGCGGCGCTGGTCGTGCTGGAGCCGGGCGCGATGCGGGAGGTGCACTGGCACACGTCGAGCGACGAGTGGTCGTACTTCCTGCAGGGGTCGGCGCGCATCACGGTGTACGCGGCGCCGGCGTCCTCGCAGACCTTCGACTTCACCGCCGGCGACGTCGGCTACATCCAGAAGTCCAACGGGCACTACGTCGAGAACACCGGCACCGACGACGTCATCTTCCTTGAGGTTCTGCAGGCCACCAAGTTCTCCGACATCAGCGCCGCCCAGTGGCTCGCCCTGACCCCGCGCCAGGTCGTCAAGGATACCCTGAACCTGTCCGACGAGGTCCTCGACGCCATACCCAAGGATAAGACCCTAATCAAGCCGGGGAACTCAAACATGACTGCTATCGCTGGTGGCGGTCAGAATTTTTAAGGCGGGAAGACTGAGCTTTGCAATGGGAAATGAGCCTCTAGAGGAAGGGGGACAAGATTTAATGAGGACAGTTGACTTTTAGACGTTGAGAAAGACGGCAATCATTGTCATATAGAGGCTAGGGTTCCAAATGTTGTCTTGTTAGCGTTGTATCCTTTTCTTTTTAATTCGCATATACTATTTACTTCCAAAGTCCCTTGGAACTCGTGAGAAGTGACCTTGTCCCTGGCCGGTTTGTCTGGTATCGCTTCCCGCTTCAATCCTATCAATGCAACACCACCTTAAGAACATTGAACGCTCGACTTAACCCTAGCCTTGGATCTTGCCAAACACCCCAGCCAAGGTCGCAAACTTGATGGCGAGCGTTTGGATAGGATAAGTAGCCAAATTCCAGGTCTCGGAACTCCAATCAGAAGTGTCGAATACGGCGCTCCACCCACGGGGGTCACTCTCTGCGATGGTCATGAAGAGACCAGCCCAGTGGGTGAAATCGGCTATTATCAAGACTCCGATGTGTAGTTGCACGAGGCGCTTGTTGGGTGGTGATGCTAGTAGGATGATCAGACCATATAGCATCATATTAAATAGGTAACCATCAGCCATCAATGGCATAGATAAGGTTGGAATAGGTAGGCCCTTTGCGGTAGTAGAGGCAAGCTCGAGCATCGGGATTCGCGAGGCATAATTCATAATCATCCCGTACGTTCTGTATGAGTTAGTCGAAATTACTATGCAGATGTGAGCAACTAGGAAGTATTACATTGCGACCGGCTCTAGATACAGGAAGAAGATGCGGGGAATAATGGGCAAGAGAGACGCGTTAGTTGCCATTGTATCAGGTCTTCCAGTTCATGTGCCAATTGATACTCGAAAATGATATTTGTATAGTAGCTCGGAATATTGGTTGGTGGTAGGCCTAAATAGGTTTGACGTTTGATAAATGAACTTCAGGAGAGGTATATTCTGAATTATGAGATTGAAGAGAACTTGTAGAACACTACTGAAGTTCTTATACTCTCGAGAAACCGCGATAGTTACTAGCCGAATTTGATGTAGTATTAACAGGTATAATCACACACAGCCCCATGGGATCGCCAGGATTCATGAGTATCGCGGCAATAAACCAACCCCGAGCCCCGCATTCACGAGCCTGTCGCGTGCTCAGGTGACTCATTGGTCGTTGTCCAGGACTTCGGTGATCTTGGCTGTCCGAGGTGATTCGTGCTGATGCATCGCCTGCGGCACAGCGTGTCGTGGCTCGACCCTAGGTGCTATATTGAGAAGGCACGCAGAGATACAAATTTGGGACTTGTCAGAACCCGGCTACTGCTGAGATTTCTTATATCCACTGGATAAATTTATCCACAAAATACTCGATGTCTAACACCTGAAATTACCTCGAACTGTTTAAAGTTCCTTTGGAAGCTGGGACGGTTGTCTATGTTGATCAACATTATCCTAGCTGCTCGAGAATATAGTATGGATTGTTGAGAAGTGGCTTCGTAAATTCGACTTGCTTCTTGTATCTCTTCGACTCCCGGGACTTCTCTTTCTTCGTCTCCTCGCGGATGTCTCTCGAAATCTTCAATTTATTCTCGGGGGTTCCAAGTATACCCGTGGTTATTGCGAGTCCATCCAGCTTATCAAATTCTGACAACAAGCTAGACATGCTTTCAACTGTAGGCCACTCTGCGATGAGAGGAAGCGATGCGAGACGACTGTGTAATTGTTGCACTGATGCTGGAAGTTCTTGACCTAGGGCAAGGACAACTTCTAGGATTTGCTTCACTATCCTGAGCGAGTACAATTGGGCCTGGACTTGAGCTGTGAAATGTATTAAATCCCATGAGTATCTTTCGGGGCTTTTGGGTAGACTGGTAGATTCTTTGATTAGCGCAGCGGATAGAATTTTCCGCCCTTCTGATGTCGAGTACTGGATATCTCGATACACCGAAAATGCTAACCATTGCATACCAACAGATGAAAAGCTCTCGGTTAATTTTTCTAAAAGCGCCACTAGTCGAGCACAGTTGGCGACTACTTCTTCCAGGTCGGGAATACGGATTCGTCGTCCTGCGTGGGCCGATAACGACCCTAATGTACGGTATTCAACGATCCACTCGACTTTTTGAAGGACTACAGTCTGAAGAAGACTGTACGCAAGTTCTCGAACGTTCGTGCCCTGGGTCCACGCACTCAGGATGTGGTTATTTTCAAAGAGGATAGGTAGAAATATAGAGAGCGTTTCTGGCCCTCGCAATTCCTTCTCTTCTGAAGTTGAAGGCTCTGTTGCTTTCTTTAAAAGCAGGGCCTGAATAATGACCTCCGATATTCTGGGGTCTAAGTCGGGAAGTAGACTGAGCACTGGGTGATGACTTGGCAAATATTTCTTGAGCTTAAGTTCATCCATGAACTTTTTGTAATGTGGGCAGTCCAGAGCAGCTTTGCGATTCTTCCTAACGTTATCTAAAACCAGGTCGAAAGGTAAATCTTTCCCGTTTTTCCCTCCTCTCTGTTTTTCGAAGGCGATGCGGGGAAGGCCGCCTTTGGTTTCTACACCTAACTGGTGGTTAATATCATGAAGCGACATTTTATATGCCTTCAGGGGTATGCTGTTAGGGTTTTGGTCGTCCGACCTTATACCCCAAAGGAATGCTACATCCCCCTTAAGTCCAAGATCCTGTATGAGAAAGTCAGAATCGGTCGTTAGTACAGTGCCACCATTCTTGCGAATGTCTTCAGCACAAAACATATCAGCTTCCCCGGGGACGACGATGACTAGGGGGCCCCAATATTCGTCCTTCCTTAGAGCTTCTAGGACTGCTGGAACAAGGAAAGGGGGTCTGGGTATGTCGTCATGTAATTTGTTGTTTTGGTTTGTCATGCCTAAACCGATCTCTAGGTGGTCGAACGCATTTCCTGGGGTTTTAGTTGACCCACATGGGTTAGAAGATACCAATTTTCTTATGTTTTGGGATTGCCGGAGAAGTCTATTTTTCCTCACGTGCCATTTGCTTGGAGGCAGGTACCCGTCAAAATAGATCCTCCTCCTGTTCACTATGGATTAGTTGTTAAAGTGAAAATCAAGCTTAGAATTAGCTCACACGTTGACGTTGTGGGACTTGAGGGCATCAAGCCAACCTATAACCATGCGACTGAGGAGCTCGTATGGAGGAAGACATGCAAATCCACCAGATACCGGTCGATTTACCATACAAGTTTCGGAGATACGATGGGCGAGAGCGGGTCCGTCAATGACGACGGTATGGCCGCTCAAATGTGAGAGAACGCCAAACCGCGATACTGAAGAGACAAAGCCACGAATTCCCATCGTGATATGATTCAGCCTGATGAAGACCTCGAACCAAATGCAAGTGGTGTGTTCAGTGGGATATCCTTCATGGCTTGTGCATGTCTTCTCGATTGTACACAGTATATCGCGATATTATTGAGTGAGTTTGATCGCATGTATGTGTGTACATCAAACGAAAATAATAATGTGAGGCTGCAAAGATGAGACAGGTAAGCACGGTGCTGTAGAAGTCGGTAGAGTATAATAACATACAGCACAATTCCAACACAGAAAATATTTCATCCAATGAGACTTTGGTAATAGTATCCACTTCTTTGCAGAGTTTAGCCTAGCGCCTAAACCCCTGCGGCGCCTCCCGAGGAGAGAGCGAATCACCAAAGGATACCTTGAAGCCTATAAAAATTGGATAGGAAGGAAACCCCGGCTACCAGTGCCGTATGATGTATTCTGTAGGTGGGTACCTACCTTATGTATACCTGCCGGAATAATTGGTATCCCACGCCTAAGGTGCTCCGATCAATTGGCCCTGCTCTTTTCTTATCGGCCCTTGCCTATGCCCCACATAAAATCATCACCCTTCACTCTTCCACCAAAACTTTTCTTTCTTTTATCATCAATTACAGGATGCGAGGAACGTTGGTATTCTCGGGCTCGTCATGCCCAGCTCTCACCGGCAAAATATGTGAGAACCTGGGCATGGCTCCGGCTGAGGCTGACCTATCTCAATTTTCAAATGTGTGTTATCCTTCCCCAATGCTTCGTCTCTCAATGGGCAGAGAAAAAGGCAGGCTTAGGCTTGGGTAACACTGACTTTTTCAATCCAATTCGCAGGGCGAAACAAGCGTCCGAATTCTAACCAGTGTTCGAGACAAGGACGTCTTCGTTGTGCAATCTGGAAGCCCTACTATCAACGACACCATCATGGAATTGCTCATCATGATCTCCGCTTGCAAAGGTGGCTCTGCGAACAAGATTACCGGTGAGTTCGACAGCTGCAGAAAGAAGAAAAAAATATGCCTTGAACCATAGCTAGACTTGGTCGAGGAGTACCTACATGCTAACTGCGAAATCCTTCACTCAGCCGTTCTTCCCTACTTCCCATACAGCCGGCAATCTAAGAAAAAGTCTCACCGGGGCGCCATTACCGCTCGAATGCTGGCAAATTTGCTTAACGTGGCTGGAGTTAAGCATGTTATCACGGTCGATTTACATGCTTCTCAAATGCAAGGATTCTTCAAGTGTCCCGTCGACAACCTTCACGCCGAGCCCCTCATAGCACGTTGGATTCGATTGAATATCCCCAATTGGAAGGAAGCTGTTGTTGTATCCAAGAATGCCGGCGGTACCAAGAGAGTAACGTCATTGGCCGATGCCTTGAAACTCAACTTCGGACTGGTTACTACAGACCGCAAGCGTGCTCCCAATATGTCTGCGAGTATGATCATGAACCAGCTGGATGGGTGGGATAACCCTCCTGGTTACGTTAACGGCGTCCAGCGTTCAAGAGCCATCTCGGAAGACAGAGACTCGGATTGGAACGGCTCAACTAGGTCGTCACGGGTTGTAGGCGACTCTCAAGGTTCTCCCAGGCGCGCTGCCGCCCCACCGCTGCGGACTAACAGCCTCACGCGATCGCCGTACACGCGCGCCTATACGCCTTCTCAAACATCCCCCATCGAGGAGTTGAAAGATGAAGAAGAAAACGTCGACGAGGCACTGGTCTATAACGACCAACGTGCTCAGGAAGTGACACAAGGAAGGCTCGTTCAAGGTCATGTTGTGGCGGACGATTTCCAATCCCCACCTCAGTCAGATGGCGGCGGGAGCCAATCCTACCAAGGCGGTGATGACGACCCCATGACCATGTCTCATGCTTCTTCTTTCTTCGCTCCCGAACCACATGCTCTTGGCGGCTCCGGTGATGCAGAGGGGTCATCAGACGAGGAAGAAGAAAAGCTCCGAGATCCCAAGGTCGAGCATATGATCACGCTGGTTGGCAATGTTAAGGACCGCCCAGTTTTAATCGTGGACGATATGATTGATAAGGCTGGTTCATGGATTGCCGCAGCTGAGACAGTCGTTAAGCGAGGCAAGGCGAAGAAGGTGTATTGCATGGCCACACATGGAGTGTTCGGGGCAGACTGCCTCGAGCAACTCCAAGCTTGCGATTGTATCGACCAAATTATCGTAACCAACAGCTTCCCTATCCCCGACAGGAGAGCGAAAAACGCGAGTAAGTTGGTCATCCTAGACCTTTCCTATCTGCTCTCCGAGGCGATCCGAAGAAACCATTATGGCGAATCCATCTCGCCCCTATTCCAACATATTGCGGATTAGACAATCCTGGAATTTTATGATTATTACGAGTTAGACTGCCATTACTCGCAGTAGTGTACGATTCATGAAAACGAGAGGTGAGGCTGCGGGTACTTGGTATGGCGTATAGGAGGAGGCGGAATAAGGCTTTATGACTTGCTTTGGGAATCATGGCTAGCGTTACGGGATTACATCAGATACCACGTTAAGATTGTCGCAACAGGTATGTTTTTTGAATTCAGGTCCCGTGTGATTTGTGCTCGTGTCGAAAATCTTTTCCCCTACATACTCATGCACTCCCCCAACGGTGCTATCTTCGGATAGCCAGGGCTTACATGTCCCTCTAGGACAAGCCCTGAACGGAACGTTGGCAGATCAAACCATCCCTTAGGGGTACTCCGATGCTAGAAGGCCAGTCGCTCAGGTTATTACTATCGCATCCTTCATGGGTGATGAGTGTCCGGCAAGAGAAAACTTCGAACAGTCCATAAATGAATACAAGTCCTTATTTAATTCCATCACCATTGCAAATCCAGCTGTACATATATCTGTGACCCTTTAATTTGTTTGCCTTCTTGTAAGACCCTTCCTTCCAAGCAGATTCACCTAACAAATAATACCCAACACCTCCATCGAAGAGGTGGTTTAAGAGGCGGCGAGGTAGAGAGAATGCCCCTCGGGTTTGTTACGCGTCGGACAGCGTCGTATGCTCTCTAGTCGCAGAGCCCGGAGATAGGGTGGTTGTCGACCAGATTGTATGAGGTGTGGTCGCCAAAGTTTTGGCGACGTTCTAGGAATCTCATGAATCCTTATCGTCAATTGAGCGTTGACATGACGCGGTAGTACCCCATAGAACGGCAATTGTTGTCTTTGCCTTTCTTTGCCCCTGTGCTGGAGGGGAAGGGGAACACCCACCCCATTTTCTGGGGGTACTATAGGGACCCCTCTGGCCTCCCAGCCAGTTGTCCGTTTGTTCTCGTCCCGGACAACGGCATGGTGTTGAGGCTGCTGAGGCTGCTGAGGCCTCGCGTCCGCAGACGCTGCTAGAGGCGTGAGGTTCTGTGCGCCCCCGTAGGGGCGTCTTCAGCAGCTCATTCAAGCTCCTCAGAATGCGACGGATCATATCCTGTTGAGTTCGAGACTTGTCGCCTCCGGGGTCTTACCGGAGGCTATGATAGCGCCTCCGCGCCCGCTTCTCCCCCCCTTGCGGAGTAAAATGTCATTGGGGGGAGGCGACGAGCCGGCGTCGTGCCTGGTTCTGTGCACTCCAACCCCCCAGGGGCGAACTGGAGGCGCCAGAATGACAGCGCCACCATGAGAATGGTTGGCGCTGGTGGGCTCACGACCAGCGTGAAGCCAGGGCCGCCGACAGCCATCCGACTGTTGGGGGATGCTGGCATTCCCGGCCAGCATCAGCTTCGAGCAAGGCAGCCGCCTGACTGACGGAGCATGCTGTTATTCACGGTTAGCAGGTGCTGACGATCTTAGGTTGTTCAGTGCATACCTGGCAAATTGGCTGCAAGCCATGAAAGGACTTGTCGCCGCCCTCAAAGGGGGGCGTCCTGGACGGGGGAGCGATGTTCACCCCGCAGGATACGATGTACAGCCTGCGACCGCACGGGAATGTTGGGTGCTTCGTAGCAACCCAAGACCCGACACAGTTTTTGTGCAGGTTGGAACCTGCAAAGGCTACTGCGTACATTTGTATCAATATCTGACATGAATGGTCGACATTGCCATTAAAGCTGGCAATTAGCTCCCTATGCCGCTCCCCCGACAATGACGGTCTTTAAAAAAGACAAGGGAAGTGAGTGTTGTCATGGACGGGGGAGACCTAGGCAGTAGAACCACAGTGGACGTGTCGGCATGAGAGCTGTTTCGTGCGGCTAGACAGTTCAATAGAAATGTTAATAAAAACCAGCGGATTAAACGATGCGAGGAATAGAAGGAATGTATGACTTACCCTGCGCGAGGTTCCCCCGACGAGAACGTCGAAGCGTTTCTCGACCAGTAATAAAAACAGAGAGAAAGAGAGAGTGTGTGAAGAATCCAGACGCAGTCTTGGTAAGACTGCGTCATGGGGTTTTTTCTTAAAAAAAAAGAAAGAGGAAAGGAAGAGGAAATTGGGGACGGGAATCCTGTTGTTAAATAGTAAGGTCGGACCCGAGCGGTGGCACGGGGCACTATCGAGGCTGTCGTCTGCCAGGTGCAGGTCCTGGGTGACTAACCGGCGTCAGTTGAACACTGTACACTTACAAGTGCCTCCGATCGTCACTGTCACTGGCACGGACACATGGCAGGCTGGCGGCCGTCAGTCACTTTAGATTATGTACAGACACACTGGACGGCCCTTGGCAGGTGGTAATATAAGTGACTCATACTGCACACCTGCCAGAAGCCTCCTCTGTAAGAGCTAATGACCAGAGGTCTCGCAAGGGTTAGCTAGTAGCTCAGAAGGAACGAGTGTCGGCTTGTACGAGACCGCCCTGTTGGCAGTTAGCCCTTAGCTGCAGACAAAGGAAGGTCTATGTAGGTATATATACCGCATCCCCGGGAAGGGAGTAGTTAGAACTCTTCACGCAACAACGACGTTATTCCTTAGCCCTTTGGTTCCGCCTCGTGACAACACCTACAACACTACCTAACATACTTACCTGTACAAGTGCTTGAGATTGAGGATAGTGGTTCACGCAATGCCTTCATCATTACTACCTAGGTAACCTAGGTACTTACAAGTTGCTCCTCTTAAATCTAGAACTTTCGATAACTTCCTAGATATTTAGTCTCTTCAGCCTAACATCTCTGAATCTATACATTGCTTATTCTCACACTTGTTACTACCAAAGCCAGCCTGGCTACTCCGATTGAGAAAGTTGAGATAGTTATGTATAAGCCTACTTAGGTACTGGTTTATTACCAATCTACGTATTAGATACTACTAGATTGAAAACCCCACGAATCTTCCAATAATGTGTTTTGCGTGTTTCGTATTATCACAATGGAACGATGAAGAGAACAGCTCATCAAGCACCTGTACATATCATATCAACCAAGTGAATTTGGGTCAGAACGCCATATTATTAAGTGAACCTTGATACAGCAAAGCTATCAAGCCAGCCGGGTCGGCTAGACGAGAAGTAGCAGACGAGATCCGCCGTACTTACTCCTGGTCATTTATTCCTTACACATCATGAATCGTACAATATCTAACCCTAATATGAAGAGAGTTACAGGCTCGACTGCGTAGGTGATCCATTAATCAGTTGCCGGGTCCAGCAAGACACGCGGGCCGTGTATCTCCTTCAAGAGTTCCGTGAATTGCAACTTCTCCGCCTTCTCGTTTTCTACTTGGACATCGTCAAGTAGACTTTCCGTAGGCTGACCGGTCTTGCCAGCATTTCTGATAATCCTCCAGGCTCGCCGGAATTCATCTCGGATAGACACGATGCCGTTATGTGTTACGGTTCGAGCGACGTTGTGCTCAAGCTCGAACGGGTCCTCTATTGCAAAGAGGTAACGGTGACGTACTTCCTTGAATTCTTTAGATCTTGTCATTTGTCCCTGAGGCGTGGCGGCAGCGCTATCCGGTGATACGTGGCGCTCGGTTTGTGCTTGGGCCGCGGCTTGTTTGACAACACCATCAACATCGAGTTCAGCCTTGGCTTTAACTGGATTGGGAGGAGCACCCATTTCCAATTGCATCACTGTCTTCGCTCCTATCCAACCTTTCTCCTGCTTCGAGAGCAATCCTCCGTGCGTTCGTAAACTTAACACGTCTCGGCCCCAGTCAAATCCGCGCTTGTTGATAGTACTCATCGTGTAGTTTTGCGCGAAATATTCGAAGAATCCTCTTAACAGGGACCCAAGAGACTCTCGGTTCTGGTTAAGGTGACCTTCACGGGCCAGTCTCTGGATTTCTCGCTCGTCTCTCCAGAAGCGAACGTCGCGACCTTTACAGGTTGTGATACCTTCAAGAGCTTCTGCTGGAAGATTTGGATCGGGTGGAGCAAGCTGTTGAAGATTCGGACATACGAACGGTTCCGCAATGTTGACAAGGTAGTGTAATACCATAAGAACATAACCATAACTACTAAGGGTTCCCCGGTATGGAGTGTTGATACCCCGAGCTTTAGCCCAATGTTTCACGAAGAGGACCATAGGCCTGACACGAGGATCGGTGTAGGCGTAGCATCTTAAGAGAAGGGTGTTCTGAAGGGCCAAGTGCGCGGAGAAATTGATATCACACTGAACGCCGATTCCATTCTTAGGGAACTCCAGGCTATCGTGATATCGATCCCTAGGCTGATTCGGGCCGAGTTTGGATGGGTCAGGGAGCTGCTTGAGTTTCTTTACTATGGCAATCGTACGCTCAGTGGCAGGGACTAGGAAATCGAACGCATCAGCAATGCGCTTATCAGCGCGTGATGCCCGTTGCACGAAGTCTCCGCGGAGAATCTCTATGTATTCCCTGATTATTGGGAGATGTTCCTCTTGATAGAGACCCTTCTCAATCGCCTTTTCATAATCAATGGCAAGGCGAATAGCCTTGTGCTTTCTAGCGATTGTTCTTAAAGATTGTACTCCGGTAGAACTCGCAAAATTCTGGACCTCATCCCTGATTTGCTTATCGCGAATACCTGAGATATATTGCTGAATGACTTGTGAAAGCTGCGTCGCATTCGAGGATGAGTGAGTGTGGCCAAGATTGGCCGCGATCCTGTCGACTCTTGCATGATATTGTGCAGGAGACTCGTATTGCTCCTGCTTAAGCTGAATGAGTTGAACAAATGGGATCTGGCGAAGGTGTTCCAGGGCTGTATGAAGTTCTCGATTGAACGAAAGAGGGTCTGCGCCGAATAATCTCTTGTTCTGCAGATTCTTCCAGGTCTGGACAATGTTTTCGGAACTATTCTTCAACTTCAAATTGCCTCCAACGATGGCCTGTGCTTCCCAGATAGCCACAATCTTCTCGCCTTCAACCATGGTCAAAACTCCAAGAAGTGATCGAGGATTAGATGGAATCGACTTGAAGTTGTTCTTAAAGGACGGGTATGATTGAACCCGACTCTTCAATTCCTTGTCGTAGAGACCGTTAACAAATGCACCAGAAATGTCGTCCAATAGTTTGTAATCCGCGGGTTTGAAGTCTGATATATTTGAGATTGTGATATCACGGCCACTTAGTCTACGTAAGAGTCGCTTGGCGTTACCATAGTAGGCCATCAAAGACTGGGTTTCTGATTGTCTTAACGAAGCAAGTCGTTCCTCGTAAGATCTTTCTACTGGATCATTCAATTGGTGAGAATCTTCGTGTTGATTCTTCGATGACAAGTGCTCAGCCTCGGCGACTACAATAGCTGTAGAATTATCCAATGCGTCATGATCCTCTGTAACATCATCTGCAGGTTCATGACCATCATCCGTCAGCCCTTTCTCCCACTTGATTCGGGCCTCTTGCAAGTCTCGATGGAGTTGTTCACTGGGCTTTTCACACAGCTTAATGATTGGCACTCGTGTACGTGTGAGAAGGCGCGCACCGAAGCCGTGTACAAGCAGTGCCTTCTCAACTAGGCGTGGGATGGGGGAATCGGGCGAGTCCGGAGACAAGTGCGACATAGGAGAAAGAAGGCCAAGATCCATATCAGCTGCTTTTGTCGCAAACCCAGATGCAAGGCTCCCAAAACATTTGAGTTCAACTGTGTAAGGTTGAAACATCGGGGTTCCATTGACTGCGATCTCGTGGGAGCTGATAACATCACGACAGATTGCTTCCACTCGAGCACGGAAATTTTCCTTCTCGGCAATTTCACCAGGTTCAATCTCGGCACCTGCAATCACCAGATGACAAAGGTTGTCAAGAAGGGCTGTTTGACTAGCGATCTGTTCTGGAGTGAAAACAAATTGACGTTGCCCGCCAGGGTTGTAGAGAGCTGGATGGGAAGGCCGACGGCCGCGAGATGGGAAGGTATCTGGTGAGATAACGTTGACACCGTTTAGAAGTGCATCAGGGGGGTTTGCCTGTTGATGTCTCCAGGACGACTGATGCTTTGGTGGAGATACTGGCGACACTTGACTGAATCCCCCTTGATGGCGCCGTGGTTGTGAGAAGGGAGGGTTGTTCGTTGTAGTAGCACGGTCCTGGAACCCACCGTGATATGAATTAGAACTGGGGGGGATTGCGGTCTGCTCGGTATTTTGCCACATGGAGCGTTGGCCCTCCTGCTGATGGTAAGATCGCCCATCGTGGGAAACAGGTGCTCTAGTATCAATGGGTATAGATAGTTGAGCTTGCATCTGACGACGTTGAGCTTGATTTGGTCGTTTCTTACTCGCCTTATGAGAAGTTTGTGTCGAGCTAGACGACTCAGATGGCTGTTTGGATTTCTGTGATCCATTTTTGGGTACACGCGTATCAGAGGAGCCACCGTTTCCGAGTGGTATAGCAGCTGATGGAGCGTAGATGGGGTGTGGGTGAGGGTGAGGGTGTGGAGTTGCTTGATCATTATTGCCAAGAATGAGGTTGCGTAGGCGGTCCTCTAGCGGGCCGCTGTTAACTTGGGATGCCTGCATAGTGTCGCATATGAAGACGGAACCCGAGGTCGATCGTAAGGTTCAGAGAAAAGAGGTGGTATAAGTTGGATGTGGATATAAATCCAGAGGTTTCTCTGTGATGTAACACGTCTAGAGTAATCTGAGTAGAGTCTATATGGCGCCGTTGATGCGCCGAACAATACTCGTGATTACTGCGAATTCAGAATCTATACTCATAAGTATAGGGTTGGTGGCGATGTTATTCAAAGAGAATGAGGTTCCATGATCCAAGGCGTCAAGTCGCAACCCGTGTGGAGAAGACGACGAGGAGATGAATTGGTCTGTGATTGTGCACTAAAAGAGAACTTTGACGGTTGAGGCTGTCCCTGATCAAGCTTGGAAGAAGTATAGGTATCGTAGCTCTGTTGAAGCTTCTTCCAATGAGAATTGTGGATATAGGTGAACCCCGGAGCTGACCATGTAGGTACATATGAATGTAGAATCTAATGCACTAGAAACCAATTAATCACCAATCGTATGATCCCTAGGAGACGGAGTCAAATGCGGCGCGATGGATTATGTTGGAAGATGAGAGGTGATACTTGGTAGAAATAGTGTTTTGCCGTTTTACAAAAGGGAAGACAAAATAGACGTCAAGAACTGATAAGGCGCAAATGTGAGCCTCACATTCTTGAATGTCGACAGGAATAAAAAAGTAAATGGCAAATGGCGTTCACTTGAAATTCCAAGATTGATTGGCTGCACCGGAGAGGAATTAGAAGCATTGGATCTCTCCAAAGTTATTTATGCCAGTAAGATTTAGAACTTAGATCGGAGAAAAAGTACCTTTTCTGGCCTGTGCACGGTGTACAACCTCTCTGTTGCAGTCTGTATTTTAGTGCATTTCCCCACTCAAGCTACCTACGGCTACGATTACTTAAGTCTCTTTGTGACGTTGTGAGTACCGTAGAGCCGCCCCCCACAAAGTTCCACTCTAACCCTGTCTTGGCAAAGCACGCAGAGAGCCGCTTGCTAGAGTTTCCTTCCTTCTAAAATTGCCCGTCATTGAAAAGCAAAAACGTACATATAAGTACCTAGGTACCGATTATTTCTCGGTACGTACCGCCCAAGCACTTGAAGTCCTGCAGGTGGAGTTGTGCGCACGAGAAGTACTTTGTACCGTCCCCGACCCTGCCAGATGGTGTGTGCTAGGCTAGCATTTGGAAGGCACCTAGCAGAAAACCAACAAGGCACGCATTGGACCCACGGCTGATTCTGAACTTGACTGCAAGTCTTCAACTTTTATCATATTCACAACTCCATTCTTTCTTCCATCCACCTTTCACTTCTTTGTACTCTCTCTCTTTTACCAGCCATCAGATCATACTTTCCGACACCCGCTGCAGCTTGCAATTCTTTTTCTAGAATTGCGCATCTTACACAAACCATATTTTCAAGCCTGTCTTGACAATCCACCCGTCTGCCCGGGCGCAAGCTTACTTCTCAATAAATACCCCGATCTCAACTTCGCGTCACGTCTCAACCTACCACCCTTTGATATCTCCATACATCCCACACATCTCATATCTCGATTCACCGATGGTCATCCTAGAAATATAGCACCATAGACTTGTCGGCTTTGGTATCTGTCGATATCTCGCACGCCTAAAGGTCCGCAGGTGACGGATAACCAACATTTACGTTGTCGCCATGAGCGCAACACCCCCGGCTGGCGGCCCAAACGGCCAGAAGCCAACACCTCCTCCGCGTGGACCGCCTTTGCGACGACCCCGTAAAGCTGCAAACCCTCTTCGCCCTTTTACGCGACCTGAGCAGAAAAAGCCACCGCCTCCGAAAGTCGGTAATGGACATGCACCTAGCACCGCACCCAGCACCGCACCTCGACCTAGTAGCCGGCCACAGCAGCATTCAACGCAAGGCAGCCAATCTCCTCAGAATTTTGAAGCACTGCGCGCACAGAATGGAGGATGGTCGCAACCTATGCCACCCGGCTGCCAGGAGTATCCTCTATTTGTTACCAAGAAGGATTTTAAAGAAGGCATACGTTTCCATGTCATGCGATTCGCTCCACACGGTGGCAAGCTTGCTCAGCCTGGCGGCCCTGGAGTTGACCCTACGAATATGGACGAATTCACTCGGCCTGTCACGCTACATCGACGTGACCCTAGACAACCGCCTCCGGGCCGTGAGGTTAAAGAGGATACTCCTGCCGAAGAGGAGAAGCCTGAGGATATCGCTGAAGCAGAAAGGATTGCACAGATAAAGCAGCAGAGGGAAGCTCAACGTGCGGCTGAAAATGCCCAGAAGGCTCCCGTCTCGAAAGACCCGAACCCTAAGAAGCCTCAGAAGGAGATAAAGAAACAGGCCGTACAGATTCACCACGCACCACGTTCTGAGGACCAGAAGAAACAGCAGGAGATCCGTTATGAAGAGGCCCTCCCGTGGCACTTGGAGGATGCAGACGGGAAGAACGTTTGGGTTGGGCAGTACGAGGGCCCCTTGTCTGACTGCAAGGTTGCACTTTTCATCCACGGCAAAGGATTCCGCATTTTGCCCCTAGAGAAATGGTACAAGTTTTCATCGAAGCGTGGATCATTCAAGATTATGTCTATCGAGGAAGCTGAGAAAGCAATGAACAAGAAGGTCACTCTTGGTCGTTGGGCGATAAGAGACACCCAGCGCCAAGAAGCTGAAAAGGCCATGGCAGAATCTCGTGCCATCGTGAACGGGCGCGTCGCAGTCAAGCAAGAGAGCGGTACATTCAAACAAGCATCGCGTCATGAGAAGTTAGACCATAATGATATCGACTTCTCGGGAGACGAATTTCAGGACGATGATGAGACCGCAGGATATGAGCCCGACCGAGACGAGGATACGAAGACGGCGAACAACCGAATTCGCCGAGACCAGCTTAACGCCAATCTCTTTGGTGAAGGTGATGAATTCAAGGTTGAAAAGGAAGAGCAAGACGAGAAGAAGGAGGAGGAACAGCTGAAGCTGTTTGGCAAGACTCTCAAGAAGGCACTGAAGCGACGCGACAAGCAGTTCCAGTACGATGACAGCGATTCTGACAGAGAAAGGAACCCCTTCGCTTCCTCAGACGTAAGGATTGATGTGAGCTCATTTGATTGACCGGAGCTAATGATAATATAGGATGAGTCTGATTCTGACCTTGATAACGAGAAGGAAGACGAGGATAAGAAGGGGGATAAGGACAAGGAGGCAGGAACTCCCTCCAAGGGAGCGAATACTCCTCAAGGAAAAAAGGCAGCAGCCGAAGCGGCCAAGAAGGGCAAGTCTCTTAAACGTCCCGGGTCTCCAATAGTTTCGGACTCTAGTGGTACCGAGTCTACCCGGAAGATGAAGAAGAAGAAGACGACCCATGATAGTCGCGACTCTACTCCCTTACCTGACCGTCGCGTGAAGCCCGGCGCCGGATCCACTAGTGACGGTGAAGGCACTGCCGGTGAAATGTCGGACGGTGCAGGCGGCAAGAAGAAGCGACTCGCTCCGCTGGCTGCAGGCGGAGTAAGCAGTTCTCGAGGCACTCCTGCGGGATCGCGGGCCGGTAGTCCCGTTCCGCCCCAAGGAGCTGCCGGCAAGGGACCGAGATCTAACTCCCCTCCGGCCCAGAGTCCGTCTCAGGGCTACACCGATGTTATCACGGCCCAGGAAATCATCGACGCTCTACCTCCTCGTCCTCAGGGCGTCACTATCGGCGTGTTTATAAAGAGCTTCCAGAACCGCATTGATAAACCTGGTTGCATGCACAAGAAGGATTGGATTCGTTTGGTTCGAGCTCATGCTGATTTCGGATCTGACAAACTTCTACGTCGGAAGGCTTGATGCGGATTTTATCCACGAAGGGTCACAATTACATACACCCTTCTGTTCGCCTCCGTAAAACTTCTGTTTTCCACGGGGACGCTTATTTTTTTTTCGTAACAGATTTCGACTTCTCGGCCCATGACCCCCTTTCGACATCGTCCTCTCTTAGCGTAAGGCTTACCTAGGGGTGTATGAGCCTAGAATTATGCGTCGCGTTAGTCCTAGTTAGATGCGGGAAGTGGACGGGATGGCAGAGATGACGATGTCCACAGCTAGAGACGACATTCCGGAAAGAAACCGAGTAAAAACTGATACATACCCTACTAGATTTTCTACGATATGGGGTGGATTTGCGCACCATCGCTGCTGGGTGCTAACCGGGGGTAGGCAATTGACGAAAATGGATCATGGCCTACCTAGTAGCTTGCAGACGATATACAATTTGCTTTACTACTGAATCCGAACGCCTTAATTACAATGCTGGTATCCTATTATATTTGTGATCGTGATATGCTATCGTCATGTGTCATTGTAGACTTGTATTTCATGATGACGGCCTACTACTCATCCATCTGCCACGAGTACTCTAAACCCTTGTTTCTCTCACGCCTGTTGATAGCCTTAAATCTCTCCGCCTCAAACCCATTCCCCCTATCAACGCCATCCCACCGGTACCCCGGCCTGATCCCGTACCGATTCGGCGTCCATGCTCCCTTGTATACGGGCTTCCCCTTCATCTTCGTCTTCACCTCACCGCTCCCTCCTCCTCCTCCTCCACCACCACCGCCGCCTCCTACCCGCGGCTCTATAAACTGCGCCATAGTATCCCCCCACCGCACCTGCTCCTTCATCTCGCGGTTCAAATCCAAATCATCCGCGTGCCGCGCCACACCCATCACCTTGGCATCCTCAAGCTCCTCCCGCCGCCGCCGCGCCGCCTCGACCTGCACCTCGCCCTTCAGCGCGTTCCTCTTCGCGTCCTCGGCCTTCGCCGCCTCGGCCGCTGCCCGTCGTAGTTCCGCCCGTTTTAGGGATACGTCGACGCGACGCCCCGTCGCGTCCCGGTACACGGTTTCGGCTTCCTTTTGCGCGGAGGAGGCGAACGCGGTGCGTTCGGCTTGGCGCCGCGCTGCGAGCTGTGCGGATACGGCAGATGCGGTTTGCAGACCGGCGTGGGTGCCGTCGGACATGAGGATTTGCGGGGCGTCGTCGGCTGAGGCGCTGGCTTGGGCTGAGGACGCTTCGGCGGCGGCGGAGGCGAGGATCGCGTCGGCGCGGCGGGCGGAGTCTTCGTCTTGTTGTTCTTGTTGTTGGGCGGAGGCGGAGGCGCTACTAGGTTGGTTGGCGGAACCGCCGACGACTTTCCACGCGGATTTCTTGGCTTTCCGGAACTCGGCGCTGGTCCCGGCTACGACGGCGGTGTCCTCGTCGTCGTTGGGGTTCTGGCTCGCGCGCGTCCAGCCCGATGCGTCGGCGTCGTCGTCGGCGATTATGAGGCCGGTGGATGGGGAGGAGGTGTCTTGCTTGCGCTTGCGCTTTTTGGTGGGTTTCGGGTCGGCGACGAGGTACCGCGTCGCGAGGTAGTTGGATAGGTCTGAGGGCATCGTGGCGGTGGGTTGGGGGAAGATGGTGTGGTTGGTTGGTTGGTAAGTTAGAGTATCATGGATGGATTATAACGCATATACCATGTGTTGTTAAGCGGTGAGGTCACGGTGCAATATTGAGCTGGCCGTGAGTCTAGGAGAACTTGATGGGTTGAGGTGTTGAAGAAAGGCAATTGTCAGAGCTTTGGAACTTTTTGGAGTTGCGATAAGAGATAATGGATATTGCGATTAGACTATTCCCTCTTTAAATGCATCTCACGACCCGATTGCTACAAGATTTACTATTTGCTTCTAAGCGCTGCTTGATCATTTCTTTTATTCTCTTCGCATCTTATCGTCAACATCCCTTTTCTTTTCATTCATGCTGAATATGTGTGAAGCATGATAAATAAATACATTCAATTCATTCGTTCTTTACATTTCCCTTTTTCCATGTTTCCACGAAACAATTAATACCTAATGAGCTTAATTATTAGTCCCTTACACTACCAACAGGGTTGATTCTCGCGGCATCAACCGCTTCGTCATCTAAACCCGTCCTCGGATTCTGAGCCTCGTGCGAAGTATTCTCTAGCGGCAGAATCTTAACTTTGCCGATATCCTCGGCCGTACCGACCACCCCATGACTGTCAGCATGTGGTGCCGTATGTTGATGTTGACCTAATACATGAAGGCGTCATTAGTTAGGGGGATTCATGGTCGCGGACTCGGGAGGACTCTATTCACCCTTGCCTCCAAGCGGTTCGATCCGTGTCTGGTCGATAGCGCGGTTCGAACCAGCTGAGCCGCGATCCGAACTGTCGCAGGGCCTGTTATGCTTGACCTCGGACTCGAGCGGCTCGATCTTGGTTTTGGAGATTTGCGCGGTACTGCCAGTTCTGCGAGACGTCAGTTAAGTCTATTTTTCCTAGCAGTAGTACAGTATCCTGCATGGAAGCACCTACGAAGGCATTTCGATCAGTATTTTTGGTGTCTTCTAAATTCGAAAGAATGGATTCCTTACATTCAACTAAGGCAAGAACTTGAGTTCTGTAAGAAATTTAACTCTATCAAGGGATTCAAATCGAGATCTGGTCGTCGCGGGTTGCTACAAAGAGCAAAGAGTACTCTTGTGTCATAAATAGGGGCCTATGACGAAGTGGTGACTGTCAATCAGCAACATCAATAGGCAATCAAATCATCTCTCCAACGACCTCACTCCAGTTGAATTACACTTGCTCTTGCCACGCATATTAGTTGAAGTCATCACAATGTTACCCCTTTTCTTACCCCGCTTTTCCTTATACACAACTTTATATACGACGACTCGTATCGAGAAGATCCATTGAAGCTATCTCGTGGCAACTGACATAGAATGGTTATACCCCTTTTTTATTCTTGTCTAACTACTTTAAATAAAATGAACTATGCTACAAAACAGTTGAATAACTACCTAATTCAAATACATTAGCTGTATCCCTCATGGTCCCATTATTACTTCCTGTCTCGGTGGACGCTGCGACAGCGATGCTCCATATCTTGTTTGAAGAGCGTGTACCCTCAAGGCATCAGAACTCACCTCCTCCCTTATATCAATTATATCTGCCATATATCTCGGTTGACGAGGCAAAGGAGCATCTAGTTCGCGTTGCGCTAGCAGGTATTGCTTCCAGATGTATTGACGAGCGTTGAATATTCGTTCAGCATAGTATTCCGGGAAGACATGTACAACTTCAATTTTTGGTACCTCCTGGGGGAACATGAAAGGCTCTTTAGCAACCGCATCTTTTATTTCTTCAATCCATTGTGCCTGAACCTGTCCGTCAATAAGAGATCGAAAATCTCGAGGGCTAGGTACAGGAGACCCCGGAGAATCCGCAAAAAGCTGGGGGTAGATATCAAATTCATCGCAGCCGTGGAATAAAACATCCATCGCTTCGGCAGGGACATGTTTCCAAGGCTTTCTTTTATAGGTGAGGCGACGGCGCTTTTGTACATTCTCTTTGCTTTCATGCTGTGGCCGGGTTTCAGACTCGAATAATTCATCCCGAGGGAACCACGGAGCAAGATATAACTTGAGAAGCTTGGGGAATAACCGAGCCACGCAAGAAGCTCGTCCATATTCGCGTAGAGTAAAATATGCGCTATCGAGGATTATCTTCCGGACTCTCTCAAGGCTGTTGATATCCAACCTTGCCAAAGGTGAATCGAAGTAAGCTGATAGCATTGAAGGAAATGAGAGGCAACCATCAAAAGCGTTCTGGGGATACAAAACATCATTTTCAAAATGAAACCATGTCCGCGGCTCATGGTAACGAGTTCCAAAGGCAAGCTCGTATCCAGACTCGACTAGCACCGAGCGCGATTCCACACACGTGTGGAGCAGCGCAGGGATAACTGCTTTGCTGTAGAAACGGGCTTCCACAAAAAATCGCCACTCGCGTTCAGCATATACCTGTCTTATTCCAAAGGGCCTAGGTACATCGAGGGGATTTGGCGATGATTGTAAGTCTTGGCAGAACGAGATTATCTGGTGAAATTCCTTGGCGAAGAAACAGAAATGCGGATGGAGTTTGAATTTGTCAAAGTCTATGGGTTCAACTTCATTCCAACGCCCGAGCCAGGGTTTTGCTAATCTCTTTCGAAGGTGGACGATGCGAGACGGCGTAGCTAGGAGGTATATCTTACGCCGGAGCTCGGGTGGGAGTCGGGGGAACAAATGGAACGAGTCGAGACTCATTGTGTCTTGGAACACCTCCGTTATTGGTTGGTTTGGTATAAAAATATGCGTCAAATAAACTAGTCCTATAACGTTGGATATTTGCTAGATCTATATGTGAGTGAGGTGAGGAGGAAGAAGGAGAATGGTAAAGGAATCATTCGCACAAATACAAGCCCAGGTACTCGCTCAAACTAAGACATATTTCTTGCAAAACCTGTTTGCAAGCAGGCGTCCGCCAATTCATTACAGATACTTTATCCTGATTGGCAGGGTTGGCGGTTTCGTGCATATGGCCGGCTCGCCACAGGTGCTCTACGCTTAACCAATATCCCATCCGCAAGAACGCGGCGATGCGGTTTGATTGACGAGTCAGAAAAGACGTCCAAACCCAGATTATGAATTAATTTAGGTTCGCCTTTGATCGTCCAGCAGAGCCGCATGTTGATTGCACTTTGTATTGCGTCTGAGATCTGTGAGGTCCTCGGGTCCCCCCTCACTGTCCGTTCCAGTCATATTGTGGCGGCGGCATGTTCGTCATGATCAGCAGTATTCCTGCCGACAATCTGCGGGGAAACATGATGTGCAGGGTGCCTAACGGGTCATCAATCTCTGGCGTTTTACTTGCTGAACACGTTCGCAATTCTATCAACTCTGCGTTCCATAGGTAGATTGGGAGCGCGATGCGCTTTCTTGGAGGCATGAAAATTCAGCTTTAAACCAGAGTGATCCATTATCTACAGATCTGCCGGTCATCCCTTGATACTAGCTTGCCAAGTAAGCAGTTAACCTTTATAATGTTTCTCTAGATGAGCTTGAGTTCGATACACTAAGGGTATAGTGATCACATTTTAACCTACGTCACCAGTCCTCAAGCCCCTTATTCCAGCTCAATCGCTCCAGGAATGATCTAACACACGTGTATTGATGATTGCGGTGCATGGAATCGTGGGGGTACACTGGGCATTGCGACACTCTTAATAACGTAACACATTAGACATCCTGACACATCAATCGGCCAGAGTTGTTGGCTGTCTCGTCAAGATGGTTATCGCGATGCTGGGGATTCAAGTCGATGGTCTGTATGCCGAACAATGTGCATTCACCTAGCATGGCTTCTTATAGCTTGAACCATCACCACTTCCTATCCCTATGCTTCCCACCCCGGAGCCGTCAACCATCAAACGGAAAACCTCTGGTCCTTTTTGAAATTAGCGAACCACATCCTATAGGTAAGTATGACATGGAAAGGCTCCTGTGGATCTCAAAACCTGAGCTAACACAACTGATGATCGTAGCCTTGATATCCCTGGTTGAGGTACAACCTATCTTGACGCGATAGCGACTCAGATCTCAACGCTGGCACGATCAACATGGACTGACCTCGAGTCCATGATGCTAGCAGCCGCGGACAACGAGCTGAGCCTACCGACCAGGAAAACCTTAACAGCGCCGTCTCCAGAGCCAGTCACCAGGAAGACATCGGGCTCTCCCGACTCGTAGTCAACGGTCTCGCCACGGGCGGCGCGGCAACAGCCAACGGCAACGTCGCCGGAGACAGCGACCCACTAGTCCTCATCCGGGGGCTTTTCATACGAGCTCGTGGTCCTGTCGAAGAAAGTCAAATAATATCTCCTCGCCGGCGTCTAGGGGCGGGCCCGTGGTCGAGTGCGGGACGTGGAACAAGTCGCATCATTCGACGGAGGCGCGTGTCAACTTTTCGAAGGAGTTTAAATTGACGCCCATGGTCATGGTGAGCGTGAGCTCGGTGGACTTTAGCAACTTGAAGAATTACAGGGTCAAGATCTACGCGACGGAGGTTAACCCTAGGGGATTCATCGTCCATGCTGATACTTGGGAGAGTATGCTGCTGTACTCTTGTGGGGTATCGTGGATGGCTGTGGGATAATGATGGGGATGTATGGGGTATAGGGCTGGGTTGACATATTGTGGATTGAAATATAAACTGATACTAAGAGGAGAATGTGTGGGCTTTTCGGGTCTACTGAGGTCTATTGGAAGACCCTGGATACAAGTTGCGATTTGTCTAGAAAGTCGAGAGGGAAAAGGGGCACACTAATAATCAGTACTAGAGTGTTTGTGAGAATTCATATGTTCAGTATGTAGGTAGCAATGGCTATGTACCTTTAAACGCCAGTGGAACTCCCCGGTTGAAGTGGGATCCAACAAGTTCCACAGCGCAGCCACGCAGATGTGCCATCCCAGCCTTTACTCCACGCAATAAAACCAAATAAAGCAACTATCCCCTTGAGCAGATCCCTAGAAACGTGCTATGCGACCGACTTGCCAAAATGCGAGGCTATCAATAATCGTCTTGTTCCTCGTCGGGCGGGATATCCCAGATCTTGTACCAACCCGGTCTTGCCTCCATTAAGCTGTCTCGGCAGCCCATGGGATTGTCCATGAAGAATTTCTTCCAGTTGGCTCCGAAGCGCGCCGTGTAGATGACGTTCATCTCGTCCGCGACCTCCTGGCTAACATCGGTCCACTCCTCCCCTTTGGTCGCTTCTTCGTGCTTCGTCACGGTGGTAATGTCGAAGCGGTGGCCGGCCCAAACGCCGCGTGTGAGTTTAACTGAGGTGTTCATCACGTTCTTGGTGCTGCTCGACCAGCAGATGCGCGTCATGACGGCGTGGCCGAAGCCCACGCCCTCGATTCTCGGACCGTGGATGTACTCGGGTCGGAAGGCGATCCCTTCGGCGCGGACGTACTGCTTGGTGGTAAGATTGCGAAGGATCCAGCGCTCTTCCGTAGGATAGAAATCCTTTTCATCCAACTCATCGAGATCCCTCAATCTTGCCACGACGGCGGCATCGTTGAAGTCTTCGAGACCTCCGCGAGGAGGCAGGCCGCGCAAAAGACATCGGAGGAAATTGTGCAACGGGTCACACTCGTAAGGCTGTTGGTCCTCGGAGTACTGGCGTTTAGCTACTTCGGCAAGGCTTAAGTACCTCTTTCTTTGGAAGAGCTTCAACTGGAATGTGTCTTGTACCATGAGTGCTGCTTTCTCTTCCTCCGAGAACAATCCGGGAGGGTAGTCCGCAGATTTCGTATGCGATCCGACCAAGACGATGTTCTTTCCCGCCCAGAGGCCCACTGTAGCGTCAGAAGTTAGTATTTCATTTTCAAGTTACCGTTGGTGAAAAGAAGCCGTTGAGACACCCTGGGAAGGACAATGTATGATTATTGACATTACTTACTGTTGGAAACCCATGTGTTGTGCATGGCTGGGAGTGCGAGGTACCAAAGGCAAGTGCAAGTAAGACCGAAGCTCATTTGGTCCTCCACATCGTCAAGCAATCCAAAAATCATCTGTACGATTTCGACAGGCAGATTCAGGATTGGTGCAGGTTGTGGTTCGCCTGTCTTAGTAGGCTGGTTTGCACGAGCTGTGATAAGTTTAGGGAAGAAGGAAAACTGATGTCGACGTTCATGCGCCTTGAATGGTACGGTGAGAAGACGGACGAGCTCTTGCGGTCGGTGAATTCCCAATTGATTTGCGAGACCATCTGGCAAAGCCAGGCGCATGCGCTCCTTAGGAGCGGCGAGCCGGAAACTCTGAGGGAGCCAACTGTAGTTATTGACATCCATTGTGGACCAAGGTGAAGAGAAAGTGGTGTAGATGGAAAGATTTGATGTATGGATTTAGAATTCGAGATGTGTGTACTAGTATGTCTAAATTGTAATGGTCGCTAGAAGTACTATCGTGGAGAAAGGAATAATCGCCTAGATATCATATAGACTTACAGAAGGTACTGTGATTAAAAGGTCCATGCGGCGTATCGTCACCTACCTAGGTACCTACTGTCAACAGGCTTACAGCTGTAGCTGCAGTACCGAGGTACTTCCCTAAACGGTTGCTGTGATACTATCGTGAACCTCGTCGTCTAATAGTACGTTAGGAAAGGAGTATGATATTAGTATACTGTATAGTACGGTGCACGTACTGTGCATTCCTAGATTACTACGTCACATTTCAGTTGCACTGTCAGCAACTCCGTTACATAATATATGCACGGACCACATAGAAACCACACAATCCACAATTCAATAATGGGAATTGCCCAAAATATTTCCCAATATTATCACCATCCTTCTCCTCCCTTTATTCTCGTCTCAAAACTCACACCACAAAAATCGGATAATGTTTTCAAACATCAGGATGAAAGGTGTAATTAACATATACTAGAGCTGAATGATATCTTAATCGACGCATCGTGCCACACGCACCGAAAGAACCCAGCACGCCCTATTGAAAGGTCAATACTCCTCGAACGTCCCTATGCTCGATAATACATGTGCCGTCCATTCATCCAATCTATAAGGCAAAAGATGTGCCGAGCCATCCTCCTCCGATCCATCCTGTCTCGATGATCGAAGTTAAGCTCAACACCGTCTACCCAAGGCCCAGGTAGGCTCTATGCATGGTACAACAAGAGTTGCCGTCTGAAATGTGCATGCTTGGACAACGATATGATGTTAGAAGTCTAATGTCAGAACCTCTCCGAAATGCCAAACCACAACAGGCCTCCAGGAAAAAAGAACGCAAAATCATCGCAGTCGTCTCAGGTATTAATAAGGTATCCCCATACGGGACAAAGGTGCTGCCTTGCCTCCATTGTACCGTTTGTCCCAATTCACAGCAGTGGAAGAAATTGAAGAGACTTGAGAAGCTATACAAAGCAAAATAACGGTTGCAGGTCTATCGCAGCGAAATCGAATACGCGATACCCGGAGAGTCGATACAGCTATTATGAAGGGTCATTAGACGAGTTCGAAGCCGTCATCCTCAATGATGTCAGGTTCCTCTGCTGCGGCCGCCCGATTCTTGCGACGGAGATTCTGCCGAGCCTTTCGGCCCTTGAGGGCATCACCGTTATTGTCTAGGATCTCGTATTCCTTCTCTACAAACTTCTCCGTCTCCTTCGGATTGGTCTTCACGAATACATCTAACGTCAGTGGCTTATACGGGCTCTCGCTTCTATCAAAGCTGTATAGGATGTTATCCGAAATACTCGAGTTTCGCCGCGGAGATGATGGAATGAGCTCGTGAAGCGACCGCGAGATATTGCTCGGGTCGTTGAGCTCTGCTTGCGCATCTATCTTGGCACGCCAAGCGCTTGTTCGAGACTCGAACCGGCTTTCCCTCGGTTTCACGACGTTCTGTTCATGCCAACGGCGTGTATGGCTGATTTATCAACAATTAGAATCTGCGGACAGACGTATCGATACCCAGCCACCACGCATAACTTACCTCGTGGGCATCCAAGGCCGGAATCTCTCGCGTTGGCTCGCACTGCCTGCATAATGGTATTCACCTGTAAGCTCGTTGTCTATGACCGGTTGGCTTCCAGGCATCTCTCGGTATCCTAGCCTCCACTTCGCATTGTGCTCCTTGAATCTCTTCGAGTCCTGAGCGGAACCTCGGAGGTCTCGGGTTTGCTCGAAAGCCATGATGGAGGATAGTACGATCGTGGGTCGGATAATTCAAGGTGCTGGATGAAGATTACTGGGATGGTCTCGGTACACCGTATTGTCGGTCTAGATGATTCTATACGTTGGGGGAGCTTGCTGATGAATGGACGGGCTCGACGATGGGATTATCCAAATGAATGGATAATGTATTAAAAGCGATATTGGTGATGCAAGAACGAGTTCTATTCGGGGAATTGATGGGATCTAAGAATGGAAGATGGAAGAGTGGGTGATTCTTAGGGGGCGGAAGACAAAAGTACGTCAAGGAGGTCAATGGTCTTGGTGCTTTCTAGAAAGCAAGCGATTCGGAAGATCCAATGGTCGAGTCACACGGTGACAGGGTGGGTATGGGTAAATGACGATTAGGTAAGATAATGCTAGGTCTTGTGTTATCTTGAGTTGTTCCTCTTGGCTTTGCTGTTTGCGAGATGGAGAAAATGGGAAACTGCTTTGTCGCTGTTTGATCCGTTTGATGGTGCTGCGATGACGAAAGGAGCAATGGGACTGAAGGTAAGCAAGTGGGCAGCCGTCAAGTGATGGGAAAGCGTGGCTTTGTTCGTTTCCCGGTTGTGTCAGAGGCGGAAAGGCGTGAGCAAGAACAAAGGACCCGGTGACTCAGATTCGATGAGGATAAGGGGCAAGGGGGGGCACGTCTAATGAGTACACGGTACAGAGAGAGCCCCGAACGGCCCTAGACTTTCCTAAACTGCCCTGATAAATGATGCGATGGAACTTCGGGAAGTTGCGATTGCGGGTTGGCCGGTATCCGTTATCGATAACAACACCGACGGGTTCTAACTTCCAACAATGCCTCAGGCTGATGGAGACGATGACGCACCGGCGTAGTCTTTTAATTAGGAAGTACCTAAGTACCTTCGTATGCCGCCGGAGATAGTAGGTACAGCGCGATGGACCGAACCTCGAACACAACGGTAATAATCCACAGCACCCAGAAATGGCGATTTATCTTTATATTAAGTTAAGATAGTAAGAGTTGTTGAGATATTTGATTGATCGTGATTGTTGAGAGCAAATGGAGGTAATTGATTCAGTTCCATGGCACAAGAAGGGAAACTTGCGTGGGTTAATAAAGAGACTGGATACTCTGCTGGATACCTCCCATCTCTCATTTCGTACGGTATATTCTTATCGTCTTGTTAGCGCGTAGTGCGCAATTACACTTAAGTTACTACTACCCGGTTATCTGTTCTACTACCACATGAACCATTCCCGAGGTCCCGTTCGTCGGTTGGATGTTCCAAGATAGAGCTGAGTGTTTAATCATTGCCTAGGTACCTAGTCTATTCTGTATTCGGGGTCTTAGGTTGGTGCGTGTGACGATGACAGGCATGGCCTGGCTAAGCTGGACAACCACGATTCCCATCCCTCCTATTGCGTATCAGCAGTTTATTATTAGAGGAGACCTTCGAGAGCTGCTGACCTCTCGGCGTTTCCTGGGATGGGCTCTCGTTGATGAAAGCCATTCATCATCCCCTTCGATAGATGACGAAACTAGGCGGCTATTCTAAGTCGGCATCGTTCCAGGGGTTTCTTTCAATCATCAGCCTTTGCCAGGTTGTACCTTTGTAATCTTGCAGGTGTTGGAAGCTCGGCCTTGCTTCGTCTCCAGCTCGTGCCGCCGGATCAACGATGTCATTTGCTGACAGCTACCTCCTTCGTACGACTGCGCTTGATCTAGAGATCTCTCCAGTCAACGAACCCGAGAGATATCACGTTCTTAGTCACAGAACTTGTCTCCCTAGCTTCTTCTTCTATTATTAATGGAATAAATACCGACTAGTTTCCGAAAAATGCAGTATATCGTAATTACTATACGCTCTTGTTGGTATCCCGCCCTCCGGTCTCGAAGCTGATACCTATCATGCACAATGCAGGATGTCTTACCTTGTGCCTTAGCAAGATCGGCAAATCGAGGCGCGCTACCTACCTACCCTTGGTCCTACATAGCACGTCCGAACATTTGGACTAGCTGGCCCCTCCTCCACACGGCCGAACCTGCATGGAATTCGCGATAAGAAGGACGATGGACAAATCAGAATGCCTATGTGCCTGTATACTGTGAATGATAGGGGGGAAGTTAGAGATACGGAAACGCGTGTCCAACTTTCCGTTGTGATGCTATACTGTTATACGTAGGTACCTAGGTATGTAGGTATCTGGGCTCGGTTTGCCTGTTTTGAGACGATGCTGCAGTTTGTATCGGTTGCAACTTACTATCACAACATTCTTTGCGACGTTATACCAAGTAATGAAGCAACTTTAGGCCGTCCACTTGGGTCGTTTGTTAGCCAACAAACTGATATCCGCGTGCCTGAGCCTTTAATAAGGATTTACCCCGCTTGGCAGATGAGTCGGTCTGATTCGTAATTTAGCAGTCCAAAGTGCAAATTGACGAAGATGAAATTGGAAGATTAGAAGTATTAAGTTGAACCAACATTGAAGCTAGAAGGAGACGCGAAGCCATCCGAGGAAATGGTAACCGTGGAAGGGTTGCGGGATCTTGTTGGGGGAACCGCTGCTCCTTGGAGAGCTGCGCGAACGGGCAGGCATTATAAGGTGTGTGGGGGGAAGGGGGGAGCGGGGCAGTGCTACGACGTATTGATAGCGCTTAACGATAAGCCTTAAATAGGACGTAATGAAAGAGAGGCCACCACCACGAACGAGACAGGATTCAGGAGTCCCGAGGTTCCCTCCGTTGGCTGCAAGTTTTAATTACGGGCACCCACGTGAAAAGCTAATGCCTTCTAAATGATTCGTTGAATTAATAGATGATGGCACAATGTGAACTACGTACTGCTAGATACTTAGATACCTACTCTGCTGTCTCGTGAACAAGTGTACGCAGTGTTGACTTCATCATCTGTCAGGATACCAAAAGTTGGCTTGGGACAACATGTTGACGTAATGAAGTTGGAGTGACCTAGAGGAGTCCCCCCCTACCAAAAGGGGTATCGCTTATCATTATTTGTCTACCATGAAGGTTATCTGTCCTTAGGGATCAGGGGTATATTAGAAGCTTGCGATTTTTAGTCTTCAATCCTGTTAGCTTTTCATCCCCCGAACTTCAAAATTCTTATGTCACTAGCTGTCATCGAACATACCCAGGTATGTCATGCGTACACTATTATGTGAGCGTAACTATAACCCAGTTTTCTACGCAAGATAAAAAGATAGATATGTTATTCCTATGCTTCGTCTCATCCGGTGATTTGGTAGGAAACATCGTATAAAAACCATTATGTTGGCCAATTTTTGGGTTTGATAGGGAGCATAAACAACAATCAATGATGAAGATACAATCAACATACATGATTTAATGTGTATATATTATATGTTCTATTTTAAGATAGTTGTTGGCTTTCTTTGATGTTCATTACTTAGGTACTTATTCGCTTGGGAGTTCCTTTCTAGCGTCATACCTAGGTATCTATTCGTTCAAAGGGCTTCACACCGCATTCAGAAGCATCTTCCGGTTACCCCAGAGTCCAGGCATCAAGGTCTGATAACCTTCTAGTTCATGATAAACTGGTTTATTTTCTCAACCTCGTAGATACACGTCTTGGGGTAGGTCGAAGAGACATAGGGTTGTATAGCTAAGGTGGATAGTTTCTGTTATCCGTAGGAACTCATATTTGATTCAGGCCTGGCTTATCCTCATTAGCGCCACCTTTGATCTCAAATTGTTTGACCTGGTTAAATATTTAGAATAGACCCATAAACCCAGTTCCATTGTGCTCGACAGAATTTTATAACGTTGCAATTTTAAGACGATCCGGGCAAAGCGCTTTCAAGTAACAATTGTGCGGTTAGACCTTAGAACAGTGGTAGCTGATATGTGATCGCAGGTCCGTTGGGATGCAGAATATCTCGGTGTGGTGTTATTGGGACTCCCTCATAGGAATCATTGTAGTTAGAGCCCTAGAAGCTGAAATGTGGGAATTCAGCTTTGAATGTAGGGTTGGTGATAAAATGGGTATACCGTTAATGATCCTTCGAAGGCTAGGAGTTGGCTACGCTAGGCTGTTGATTGTGTAATCTTTCGTAGACCCTGTGTGGGACTCAGGGTGAACGTTGTCGTAGTAAGTGGCCGCAGCTCGTTATCGTTGCGGCTGGAATGGCGCACTCGTCCTTTCCCACGTCTCGTTGCAAACTCGTCGCATGAGCCTCCTGGGTGCTTGACGACCGGTCATCAGCTCAAAAGCTTCCATGGCCATTTCGCCGACGACCTCCAGACCGTCGACAATAACCCATGACGTGTTACCCGCTTCGCGAATCTTACGCATTTGGACGATAAGAGGTGTGATCAACGGCTCATACGCTAGCTATAGGGCAGATCTAGATTAGCAAATAGAAGGTGAAGCAATTTGTCGCATGGGAGTTCCCCTACCTCAATCACAACACCGCCAGTAGGGCTTTTTAGCCAGTGCGACGGCATTCTAAAGTGCACGGGTGGGTTATCGTCTGTTCCGGATGCAGGAATACAGGATAGGACTATCGTTGGCTGTTGGTAGCTCTCTGGCCACGGGTCATTAGGCGAGTCGATGACATGGCAAATCAACTCTCCCGCATTCTGGCGGATAAGTTTCTGTTCCACAGCATATGTATTGAAATGTCTGGCAACTTCTTCCGCTGTCGACCTCGTCCTGTTATGAATGAATATCATCCGACAACCTAGCTTAATCAAAGCATAGATAGCCGCCCGGCCCATTCCTCCGGCTCCAATCACCAGGGCTGTCGTTCTGGAAGGTTGTACAGAATTCCTAGGACTGATGGCTCGACGTAAGCAAGTGATGATAGAGGTCCAATCCGTGTTGTCACCATAAAACTTATTTGTAACGCCAGACCTGTTTCGAGCATTGGCGTGATCCAATATCGAATCTGTGTCCCCGCGAAGTGGGAGGACTATGTTCACCGCACCGATTGCAACGGCGTGGGAGCTGAGATGATCCAGATGCGGTATGATGATAAGTTTGAGAGGTGGTGTTAACGAAACACCTCCGAAGCCAGGTTCACGTTGAAGTCGGCTAAGCTCTTCAAGTGTAGTGCAACGCCTAGCATCAAAAGTGTGTGCCATCATGTGGTGCTCATAGGCTGCTCGGTGCATCGACGGTGAAGCCGAGTAATAAACGTTTGATCCTGAGACGTAAAAGTTCAGCGGCTGCAACCATCGCCCCTTTCGAAAAATATCACGCAGTGTACCTCGTGCTGTGCTTACGCCGACCATCTGTTCTCGGGATGACTTCTCGATAGAATCATGTCCGACGGGATTCATGATCTTGTCCTGAAAAGGTGTTACGACACCGAAAACCGAAAAATCATAAGCAACGATGCAGGGCTTGGGATCTGGTAGCGCGCGGATCTTATCTATGAACTCTCTCCGCTGATTATCATCTCTCTGCGAAGTGAACCGGGCAATGCGGACAATATGGCATCCGAGTCGCTGTGCAAATAAGAATCGCTCGAGGTAGACATCGTCAGTCCACTTCGGAGTTGCCATTCCCTTAATGACGAAATTTCCAATGATTTTCGTCCTGCCTCGCATAGAAAGAATACTGGAGACGAGCTCTGGACTCCTTTCGAGATCGAGACTCAGATAGTCGACTCCAAGTCGAAGACCGTGGAGCATTAATTCGAGATCCATGGCGTCCCGTTCTTCTAACGACCTCTTGCGTTCTTCCCGCGGATTCTCTTCTACGTTATATATGATTGGGATGTCCAATTTGCGGCGGATTAAGGCTACCTGAGTCGCAATAATGTCAAGTACGTTGTTAGGCCAAGTATCAATTACCAATTCCAACACGTCGCCAGGAGCTTCTATGGTAGATAAATCAATGTCTAGATTTATCAAAGTTGAGAGACGTAGGTTGAAGACGAAGGAGAGGCTGCGGTATTCCGGAGGAATTGCTTTCCTTGAAAAAGGGTTTGCAACCCAGGACCGTGTCAGGCCATGACCAAAGATGTGATCAAGGAAGTCCTTGAAGCCTTGCTTTGCCTCCACGAGCTTGGCGGTACTCGTAGTTGCAGATCGGATCGAACTATTCTCCGCGATCTGACCTTCGCCACTAGAGTCATAGAGGTTGAAGTACTCGAAGTTGGAGAAGTCACGGTGACTCTGGTCCGTGACGAGCAGACGTTCAGCATCAGCTACTGGAAGTTTCAATAACTTGTAGAGATCCTCCTTGTCACGATGAATGTAAATAATAGGATTCGTCTCAACATAGCCTTTGAGTATTTCCGCGATATCCGGCGACAACGTGCCTGTTCCGCACTCTATGACGCAGTTGGTTTGATTCAGCTTGAGCACTCGAGCGAGTACAATTGCCATTTGCTGGTTGAAGGTATCTCGGCCATACTTTTGCAGGAAAGTTGCTCTTGTACATCCGGTCGACTGTTCGAAAGAGTGATCCTCTGTGACAAGTCGGCGACCTAGATACTTGGCAGCGATGAACCCTAAAGTTCGTTTTCCGGCGCCACGACATCCGACTAGGATAATCGATGAGTCTGTAGGAAATATCCTATGTCTGGCTTTTGATGTGGATATGATGGGGCCGTCAGGAGCTGAGCTGAATTCTATTCCTTCCATCCTAACATTGACTCCGGGGTGGTTTGTAGTGATCGGATTTAGGCAAACCTCAACTGGAAAGTTGAATTTCAAGATAACTTAGTATTCCCGTTTAAACATTCCTATTTTGCTTGATGACTAGTGCTGACACTGTGATGTGACGGTGATTGCTCAGTAAGAGGTGACAATAGAGTATTTGATGGAGACTGATCTCAGGTCTGCTTGTTGAAAACAGTTGCAATGAGATTGCTTGGGGATAACTGCACTGAAATACCTAAGGACTCAGTGAGATTTCAGTAAGATCATCAAGGATGCTGGCATGATCCTATTCACTAATCATAGAGTAAATCATACGAGAGTTCTCTCATTGAGAACGAATGAGGTTGAGCCGATCTGGTGGTTCAGTTCAGTTCAGTCTTGATTCATAATCGTGTGTGAAATTGCTGGCCTATGAAAATGCAACGACACGGCAAGCGGATCGGCAATAAGCTAAAGAAAGTTACTCCTGGCTGTCGTGGCTGCACCCTGCTACATACAAGCCACGAACCTCCGTATAAAGCCACAATCACGACGATACCCCAGAGGTACCTACTTCGTAGTACATTTAAATACCGTTCAGGGTATGCATGCTCGGCTTAACCCCGCGTCGACAGGGGGGTGATTGGCTTTCGTATTTCCAACGTCCTAAAACGCCAATTCAATGCTCATCTCGCATTTGTCCCCAATTGTCGCACAGCTACACAAAGCTTTCCGTTATCTCTAACTCCTCGACACTGCACTAACTCAAAACCCTCGATGCACTCTCCCTTCTAACTTAATGCTAATTGAAGCTGGGGCTCTCATGACGTAACTTGAAGAGTTCGGGGAAAAGGGAGTCGGAATTCTCCATTATACCTTTTTCCTCTTCCAAAAGGAGACGCGTACGGTACGGTACGTCACTCTATGGATACATGTGCGTTTCAGCTGGAGGCTTGCGTGGAACTAACGACCTCTACTTCGAAGGTTATCGTGGAGGCGATGAGTGATGCTGAGAGTGATGACGCTAAGCGAGCGTTGAAGAAACGTAAGGCTAGCCGTGCTTGCGACCGCTGCAACTCTCAGCACCAGCCTTGTGATAATGCTGCTCCTAAGTGCAGCGTATGCGTACGCGCAGGCACAGAGTGTACCTACAACAGACCGGTACGGAAAAGGGGTCCCCGTAGTGGGTATACCGGTCAGAATGGCGAACGTCTTTGGGCCATAATCCTGCAAGCTCGGCCCGAGCTCGAGGATATAGTCTTGCAGGTCCTGCGCGGCGGTACATACGGCAACACCGGCGTTCCCAATCTCGATTATTTCAGAAATAACGACAATCAAGCCGAACTTGTCAACTGGTTCAATGAGAGTCGCCTTGGTAGATTCCTGCAGAATGGGGAATCCCCTGATCTGCTTCTGCCCCCTAGTAACCCGCATGTTTCGCCGATGATTGCTCAAGTACGTAGTGAAATGGGCTTCAGCCAATCTGCGAATACTCACCGCCAACAAGACGTGGCTAAGAGTATGTCCGGACAATCTAATCGCTCAGCTTCCATTTCACAGTCTTGTCCGGTGAATCCACACGGCGCACCCCAAGATCCTAGTGACATATACATCCAAAGTGAGGATATCCGAAGGCGTGTATTTCATAACCAATCCCACATAAACAGCTACTTCTTGGGCCTTCCTGAAGATTTGACCCACGATATGAGCCCAAATCACACATCATCGAATCTCACTGCCGCTCAGGGCACCACGCCCTTTTCAAATGGCTCTGTCGATGGCTACGGAGCTGGTACGCAGCAGACAAATGATCGTTCAGTACTAGACAGACGAATGAGCGTCGACCCATCCGTGCAGATCTCTGAGCATTCACGGCACCCCGAATCAAACAACCCGTCCGCGACGCCCTTCGAAAATACCGAATTTCATCTTGACGAAACTTCTCGATGGTGAGTATTACTGAATCTTACACATCTCATCTGTATCTAATTTGATATAGGCTTGACTCGACGCCATTTGACACCTTGCGAAATCTTGGGTTTGCTCCGGGTGAGCGAATGGCAGAAGATTTCCTCGAGTTGTGTGAGAATCCGGATCCCATTGACCATACCCCTGCCGCTTCAGCCGACCAGGATGAGGATGAAGAGGCGGTCTGGCGCCGGCTAGTCATGCGAGGGAGATTTATATGATGATGACTCTAGTTCTATCATTTATAAGGGAACTTGGTGACTTATCTCAGACCCCTCCAACGTTAATAAGTCCCCGGTCGCTAAAACATGAGCGTATCATACGTTATATCGTGCTCTTAAGCTCGAAACGACATGTAACGACTGTAATGTCTTGCCTTGGGAAGTGTTATTAATAACCTGCTAATACATCTCCAGGTCTCCAGTCGTCTTTCCCCAAAGTACTCCATAAAGGGTTACGTTTAGAATCAGCTTGGTCTATATTCTCCCACGAGAAGAGGCGCTCCTAGACGGAATGTGCTTGTTGACTTCTACAGTCTAAGAGACTTAGTCTATACCTATATTATGCGGTTAGCACGCCGTCCAGACAAGGTTGACTAGGTAGTTATGGATATAATGGAAATAGCAATTCGATCAAGAGACCAATCGGCATCTTGGCTATAGAGCTGGATAGGTACTTACGTATCTAGACACTTAGCTCAACCCGATCATAATAAAGCAAAGTATCACCACATCTCTTCATTTTTGAGAATGCCAAGGCTGATGCAACATATCCCTTCCTAAAATCCGTGGGAAAAGGTGCTCAATCAAATCTAAGCTCCCCTTTCCTTGTCATATATATGCTAGACCCAACCTTCTGATCGATTGTCAAACCCACCCCCTCCCCAAAGCTTATGTGGGCTTATAATAGCCGTTGTCTCATCCTTGATGAGGTGCTCCAGGCTCATTAGCCTTTCTTGCTCTCTGTTGTTAGCTGCAAAATCACACGAGACTCTTTAGGTATAAGTTGAGATTTTACGTCCATAAGCCGCGAGAGACGATCCTTCAGTGTTCACCCATGTGATCGGGCTTATTATCCAGCCAAAACATGAATATCCTTCTCCTCAAGATGGACTTCTTGAATAGGTAGAGAGCAAGGATACTTGGAATATAGCAACGTGCCGCTTCCATGTGCATCCCAGGCGAGACACACACTTGGGAACAAAGAGGAATTGTCGTTCTCTTCTACCTTCGAAGCCAGTCTTTTCTATATTGGAAGGGTTGATGAATTACCCCATGCTACGAAGTGCGATGTATTCGAGTCAGACATCATGATGCCTAGGAGGTACCCTGTTTGCCAATTTAAGTCATGGCGCTAGAACTTCAAGCAGATACACAACCGCCTTCGATCTTTTCGAAGTTTTGTGGGAAGCACGCATTCCTCCAAAACTCCTGCCCAAATATCTTTACAATATTCCCCGGTGCTCGTTGCTTGCTCTATACAGGCTGGCATCACAACATGCTTCGTAAACGTCGGGTCCGACCACCCGTCAGTCCTCGAGACTATTGTGAAGGGGAAGAGGGAACGGCCGCGTGCTTGGCCCAAGATAATCACGTGTCCTTCCGAGGTCACCGCGATATCATGGCAGATGGCTACGCTCGCGTGTTGGGACGCCCTCAAGCCGTCATCGTCCACTTCGTCGTGGGCGACGGCAGCTTCATGTGTGCGGCGCCGTCTAGTGCGCTTTGGGTCGGGAGGAAGTACGAGATCCTTGTTCTCACGATTGTGCTCAGCAACGAAGGTAGGTGACTGTCACAGGACTCTCCTTCCTCGTCCTGAGAAAGGAAGGACCTACTAGCTTTGATAAGGAAGAGAAAATAGACTATTAGCTAAGAGGGGTAAAATAGGGTTTTTTAGCATTAAGATAGTTAAGAAAAACAACTCATTTCGCTTCACGAGAATTTGTTGTTACGATTGTTTATTGTTATTGTTGTTTGCGTCTATTATTACGTTTATCCTTGATTAGGACGTCATATTATAGTAGCATTTCTCTGTTTAACGGGAACGATTTGGAATATTATTAATTAATCCTACCTGCCCACCTATGGGAAAGGGCAAGAAGAGCGCTCGATTGCGCGACGCGAGAGGACGGTTCATCAAGGCAAGCCCTTCAGGACGCTTCGGCCAGGACCATACCGATCCGGAGCTCGAATTGCAACCATTGAGCAGACCACCACCACGGGACGAGGGTTCGTCGCCAGCGGGGGATGCGTCCTGAGGTGGAATAGGAATACCACGGCGGTTATCCGATCCGTCCGTGAAAAGAGGACGACGGTCTTCTGGTGGTTGGATGCACAATTCCGCCAGCAGAGAAGTACGACGTGGCTGGTCTACCTGACTGGAATTCTATTTCCAGCGGTACTCCTTTAACTTTGTACATCTCCACCGCATACATACCTTTCGTACAATGGGCAGGCGAATCAAGCCGCCTTCCATCTTAGCAGATGAAGTACATGGCACTAATTACCTACTGCAGGATGGAAAGCACCGCGGAACTCAGCCATGCTGGTATACCTATCCCAACGGCCTTAGCGCCGCGGCCTCGGACGACGAGATTAACATATCATTTTGGCCCACGCCTAACTATGCCGCCCTCGCGGAGGCCGCGGCCAGTTCAGGCGCTGATGGTGGAGACATGACCGAGACTGGGGAGGGCGAATGGATGAAAGGCGTGCGGGCTAGGACGGTGGGCGAGTTTAAGGCAGCAATTCAGCTTGCAAAGTCCAGGGTTATCCAGCAGCGGAAAGGAATGCTTTTAGAAGTATTAATGTGAATTGCTTAGGTATTAAAGTTCCCCGAATATCCTGAGCGCATGAGTTTTACTGAGATGTTCGTGAGGGTTCTTTTGGTCAGTCAATGGGCTTCATGGGCTTGGGCTTTTGCTCTCCACACTTGAATCTTAAAATGTCGGAAGGCTACAGTACCGACAACTCGACACGATCTTGAAAAGCCTGCTTGATGTGGGGGTTGGATGGTGTTGGATTGTGTCATTAATTCTCATTGAACACTCACAAATTATACCTAAGTAAATACAAATACATTTGAGTTCGAGAGACCACACAATCTGGAATAGGTACTTTAACCGGCACTTAAATCAGTCCTTTGGCAAGAACTCTCCTGGAACAGCCGGACCTAATGGATACCTGATTAATGATGTCTTCCTTAAGTAAACAGAGGAAGGTGAAGTACTCACCCCACACATGTAGGCTACCTGGCCCCGCCTGGGAGATGTGCGTCGGTTCCGAGGCGTTTACTAGGTCGCCGTCGACGTAGTGCTCCATGATTAGCCCGAACGGGTCATACCTGAAATATGGTTAGTTAAAATGGTACCATAAATGAGAAGATGAAAGATGCTTACCAGTAGTCGAAGATCTGGCTGCCGAGGACGTGTCTCCCAACGCCCCAGCAGTTCTTGTAGCCCTTCTCCCGTAGCCAGTCGTGGCCGAGGACTTGAGTATCGAAGTCGTGCGTCTCGAATGAGGAGTGGTGTACTCTGTAAGTAGCTCCCTCGGCAAAGAAGAAGACGTGGTGGTCTACTTCCTCATCGCCCCTGTTTAGGCGGTAGAACACCGTCCGGTCAATCTTTTTGTCGTCGTGAATGAGCTGCTGTCGTGTAAGTATTTAACATAGATATGACTGTGGAAGGCAATTCGTACATCGCTAGCCAAGAAGTTAAAGTATTTGCAGTAGAACTCGTAAGCTTTCGCAAAATTCGTCGTCCTCACACCGAAGTGGCCAAGCTTGTGTACCGGAGCAGGCCGCTTCTGGAATCGCTGGAACTTGTTCACAGGTCGGTTCTTCTCGGTAGGCTATATCTCCGTCAGTACCCAACTATAGCGGGTCGGGTCGTGAGACTCCTCACATAGTTTATGGGCTCGTGTGGGAGGGGGATATCCAACATCGGAGCGGGTTCCTGGCCCCACACGAGATGAAATGGGTACCCGTCGACTGGATCGTAGAATGTTACACACTTGCCGCCACCCGGCGCATCTGTAAGCTCGTAGATTTTGGTCGCTTTTGGAATTGTCTCAGCCGCGAGCTTCAAGTCTTCCTCCGATTCGACAACGAACGCCGCGCCTCCAAACTCGGGTTTATCTGACTTGATGGCGCACAGCACCCACGGGTCGGTACCGTATCCTCGGAAGTATACCTTTTCATCCGACACTCTCTTTTCTTCAGTGAAGCCGAAGTCCTTCAGGAATGTCACCGCCTTCTCAAGGTCCGGGTACTTGTAGTACACGTGGGTTATTTTCACGAGTTGAATCTTCCGTTCCGCCATGTTGAATCTTAGATACTCTTTACCTTGCTTCCTAGTTCAGCGGGTGGTAGTTGAAGCTAAGCCAAGTTATAGATGATAGGTCTCTTTTGGGTGTAGATGTAAACAAGGTCGCAAGGGAGGACTAGCCTCCAACAATTTGGGACGGCGAGATGTCCTTATATTATATACCTACAACATAGGATACGGGCGTGTGAAACGGATATAGCCGGGGTGGTGTGGAGGAGTCCGTTCGCGAGTAAAGCGGCGAATCAATGTCCTTGCCTTTGGAGCCGTACGCAGACCTGCTACATAAGCTGGTAGCTTGAAGACTATTGAGTGAAGTGTAGCTAGCATTCGTTTGCTTCTGCTAGGCGTACCTATTTTAGGTAGAAGGCCAGCTTGTGTGACAACATTGAGGTTACCCACTAGATCATTCCCCTCAGCCGCGGCCCCGCATGGGTGCTGGTGTATCTGCCAGGGAACGTATTCGGCAGTTATCATTTGGCTGATTATCTGTGGGTGTTCACCCCTAAGATCCCGAACTACGAACGCTTAGGAATGGGCCACTTGAACAAAACCCCTGTAAGGGAGCCGCTGAGACTCGTGGATGCATGGCATCTATTGCGTGGTTTTGATGCCAAGGTCTCAGCCTATGCATACAATGAGAGGCAGATGGAGTTTGCTTCTGTCACACGCTGGTAACTGGTTTTGCTTATTGTAGCATTAGAAATTGATTCAGGAGATGCATATTAATGCTCAGCTAATAAGCCCGGCCCGCATATCGGCTCGTTAACACCGACATCGACGAAGTGACGTTTGATCTGGTAGCATTTCCTTGCATGCTGTAATATACAAAAGTTGGGGACTTTGGAGATTTGTGAACGGAAATAAGACTTGTAGATTTGGAGAAGGGGCAGTGTTACCAGCCGGCAGAGGAGGGGTGACGTAGTTGACGGGCCGGCAAAAGGACCTTTCTAAAGGGTCTCCGATTTTCGAGAAGCGGGAAAGAGGCGGGGAATCGGTTTCTCATTGATCTGAAGAAGAAGCCACAATCGGTATCGGCCATAATAATATGCCCGTTAGCGTTTAAGACATAGAAGGTTCTAACTGGCTGTTTCATACGTCACACCTCTTAGCATTAGGTAGAATTCCGAAAGTTGTACCTCGATACACTTTTAGCCCCATCCTCTACCTTTTCACATCCCATTTACCGCTCCCCCTAGATCGCGAATCGGTGCCGAAGTCGCATCCGTAAACGGCATCCCCAAACGGCAACGCCCCCCGTCTCCGATCTTCCCGATCTCCGCCCACCCTCACACACACATCGCCCAAAAAAAATGATACGCAAGCTCTCCAAGCAGCCCACCCTCCCGCTCAACGACCCGGCGGCGCTCCCGCCCATCCTCAGCGACGGCCTCCCGCTGCCGCGGGCCGTGGTCTTCGACCTCGACTACACGCTGTGGCCGTTCTGGGTGGACACGCACGTGTACCCGCCCTTGCGGGCCGCGAACGCCGAGCGCAGCGCCGCCGTCGACAAGGTCGGCGAGTCCTTCGCCTTCTACGCGCAGGTGCCGGCCGTGCTGCACGGGCTCGCGCTCGCGGGCGTGAAGCTCGGCGTCGCCAGCCGCACCCACGCGCCCGACTTGGGCAGGGAGATGCTGAAGCTGTTGCAGGTCCCGCCCGCGAGCGCGCTGCTCGAGGAGGCGAGCGTGGATGCTGTGATCAAGGCTGCGGCGGCGGCGGGGCAGAGCGGTGCGGGGAGCGCGGCGAATAAGAAGGATAAGGTTCGTAAGGCGATTGACTTCTTTGATGCCGGGCTTGAGATCTATCCTAGTAGCAAGATTCAGCATTTTAAGGCGCTGGGGAAGAGGATGGGGATCCCGCATTCGGAGATGCTGTTTTTTGATGACGAGAGTCGGAATAGGGATACGGAGTCCCTGGGTCTGACGATGTGGCTGGTGCGGGATGGTGTTACGTGGAATGAAGTTGTTGAGGGGATTAAAGAGTGGAGGAGACGAAAGGGCATTTGAGTTTTACGGCACCTTTGCAAGATTGCTTCGGGTCATAGAACTGCGTGGCGTTTCGATGGCCGATAGAAGGCCGGTTTAGAGAGGATAGAGCATACAATGTAGACGGCGAGGACACACATCATGGCTACGACGTAATGGAAGGAGTCCAGGAGGAGTTAGGAGTTCAGGTCGTTATATTCACTCCGTGCGTTAGAAAAAGATCTATCCTATTTATGCCAGAATAAACAGCACCCCATATTCCCATGATTATGCGCCAATATACCCTAAAGAGAAGATGATACAAAAGTTAAAATAACCCCCAGAACGCTGGCATAGCCGGCGTAATATATGTGTATCATATATATGCCCGTATTTGTATCTATCTTCAGCGGTTCTATTCCAAACTTTGCAATGGGTCTTTCAAGTTCGATCTCGAGGAAGTCGTTATTACATCCCACATTAATTTCACTCGGACACTGACAAAGCCGCGATGTTTGCCGTTGGAACTTCACCGTTTAGAGCAGTTTTCTCAGAGGTTGGCGACACGAAACTCTCCTCACCTTCCGTTGCGCCGTCGGTTTGCGATGCCTCTGCGGAAGCGGCGGTGTCCGCGGCGGACTTGGGAGGGTATGCTTTTGTGATGGTACAGACACGTTCTCTCCTGTCCGTCTCGCCATTGCTACCGACCGCAAAGCATTCAACTCGCTTGCCGCCATCGATAGGACGCCAATACATCGGACCTGTGGGGAAAGTGGTGTAGCCATTCTCCCACTGGCATATTCGCTTGATCTCGTCGCCCCAAGCAGGCTCGTCGAAGAAGTCCCACTCTAACTCACCGCCGTAATGTTTGGGGATGTCCTTGATATCCATAAAAGTTGTTAAAACGGGTATGACGTCGTGGTCCGAAAGGATAAAAATCTTGGATACTGTCACTGGGTCGAACCAGCGCTTGATCCAGCCCCAGACGGTTGAGAAGAACATCGGTGCTCCGATAATGAATATGCCTGCAAAACAGTCAGCATGCCTTTACTATCGCCGTGTGAGGTACCACAAAGTCCGAGCACGTACGATCAAGAGTCTCGGGATAATGCGCGGTCGCAAGTTGGCTCGCAGCCTGCATGTGGGCTTTCAAGTTCCAGAACATACGTAGGCTAACGTGGGAAATGTCGACGATGTTGGTACTGAGCGTAATTGGGGTGTCGGGATGCGGGCGGTCGGTACACTCAGACGATAACGGTTGTACGAATCTGGTCAAATGCTCGTATAACGCGAAAAGTCGGAGCAGTTTGGGAGGCGTCTTGCCATCCGTCTTGGCCCTACTGTACGTCGTCTCGGTGGACTTCTCATATTTGGCTACAACGTGGGAGTCTAGATGTCGGATCTGGAATACGTAAATCGGGATGCCTCTGGTAGGATGTCAATTCATCTTGTATATGGCGCTTATGTCGGAATAACCTGGGTAGGTAATACACACCGCTTATCGCGTCGTCCCGTGAATCGAGGATACTATATTGACGGCAACAAGAATTGGTAAGTGCTCTGTGCCAAGGAAGTTCGTGGGGTTCTTCGATGTAACATACAAGTCTTCTGGTCGCCTCGAACGACTCAATATCGATGGTGTCGTAGAGCACATCGATCTGGTTTGCGTTACGGAACTTCTCTGTTTCGTTGAATTGCCCGTATGCGTCTTCGGGAATCCATTTTCGCGCTCGAAGGTATCGGCTGGAGATTGGCGACGGATATTAGAGCCAGGACTCAATGGGAATCTAGGGATAGCCTTGGAAGAGTTTTTTTTACATACAGAAGCGTGGGATCATCATGAGATGGCGGATCGCCCGGCTTATATAACCCTTTCTTCTCTAGAAGATCTTTAAATTCTACTAGAGCGTGCTCTTCGTGCTCTGTGAGATGGCCAAGATGTCCACTCGGATAGCCATGCTCGACGGCCCCGGACGAGGGGACTCGGTGCATGGAAGAGGATTTTTTGGTCATGGCTAGCGTCGTTTCCTTACGATCTAATCGAAATATTCTCTGTCCTAGATTGAAAACAACGAGGCAATTACGGAATTCTTGATTTGCGCACGTCTAACCTGACCGGATAGGTCGAAAAACATGCGGTAACGGAGCCTTATTGGAGAGGGCGGCAACGATGGTCTACGGAATCAAGGGCTGGAGAAAAAAAAGGAATAGCATCAGATCCCTGTCCAGCCTCTTTACATAATCCTCGTGGATCGGATACAATAACATCCTATTGGTGGGTTTATGATCTAGCTTGATCTTGTGAATGCAGATCCATCATTTTCACCCAATTGCCACTCTTGGAACCTTTTTCTTTTTATGGCCATCTCTAGTGCTCTCAAGGTCTTCAAGACTCCCCAACTCCGTCACTGTCTGCATCATAGATACTAGTTCCTACGCGTCGACGGTCAGCTGGTTATTTGTGGATTATTAAACTCATGATTCTAGAAGTGGTTTATCGGAAAAAAGGAAGTTATTCATAGTTCAAGTCCAATGTCACCCCTGAAACCAGGATTGCATTCCTACATCCTTCAATTGAGTTCATGATAACAGATGAAGCCATGGAAATGTCAGCAAGCTAGCACACTTTGATTGCCATTGAGTTTTCGGGATTTTAACGGTAAGTGACAATAGATCTATCTAATATTAGTCATACTAGACCTTATTCATACAACATCCGTGCGACGAGTCAACGCCAACTCTTCATATCCCAAGATTCTATCAGCTAGGTAACTGTCTACGCCGTAGTGGTTACATACAGTATAGAGGCACGGACTATAGAAGTGGGAACGAATACATGTACGGAACCCTTATTTGATGTTAGCTACGTCTAACTACATGTCGGGGCAGCGGTAACACCTAAAAGAGGTAACCCGATATAAGGCAACCCCAAATATACCCCATATTCCACAGTCCCCCACACTGGAGTACAGCACGGGGGACACTGGGGTACACTGGGGTGCATATTCAGAGTGCATATTCAGAGACTATCGTCAAGAGTCTAAACTCTATGTGTTAGATTTGTGAGCTGATCTGACCTAGCTTAACTACTTACCATGGATAGGCCGTGACAACTCTTCTCCAACACTCCTCTAAGTAAGCTATCTACCTAGTTCACCTCGGGGCATTATAGGAGGCCGTCGGCCTAGGTCAATACGAATCAAACTTGTCTCCTGACCGTTATCTTTTATTTTCGATGTGGATTGCGGGGTGATGGAGCGCGACTACGGCGATTTATACCTGATTCACTGTCCCGTATGTCCGTATGGTACGTTCCTACGGACGTGCCTCATGGAGAGCCTCCGGCTTCCCTCCGCTGGATGCGGGGTCTTTCAGCCACCTATGCCGACGTGAAGAGCTTATCTACGAGCTTGAGCTCCTGGCTTTTTGGGCTGTCTCAACTCCTAAGTTTCCCCACGTTCCTCTACTTAGTTCTGTGCTGCTCCTTGAACACCGATCAACATGGCAACCTCAGTCGTTCTTCCGCCAAACCAAGGAGTTGTTCCTGGGTCCGTGGATATTCCCATTGCATTATGGCCGGTAACCGCCAAAGACGAAAGTGTGGACGCCTCTGCAGTATCTTCCCAGATTATAAATTCTTTAAATAGTTCCCTCGCGGCACGAGATTATAAGGCCCTTGCCAATCTCTTTGTCGAGGAGAATGGCTACTGGCGAGATCATCTTGGGATGACCTGGGATCTCCGCACATTAAAAGGAAGAGATAAGATTATTTCTTTCCTAGAGAAAGGCCACCACCTGATAAGCGTTGAACCCGACCGAGAATATCCGTTCAAAAACCCTGGACCGGAGATAACTACCTTCCGAGGCGATGGGTCCGTTCATGGAATCCAAGTTTACCTACGAAGCGTCTCCGAACATGGAATCGGACCTGGTCTTGTCCGCCTGATCAAAGTCAACAACGAATGGAAAATTTGGACACTCTTCACCTCACTACAAAAGCTCAATGCTCACCCAGAGCCAGTCGGCCATTTAAGACCAGTCGGTGTCCAGCATGGCGCACAAGCCGATAGGAAAAATTGGCTTGATAGAAGGGAGGAAGAGTTTAATTTCGTGAACGGTGACCCTGAAGTTCTCGTCATTGGTGAGTTATAACTCGATAATTCTTGACCGACGTCTGATGATGCTTACTTTATCGCAGGTTGTGGACAAGCCGGACTTTCAATACAGGCTCGATTGAAGATGCTCGGAGTTCCTACGCTCGCCATTGACGTGTGTGACAACATCGGCGACAACTGGAGGGGGCGTTACCACCAACTCGTCCTACACGACGCCGTGTGGTACGATCACCTCCCTTACTTAAAATTCCCAGAATTTTGGCCCATTTTTACCCCTAAGGATAAACTAGCCGGATTCTTGAAATCGTATGCTGAAATGCTCGAGCTCAACGTGTGGAATAACACGAGCCTCGAGTACAGCTCGTGGGATGACAAGAAAAAGCAATGGACCGCAGTTCTTAAGCGGGGCAAGAAGGACGGGAGCGTCGAAGTTCGCGTAATGCACCCCAAGCATATCGTCCAGTGTACTGGCCATTCCGGAAAGAAGAACTATCCGAATTTCAAAGGCCAGGAAAACTTCAAGGGCGACGTGCTCTGTCATTCTTCCGAATTCCGAGGTGCTAAGAAGAACGGCAAAGGGAAGAAAGCAGTCGTGATCGGTGCCTGCAACTCGGCGATGGACATCTCTCAAGATTACTACGAAAAAGGGTGGGATGTGACTATGGTCCAGCGATCGTCAACAACGGTCATGAGCAGCAAGGCCGTGATGGATCTATTGCTTTTCCCCGCATATCGCGAGGGCGGAATGCCAACCGAGGAAGCGGACTTGCTTACATGGGCCAGGCCGGGTGAGGTTTATAAGGCATTCCAAGCCGACCAGAACGAGCGCCAACAAATCCAAGACAAGGACATCCTCGAAGGACTTAATAAGGCTGGATTCAGGACCGACAGAGGTCCAATGAACGCCGGCCTATGGACCAAGTATCTCCAACGTGGTGGTGGATATTACATCGACGTCGGTACTTCGCAACTCATCATCGACGGCCAAGTGAAGGTTAAGCATGGCGTCGGGATAAGCGAGATTCTTCCACACGGCGTGAAGCTGGAAGACGGGACGGAGCTAGAAGCAGATGAGATCGTCTGCGCAACGGGCTACCAGAACATGAAGACGGCCACGGAGGCCATATTCGGAGAGGAGGTCGCGAGCAAAGTCAAGTCAAATGTATGGGGCTACGACGAGGAGGGAGAGACAAAGGTGATGTGGCGGCAAAGTGGCCATCCTGGCCTCTGGCTTCACGGAGGCAACCTGGCCATGTGCCGGTACTTCTCTCGAGTCGTCGCTCTTCAGATAAAGGCGCAGTTGGAGGGGCTGTCCAAGATATCCGACCTATAGGTTAGTATATAGGTAGTTGTACGTGTATACTTGTAACTGTCTCATTATATATAGTACGTCAAATTCTCTTCTCCCCGTTTCTTCGAACTATGGGTAGCTTTGGGTAGGACCTGGTAGGATACACTAATGCTCGTCCCGTTTGCCTTGGACAAGTGCCCAGGGAGGTCCACTTATTGGTGTTTCTGTAGGACTTAGTTCCCGTCGAAATGGGCCAATCAACGTGGTATTTAAAGTCTTCCTACATCCCGTTCGGGAAATATTCTAGGGTGCTCGAGGGATGTGTTGGCGACCCAATACGAGGTGACGAAGGTGTTTTACCTTACCAAGTTCTGCCCCCATCATGCGCTATCCAATTGGTGCCACTCGCCCGCATGAACTGCCTTATTCCCGTCGCTTTAATCCTGCTGACGGAATCCTTTCTTCTTCACTCATCATCATGGTATGATGTTGTAAGTTTATAATCATCAATAAGATATGGCGATGGCTCGCATCGCGAGCTCTGCAGACGCGGTCGCTGTTTTCTCGATTTTGCTTTCGGTACTGTTTCTTTGCGTAGCAGTCTTTCGCTTATGGCGCTTACGCAGAGCACCCACCGTTGTTATCGCGGGGTTTCAGGGGCATAGTAAAACGGTAGCAGTAGCCCTAGGTCCCTCAATACGGAAGCGCGATGATCATCAACTGACATTTGCAATAGGTTTTGTCAATCTTGTTTGCTCTATCGAGTTTGGGACGTCTTCTCGCATTAGGGAATTCAACACTCAATGAGACCAATTTGCATGTCGCTTCCCGTGCCCTGGAACTTGCCGCGGCATTAGTGCTCTGTATTCTATCATGGCTAAAACATCGACGGAGCGTCCGCCCATCGGACACAATCATTTTGTACCTCGTCGCATGTCTCATTCGTGATTGCTTCGAGCTACCATCAACCATTCGGGGGCAGAGCGATTGGCTGATGCAAGACCCGATATTAGCTCAGCTAGTCCTCGAGACTTCTTTACTAGCTACCGAGAATCTTCAAAAGGACCTTATTAGAAAGTCCTTGAATGACGATATATCTTCCGAGGAGAAGTCTAGCATTTTAGGCCGGACCTTTTTTTGGTGGATCAATCCCATCCTATATGAAGGGTATCACAATGTCCTCTTGAGCTATGACCTACCCTCGATTGACACGAAGTTATTATCAAAGCCTACTCGTATCGCAGCGTTACACGCTTGGGAGCGAAGGTGTAAGTATCTCACTAGATGAAGAGCGAGAGTGGAAGGGGCTGATGTTCGGATAACCATATAGTAAGACCCGAGAATAGGATGACACTTCCAAGAGTGTTGCTCAAGTGTCTTAAAAGGCCATTCTTGTTTGCGATACCGCCACGGCTTTTCCTCACATTTTTCCGATATTCACAACCAATTATTATTCGGCAAGCCATCATATTCGTCACCACTGACGAACTAAGAAATCAAACATGGACTGGACCTGGTCTTGTCATGGCTGCAATCGTCATTTACGCCGGCTTAGCTGTAAGCGTTTCACTTTATCTCACCTATGCACCTGCTTTCCGAAGGAGTCGGCTTCTAAACATGTATTCAGATCTCAACTACAGTGTACCAACACCAACTCAACAAATTCAGAATGATGATTCGAACTGCTCTTATAGCGTTGATCCATGATAAGACGATGAATTCTTACGCCGAAACAATCAGTGAAGGTAAGGTCTTGACGCTCACTAATAATGATGTTGATAGTATCGATACTATTGGAGAGATGTTACATGAAACCTGGGGGCAAGTCCTTGAGGTCCTTATTGGGATCGTAATGTTGACTTGGGAAGTCGGCTGGTTCTCACTTGTTCCTATTTTCATCATTTTTCGTAAGTTTATATCCTACTTCACCTGTACGTCTGGACATTTAGCTGAATTATTCTTAGTGTGTTCTCGTGTGAGCCAATACGTTGCAAGGAATATGCGATCAAGGCAGGGTGGCTGGAATGAAGCAACCCAGAATCGCATTTCCATGACAAGTTCTGCCATTAGTGCTATTAAGAATATTAAGATGCTCGGCCTACAAGACGCGATATCAGCACATATTGAAGAACTTCGGCGAATCGAGCTCCAAAAGGCAAATGCGGTTCGATGGATGTCAATTGCTTATAACGCGTCGGCAAATGCCAATGGGATGTTTGCGCCAGTGCTCACCCTTGTTCTCTACGCCATATCAGCTAAAACGAGAGGCAATAAACTGGATGTTGGGACTGCATTCACAACTATTGCCATTTTAACTATGGTCACGCACCCGGCAAATATGGTTATGACATTCATCCCAAAGATCATTACATCCTTTGCCAGTTTTGAGAGGATCCAAAATTTTCTCCTTGAGCCGCCTCGGCAAGACTACAGAATCGAGATCTCCAACTCAAAAGCTCTCAGTGAATCTGGTAGTTCTGAAAGCGGTTCTGACGTGACTTCATACCCAGTCGTTAATATGGAAGGCCTTTCAGTTGGAGAGTCTCGTCTTGCTCTAGAAAATATCAATCTGACCGTGAAAGAAGGCTCTGTCATTGTTCTCTCTGGTGCCACAGCCTCCGGAAAGTCCATCCTAGCTTATTCTATTTTGGGCGAGGTCCCTTATGTCGGAACAGTTGCTGTATCCTCTAAGCGTATTGGCTATTGTTCTCAGATACCATGGCTGCCGAATGGCAGTATCAAGCAAATTATAGCAGACTTTCATGATGACTCAATTATCGACTTGGCGTGGTACAAGACGGTCATCGATGCTTGCTGCCTCATGAAAGATATTGATGCACTCCCGGACGGGGACGAAACGTTTGTTGGGAGTAGAGGAACCAACCTATCTGGTGGTCAACGCCAACGACTAGTATGTATACGGATTTTTTTTTCTATTTTCAAGTCAGTTCTTGACACACTCTAGGCTCTTGCGCGCGCGCTATTTGCTCGAACGGCCATCCTCATATTAGACGATCCTTTCAGCGCACTAGACGGGAGGACTGAGAATCAAATTGTCGACAACTTGTTCGGAAGCGAAGGTCTTTTCGGAGAACTCGGAACGACGGTTATACTGATAAGCAACTCTAGTATTTATTCCCGATATTGTAGGTTTGGTTGTTCGCGCACGCTAACATTCTTCCGCAGCTCAGTACTTTCGTCTAGCAGACGAGGTAATTGTCTTGGAAGATGGACGTATAAAAGAACAGGGCAAATGGAACGAGCTTGCCTCTCGAGACCCTGAAATATTAAAGATTATCACAAGCGAAGATGGCGAGCATAAGGGATTAGCCATTGAGAGATCCGACCTGCTACCTCAACAGCAAAGATCGTATGACGATGTTACTGTTGACTCGAAGCGGAAAACAGGCGACTCCTCTCTCTATGGTAAGGCCGAAGACTTGCTACCGTCGAGAATTCCATCTAAATATCGTTAGGTTATTATATCAAGGCCGCTGGACTGGGGAATTCCGCACTCATGATCGCTTGTACTGTGACGTACTCTTTCTTCATCACATTCCCCCAATATTGGGTCAAGATGTGGACCAGCTCGGGGTCAAGCAACGATTGGTTCTATATTGGAGGATACATTATCCTTAACTTCATCGCATACGTTGCTACGAACGGGATTGCATGGTAAGCTTTACCGTATACGAACACCACGTAAACTGTATGATGATAGAACTAACATCATGACTAGGACGATTCATCTTCGGATGGCTCCTCATTCAGGTTTGGTCTTACATTCCAAACTTCTACATACGATCGCCTGGTATTATCCTTCACTTTTTCTTCAGGGATTAAGAAGCTGATTGAAATAAGCGCACCTCTGCTATATTTTTCTATGACAGATAGTGGGTCAATACTCAACCGGTAAGTATTGTCACTGATTTATTGATACTACGGCTCATCAGATCCAGATTTAGTCAAGATCTCCAACTTGTAGACAAGCAACTCGCAGCCGCCCTGTCTTCGGTGTTCATCCGTGAGTTGCCCTTTCTCTAGAAATATTTCAACGTAGCGCTGACAAATGTCACAGAGATCTTCAAACTCCTAGTCCAAGTCATCTTACTATTCATATCACAGAAGCTGTTAACGTTTACCCTGCCTATATGTCTCGTCTTCGTTTATGTAGTTCAAAAGGTATACCTTCGAACTTCTCGACAATTACGCCTATTAGAACTTGAATCTCGATCGATAGTTTCCATCGACCTCTTGGAGACGGTTGACGGATTGGCTACTATACGTGCTTTTGAAGGTCAATCAAAGGCAGAATCTGAACATCTCTACCGCCTCGATGAATCTCAGAAGCCGTTCTACCTTCTCTTATGTCTCCAATGTTGGCTGAAAATTGTCCTCGATCTACTCGTAGCGGCGGTAGCCGTTGGAGTTATCGCTCTAGCTGTAATTCTCAGAGATACCACATCGGGTGGCCAAGTAGGTATGGCGCTAAATATTGTGCTGATTGCAAATACTACGCTACTCCGACTCATTCAAACATGGACAAATCTTGAGATATCTCTCGGTGCCATCGCTAGAATTAAGGGTCTTGAGGACGAAGTGTCTCCCGAGGACAAGCCATCCGAAACTGTTGTACCTCCTGAAACTTGGCCGTCTTCTGGCACAGTTGAGTTCCGAAGTGTTTCAGCAGCATATAATACAGAGACCACGGTCCTTGAAGATATATTACTAAGGATAGAGCCGGGGCAGAAAGTTGTCATCTGCGGCCGAAGTGGGAGGTAAGTTGTTGTTGATGAACGATTCAGGGGTTCGCGCACTGACCTCCTTTGCGCAGCGGCAAGAGTTCCTTGATACTCACTCTTCTCCGCTTATTGGATACGAAGTCAGGTTCAATTATAGTTGACGGCGTGAACATTGGCCTTGTACCTCGTTCAGTTGTACGCGAACGATGCTTTGTTACAGTGCCTCAAGAACCCCTTCTCTTCAACCAAGAATCTCTCCGATTCAATGTGGACCCCACAGAGACCCTCTCAAATGATACTATCATCGAAATACTTTCAAAGGTCTACTTATGGCAGCATTTTAACTCTATTCCAGATCAAGATGAGTTAGGCGATGTCAATGCGTGTACTCATCCGATCCTAGATCGCGCAATTACATCACTTCCTCCTCTCTCAGTTGGTCAAAGACAGCTACTAGCCCTCGCACGGGCACTGTTACAGGTATACGTCATAAACACATTGGGAGCGAAACCTATAATCCTACTTGACGAGGCGACTTCATCCCTCGATTCATCGACTGAGAAGATGATACTCGATATCATCAACGAAGAGCTCGCGAGTAAGGGTCACACGGTAATTATGGTCGCCCATAGAGTAGGTGCAGCCGTGTCACATTTAAGAGAAGGGGTAGATGCCGTGGTTTGGATGAAAGATGGGCGAATTGAGAAAGTAGGGGATGTAAGCGACATTATGAACATGACCGAGCAGACCACAACCCCTGAAGAGGGGTCCACGAGTGGTTTATAGATGATCTATTCACAAATAGAATGAGCTAAATATAAGAAAGATCGCAGAGCACTTTTTTCCCCCTCTTCCACGTTTTCACATAATTATTCTGAAGTATCTCTCGTCACCAGCCTAACAGGTAACGGTCGTCGAAACCAAATCACGAATGCCTTCTGGTCGAACCAATTATCACTCCCGGGCATCAGCTCAATATCGAACTTCCACAAAAGTTGGGCTAGAATCATACGTAGCTCCAAGTTCGCCAGATTGATCCCAATGCAATTCATGGGTCCGACACCGAAATGCTGTACAACGCCTAGGTTATCATTTGCGTATCGAGGATCCGTCCCTAACCATCGCTCTGGGGCGAACTCGGTCGCGTCCTTGAAATGCGACTCATCGCGATACGCAGAGAACGCCGTGAAACCAACAGCAGTCCCGCTGGGGATGAAGCGGCCGAGGATCGCGCACCCTCCGGGCGGCGCGCAGCGCCGAAGGAAATTTGGGTTTGGTGGGTAGATCCGCATCGCCTCGTTGATAACAGCAAGGAGATACTTCTTACTAGGTAACGTGGAGGAATTGATTTCCCCTGCAGATCTAAACCCGGTACGGATCTCTTGCTTCAGCTTGGCCATGACGTCGGGATGTCGGAGTAGGAGAAAAACACATCCTGATAATGCCGTGGCCACGGTCTCGCTTCCGGCGAGTAGGATTTGTGCGGCCGTGGGGTATATTTCGCCGTTCCTGAGCAGGGAAGAATCGCCCTTCTTGCCCTCGCGAAGAATGAGAGTCATGAAGTCGGGCCGACTAGTCATCGTTTGAAGTCTCCTATCCACCATGTCCTTGATGGAGTTCGCCTGGGCCCGCTGTCTTTCTGTCACACGTCTTGGTGTTAGGAATTTAAGCACGGAGAAGAGCCAGGGCGCCAGGCTTTGGATGGCTATGGCGTACGTCAGGATCTCGAAACGGGTGAGGAGTTCAGATACCAGGGGATGATAGCGCGACTTCTCGACGCATTCAAATACGTCGTGTCCGAACATTAGGTCGCCGATTATGTCGAAAGTGATGTAATTAAACCAAGCAGATATGTCAATCGGTCTCCTAGCTTCTGCGCTCTCGCCAAAACGCGAGATAGCACGGTCAATGTAGCTTGTTATTAGGGGCTCTTGTTCGCGCAGCGCCCTGTCGGAAAATGCTGGCGCGAGTTGCCGTCGTTGACGGGCGTGGCCCTCCCCGTCTGCGCTGAATAAACCGAGCGCACCGTAAAAATCGAGATCCGGTTCTTTAGGGAGGTTACGCTCTACTGTTGTGTTGCAAGTTAGCGAGATTCTGTTCCGCGAATGCCACCTAGGTACGCAACATAGATAGGGGCCATGGGGACCCACTTGGGAATGAAAAGGGGTAATAGGGGTAACTTACAGTGGGTCCCCCCTGGTGCAGCGCGATATCCGTATATAGCATTCCATGATTCTAAATTGGTGTAAGATGTATCGTTTGGCGCGATTCTAACGACTGGTCCGTATTTATGGTGGAGTTTCGCGAGTATATAAGGCTCTTGCCCTTTTAACTGGTGCCAACGCAGAGGCAATTCGGATGTCCCATAAAGAAACGGGCCCGGAAACGAAGAAAGAGGATGGAATAAGCCATTATAGATCAATTGACATACTATAACACCTAGTACCTAATTAAAAATAAGCCTATCTTGTCCAAGGATTTGAAAAGGAGATAATTGATAACCTGCAGTACATACAAAAAGGAGCCCTAATATGATAATCTTTGATAGAGTAATGTCGAAGGAAGGGCCGGGGACTTCAAAACCAAGTCTGCTATACATATTTAATTGATTGAATACTCTTATATATATAAAATCAGGGTGAAGACCGAAGGGTGGTAGATGTGATACGCAGCGGAGGAATATAAGATAATCAGGGGCTAGAGTAAGAATTTAACCTCCTCGAGCCGGTCTAGTTCATATATCATTTCTTCCACAAACGAACCTTAACTATATGTCTCACAGATGAACACGTTATTTAGTATGTCTAAATCACCCATTGGCCGCTATCAATCATTTCATTTCGTGTGACCTAGGAAAGTAAGTCACTTCTGCAGTCAGACTTGATACTGTCACTGTCACTGTCACTAACGATATGTTCACAGATCGCTCAAGCTTTGCCATGATGATAGGTACACTTAGATGTGACTTGCTCACCGTTCGGATAATAATGCCTAGGTTGTAATCATTTTGTGGCTGTGTGGAAGTTCGTGATAGGAACATATCGCAATATTTTTGGCCCTCCACAATCTACGTCATTTATCGCGCGGACTTGTGATGACTTCACGGAAGCGGGTGTGGACTGATTGGCTAGTTGCACCAGATAAACGGCTGTTAAGGGATGTTAGTATAGATGTTGGTGTGGGAACAGTTCACGTAAGATTGGTTTTACCCAGTAAAAATCTAGATCACGAAGGTCACTCGGAGTTTTTGGACATAACATTACTAGTACAGCTGACTGGCTATCTCCTTTATGTCTATTATTACCTAGGTACTTCAGGTTGGGGTGACATATTCTTGCCTCGCCGAGTATAATTACGCCATGGGAAATAGTTCTATGTATAGTACATGGTGATGTTGGTTTCAGAAATATCTATTGACAACGTATTAAAGCCCCGATATCTACCTAAGAATAGAACCAACTTTCTGCAAATTAACCAACGACGCTAGATTAGTAGGCCTGGTCCACGGCACAGAGCCCTCGAGATAGTTTGCGACGTTTGATTTGTGTTGTTATATGTACAGGTCGACCAGTTATTGATTCGGGTTTCCCCCCAAGCATTTTTAACTGCTCGGTCAGGATAACATTCTTCCCAGACGATACCAAAGTCGAATGTCAAGCCATTTGTCAGCACTCCAGTGCCTTTCCCAGTCTTGTCACTTGTTGTCGCACTAAGTCTGAATTGCAGTTTCGTCTTGACGTCGCCTGTACCTTCACCTCCATCCATACATGTCGACCATTCCAAGTGAGAACTGTTACCACTGGCTTCAAAATCGTCGTCAAAGTTTCCCACGCCACCAATAGATGTTTGAGCCGTATCATCTATCTATGTGTTTATTCATAATCAGGTACGTGCCAGATAGATATTTTGTAAATAAGGCAGAATACTGATTGGAACTGAATTAAAGGGGTAATCTTACCATGGTAGACATAGACACATTCCAAATATCAGGTGGCGCCCTTCCCGGATTAAGCTTTCGATTCTCATACCTGAAGACTGAATTGGCAGTCAATTGATATAGCTGAACGCCATCTGTCGCATTCAAATGTCCTCTGTAGGTTACGTCCTGGATCGAGAAACGATACTTGTACCACCAAGAGGTGTACTCTACGGTGAATTGGCACACGGAAACCTCATCTGTCCTGCCATGTCCTTCTGTGCCAAAGTACATATTCGAGAGCTCTAGTCTGAGCGTGTTCGGTAGAAAAGTAATGTTCATATTTTGCCCGGGAGAGCACTGAGTGGGTGTGTCTGATACGACTCCCAAAATAATTGGCGTTTGTGGAGGCGGCGGGTCACTTTCCGCGAGAACACCTATCGCAAGGGAAATTCCCACCATCAAGCTGGTGATCTTCATGATGGTGTTGTGTTGTAGATCGGGATCAGAATCAGAATTCGTTTCGAGCCCTGTGGAGGAATGGCGAGGTTTGGACAGCAGTGTACACAATTCGACTGATCGTGTAGTAAAAATAAGACTTAAATGCTTGTCAATTACGTTGTAGCCTAGAACCTCCCTCGTCTCCTAAAATTAGTTCCCGTCGGGAGGATCTTGTGTTGCATTCTAGCTAACAATTATCCCCTGAACGTGCAGCTTTAAGGTCTTTCAACCTTCTAGAACCGGCTAATTAGCGTGAACCCTGCCGGGAAATTTGGATTATCAATTACTACCTTCTTTGCTAATGATAAGATCGCGAAGATCGATGCTTAACAGTACATCAATTACTAAAGTTGTCCGTAGATTCAGGTCGCTTTCCCGTTTTCGGAACTGAGTTTTGTACGGGACCGACAAGAACGGACATATGAAAGAAAATTTTTATAGGCGTCCAAGACTTTTGATTATTAATTTTTCGGGCTAATTAGACTAACTATATGGCATTTTCCTAGTATCGTGTTTCTAAGAGATATCTTTGATACCTACCTAACTATTGGTCATAGAGGTAGGTACCTAATTAATACCCACCTACCTGTGTGTTCAAATTTGGGGTTATTATATTGTAGGTGAATTCAGGGGTACTAAAACCAACTCTCTTAAACTGAGGCATCATTTTATTACGACTTAAAGATGCACCTAGATAGTCTAATACCTGCAGGTCTCTAGTTCCTTTTTCTTCTGAAGTAATAAAAGTCTCGAAATGCTGTTTAATCTCTTTCGGTAAGTTATGTTATTTTAAATGTGAAATATCCTGCCCATTAGCTTACTTGCAAATACAGCTGAGGAAAGCCCCGGACTAGTATATGAAAAAATGATAAAAGTAATTTTTCTTAGAGTTTCATTAAAGGGGCTCTGCCACCCTTCTACCTATAAATCTAATACTGGAAATATACGATCAAGATCTGTTACTGGGCTGGCACTACGATATATCAATATATAAAATATCATAAGGAACGGTGGGCCTCGGACAGGGCTACAAGGACTGGCATATCTGCATCTTTCATAGGTACCATACGATTGAAATTTACCTGCATGCTGATTTTATTCTATGATCCAAACTAACCGAGAACCTCGGTCCTTCCACGATAATCCTAGAATTATGACTGAAGTTGCATATAGAAGAGCGAAAATTCTCCCTAAACAAGGGCAGCGCAGCTGGCCCCGTTAGCCCATATACTTGGCGCTATCGTGGTGTAACATTTATTCCCGCTTGAAAGATGAGAGTGGTATTCTTGCCAACGTAAAAGTGCAAGCCCTACATGAATTGATGAGACTTAACCCAACATTAGGTAGAGGATGAGCTGAAAAGTTTCCTTTTTCTTTACGAGATTTCACAGGACATTGTGATGATTCTTTCATCTACTATGATTGCCGTTTTTCCATTTCCAACAACCACTCTTTTTGGTGAAGTTGTGTTCCTTTTCAACTTTTGTAGAAGGATTATAAACACACTCTGAGCTACATTTAAAAGAACTATTTTATATTCAATTAAAAGTATTAGTACGATTTATAGTGAGCGGCGTAATATCGAAATGTTTGTAGGTTATATTTCTAAGACTTATAAGTCTATTGATGGTTCAAACATAGTATTAGTCAGCTACTAAATTATGTCTCCAAATGTCTTAGAATGTCTTATTTTCAAATTCTGAGTCGAGGTCCCCTTAGTAAAATTCCGCGTGGGAGATGTCTGGTATCCCACGAGGACATAGATTGTGGGGGGCATGTGGAGAGGGCTGCATGACACCATCTCCAGTTCCCCAGATTGGATCTTGGTATTAATTAGGGTTACATGAGCTAAGGTCATTGTTCACATTATCTAGCTTATGTTGCTAGCACGCTCACTAATAGAATCTATGATATAGACATTCTAACAAACAAAGGACTTTTCTACGCCGTGAAATATTCTTGTGGGGACCGGCAATCCTATTACTGGACGTATTGGATAGGGATGGACCTAGTAGATGACCGAGCACCCGAAGCTATAAGAATGTGGTGGCTATTCAATTCGTGTAATGTTTTGGTGCTTATGATTGAGTGAATGCGGAAATATCTCCGAGCTGATAGCGGTAAGGGGGGGAAGTTCGCGAGAAAAAAAATGGAAGATGCTACTCTTAGGCGTCCATTAACCTACCTAGATGCAATCCTGTATTCTATACTTGCGATGTCGTTTCGGGACCGTTTAAAGTATTTTAACGTCATAGAATCCTATTTAGGCCAAATTCTTGGAGGTGTGATCAAAGAAATCTGGGGTAATGCAAGGGAACATCCAAAGACATCTCTCCGTGCCAGCCGCATCAAGTTTGTAGAACAAAGAAATACCAGCTGACTTCGTAGGCAAGAATGTCAGCCCAGACGTCCGAAGCCACGATGCAACTGAATAATGCCGAGTTGGGATTCAAACATCTTGATTACCTCGGACCGGGAAAGGTGGATATTCTTGTACTCCCAACGCATCCAATTGACTTAAAAGTTGAGGATGGAAATGGGACTATGAATCGTCTATACGAAGGTGTAAGCCATCAGCTGACCAAGCCATGTATGCCCGAAGCTTCCTCTAGGCCCCGATGGTTTGAGACTGATGTGACTTACCAGCTGACATATAACCATAGACAGTCGCTGTTTAATATAGGCAAATATCGAGCATCGGTAGGGCTGCATTACTGATCTACTTGACCTTTAACCGGTTCATCTAAAATGGCGACTTTCACGGTTCCGAGCCTCTGGGCTTTGCTAAGCTTTTTTGCATGCCATGTTTATAGTGCACCTTCTACCAAACAAGTTCGCCAATCTACGGGATGCACCGAGGATTATTTTAACGGGATTATCCCTTCCGGCATCTCGATTGAACGAGTAGAAAAAGTCACCACCGGGACTTTTGTGGAAAGCGGAGACATAGGATATCCATCATTCGCTGGAGGCCTTCCGTCGTTGTGTGCGGTTATAGTTAAGAACGAAACGGCAAATTACCGTTTTGGGATGTTCCTTCCGGATGATTGGAACTCAAGGTTTCTCGCTATAGGAAGCTACTCATTCCTTGGCGGGATAAACTGGCTTGATATGGGCCCCGGAGCGAAGTACGGCATGGCAAGTCTCTCAACTGATACTGGCCATAGTAGTGGCCAAGGAGACCTCACATGGCCGACAACCCAAGAGCTCAAAGTCAATTGGGCATACCAAGCTTTGGAAGGATCCATTGTCCTGGGGAAGACCCTCATCGAATCTTATTACAGCAATAAACCTATCGCATATTCGTATTTCAGCGGTTGCTCAACAGGAGGGAGACAGGGTCTCAAACAGATTCAGGTATATTCTAATAAGAACTCCTCCATAAGAACTTAGTCTAATCTTACTCAATAGAGGGATCCCGACATGTTTGATGGAGCCCTGATTGGAGCACCGGCTTGGGATACGAAGCATTTAATGCCCTGGATCTCCAAGCTCGCGACCTGGAACCTTCCGGAGGATGCTGCGGGGAGCATCAACGACTCAAATCTTTTCTCCAGGCTCCAAGCAGAAGTTGTTAAACAATGCGACTCTCTTGATGGCGTGCAAGATAATATAGTCAGCTCTCTATCAGCCTGTAGAGAACACTTTGACATCTCGAAAATCCGCTGCGACGTAACATCAAACAAGACGTCCTGTTGGACCCAAGCTCAGATAGACACGGCACAGAAAATGTACACTGATTATACCACAGAGGATGGAGAGTTCGTTTACAAAGGAATGGATTACAGCTCTGAAGCAGGCTGGGCCACTTACCTGTTGCCGGCTGATGCCAATGACTCTAGCAACGTAAGGAGAAACTTCGACGCGGAGTACGAGAGAACATTCATGAGTTACGGCTCTGGTTGGCAAATTACTTCGTACAATGACAGCGTTGTAAGCGACGCGAGGGTGCGTGACGAAAGCATCCAGTGTACTGCTGATCAGTATGACCTTGGCAGTTTCAGAACAAAGGGGAAAATTGGTACGTACGACTCATAATCATTCCCTCTTACATTCTTTAGAATGTAATGGGGGATAATGAGGCTGTAAAAGCTGACTCGAGATATTTTAGTTATGTATGGTGGCCTCGCGGATTCTGTTGTACCAGTCCAGCACACAAATTTATATTATGATAGGACCGTCGACGCAATGGGAAATATCGATGACTTCTTCCGCTATTTTCAGATTCCCGGTATGGGTCATTGTTGGGGTACTCCCGACAACGTCAAAGCTCCATGGATGATGGGCGGTGCCGGTCAAGCTGCTCAAATGCCACCGTACAATTCCGGCTTCTCGGTCCCTCTTGGCAACAACGACACCCAACACGACGCACTGTTGGCACTAATGGATTGGGTTGAGAATGGCAACGCGGTGTCTCAAATAATCGCTTCCGAGTTCAATTTTACGGACGCCACATTGCAGAACATCGTCATGTACCGGCAGCGACCTATTTGCCCATATCCTCAAACAGCCATGTGGGATGGGCAGGGATCCCAGGACGACGCTTCTAGTTGGCAGTGCAAGTAAAGATTTACATGTTTCGCTTAATTATTATGTTAATAAGCATGCTATTTAGTTAAGATAGGATTAAAAGTTATTAATGGACAGGGTTAGGGTTGTTGGAGAAGGTAATTGAGGGTTAGATGGATGGCATAACGATACTCACTCTTTTTCATACGTACTATTTCAGAAACAAAACTATAGGTATTTAAATAAGTATCCTATCATTAGCAAATTGTATGCTTACCTATCTACGAGATAGGTACGTATGTATGGGGGTTAATGAACACGTTTATAGAAAATATCTCGTGTAATCCCCGTGTCGATATCAGGGGTTCCGATTCCATTTTACACACGTGATCCCCAGCTTCTCCCAATCAAAATTCTCACTCTTCATACTTGAAGTGAAATTCATTATGCCTGGTGCAAAGCCATACAATGTCTTGTTTTTAGACCAGTCCCAAAACCATCCCAATCCCCTGCCGACCCCAAACGATATTGACGGCTCTGAATCCGTAGTCCATGAGTCTACAGGCTCTCGCCTCCTACGGGTACAGCAAAGATTTCTCGTCAAATTCGGCATTCATGTCCACCCTATCGAGGGCTATAATATGCTATATGTAGCAAAGTTTACGACAGTGCCGATTCCCAAGGTTTACGCGATATACCAATGTCAAGAAGAGCAACGCATTATTACATATATCTTTATGCAATATATGCCGGGCACGACGCTTTTAGACTCATGGGGTAGCTTAGACAGGGCTCGCAAAACCGCTATCGCTTTGACCCTTCGAACCTATTTCGATCAGCTCCGGCAACTACAGCCGCCGGGCTACTTTGGCGACATTCACGGCGGACCACCACTTGACAACATGTTTTCAGCAATACAGAATGCCCAGGATATAGAGACATCGCTTACAACTGAGGACAATCTAATCGACTATATCATCCAGGCATACTCTCTTGAAACGGGCAAGCGTATGGCTTATAAGACTCAGTATTACCAGCATGTCTTCCCGACTGTCCTTCGCGGCAATGGCTCTCCTGTCTTTACCCATAACGACTTTCAGAGGAAGAATGTCCTGATACAGCCCGATGGCACGCCACTTATCATCGACTGGGAATTTGCGTCTTGGTATCCGACTTACTGGGAATATTCAACGGCTATATATGCTAACGCTGGTTGGACTGATGATTGGCATGAATATCTGTGTATGGTCTTAGACGAATATCCAAACCAGTCTCTTTGGCTATCTAGTATGAAGAATGAAATGTGGTCTTGAGATTGTGGGTTGAGGATGGCTACCTATAGTTGCCCTGAAATTTACTCCTGGGGTTTATTCGAGGCTTACTTAATATGCTTTAAAGGTGTGTCGGTTTCCATCGCCCACAGCGCTCCCCAGCGCTCATAGTGCTCAATGGGCCATAGCTAAGGTCTGACCAGAGCTCCCATATTGTCACATGACGTCGTACCTTAATACATATACCTTAATATATTATTAACATTAGACAATGCTTTACTAGATCTTAAACAATCTTAAAACTTAGAAAAAACATTATTAATCCATATATACCATATTATATAATAATGGTAGCATTTTTCCGTTAATAAAAAATTTTTCTTTTTTTTATTTTATTAAATTATTTTTATTTATAAGATTTTAATTTAAAAATTATTTATATTTTTATTAAATTATTAAATTATTTTTATTTAAACTTTTTTTTAAATAACCTTTTAATTAATTATTATAAACTTTATTATATTTATTTTAAACTTTATTAATTTATATAATATTATATTTTTTTATATTATTTTTTTTTTACCGGTTATATATTTTTTCGTTTTATATTTTTATAATTTTTTTTATTTATATTTATAAATTTTATTAAATAAATAATTTAATTTTTATAATTTAATTATTAAAATTATTTAAACATTTAATTTATATAATAATAAAATTTTAAAATAATAAAATTATTATTATTTTTTAATTATTTTAAATTAAAATAAATTAACGTTAATAATTTAATTAAATATTTATTAAATTAAATAAAAAAAAAATCTTTTATTAAATTTTTAATTAATTAAAAAAAAAATTATTAAAAAATATAAACATTTATTAAATAAATTATAAATTTAAACTTATAAATTAATAATTTTTTTATTATTTTAATATTTAAATTATTTATTTTTATAATAAATATATTACGTATTAATTAATTAAAATAATATATTAATATATATAATTTATAAACGCTTTTATTATTTTTTATATAATTATTTATTTTAATTAAATTATTAAAAAAAATATTTTTTTTATTATTAAATTTTAAATTATTTTTAATAACGAATTTAAAAACTTTATTATAATTTATTAATTATATAAAATTTAATTATTTATTATTTATCGGAAAAACTTTAATTTTATTTTTAATAAAATTTATTAATAATTTATTATATAATTTCGTATAAAATTTATACTTTAATTTATTTTTATAAAAAAACATTAAAAATTTATTTTTTTTTAAATTAAATAATTTAATTATTAATAATTTACTTTAATATATATTTAATTATAAAATTATTTTACATAAAAAAAATATTAATTATTCCATTAAAAATAATAATAAAAATTCTTTATTTACGTATAATAATTAAAAATTAAAGCTTTTAAATAAAAAATTAAATAAATTACTTTAAAAATTATTAAACCGAATAAATAATAAAAAATAAATTTTTAAAAAATTTATTAAAATTAATTATATTTAAATTAAAAATATATTAATATTAATATTTAATTTAAATAATAATATAATAATATAATTATAAATATAATTATAAATATAATTATAATTACATTTATAATATAAATTATAATTAAAACATTTCGGTTAATTAATAATAAATTTAATAAAATATTAAATAATATAATTATAATAAATAATTATAATAATATATTTTTATTTTTTAATATTAAATATTTTAATTTAAATTTAACGTAAAAAAATTATTCGAATTATAATATAATTTTTTTAAATAAATATATAATATATATTAACGTTTATATTTTCACGGATAAATTAATAAAAATTACCGTAATATAAAATAAAAAAAAAGTAAAAATTATTTAATTATAATATTTATAAAATAAAACGTATTTTTAATTTTATACGGAAAATTCGAAAAACGAAATAAACGCGTTTAATTTCGGAATGGTAAAATATATATGCGAATAATTTATTAATAAATTTCGAAAAAAATAAAATTTAATATTTAATAACTTAAAAAAAAAGTTTTTCATAATATAAAATATAAAAATAAATAAAAAAATATATTTATTTATATAATTAATTATACGTAATATTAAATTATATAATTTATTATTAAAAAATTAATTATTTTATATTTTTAAAACATTTAATTATATCATTTAATCGTAATTTAATAAATTAATAAATAAAATAATATTAAGTAAATTTATAAATCGTATTAATTAAAAAAAAATATATTAAAAAATATAACGAAATTATTATTAATAAATAAATTATTATAATATAATAAATAAATTAATTATTAATAAATTTAATAATTATTTTATATTAATTAACCCGTAAAATAATAAAATAATTATAATAAATATAATAATTATTTATAATAATTTTAATAATAAAATTAATCGTTAAATATTTAAATATTATAAGTTTAATTATTTTAAATATAATTATTATATTTTTAACGTTAATAATAACCGTAATACTCGTATTATTAATCGTATTAAACGTTTTATTAATAAAATTAAAAATTATAATAATTTTTTTAAAATTAATAATAATTATATTAATAATTATATAATTTATTTTTTTAATAAAAATACGTTTTAACGTTAATTTAAAATTATTTTTAAATATAATTAAATTATTTATAATTATATAATATTTTTTAAATTTCGTAAATTTCGTAAATTTTATAAAAAAAAATACATTTTTAATAATTTTAATAATTATATAATATAAAAATATATATAAATTAATAAAAAAAAATATAAATAAAATATATTAAATAAATTTAAAAAACATAAATAACGTATACGTTAATTAATATAATAACGGAAATTTTTAAATAAATAATTTCGATATATTTAATATAAATATTAAAAATCCGAACATAAATTATAATTTAATTTATAAAAATTTTAATTTTTTTTAAATAATTAATAATATTAAAAATGCGGTTAATTTCGTAATAATAATACATTTAAATAAATTATTATTATATTAATTATACGGATAAAATTTTTTTAATTAAAATTTATTATTCCGTTATTTTTATTAGGATTACTTTAAGTTTAATCGTATAAACGTTTTTTTCGTGGATAATATTATTGCGTATTTTTCCTCGGAACGTAAAATAATATAAACTTTTTCGTAATTTTAATAATCGTTTAAAAAAATAATTAAATATATTAATATAATTATAACGTTAAACTTACTTTTAATAAAAATAAATTATATTAATAATAAAATAATTATAAATAATATAATTAATAATTAATTTATTATTAATTATAAAAATTTATAAAAATATTTTTAAATTTTAATAATTCGTAAATTATTAATTATTCCTTTTAAAATAAATTTAATTTTAAACTTTAACACGGGTTTTTTATATAAAATAAAAATATATTTAAAAATATTTTTAATAATATTTTTAAATTTAAAATATAAAAAAAATATTTATATAAATTTAAAATACATTAAAACTTTAATTAATAAAATATAACTTTTAACCCATTATAAAAACGTTAAAATTTACATTAAAATTATATTAATATATATTAAAAAAATAATTAATAATTAATATATTATTATCGAATATATAATAATATAATTTTATTTTAAAAAATTTCGAAATAATTAATTAATTATCGCGATATTTATCCGAAAAATAATTTTAATAAATGAATTAATTATTTATATATTACTCGGAATAAATATTTTAAATAATAAAAAATTTAATTTATTATTTTTTAAAAAAATAATAATAATATAATTATACGAAATAATTATTTTTATATTTATTAAATTAAATAATTATAATAAATATTAAATTAAAATTATAATAACACGTATTATAATAATTTTAATTAAAATATACGTATATATTAATATATAATATACGGTTAATTTTAATTAAAATTTAATATTTAAATTAACGTTAAAATTAATTTTTTATTTCGCATTATTAATTAATAATAATATAATTTAAATTATTATTTATAATAATATAACGAAAAATATCGTATTATAAAAAAACATATTAATAAAATATATATCGCTTATAAAATAAAAAATATAAAATTATTATATATAAAATAATCGAATAATTAAATTTATTATATAAAAACTTAAAATATAATTATAAAATAAATATATATATAACGTAATATTAAATTTTATATTATAATATATTTAAAATATAAAAAAACATTTAATCGATATAATAATATATCGTAATTTAATTAATAATAAAAATTTTATAAAATTTTATAACTTAATTTCGGAATTTTAAAATATATTTATAAATATAAATTTTATAAAAATATTAAAAAAAGAAATATTATATTTAAATTTAAAATTTAAATAAAAAAACATGATTTTTAAAAAATATAAATTATATTTAATAACCTTAAAAAATTAAAATATTATTAATAATATAATTATAAAACTTTTAAATTAAAATCGCATAAACCGTATATAAGTATTAATTTTTTTTTTAATATTTATTTTTATCGTTTATAAAAATATTCCGGAATATTTATTAATAACATATTTATAACTAAATATTATTATAATAAAATTAAATAAAATAAAAAAAAAAACGTATAATAATAAATATAAAAATTTTAAATGTAATAAACCTTAATAACAAATACTTTATAAAATTTTAAAACAATATATTAAAAAAAATAAAAAATAAAAAATATATAATAATTTATAATTATTTAACTTTTTATTATTAATAAGAAATTTATTTATTTTTTTATTAAATATTTATAATAATTATAACGAAAAGTTAATATATATTTAATTATTTAATTATAAAATATAAAAATAATATAATATATATATAACGAAAAATAAATATAATTTTCGAATTAATTAATAATACGAATTATTATTATAATAATATAATAATAATATTTAAAATTATTAAAAAATATATATTAAATTTAAAAGTTATTTTTATAATTTTTTAAAATATAAATATTTTTATTAATTTTTTTAAATTTTTTATTATTTTTTTTAATATTATATTATTAAAAAAATTTATTAATTTATTCGGTTTATTAATTATTAAAAAAAGACTTATAATAATAAAATGTATTTAATTTTTAAAATTTTTAAAAAATTTTAAAATATTTATTAAATTAATTAAATATATACGATTATTTATATTTAAATTTATTAAATTAATTATATTATTAAAATATTATAAAATAATATTATATTAATAAAACTTTTATTATATTAAAATTAAGTAAAAATAAAAAATATAAATAAAAAATATAAATATTATAATATTATTTAAAGTTAAATTAACATTATTTAAAATAATAAAAAACGCATTAATTAAATATATAATATTAATATATTATAATATAAATAAATTATTATATATTAATGTTAATATTTTAAAATATAATATTAAAATTTACGTTTATTATATTTATTTTAATATATTATTAAAAATTTTAAAGAATGGAAAAATTATAAAATATATTCCGAAAACCGTTATTTAATTTATTACATTTTTATTTAAAATTTTTTTAATTTCCGAAAAAAAATATTAATTAATAAAAATAAAAATATTTAATTTAATTTAAACATTTAAAAAAAACGGAAATATAAACATTTATAACTTAAAACGGAATATATATTTTCACGGATTATTAAATAATTTTCGGTATATTTTTATATTTTAATTTTATAAATTTTATAATTATAAATAATAAAAATTTATAATTAATATAAATAATAAAATATATTAAAAAATTTAAATTTATAATGTTATATAAACCGGGTTATTTATATATAATTTTTAACGTATTTTTATAATTACGAATATTCGAAAAAATTAATAATAATACCGAATTAAACGGTTTAAATATATTATTTTATAATTTAAATAATTATTAAATATAATTAATAATAATTATAAAAAATAATTATATAAAACCGGACTTATAAATAAGTTATAAAATTATATTATTAACGATTAAATTTATAATTATATTAATAATTTAATTTTAAACTTTAAAAACATTAAAAAATATAAAATTTATAAAAATAAATTTAAAGTTTCGAATTAAAATGTAAATAAAATACTTAAAAAATTTTAAATGAAAAAATATTTTAAATGTTATAAAAGTTAATTAAAACTTAATACCCGAAAATTAAATATTATTATTATTTTATATATAAAACCGGATATTTTAAAAAAAATTAAAAATAATAAATAAATTTTATATTTTAAAATCGTGTTTTTTAAAAATTTTTAAAATAATTCACGGTTTTAATTATTACGGATTTATAAAATTAAAATTATAATTAATAAGTTTTATTATAAATCGAAAAAAGTTTAAAAAATATATAAATTTATATTTTAAATATTTTTTATTTAAAATAAAAACTTATAAATTTTATAAAAATATATAATTAATTTTATTATTATTATATTTTTTTTATAATAATATTAAATTTAAGTTTCGGATTTTTATAAATTAATAACGGATATAACGTTATAAATATAATAATAAATAAATTTATAAAAATAATAATAATTATTATAAAAAAATATAATTAAATAATAAAAAATTAAATAAACGTGTATTATAATTAAATGTTATTAAATAATTAAAATCTTTTTAAAGTTATTATAATAAATAAAAATTTTAAATAATTATTCGAATTTTAATTAATATTTTAAAAAAAATAAAATATAAAATTATTTTTTATAATTATATATTATTTACGAATTAATAAATAATTTAAAAAATTTATTTTATATTTAAAATTAATATTATAATATTATTTTTATAATTTAATTAATAATTTAAAATAAAAATAATATTTATTAAAATTATTATATAAATTTAATATAATAAAATTATTAATAATGAAAAAATTTTTATTAAAAACTTTATATAATTATATATTTAATTTTTTATTTAATATTAATATAATAATATTAATAAATAAAATTAATATATATAATATTATAATTATAATAATAATAATTTTAAAAAAATATTTTAACGCGATTTATAAGTTTATATTTTTTAAAATCGAATAAAAAATAATATTATAATTATATAAAAATTATAATATATTAATAATAATAATTTTAAAAAAAAAATTTAAATAATAATATACCGGATTTTTCCGAATTATTAAATATATTATTTATTTTATTTATAAGTTTAATTTTTTTAATTATTAAAAAATATACGATATAATTTTTATTAATTATTTAAAACCCGTATTTTTTATAAATATTTTTAATTATAATTTATTATATTTTAAATAAATAATATTCGAAATTTATTAATAAAAAATTATTAATTACGACTTGACGCGATAACGTTATTTCGTTAAATATAAAAAATTAAATAATAAATATATTAAATAAATTAAAAAAAAAATTTAAATAATAATAAAAATAAAATAATTATAAATTTTAATATAAAAAAAAATTAATTATAATAATTATATTAAACTTATAAAAATATAAACTTTTTATAAATAATATTATTATATAATATTATATTTTAATATATATATTTTAATATATTATTAACATTAAATAACACTTTATTAAATTTTAAGTAATTTTAGAACCTAAAAGAAGCATTATTAATCCACATATACCACATTATATAACACATATCCTCTGGGGAACAGTACGTGGCTTTCCACGTGCTCCCTGGCGACCTCTGTCAACACCATGGCCACGATATCCATCCTTGAACCGGTCGTACGAGCCAGTTGACGATGTTACTTAAGTAAAGCTAGGTGAGCCAAATATACAGGGAGGCGGCCAGCTAGAGTAGGCAGTAGGTAAGGAATGACAATACTAGTTGGATGACGATTAGGAAAGATATATCTTATTTTTCCGCTGTTTACCGATAGTAAGTTAGGTATAATACGTTTCTTCGCCGCCTCAAACTTACAGCTGCAACGTAAGCATCTGACTAGATGTGGTCACTGGTTGGTTGAGGGTTAGGGCGCTGGCTATAGGAGCTCAGCATAAGCTTGGAGACCTGACTCTGCTCACTGTAGCCAAAGAGTTGGTAACATGAATTTGCAAGCACTATGACATGTCGCATGCACACGATCGTACTGTGTGTGTACAGTGAACTTCATGAAGTACCTACCTTATATGCCCCGCCGAAAATGTACTTGACGGGGGTGTTTTGGGGTTCTAAAATGGCGCGGTGACAATAAGTGAAATTCCCGTGCCGATGTTTACCTAGGTACCTAGGTACCTAAACTTCCGAAAACGATAGCCCAGCCAGGCCTCTAGAGCCAAGCTGTGAGGAGAAATGGGGTTGCTCTCGATGCTAATGCTGGATGACTAAGACACGATGTGCCACGTGATGTCCTCGGTCTGTTGTTGAGTAAACTTCCCCACCAAAGTTCCGAGGTTCATAATACTACGTAGTACATAAGATTATTTATATTTCTCGATTAGTCAAGCATTTAACGTTCGTAAGATCATATCGCCTTAACATTTAATACTATTTCTCATGTGCTAAGTCTTTTATTGACCAATATTCCTGTCCATTACCATCACAATGCCTCCTGATACGGCTGGTTGTCAGCGACTCACGTTTCAAGAGATTATGAGTTTAGTTCCTCTCGAGGACGGGATGGCGGATGGAAAAATCACAAAGCAATATATGAGTCGGCGCAGGGCGTGGTGTCCAGAAGACGATGTACCGATTGCGAGTGAAATGGCCTACCCGGAACAGGAGAACTCACGTCGGCGAAAAGCGGCGTACGGTGGTCATGTTTATAGCCAAGCGGGAATGGCTGTTTCTAGAGCCCTTGCAGAGACTTCTCAACCAGCTTCTCGAAGAATACTCGGCATTCATGTAAGCATTTCTACTCAATTTATCTTGATAATCGGAGTTAAGTCCAACAGATCTCAAATGGAGGACCCAACACAACATACAGTCCCATAGGATTGGCCATACTGTACCCCTATTATCTAACGACTAACAGTCTTCTGTCAGTCAAACTTGCTAACAGATTCAGACTATTCATGGCTACTTCTCCGAGGCTGGATTTATTGATAGGCCCTTCATATACAATGTAACCGCCATTGGGACAAACACATCCTTTCCAAACTTTCTCGTCACAGTGCGGCAGCCTCTGTCGCCGAGCACAAATGCTGTCGGGGATTATTATCCATTGGCAGACGCCACCCTTCCTCTCGGCCCAGTCTGCTTTAGCGCCATAGTATCGTTCAGGCCACCCGGGATCTCCCAACATATCGCTCAAGAATTACCCGTGCAGACACGGTTCGCGAATATTCTAAGCTCGCGACCGCCATCCCAGTGGGGCCCTGCGCCACACATTGATATCGCTAAAAAGCTGGACGATTTTCCCATGAAGAATCCTGGCTCTTTTCCGGCGGTTGATATGAAAAAGGTCGACCTCACCTCATTCAATGAAGGCAAATCCCTATCCGATCGACGTGAGCTGTTGTTATATCGGCTTCTTGCGCCACTTCCTGCGGATCAGCCAGATTCACACGTTCTCACTCACGCCTACGAGGCGGATAGGAATGGACTGCTGATGATAGGAAACCATGTGGGATTCGGTTATGACTTCGCTCGAGCAGCTAGTTTGAGCTATTCTTTCGTTGTGCACGTTAATCCTGAAGATGCGATAATGTCTTATGGTGAGAATGAATGGTGGGTTCAGGAAGCTTGCTTTCCCCGAGTTGAGGCTGGGCGGGCCATCATTATGAGTAAGATCTGGAGTCCAAAAGGTGTGCACGTAGCCACGGAATATCAGGATGGTGTAATACGACGGAATTGGAAGCCCGGGGAGAGGCAGGGCAAGTTATAAGATGTACGGTGCTAATAATTAATACTCCTAACGTAAGAGCACGCCCTGCGAAGGTCAAAGACGAACATCACCGCCTACCGAGGTGCCCAGGCACCTACCTACGTACCGAAAATATAAAACGAGGTTAAGAATCAATGTAGATTTAGTAATCGGGGACATTCAATGGGGATTATCACGATTTACAGTTGATTTGACAAGGTATCTCAATTTTATTGCCATATGCGTCCAAACTGATTGTATGCTTTGCTGATGAACGATAGGTAATCAAACCTCGTACATTCTTGTTCTCAGATCATAGCCTAGATACTCCATTTTTTGAATAAACTCGTATCCCAAAATCCCAGAGACGTACCTCTCAGCCATTCAACTGCCGATGACTACCTATGTCGCTTTTATCAGGACTTGGCTCCGTCTTCACATCCTTGACGACCACGAATGAATCCTTACTGACAGCCTTATCGACTTCTGCGCAAGCGTCATAGCCGAATAACCAGGGTTGAAACTGAGGGCAAAGCAACCGAATTGGAAAGGGCGCATGTTTGGTTTCTTCGTTTAGCTGCGATAGGAGTAATTCGTCTCGTTCCCGTTGCTTAGGGCCATCAACAATTTGGAAGACGTCACGCTAGTGTTTGCCAGGATTTGTAAGCAATCCATTTCGCGACGGCGATGTTCAATAACTTACCTGTACGATGGTTTCTTTCACGATGGCATCTCCTCGGTGCTTCCGAAGCTGCTCGTACATTTCCAAGGCCTTTCCTATCTGCTCCTTAGTCTGGATATGTCCTAGCAGGCGACCAAGGACGGCGCCATCTTCGATAGCCGAGGTGGCCCCCTGTCCAAGGTATGGTAGCATGGGGTGGCAGGAATCTCCACTTCAAAATCGCGTTAGCTAGGCTAATGAATCTTACAATGTATAGAAACGACCTCTCAACTCACAGAAACGCAAAATTGCTATTTGAAGAGGAATATACCCATCTTCGCATTTCCTTTCCTAAAAGGATGTTTCCTGTTAAGCTCCGGGTTTTGTCAAGAGAGGTGAGAAGCATAATCTGGAAACTTACGATGCATAAGTTTCCACTTCTTCACAGAATCGGCGACAGCAATGAACTTGGTCAAAATCGGATCCCAGTTCGTAAAATGAGCTCTCATCTCCTCGACGGATCCGACCTGCCTGCTAATGCCCGCTGGCAGGTCATCAGGGACCAATAACACGATGTTAAACTCCGTACCTCCTCGGAGTGAGTATCCAACAGCATGCGAATGAGGCCCTAACCATATATCAAGTGACGGCTTGCTTATCCATTCTCTTAATTCGAGATCTTGGATTTGATCCAGTGTCAAGACCAGCCGGTATGCCAAATCGCCCGTTGGTCTCGGAACTCCCTCGAAGTCTTTGGGAAGAAACTGGGCGCGGCAAACAGACCACAGGCCGTCAGCTGCGACAACAATATCGCCTTTTGCGTTCAATCCAGAATGGGTCGTAATTTTCCCCGTCTCGAAGTTCACTTGGTTAACTCTCTCCCCGAATCTGAATTCCACGCCGAGTTCCTTGGCACGTATGTAAAGTGCTGTCTGGAAATCGACACGATGTAACTCGATATAAGGGGCATCATACCTCACACGCATTTTCGCATCGAAGTCTTTTTCCAGAGCTAATATCTCTCCTGAGTACCGTCGAACAGAAAGCGACGTGGGGTGAGTAGCTGAGGCCCATAATTCGGCCGGAAGGCCCCATTGTCGTAGTATTCGCGAGGCATTCGGGCTGATGTTTATCCCAGCCCCTATCTATAACTGCGTAAGCAACAGAACGCTTTCCTAGGGCTCATGTAAGTGACATAGATGAAGTAGGTTACCTCATGGAGTCCATCAGCTGCTTCGAAGACAATCACATGATGGCCGGACAGCGCCGTCTCTATAGCGACTGCCAGACCACTTATCCCGGCGCCTATGACGACCACCTCTAGCTGAATAGCCGGCTGAAATGCATTGACCTATGTTCTCCTTATTAGCCAATACAAAATGGTATCCATGATTAGACACCACATACCATTTTGACGTTGATACTACTTTGATATCAGGTAGTCTTTAAGATTATTAATCTTTCGACTTGGCAGGTAGCTCTTTGATAGGCACCAGGTGGGTAGGAACTTGCGGGAGCCAAATCACATTATTTGAAACGACTACGGCATAAAACTCATAGAAGAGTCTCAACAACCGCCTACCTAGTATGTCGTACGTGAGTAAACTTCTAACTTGGTCAGACCTATCGGATTCTGCAGATATTAAACTCCCCCGCTTCCCCGGGTAATTGACCGGGTGCCACACTCAAACCTAGGTGAGTAGTACCTATGTAGCCCCTTTACTCAACATCTCCAATAATTCCAACATAGAACTAACTCCATAGTTTAATATGAAAACAATGAAGTATCTCATAATAAGGAAAGTATCTATGCAACACCGTGGTCCTCAAGATTTCCAAACGTGAATAACACCATCTATTCGCTGATTCACGCCAAGCTGATGTTGCTTGATCTATCACCCCCCGACACGCTTATTAATTCGACCCTCTTCATAAGGCGTCTCACAAAGGATAGCAAAAAGACGGAAACTCTGCATTGCATTTCTCAACTGAATACCAGCCGATTCCACTTTGCGGCCGTCAGATCTGCTCATTTGTACCTCTCATCGGTGTCCATAGCAACTATCATGTTGCCCCACAGTATCACGCCGCCGGAAGCATGAATGCGGAAACCTGCGCCCCTCCTAGTATTCTGGTCAAAAGCTGGAGGTTTGGTATTCTCTGTCATGAGACCCAGAATAATTGGGACTTCTTCGAAGGCGCTGTAAGCTTTTAAGTTTATTGCATAACTGGTTACTGTCAAAGAATTGGTTGACATATGAACGCGAAACCTGCGTCGGTCACCAGTCTTTCTTCAAACTTGGTTATGAGCAGATGTTATTACATCATTAGTGCATGGTTCTGAAGCGCGTCGGGAATAATTCAAGACCGGAGTTCCAAGGGAATCGGAATTTTCATGATAACCTGATGTTACGAGAGCAGTTTTTCGCTCTTTGGACGATGATGGTTAGAATTCGAACCGTTTCACCTTACGGCGATATAGGTAGGTAACTTTTCCATTCGCTATAGTCAAATACTACATCCCATAAGGCCAGAAACTTGCCTAGAAATTTTCGAGAAACCTTTATGTTTACCTTTGAAATTCTATAGGATGTATCAGGTTAGGTAGAATTTTCTATGAATAGGGTCTTGTTACGCTAAATCTTAAGTATTCGCGTACCTATAAAGGGGATTCTAACAACTATGACCTACCTAAGCTCATCGGGATAGATATAGGTCGTGAATCACGAGAGTAGGTAGTTTATATTCATAAACCCTGTGATGAATACATCGAAAACTACCTAAGGAGTGATGCATACTGCGTATTCTTATGGAATTATAGAATAATTCAACCAAAAGCCACTTTTCATTGTCCCTACCTTAGTTCCAATACATGATTCCATCCCTTAAATTAAAGAAAATATGTAAGTGACTAAAGGCAGAAACATTACCGTGTTTTCATTTTATATAACATTCGCCCCCTTCCAAGGGTACCTATTGTTTTCTAAGAGCCGTATCTAGGACTATGATACAACAAAAAAAGATGACACTAGAAGGGAGAAACTTATCTCACCTAGGCACCTAGATACCTCATAGTTGATCTGGATAAAATCTCAGGGTCGCTCTTTTCCGATTAAAGAGGGAGAACTTTGTAGATTCTTGGGAGTAAGTAGGTAGGTAGCAGTAGATATCCTGGTTCTACATTTAGTTTGATATTTCACCTTATGCATGACATATCTATCAGTATCAACTTCACCCCCGGATTTATAACATAGCTTATTCTCGTACTCCCTATAAACATACCAAAACCCGTGCTTATTTCATGCCTCGTAACATATACCTCATTCGTATAGCATGCATTGGTACCAAGCAATATCCCGCCCATCCCGATTCGCTTTCACCTTGCCTCTGCGGTACATAGATGTGATACTACCTTGCTTACCAAAAAGTAGAGCAAACTAAGTCAGCACCCCTGAGGATTAACCTTATATTGACGTGGCGTGGCGCATCCGAGTACGGTCTGCGCCGTAGCTTTGCATAGTAGTTATCCCACTTATCTATATACCTCGTTGACCAAGTCGATTACATGTTTGATTATGCTGGGCCCGTTTATAGTGTTCGTCGTTTCCTTGGCCACTTGCAGATCTTCGCCTCGATCTCCTTTTCAATACCTTGCATGCTTACTATACTATCGTAAGGCCGATGAAATCCTTCCGAAACCGACACCAATACCAGTGGCAGCTGTATAGTTACCACTATGTGTTTCAACCATGATAGCTGACGTAAGGCCGATGGCGGTTTTCACACTGTAACAGGAGCCATGCATTCAATTAGCATATCATTTTCGAACGTAAACCTACTACAGACCCGTTTAATCATCTGACCTACGTACGTCAACCTCCACCTACCATAAGTAGGGAAATCTCTGATGATCCTGGATCTCGATGGACGGGACGGGACGATTGAGCCAGATTAGGTTGCCGTCCCGATTCCTTCTGTAGGGCAACATTTCGCCATGATATGATTGGTGGTTAGACCACACTTGATCGACGGTAAATCCCCCGCGAGGGTACCATTAGACAAGCAACTCAAAGATAGCGAAGTAATTCTAACCGAGTTAGATTATAGGGTCATCTTATGAATGAAGAAATCCACGTAAGACTCTTAATATCGTGATTATCGTCCTCACTTATAGCTACCTCCTAAGACGATATAACCCTTTCAACGTGTCGCTGATGTGCATATGGGACATTACTTTTCTTATGTAACCTTAATAGAGTTCTCGGTATATATGGTCTTTATATGGGGGGACCTAGTCTCGGCAGCTTCCGATCAATACTGGCGAATCCTAGCTGTATCCATAGCTCTAAGAACTATGGTAAGACATATAACGGAATACATCCTGCATTTTCAACCCCTGGATTACCTGATTAGGTACATCAGGACTTTATTCCAACTTCGCGTCACGGTGCAGCCTTTATGGTTGCTATAAGACTCCTATTGGTTCATTTCCGGGCTTTTGTTTCCCTGAAGCCTACTTTGTATGGTTTTCTAGAATCATGTGAAGCAAGTCGATGCCTTTCAAAACTGGGCACCATATTAACAGGACAAAGAAGGACATAGAAGATCGACATGTTCTAAACATCCGGGCTCCCAACTATCTGGTTATGCTTATTGGATTGTTGGGAACCTAAGGGTGAGTCCTTGTTTCACCTCGAGCCACCCTTTATCCTTATTATTCAGAACAGTTCGCCTCAACCGTCCCGAACGCCACAGGATATGAAAGCAATCCCTTTTCTACTAACGACATTCGGCTTGTAGCCTCTAATAGGTTAGTTTAGGGTCCTTTGACAGGAATGTCACATGGTGTCTTTCTTCTGCCACGAGTGCTGATGTTTCTTGGGATGGGAGAGTACCGTATAGTCGGGTCACCATAGACTACCTAGTAAGACTAATTACCCATTTCTAACGGGCAATAACCTATTAACTCATGATTATTACTTCTGCTGTGTCTATGCTATCAGGAGTAACTAACTGGTATATGCAAGTGAGCCTCATATTAGTCGCTATACCACTAGTTACCAGGTATCTACCTACATAAATATGGTTTCATATGCAATCAGTTTTAGCGACTACAACCTATCTGGATTCTGGCTTACCACCTTCCCTAGCTATGTAAATCATGACCTGGTTGGTCCTACTTTCCACACGCCATCCTAAACCCGTTGCTGGGATTTAATGCTGGGAAGATCTTGTGACTAAGATCTCGAACAAGGCCCCTAGGTAGATATGTGATGTAACCTGCAGAGCAATTCTGCACCACTTTATCAGTACCATACTAGCCTAGATTCAGACGAGAAGCATAATTAAGGGGATCACATAGCCTGGTCTCCTTGCCCATGGCTCGGTGTTACTCGGAATGTAGGGATAATAGGCTTCCGTGTCGTTGAAATGCACAACATCGACTGATTACGCGCAATCTCGCCCAAACACCTACATTTAAGAAGCCATTGACATCTTCAAATGCCATAGATAAGTGGATGTGACGTCGTAGTTCTAAGTTTCTGACACCAATGTCGGGTTCTAGGCCCTTATCTTGCGAAGATAGGAGAGTCAAGGAAAGTTTGTTTGGATCTCGCCTTCTCCGGTGTGCATAAGGGATAGGGCACATGCGAGAAACGGCGCTGTGCCTACCCGTCCAGTTAGGGTCAATCTAGGGTCAATGACTCCTTTCAAGTGAGTTTGTTGACTAAAGGTACCAAAAATTAAGGATACGAGGGAAGCAATGACCTCAAAGACTACGATCCTTGCCTGGGAAAAATAGTATGATTCACCTTTGTTTACAGCCACGTTCTTTTTGTCGATAATCTATATATATCCACTAAGTCCACCTGATCCCAACGGACAACTTGCTTCCTCGCCATTAGCATCCCACACAGCATCTTCTCTGGAATCTCTTACTACATTCGCCATGGGTAACCAAAGCAATCACCTTGCCAAAGTGGCCGAGGCATGGGACCTCCTACAGAAGCGCATTGATGCGGGCAGCTATGTCTTAAACGGCCAAGACCTCCACATCTCTGATGTTGTGGCTACGGCCCTGTATGTTGCAACTCGCAAGACCATCTAGAGACGTTCCTTGACTAATAAGACAATCAACAGCCATGGGTGCATTCCACAGATCACCGATGATCCGAAGGTTGTCAAGAGCATTCAGGACAGTGTGGATGTTCTATACCACTACCTTTCGAAGGGGTGGTATGTCTATGGTGTGTGAACCCGATCTTCGTCGTCTTGACAATCACTAACAAACCACTAGGCGTCAACACGGGATTTGGAGGAAGCGCGGACACGCGAACTGATCAAGTTGTAGCATTGCAATCGTCTTTGATGCAACTGACTCAGTCCGGGATCATCTCCCGCCACGCTGATGGATCGAAGCCAGGCCATTCTATGCCCGCAGAATGGGTCAAGGCGGCCATTGTAGTGAGGTGCAACAGTACCCTACGAGGTCACTCTGCCGTTTCGCTCCCAATTCTCAAGGCTATAACAGACCTGCTTGAGAATGACCTGACACCCGTTGTACCGTTACGCGGCTCTGTCTCGAGCTCCGGTGACTTGATGCCGCTTTCATACGTGGCCGGCAGCATAGAAGGAAACCCGGATGTTCTGATTGAAAAGAACGGCAAAGTCCTCCCAGCACCCCAGGCGTTGGCAGAGGCAGGACTACAGCCAGTGAAGCTTGGCCCCAAAGAGGGTCTCGGTTTGATTAACGGGACATCATCATCGGCAGCACTTGCTTCGATCGTGATCACCGAATCTCACCGCCTGGCGCTGCTTACACAAGCCCTCACCGGCATGGCCGTGGAGGCGCTTCACGGAAGCAGAGAAAGCTTCAACCCTTTCATTGCTAAGACCCGACCTCACCCGGGCCAGATTGAAGTCGCTAGAAATATCTACTATTTCATGCGTGACTCAGCCCTCGCACGAGACGTGCTTGAACCAAAGAACCGCCGCTCCGAAGACTTGGTTCAAGATCGATACTCCGTACGAAGTGCGCCGCAATGGATCGGTCCACAGATCGAGGACCTGCTTCTTGCGGACCAGCAGATCAGCATTGAACTCAACTCCTCGTGCGACAACCCACTTGTCGACGTAGAGACCAAGGACATTCATTACGGTTGCAATTTCCAGGCGGCAAGCATCACATCATCCATGGAGAAAGTACGGTTGTCGCTGCAGATGTTCGGCAGGATGCTCTTCTCGCAGCTTACCGAAATGGTCGACCCAAGTCTCAGCGGAGGCTTACCAGCCAACCTTGCCGCTGACGATCCCAGTCTCTCATTCACCTTCAAGGGAGTCGAGATCAACATGGCTTCTTACATGGCGGAGTTATCATACTATGCCGGTCCCATGAGTCCATTTATCCAGGCCGCCGAGATGCACAACCAATCTGTCAACTCGATGGCGTTGGCCTCGGCCCGCATGAGTGCTCACGCGACAGAAATTCTAACTATGATGACCGCAGCCCACTTATACGCCAGCTGCCAGGGGGTCGATCTTAGGGCTCTGCATATGCATTTCGTGAAGAAGGCTATTGAGACACTATCATCAGTCACCACACAGTGCTTCTCCGGAAGTCTAGCATCAGAGGAGCTGGAAACCTTCCAGAAGGCCATCGCAGCCCACGTATACCCTTCCTGGTCGTCTTCGAGCAAGAAGGACCTCGCGGACCGTTGCGAATCTCTCGTAAGCACAGCTGTGCCCATCGTTGTCAGCCACACAAAGGGTAGCGTCGAAGACGTCACTCAATGGAAAGAGCAAGCCATCGAGGCCGTTAAGGCTTTGTGGAAAAAGACCTTTGACGACTTCTGCGCCAAGCCCCACACTCCCACGGTCTTGGGTAAGGGATCAAAGGTCTTGTACCAGTATGTTCGTGAAGAACTTGGTGTACCGTTCCACCAGGGCTTTGTTGAACACCCCACCAATAAGGTTGATAGCTTCAACGGCCGACCGAAGAGAACGATCGGTGGCTGGATCTCCATTGTCCACGATGCGATCAAGGGAGGTTCTTTGTACGGCCCACTAATAGCGTTGGCTTCGGAAGGCCTGTTGAGCGAGACTAATGGCAACACCAACGGCTACACTAATGGTCATACCAATGGACAGGCGAACGGGTACACTAACGGGTACACGAACGGCGCGCATTGAACAATCTAAGGTGACTAACTCTTCGTTTTGTTGCGAAGCCCATCCCGTCACACATGCTACCTCCCCCCGTCCGAGAGTTGGCAAGGCATACACACGGTGTTGGTACTCTGAGAAGTAGAAGAAGAAAAAAAAGAAGAGAGACAATAAAAGTAGAGACTGCTTAAAACTGGCTCGGGATTTTGCTTCTAGGTACACGATGTATTATCGTCTATATAGCGTCTTTCCTTTTAGGTAGCTTGTCAGTTATTGCCAAGCGCCCCTGTAAGCTAGCGTTTAGACAATCGTTACACTGTCAGAATCCACCAAACATGTTGTTTTTCTCTTGACGGTGACTTGTGACTTGCGGATTCGGTTTGTGACACTCGGTAGGTAGATATGACTTCGATCCGTAGTTGACAGTGCTTCTTGAAACTTGCGGTTTGCTGCTTGGTCGTTAGGGCGGTCGTTTCCAGAAGCGCTAGACCAGCCGCGCTTTTCTCAATTGCTCATGGTTCAGTTTGTTGCCAAGCAGATATCTTGAAGCTTTTTGAATAGGAGAGTGCACGTGCAATGTTGATCAGGGTCCTAGGTCCCTCCTTTATCAAAGCTTATTAATCACTTATCAGGGAATTGCGGTTAAGCGCGGAAATCCAATTCCCTGTTAACCCCCTGACCCTTGCAGCGCCCAGACCAGCCAGGACTAGGACCCCTGACCCCGGACTCGTCTGCCAGACTTGCCAGAATACAAAAAACCTTGGATGCGGCATGGGGGCCAAGGTCACAATTTCTCACTTCTGTGGCTCGTCTTCGCACCTTCGATCTCTATCGATGAAACCAATGCGAAACCACGGAAATTCTGCCAAAAACCAAACGACAGGGTCCTGCATTCCTGCTGGGCGATTTCGAATTTCTATTTATGAAATTGCGGAGTAGCCGGAGGCGTTGCGAAGAGAGTGTTCCGTGGAGCGGGAGGCGTCATAATCGAACCATTCGGCTCATAGAGTAGTAGTGTTACTATTGTGCGTCCCGAAGACGTCAGGGCTGGGGGGTCTCGTGCCCTTCTCTTCTATGCGACTTCCACCCTACGCGGCTTGCAAGGTTAACCATAAACCTATCAGCGCCGAAGCAATCGAAGTTGTGTGAGAGGTGCGAATGGTGAGGGATCGACTACGTACGTGGAAATTCGAGTGTCATGAGAAACATCTACTATGCATACGTCTACAATGTACGTATGCACACATCTACGTACTTCCAATATGACTGGGCGGGGGATCTGCTCTCGACTCTTGGCGTACAGGGCGCAAGGAGTTCAAATCAGTAAACGACGAAGATAGAAATTTTTCCGCTCGCACAGAATCACACAGAATCACAGAACAAGCTTCGACTGGCGGGGTTAAGACATGTCTCAGGGAGGACCAATCGTGTCTTTTCAACACTCCCCTAGGTATGTGTAATCCTATCTACCGGTAGAGCACGTTCGTTCCCGGGTGTCTGGATCTGCATCACCGAAGCTCCTTATGAGAGGAAGTAGATCTCCCGAGCTTGCGAACGAGTATCCGTGAAGATGTGGCTTTTCAGAGTCATGCCATTACTGCATTGTTGTGGTTGAACAACATTAGCACATCAGCCCCCGTCACGCCGAAGAACGATGTCTGGCACTTCAAACCGCATGTTGACGTGGCATCGGTAGACATGACAATTATGTCCAATTAAACGTAGATGTTTTTAGCATTCCAAGCCGTGGTACCGACAAGGCTTGTAGGTATAGAAAACTGACAAGCAGCCACCCGAAGCGAAGGCTGGCTGCAAAAGCCAAAAAGAGGAAATGTGGCTGGCGACGTGCTGGGCCGATAGGTTACCAAACTTGATTTTCCCTCCTGCACATAAGGAGTATGTACGCCTAATCGAGATTCGATTTCGCGTATGAAAGACTATCGATCGTCAGGCGCCTGGTTGAGAAGGCCAATTCAAGATCGCCACATCATTTTATCATGTATAATGGCAGAACGTATTACTACTTCTGTATGACTTCCTGGGTACCTATATAGCTGCCTTTAATGCTTGTCGTATCACACCGCCAACTCACGCTCAAGTGTGTGTTTTAGCGAATCTCGGCTATGATTGGTCGGCTTGTAACTGAGATGGTGTTGAGGCAAATCTGGGATAGAAAAGTTGACGTGCGTTTTTTCCTATTCATATCATACATACATATGCTTATCATTTTATTAGTAGGTCCTCATCTTGCTCGTCGTCCTATTGTAGCCGCTACTGTTGAAATCTCATTTTTCGATAGCAAGGAATGGCTAGACTTGGTGGATACCTAATAGGGGTAGCTCAGGATAACCTACTAGAAGCTGTTCCTGCAGAAATATTCCGTATATTGATTTCCAACCTCCTGCATGATACATTATCAACACCCACTGCGGGTGCTACTGTATCGTACTAAGTATTATTTTGCCTATGATCATCTATTTCTAAGATCCGGTGAGACGCGGAAAGGAAACCGGCCATCACTAAATACCTAGGTCGGTATATACTAGGTATTAGGTATCAGACCTCAGCTATGGCCCAAATTCATGGTTTTCATCCACAACTGCACATATGCACATATCTACGTCCGAGCAACACACGGGCACTATCTAGATATGGGGATGCAAAGTCGAGTTAGTCATGTAACCGTTTTAGTGAACCCTGGGAATCCATCTGCTGAATCCGTTCGCGAAGAAATATGTGCCCGATTTGGAATCTGCAATCACCCTTGAAGGAAACCTGGGGTAGCCAAAACGGGAACATCGAAATGGAAGCTTGGATTCCCGGATGCTCTGAGGGTTTTGCGATACGGGCTGTCCAACTGTCCAACCACTCTGATTGGAATGCACCAAATAACCCAAGGGTTCGCCGCAGGGATCCTGGCGTGAAAGTTTAATTACAGTCTAATCTGGGGTGTAGAGGAGTCTTAGCGGCCTTACATTTAATAAGCATCCATCGTGGCTGAAGGTAGAAGGAGAAGACGATTAACCACAACAGCGTATGGTAAAGCCGTTTATGGTCAAAGTGCTTACATTCTGTAGTATTAATAGACATTCTACGCAATGCTTGATTATCTATTGCATGATATATTAATTGCTATGAGATTCTGACAGCAGATTTATCACATATTTTCATCTTCAGCGCACGTGGTTGTAGAAAAAGTAATATCTACACTAATCTATGCTACCGACCTGGGTAGTACCTGGTGTTGTATCCATTTCAACTGCACTCACTTTGCTAAATGCGCAGTAGCTCCCACGCTCTCCCTTGAATATCAGCCCGTTTTAGGTATGTGGGGGCCACATCTTACAAGGTTTGTTCGTTAACCGTTGGCTGCTAGTGCGTGCTACCAAATTGCTCACAGGAAGGTACTCCAGTGAAGCGGGGATTTACTTCTTAGATGCAGGCACTGCAGGTACCATACTGCGGTAAACTCGACATCTGCTCACTGTCGAATGTAGAATAAGTACATCAAATACCTTACCTTGTAAAGAGCAAGGCTCATTCGGAAAATGCAACCATCTCATCTCTCTTGGCCAATCTGTAACCTTCTTTTTTATCTTTATTTTTTTCTTCTGTAGACTAAATTCTGGCCTTAGCCCCTTATCCTAAGATGAACGTTCATCTAATCTTTTCTTTGTTTGGTCTTGGGTTTTTAAGATATTCTGTTTGATTCAGTCTTGGAAATATACAAATATTTCTAACACTGCAAACCGGCATTTCTCTTGTTTTTAGAGAGCTGATAGCCTAGAACAGCCCTTGCAGCAAGCAGGCCATCAAGCAAGTATCCGCACGCGCTTAGCTGTCTCGATCCTTTTGCCCTCGAACCCTGTCAGGCTATATGCGGCGTCAATCAGGGTCAACCAGGCGTCTCGAATGAGAAGCTCCGACCTCGACAAGAGTTCGTACGCCGATTGGCTTTCGGCTGCCCCTTGGACAACGACATACTACATACAGCAGACCCTCTTCCACTGCATTGTGGACCATGTCACATCTATCGCTTCAGTGTAGCGAAAGTCCATCAGACAGTCAAGCTCTAGAAGATAGTCCGACAATTGGTAGGGCCGTCGTGAATTATCCTCCTGCTGACACCAATTTGTCTTCTTTCCCTCCTGTACCATTGAACACCTCAAAGTGAGTGAGACATAGTTCCCATATTTTTTCTTGGTTCTCAGGTCTCTTCCCTACCTAAAACACCATTTATCATCATATCCCATCATTACAACAGCCAATTGTCATTTACCCAAGTACATCTGGGTAGTTTCTGTTAGTGTAGGTATGCAATGGGATGTTGGGTGGAGACGGTTTTTCTTCTTTTTCCCTTCTGTCGGCCTATTACGAAACTCCTAGGCCTTCTTCACGTCTAGAAAACTCCCTGCGACCTATGATGCATGTCTTGATACTGGCGCTGACCTGAAATCCCCACTCTTCCCATTAGACAACGAAAACCAATTCCTAGCCCTTTACAAACGAGTACGGCCGTGTCTCCGCCTTCCAGCGCAAGCCCATCCCAAGCGAAATTCCCCGAACCCGTACATGCCTCGTTCTCAGCCGCTTCGTTCACTCAGGTCCCATCACGACAACCACTGCGACGCTCTCCTGTAGACGACAGGGCGAATCATTCCTATCTTCCAGGGAACTCCTATCGCAAAGGGGATATTTCTCCAGTTTCACCTTTATCTTCTAACTACGGGTTAGTCCTATTTTGCTGACTCTTTCAACCTTCTTTTTTTCCTCTTCTTCAACGACTTTTGCCCGCCTCTTCAAACGATTTTTGAATAAGCCTAACAAGACGCGCTTGCGCTTTTAGAGCGAGACTCTTATTTTCTCCTTCGAATGACACTAGAAGTGTTTCCGACTCAGCAGCAACTACAAGGTCGCCTGTAGGCTCTGCCGGTGCGAGTCTGCCCAACATGGCTGGCAACCCGGCATCCTCGAAGCCCGATACTCCTCCTTCAGGCGCGCCTCGAACATCATCCATCGATTCCGCTATATCCGCCATCTCGCGAACTCATTCCCATCAAGGCTCGCAAGATGCTCAGTCTGGAACTGCAGATATTTCTAATCTGGTTAAGGCAGCAGGTAGTCCAGAGGCTGTCATACAATATCTTCTGAAAGAGAAGCAGTCCCAATCTCAGCAGAATTCCCAGTTATGGAGACTGGTTGATAAACAGAGGGCCATGATCTTGGGCCTAAATAAGGATCTCGAGCGCGCCTTGAAAGATAAAGAGAAGTACAGGAAGAAATTAAAAGATGTAATGGCTGCGCATGAAGAGCAGATTAAAGTCGACCTTGCACAGTCAAGTGCATCGAGTATTCCCAAGGTTAATGTAAACGTACCCGAGGAACAGGAGGTTGAGGTACCAGCGTCGCCATCAAATCTCGATTCGGACAGTGTCAAGCACTCGCCTATCGATGTTTCCATGGCTCCCTATCCCATCACACCCCCGGCTGATCAAATTACCAATGGGCTGCCGTCGGCGGTTGGTGAACTCTTAGATCCATCACATGCGATGCCAAAGGCGTCTGAGCATGCGTTGGACCATTTTGACCGTGAAGAGGAAGATCGTGCTGCTGAGGAAGCTAAAAAGGCATCTGATGCGTCGAGGGACCCGGGACTACCGATCAATCTCTCGCTACCACCATCTCGAAGCCTCCCAAGCGAACCACCACGGGTGCCACCTCCCAAACGACCCGCTGACCCACCACCAGCAGTGTCAGTAATCGAAGCCACGCCTTTGGTTGATCAAGGCATCTCTCAATTTCCACCACCATCTGCTCCGCCGCCGCGCAAGCCGCCTCCCGCCCCATTACAATTAAAAAAGGAGTCGAAGGTCCCTGCTGTAACTCCCCCGAAAGACGAAGAGGATTCCGACTCGGATTATGATTCGTTGTTGGAGGTGGATGAACTGCCGATCATTGAGAAACGTGGTCGGAGAAGAACGAGAGAGGAAGACGACCGAGAAAGAGAAATTCTTGCTGAGAAGGAGGCCGAGGTTCGAAGTTTGTCCAAGAAGAGCAAAAAGGGAAGCCAAAAACCTACTGCCAAAGAACCCGAGCCTCAGTATGGTATTCCAGCGAGTCCCCGAATGGCCGGCATGCAACCTATGCTAGCACCTGACAATATGCACGCCTCGCTGGCCGGTGTCCTGAGTGGCAACGAGATCCGACAGACTATGGTTCCCGCGTCTTTGATGACCCCCGGACTTCCCGCCAGCCCGAGGCCAATGCCTCCAAAATCGCCTATGAACTCGCCGCCGATGTCTCCCCGTTCCCTGGGGATTGGGTTGCCACTATCGCCACGAGCTCCCAGACAGCCAATCCCTATGCCTCCTAACATGTCTAGTCCGCCTGTTGCTCAACCTTCAAGTCAGTCGCAACCGAGTCCCCCCGCGAATCGAGATAGTCCTGTCGAAAAAGCGAAGATCTATAAAGGATTTGTTACGGAGGAATATCCTGACCTTTTACTGCCGCCGAATGCCTTACCGTCTATCGAAGTCAGGGTTGCGTCATCTCGAATGAAGCCGTCGAGGGCAAGTCTCCTATCACTGACCCAGTTGGAGGAAGATCCTGTTTTTACTCTAGCAATTTTCTCGCGATCAGAACGAGTCGAGTTGTGGCGTGTGGAGAAAGATACTACCTCCCTCTCTAAGCTTGATCAAAAGATGAAGCAATGTTCGTCTTTCACTGCCAAGACGCCGGATAGGTCTTTGTTCAGTGGACATTCGCCCGCCAAACTTGATGCCCGCCGTACTGTTCTAGACCAATATCTTGACGAGCTCCTCAATAGTCCTCTAGACACCACGACTGCCTTGGAACTTTGCAAATACCTGTCAACCAACACACTCCGACCTAGCATCGATGACTCTTCATCGCCTCAAGACTCAAGTAACGAAGGCGCAACCCAAAAGAAAGGACCTGGAGGTAGGCCATTCAAGAATGGATATTTGACAAAAAGAGGCAAGAATTTTGGTGGATGGAAAGCTCGATTCTTCGTTCTCGATGGACCCCATTTGAAGTACTATGAGGCACCCGGTGGCGCACATCTGGGGACCATCAAGCTTCAGAATGCGCAAATCGGGAAGCAGTCACAGCCCCAAACTAATGACGGATCACCCGCAAGCGGCCCGAACGGAGACGAGTTGGATAACCAGTACCGCCATGCGTTTCTGGTCCTTGAACCGAAAAAGAAGGATTCTAGTAGTCACGTGAAGCACGTTCTCTGTGCCGAAAGCGATTTGGAACGTGACCAATGGGTAGAGGCTCTACTTCGCTGGATCGACTTTAAAGATAAGGATGATGAGGAAGCGCATTCATCTGCTGGCCACGATCGAAGCCACGGTGGAAGCAACACTCATTCTAACGCAAACACGAAGAAAAAGGGACACGGGCACGTGAAGAATCAAGGACAGAAAGGTGGTAGTCAAGATGGTTTAATCGGGATGAGTTACAACTCAGCAAAACAGGGCGACATTCCAGACGGCGCTCCTCCCCGACGCAAAACTGGCACACCTGATCTTCAAGATAGAACGCACGGCCCGACTTACAACATCTCTGCCCCTAAAGATCCGCAGTTGATTCCCGATTCAGCATCGTGGGGTAATAAGATGGGTTTGGCCCCTCCTGGTCCTACAATAGAAGAGAAGAAGCAGAGAAAGCGTAGTTTCTTTGGATTTGGTCCGAAGACCCGATCTTCTAGCGATGATCAGGACCCCCTATATGGTTCTAACGGTGGCGGTATTCAGGGTTCAAATGAACCTCGAGGACCTATTCGACAAGTGTTTGGAGCGCCTCTCGCCGAAGCTGTGAGATTCAATGGGCCGTTTGATGTTAACGTGCCTCTTCCCGCAGTGGTATTTCGCTGTATCCAATATCTCGATGCGAAGAACGCGATTTTGGAAGAAGGTATCTTCCGACTTAGTGGTTCTAACGTGGTGATCAAACAGCTTCGCGAGCGCTTCAATACCGAAGGAGACGTTAATCTCGTGACCGATGAAACTTACTATGATATCCACGCGGTTGCTTCCTTATTGAAGCTCTACCTTCGAGAGCTTCCCACTACCATTCTCACTAGAGATCTCCACATGAGTTTTGTCGCTGCAGCAGAGATGGACAATCAGCGGGAGAAGATCGCATCTTTGGCAGAACTCGTGCAGAAACTGCCGTTAGCCAATGAGACGTTGCTAAAATACCTCATTGCTTTCCTCATAAAGATCATCAACCACGCGAATATGAACAAGATGACCGTGCGTAATGTCGGTATTGTCTTCTCGCCAACGCTGAACATTCCGGCTCCGGTATTCGCATTGTTATTGCAGAACTATGAGGGTATCTTCGGATTAGACCCAGAGGAGTATGAGCTCCCATCTCCAGACACGGATGCCGATTCACGTCCACCACTGGAGGCTCAACCACGTCGACCATCTACGGCAACAGATTCGCCCCAAAGGCAACGGCTCATGGAACAGATGCAACAGCGGTCATCGCCCACCCCACCGCCTGGTGTCACAGGCGGTCTACGTCCGACCGCAACACCTCCGCCTCGCCAGACTTCGTATGAGCCGCATTATCTAGCTCAAGCGGGATCGCAATCTTCTCTTCGCCCAGCGTATGAGGGTGGCTTTGCCGTACCACCAGGCTATGAATCAGGCGCGAGACAACCCAATTATGATCGCCCACTTTACGGAAACGCATACGAGCAGGATTTTAACGAAAACAATCTATCTGCATATGATCAATCCTATAATAAGAACAAGAGAAGAGAGAGCTCAATGTTTATGGGAAACATGATGCTTAATCAGCAGGGCTCCAAGAGCCGCTTAAGGGAAGAAACAAGAATGTGATCACGTCTAACGTTGTGATTCGGCGCGACCTTGGTCGCATGGTCACTATGAATGGCTACGCCTTATTTAAACCACGATGTATTACTGTTTCGGGGCCGGTGCGAATACCACCATCTCGTTGATTTTTTTTCGTTTGAATCCTCGCACATACGAATGATTTCGTTCTTGCCATGCGTTTGGCAACCAGAATCAGGACTGGACAATACCCACTCTACTTCACGCCTCATTGACTTAGATCGAGCATCATTTCATAAATACCGCCGCTACGGACTGGGGCCCTAGCAAACCTAATAGTCTAATGATAGTTTTTCTAGACGAAGATTCTGGAACGCGGTATTACAGCACGGGACAGACTTGGGAGTAGAGGAAGATATCATTCAGTTACCCCGAAATGTGGTGCCGATTTTTTTTCGGCCGAATTGGCGCTACAGTTATGATTTCAGGAGGCCTATTATCGATTTCTACGTAAAATATTCACCGGGTGGAATTTCTTGAATGACGCGACGGCAAAATGTTGTGGCGTTGGCGGCTATGGTGGCAAATGATCACCAAATTTACGTAGCACTTAGCAAATGAAAATAATTAAAAATCCACGTTTTCTCGGAAGCTCGTGTTGATATTGTGTTGTGATTCGAACGTTCGTGGTCATGGGTGAGAAGAGTCCGCGCGCATAAGGGGCTCCGCGTACCCCTTGGGCTTGGCATTGGGCATAATACGCCGTCACCCAATGGTAAGTAACCCCCTCTTAATAATCAACTTAACGTCAAAGGCAGGGTTATACTCGGCTTAACTAGGACATCGAATAAACTACCTACTTGGCTTTATTGGCAAAGCCTTCTATAGATCGCTAGAGTTGCGGTAGGCGGTTAAAGGTCACGGACTTCGTTCGTTTTGGCTTCGTAAACGTGGTACGTAAGTACTTTCTTGGCTATTGGTAATCTAGGCAAAGACCATCTTCAGATATCTACCCTTTGAACTTAGGAGAGATTTTTTAGAAGATACGCGTAGGCACTCGGTATAGGTTGGCTATCTGCGGGTTTGCCTTTTACTTCGGATGTGCTGGATGAGCGACGGAGAGGAATACACATTGTGTGAATATCAGATAGGGGCTTAAGACTCGAAATTCGGGTTACAAGAAGCGGTTAGCTAGGACAACAGCAAAGCACAAGTCAGAAATAGCAAGATTGGAAATGTAAGAAATTAGGTGTTGTTGCCAGTGAATGTAGATCAGTAGGTACCTACCTAGCCACTGATCTGCTCAACAGAAACTTAGGTAGACTGCAAAATTAGGTATAAGAGAATACTTACCTAGGTAGAAACGACTGGTTAGAGCAGCAATTGCCCAAGTCAACTATTTCGAAGTACTATTCTGTAGTCATTTTAATTCTAAATTCTAATAGTTTAATATGTTCGGTATTCTCCGTACTTTGTTTTTTCCCAATTCAAAGCTAGCAGCTCCCAAATCCTCTTTCTTCTCCATCCGACGATGCCGTCGGGGTCCCCAATCTTGACCAATGATATGGTACCACCTCCCACCGCGTGCTTGGAGGTGATCTGCGGTCCAAGTAGATCACGGGGTATATCGTCGACACCGGCCACAACTCATGTCACTCTTTCATTGGATGGCCCGCGTCGGGACCGGTCCAACTCCCAGTCCCTTCGGACCAGGATTCGGCGGACACAAATCGACGTTTCCATTGCCAAGGGAAGTTTCGCCCAAACGGGCTCGTTTCCCTCGAAGATCATGTGAAACCCTCCTTCGTCCGGACGAAAAGAACGAAAATAGAAAACGGCAATTTCCCCCGGTTTAGGTTAGCAAACTTTCATCTTTTTTTCCCTTCTTTGTCCCTTATCCCTTCACAGCCGGACAACCGAGCCAGCCTCCACTTGTCCTGGACGGAAGCCGGGTTAGCTGCCGGCTTCTGCTTTCGGTGATGCGCGTGAGGTAGAGATGAGTCTAGACTCGTGGAACCCCCACGGGGATCCTCTCCCGGCGGGCATGTGCGGTTCTTTAGGGGTTCGGTAGGGTTCGGTAGGCGCTAAGGTTACCAGAAATGCAATGCAGTGCAGTAGTATACGTTCATGCATGGCAATCTGATGGCCAACGACGCCAGACCCTGAGGCCAAGGGTCTTGAACGCCTACGTAGGGTTGTGGGGCTGATGTGTAGGTATCTTGGCATCATTTCCATTTTCAAGGCAACCTTCTTACCATTGCGTTTACCATATACCTTTCCATATGGTAGAGCAGTATGTATTGATTTCGGATGTACTTCCCTAACAATGGGCACTGAATCGTCTCATATGTATATCTTGTCATTGTAAAGGATTTCTAGAAGTTATGTAGTAAGTTATCTTACCCTAAAGGATCACAAGGCTTGAGGTGTCATCTGGGAGCTACTTGTAAGCTATTCTTGGTTCAGTAAAGCTTTCCCATGTCTACCACCCTAGAAAACCCTATTGAGAGCTCTAGATCTTAGACAACGCAAGCTAGGGTGACGGTTCAGATCAAAACACCTTACCTATTAAAAGTCATATTATTACTAGAGCTCTGTTTTTCAGCCGCTAGTGGTAGCTCCGAAACAGACATCATCCGATTCCAGATTTGCTATAGAAGAGAGGAGGTCGAAGCTTGTATGGAAGATACCCAGGATGAAGGAGTAACCATTAATCAGGTCAGTTAACCGTTGAAGCTAGATCCTTAGAACAAGTATTAGGACGAAGTGTAATAAACCCCACATGAATGAACCGTCGCCGATGCCCACCATTTCAGAAAATAAGGCTACGGCCATGATATTACTGCGAGTCTAGACTTACCCAGAACTAAATTTAGCAGCTTTTTCTACAGCTTCGATCCCTGCTCAGGGCCCAAGCTCTTTGCATCCCCAAGATATCTCGAAGAACATCTCCCGTATCATGCCTAGGTAGATATTCCAATCTTCTGCTAGGGAGTTTCACAACAATGGAGTACCAAGCTGTAAAGACTAAGAATTGTCCTAGCAAAAGTACATCCCACACCCATATCTCAAGTCTCTGATGTCTAAATGCGGCCGTATATTGTCTTACTAGATACGCTTTTGTCTAATGATCTCTTCAGGTCCGGATGTAGACCTCGGTACATATTAATACGCTCGAGCTGCTAACGAGTCAAAGCTTGACCCCTATTACCTAACGCCAATGGTGATCCATGTGAGAAACAGTACTACTAGCGCGATATCAATAGCGCCGATGGGAATCGAACCTACATATGGTGTATTCATTGTGGATCACGATTGCTAGCCAACTTCAATGATGCGAGTCATAGAGACCCCAATATTTACGGGCCCTAACAGGATTCAGGGGCCTACTTCTCAACTTTAATTCATCGTTATCGTTTTGCGATGAGGCATCGATACCCTAATAAAATTCGAATTCTGGTCTGCTGGTGGTTAGATCAGCCTTGTTGAATCAGACCAGGTCGAATGAGGTCTTTGTTGGGGCGCGTCTCCTAATCGTTTCTGTATTGAAGCGACCAATAAATAGAGGCGGTTAGATTACCTTCGACGGAGAGAGTAACGATATATCGGCGGAATGCGGCTACATGTCAACAACGGTTTAAACCTTCCACCGACCCAACAGGCCCGGAGGAATCCTAGCGTTAAGTCAATTCCCTGGGCTGCATGTTCTCTGCTACCCCGTTCGCCCAAAAAAGTCTTCGTATATGTATCTAGCCCTGCAAAGCCACAGTCCAAACACCACCTCGGATATAAATCCGAGCCAATCACTTGAGTGGACCGTGCCTTATATTGTTTGGAACAGAGAGTCTATGTAGTATAGAAACCTCAGAAGACCTCAACATTTTGTCAAAATTCAGAGGCAAGGACATATAGCATAAAGGGATACCGTATATTAACACCTATGCTGTTGAGTCGTTTTTTAAAGAGAAACTTATAGGATACTTATAGTAATATCTAGGTTGTATCCAACATGTCTTAATGCACGTAGCGTATACTCTAATGAGAAACTAGACTGCCAAAATGCACAGCCCGTCTGCGGGGAATCTTGGGATCCATGGATGTCAGATGCTTGGGGGGCGACTTTGTTACGTGATTGGAGACTCGGCCTGTCAAACTACGCCAGGCGGGGGACTAAAATCGAAAAATCTAGAAAAGTTGGCATAGTTCGCGGCATGAACGGTGAGACTCGAGTAAGCCGGAGAGCGCGTCGAAGGTGTTGGAATAAGGGATGTGGGGTGACTACCGAGGAGGAGCAGCATTCATTATTGCCTAACTTGGACTACTGTCCTTTCACCACGCAGAAATCATTCATCTCATGACTGAATGACTGCTATAAGTTTTCGCCAGGGGCAAATTCAACTCTAAAAGGGTTCAAGTATCTAATATGTAGGTAGGTAAATACCTAACACCTATATGTAAGTCCACCCAATTCTCTCCGGTTTCTCCTTGTATACTCCTTATGCTCCTGTACTTTTCTTTGCCACGCCATGGCTTACAACTAACATATCGTACAGTGCTACTTATCCAGGTATCGTAGATATCCCGCTCTGCAAGCCTCTGGCGCAAGCCACTGTATCACGCGGCTCGCCAGTTCGCTGGGAACTTTGACTAGGTATGAATTGTTTTATCCATTCATATTCCATCCGGCGTCGGGTCCGACTCGGCTCCATATTCCGTGCGGTACATGCATACAGCCATAGGCAATTCTGGTAGCGCATTTGGGTACTTCCATGTGGCCTGTAGTCTGTGATAGGGCAGTACAGACTGAACCCCGGCAGGTTTATCGTGATAGAGCACGCCTTTTTGAGATCTAGACAAGTATTGTTTTTTATAGAAAATTAGCAGGCCATTTAATCGCTATCATGGATCCCCCGAAGCAAAACAAACATCTGATGCCGACCAAAACCGATATGGAAATACCGTCTCCTCCCCTAAACACATCTAACTTCTTATTCATACCATGTGCCTACTTACCTAATTCCCAGATCGAAGGACTAGGCCCAGTATAATAAAGTTTTATGGAGGGGATTTAGACGCGATTCATCGATATTCGCTTCGCTTGGAGAGTAAGGCTCAAGACCAACTCTGCTCGACAACGCAACAAGACGCACAAATTTATCCCCATTTTATCCCATCGATCTTCGGCAGACTCATAACTACTGCTTGATACCTATCCTATGAAAATAATCAGCTTATGATCTACCAATCCCAGACCCGACATACTGCTACTGAACGGGCGCGTTCTCTATAACCTATAGGACCTCGTAAGCATGAATGCAACCGTCGGAATCACCCAGAAACAGTTCGACGACTGGCAAGATGACGTCTCTCCATGGGCGCCGACGATGTTCACCTCTCCCTTCGGGGAAAATATGCAACCAGTGCCCGACCCGCACTTCTGGGGAAGCCCTGGGAATAGCTCGGAGGAGTACTGCAGGACCAATTCGCAATCGACCGGCGATGATCTAAGACACAGCTTCGATGCCGCCGACAACGTAAGCCTCCTATTTTCCTTCACAGCTCGGTTTCCAAACATCCCCTTTCCATAGGTAAATGATCGACCGCCGGTCACATCGTCCGTTACATACATTATTTTTTTTTTTTTTAAATTTTTTTTTCCCCAAGCCGCTAACAGCCGACCTAGTTCGAGACCGGGTACACGATCAACGCCGTGACGAGGCCGCCGGCGGGTTCCGATCACGACGCGCTCGGCTACGACTACCACCACCGTCACTCCGTCGCGCAGATGACGGGGCTGTCGGACCCTCGCCAAGCCATCGACCCCTTCGCGCCTCGCGGGCGACACCACAGCGTCGGCGACGGGGGCGTACAGAACTTCGGGGCGGGGGCGGCGGACGACGAGGGCCTCTTCGACGACAGCCTCACGTCGTCGACGGTGGCCAGCCCGTCGGCGCTGCGCTCGCCGGCGGGGTCCTGGGACTGGACCGGGGCCACGACCAGCCCGACCACAAACCCTACCACGAACGCGACGGGAGAAGCGGGAGCGGGGGAGAGGTCGACGACGACGACGCGGGCGGCAGGGGCGCCGCCGACGAAGAGCCGGCGCAACCGGGAGCGGAACCGGGTGGCGGCGCACAAGTGCCGGCAGAAGGCGAAGCAGAGCATGACGGACCTGCAGGCGCGGGAGCGCGAGCTCAGCCGGCAGAACCGGATGCTGCAGGAGCACGCGGGCAGCCTGCGCGACGAGATTCTGGATTTGAAGAACGAGATCTTGAGGCACAGCGAGTGCAATAGTGATATCATACAGAATTACATCGCGCGCGCGGCGAGGGATGTGAATTGATGGGCTTCCATGTCTGGGATCAAAGGAAGGGGGGGGAAGGGGATGAGATTAGGAAAAAGGGGGAGGGAAGTACGCAAGTATCCGAGGGAGGGAGTAGAAAAGGAGGGAAAGGGCTGGGATGGTAAGAGAAAAGTGATGAAAAGGAAAGGAATTTTTGGGAACAGGGAACAGCTCGACGAATTTAATGATCGATAATGTTTGAATGATATCAATGAATGGGCAGCAGGGTCAACGGGTCAACGGGTCAACAAACAAAAATAGTGTAATAAATAGGTGGTAGGGCAGTACGTCAAGTTCGTATATTTTTGGGGTTTCCTTCCTGTATCAGACCGATATTCTTGCCCAATGCTAATGGGAATATTGACCAGTTCTTGATTTTCTGCCTTCCCATTTCCTTCAGGTGTATGTATGTGGTGGAGATATAAAATAAACATGTTTTGAATTTACCTCTTTCCCCTTCGGACCCCCGAGGAGAGTATCCCTTTTTTTTAAAAAAAGCCATCGGGACCCTACCTACCAACCCAAGGTTGAACACAGAAATGTTACATCAGTCTGGGTTTTGACGCTCCTAGACTAATGAACAGCCAGGTCCGGAGTGTATATGCTGCCGCAAAGGTCTCGTGAGTACCATCTTTAGTGAAGACGTAATAATATTCTAGTGATGACGCTTATATAAGCGAGAGGGTCGATATTTAGGTACGATAAGTGACCTAGACATTGACGAACTCTACCGTCAGACACCTTCATCTACTTATATATTCGTGCTATCCGGGGCGAGAAGTAATATGCGGTCAGACGCGACTGGGCATCGACGCACATGCTGTACGCGACCTTGTCACTCCATCGTCAGAATATACCCACCCTCCACGTGCGGCTGCAGTCATCAGTCCCATGGGAGCTTATACAGATCCATGGATGCACACACACCGGTAGAAGTGGGTTCCATGGCCACACAATTAATGGGTTAGGGGATCCGGCTATAGCGACGGCTCGTCATCCGTCCTCATCCTCACATTGGGAAGTTTTCGCCCACTTTTTCCAATCGACCTTTTCTTCTAACGACTGTCAGTGAGGGAATGATAACGGCGATGCGCGTATGAATGAGGAGTCCGGAAGGAAGCAGCAGCTTTGGGTTATACCCCTTTCCCATACCATCCTCTAAACAACCGGTCAACAATTCACATCCAGGAGACCACGGAGCTTACTCCGAAAGCACTCAGAAGCTATCTACATCTTACGATATTTACATCTTTATAAGAAATGGTGACGTCACTATTACTTCGTTTGAGGTCTTCTGGGCGGCCGATTGCTTGATTTGTAAAGGAGATTGACATGGATGTACCATCACGAAGGCTGTTGGATCCCGTTTTCATCCCAAGGCCCTCTCGTAAATGCGAGACATGGTTCCAATTATCCGCATTTCGAATCCTCGCTATATAAAGAACCTCGCATAATCTAGCCCGGTCGTGTGTCGCCATACTCCCTCCTTCAAACGGATCCGGACCCATAATTTACGGGTATCTGCACCGGTGATCCTATCTATACGCAACGATCATTTACTTTCCAAGAAAAACGGAGATGTCGAGATCTCGATATTCCAATATTGGCATAGCCGACCCGCGCGGATGCGTCTTCCAAAACCGGAATCCGTCCTCGAATCCAGATGTCGCGAGCCCGCTGATCGCCATCCGGTACGCCGTTCCGGGTCCCCGGATCGTGGGAACGCTAAATTGGTCCGTAGCATCGGCCTCTTGGTGCATCACCGCGCATAATTAAGGCAATCTATGACATATAAAGAACAAATTGAAGAACACCTCGGCTAGTTTACGTCAATATACCTCATTAATTTCTATGTTTCAACGTACCAAAGCTATTGCGCAGATACCATGCTGAAAATAACCACACATATGTCTTCGTTGAGCATGTCGTCAATTAGCATCATGGTGCGTTTTCCCCATCTCCCTCAGCTTCTTTCCCCAGAACCACAGAATCATCGGTACAGGCAGGCCAAGTGCCACGAAGATAAACGCTAGGACACTATTGCCCCAGCCATACCCTAAGCGGTCGTACAATTGAGGGGCGAAGATCGGAAACGCGAAACCCATGACGTTAGACAGGAGTCGCGTGGCGGCATAGGCCGAGGCACCGGCGTCGCCAAATACGTCGAGCGTATAAGCCAGCACGCTCTGCGATAATATGGAGCTTCCGATAGCGAAAATTACGGCACCGATATCAACCATGATCCAAGTAATATGGTGTTCGGCCGACCATCCGTACCAGAACAGGCCCGCGGGGACGAAGAGCACGCCCGGGATCATGTACGGGGCCCGGAACTCCGGTCGGCCTTCCCCCTTGTACTTCGGTCGATCCCGTAGGCGCTTATAGATAATGTCCATTATCCGGCCTCCGCCTTGCGCTGTGAGGCAGAAGCCGATGGAGATCGATAAATAATGCAGACTGCTTATGAGAGACGATTCCTTATACTGCTCGATCCAGAGCGTCGCGAAAGTCGAGAGCATCAGAGTGTAGATTCCGAAATTCAAACCCAGGACAAGAGATACGACCTGAATTATCGGGCGTCGGACGAGTAGCCGAACAGGTCTTTGAAGATAGGTCATTAACCGGGAGAAAAAATCTTGCCAGAAGGCCCACTTCGCCGGTGATAGAGCTGGATTGCCAGATTGGTCCGATTGTGCGGCTGCTTTACGGCGTAGTAAAACTGGGGTGTACGACTCTTTGATGATCATTGCGCCTATAACGACTATGAGCGCGTCGAAGATGCTTATGATCCAAAAGAGCCAGGGCCAGTAGACATATTGCACGACGACCCCGCCGATGATAGGTCCCAGCGCAGGTCCGAGGTACGGCAGAAAGGAGGCGATGGCCAGAGACTTGCCGCGGTCTTTCGCGTGATACATATCCGCCATGACCGGGCCCGTAAGCTAGAAATAGCGGTAAGATATCAACACATCTCCAATCCAGGTTGGGGAACACGGAATACATACTATCACACCAGCGGCCGCCCCCGTCGCAGCGAAAAACCTGCCGATAATCATCAAGGCCTGCGACTTGCCCACCGGGCAGAGCGAATTCCACAGGATATACCAGATATTGCTCGCGATCCAGACGTTCCTCCGGCCGTCCATCTCGCCGAGCGCGGCGACGAAGAACGGGCCGATCCCCAGGCCCAGGAAGTAGATGGAGAGCGTGATCTGCGTGGCCGACGCCCCGATGCCCAGGTCGTGCGATATGTTGTCGAGGGCGGCGGCCATGATGCTGGCGGACATCAGCGTCACGAGCTGGCCGATGGAGAAGATGATCCCCATCGAGACCTTGCGCCACTCGGCCCAGTTGTACGGGTCGTTGGGGTCGTCCGGCCCGTCCCATGTCGCGCCGTACAGCTCGTGGAGTCTGGCGAGGCGCTTTTCCGCTTCGGCGTCTTGACTTCTAGCTTGCTCTTCTGGCTCTTCGAGATTCTCTGCGGATAATTGTGGGGGAGCCGTTTCTGTCGCCGGCTCGGCCATTACGCCGCCGCCTTCCTTCTTCTCAGCCATGTCGTCAATTATGAACCTCCGCTGAATGGTAACTCATCGACCTCCGGGCAGTGACTTAGAAGCAGAAATCTGCGAAAGGTATGCTCACGATAGACATACTCATAAGTCTATCTAGTTGAGGAGCTCGCTCCATTTTGTAAAGATAGATGCGCGTCCTCCATGCTAGTATCGTATAATTCTGCCGACGACTCTTAAATCCCGGCTACTTACGTAGATATTGTCCTAGGAGTTCCAACCCTTAAGATTTCGTCTCCGCAAACGGGGCCAGGGCTCGCTTCAACGGGATAACATAATAGGCCGTTATACGCTGGACGGTCCACTCTAGGGGTAACATTATACGGCTTATTTCCACGCGAGAAGCCGAGCACGGTTGTGTAGTTCCTTAAAGCGAGGTCCCGAGCTTAACTCCGACGCTATTTCTTACCGTAGAAAATAATAAGAGGAAAAGGTAATCAAAAGCGTCTTTGCGACGGAAAGCAGACGATTCCTGCATCGAGCTATTAGGGCGACCCAATGGAATCTCTCTAAGAGATCTGATAAATTTTCTTGGCACTGGACATGCACTACATATGTCCCCACATAGCGGTCTGTTAGCGCCATCTGATAAGCGCTGGCGTGTTAGGGTTCTTCGCTCTACTATGTAGCTGCATAACGAAGACGATTACTAATTCGTAAGCTGTTGCGGCTTCAGGCGTGCCGACAAAGCAAAAGTCGTGCTATTTTTCTGTGTATTAAGTCGACTACCTAAATTGTTTTTCGTAAATCCCTACGGAGAACTGGTCTTAGTAATCATTGAAGATCGCTTCATCCGAGTTTGGTTACCTAAGTAAATTTCGTAAACGCGGGATCCAGTGATCGGAACGGCAAAAATGCGAAGAAGCGAAATGAGACCCTGGTATGTGTGAGAATAAGCTCATTATTTATTTTCCAACATGGTACAACCACGGAAATAAAAGATGCTTATCTAGGTACCTAGGTATTTATTTCCTGGAATAATATTGTATTAATGCATAATCGATATAGAGATATTACCACAGGACAATAGGTATTTACCCCTTTATTTTCGTCGCCATGGGACATGACCAAGATACGACGTGAGGGACACGGTTTGAGTTATGTTGGATTCTCTTATAAAGCTGAATTCAATTGTCGTTAGCTGGTCAGGATACTTGCAAGGAAGATCTTGTCAAGCAATGTTTCTGTTTCTATAAGACGTGAAGATCACACAAGAAGGGAAGTTCGCTTGGTGTGTAGGTATTTATATATATTGTACCTTTTTGTAATAAGTCCTTTCTATAAATAGCAGCGTCTAGATTGATCTGTTAATTACCTTGTTCATTTAATGAGTTCATATGTTGGGAACTGCTACACAATGTTCGCGGAATGTGCCCGAGACCTAGCAAGCAGCTTACCCGGGCTGTTTGTTAATACATCAACATGTATGATACTTGGCTAGGAAACTGAGCAGTTTCGAGTTATTAAAACACAAGCGGACAATCATGATATACAGACCTAAACACTAAATAATGAGTCTTTAGCCAACACTCTTAGAATATCCACAATTTTACAGAGGACGCCAAAGTGTTCCTATGGAACTTACGATAGATGCTGAGTTGTAAAAAAATCTTTTCGTAATGTACCTACAAGAAATAATTGAAACCCCGGAATAAACTATTAGTTCTTGATTACTTATTTATCTGCCTAGGTAAGTAGCCATTTTACTACCTCCTAGCGTCAACAGTTCCAGAATGGCGTAATTCGGACCATTTTGTGCCCGGGATACTTGGAGGATATTATGGAAGGAATAAACGAAGTCATCGACGTGGCTAATTGTATGTAACTTTTCTTTCTTTCTCCAAAGTGATACCGGAATACCTAATTATCATCTGGTAATTTAGCTAAAAAACAATACTATTCAGTGGTGGATCCTGACCTGAACGCGGCCAATGTGATTGACTACCCGGGCAAAAACACGAACATTAGCATGTTTGACGACTGCCTAGCACAGAAGAATCATTTCCCGGCAACGATTGTAATAGCTGAACGTCTGACTATTGTGGCAACTGGTAAGCAATACCTCACCAATCCTGATCTCAACGTAGGTGCTAAACGTTGCCTTAGGATTGTACCTGCAAACACATGAAAAGTCGATCTTTTGGAGTACTGGTGTAGTCAATCGGGATACGCTTCGAGCGGAGGACCCTGGTAGCAACTCGAGCTAGGACATGGCCTTGACTTTGGATTTCGCTGCTTGAGACAACAAGGAGTCTTCGCAAAGCTATGATCCGGCTTCGGCATCAATGCTACCTATTGATTCAACGTTGATATCCTATAAAGGAGTTCAAAATTTGTAATTATTGGAATGAAAAGAACGGAGTAACTATTATGAGCGGCTTATCTACGAGTAGGCTGGCTATGTGATGAAAAGTTGGTGGGAACGATGTCGTACAGGTCTCGGGCGTTGCGCTTCCCGATGATAATAATCGCCGAATGATCCCACGTTCCTAAAGCCCTTCTCATTACGCCCTATTCGTCAAACTATATGTTAGGTTGATAGTATTTGTTGATTTCAGGGGTGTTTGTTAGTATTATCCAAAACGTCATGGGTAAATAGTAAATACATTGAATACATGCCTTGATCTTACGAGACATGAACGTTTCCAGACAACGGAGTTTCGACTAAATTTAGAGTAAACATGAGGTAATGACGCTTCCGGGGGCTCCCGTAATTTACACCGAAATTCGTTGCCCCTAAGGCGGCTCAAAAACGTGTTGTGCTAGGTTCCACCGCGTGGCTCAGGACGGATGACTTCCTCGCGAACCAATCCGAAAGTAGACTACGGAGAAAGATCCGAAGATCTTGACGTCAATTCTGGAATTTACCGAAGCTGAATCGTCATGAGGTTCTCATAGACCAGGGGTAGTCACAAACGAGATCTTTGTCTTGTATCTATTCTACTATTAATGACAGGATCTGATCAGAGTGGGCATGGCTTACAATGGGCTCGAATGAAGAGCCCAATAGAAATTTGTACGTCGAAGGTACCTAAGTAAGTATAATTAATAGGTAGAACTGGTACATAGTGGTCTCTGGTATCCCATCTTAAGTTTCGGATGGTAATCAGTTACAACCTTTTAGATATCATGCTACGCAAATTCCTACCTAGTCGAATAAGGTCTAATGTTATGTATAGTTTTATCTTGACAATCGGAGTTGGGAACTCGCAGAGCCTATTCAAGATTATAGAAGATCGATTTCTTCCTAAAGTTTGCATGATCTGCCAATATCGTAGTCCATGAGTGAAGAAAACTATCAGTCTAGGTAGTCGAGACTGAAGTCAAATTGAAAGAAGGACGCCGTACAAGGAGCAACAGGAGTCGCTTAACTACTAAGGTTGATTGAGACAGCTTCACACCTTAAACTGAATCAATGCGTACGTAATAGAAGCCCATCATATTTATGGCTCCCAAATGTTGGCATTAGAGAATTTGCGAAGACGAAGGGTTATGAGATGACCGAGTTGTCTTACATCCTTCGAAGCCGTCAGAAATATGTGAATACGTACATGGACCGGGCATCACCGGCCCTATCGCATCTATTTAGCGCTTGTTTGGTGGAGCCCCGTGCTTGATGGCACCGTAAATCGGCCGGTGGTTTAAAGTTATGGGACTCGGTAAACATCAAGAGCTCGAGCCAAAAGCCACCTAAATATTGCCCGTAAATCGACAGGTTCGTGGATATATGAACAGCAAAGCAATGAGCTATTCACCTTTATGATGGTTATCCCCGAACACCGAGGAGTATAAATTTTGAGGGGTGCTGGTGGGCTTGTCGGGAATTCGGTTCCATTGGATACCAAGCTTGACTTACCCCTCCGACTTCCGTGAATCTACCATCACGGCAAATATACCGAATTCAATGGGTCCCCTCGCAGATCTCTCGTCCGGTCTACTCCAGCTACGGCTCAGCATGTCCAAAAGCATGCTTCTAACTGCCACTATAACCGCTACGGCATGGCTCTCGGTTCACCTCGTCCTACAGTCAGGGAGGAAAACGAAGGGCCTTTTCATTCCATCTCCAGGAACCACAGTTGTCCCCGAGCTCCAGGAGCAAGAGATCGCGAATCTACCGTATCCTCCTGACGCTCTACCTGGAGGTCGAGACGCGATTACCCCTTACGGATCGATACGCATATACGAGTGGGGCCCTGAAGAAGGGGAGAAGGTTCTCTTTATTCATGGTATCAGCACACCGGCAGTGGCTCTCGGGGACCTTGGGCATGAATTTGCCAACAGGGGTTACCGAGTCATGCTCTTTGGTAATATGCGCCCCCTAAGGTTTTCAATCACAAGACATCATATGGGAAGAAAGGGTTTAGCTGACTAGTTTTCTTCGTAGACCTCTTTGGTCGTGGATACTCTGATGCGCCCACAGACCTTGACTACGACGCGCGTCTCTATGTGACGCAGATTCTGCTGGTCCTAGCCTCGTCTAAGTTGTCATGGACAGCGTTCCATCTCGTGGGATATTCCCTTGGCGGTTGTCTCGGTGTCTCATTTATGAGATATTGCCCGCATATGGTTAGATCGCTCTCATTAGTGGCGAGTGGCGGCCTGATTCGACCGTACCATGTAGGCTGGCAGAGTCGTCTGCTATACAACTCAGGGCTCATACCTGAATTCCTAGTCAGGATTCTAGTTAAGAGAAGAATACGGCCTAAGGATGAGCAGCTACCCTCGACCGCGGGCGGTGTGGATATCATATCCGTCGAGATTAAGAAGCACTTCCCAAGTGGAGACGGTGATTCCAACGGTGGTGATGGATTTGACAGTGCGACCATTTCAAAATTTCGACCAGATGTTACCGTGGCCTCAATTGTGAGATGGCAAGTCGATCATCATGAAGGGTTTGTCACGGCATTTCTAAGCTCGATAAGGAATGCCCCTATCTATGCCCCCCAAGACGACTGGAAGCATTTGGCTATGATACTTGAAACAAGAAGACAGCTTGAGCATCCTATGGAACTAGGATCTATTTCGGGGATTCCCGCTGGGAAAGTACTCATGGTAATTGGAGAAGATGACTCTGTTGTTGTCAAAGATGAGATAATTGAAGATGCAGAGCAGGTACTAGGGGTTGATGGGGTAGAGTTTGCAATTTTACCTGGTGGCCATGAGTTACCTTTCACAATGAGTTCTAGCGTTGCGAGTGCGATAGACGGTTTTTGGCATAGATAATGACGAATGTGAATAGGTAGGTAGGTAGATATCAAGATATGAGATATCGGATCTGGGCGAAGGACAGTTTCGAATAGAATCTATGTTAATGTACGTTAGCTACGATAGTATATACTATGAAGGAGTGTGTAATACTCGCTGAACCAGACTTACCGTTTCGATTCTGCTAAGTCCTTGTCATGAAGTAATTCTCCGAAGGTGGCAGAGAACTAACTCAAGCTGGATCTTCATGAGATTAACCATATGTGTTGTCAGCTCAGCAACTCCAACTACTTTCTTTTCAACCGACATATTATAATGCAAATGCAAGCAGACGTGGTAAATGCATACTAATTCGTAGGCTTGCACCATCTCTAGCGAATGAAGTTGCTGTGAGGGGTAGAGGTGCGAGTCATGCTTCGTTCATGATGTCCGCAGAACCCAACTATTCGCATACACCCAATTACATTATGTGCACTTTTCTGCGGTAAGACAATAGATGGGCCTGATATTTGGTTATTGCGCTATGCGTATTGCCGAATAAGTGAAACCGTTGCCGCGGAGCAGTATTATCAAACAGCGAGCTGTTTATGTCCGTTGGTTGCGAGTAATCACAGCGACTCGAGATCTCATGCCTTATGTAGTACATATTATACTATATGTACCTCACGTGACGATGTTTGACCAATGTAATAGTTGCTATGGCCATTTCGTCGTCTGTGTAGGAAATAAATACCGTGCCATAGAATATGGTGTTACGAACACCTTCACAGGTAGTGTGTGAGATGACCCACTCTCCATTGCAAAATCACCAAGTTTGTGCGCCGCAGTAGGGGTTAGGTGAATGCAGTCAGGGCTCGCTATAGTACGATGTCCTGCATAAAAGGCAGAACTTCTGGCAGTCGGGGCAATTGTGATTTGTTCATCGAGATGCGGATTCGCCGACGGTTTGCTTGGAGGATATGCCAAGTTCATTGGCGTCGGCTTTCATAGCGGACGCTACCAATCGTATCACATCCCAGATTGTGGGTGGTGTGGATATGAGCTATGTTAGCATGCATGCCGCTACGACGTTGCGTCGTAGGGTGCAGCCGTGCAGCCCGAAAGGAAATCTGGGGATGGCTTACTGATGCTTGTTACCCACATGGCCCTATCATATGGATCGTATGTGTCGACCCCAAGAATGCGCCGCCTTGGCTACGTCTCGACCACGACAGACTCCTTTCACCGGACTCCACGACCCTGAGATAAACGATGCTAGATCGACACACCTCTTTCGAAACCTAGCAACGGCCGAAGGATCGGGCGGAGTCTTCTTCAACGGCCAAGTAGAATATGTGTGACACGTTGCTAGGACAATATCCTAGTTTATCTTTCACTAATATGAGCTTAGATATTGAACTTGGTCGTTGATGAGCTAAAAGGAGTGATGACGACCGTTAGTAGATCGAATGTTTGCAGATCAGATGATAAATGCAAGTCGAATAGCAACTGCAAGAGCTATTGGGTAGAAGAATCATGTCTGCAATGAAACACAACACAGTCAATTCTACCAGTGTGTTGTTGTATCAATGTATCATATGAAATAAGCCCGGAGAGAAGCCCGAATAGAATATTGAAGATCAGCAGTTTGATATTCCAAAGTCAAATGTGTGCCTTAGAAGAGGGTGGGCACATACGTATTAGAACCGAAGTCCTAGGAATTTGAAAGTTCATCTTGATACGATACCTATAGACATCTCAAAGAGTATAAATTAGAGATAAGATAGAAGTAAGCTTTTCTCAGGGACCATGTGATGCAAGTTTAATTCCTTAGTGTAAGGGAATTACATCAAAGGCTGTATCAGATAGAAACCATATGAGCAATGTCGATGGACGTTCACGAAGGGCTGAGAGGCGGTAGGGGTGTCCCTTCTACCCCTTTTACCCCGCAAATCCTTTAAGTTCTGGATTGCGGGTGACGTATTGGCCACTAAGCGAGTTGGTGGGTAGAACATACGTATAATCTGTTAGTGTTATCGACGATTCAACACCCACCGGACAGAGAGATTTCTATCGTACCTTACCAAATGTCCCTAGTTCTCTTTGTAGTAGCTCGGAGCTACGTCTTCAATATGCGTGGTATACCCATGTAGAAGTATGCGCTAGCGTAGTGCAACTCTAGTTAGTTCGCCAATGGACTGTTGATATTTGTCTTCCATTTTTGGCCTAGTAATGGCGATCGGCTGAAGCTCCTGTGGTAACACTTACCAAGAATCTGTCTTACTGGGCAGACTGGGAGAGTGAGCAATCGCATCGTACCTACTGTAGCTACAATATCCATATGAAAGCATCCTTGCCAGTTCCATAATAATCCTACCATATCTGAGATTCTCATAAACAGCATTTATTCAATTCGCCTTCTTCATATTTAATACTTTCCATACTTCCAACGAACAGTCTATCTGACCAACTCCCAATTCCAAAGTTCATGATCCAGCCAAGCCAATCCCCTATTTCAAAGCTTTGTTTCCACTTGTTTCTACTTCCGGACACAACGTTAGACCACCTTTATACCAAATTCAATCATCTGAGTCGGCTCCATTTAGCAGCCTGAATTTACCCCGCTTGAAAATAGTCCGAGTCAGTCGATACTACACGGTTCTGAGGCCATCATCGTCACTTTTCAATTAACACGACACAAACGATTGGACCTCAGTTGTCTCTATTGATAGCGTGCACCGGTCTCTTATCGCGTCAAAGGAAAAAGCGGTTGATCGCATTGTCATTGTCACATTTACCTACCAACCAACCATACTTGACTATTCCCTGACTATTAACTCTCGTCACTCCTTGTCACTTTTGACCCATCTACCGTTTACTGTCTACGCTACTGGTGCCATTATCCACAAAGGAACATCTCACCTTGTCTCATCTGTTTAGTTTTCTCGTCTTATTCTTCTATTTTTTCCGTCCTCGACACAGTTGTCTGACTACATCAATCATCCCACGAAGCAAGCGAGGGGTTTCACCTTTGCTACTTCAACAACACCACATCATACCACCTTTGTGGGTTGAAACACGTGCAGGCCGAACCTACATCGCGCCATCAAGTCAGCTACAAAATAACGAACAGGACCTCTACATAGATCGACCGGACCTCCTTCTTTGTCTACCATCCAGCTATTAGCTCTAAATCTCAATCACAACTACACCCATCAATATGTCGAACGATAACGGAACATCTAACGGAGCGCCTAACGACCGCCGTGGTTCTGTCACTTCGGCTGCTTTCACCAATCTCTTCCACCGAAGCAACTCAACTTCGACCGGAAGCAACGGTCGCGAATCTGTCACATCAATTGCGGCCAGAGATCAACGCCGACGACTTTCTGTTACTACCATAGGGCTTGGCACTTCTCCCAACTCTCAAAGTGCTCCGTTTGGGATTCGACGTGGTAGTATCTCTACCAACAATTCGGACTCTATTGACGAGAATGCTATCGACGACGAGGAATCTGCCAAGGCAGGTCCTAATTCTCCATTCGCTCGTCGAATGAGTTTCGGCGCCCAGGCCATGCGTAATCTGCGCACTGGACCGACTAGTCCTGGGTCAGCTGGTAGGCATCCCCAAGAGTCAAGACGTATCTCTAATGGACATATACGTTCTCCACCTACCGGTGCCCCGCCCGCCTCAGCTGCTACGAGACGGGCAAGCACCTCTCAGGCAAGCCACACATTTTCCTACAGAATTCCTTCTGACAAGTTTTCTGCTCGGGCAGATAACGCCTACAACTGGTCCGAGCAGCTTAGATCCCGCGCCGAGAGCAGCGTTCAAGGTCATAAACCGTCCTTCGGAGCCGTTAGGTACGGCTCGCCGCCACGCGGCCATGGTCAACACGATCGCTCCAAGTCTGTTTCCGAGATGCCGGCTCCACCTCAGCAGGCTGCTGCTGTTAAGCCCAAGCAACCAGAGAGACCGAAGCCAGATCATATGCAAGAACGCATCCTCAAGGGTGACTTTTATATGGACTGAACACATAGCCTGCGCAAAGGGGAATACAAACACCAACATGTTCAAATGATCTAGGACGGTGCCAACTCCTAAATCGCCAACTCCTAAACCACCACCTCATACGAGCTTATAATCATTCCTAAGGCCCGTTGTCATCTGTTCTATCTACTGTATTTCCTTTGCACTACGTCTCTTCAACTGACGTCATTCGTTTCGACGACTTCTTTTTATGGCGTTGAGACGGGGAAGTGCCGAGGACGGTCGGGTAAATTGTTTATGCAAAACATAGCTATGCTGAAACGAGAGATGAGCAGCGTCGCTTCTGGGGATGACGTGACAATTTGGGGAATTAGAGATATTGGTCCGGGAAAGACCAACTTCACCGACTGGCTTTTGCTGATTTTTGGAGCCTAAAATAGGCAATGTTCGGCGCCAAGGAGTGGATTTGGACTGTACTAGTGATTGCCAAAGCGCAGCGGAGCTGCGTTTGTATGATATAACGTCGGATTAGGGCGGTATTTTGCCGGTTTCTTGGGGAGCCTTCGGATAAGGGTAAACAAGTCTTTCGATCATCACAAATGTACTCGGAGATCACCAAAACAATTGGAGCATCTGATATGGGGCGTTGTGGGAAAAAAACCACTATCACCTACCCGGCACATTGTAAGATTTAGTCGAGCTAGCTTATCAGACTGAGAACCAGATATTGAATCAATATCACCATTTAACATCACATCAATTGAGATCACTTTGTATTCTAACTGCAGTTGCGATTGGGATTTATTTTGCAATGTCTCGTACCAACCGGATGGGAGAGGACATTATGAATCGATCGTTCAAAAATACATCCATCCACATCATCACTACACCTAGAACTCCATCTGTTCGCCGTTTCCTTTCTCTCGAAGATAACCCTAGGTCCCATAGTCCTGAAGCCGAAATATACCCTACACATTGCATTGCATTGCATTGCGTTTCATTACGCCCCTTCGCCATATACTCCCGATTCGTTTGTGTTTATATGTACCAGGTATAGTAGTAAGTAGTAGTTGCAGTAGTGGTAGTAGTAGTTGTTGTGAGACCTGACATTCCAGTTCCGGCCTTTTCCACCCTCGTACATATCATGCCCGTAATAATCCTCCAGTTTTGCCGTAATGAGTAACAGGTAACGAGTAACGAGCCTTTTTTCCCCTTCGCATGGCGTAATGCGAATCCGAATAACGAACGAACGTAAGCGGGTATTCGCCCGCCTGGGTAAGTGACCTATAATAATACAGTATAATCCTCCCCCCGCCTCGTCCGCGACTCCGGGTGAGAAATCCCCCCCGAGCAGCCCTTCAGGAACACGGACTTATTAGTACCCCTGCGCGAAATAGTAATAACCGCAGCTCATACACCAACCGCCGCGCTTCGCGACCGGACATTCCGCGCTTGCCTAGAACGGGTAATAGCTTCCATTTGGACCGGCCTGTGGGCCCTGGGGCGCGGTTGCGAAGCCCTCGACCGGGATTGGGCCGAGCATATCGTTTTGCATCATATAGCGCATGGTATCTTCGTACGAGGCCGGGTCGCCGGGGCTGCCGCCGCCGAAGCCCGTTAGAGTGAGGCCCATGGCCTGCTCGAAACCGTCGCCTAGGGTGGTATAATCGAAATCCGTAGTTCCGAAAGAACCAGCCATCCACGGTACGAACGATTGCTCCGGACCCGGACCAGGCATCCCTCCCCTAGACGTAGCTGCCGTATTACCACCGGTTGGGTCATACATGAATGGTTGAGCCGGCTGCGGTACAGATCGTAGCCATCCTGGGTTCGTCTGGTACGATTGAGCGTTGGTATCCGGGCCCGGGTTCTGACCGTTATTGCGTGACGGGCCGTTACCAGTCGCTATCTCTGATAGTAATTGTAGCGGTGTGTTTGTTTGCCCAAGATTGTTCGATTGCGATTGGTGTTGCTGCGACGGATGCTGTGGGGGAGCCGAACCGTTCTTTTGCTCACTTGTGGGCATTCCTCCTCTTAGGTCTTGGATAGCTGCCGAAGCAGCTTCATCATCACCTAAACCCTTACCATGAGCCTGACCTTGCTTATAGAACCAGCTGCGCAGCATGGCCAGAACAAGTAGAAATTTGCTAGCCGGGCGCGACTTATCCGACGCAGCGACCTCGCGGAATTTCTCAAGCAGCTTCTCAAGGTACTCCGCAACCTTCATGTTATCCTTGTTAATAACCTTGCCTAGCTCTGAATTCGAGTTACTTGCGCTAAAGTACATCTTAATCAGAACAACCACGGCGTAGGCGACCCGAACAAAACTAAAGATCGGAATACAGCGAATACTATGGACATCCATCGATAAGAACGTTTCAAAGATGCCATCGATCGCAACGAGACACGATGACAGAGCGCTAATGTGCGAGGGTGTTAGCGAGTCATCTAATCCCGGGATAGGCTCCCGGAGGGAATCGGCGTTGCACGGAGGTCGGTAATCCTCAGGGCTCTTATCGACGTGGAGCGCGATCTCATGCATATATAGGTTTAATACGTGAAAGCCAAGAATAAGAGAAGCTGTTCACTGTTAGTTCATATGACAAACAGAACGGGAAAGTGGGTAGACGTACGTCTCTTCTCCGCCTTAGGGATGGATTCGCTATACTTAGCAAGATCTCGTTCGAAACCCTTCAGAGCATATTGGACTTTCTGTTCCGAGACGTTGACAAAAACGCTCGGATCATCCATAGAGAACTGGATACCAACGTCCTCGGCGAGTCGATGCGTCCAGACAAGATGACACAGATACCTATCGGTGGGTGCCGCCTGTGGAGAAGATTCCAAGATATCCATGCACTCGGTCATAAAAGGTTGCCATCTAATCAAGTTTGGGCGATGCAAAGCCATTGACACGTTGGAAGCCAAAAAATAGACGGCTAACCACGTCCGTCGTGCCTCAACTGACATGGGGTCAGGAAGAGGCTGCTTCCTGAATGGATGGTCACGCCAAGTGTAAGGCACAAGTCGAGTTTTCGGGTTGTGCTTTCTTCTCCCAAGCCCGATATCGATGGACATAACAGCTGCCAAGTGTACGAATTGGTAAAACTTGAGCTCCTCGAAATGCTCCGGTGGATAGTACCATATGACGCTGACTAAAAGCGATTGGATGAGCTCCAATGATTTGCGACCCGAGATGATGATGTGGTCAGCAAATATTTGCATGATTTCCCGCACGAGTTGGCGTTGAAGCTTAGGGATTTCAGATGAGGCAGCGGCCATGATAGCAAGGAACAGGATAGGCTTCGTCTTTCGAACTTCAGTAGCAGTTGTGCCCTCGGGGAAAACGACGGCTGGTAAGTGTGGTACCATGTCTTCCGTGAATCGGGCGAAGAATGCGGCAGCTTCGCTCATAGTAATTATCCCACGATCGATAATATCTGGCTCCGACTCGGGTCCTGTATTGAACTTGGGCGGCGCGGGCGAGGCACTAGCAACGACAGGTGACCCCTCGGTGGATTCGGTGAACTTGCGCTTCTGACCAGCCATGGCGGTTGGCGCCGCAAATGAAGATCGTTTCTCAGCCTCGGATGCGGCTTGAGGTTGGTGATCTCGAGATGGCGGAGCACCCCAATCTCTTGCGGTCGAAGCATGGCCATATCCGTATGTCGGATCCTCCGATGGGGGCGGATGCGAAGTAGTGCTGCTTGGTGCTCCGCGGCTCGCATGCAGACTTGCAGTCAGAGCATCTATCTTCTTCTCCAACTCTGCAACCCGACTATCCGTCTTCTTCTGTCTTTTTCGCGTGGGCTGCGTCACAACACAGTTGCGACCTGCCTTCGCACATCTTTTGCAGGGCCCTTCGGGATTCGCTGGATCGGGTTCGCATTTCACCTTCAGTCCACGGCAAGCTTCGCAAGCTCGCGGTCGCTTGGGGTCGTTCGGGTCCTGCGGGGTATTGCCAGGGCCGTTGGGAGTATCGCTGGCAGCGGAATGGGCATGGTGGCCATTAGGAGTATGGGGAGTATAGCCAGTGACAGAAGCTGAAGGAGATGGGCCGGTCGATTGGGCTTGGAATTGCTGCTGTAAAGGTGATTCGGGAAGATCTGGCGGTTGTTGTGACGGATGTGAAGAAGAGTGAATTCCCGCGACAGCTATTTGTTGTTGTTGAGGCGGATTGGCCGGACCGTTGACGACAATTGAGTCCTCGCCGGGATCGCGAAGGCGTGGATCAAGAGACGCTGGATCCATCTCGACTTTTTTCCTTTTTCCCCTCTAAAAAAAGATCGAGATGGCCGCTTATCGAGGAGCTAACTGTTAGAGGCTTACACGTACAATGTCGCGGTAGAAGAAGTCCGATTTTGCGGTTGTAACGGTCAACATAAAACCCGGCAGCCGATCATAAAAGATGGGTGGGAATTTCTTCGACGGTAGCAGGGTGGCTGGACCTTCAATCTGGGCAGTCCTTGGGCGGTCTGAGCAAGGGCCAGAAAATGTCTTGGTCAGCAGCTGCTTCTGTGTTCTGCTGCTGCTTTCAATGTTGCCTGGCAGCCTGCGTGTAACTAAGAAATGGGGCAATCCCGTAGTCTCCACTTTATTTAGTGTAACGGACGTCAGCGGCCACTTCCCCCAAAATAGCCCGATAATTTTCCGAATTTCTCCCCTGTTCTGTTTCGTCACCGTCACTGTCACCGTCACACGCTGCACACGACCACTCTGAATCCTGTCCTGTCAACGACTACTTAACGTTGGAGGAGGCTTGAGACAATATGAAAATTTTCTGTAGGAACTGACTCCTAGCCAGGTACTTGTATCACAATGATTGAAGCCACTTACGTTTCATGGAACCATTTTATGATCAAGGGAAATTTGTTACACAAGGAAATCGACTTGTCAGAATTGTGGCAAGAGTTCAACAATTCCTGTCCCCTTTCATCTTCTGTCGCATGTAGCTTCTCGTCATTATAGGCATTTTAGGTATACATTTGTACAAAAGAAGTACCCACCTATGTAGGTAGGGAAGGGGCCTTCCTGACAAATCTAGAATGCACTTAGGTACCGCAATTACCTCGTGGAGCTAACTTCCTCTTGCCTCATGTTACTCGGACTGCTCGGATTAAGATTAAGATATCGCAATCGGAAACTGCAAACACCAGCTCCAATTGAGGTAATAAATTAATAGAAGTTTAAAACTGAACATGTAAACTTGCAAAACGTCCTCATATTCCAATATAAGTTTCACTCTGAATGAATAATTAGCAGAACTGTTTAATTATCTTATTGTCGTAGGCATCAACCAACACCTGTTACTCAAGAGTTGATGGCATATATTATCCAGATAGTTAGCACTTACTCAATTGTAGTATAATGGACCCTCAAGAGATACCCCTGGACGATGTTAATTCGCGGCCTGACGAGTATGCCCGCACGAATGGTTTATCAGTTGATTCTCAGGGGGACGTCTCTCTCCTGTTCAACCATGTCCAAGGTACTCGGTTATTATCTGACGAGCAAACTGACGACACCGCTCTTCCTCAATTACGTATTCCATATCTTGTTTCCCGAACCGAACAGCTTAGTGTATCCAAGGAGTCTCTTGAGTTATTAAGCACGATCACCTCATTGGAACGGCAAAGCGAACAAGACTTGAAGATACCCACTCTCAGGGATATCACAAAATTGAAACTAGAGCCACCCTTACTTCGGAGTGACCCGGATTTCGACTTTCGGGAACTAGCTCGGTGTGTTCAAGAACAGAGGAGGGCTGATATAGACCTGACGAGCGTTCCATCAGAGCCCCTAGACACATCGAACGATGAGAGTCTCGAGTTTCCGGATACAGCCTATCAATACAAACAGAAGTTGCTGGCAGGAATCCAAGATGAGAAGTTAGATATCTCACGGGAATCATTGCATTATCTTACCTCTGTCTTGAAGGATGAGTGGACCCAGGATAAACAAGAAGAGTTAGAAGATACATTTTTACACCGGAAGGTAGGCCATCTACAAGTCTAAATTCGTCTCCTTGGTGCACTAACCAAGTCATTCGAGGTAGTGCTTCCAGGAGTTGGCCATTACCCCTCCCCTCAGTCCTCATGACCATCAAGAAGACTACTTTGTTCCCAGCGAAGAGGTCTGCCAAATCCCTATTCCATCAGATACTAGTACCCTACTCGAGGACGATCTGAGAAAAGCTGAAGCGGATCTACTCCGGCAAGATGACTGCGATCTTGACACTCCAGCACCCCTGGAGTCTCTACTTCCGTCTTCTCCAGGGGGCTTGCCATTGCTCGAGCCAAAACGGCCAAGTATCAACTCATTAAAGGTTGAAGGTCCCTTGACTCCATTGAACTCTTTGCCGCCATCATCGGAACTAGCAGTAGATATCTCGGGTTTCGCAAAGAGCCTGGATATTGATCAAGTCCTGGACAACCAACAATTAGGCCAAGCGAGTGGAGCAAATAAAACGATTCCTCATAAAATATTTAGTGACGATACTCTAGCCTTGCTAGAGGACAAGGCAGCATCTGCGAGGAGAATTATTGACCAGGAGCAACTTCAAAGTGCGGATGCGATCGCCCGGATAGAAATCCCCACAATGGACTTCTCAATTCCCGATCCCGAATGGAAAAAGGCGCCGTTGGACGCTTCATCACAATTAGCATACATAAAGAAAACGTGTAAAGCATTTAACATACCACCGTGGTCAAAGAATTTTCAAGCGGAAAGAGAATTAAAGTGGTCTCCGTTTACATCTAAGATGGGCCATATCTCTTTAAATGAATCGATCGATGGCGACGATGGCGTCGGCAATCTTCTAGATTGTCCTAGCACCAATAGAATAGTAACGAGCGCGGACTACGTTTGGAAGAAACCAGGGTTGGCAATTCTTCGGGAACCCGAAGAAGAGGAAGAACAACTAGAGTCTTCCTCCGAGGGCGGCGATGACAGAAACATAGAGTCCCTTGTAAGGAAAAGGAAAAGGAAACTTGAAACTATCAACCTGGACTTGGAACCTAGTAATTCTGCGGGTTCAGCGTCACCAATTGACTTGGTTCAAAACACCCAGAGAGCAGCATCAGGATCAGCGCAGCTTCCTAACCTCCTTCTTAGCCATAATGATTCCTCAGCCACATCAACACTACTCTCGAACCACATTAACTTCCATGCCTCGAAGCGGCAGAAGAATACCAAGAGTTCCTTTTTCCCGACTCTTGCCAAACCAGTGACCACAGTTGAGGAAAAACGAGACCTAGGAGTTGCGACCGCCGTAGAACTAAAGGCAAAGAACGCAGCCAAGCCTGATCTGAAGCCTAAGCCAGGTGTTCCCGCCCCCTGTCCCAAATACCGACCAACATCTGCTTCAACAAAAATCATTAAGGCCTTAACACTTGATCGCGGAGTGTTCTCACGCCTTGAGAAATTTTATCCGAATGCTGAAATCATCGAACGAGATTTCGACCGATGGAATACCCTAGCATGGGACCGTAACTCGGTATCCCGGTCGCCGATTGTATCACCACTTGCAGCCGAAGCGGACGTGATTGTTTCGCCCACAACCGGAATCGTGGTGACTACGCTGCTCAAAGCCATGCAGAAGCCATCACCGGGCCATAAAGGTCTTGCGGCAATTCGCGAGCGCATCCGTAACGTTGCGTGTCGGTACGAACGTCTAATCGTGCTAGTATCAGAGGGAAACCAGATCGATGAGACAGCCCGAAATCTCACACCATTTGAATGTGCTGCTTACGCTGATTTTTCTGGGTTCGTGGTCGGGCAGGATACTAATGCGCAGGTGTATTATGTCGGGGGCGGGACTTGCACGCTCACGAAATGGCTGGTCTCTTTCTTGACCTGCTATGCGCCGGAGGCTGCTGGGGCAAAAGATCTCCTGATCCAGGAGGAGACGCTATGGGAGCTGTTCTTACGGCGAGCCGGAATGAATGCGTACGCTGCGCAGGCTATACTTGGACAACTGAAAGCCCCTGATGACATAGGGGAAGAGGAGGCCGGTAAATATGGGTTGCCAGCATTCATTAGAATGACACCTGCAGAGAGAGTGCAGAATTTTCGTGTCATAATGGGCGGGGAGAGGGTATTGCGTAGAGTCAGCCAGGTTCTGGAGACGCAATGGAGTTCATTGAATCGCTAATTCTGGCTGGTTATGTTGTTGCTTGTGCTAACATATTGAGCTGATGTAACGTCCGTCGTTGTATGGAGAAGATTCGGCGGGTAAGAAGATGCTGTGTTGATTCTTTCACCTATGTAGCTTTGGCTTTAATGTCTGCTGGTTTAGATAGCTCCATAGACCAACAGCTCACCATTGTGCGATATTCTAGAAGCCAAAGTAGACCACCAAGGCTTCCAGAGAGATTTGACCGATAAATATTTTCAGCCGAGTTGTCGCGTAGAGTCAGTTTACACCCCATAACGGATGTTATTGTTCAACCTCGTCCTGTTCCCGTCTCTGCGATTCCTCGTCCTCCTCATCTTGCTCGTTGTTCGATATACTCCATATCTTCAAACAACTCTCCTTATTCCGTCTTCGCATCCAAGGCGCCTCAGCCCCGGAAACATCACTACCACTATCAGCGCTACTCCTCCCACTCCGCGACAGCGACCCATCCTCCTCCTCCTTATCATCATCATCATCATCATCATCATCATCAGGGAACTCCCAAGCCCCAGAACAAGTCGCCACAACAGCCCCGCTCAGATGCACGCACGCGCTCCCCACCGTCGACCGCCTCGCCGCTTCCCAGCCCCAAGCCGGCTCGTGCGCGCCCTCGCGACCCCCCACACCCTCCCACACCTTCACCGCGCCCCCCGTCGTGCCGGCCCAGACCTCGAACCCGGCGCGCCCACCACCACCCGGGAACGCGTCGGCCGTCATGCGCTGGTTGGAGCGGGCCTCGCGGCCCGCCAGCCAGCCCAATAACTTGCCCGTCACGCGCACGTCATAGACGAGGATCCCCGCGGCCTTGCGCTCGGATACGAGTAGGTACCGACCGCACGGACTCCAGAGGGTTTGCATTACGCCGTCGCCGCCGATGCTAGCCCCATCCTCGCCATCGCTACTATCTGCGGCGCGCCCGACGCTCCAGGTCGCGGCGCACGACCCGTCCGCGCCGGCGAAGTCGTAGAGCCCGACCCAGCGCGTCCATGTTCCCGCCGCGACGAGGCTCGCGTTACTGGCGTCGGGGGGCTGGGCGGCGAGGCTGGAGATGGCGCCGCGCATGCCGATGCCGTTGCCCTTGGAGAGGTGCCGCTCCGAGGGGATGGTTTTGACGCGGAGAACGGGCTCGGAGTTCGGCCGGCTCAGGTCGTATTTGGCGAGGAGGGAGCGCGTGCCGGCTATGAAGTGGGTTCCCGGGTTAGGCCAGACGAGGGATGTGGCGGTTAGGAAGGTTTCTGAGCGCTGCTTGGTTAGGGGGTAGGCTGCGGATGCCGGGGTGTGGGAGGAGGCGGAGGGGGAGAGGTATAATAGTTGGATGGGGTGGTCGCGAGCGGAGACGAGGAGTTGTTGGGTCCATGGTGAGGAGAGGTGGAAGTATGGCGCGCTGGAGAGGACGGCGCTGGGTTCTGGGAGTTGGATGCTGGCTTGGGGGGTTAGGGGGAGGGGATGTTTGGCGCTAGGGGAAAGGAGGTCTTCGGGCACGATGTACCCGGATATTAGGTTAGAGGAGGAGGATGTGAGGATCGTGGTTCCGTCTGCTGTCCAGTGGGCGGTCTCGAAGTAGCCGCGGAGACCATCGTTTCTTTCGTTGAAAAGTGGAGGGGACGGTGAAGGCGATAGTGATGAGCGGATGTCGTTTTGTAGGGTTATGTCTCCAGTTGAAGCTACAAGTTCCACCCTGCTGTCTTCCGGGTGCACCTCGTCTTGATCCATCCCAGAAATCTTTCCGCTGTTTCCCGAGTTTTCATTTCTACGAGGTCGTAGCTCTAAGGCCTTACTCATTGCATACTGAAAAGAGTACGAAATGCTAAATTGCAAGTGTAAATGTCATGTGAAGTTAGATATCTATCGGATAGAGCTAACTGTCTTAGGTAATAACCCTGAAAAGCATGGAATTCCAATGTTCATGAGATCGCATTGTTTCTGCGGAAATGTAGAAGCTGATCCGCCCGCTGAAACATAGTGGGTCTTCTCGGTAGTGTACAAGCAGTAAATGCCAAGACTTATGCACGATGCTAGCGAGATGCTCCTATACTTGTTCCATGTCTGCAGAATTGATATGGTACGGTACATGCCACGAGCTAGGTCACTATCAAGATTAAAGCGCAGGGGCATGTGATGGGGGGCCATGTAATGTATAGTCGCACGCGGTAGCTGCGTGCCACAGCTCAACCCCCGGACCCTGAAGGGTTGATGGGGTCGCCTAGCATGATTGCCTATCATGACTTGTTCCTGAGCTGCTGACTTCTGACTTTTGGCGTACCTAAATTGAACCCATCTTCCTCTCATCAACTCCCGACTAAGCTTATCGCCAAAACAACATCGCAACATCGCGGTACAGGATTCAGTTTCCATCCGCCATGCTCCGGTAGCAAAGAAGGGTTATCGACTTCTGGGCGTGACGCGCGCATTCCGTCTTCATTTCCATTCTATTCAGATCGCCTTCGGGATCGACCGTCCACCTACCTGGTCAGCTCTGGTTGGCCCATCCTCAACAATCCCGCATTGGCATCACCTTTTTCTGTAATACTTTGGGAGGGAGGCCTCTTTCTAGCTGCTTAATATATCATATTTTTTTACCATCATCTAGTATTTGGGAGAGAAGGTGTTGCATAGATGTCAGACATCATGGATAGCTGGAGTATATACGTCGCCGACCGCTGCGACTCGCTCCGCGAGGGCGGGTTCGCTAACTTCTTCATCTCTATGTTAGTAGATAACATGTTGCCTTCTTTTTTGATGGGCACGAGAACCTCATCAATGCTAATTACAGTATATATCTAGTCTAATCGTCATCGGTATCATGCTATCCTACGTAACACAACACTATCGTATCATTTCTCGTGGTTCCTCTGAAGGCATTTCTCCGTACTTCGTCCTACTCGGTGTCACGTCAGCGAACTCCCAGTTCGGAAATATCCTTACGCTACCCCAGTCACGAGCCGACGTCGCCTGCTGCAAGGAAGTCAGTCCTTTCGAATGCACTGCTGGGTTACTTGGGATTGCACAGATCGGAACACAGTGGATATGTTTCGCCATTATGTTTGTCGTCGCCTATAACAACACTTGACACGAATGAGTTGCTGACCACATATAGTCTGGTTTTATTCTTGGTCTTCTTCCGTAGGGACGATGTCGACGATGAATACGAACGAGATCCTGATCAACCGACCTGGAGGACTGCGGTTACCGTAGCCGTCATGTGTTTCGTCCATGGCCTCCTCGTTGTCATTATATCGGCTGCATTTGCGCTAGGTGCCCCTGGATACTTAGGAGCATGGGCAAATTTCTTGGGGATTATGTCTGCTGTGCTCGCCGCCATTCAATACATTCCTCAGATCTGGACTACATATCGCATCAAACATGCTGGTAGTCTGAGTATTCTAATGATGTGTATACAAACTCCTGGTGGACTCCTCTTCGCTGCTAGTCTGGCGGCACGTCTTGGCTGGGCAGGGTGGAGTTCATGGGGCGTGTACGTTCTGACTGCTATAATGCAGGGTGTTCTGTTAATCATGGCCATATCGTACGAGTGGCCATCACCGGAAGAACGGGCTCATCATTCCACTCCGCAGCCACAGCGACCCACTTACAACCGACGAACTACGCCTAGAGTCCTGCCTTCTCCTGGTCCATACTCGGCTCACTTACAGGCCTACGGTGAAACGCAAGAGGAAATCGAGCGTGCTCTTGATCGTGAAAGTGTGCAAGGAGTAGGAGAGAACCAGCCTCTTCTAGCACCAGGGGGTTTAGGCAGTTCAGGTGTTCGGTAATGGATCGTGTGTGTATAAAGAGCAGCTCGGCTTTGCTCTCGTTTCCCCATCAGGTCTCTATCTCTTGACCACAAGAATGTCCATATATGTCTACGTGACAACCTATCCATATCTGAGAAGTGTTGTACAAAAGAATGAAAATGACTTCTAGACATTATGACGGAGTGTAACCGCTAGTGAAAGTTGATAGTTGATAGATCTAGCTTTTATATGGGAACTAAATTGATTGGGAAAACGGCAAACTTGACTAAATGAATCTGGACGAAAAGGTGTGGTAGTGAAGTAAAGTATCTCAGAATAGCTTCAGTGCGCCAAGCATGAAACATGATGATTCAGAATGATCCCCGGACTATTTCTCGCAAAGCTTTAGTACTAAAAATCTAGCTAAGGTAAGGTTTAGTTACCTGCAATGACGCCGTCGCTGCACCTACTTAAAGAATTAAGTGCCTTGCCCCTGCCGTGGGACCAACCAATAATGCGCGTGATTGCGCTACGGATCTGATTGGCCAGAGCTCATATCTCTTGCTGATGGGGTTTTGAGTCAAGGTCAATGTGTCATGAATCATATTCTTTTCCCGACGACATTAATTCAGATATCTCTTTTTCTTCTGGTGGTGCGTCATCCGATAGACAGCATTGGGCGTCTCGATTTTTTTTTCCTAGCAACATTACCTATAGATTAGAATCTTTTCTAGTCATTATCCCACAAGTTTATCTTGCTACACACAGCTCCAGACGGAGTTCCGTTATCGCCATGGCAATCTACAGCGCTGTCCCGCCCCCTCCGGAATTCACGGCCACGACGACTGATTCGAATCAGCAGCAACAACAGCAATCGCAGGAGTCGCATCAATCACCAATTTCGAATCCGACGGTTACAAATGCGCCGTCTGGTGTTGATATCGAAGCATGGACGGTTTCCGCCCTCGAGTCACTCAGCGTATCACCAATCGCTCGCGGCACCGGTACCCCGCTATCAATTCCGCTAGACGAGGAATCCCGCAAGAAAGCGTCCGTCTCAATCCAAGATCCCCGTGCTAAGTCCACTGCGATTACGCCGCCTCCGCGACCACTGTCTCGCCGCGATAGCCAGAAAAGACGAGAGGCACTGCTTAAGGGCAAAGAGGGCAGTCGACAGCGACGACGCTGGGAAAATGGTGTATCCCCCTTTTCATCCGAACCCCATCTACTCCAAATGATCAACGTACCTAATAGTGAGACTAATGCGATTTTCCTTTTTCTAGACCGTCTGATCCATGTGCCAAATGCACAACCTCCTGAACCTTATGATTGGGAGCCACGTCCGTTATACCCCGTGAATCACATCCCTTATCAAATTGCTATTGCATGGGACAAGCGAGTTCGCGCCGAGGTCGAGGAGAAGAGAGCCGCCGCAGCTCGTCGTAAGCAGATGCAGACTCGAACACTTGGCGATGAACATGTTACCGGACGAGTGCCTAGAGAGCTATTTCAGCGTGCAAAGAAGACTCCCGCTATGAAGACTTGGGTGCGTTCTCTTGAGGAACCTGTGCGACAGTACTTGGTCGAACAGCAACTCGTGAACGAGCCAACATCTTCGAATAGTGAAGATGATACCGAGGATGAGGAGATTGTGTTTGTCGGCCGCGATGGCAGTATGCGAGAGGGTTGGAAGAAGGCCAAAAGAGAGAACCAGGACAAGACCGAGGAAGAGGGAATGATCTTCGATGCCTTAGGCAATGATGCCGATCGTGCGTTCAGGTATGCCTTAAAGCTATGGTGGTTGTATTTCCGTGAGTACTACTAACGCAATTGTAGACGCTGGATTACGCATTCCATCTCTGATTACTACGGCTTGAACTCTCGCTCCGTCTTCATAGGCAACCCGAAACGTAAGGTAGTTTACGTGCAGATGAAGACTGGACACGCACCGCCAGTGCGGGCAGATCTTCCCCGACCTTTGTGGGAGCTTTGCTGATAGTTTATCAAGGCTTTGGGGGCCTCATCCTCTTCCCTTTCATGTTTTCATTAAGTTAAGTGATAAGAACTACATATACGTAGACATTTCACAGGCAGGCGTAGGCTTGCATCAATAGACAATCCTCTCCCCACAAATTACCCCATAAATACCATCCATACTCTTATTATGATGTTTATATCATAGATGATATTGGAAGTATCCAAGATAGAGACGAATGCCGATATCTGATCATCGGTGTCACTGATGCGAGCCGGAGACGGCTGGGCGTGACGTGGGGGCATGGACCCTGGCGTTAGGAGGCTGGATGGATGTCATGAGGTTGTTGGCAGTGTACGGGGGCATGAGCATGGATTGCTAGCAGCTTGAAATCCCACCGCCTGCCCCACCCGGCGCGGAGAATGACAAAGTTGAGGAAGGGGACGGGGGAGGAGAAAGGGGAGGCGGGCTCACGATGGGCTCTTGTTCTACGATACCGTGGCGCCGCCGCCTCACCAGGGGGCCGGCAACTGCTGCTCAGTCACCGGCTGAGCAACTTCGACGACTACCTGAATCTGAATGCGCAGGACCGGTACCCGAAGGAGGACGCGACTACGAAGCTACCTACTTATTGGTGCGCGACGAAGGAAGCCTCGCCCTATAGTAGTTAAGAGGGTTGGCGGGAGCTGAAAAAGGAGGGGCGAGATGCTTTTCAAGCAAAGCGGGGACGAAGATGATTGTGTTTAGGAGCCGAAAGCGATCGGGGGGTTGCCGATCGTGCTGCGCCCGTGGCAGGGTCCTAATGATAGGGATAGGAAGTACGATGGATAGTGAGGAGATGAGGAGGTTGATGATGGCTTGAGGGTCGGTTGGGAGGGCTGGGAGGGGTAAATATACCTTCGCGGTTTATTGCAATTGATTGTGATTTTTACGTCGGAAGTGCATTAATATGAAGGGAGCACTTTGCGAGTATAGGGTGTACCTACATATGCACCCCGAAATTACAAGTGCAATTTCCGGAAATGGTAGATGCTAATGCGATTGGACCTATCAGAAGGCTGGCTCTTCTTAATTGCCAAGCTCACTAGTTGAATCTGGAGAAGAAAAGACTTGAGACCGAATGCTAAGGGTTTGATCTATTAGAAAGGAACCGGGTTGTCGGGATGAGACGTGGGAGCGAAAGCATACCGACCGCTTGGATCTGCTTCTATCTGTGCCGTCGAAGATATATTTCCATTTTACCCCATCTGGCTCCGGCATGGGGACTGCCCTGAGTTGCCGTCGTATCCATTCCACCACGTCGTACAGAAGGGGCCAGTTCTTGGGGTAACGCCTCAATTTTTTAAGGGGGCTCAATGTTCAACGCCCTGCGTAAGCTCCAGCACCACGCCCAACCACAGCGCTGATAGTCAGATTCGGGACCGAGTGTCTAAGTAAGTCGGGATTGCCGATGATTCATGGCCCACATTAGCGACGAAGGTCCGGATGACGGTGTTCCTTGAAGCACGTGGGTCGGGGCTCGCGTCTTTGACCAACGTCCGAGTTTGGGGGTCTGGTTGTCGGCTGGCAAAGTGGAACAACATTTTTCTGTTCGGTCTTCGGGGGCAGTTATGATTTCTTTATCGCGAGTATAAATCTTGCAGATATTCATTCAGGGGCATGTATTCCTAGTCGCGTCCTACCCCTTTCCTTTTTTAGGGCCATTGTCATTTCTCGTAAGTTTGGTCCCTTGTTCCCGAAGAGCCATAGTGGACATCACCCATGATAGTGGTGACATCAGCTTGGGACATTCCATTTTCCTAGGAGTATTGGGACGAAGTTGCGATGAAAGTATGAAAATTGACCGTTCCTCCAATTGGTAGCCATCTAGTCGTTGAGTTCATTCGGCCTTAAAGCCCGTATTGGTAAAGTGAATGGAGAAACCGCAACCATATCCCGGATGAAAGGAATATGAAAACCCAACATAAATACATCCATCCTATAAGCTCCCAAAATGCCCTATGGTTCTGGTGTACTATAGTCAACATTTCCAGAAGAACGTCGCTGACGCGAATTAATGCCCCACGCATCACCAGTCCATCCGTTAGTACTGGTATATATTGGTGGAACATTATAAACAAGATTATGGAAGAAGAGTCCATTTGTTACTAACGCCTTCCGGGCTGGTGATCGTTGGCTAGACTTCCCGATATGATATGTAGGTAAGCATCAACGTATGTGAACTGTTTAGAGACTTGGTCGAATATTAACGAATGCATCCTTTTTGATCTCGGTATTTATATCCTCAACTGCTTTGGAAATAGTTATGTTTCCTGGACAACGAATAGCTAGAAATGCTTAACTTTAATATCATTAGAATTCAACCTTTTCGCCTACGTTGAACTTTCGTCCCATAATGGCAAATAAATTTCGTGGCAACTTGATAGGCTTATTTCTCATATACAATTTAGCGATTCCCCTGACCTGAATACCAGGTAGCCAGGGTAGCAAGTTTACAATACAAGCCATCGGAATTAAGCTTGTAACCTTGAAGTTTCTTTTTGTCTGTTATAACTACGCTTCAATCACATATTTGCGATTTATTCGTCTATCGGCTTTAGGATGGGAATGATTGTCGTCCCCCGGTCGGTTCGTAGGGTTGTAAGACGTCTTCCGTGTCCGGATCGGCCGTGATTCCGTAGGTGGATCCGGGATTGTTAAGTTATAAGCTTCGGGTAAGATCGATGAATAGTGTCTCCAGGGATAGCGCACTTTAAGAGAAATAGTTGATATGAAATATATATAAATGCAAATTAATAAGTACTTCCGGTGTTTAGGTGTTCCTAGAATCTTTTTCAATATCGTTAATCAATTCAAAATGCCAAATACTCTTTCTAAATGTCAATTGGCCCAACCGTCTTGCCAGAGCGTATCTACAGCTACTACGCTTATATAATATATCTTCTCGTATAGTGAAGGATTGTAGGATTATATACAATCCTTCATCCACCCATCCTCGCCTGAGTCAAGACTGCTGCCTAGGCTATCGGCAGCGGATCCCTAAAATACAAATGTCTCACTACCTATCATTTATTATATATGTTCACCTAACTCTGCGGATGCGGAGTTGGAGTTACTTGTCTTTAGGACCAGCTGAAAGCCATCGTCAGTGGGTGTTCTAGGCCTATCAAAGCTAGATGCACGCTGCGGCCAATGCCGAATCTGAATTCGCACCAAAAGAAGTATACACTGTTTCACAGCATTCCCTCAAACCTCGATTTAGAACGGTGTGGCTGTCTTAGTAGCATCAGCCCTCGCTTACAACTGTCATCTTCTGTCCTCTTACTTTTTTAAAACGAACTCTTCCAGCGGACTTTAAGTGTAAGACTGTAGCGCTGGAATATTACCCCTGGCGCCAACTAGCAGAGCCACACAGGAATCCAACTCAGACAGATATGTGTCACAGGAAGGCATGCGCACTGTCCGCCACAGTCTAGTCCGGACAACGCCTCCGGCATTTCACTCTCAATGTTGGTAGAATTGTGCGTTGAATCGTACAATTAGATCGTCGTGCTCTAACCATCATTTGCGCAACGTAATGTAACCACAATGTGTGGATACCCGAGGTTCAGTATTGGATTCCGGCAATATTAAGCATGAATACAATGCAGTTGAGCTGTATCCGACAATCCCGTCTATGCTGCGTATCAACTTATGATCACTCCAATCTTGTGTCAACAACACTAAATTACCGTCTGCGAGTGCGGAGACGCTATTGTGATTTTGCAGGTTTGATTCCGTTGTGTCTTTAGCTTACGTGGTGCTAAAGGCCGAATTGAAGCGACGCTCGTGAAGTAGCTAAAACGACGACTTACATCTCTGCAGTGTCCCGGACCTCCTGGGCAAAAGGGTACCGGTGTATTAGAAAGAACTTAAAATGGGCTATCAACATATTCCCCTTTTCGGTAGCACGATGTCCGGCACCTTTCGGTATGTCTCCAACAAGGTCCGTAGGTCGTCCCTCGAATAGCGTTGTGCGCAGGCTTGGGACAGCCGCAACGAATATGTCCTTATATAGAAAAGCGCCTCTCTCCTGGAATTCGTCTTGGATTATTCTTTAGACTCATCACCACACAACAACTACCACCTCATCAGACTTCATCAGCAGCCTCTCCGCCACTAAGATCATCTGATAAAGTTTATCCTCCCTATTGCTTCACATTCGAATAGCTCTCCTTCTATCCAAGATGCCTAGTGCCACGAAGACAGGTAGCAAGTACGATGCCATCCCGGGTCCTCTGGGTTTGGCATCTGCTTCTCTTGAGGGCAAGGTAGCTCTCGTCACCGGTGCTGGTACGTATCTAATGATTTCCCCACGCGGAGTTTTTGCTTTTTCGTTTGATTTTTTTTTCTTTCGTGGAGTGGCGCTCAGAAAGCCGACCAATACATCGGGGCCATGAGGTAGCCCTAAAAGAAAGCCGGCGGTTATCTGCATTCCGATACCACAGACGTGGCGTTCGGGTGCGGGCACCCCCAGGCAAAGTCCGGATCTAATAGAAAAGCAATTTCTCGAATCCAGCGACGTGTTTAACTTCAAATGGGCAATGCGGTGAATAGGACCAAGCTAACGCGCTAATGCAGGCCGTGGTATCGGTCGCGAGATGGCGCTCGAGCTCGGGCGCCGCGGCGCCAAGGTCATCGTGAACTACGCCAACAGCTCCGAGTCGGCCGAGGAGGTGGTGCAGCAGATCAAGAAGAGCGGGTCGGACGCGCGGGCCATCAAGGCCAACGTGTCGGACGTGGACCAGATCGTGCAGCTGTTCGACCAGGCCGTCAAGGTGTGGGGCAAGCTCAACATCGTCTGCTCCAACAGCGGCGTCGTCTCCTTCGGCCACGTCAAGGACGTCACGCCCGAGGAGTTCGACCGCGTCTTCGGCGTCAACACGCGCGGCCAGTTCTTCGTCGCCCGCGAGGCCTACAAGCACCTCGAGGTCGGCGGCCGCCTCATCCTCATGGGCAGCATCACGGGCCAGGCCAAGGGCGTGCCCAAGCACGCCGTCTACTCCGGCAGCAAGGGCACCATCGAGACCTTCGTCCGCTGCATGGCCATCGACTTCGGCGACAAGAAGATCACCGTCAACGCCGTCGCGCCCGGCGGCATCAAGACCGACATGTACCACGCCGTGTGCCGGGAGTACATCCCCAACGGCGACAAGCTGCAAGACGAAGAAGTTGACGAGGCGAGTTACCTTATTCTTATTCCCTGGCCACCTTACCTTTGGTTGGCGATTATTAGATGGCTAATAAATTTCACAGTACGCTTCGACGTGGTCACCTCTTGGCCGTGTCGGCCTCCCCATCGATATCGCCCGTGTCGTTTGCTTCTTGGCATCTCAAGATGGTGAATGGATCAATGGCAAGGTCCTCGGAATTGACGGCCATGCTATGATGTAAAGGAGGTGTCTGCGGTATTAAACTGACGGGATAAATTGATTCGATGGGGATCCCTACTAGTCCTAGTTAACCCATTGGGCAGCCTTCTAATCTCACATTTGTAAAAAATAGGATCGTATTGAGATAGCTAATCGAAAATATCACACATACTTGCGCGCTGGCGTAGTCTAGGAATTAGATCCACAAGTAAATGTTATGGCAATAAGAAGTCCTTTAGAGACAATCGTCTGCTCCGTCTCTTATATTAGAATAAGCGAATTTTTGTTAGAAATCACTAAGGCAATATCCCGGTTATCTGGATGCATAGGTAGAGTACAGTAGCCACTCACTTAGGAGGTATATGATGTCATGGTGTCCTATCCATGGATGTTCAGCTGCATCCCTTATTAACAACCTCAAGAGCCTTGTCATATGCACGTGTATTGTCTTACATACCTACCTTATACCTATACACCCAAAATACTGTTAGGCATATTTCACTAGGTATGTTACATAGGAATAAGCCCTTTCTAATCCCATGACTTGAATGACAACTCAGAGAGAAGATGTAGTATCACTAATTAATAACGCCGTACACGAAGGGCTCGGTAATGAAACGAGTAAAAATGTAAATAATGAGCTGTTATTACTTGGTTAGGCTATCAGGCAGCGAATCATTACTTACACTTGAACTACACTAGCTGCAAGTGCACCTAAGAGTGATACGGACCTCGGTAGGCTGGGTATCGTTGGGGGCAGATTAAGTACTCATAGGTTAATCCATAAGGCAGGCTGGACTTTTAGGTAGCATGACCGGGTAGCCTGCATACCTACCTGATACTCTTTAGCCATGAATTTTCTCTCGAAGCGCGCCTACGTAACAAGGTACATATTAACACGTTTGGTACACGTCAGGAACATCATGATCATCTAAATCATAGATGAGTTTGCTTTTTGTATTATTGCAGTATTAGATGTCTACTTAACAGTTTTAGTTTCATGAAGTTTCATTGTCCATCATTTTACCATGATCGTTTTATGAAGACCAAAATCGAGATGTCTTTGAACCAAAAGACAGATACCAAAACAAACGACACCTACTTGAAAATGCCTCTGGGAGAGAAATGCGAGTTCAAGGCCTATCATGAGACTATAAAACATGGTCTAAGCTCTACCGAGCCTACCCCGGATCCCTTTAATAAAGACGCCTCTCGTGACGAAGATAGTGGCTATGCTTTGGTTATCAGGAGGAAGTTCCAGGAGAATAAGCCAGACAGGACTACATTACAAGTGAATTCTCCACATATCCTGAAAGCCTTCCGCGAAGTAGTCAAATCATATCTTGCTGTGCCGTCCGATTTTACCTCTGCTTTCGAGCTGCACAGCCCGTTCGAAATGCTAGTTCATTATTGGGATGAATTGCATAACTATCGAAAATGGCAGACAGACGCCATTGTACAGGAGCATCTTGACCTTCTGCTAAAATTCATGGATCATGAAATTGGACCTGATCTTGAGCTTGCTCGCAATATGGTTCAAAAGCAGCAGATCAGCTATGATAATGCCTGGATTATCTTTCGTCCTGGAGACCTTATGTATACGGAGATGAACGGCCATTCTTGGCTTTTGGTTTGCCGGAAGACAGCGTATGAGGAGAACATGGACATCGGTCCTTACCTCGAAGTTCACTGTACCTACACAGACGATAATGGCATGTTTGTGGGCCAGGCTACACATGTCGTCAGCTTGAACCAGAGGATTAAGTTTCCCGCCGGAAATCCGGTCCCGATTACTGATCTAGAAATTTACCCGCGTAAATTTGTTAACGAAGGCGAAAGCCTTGAGCGCCGCATTAAACTCCGCGGAGAAAAATTCCTGGCATTGATGGACAATTCCACGGTAGCTTACGGTATGTACAAGACTACCCCTTTCCAAACAGAAACCCTGAATTCTCCATGCTGTCTGCATAGGGACATGAAGCATGCCAACAGAGGCTAGTCAGTCATTCCATACATAAATCTTTCATGGAATTGAAATGACTATAGAATTTAAAGGCTTTAAAATTTTTGTGTAGGGAATTAATGGAAATGCAGATGGTGCCGCCGAATGGCTTAAAGAGCCGCCCTTTGATTTCTATGACCCGTCACAAACCAAATTTCGCGGAGTATGGCTCCCCTACACTGAAAATGGCCGGGTAGTCCTAGATCGAAAGACCTTCGGCGAGGAGCAGCCATTAGGTAAGGCTCGTGTTAAGAGGATGGACCCCGAGGCCATACACTGCCCACCATATACTCTTGGATATTCACTCGGTCGTAAACAATGGTGTCGATTCTTTGTTGACTGCATCAGCGACGTGGAATGGAGCTCAAGCGCGTGGGATTCCTTGGTGCTCCCGGATAAGGAGAAACATCTACTTCGAGCTCTAATCTCGTCTCATGCGTACTCAAGAAAGCCTCGTGATTCTATGCAACAGAAAGGAAAAGGGCTTGTCGTTCTGCTCCATGGAACACCCGGCTCTGGGAAGACACTAACTGCTGAGACGGCCGCGGAGGGAACTAGGAAGGCTCTTGTGTCTACTTCGGTTGGTGAGCTGAGTAAGGGTGGGAGGTAAGTTTTTTTTTCCCCTATAATGAAGCTTTTTTTCACTCAACAAACTCATACAGTTTCATTTCTGGATCGGCATCATTTGAGAAGGAGCTCAAAAAGGTTCTTCAATATGCCACGATCTGGCAAGCGGTTGTCCTTCTCGACGAGGCCGATGTGTTTCTAGAGGCTCGGAAGGATGTTGGAAGCACAGAACGAAATTCCTTAGTTGCAGGCAAGTCTCCCACAAATCAATCTTAAAAACTTACTTGAAACATTCTAATTTAGACATAGTATTTCTCAAGGAACTTGAGTACTTTGGTGGCATAGTATTCCTGACGACTAACCGCGTGAATTCATTCGACATCGCCATGAAATCAAGAATCCATCTATCTCTTAGCTACGTGCCACCGGAGATCGAGGTGCGCCGACGCATCTGGCTTCACTGTCTCAAAAATGTGCCAGCGGATGCTTTAGAGATAGATGTGGATAAAACAATCGACTTTTTAGTTACAGTCAAGCTTAACGGAAGAGAAATCGCAAACGCTATGAATACAGCAAGGACATTGGCTCGGTTTGATGGTGCACCTCTAAGGCTTGATCATATTGAGACCGTTCTGGAAGTCCGACGAGGCTTTGACGAGAGTCTGAGGAGTGGAGGTTCGTCTTGAAGATATCATAAAATTGCATGGTTGATACCGTATGCTACGTAGCTGTTGTCAAATCTTATATTATCATTATCATTATCATGCGTTTTGGGCATGAATGTAAACCATACTTATCAATATTCATGGTGCTTAGTTTATGTGAGGTTATCTAGATAGATATGCATACCTACCCAAGTGCCTACCTGTCAGGGGCATAAGTGGAGTAGGCCTAGAAGGAGGTCCTGCGGACCTCCTGCTAGGCAAACGCGAGCTAGCCAGGTATAAGAAGGGGGCGAAGCCCCCTTCAACCTTAGAAGAAGTAGCGTTATTAGTTCATCTCATACTTGCTATATACTAGCAGCGGCTACGCCGCTCCTCTGCACTCACTTTACGCTTGACTTAGGGACCTATTACTGACACTACCTACTTAGATACCTATATATTAAACAACCATATCATGGGGATTAGCCTCTGATTACCTAACTCAGCCGACATTCCGTGGGAGCAACGCTCTCCTTTTACTTAATAGATCATACCGTTCATTGTGCTAGAGATCCGGTACCCACAGACTGTGTATGACATGGTGTGTCTGGGTATGTAGATGCGGCTGTTTCTCTAAACCATTCTCATCTGCGGAAACACAGTAGAGATACGTAAAAGAAGAGCCCTCTACCAATCTCGTTCTAAAGTCTGTCGCCAGCAGGTGTTTAAGAGCGCCGAGCTCCGATACTACAAGACTACAAGACTTTTAGCTACTATTCCTCCAATAAACTAACCGACACCTGACAGTACAATCGTACATGAGCCCTCTTGGGCAAATCATCATGAGATTTCAAATTACCAATCTAATTAGATACAACATAACCTAGGTTCCTGGGTAAATCACGAGTACATAGTACATGTACTAGATATTATGAGATAACAAGAATTATTGTTATTGATAAGAAGCATATAAATAGCAAGGCGAAGTATGTGTGTGGTTGAATGATTGGTATATATGCGCTACAACATTATGCTAAGCCCCCGCCACGCTCTGATCTGACCAAGCCCGACCTCTAAGAGCTCCGGAAAATTCAGTGACAGGAAGCTACGGGACCGAGATTATATTAAATTATCTATTACAACATAGATTTTCATAGTTGTGTTGCACAATGGCCTAGAGTGGCTGCGTTACTGCACGCTTCGTTGTATATCCAGGGCTTCATACATTGCAACTTGCTCTTCATTGGCGATTCATGAAGCATACTTATCTACCTAGTTTTGCATTTCCGACCAGGCAGCGGGTGCATTTCCACGGAATAAGGGGGGTCTGTTAGACATGGCTCAGGTATCTACCCATATAAAGTGCATATGACCTACCTTGAGCGCTTTCATAACTACTTCCCCCTTTTCTTGAACACTTAGCTTTAAGTCCTTTTCACTAATTACCTACTATCCAGTTGCATTCGGTTCAAGGTAGATATAACATATCTTGGTAACCTAGTATCAAAAAAGTACAATCACTCTGAAGTTATCTATCTTAGATAGACTAAGTAAGTAGAAAAATATTCAAGGTTTATACCTACCTATCCAGCCAACTAATTACATATGTACCTACCTACTTACTCAAGTACTTGGGTATATAATACTTATCATGTACCGTACCTAAACTTACACTTTACCTAGTAGATACGTTCCTACTACCCATTACCAACCATATTCGAAAATGTCGAACCCTGATAACTACACCATTGGATGGATTTGTGCGCTCACAGAAGAGCTCGTTGCAGCAGAGGAATTCCTCGGCGACCCACACCCACAACCGGCGCACAGGGCGATCCATGATCAAAATCGCTATGCATTGGGCCAGATAGGCCCTCACAATGTTGTCGTGGCCATATTGCCTCTAAGTCAATATGGAACCACCAATGCCCTTGGTGTCGCCAAAGACATGGCGCATACATTCAAAAATCTAAGGGTCATTTTGATGGTTGGCGTTGGAGGGGGTGTACCGAGCTCCCGGCACGATATTCGTCTTGGTGACATTGTAGTCAGCACCGTTCAGAATAGAATCGGGGGCGTGCTTCAGTATGATTATGGAAAGACGATTCAAGACGAATGCTTCGAAGTCACAGGACACCTCAATCAACCACCGCAACTGGTGCTGATAGCAATTGCGGGAGTGGATGCTAAATACGAGAGATATGGCGACAACATTGACAAGAGCATTGAAAACATCCTACAAAAGAACAACCAATTGCGAATGAAATATCAACATCCAGGCACCAATACCGATAAACTATACCTACCGAACTTCAAGCACAAAGGGGGCGACAACTGTGCTGCGAATTGCGGAGACGATGAATCAAACATGGTTTGTAGAATCGACAGACCTGAAAATGAAAAAGGCCCTAAGATCCATCATGGCTTGATTGCCTCTGGGAACGGGTTGATGAAAGACGCCTTGATTCGGGATAAACTTGCGGCGAAATGGGATGTTTTATGTTTTGAGATGGAAGCTGCGGGCCTGATGAATCATTTCCCCTGCCTCGTTATTCGTGGTATATGTGACTACTCTGATAGCCACAAAAACAAATCGTGGCAAGGCTTTGCAGCGATGAGAGCAGCTGCATATGCGAAAGACGTAATTGAGCAGATTTCTCCGAGCCAGTTACAAACTGAGAAGAGCATCCAGAAAGCTCTTGAGGAGGGTCAGTAGTTCCAACTCCATAATTTATTAGAGATAACTAAAAGTTATGGCATTAATGAATTGACGACATTACAGTCAATAAGGATTTAATCGATATTCGTTCTGATATCGTGACCCTAACGACTAATGAATACTTCGAAAAGCTGAAGACTTGGTTCTCTGCGCCAGACCCCTCAACCAACCTGAAGCGAGCACAGGACCGTCGTGAAAATGCCACTGGACTATGGTTCCTCAACAGCAAGGAATACTCGGAATGGAGAAATATTAAAAACTCCTTTCTTTGGCTCAATGGCATATCCGGGTGTGGCAAATCAGTCCTATCCTCTACCATTATTGAGGATTTAGGAAGTAGAAATCCTTGCTCTTCAGGGACACTGTACTTTTATTTCGATTTCGGCGAATTACAGAAGCAATCATTCGAGAATGTGCTCCGAAGCCTGATAATTCAGCTGTACCGCAAGGAAAAGAAAGTCCAGCATCACCTAGATTCACTATACACTTTCTATAATGATCACGAACAAAGACCAAGCACCGACGCACTGCAGCAAACCCTTCAACGTATGATCGAGGAAGCCGACGAACTGTGGATCGTAATAGATGCTTTAGACGAACGTGTAAGACAACGGGGTGAAATTGAAAAAGTACTTCCGTGGATTAAAACTCTACAGAATAGTCTCACGAACGTCCATCTTCTTGTCACAAGCCGCGAAGAACTTGATATACAGTCTGCCATTGCCGACTGGGATCATCCCAAGATCCTGCTCAATATCGATCGGGCTTTGGTACGGAACGATATTTGTCAGTATATCCGAGCAAGACTGACAGATGGCGAGTTGGGCATGAGGTGGAAAACACAGCCACAGGTGCGGAATGAGATTGAAAAGGCCTTAGTGGAAAAGGCCGATGGGATGTAAGTTCTATGCGACAATCTAAACACAATAAGGCTCTAATGATATTAGGTTTCGTTGGGTTGCATGCCAGCTCGATGCACTCGAATACTGTATTGATCGCCCGATGGTCAGGAAAGTTCTCAAATCCCTCCCAGATACGTTAAGTGAAACGTATGACCGAATCTTGCAACGAATTCCTGAGCCACTTCTTCCGAAAGCAATAAGAATTCTGCAATTATTGGCCTATTCTAATGTGGTCTTAACAATCAATCAACTCGTCGATGCTGTTGCAGTGAACATTGAAGATATAGATGAGTTCAATGAAGCTGATAGAATGCCGGATCCCAAGGAAATATTGGCACTCTGCTCTAGCTTGGTGGTTACGATACCACTATCAACCTTCTCCGAAGAACAATCCGTTGATTGGGATGTCGAGGATTTCTCTGACGAGGACGAGGTCGAGGTGGTACAACTTGCTCATAATTCCGTCAAAGAATACTTAAATCCAAAGCAACCCAAGGAAGGCATAACTGATGAATTCCTAGAGATCAATGCTAGGGCCTCGATTGCGAAAGTTTGCATTGTGCATCAACTGCAATTGCGTGAGCAAGCGAAGGTTCGGCCAGAGTATAAACGACTTGTTCGAACTTATCCACTGCTTTTACATGCTAGTCTATACTGGACAGACCATGCTACTGTGGTTGAATCGAGTTCTGCGGAAATCACCGGCCTCGTCATAGATTTCCTCTCTTGCGAAGATGCGTGCAGACTATATGATCTTATTCAATCGTCTCGTAAAAAAGGGGGGCGATACATTGAACAAGACAGACTCCTTTTCGCAGCAAAATTTGGACTATTCCACACGGCCCAGCGTTTAATAAACGGCGGGGCAGCCGCCACTACTACTACCCTTGAGGTTGCTGTAGATGGAGGCCACGATAACGATCGTGGTGTCGATATTAACGCAAAAGACAAACACGGTCAAACTGCTTTGCATATAGCTATAAACAGAGACCATGAGGGCATGGCTCGTCTTCTAATCGATCACGGTGCTGATACCAACGCAAAAGACAAGAAGGGTCGAACACCTCTGAATTCTTTATCCGGAAGTGAGAAAAGTGAGAGCTTCGTGAAGATGCTGGTTGACCATGACGCCGAAGTTAATACTCGAGATTATTTAGGCAAGACTCCTCTGTTTATTGCTGTGGAACACTACAGATTGGGCCTAATCAACTCGCTACTGGATCATGGCGTTGACATCAACGCAAAAGACTGCTACAACGATACCGCTCTGCAAAGTTTATGCGTGTATGGAGGGAAAATGTGTTACGATCTAGCTAGGCTACTGATTGATCGTGGTGCTGATACGAAGGCAACAGATAAGCGGGGCAACGGTCTTTTACACAAAGCTGCAGCAGGTGGTAACGAGGACCTGGTCAAATATTTGATTGATTGCAATATCGATATTGACGCAAGAGATCGTCATGGTAGAACGCCATTGCACTGGTCTGCAGGAGTAGCCAACGAACCTGTTGTAAAGTACTTAATTGAAAAGGGTGCTAACGTTAACGCGGTGGACGTAGATGGAAACACTCCTCTGCAATACATGCCGAGGGACAACGCAACGATACACAAGTTGTTGAAAGGGGGAGAAAAGGGCGAGGACGATCGACCACAAAAGAGGATACGAACACAGTAGTGCAGGGCGGCAAGAAAAATGTTGGCAAAGTTGTGTACGAAATATCTTCTCATTGACGATCTTCTATTATTTATCATAGCTAGAAAGTTTCTAATTATTCCAATATGCAATCGCTTAACCCGGCACCTTCTCATACTTGCCCCATAACACCTCCCAACATCCCCCCTATGACCCCGTATCCTGCGGCCACTCATCCAAAACAAACGCCTCTCCCTCCAGCGTAAAGTTCCAAACCGCCTGCGTCGGCACATCGACCAGCAGACTGTACTCGCCAGGATACAGCACCAAATCCCCCTTCTCATCACGACGTCCCAAGCTCCCCAGCGTCAGCGCCAAGTTCGCCGTCTGCTTCTTGCCCGCCTCGACGTCGTGGAGCCGCTGGTACGCGACGAGCCGCTTAATCGGAACAGGCGCGGGCCCGTGGTTTCCCGCGACGAAGCCCAAAGTCACGAAATCCGACGTCGTGGCCCCGGTGTTGGACACGCTGACCGAGACGTTCTGGAAGGGACACTGGTCGAGGTGCGCGACGCCCGAGCACGCCTTCGTCAGGTCGGCGATCTGCCACGCGCTCGCGTTACCAGGCGCCGCGATCGCGGCGCTGAAATTCGTGTAGTGCAGGCCGAACCCGAACGGCACCGTCGGCGTCTCGTACCACATGTACGTGCGTCCGGGGTTCCCCGTCCGCGAGTCGGGCCGCAGGCTCATGTCCGTCATCGGCACGTCCGTCACGTAGTGCGCCGGGTACTGGGTGACGGGCAGGCGGCCGGCGGGCGCGACCTTGCCCGTCAGCACGTTGACGATGGCGTCGCCGCCGGCTTGGCCCGGGTACCCGGCCCACAGGATGGCGGAGACGTTGGAGTCGTTGAGGAAGAGGGTGTCGTCGCGCTGGTCGCCCATCTGCAAGAGGATGAACGGCTTGCCGAGACCCGCGAGCTCCGTCATGATGTCGATGTTCTCGCCCGACCAGCGGATCAGCGTGCGGTCGTTGCTCTCGGACTCGCTGGCGGTCGTCGGCCCGTCCGCGAACACGATCACGTCGGCTGCGGCGGCCGCCGCGAGTGCCGCCGGGTACCCGATCGTCACGGGGTCGCCGGGGTCGCCGCCGTACACGGCGTTGATTCCGGGCGTTTGGGTGGCCGCGTAGTACGGCGAGTGCAGGTACGGCGCGATGCCCATGTAGTTGCCCTGCATGTCCGTCGTCGCGTTGGCCCAGGCCCCGATGAACGCCACAGTGAGGTTGCCGTCCTCGGACACCTGGAGCGGGAGCGTGCCGTCGTTTTTGATTAACACGATGCCGGATTCTGCCGCCTTGCGGGCGAGGTCCTCGGCGTACGGCGTGGATACATTGGAGAATGTCAGGGACCGGTACGGGTTCGAGTCGGCGGGGTCGAAGTAGCCTAGCTTGATGAGACCCGCGTACAGTCGCGTGACGGCTTTGTCGAGCGCGTCGTCGTTGATGATGCCTTGCTGGTAAGCGGTGGGTAGATGGATTTGGTAGTAGGTACCGCAGTTGAGGTCCGTCCCGGCTAGGAGGGAACTAGCAGCAGCACCCTCGCGTGTATCACGGTAATCATGAGGCATGTAGACGTTTTGAAGAGCATCACAATCGGAGACGACGTATTGGTAGTCCCGCGTCCAGTTCCAGTGATCCCTAAGAATGTCTTGTAGTATGTACGAGTTCGAGCACGTCGGTACCCCGTTCAGGGCATTGTACGAGCACATGAAGGATCCGACGTTTGCTCGCGCGCAAGCTTCGAATGTTGGCATGTAATACTCGGCGAGTTCCTGGGGATTGACCTGCGCGTCATATTCATAGCGCTCGTTTCCTAGCCAGTCCTCAATGTCGTACGCGACGAAGTGCTGTAGCAAGGTCTTAGTTAGTATGCTCCCTTAAAGAAGACAGCTATGAGATTATGGACTTAGACCTCACCTTACAGGTGGCAATCACTTTGAGGACGTCGGGGTCCTCTCCGCCTTGAAGACCTTTTACTAGAGCTGTTACATAGCTGCTGAGATGGAAAGGATCTTCTCCGGGAGTTTCCTGGCCACGCCCCCATCTAGGGTCACGGTAGGGGTTAATATTTGGGGTCTACATGATCAGGAGTTAGTATTCATGACTCTTTAGGAATATTCATCTTCAATTGGTATAATTGAGCTCTTTCGCGGGGCCTCCTAGACAAGTTCGTCGGTCTTCTCTGCACATCAGAGGCAGGAACATAGGAAGAGAAAATTTTATTGCATAAGCATACCCAATAGTCCAATCCTGACCGATTGAAATTGTTGAATGCGCGGGCTTCGGTGCTAATAACGGTCGCCACGGCCTCGATGAGATCGTCATCGAATGCAGCACCCATCAAGATCGGTTGTGGGAAGGATGTGGCATAGGAAAAGTCACCGGAGTCGCTGAACGCCACTCCGGGCGAGGATGCGACGCCATGCAGAGCTTCTTCTATAAAGGGTCTCAGCGCCTTGTTCTGCTTAGGTATTATGAAATGCGGTGAAGAGGAGGGATACATACGCCACCACTCATAGCTAGGCAACCCGAGCCTTTCGACACCCGGCGACGTGCTTGATAAGAGCCCGAATTTCTCATCCGTCTCAAGAGCCGCGACGAGAGCTTGAGCTCTCTGCCCAACAGAAAGGGCCGTATTACAGACACCATTGTCGGCTAGGGGACCGCTGGCGCAGTTTGGAAAGATGTGGCCGACAGCTGAGACGCCCGAGCTCATCAGCCATATGGCTGACCCTAGGATGAGTGCCATGTCGAAGCTCGTAGGATTACAAGATGGCCTTCAGCTCCTCGTGCTCCAAGCTACCGAAGATCGCTGCCTTGCCATTTATAGCTCCCAAGCTTCCCCAGTCGGTGGAGCAGCGTAGCAACTTTCCTCCTCATATTCCCCGCATCGATGATGCGTCGTGGCTGCAGGATAGCCCGAATATCTCCAAGTCGAACCCACACGAGCTCCAATTGTGCCCGGAAAAATTACAGATGTCCATCGTGGAGGCACATTGGGATCTGCAGTAGGTGCATAAGTGCGCTGGTTGGTTCGGGTGAGATATTACCGGGGAGATTCCCCAGATTAAATTCTTCCCCGATCGTCAGGTTCCAGGGATCGCCGCACGCCGAGTTCATTGCCGGTCGACCAAAACATATGTCATAGCACCATTTATCATTACTAAGAATATTATTTCGGTCAAATTCTTGTTCAATTGAGTTAAGTAAAGCGCTATAGAAGAGGGGCGATGATAAGCCAACTTCTTACATACGAACACCAGCTTCAGATCGACTAGGTAAGTGCAAGGTTAGGTGAGTATTTACCTGATGAGAGACTCGGTGCGGAAAAACACACCCTTGCAGTTAAGAGGTCCTCGAGGTCGTAGCTCATGTCACGTTAAGTAGCTGCCGAATAGTAAATCCCGAGTAACCGAGACAAAGCCTGACCGAAATACCTCAACACTACTATGAAGAGTAGCTACCGAGCCTTCTCGTGTCCCTTCGTACGTCAAGATCCGTATTCCAAGACAACAGACGACGTCTATACCAACGTCTCTGGTGCCGTTCTCAAGTATCATATGATCTTAACGTTACTTCGGTTGCCGTAGAATTCATCCACACCGCAGGTACAAGTCACGCTGCAGTCGCCGATATGTTTCCGCACTTGTGTTCGAGAATTCCTGGGCTTGCCAACGAAGGGTCTTGATGTAGGAAACGCCCATATCGATGGCCAAGGTAAATCTTCTAGAGTTGGAAGTTTCTCGAGGTCTTTCTCAAGCTGCTTGACAATGACAGAGTTACATGTCAGCGTAGTAAGTCCGCTTGCCCAGCCATAAGAAAACACTGATCTTCCAGGATTTAGTACAGTTTCCAGTGTCTTCTTGATTGGACCTGTCAAACGGTGCCGGCAATTATCCTCGTTCACATCGATGATACTGATTGGTAATTGTAAGCAGGAGGGGACTTTGTGGATTGACAATGTCTGTAATTCTTGAACTCGCTGCTCCTGCGATTTTCCAGAGTCAGAACTCAGTATCAAATAAGCACGAGCTTTTTCTGACTCGGTCGCTAATGTGTCGACGATATGGAAGAATGTATCAGCTGCTTCCTTAGTACAGACAAGCTTGTGATTACCTATCATAGGATATACCAAGGATAGCATCGACTGCTCACTTTCTAAGTTAGTATGATCGTTGTGAGAATGGCTAAACCAGGGTTGCTTAGTAACGTTGGTATGAGAAAAGTCAGAGGCGAGAGCAACTAAGAGGGAGGTGTCAATGTTGAGAACTTCTGTGAAGTTCGCTTTCGGGCTTGGTGCCATTGCGTGAAGTAGATCATCCGTCAGAGGGGGCGCCGGCGGCAACGCCTCTCCACAGAGTACATTGACACCTAGCCGACGACAAATGTCAAGGATTTTATCGACTTGAGCTAATACACCTTCTTCGATGCGTGGAAGGATAAGAAAAGTGCTCGGGCTTTTAGTCTGAATGCGGTGTCCTTTGGCAGTGTCAGCCAGGTTCCTAGCTAGTTTTACGAGAGGGATATCCGCATAGTCTTGAGTAACTGTCTCGGTGTCTTCATCGTCGTCACTATCCCCACAGTATACTGCTTCTTTTGCCAAGTCAAATAACACTCTCTTGTTAGTCATGGATGAAACCTTGTACCATGAGTGGCCGCTGTCTGCTATCACATCAACGATGAAGCTTCCTGTCCGGGATGTCTGCGATTGGCCTTGTGTCCGAACGATACGTGTTCCCGGTGCCAAAACTTGCTTCTTAAACGGACCAGTGGGGACGGCGCATCGCACCCTCACGATGTCCCGAGATCTCTTGGCTGTTTCCCACACAGGTTCTAGAAAGGCGAGGTTACTAGACTGCGCGCGATTCAACGTCTGCGGGTCTCCCATCTGGAGCTCTCGGAAAGTTCTTTCTAGGCTCTCTACCTCAGTGCGGACCTCGCTGGAAAAAGAGGTATGGACGTATGTTGGCATATGTTGAAAGTAATCGCTGTACACATCTTCGAGATGCGCCGCGAAGCGCTGAACTTCCGATTGTAGGGACTCCGTGCGCTTCAGCACATTTTCGCATGCAACTAACTTGGCTTCAGAATCTTCCATAGTGGGGCTTGAAATGTCATGAGAAAATGCTGTGAAGAGAATGTAGGAGAACAGAAGAGTGATATCCTGACTTGAGATGTAAAAGTAGTAATTAGGATTAGAAATTTGATGCTATTAAATGCAGTTAGGCGCGTAAGTAACCCCGCATTTTATATGCATAAATGCATATGGGTCACTCAGATATTGCATTAACTAAAATAGTCTAATTGTTGCGGGGCTATTCGTACTTGCTTACCATAACTCCGATCAGTCCACACTGGTTGACTCCCAATTCTCTTCATCAACCGAACTATAACTACTACCTCTGACAATATATTCCTGTACCACCCAGATTCACATAGGAGCGCAGTATCATTAGCACCTAACACCGTCATAGATTTGTCAATGATATTAGTTGATCTACAAGAGGCTCTAAACAACCTGGAAGTCATCGAAAAGCTGATGTTACCATCTCCTAGCTAAACGAGTATAGTGACACTGTGACCGATACAACCTTGGGACTCATCTATCAATCAAATTGCAGTAACGGTCTAACATATAGCATCATCGATAACATCGATAACATCGATAAGAATGCCACTGAAGATTATCATCTGTGGTGCCGGCATCGGGGGTCTTTCAGCGGCAGGATTCCTCCGGGCTAAGCACGATGTCACAGTCCTTGAACGGGGAGAACTGGACTTCACAGTAAATGACTATGGACTGTCGGTCGTTTCGAACTCATTCAACCTCTTGGAAAGGGCAGGGATCAAGACAGAAAATCTCGATACGGTTGTTATGACACATGTCTGGCAGAGAGGCCCTAATAATGAAGAGTTGAAGACCATGCATTTCGATACGAGGGCGAGATTTGGCGGAGCTCCCTCTGTATTAGTGAAACGTGCCCTGCTACAAAAAGAGCTGCTGCGATTCGCAACTGGCCCCGAGTTTTCCGGAGCACCCGCGAACATCATTCAAAATGCTAAGGTAACGCGAGTCGACCCTGCTGCTGGTAAGGTCTGGACCGAAGACGGCCGAGATTTTGAAGGCGACTTAATTATCGGAGCAGACGGTATCCACTCGGTCGTCCGCAGCGCCGTCCTTGGAGAGGATATCACGGCATCTATCAGGACTTACAATACCCTTACTTTCATGGCGCAATTGTCCGTCGAAGATCTGAAGTCGGATCCTGGGTTTGCTTACTTGGCCGACCCCACGACCCAAGCCGGGCTCTGCAGCGCACACGCAAATTCGGGGCCCCGCGTAAACAAGCGCATTCTGACTTATCACACATCACCCCGTGGCTTGCAAGTTGTAGGATACACCTCCGAGAATGAGTTTTCCGAAATATTTGACTCTGCCAAGACAGCCATCATCAGGGACGTCCCCGTATCGCGGGTAGTTGAGGACTTTGCCCCTGAGTTCGCAGAAGGATTCGTCAATCTCTTCCGACATAGCCAAGTCGACGCGTGGAGGATTCGCGATGTGGCGCCCCTAAGCACCTGGTTTTCTGGCAAGGCATTGTTGATAGGAGATGCGGCTCATGCGGTAACGCCCCACGCTGGGCAAGGATGCAACGTCACAATCGAAGACGCTGAAGCGCTAGGGTATCTTTTGAAAGATGTTGAATCGCCCGATGCTATCCCAGAGGTGTTACAGAGGTTCATGGCGCTTCGGAAAGACCGTGTGGCCTTCGTCACGAGGCGTTCGCATGAGCTGGGCAATATACAGACAGAGGAAGAGAAGACCAAAGAGCTCATCACACCTGAGCAGTTTGCGAGGACGATATATACGTATCAGGGTGCTGAGAAGGCATTGAGTGGGCAGCAGATGCCTCCAGCCGTGCGACCAACATGAAATGGATGGGCTTACGGATTGATTTCTTGATTTCTTCGGCCTTGGTTTAAGAAAGTCTTAACGATTTACGCTATATATGAGAAGCCTTATTATGATATCTACCAGTATGTATGACAAGGAAAATAACTCCACTTGTTTACTCAGGAGGCATGAAAATCTACGCTATGTTCTAGAGCGCTGCTTACCGCCTAGGACTAGGAAATATTAACACAATATTGGCCCGCTCAGTTACGTTTTGATGGCAGTTGATCCGCCTACATAAAACGTACCCTCCACCTCGACAATGTCATCGTCATTCAGTCTGCCCACCTCGATAATCGTCCGAGGCGGATATCTGCTGGGGTCGTCCCCCCATATTTCAACCTGCGCTTGGTTACACATCGGCCGGTACCGGAACATATCAGTCACGTAGACGACCAGCCGCACGCAGGAATTGACGTCCGATCCAACCATCTCGGCGAGCGTCGCCATGTTCTGGTAAGCTTGCCTCACACGAGCAAGGCCCACCGGCGCGAGCGTGCTGTTCGGGGGATAGATGCCGCGCATACCTTAGGAATTGAGAGGTTAGTAACAAGCAGGTAGATGCCAGAAACTCTCTACCCACCGGAAATGTACAAAGTGTCTCCCGCGATAGACATCAAACTCCACGGTCCCGTGGCGTTGAAAAAGTTAGACGGATTGAAAATCTGTACTCCAGATGGTGAGGTGTAGTTCGGCTTTATCCTGCCGTGGGAACATGCTACCTGAACCAGAAGCCCGATAGTCCAGGGGATCTTGATGTGCATGATACAATGAACTACCGTGGATCGCTATGATAAAAACAGGTAATTATGTGTCAGTTTATGGCGATTTTGGAGGGTAAAGAGGCAAAATCAATTGACTATGACAATATCTAAATCCAACTACTACTTCCCCTCTCATCGACGCCGATATCGTGGAGTCTTGGCATACATGAGTAGCTATGTATGCTCTTATCAGCACAACTTCTACGATCACTGCTAACTCGGGTGAAAACTCCTCGAGGGCTACATACAATACTAGATTAAATTACATCTACTCTTTATATTAACCCACAGTTTGCATATATTCCAGTTAACAGTCTTCTCATGATGCTTAGGTAAGTACTAGTATCCAACTGCATGTTACCCCTGATCAGAGACATCACTACATGAAATATGTGATTATAAAGCTTGATGTTGGGTTAAAGTTTTATGACAGCTTTCCAATAAACCCATAATATGCGCCAGTAAGTCTAGATTAATCATCCCATATCGAGCAATGCGCCCGCGACATTCGCTGTTTCAAGCCCACAGTCCCGGTTCGGGGTGTCGTCTCAATCTTCACTTGCTCCAATCATTATTTTTTACTTATAGATACCAAGCCCTGTAAATAACACTTCATTAAATAGGTAGAATAAGCAATTCAAGTAATGGGAGTGGTACGAGTCCCCGGGTCAATTGTTGAGTGTTTGTTCCCTACCGTCATTAGTTCGTGAAATGCAGCTCGTCCTTATTGGGTTCATGATGTTTCAAAACAATATTCAATGACAAGAAGGTCCATAATTCAGTTATGAGATGATCCGCTCTAGATTGGGCTCGGATGATCATCGTAGCCTCTATACTGATCCTCTTTGGAAACACTATGCACGAATGCTGTAACAAGTCCCGTCTCCGGCAAAGTACGAGCGATGATATGATAGATTAAGAGGTTGCAAGAACCGCTCTCAATGTCCAGAGAGGTTCTAGACAACTCTTAATATAGCAAAAATGAGGTTAAACGACATAATAATAAGCACGATTGCGACGGCTTCGGTGGCCGACGCAGCCAAGGCACGTCGGGCCAACTGCCCTAATATCCACATCTTCGGCGCTCGCGAGACGACCGCCCCTCCCGGCTTCGGGTCCGCCTCGACGGTCGTGGACCTCGTTATGAACGCAAACGATGGCGCTACATCGGAATCTATCGTCTACCCCGCCGCCGGCGGAAACGAGTATGCCTCGAGTGTGTCGAGCGGCATACTGGCGGTAGCAAACCAGACGAACACTTTCAATCAGATGTGCCCGGACTCGAAGATCGTCGTGGTTGGGTACTCGCAGGTGAGCTTATCTTCCGTAGAGTATTGTGTCTAGAGGTTAGGTTCTGACGATTCGACAGGGCGCGCAAATCGTAGACGACGCGTTCTGCGGCGGCCCAGACGGGACCAGCTTAAACACGAGCATGGCCCTCGTCTCCACAGGGGTCAGCGAGATGGTCGCTGCGATTATACTCATGGGAGACCCTCGCCACGTCAATGGGCTACCTTACAACGTCGGGAACGCAACGGCAGGAGGAGTGAGTCCCGACAAAAACCCCCTACCTACCTACCGTAGTCTCGGAGCATTCGAGCTGACTAAAGTGGAAACAGTTTGCGGCCCGACCGGCCGGGTTCCAATGCCCGGCTTTTGAAAATATCATACAGGAGTACTGCGACGCGGCGGACCCGTTTTGCGCGAAGGGGAATAGCACGGCGACGCACCAGGGCTATGGGCGTGAATATGGACAGGCTGCGCTGCAGTTCGTGCAGAGCAAGCTGGGGGCATCTAATAATACTAAGGCGTCCGCATCAACATCCGGCGGAACTAATGATGTTCCCGCGAGCGCGGCGGGCAGGACACGGTTGGGCGAGGGGTATATGTGGATGTTGCTGGCGCTTGGTGGGCTGGTTCTATAATGAGCGACCGTTAATACAAAATTAATACAACCTTTATTGTCTGTAAAGACAGGTCTCTTGAACCTCAAACGGGGATAATGAAGAATGTGTTAATCTAACATATAAGAAGGGATGATAGTGTGTAGCCGACGGGTTGGGCGGACGAAAAAGGGGGCAAAGGGGGGAATACGGGAAGAATAACACATCGTCATTTGCAATTTGAAATTTATGAACATTTCGATAGGCAGGTCATTTTGATTAGAGCTATTATGCATAAATTCGTATCATACTGCTTCGACAATTTTTTAGCATATAGCTTGCGCGCGTACTAGGAGAAGCTGTACGATTCCCTACCCGAGGCTCTCAGTTAGCTCACCTGTTACCTATTTATACCTACAATTCCCCGCCCTTATCATCATTCGGGTTCGTATGATCATCCAAATCCGCAAAAAGCTCGACGCCCCAGCTCTTGCTAGGGTCATTCATCCTAGACCTTTTATCCTCCTGGCTGATGTTGTACATTTCAAGGACATTGAAGTTGATTTCCCGAGAGAAGATATTTTGGTAGATGTACTTGTCGTGCACGCTTTTGGGAATGACGATGGTGCCCCGTTGCATTCCCCAAGCAAGCACAAGTTGCGCCACTGTAGCGCCCTTGGTTTTGGCCAAGGCTTTCCAGAAAGGGTCTTCTAGAAGGGGCCCGAGGTCCTCGTGGTGGCCGTTATACGTCGGATTGGTGTTCCCGAGCGGCGAATAGGCGATGACCTTTATACCAGCCTCGTGGTGGAAGTTGACGAACTCTTGTTGCTGGAGGTAGGGATGGGTCTCGAACTCGTGTGCATACGGGCAGATGTCGCAGATTTCCAGGATCTGGTTAACATTTCTCCTGGAAAAGTTGGAGACACCGATGAACCGTGTGAGGTTGGCCCGTACCAGATCCTCCATGGCCCGCCAGGTATCGACTATCGTCGTGTCTCTGTCAAGTTCACTATCTCCACCAGGGACAAAGGCAACCGGCCAATGCATGAGATAGAGATCTAGGTAATCTAGCCCAAGATCCGAAAGTGACTGTCTGATAGCCGGTTCAACGTTTTCGGGACGGTGATCGGTATTCCACAGCTTGCTCGTCACCCAAATGTCTCGCCTGTCAACATTGGCTTCATGGATTCCTTTTCCAGTCTGATCCTCATTTCCTACATGTCGCATCAGTTTCTAAACTCGTTCATCTTCTAGCAATGCTTGAGGAAGGGTATTCATACGATATATGTGTGCTGCATCAATGTGAAGATACCCTAAATCGAGGGCGTATTTGACGGCATGTGCAGCCTACAAGAACCTGTAAGTTTGTCCATGTTCACTTTATTAGGGCATGAATATATTTACCTGCTCTCCATCTGAACGCCAGGTCCCTAAGCCAAAGGCTGGTATTTCGGGTACTCGCGACCATTGAGCTTGTGCGGCGACCTGAGGGGTTAACAGGGGTTGGATAAGAAAAAGGGGGGCGACTGTAGCTATAGCCGACAGATATTGAAGGAGTGCCATTTTACGTGACCTTCTACGTGACCTTTGAGCTTCCCTTGGCCTCAATTGCAGCTTGACAGGTACCGTATCTCCTAGCGAAGAAGATGTGTATAAATTGTGAGCAGCTTTGCGACGGCGCATTTTTGTAGCTGGGAAGAACCTAGTCGACCCCCGCATAGTATGTACTAGGAAAGCTCCACGGTAGCATTGATCATAGTGTCGATGCATGACATCATTCTCTTGCAACATTCTAGAAAACAACATATTAAGTCTAAGCATATCAACGTCAAAGAGTGAACGTTGTGGTACCTCAACCTTTCATATCAATCGATGCAAGAGGCTGTTCGGGGAAACAGCTCCTGTGACGTTACGATGATGACGCCCGACAATCGTGTACTACGAAGTACATATATAGATAGCAACGGAGCTCACCTGGGCAGGGACTCGTTTAGCATTTTAACCTCATCGACTTCCTTAGCACACTGCACAGCACATATAAATCTCACATCAGATTGATCGTACCTTATTCCCTAGTCTGCCGTAATACCGCTTTGATTGATCAGTATCACCCAAGCACCAACATGTCCAACACCCACGGTTCTGCTCGTATCTATGAGCAGGGAGATCAGGTAAACTACCCGCGGTCCAATGTGGCAAACGAGGAGAAGCACCATACGATGAGCGCCGAGGGTTATAGACCCAGTGAGTTCAAAGTCTCATCTTCGCTTTTGATATATTGCTAAGAATAACCCAGAGGACCAAAACAAAGCTATGAACAAAATGCTTGAGGAGAACGTACGTCCGAGGAAATAAGCACGGGCTTATAGTGAATTTCATTCTAACGTCAACAGATCCAAGACGAAGTTGCTGAGAAATACAAGCACGACCCCACCTATCGTGTAAGTAATCTACAAAAGCAACAGGCGCATCAATCCTACCGATACTTATAGTTTTGATAATAGGCGACGATGCACGGGAATGAACCGTCGAAGGGCGCAAAGATCGACGCCGAGATCCAGCGCGAGGATGAGGAGCTGATGCGAAGGAAGCAGGAGAAGACCGATAGCTTACCTGGGAAGAAATGATTGACTGAGCTTTAAAGTTCATGGGAGGATATTGTCATCCATAATAGTTACTTATCCGCAATGAAGTATCTCAATAGGTAGGAAAAAAGGGGTCATAGATAGGTAGGTAAATATCCTACCGAATTACCTTCGATTCCCGGATGTCGAGACATGTGCAAGTCCGGGGTTGATTGTGCATAGGCTCAGAGCGCACCATCCGAGGGGTGATTATCAACGGAATACCCATTATCAAGGCTATTCTTGCCCTTTCCTCTTGTATGATTCGTTTCCTCGTAACACTCGTCTAGCAAGTTACCGTAGAAAGTTTATGCAAGCTTAACTTTAGCTCGGGAGAGAAAGTTGTTGGATAGTGGATAAGAATGAAAAGCTTCAGTTAAGCTCTGATTTTCTATTACGTAATCTATCACACAAATTGCTTATCAGTGCAGCAACGTAGGTGCCGAGGTAAATTTTGCAACTCGCTACCAAGTGTCTCCGTGCCTCTGTGCCTCCGTGCCTATCTATTTCGGGGCGGAAGCTTGCAGCATGAGTAACTGGCGCCAAATTGCCGACTAAAAAGCGGGAGACTCTCGTTTGTGCTAGATCTCCATGAGGTAATCTCTCCCGTAGCTGCAGCGCTACGTACGCTTTCATTCTGAGATCGGCCATATATCACCAAATGCCGTTTCATTTAGGTACTTCAAAGGCGCGGAACGGCATCGCAAGCAACTGCTAGTAAAGTAGAGGAATGGTCGGCGTCTCGCGAATATCTACGCGGGGGAATGATGATTCCTCATCATCCACATTGCATCAAGCGATGACCTTATGAGTACGTACCTAAGGATATATGAATAGGTTCATTCCGTGCCTCTCGATGATTAAAAGACACCTACTTGACCTACAGATTCATTTTTCACAAATCTGATACCAACCAGCACAATTGATCTCATCAGCCAAGTATTTCATCACGTCATGGCATCCCAAGACTATTCAGCGCCGTTCACCCTCTATACATACACCTGCTCAATATGCGCCATCATGGTACAGATGACTTACGAGATGCGCGGATCTCCTCGCGAGGGAAGACCAGACCTCAAGTTAGAGCGGAAACAAGTTGACATTGGCCCCACCGGTCGTGAGCAATTGTCCGAATTCTACCTGCTCAAAGTCAACCCGAAAGGGACTGTTCCCGTACTTGTCAACGAGAAACTCCTCGACAAGCCTATGCCTGAGAGCGTCGATATCTCGTATTATATCGCCGACTGGTATCCCAGTTTGCTCCCGCCTCAGCACAAGCAGGTGATCCATGAACTCATGGAAGAGTTGCATCAGATTAGCTACAAGCTCTTGACCTTCGGTACTCGGACGAAATTTCCAGAAGTTGCCGTCAACTGGATGCGCGAACGGATTAACCGGACGGATATCTCGGACGAATATAGGAAGGCCTTAGAGTACAAGGTAGGACTGTATGTAACCCTAACCCTAACTCTTACCTTTACCCTTGATTTACTATTATAGGCCGAATTGCGTTGAAAGTTTGCTAAAGAACATTGTATAGAACGAAGGGATGGGCAGACAATCATTCCGAGGCCGACCTGGCGCAAAACGAAGACAGTACGCGAGCCTTCTGTGCTAAGATCGTCGCCCTGATGGAGAAGCGCCCTGAGCAGAAGGACAAGTTCACGTACATCTTCGGACCTGAGCCGACAGTGCTAGATGCGCACGTGGTAGTGTTTCTCGGGCGACTGTATGACAAGGGAAGACTTGATCTTCTTCCGCCGACTTTGGTCCGGTGGCACGAGCAGCTCAGGAAGACAGACATGTGGAAGCGAGCCGTGCCAGCCGGAACAACTCTCCCGCCGATGTCGTAGAAGAAAAAGAAAGCTTACAAATGGCCATCTACCTCGTGTATATCCTATGTGAGTACCTACCTAGACACCCTTCGCCGCTTCACAATGAAAGGGGGAAATGAAGAGTCTATTGGTAACGTTGTGCAATGTCCCTGGAAATACAGCTGCACAGCATCGCAATGGTATAATGGACGGGTTTATGTTATTGTCTATCCTATTGTAACTGAGTATTTTACCACACAGCGAATTAACCTATCACGATGTCGTCGGTCTATCGCTTTGCATACCGGTGGCTTTTCATAGGTCTTTTATCCGAGTCCCGTTGCTCGGCGAGATTAAAGAATTATGAAACACGTTCTTTAATAATCAACGAGATTCTCCGGAAGGTCGGGCTTAACTCATACCTGTTTGGGCGATTTAAAGATTCCATAGGAGCTTCTAAGGGTGGATCTAAGGTCCTCGATCTACGAGATTGCGTACAGAGATGCATGACGTCGGTAAACGAGTCTAGATCCCAGGACATAGAATACTAAACCCCGGTTTCCACCCGCACTACGACGCAGTTAGAGCTTATCCCGCAGTGGATTTCGTATCATCCTTTCTGCCTTTCCAATCAAGTGCTAGACATTATCCTCTTAAATCCGTTCTAAACTAGACACCCGCCGTCTAGTGCAGATCGCTCGGAGACTTTGAATATCAATACCTATATTCCTGCTGACACTAGGCGATGATGGCTATGCGCTGGCTGACTGGTTGACAGGTTGAATACCCAGAAAGCCGTGAACTCTTTGGCCATGTTATCTCCATAAAGCCCATTAACCCGCTTGATAGTTTGTGCACGGTCTAGCATGTGGACGGGACCCGTCCACATTTATGTAAACATCGTTTAGCTGTCGCTGTCGTGTTGCATCAGATTCGGACGATCGGAGATGGAACCTATTACGATTCATCCAATTCACCCCTATGACCTCTGGAATACGTAGACTAGACACACAGGCGGAGTGATTCTGCCCGATCTTGGGCTACATTTATGCATGGCATGCTGCCCTTCATCTTCCATGGCAGCATCAACCCGATCCTCCGCCATGCGCCGAACTCCTCATCGGTGGAACCAAACCCAGCAGTTTTTCGCGCGCACTTTCGTCGTCATGCGCCACTTTGAATAGCCACGAAAGAGCGAGGACGGGCTCCGAAACGGCTTTGGAAGCCAATATAAGATATAGTAGGATCCTGCGGCCTTGGATGAAATAGGATTCATGAGCGTCACACAACATCTTTCGGCAGTAACATCTATATATTAAGTTAATAAATAGAATATGGCGCCTCTGCAAGCAGCTAGTTCCCTCAATTGGGCCTTAATCGGCGTAGTATTAGTGAGTTCGCACCCCCCGCGCCGAGCTATATAAGTCGGAGATCGAAAGAGTAAGTAGGAGCCATTCAACTAACCAGACCCCAAGGTTGTTTCAGTGATTGTAGGCAAAGCGATCTACAATGTGTTCCTACACCCTCTGCGATCCTATCCCGGGCCTTTCCTTTGGAAGCTCTTCCCCCTCGCCCGATGGATTCGCTTTTCGCACGGAGACCTGCCCTTTTACATGAGAGAGCTGCACACCAAATACGGGCCCGTCGTGCGGATAGCCCCGAACGAGTTGGCGTTCTGCCATCCCCAAGCGTGGAAGGATATCTACGGCCACCGCTCCGGAGGCGCGCCGGAGCTGCCCAAGTACGAGTACTTCTACCGCGCCGTGGACAACATACCGCGAGGTATCCTCAACGCGCACCGCGATGAGCACGCCGCCCTGCGCCGCCAGCTGTCGCACGGCTTCTCCGAGCGCTCGATGCAGCTCCAGGAGCCCATCATCGGATCGTACGTCGACTTGCTGGTCCGCCGGCTCCAAGAACAGTGCCAGGGAGGCGCCGTCGGCCTCAACATGCGCGAGTGGCTGAACTGGACGACGTTCGACGTCATCGGCGACCTAGCCTTCGGCTCGTCGTTCGACTGCCTCGAGAAATCCGACTACCACCCGTGGGTCAAGCTCGTCGCCAACTCGGTGCAACAGACGGCCGCCATGCACGTGCTCGCCGGCATGGGGCTCCGGCCGCTTATCCGGGCCCTCCTCAAGATGACGAGGCTCGCGATCACGGACAACCAGAAGTTGGTCGCGGCGAAGCTGCAGCAGAGGATCGAGCTCGGCGTCGAGAGGCCGGATTTCCTCGAGGCGTTCATCAAGAAGAAGGAGGCGGGCGAGATGGGCTTCTGGCAGATCGCCGCGAACGCCATGATCCTCATCGTGGCCGGGAGCGAGACCACGGCGACGCTGTTGAGCGGCGCGCTGTTCCTGCTGACGACGAACCCGGATAAGCTCGAGAAGCTCACTCAGGAGGTCCGGTCTTCGTTTAATAATGATGATGAGATTACTTTGAGCTCGGTTTCGAGGTTGTCGTATATGCTGGCCTGTCTCAATGAATCCCTTCGAATGTACCCTCCTGTTCCGACCGGAATGCCGCGACAGTCTCCGAAGGGCGGTTGTTTCATCTTGGGGAAATTCGTTCCTGAGGACGTGAGTCATTAATCCCCTTTCAGCCCCCTCTTGCCGCTATATTAACGTAATTCATACCCAGACCGTCGTAGCCGTCTGGCAGTATTCCGTCAACCACAACCCGAACTTCTGGACGGAGCCGGACAGTTTCGCGCCGGAACGATTCATGGGCGACCCGAAGTTCAAGAACGACCAGCTCGACGCGATGCAGCCTTTCAGCGTCGGCCCGCGGAACTGCATCGGTCGCAAGTAAGTTTTTCGCCCTTCGCGTGGTTGGTTGTCGTAAACATCACGTGCTAACGTTGGATTTACCTAGCATGGCTTACGCCGAGATGCGGCTTATCCTGGCCAGGATCATCTACAACTTCGATATGGTGATTGCTGATGACAGCCGCGACTGGGTGAAGATCCAGAAGGCTTACACCCTGTGGAAAAAGCCGGCGTTGAACATACACATGAAGCCCGTCGTCAGGTGAAGGGGGTGATCATGGCGTCTGTTTTTCGAGATATGTGAGATTATGGTAAAGCCTTCAGATTGATAATGATCTTGTAGCCTCGTTCTTCTCTATTTGCGTGTATTATTTCTTGAGGTTAACAGGTTAGTGTAGGTAGGAATGGGATAGTTAGGAATTCCATACTGTATTTTACCAGTAATTTATCTTCACGAACACTGCCAGTCAGCCACGTGGCGTGCCAAGCTAAGCACCAGGTATCATCAAATGCAGGTGAATATTTGCTTTTGCCGGACTTCGTGGGGAAAACCGGCCTCTTCAACTGGCTGCTTAGGTAAGATTCTATGGTAAACAACTGAATGAAACCGATTTGATAGGTAGCTTCTGGGTATCAATGTATTTTCTATTTCAGAAGTAGGGGATGCCAAGAATTCCGGAGCTATCTACATGATGGTAGGTAATTACTCGGTGTTGGTGCAGGCTCCCCTTTTTTAGCTAGCTCTTAGACTGCATACCGATATTGGGGCCGACCCTCCATGCCCGGCGCGTGGGGAACTTCTCCTGAATCGAGTTTCTTATTTATACGAGCATAATACTGTCGCATCATCAAGGCTGTAACAATGAAAACACCTTGGGTACACCCGACAGTGATAAGCGCTGGCCGATAGACCGGTGCATCTTGCTCTCGATATATTAACGACGAAACAATGCCTGCCAAGTTCATAGCCATGTAATTCATGCCAAGAGATACGGCCCGGCCCGTCGTGGTAGGGGTGTTCGATGCAATCCATACAGGCACTAAGTTACTTGGGATGAAGGTAGCAAATGTGATCAGGTACGTTAAGAAGTACCCGACTTGAGGCAAGCGGACTAAGTCTAAGGTGCCCAGAAGGATCCAAGCTATCAGGGAAATGACTATGGTGCCGCAAGCATATGTCGCGCGTTGCTGGTAGCGGTCCGAGAGCCAGCATATCGTAACTTGGAACACTGACGCTGTCAAGTTGGGTCCGACGGTATATAAATTAGCTGTTGTAGTCTTATTTGTAAGTCTTTGAATCATTGTCTACAAGAAGTTAGTCAAGAGCAAGTCATCCTGCCGTAGACGGGAGGCAACACGAACCGGAAGGAAGTTAGAGCTACTAGCTACGCCAACGCCATACATCAAAGCCATAAACGCGAAAGCCCACGTCGGCCAATGCCTGAGCTGTTTCTTCGCATCATCCCACCGAAATGTCTTATCTTGGTCTTGTGAGTCTTGTTCGAGACGGCATTTGGCAAGTTTAACCTCCTCCTCTGTATACCACCGGGATTTTTCGGGGCTTCGGGGAGCGAAGATATAAAGATAAGTGGCAACGACAACAGTGATCGAGCCTTCGATGAGGAATAAATATTGCCAGCCCTTATCCCGGAAGCCAAGGTCAGGAATCCCCTCTGTGTTCTTGGAATTGGGGTGCTCACCTTTAATCTTCCTTCCCATTGGAAAACACTCCATGATATCAAGCCCGATACAGCCCCCTGAAGTAGCCATGTAAGAGAAGTGCCTAAACTGACGTGTTGGCTTTCCACTTACCGCGATGAAGCCCATTTGTCCAATCCATGAGACTCGAAACGCGATCTCTTTTCTAGTATAGAACAATGACAAATAGTAAACTTCGCAAGGTTTATCTAGGTAGTTTCTGTCAACGCTTTTTCCTGCGATATATAGGTAGTGTTCTCTAACGTACTATGTTCTTAGTTAGCAACCAAGGGCTTCTAAGGAGAGTTACACACATACCAGGCTGCTTCAAGGGCACCCGTTACAATCCTCGCCGCCATAATACCAGAAAAGTTCTTAGCAGCGGCAGAGGCCATCGTGCAAGCTCCCCAGCTCAAAATGGCAAGAGGAATGATCCGAGCAGGATTATACCTCCTTGCCAATATAGACCAAGGGATATTGAATAGGCCATACGGGATATAGAACAAGACCAATAGAAGCGAGAATTGGTTGCCTATTAAACCCAAGTCTTTCTCGAAGCCATCGGTCTTCGCATTTCCTATATTGGCACGGTCAAGGGTATGTGTAAAGTATGCAAGAGCTTGAAAATAGTCAGCAACGATTCCATGTGAATATGGGGAAAACAACACCCGCCTAAACCCGGCATCATCAACAAATCAGTTTTCCTCACGAGTCGTTTCTCTGCCGCAATGACATTCTCAGACGGTCTATCATCCTCCACGGCCACGTAATCGCGTCGTTTTTCTTCTTTCTCGTTATCTCCCATGGCTAAGACGTCAGTGTACGGCTCGTTAAACTCGCGCGTCGGACTTAAGACAGACGTTGGAAGACATCAAGATAATAAGATAGGTATATTAAAATTATCGGTGATTAGAATTCGTACTATACTGTCTCGATAATTGGAATGTGAACTCTACAGTGATATCTAATAACGTTCCGCCCTGCTTGAGGCTCTGGCGTGCTGGAAATTGCGTGCTTATCAACAATATATCCGCCGCGGACGGGGGTGCGGAACCCTGCAGGAATGGCAGATATTAGAGGTGGTACCGAACATCTCCAACCCAACCCGCATCGATTGATGCTGGTACTGCAACCTCAACGACAGTCACCTAGCTAATCGAGCTGACTCGCTTAGCAGATGCGGGATTACCTACTCCAAATCTATGCATATAGAATCTGTCTCAGCCGACCGGCCCGAGATTTCTCATTTCTCACATACACAAAGCTTACTAGGTAGCTTGGAGAAACGCGTCTTCGACAGAGATCGCATGTTGGCCCCTCTTCCCTAAACGAACAGCATGGTTTACGCTATGATGCGATACTAGAGTCACATTACGCCACCAAATTTTAGTTGAATATGAGAAGTGACACAAGAGCTCACGATAACGATGTGCTTGGAGAACTCCACCAACGTGGCCGGCAGGCAAGCCGGATTCAAACCTTGGCGTCGGGTTGCGGAAACAAGACTCCTAGGTTAGATTTTCGGCCGAGTAGTACCGACGATCCCGACATCGCAGATATCTACGATCTCAAAATTGGTCTTGGAGGGGATATTTAGGGTCATTTTGATGTTCAATTGAAAATCACGCCTGGGTGCGTGGAATATAGACTGAGTCTCCGGGACGGCGACCGACGTTACGCGATGTCATCCAGTGGCGAGGCTGATTCAAGCCCGAGAACACCTCTCCGGCCGACAGCAAGGCCAGATCGGGTAGACTCAGAATCGGATGGAAATGCTCTCATTATCCATCCTCAAGCTTCGCAATATAGTTGGTGGAGACGTTGGCGAAATACAATAATCGCAGCTAGTTTTGCCGTTCTCGCTACCCCTTTTACAACCCTAGGGAGCTGGCTTTTGCCAGCGGAATCCCCGATTGACCCAACCAACTATGCCCTGCGGACTAGGCGCATATTAGAGACGACGCCTCTCATCGACGGCCATAATGATTTCCCGTGGATGCTACGCGTCGAACTACATAATCGCATATACGATGGCAGATTCAATCCAAATCAGCGCCTTCTAGGCCACACGGATATCGGCCGAATGAGGCAGGGGATGATGGGAGGCCAGTTCTGGAGTGTGTATGTCAAATGCGACACAGCCCAACAGCACTTCGAGGATCCATCTGTATGCCTCTCTGATCGCCTAATTGCTTTCAGTATATCCCTAAAATCTAACCTATCTATGGCGAAATCCAGTGGATAGTGCGTGACACTCTGGAACAGATCGACGTAGCAAAGCGATTTATAGCTGAATCCCCGGAAGTATTTACTTACTGTGAGACGCCCTCCTGCGCTCGCGCCGCATTCAAGAATGGCCGCATCGCGAGCATGCTAGGGATCGAAGGCGGCCACCAGCTCGGAGGCTCCATCGCTGCTTTGCGACAAGCTTACGACTTGGGGGTCCGATACATCACGACTACGCACAATTGCGACAACGCGTGGGCGACTTCGACATCAACCGTCGCTCGCGGAAACCCCGATAAAGGCCTCACAGCATTGGGCGCTGCTTACGTCCGCGAATCGAATCGCCTCGGGATGATGATCGACCTCTCGCACGTCTCTCACCAAACTATGCGGGACATCCTGTCTATCACTCAAGCCCCTGTAATCTTCTCCCACTCAGGCGCATTCTCCGTCACGCCTCATCTGCGCAATGTACCTGACGATGTACTCCGGGGTCTACGTCGGAACGGGGGAATTGTGATGGCCGTGTTCGTGAATCGCTTTTTGAACATGAAGGACCCGAGTGCAGTTACTATTCACGACGTCGTAGATCATATCTGGCACTTAGCTGAAGTCGCTGGTTGGGAACACGTTGGGATTGGGTCTGACTTTAGCGGGACCCCTTTTACCCCCAGCGGTTTGGAGGTGAGTGACCCCTTAGACACTGTTCACTTCGAATTCATCGTATGCTCATTCCTTCTCAGGATGTCTCGAAGTATCCAGATCTAATCGAGCTCTTGATGGCTCGTGGAGCTTCTGATGACCAGATCAGACTCCTGGTGGGGGACAATATACTGCGTGTTTGGGGGACCATCGATCGCAGAGCCAAGGAAATTCAAGCGGAAGGGGAGAAGCCTGTCGAAGAAGAATGGGAGGGCCGAAAGTGGCATAGAGGTTACAAACACTCTCCTTACATGTTCCGAGAGACGAGGGAGTTAGCAGCGAGAGAGGATTGGGGTGAGCCTGAGCAGTTCAATGTTGATAAGTCTGGGAAACATGCTTCCATAGCGAAAGCCGACAATGACATCTAGTTAGTTCTATTCCCGAATATGCTATTCCATAAGATCCCGAGCAATAAAGAATCTGACCAACACTCAGAGTGGTCACAGTGGTTAAGATTTGCTGCCACTGATTTTCTTCGCACCATTGGAAATCAAGTTCGAATAGATAGGAACGGGATGCAAATCGTCAACGGTCCACTGTATCACGTAATCTTAAAGGGGATCCCGCGACAGAAGCCATACCCGCGCCACGATAATAATGAATGTTTCGGTTATCAAACCCCGAAACGCAACAGGTTTACCCGATACCAGCTATTCGGGTTCGTCAACACGGCACTAACGATGGATCTACGGAGCAGGCCCATCACCGAATCAATCAGGATTCGCTAGTTCGTAGAGGAGGTTGCATGCAAGCGGCCATCTAACAAGGGTCGAACGTTGCTACCAGAGATGGGTTAGGACAACCCTAGTCGCGCCGAGTACCATCGTGTTACAATCTATAATAACCCATTGGTTAGAAAGGCATCGTAGCCTACCATGCGGGGATCTCGCTTGAAGGGAATCCGATCATTGAACGATGGTACCTACATGATATGATGATGGTATTTCCTCGGATTCGGGAGCCTTTATCTTCTGCTCGATAGCCATAACTAGGAGACGGGACGAACCATAGAACATCCTACCTAGGGAGTCAATTTTCCAACCAAGATGGCCGTCTTGCCCAATTCATTGAATAGCTTTGCGACGATTGATATAGATTTTTTCGTGTCGTTAGCCAAGTTCTTATTCTTCGCCCCGACAATTCTGTTAGTCATATACGTTGCTCTCAATGAAGTAGTGCGGCTACGAGCTCGAATTCCTAACCTGCCGGGGCCATGGGGCTACCCCCTATTCGGGAGCATTCTATCGTTACGCGGAACCGCGACGTCGGATGAATATAGGATAGTACGTACTGTCTTAAGTCACTCCAAAAGCACGAACCAACCAGCTCGATAATGCCTGATATACCTCGAGGAGTGACAACCAAGCTGATACTACCATCATAGTGGGCTGAGCGGTACGGCGATGTGTTCCAAGTACAGTTAGGAAACGTCACAGCCGTAGTAGTCAACAGCGCAGCAGCAGCTCGTGCACTCTTCATCAGCCAGAGAGAAGCGACGAACTCGCGCCCCGTTTTCTACGTCTTGCATAAGAAAGTTCAGCAAGGCGGTCCGGTAACGAGTATCGGAACTAGTCCTTGGAACGAAAGCTGTAAGCGGCGGCGCAAAGTTGCGGCTACGGCTTTGAACAAGACTAGTACTGAGAGTTATTATCCAGTATGCACATCACCCAAGTTAAAAGACAGTGATCCCTCTTACCTAACTCATATGTAATAGATCCTAGATCTAGAATCAAGAGCGTTCATTCTAGATATCTTATCCAGTTGTGGCGGCGGCAAAGTAACTGTCGACGTGCTTGACCTTACGCGCAAATTTGCGTTGAACCTCAGCTTGACACTAGCCTACGGGACTCGGTAAGCATGTACAGTTCTTACAACAAAAGGGGGCGACTAACAACCACGTACCTAGCGTCGAGGATGTCAAGGATTTACACCGGGACCTCATGATCTCCGAGATCGTGTACATCGAGGAAGAAATCTCCAAGTTCAGGAATCCTGCAAGCAATCACTCTAACTACATCCCGCTGCTTCGGCCGCTTAACACTATCGCCGGTTGGCTCGGACTCCAGAAGGGTTCGCACATGGCCGACATAGGGAAACGACGGTATGCTTACCACCGCGTTCTCCAGGAGAAGCTGAGGAAAGACATCGCCGATGGCGTCGACCGCCCCTGCATCCAGGGAAATGTCCTTAAAGACCCAGAGAGCAAAGGCCTCACTGAGGGAGAACTCCTCAGCATCGGATTGAGCATGCTCGCGGGCGCTGACACCACCAAGCGGTCGATAATGTGGGCTATCTTGCTACTCGCGCATCGCCCAGATATCCAGGAGAAAGCATACCGGGCGATCAAGGAGGCGGATTCCCGTCTGCTTGGGTCGCCGAATGTAGCGCATACTAGAGTCGAGTATGTGGAGGCTTTCACGAAGGAAGTCGGTCGTTATTTCGTAGTTCAACGTCTCGCGCTCCCGAAAGCGACGTACTCGGAGGTCCAATGGAACGGTGCGACGATACCGCCAAACACGCTCTTATTTCTAAACTCGTGGGCCTGTACTAGGGGTAAGTAACTGTTGTTAACCTTCAGTCATGTAGCACTGTCATGTTTACTAACAACTCTTCGCGTATCTAGATCCAACCGTGTTCTCAGATCCGAATGTATTTGAACCCGAGCGTTGGATGGTCGGCGACCAGACGGCAAACCGACACCAGTACGCCTTCGGCATAGGAGGCCGCATGTGCGTAGCAAGCCACGTCGCGACCAAGGCTCTCTACGCTGCTTTCTTCCACCTAATTGCGCACTTCCAAGTCCTCCCGGCGGAAGACACGAAGGACCCTATTGTTGCGGATCCCATAGAGGGCCTACTAACTCGGGAGAATCCCATTGCGGGTCCGAAAGCCAGGACAGTCCGATTTGTGCCGCGGAATGCTGATATAACGAAACAGATGCTCTCCGCGGAGACTTGATGAAGATGCATCATGCGCATATGGATATCTTCAGTTGACATATAATATTACACTGTACATATTTTTGAGTAATCGTACGTCTACCGAGCAAAGCCCGAGTTCCTAGGTACATATTGTTGTTTTTCACCGGCAGCTTGTAGGAGTTACTGTGAGGTTACCCTCCGGGCCGTTCAGCCCAAGATAGACAAGCCTGGCGTTAGCCACGCAGTAGGGAAAGCCAATAAGAGAGGTGATTTAGGTAATTAAGATCGTATATCTCCGTCCATCTCCGCGCATCTCCGGATTCATCTCGTCTATCGTATGCAACCGTTTATGTACCACTCTAATCTCTCACATCTGCACTCCTACCAAAAAGCCAAGTCCAGTCGAAGCCCGGAGCTTACTCAGTGCCAGGCCATCTTGCGCAGATCCCTGCTGAGTTGGCCCTGGACACGCGCTTCCGTCGCGGTCTCCACCATCTGCCCCAGCTTCTCGTCGACACGTCGGAACATCGCTGCACGGGACTGAGTCAGCTACACTGTATGACTCCAAGGGTATCGTGAAAAAATAGACGAATAAATGAAAGAACAGTGATTAGTGAAAATCAACATACCATAGGCTTCCTCCCTAATCCACTTCGTCTGCGCGCCACTCAGGTGAGCCGATACGTTACCCACGAATCGCTGTTGCGCACCGTCTTGCTTCTCCATCAAATGCCACAGGGCCGCAGACTGCTCAAAATCCTTATCAGTAACCTCCGAGGAGAATACCACAGGCACCGCGTTATCAGCCGCTACCTGGTCGAGCCCGCCGCGTCGCTGGGTTTGAGCCTGTCCCTCTTGCCCATACTGGAGGAACCTCGTTGGCTTGATCTTCGCACCGATGTAATTCGGGTCGCCGCCGTAGTTCGCCGTGAAATTCATAGCCCCGTCGCGCTCGATCGGGCAGTAGACCTCGCTCTTGGCCGCGTTCGTAGGCAGGAACTGGTAATTCGCGCCGAGCCGATAGCGCGCCGCATCCGGGTACGCGAACATGCGCGCGTGCAGCATCGGGTCGGGGCTCGCGTCGATGCCGGGGACCATGTTGCTCGGGCTGAAGGCGGCCTGCTCGATCTCCGCGAACCAGTTCGCCGGGTTCTTGTCGAGCGTCATGCGGCCGACTCTGCGCCGGGGGTATTTTCCCAGGGGCCAGGTCTTGGTCATGTCGAAGATGTCGATGGGCGCGTCGGCGATGTCTGAGGGGCGCATGACTTGCACGTACATATCCCATGAAGGGAAGTTGCCTGATCGGATGGCGTCTTGGAGGTCCGCGAGGTTCCTGTCGGGTTCGGTGCCGGCCAATATGGCCCCTTCCTCGTCCGTGAAGTAGTGAATCCCCTGATTAGTCAGGAAATGGATGCGGACGTAGCAGTATGAACCATCTGCTTTGGTGAACTTATAGGTATGGCCACTATAAGCATTCACGTGTCGGAAGGAAGCGGGAATTCCTCGATCCCCGAAGAGGAACATTAACGCATGGATGCTTTCCTGGTTGTGGACGTGGAAGTCCCAGAACATGTCCGAGCTAGCGACTATTCAGGCATTAGAAGAGATAATAAAGACATACCGGATCAGATTTCATAAGGTACTTAGAGGGGTTTCTAAGGGGGAAACTCTCTGAACACATCTTGAAGATGATTGAAGCTGACTTACTATTTGTCCGAGGATCGCGCTTGTGGCTACGATTCAACGAAGGGAACTTGGTCGGGTCGCGAACGAAGAATACCGGCTATATACACGTCAGTAATACGTTTAGAAAGACAAAATGTGTAACTGAGCATACATGATTGTTGAACACGAAGTCATGGTTTCCTTGCGAGGTCTTGAACTTCATAGCAAAGCCCCTGAAGTCTCTCACGCTATCCGCTGACCCCTTTTCAGGGCCAACAGTGGAAATACGAGCGAGAACTTCTGTCTTCTTGCCGACACCAGTCAAGAAATCAGCGTCGGTAAGATCTGAGATATCATCTGTGACTTCGAAGTACCCTCTTGCTCCTGCTGCTTTAGCATGGACACTCCTTTCAGGGATTCTTTCCCGAGCAAAGTGTGCCAGGTTCTCGAGGAGTTGAGTTGATGTGAGAAGGACAAAACCACCACCGCCACCACCAGTTCGTAGTTGAACTGACGTATCATTCCTTGAAAGAGGACCGCCCTCTGCCAAGGTATAATAAGGTGTTTCTTGTGCCATGATGAGAAATGTTTGAATAAGGAAGTTTGTGCAACTTTGAGTATTAGATAGAGACTATGCAAGTATAAGGTTGATTTCGTCTATTTAAGTATGAGACTCGATACAGGTTGAAGTATGGGGCTGAATAAGCGCAACTTGATGATAAGGCGCGCTGCAGCAGTTGTGATGGAGTTGCATATGCAATTCCAAATAAGAGTCGGAGATGCTGTATTCATCTTCTAAGCATAAACAAGGTGAGTCAATCGATATGTCTTATAGTTTTACTTCGAAGGCCTCAGTATGACTTTGAGTTGCAGCTTATTCTTCTGTACAACCTGGTTACAGAGGCAGTTGATGCCAGAACGGTGTTGTGAGTAGCAATCCATAGATCTAGGTATGTAATTATCGTTCTCCGAAGTCCGAATCATCATGATTTTGTTGGTTGAAGGCCGGATGTCTGCGTTCGGTGCTCTTCGGGCTTCGCTCGGGTTGTTGTTGTTGACGCCTGTACTGGACGGGCTATACCATTATCTCGGAAAGTTCAGCAACAAAACCCAACTTCAAATATACATCGCTGTTAATTATTAACAATTGAATCATCAGACTCGCTAAATATCGATACTCGAAGGAGATGCGACATATTTAACCGTACCACTACAAGTTCTTCATGATTCTGATAAGGTCGTCAATCCTTGACTCGTATCTTTGGCGTTGTTGAACAAGTTCCTCTCTATGTTCTACTTTTAACGCTTTGATATTCATCTCGTACCTCTCTTGTTCCGCTTTCAGGACTTCCTTGAATTCGTTCTCCATACTTTGGATCATATATTTGAGCCGTTCGACCTCCTCGACCGCGGCAGGCTGGATGTCCCTATTACCTTCCTTCATGCGCTTCAAGGGAGGTAAATCCGGGGTGGAAATAGGCGAAATTGTATCATCAGAGTCGGAAATTTCTAACATTATGTTTGAGGCAGAAGGAATAAACGTAGTGACCTCTTGATTCTGTGCGGGATGTGGCTCGTATTCAACATGAGTCTCGGAGATGCTTTCTTCGCGCTCTTGTCTCACACGGAAATCCTCAAATTCCCTTTTATCTCGGGGAATCGTGCAGGGATAGTTTCTCGCTACGCAGAACTCGCATTTGTCTGGCCACTTTCGATTCACTGGGTGACACTTAAAAGAATTAGCGATTACACAATAATACCAAAGTGTATATTCACTAACAGTTTCGTGAGCCTTACGGCAATAGTCACACTTGAAGAGACTTCGCGTTGGAAGGCGAAAACCCGGGGTGCCTTTTCGGGGCGGGCAACTAAAGCCCTTCTCTAAGCATCGGTCACAAGCGTCGTCTTGCCGCGTCCATGAGCACTATCGATGCTATCAGCTTGGCGTAAGTTAGCGATACTAGATCATAGACATACCTTTTGCTTTTGTCGGCGACACGTTGTACAGCGTCGAGTGGAAGTTGAGGAAGAGACTTCCATAATAACCCTATAACTAGACTTTCACGCGACGCCGGCCACATTGATGTAATGAAGCCGTAATCGTAAACCTAACAATAAAATGAGTGACTTTTACAGATAAATGTATCTACCTACTTTAGGCAGACAAGCAACAATTCCATTATAATTTAATTGAATATAAGCCTGTCTTGCCGTTTTCGTAACTATTACATTCCAATTAGACTTAGTTTCAGTTGATTCTGATACGAGTTTTCCACACAGGGTACAGGTATCTGACTAACTGCAAGCCACAAGAGATCAGTCATAAATCACCTATCCGTCGGGTTAAGCAAGCAAAAGGTCGGTGCAGTGGGTAGGAAGAAGATGCTGGGTAGAAAAGCTTCTGTGCGTAACTCCCAATGTGTCTCGAAAATTTCCATTGCAGCTTCAGGGTCAAATCCCACGTTTCTGGTGTCGCATTCGAGTCGTAGATACTTCAAACCCACACAATCATATCACCTAGTAAATGGATGTTTCTCAAGTCCAACTACCTAGGTGCCCGTGGGTGCCCGTGTATAGCGTCGTATAAAGGACCAAGGAGAAATGAATTCTGAGTCATCAACTATGTGCATCATGAGAAGATATTATTTGGTTCCGGAATGTCCCACAATTCGGTGACCCCACTCCGGCCGGAATCCATACGGATCCAACGGTGGCAGTTTCTCGAGATCTCTCCGTACCTTCCCCGGGACGGCAAGTTCTAAGAGTAGGTATCGAGCCTACAATTACTTAGTACCTACTTATAAGAAGGATGTTGGATCTCTTCTCATTTGGAGCTTTCTAGGAGTATGGGAGTAAGCTAGGGACAGTCGTATTTAGGTACTCATATTTCTTTGTAATAGAAAGAGAGGATTGCAATATTCTCATGGTCATCAGAATCTTTTCATAATAAACCGGCTAAGTTCTCATCACCATTTTGGCCCCTTAACCGCACAAGTACCCAGGCAATCCCAGAATCTCAGCCCGCCACCCCTAACCTACCTACCCAACCTACAGCGTATAAACAAACTTCCCCGCACTAATATTCCCATTCTTCAACTCCTCCAACCCCTTAAGCACACCCTCCAACCCCTTACCCCCCTGATTCACCACCGTCCTAATCGGCCTCACCTTCCCACTCTCCAACAACTCGCGCGCCGTCTCCCAGAACCTCACCGCGTGGTCCACCTCATCCTGCTTAACCTCCACAACCCTATCGCCCCACTTATACGGCTCCCCCATGACATCGTACCCGATATGAAAAGTCGGGCCCTCGACCTTCGGATTGATACCGTGAACAACCTCCTTATCCACCGGGATAATCGCCGCGTACCGGCTCGGCAGCTCATCACTCAACGCGCGCGCGACGAGCTCGCCCCCGCTGCCCGTGCAGTCCCACGCCAGCGTCAGCTTATTCTGCGTCAGGGCGCGGATCTCTGGCCCCGCCGTCGGCGAATTGTAGTCGAACACCGCGTCGGCACCGAGCGATTTCAGGAGTTCGAAATTGCGCGGCGACGACGTCGCGATTACGGTAAGCCCCGACGCTTTCGCGTACTGGATCCCGTAGATGCCGGTTGCTGTGCTGCCGCCGTGGATTAGGATCGGGAAGGGTGTTGGGGTTGGTGAGGTCGGCCAGGGGAGGCCGAGGACTTTGTATAGACCTTGTCCCTAGTTTTTTGTGCGATGTTAGTTACCTGCAGGTGCTTTGTTGGGCGTGGGTACCGCGTTTAAGAGGTTGGTGGTATGGATGTGGTTGAGGTTACGTACCACTGTTACCGTGGACACGCCGAGGGTGGCCGCCTGCTCGTCGGTGATGTTGTCCGGGGTCTTGATTTGGAGATCTGCTCTGGCAAGCGTGTATTCGCCAAAGGTGCCAATGTTGGGCTGGAGCTCGTTTCTGCGGAACAAGTTAGCCAGTGGTCGCTAGTATCGCTTCGAAGCGCGAGACGATAGCTCTACTTACCCCCCGCAAACTATTCCTGCTATGCGATCTCCTTTCTTAAACTTTGTCACGCCAGGACCGACTTCTTCGACGACTCCAGCATAGTCCACGCCAATCCTAAGACCGGGAATTGCTCTCCATTCGAGGGTCTTCCAATCCGTTGGGTTTATACCGACGGCGGTGACCTTGACGAGGACGTGACCATCCTTCACCGGCGGATTTTCCACATCGCGAATTTCGGCTTTCCCCTTTGCGACTGCGACGATAGCTTTTCCTGGCATTGTCGAAGTATCTTCTCTTGATTACAATTTCCACAATCAGGCTTAATCGAACATGAATTGCAACATATATTCAGTTGGGAGTGGCACTCTATATATGCTTTTCTTGCGCAAATAACGTCATAACGTCACGTACGTACGAGGATTTATAATACAACCTATGGTTGGGGAAAAGACATTGATGACAAATTTCGACCGAATGATCACGAAGTAAAAACATACGTAAATCAATCATTAATCGGTATCGGTAACCTCCCGATTGAATCTAGTCGGCCTACATCAATCCGAATCGATTCTAAAGGTTTCTAAAAGTGCATGCTAACCTTGCGGATTGTAACCTCAGAACAAGGAGAAGTCCGTTTAGATGCCCCGTAAGTCAAGATGCCGAGGCATCGCCTCTTTCATAGTAGTCTAGAACTTGGAATGGCGCAAACCCGGTAAAACGACAAAGCCGATAGAGCGGGTTAGTGACAATACTATTATGCCTCAATAACATAACCCGTTCGTACATCCAACAACCTCTACTGACATCGTTTGAATGCCCCTGTACTTAGGTACCTACCTGAAATATCAGGTTATACGAAAACTTGGGTACGTGCAGATGGAATTGTCTAGCTACAGCGATACATCCAATTGATCAGTAACTCTAGGCATTTCACGGCCAAGTTGGCCGGACCTGCATGACCTCGAAAAATAAGTAAATTCCAAATTTAGCATGAAACAACTGGGGGCGGATAAGGCTGGTTTAATAATCAGCTTCCAAGTTTGAATCCTTGTCAGAGAACAGGTACCCTAACCCAAATCCTCACCGCAGTGTACTTCATAGAAGAGGGGCTATCACCGAGATACGAGTTGTGTTGAAGGTACGAATGTAAGACCTGTCGCAAGATCAAAACATGACATATTCATTATCGAAAGCGCAAGCCTGCATTGCCAGAGATAGAGAAAAAAAGCATATAACTCATATTGGTATCTATCATGCCGTCTAAGAGGGGGTAAAATCCTCAATAGAGGAAGTAAAAGGTCATCATAAAATCATCCCGCTTTGCGCCCAAAATCCCATGTGTAGCTTGTAGTCGTTTAAACATCCAGTCAAATATTAATACCAGACTCCGAAAGTTTAAGTGTGTGTAATCAGTCAACTAGATGAATCAGTAGTCATCTACCGACCGCCATAGTCGCTAGCATAACCGATTGATTCGCCGAAATTCTGCTGCAAGCCACCTTCACCGAATCCCGTTCCCGGACCGCTGACGTAGCCCGTGTCGTCACCGTCATCATAATCCGAGGCATCGAAGCTGGAGCGGCCGCTGAGTTCTTCGTCCACGTTACCCATTTCGTTCGGCGCCCAATTCATCTGCGCCAATGCTGGGTACTGTGCCAACAAAGCGGCAGGCAAGCCGTAACCTGTATCCATCCCGGGATAACCAACGTTGGGATCCATGACTTGCGGCTGGGCCATGTTTTGCGCCATGCTTTGCATCCGCTGTTCTTGCCAAATCCGTTGTCTCTCCATCATTTCTTCGTCTAGTAAAGGCTTTATACATATTCGGCCCGCCTCGGATCGGAAATGACGGCCAAGCGCATCTGCTCTAGCAAATCGCCTACCGCAACCCCATTGACCGCCCGCCTTTAGGTCTCCTTTACAGACGAATTTCTTTTCGCCAGAATGGAGGCCTTCGTGACGTTTTCGGTCGTGCTGCCTGGCGAAAGCTTTCCCGCAAACCGTACATACGAATGGTCTCTCATCGGTATGTGTACGCAGATGAGAACGAAGATTATACGCCCGAGTAAATCGCTTCGGACAGAGAGTACATTGGAATGTGGCAGGATGCTTCTGGACTCGCTTCGTGCTTCCGTTGTCCTGGGCAGCTTGATATTCAGGATCTGCAAGGCGGAGTGCTATCACATTGTTGGGGACAGCCGACATTGATTGGCGCCTTCTGGATACGGCGTTGGCGCTACCAGATCTATCGCCGGGTGAAAGTGATCGGGCCGATGACTCGGAACCAGAGCGGTTGCGGCTAGCCAAGTCAGCGCCAAGGTGTGGTGACAGACTACCAGGAGTATTAGGTCGCGAGAGAACTGCCCCACCACTATTGTAGGGATCCGTGACAGCTCGTGGACGCGATCGCGGTCGACCTAGATATTATCAGTGACGCAAGCCTATGACGGCACCAGCGTAACTTACCTCGATCGGGTGGTGTTAAGGACTGGGCATCCATGGGTGGCTTCGGAGGTTCAAAGCTGTTCTGTCTCGAATTGGGAGCAAAGTCAATGTTAATTGACGGCGGAGCCATTGGCTGAGTTATCGTAGGGTCTATGACTCCGTCTGAAGATAGAGAGGGGAATTCCTCCGAACCTTGGACGGGATAACCCATAGTTGGAGGATTTGGGTACCCGGCATTCAGCATCATGCCTTGCTGAGTGGCATCGGGCATTTGTTGAGGGAGTATTCGAGGGGAGATAGCTGGGCTATGGGACGGGCTCCGGCTGTTCTGGTTGGAACCTGTTATACTAAAGTTGCCCAACCCCATGACGGGGTCATAAAAGCCATCTTGAGGTCTTTGCATGGGAGAGTGGCCGTGCTCCGGGTGCTCGAAGCTGTCGTTACCTGTCAAATGCGGAGATGGCGCAGCCGAAGATGCATCTGAATATTCAGAGGGCGTCCTTCGATGTCCTTGGAACTGGGGCTGGCTCCAATCCAGCTGCCCTGGCATGAGAGCCGCCTCGGGACCTAGCGACGCATGTCTCGAGTGGCCTGGCGACGAGAACTGGTGTTGGTTGAAAGCGGGGGACTGGTGCGCTGAACCGGGTTCCGGCTTCAGGAGGTGGGGCGGAGTAGGAGAGTGATGCGTTTGTGGGGACGTCATGTTGGTCAGATCGTTTGGGTCGAGAGATTGCGCATTGGTTTGGGAGAGGTCGCCAAACAATGGACTTGGGTTGAATTGGTCGCCCTGAGAAGTAGAGGGGTATAGGGAGAAGTCGCTGTTGCTGAAATCGCCAGCCAGGAGGTTCTGCGAAAATGCGGCTTGAGATTGCGACGTCAAGGATTGAGAGTAGTCTTGGTTAAGGTCGAAAGATGCCGGGTCCGGAAATGGCTGCGGCTGTGATGTATTCAAATATTGGTTACCAGCACTATTACTATCGTAATTGTTGAAGTCGGAGGTGTTGAACTGGGGGCTTGCTGACGAGGGGTCGATACCAATGCCGAGGCCGATAGATGGCTCCGGGGATTGATATGGATGAGGCGAAGGAGAATGACTATTTCTTATATGAGGCTGTTGATTTCCGGCGGAAGGTGAGCGGCCACGAGCCGACCCTGCGGGTTGGACAGCTTGTTGATCCATGGCGCGTAAATTGTTTCTGTCTTTAGAAATCCCAAGTCTGGCAAGGTTGAATGCGCTTGACCCGCGAATCTGCCTGACAGCGTGGCGCAGCCAAGGTGCTACGTTTGAGGGGGGCTGTGCTTAGACGAGTCTGACCCCTTCTTCCAAATACCGTCTTCGCGCCGTACTGAACACGATAATGGGCGTGGATCTGATGCGAGACACCGTTCAAGCTTAGATACTTCCACTGATAGGATAGAAATGAAAAAAATAATGTGGGCGACGCGAATTAGTCTGACCGTATGGAGGCTTTGTTTTGTTAACTTGACTTCACTGACGTATTAACCCCGAAATACAGTGGTCTCAGCTGTTTCTGTAGGAGGTAGGCGAGGATAGGAGGGGGACAGGGTCCGGTACTTCGGATGTGTACCTGTTCCTACAGTGCTTGCTGTATGGGCTGCAAAACGCTATGTTTCGCTGCGAGATCTGCGACAGTGGGAGACCCTTGGCAATTCTTTCGAATAATCAGGCAAGCCGGAGCACCATAAGGGTCGCCGTCTTAGGTTCTGACGTGTCGCAAAGAAAAACACTGCGGTTATACGGCTTGTGAGGCGGTGTAAGTAGCCGATAATAACTACAAACTCCGTAGCCTTGAGAAGAGCAGCAATCGATTTCCGTATGACGGTGCGCCGAGGCACTTGTTCCAGTCTATTTCTAAAAATGCCCTTGTTTCGTGTCTTAAAATAATCCTGCCGAAAATTCTAGGGCCGATCCGATAGCAGGACGGACGTTTAAATGTGGAAGACGGTGCTGATCGCGGAGGTAATACGACAAACTACGGCGTGAATAAATAGATCTTTTCTTGGTGTTGCGACAATCTATCCGAGTAGCTGACCGCAAAAGGCAGGAATTGCTCCAATTCGACAGATCGTGAATCGTCTTTAAGCGAATTGATTTTCTTGGTACATTCGATTCGGCAATTCGCACTTCGAAGCCGGCGACGGGAGAAAAAGACGTTAGGGGCCCGTTGGACGTTGATTCTAAAGTGGGAGGGTTTAAGGTTAAGAGATGCGAGATGCGAGATGCGAGATGAATGGAAAGTAAATCACAAATTTCACTCGGTCGCAAAAGAGATGGTCAGTTTGGCATTCTGGGTAGGTAGGACACACAAAGTCCATCACCCCCTATCACCCCGCCCAGTCCGCCCCACCTGTTACTGCCATGCTAATAATCTGCGAACTTGGAATTCACTGATAATTCTATATATCCATGGATACACTTAAGATCATTATCCATTCTAAAAATATGCAATTACAAGACCATGCCCTACAATGTACATGATAGTGTATTAGTGTCTTGGTGGTTTATCAAGAATATGGCTTAGAAATGATTCAAAAAAGAAAGAAATTCCATGTACTGGAAGTATTCAAACTAGCCCGTTCACGAACAAAATGGATTGTCGACTTACCCAAATTCAAAAAGGCATTGCACTGCTTCTGCAACTTATTAAGCGCCCAGGTCGGCTCCCCTAACTTTAGGGCTGGCCTAATAATCCAGGGCCCAAGGGCGTACTCCGGCAAAGCAACCTTGGAACATCAGGCGAGTGGAACTGGGGACTTTCATTATCACCAGCTACTCCATAGCTTTTAACCCCTTTAGGACGAAGGGGCCTTATTGGGTTCATAGGGCTACACTCGAAACCATCTCGGGCTGCAACCCATCTGCGTTGATATATTAAACATGCCTTAGTCTGCCTCGAAATAGCTTGGAAAATGGGTGGGCAGTTAGAAAAAAGAACAGAGCATAATAAACGATCTTTAGGTGATGTCTTCGCAAGCAGGACCAACATGGTGCAAATATTAGCTCCGCCAATCGTTCTGCGACGTTGTCAATCTAATATCAGGCAACCATATTTCTCAAAGCGACCTCCCTTTTCGAGGCGGTGAACGAGGATCTCTCGTTGCTACTATGTGTTATTTCTACAGAGCAGGACGGATGTTGGGTACCGACCGGTCTTATTCGTTCTCGCTACAGGAGACGTCACCCCCCGGACGAAATCCTTTCAATATGATGGGATATTGCCGTCTTGGCAGAGCGCCCGTCCAGTGAAGCTGTCCTACTTTCTATTGCATTGTCTCGACTCTCGAGCGAAGATGAGCGAAGCCGGCGGTCCTGAGACAGCCTAGTTGACTCAACCTAAATGCATCATGCATGAGCAACTCTGTCTTGCACACCTATCAGCCCTATCACATATCCATTGGCTTGCCATTTACCATGACCGAGTATTAAGGCAGTTTCTTGCTTGTCCTTCTACCGAACGGGAGATCGTGGCTGTGACGCCACAAGCCATAAGCCGCTGTGCCGTCTTCCGCGTGGCCCTTGTTCCGGAACATTTCTGGAAGACATCCATTTGTTCATTTGGTCACCCACATCCCCTCGAATACGCAGTACGGAGTCCGAGGTCCTCACGAAACGTCATATGCTTACCGTAAATCTAATTGGCTGGCAATACGCAATTCGTACAGATACTAGTATCAAAAGTTCTGACCAAATCCTAAAATATGACGCTAATCTGTGCTACCTTCGTACCTTGAATAGAACATCACGACTTACCTATTTTCTAGACACATATGTACCATGTACACCATTCCATAAGGAACATCCTTGGCGATTTCCCCATACCGGCAAGTCAGAATGTCGACGATACGGTAGAAAAGAGTAGTTTAGACATCCCAAAATAAAGACGAGGTCCATCAGCTGAAAATCGCGTCAGTAAAGAGCGCATCATGTCAGCAGTTTACATGCCGTTTCCCCCAGATCGGCGGGAATCTGCCGTACGTTACACCAATGAAATCGTAGAATTACTAGGCCCATAAACTTGCCCATAAGCTAGCCCCTGGTAAGCCGTCTAGCTCCACGTGAAATACCGATACATCGACGCTATTCCTTTGCGATATCCCAAAAAACGACACCGAACCGATCGGTGCTGAAAAGGAAGCAGTCATCGTTGACAACTATACATCCTATGTAGATAGAACCTATGTAGGTAGAACGTCGGCTGAGTTGTTGTCGCCAATGTAATTGCGTAACATGGGAACATGAGAGCTAAAAGCCTAAGCATCATAATGACACACGTCTTCAACGGTCCGGTCAGAACCATCCCGAAATAACCGGGACGGCTAGTGACCATAATATATGATATACTATTCGTTAAGAGGGTCTAGATCAGCTCTCTCTAAATAAAGGTTATTACCAAGGTATCCATGGATGCGATCATACTTCTTTGCCGATGCTGGTTATCTTGTAGTTAAACCAAGCTTTGACACTTTGGGTTTGAGGCTACGATAAATTTAGACACTGAGAAATTGGTTGGTACTTTGCAGCGAGGTATATCTTATACCACGCCTATCTTTCTGTAACATCCAACCCCTTTTTTAATTCTTTTTATTATCACACAGGTACCTATCCACTTAACTTATTTATACTCCCCCAAAACCAGAAGCGGACTTCTACGGGTGCGAGTGGGTGCTAAGGAGTATTTTCCTCACAAGTTGCAATTTAAGGTTCACGTCAAAGTCGACGATACTGTGATCCTAGACTTATAAGTTTCATTCAGTAGGTAGATCAGGAAATAAATAGTAGAAAAATATCTTCTGTGTTCACTTGTTAGCGATTGTTCTGTTAGTACGGTATCATGCGCTATCATAAGTTTGATCGCTGGAGGCCTAACCCTTGGAATTCTAGTCCGTCTACTGATAGAAAACCTATGGACGGCTGGTATTGAGATGGATGAATTAGAATTCCTCGTTATGACTACTTTTTTTGCTACCATACCTATCCTTACGTTCGGATCATGAGAAGCTCTTCCCAATGCAATGCTTTTAACGTTCACCTTCATAACTATTTTACATAACTTGATGAAGGTAATCTTCGATGGTGAAAGGGTGCCACCAGTTGTAAGTCAGTAACTATACTGTATTCGAAGTCGAAACACAACAAGCTATTCCTTTAACTGACGGTTTACGTTAGAGGTAGGATACCTACACTTGAGCACCCACGGAAGCTTGCTTCTGATCAACCACTCGTAGATCGTAGCATTGGTGGTACAAACTATACATGACAAAAGATGTGTAGACTAATGTATGTTTCATGACTTTTGGCTTTTATATATTCTGGGTCTGGTCCAGACAATACTCACTGATCCCTGATTGACGCAGACAGCCACCCAAAGAGGTATAAGAAAGGCAACTTACAACAATATTATTCGCCAGCTTGGCCTCGCAAATTTCTACCTAGATTTTGATCCATTTATCAATAGCTTCTGCTCTCCGAGTAGCTCAACTATCATGTGCAAACTTAGCCTAGGAACTGCCTGCGACCCCGGATTAACCACTCAAAATGGGGCAGAGAAGCGACTTGACGCAGTAAGTTTCTTCAGAGTAACCTAACACTTAATCATCCTAACTGGAAAATATCTGCACAATTGGGGATACGTCAAAGAAATGAAGTATGGTCAGATATGCTATGAACTTAATAAAAGGAATGTCAGGACGTAGGGACTAAGCCCTACACTTGGTGATCTCACCTATCAACTGAGCCAAACCACCAAAAGACGGGAATCTACAAGTCAGGCAACTTACGATTTATTGCAGGTGATATGGCCAGTTCGTCACAAGGAAAAAAATATGTTTCCCTAGACAAAGCAGCAAGGAACTAAGGTTTTTTCGAGTAACGTTATATTTCGACTACTTCTTAGATACTTGCCCGTCTTTTAAGATTTCGAGTAACCTAGGCGTTTATAGATTTTAGATTCACTCGGATCTGGGATTGGTTGTTGGTTAGGTCCCCAGCCTGATAATAAATTCACGACAATACAAAATCGTTTCTTTACTAGATAAGTATAAAGTAAAATATCTTTGATAGCACAAAACCGAGAAGGTTGTCACATCTTTAAGGGGTCATTCCTCAAATACGCAGTCAGCAACGCCAACCTCAAGTCAGCCCAACGCTTGATAACTAGCACAACATTGAGAACAACAATACTAGTCATTAATTGACTTACCTATGAAAGCTTTCAATTTCCCAAAGAAAAACAATTAATACAAAATTACCTATCATACTTATTATAATGTAAGTATTGCTAACCGTTCCTTAGGTAGTTAGTCTTGAGGATCGAGATAAGTCACTCGCCGAAGAATCATCCTAACCTGTATTACTCAGATTGTCACAATACTATCATCACCCTCCTATCAGTCCAGGATATAACTGGTAAATGTAAACACCTAAGTGCGGGCATCCCGCAAAACACAAGGTGAGGCCTTTTGGATATGAGACAGCCCCCCGCATTTCCAAAGGATCATTCGCAGCGAAAGTATCCTACCTATACCTAGGAAGCTTATAGATCAGGGTTTTCGCAGCTCACTGCATGCGATAGAGGATATAGGCCTGGTGATATGTGTATTGTTGTATACTATAACTGGTGATTAGACAGGTTGACAAAGGGACTTTTAGTACGATGGGGAAGTGGACTATAAATACAAGATCCCTTTGTCAAGTAAGTAAGGGACATCGCTTGGCTAAAATTAGACGATTATCGTGAAAGCAGCAGTAATTCTCGAGGTAATAGCGGTGGCGGACTCCGAGTCTGGGGAATGCATGTGTCACTACCTAGGTAGGTATATTTGCCATCAATTAAGTAATGGGGAATCATTCCTCTGCCAACCTCGCCCGTAGGACGGGAATACACCGAATCTAGAGGATTTAAGACCGAATCTTACGATGTACAGCTGGGCTAAGATATTGGGTTGCACAAGAAGCAAATCCTACATACCCGGATTCTTGGCAGCAAAAGTGACGACGCCACCAAGGAGTAGCCCTACCCGGAAAAAAAGATAAGCATCCAAGATTCCATTCTCATCCTGATCGAAAATATCATCTCTAGATGGACTTGAAGTGTAGATACAAAGTGATTCATAAGACACCTAGAAAAGCCATGCTCATAAAAAAAGCATCTGATCATCAGTCTCGGACTTAACGAGCGCCATAGGGCTGTTATAACTAAATTCAGCTGCAATATGGAGGCTCACCATCCGATAGCCCCGACAGCTCGGGCGAACATGTTGCTCACCTACATAGGTGTACGTAAGTACCTGCCAAAGGGACGATCTCCCGGGCTCTCGGTAGGGCCATAGAATTGTTTTGATTTGACCACCGCAAACAAACACGGGAAACGGCTCCCGCAGTCGGATCCATCGGTCTCTTTAAAAGACCGTAATAAGCTCCCGTCTACTAGCATCAGCCACACCAGACTTGGAGATAACAGTAGGACCAACGAGGAGTCGAGAGGGCTTTGAGCTGAAAGACTCGGACCCGGTGGGGATCCACGAGAGACGAGCACGGCTCACCTCATCTACCTACGCAGGATCACCGAGGCGCACGTTAACGATAAGGATTGGGCGCGCTTTGTGTGACCGGATAGATATAAGACCCCGAGGCTGACCAACGTCTTAGGGCTTCGATAGTTCCTCTTGGGATGTATTAGTAAAAGACGTAGTCCGCGGTGATTTAATTGCTGTACTCAAGGAGAGAGAGTAACTTTCCATGCACACATACGATTGAGTCTTGCGTAGAGGGATTTTGGATCCTTGAGTCTCCCTTTCGTCCCAAAGCCCATATATCGCTTTCACTCTTGCATATCGAAAGCTATTACCGTTAATAAATAACGCTTCTGGGAGCGAGGTATATCTGGTGAGCCAGTTACCTGAGCACACCAAGGGCTTGAAGACTGCCAAAATGGAGAAACGACCCTATCATGAATCGGAGGGCGATCCGAGCGGAGCGTCCTACTACTCTGCTATCGTTTCCCCTATCTCTCAAAATGCAGATGATAACTCGTGGCATACCAAGACCGAATATCAAGATGACTACCGACAACGAAGGCCGACTTCTCAGGCCCTACTCGAGGAAGTACAAGAGCTTCGCCAGATGGTAGCAGAGCTATCTTCGAGACTCAACTCCGCACCGCCCAATGGTCCAAATAATATCAACCGCATTTCCAGCATCGTCGAGGAACCCGGGGAGAACACCTTAGATCCGCAGCACGAGGACTTCGACATGCGAAAATGGCTACAGATGTTTAACAAGGGTCTCGAAGAGCAAGGTCACAAGGGCCTTCGCACTGGTGTGGTGTTCAAATCTCTCAGCATATCAGGATCCGGCGAGCCAGTACGCTTTCAAGAGACAGTCACGGATATTCTAATGGCGCCCTTGAAACTCGGAAAGCTATTTTCACACGAAAGGACGAAGGAGAGGAAGATTTTGCACAGCTTCAATGGTCTAGTCAGGAGCGGGGAACTACTGCTCGTCTTGGGCCGTCCCGGTTCGGGATGCAGCACGTTACTGAAGGCTCTTTGCGGAGAGCTTCATAGCTTACACGTTCACGACAAGTCTGTTATTCACTACGACGGCATACCACAGGACAAGATGGTGAATGAGTTTAAGGGGGAGGTGACATACAACCAGGAAGTCGACAAGCATTTCCCTCATCTCACAGTTGGGCAAACGCTGGAGTTCGCTGCCGCGTGTCGCACACCGTCTACCAGAATTAACGGGATGTCCCGGAACGAGTTCTGCCAACACGTCGTACGGATTGTTATGGCCGTAAGTTTCGAAATGCCGCAATCTCGATCGGCTACTAGCCGAGTGAGATGATGTCTCAATATTAACCATTCATATAGGTGTGCGGCCTATCTCATACGTACGACACTAGAGTCGGCAACGACTTCATCCGAGGTGTCTCTGGTGGCGAAAGGAAGCGAGTTAGCATAGCTGAAATGATGCTGGCTGGGTCCTCAATATCAGCATGGGACAATAGGTGATTACAGACCTGTGTTACCTGCCTATTTCTCCCCCCTTGTTACTAACATGGTATGACAGTACGCGAGGACTTGATTCGGCTACAGCGCTCAAATTCGTCCAGAGCCTACGACTAGCATCAGACATAGGCGGCAGCGCGAATGCGGTAGCCATCTACCAAGCTAGTCAAGCCATCTACGAAGAGTTTGATCGAGTAACGGTTCTGTACGATGGAAGGCAGATATACTTCGGCCCCGCCAATGAAGCCAAAGACTTCTTTGAAAGACAGGGCTGGTACTGCCCGCCGCGCCAGACGACAGGCGACTTCCTCACCGCCGTGACCAACCCCGGGGAGCGTAAAGCCCGGCGCGGGATGGAGGACCAGGTCCCTCGAACGGCCCAAGAATTCCAGCAGTACTGGCGCAATTCCCCCGAGTTCAAGGAGTTGAACCGCGAGATCGCGCAGTACCAGCGCCAGTCGCGCATCGTCAGGAGCAACGAAGTCATCACGGACCTGCGGAGCGCGAAGAACTTCATGCAGGCCAAACACGTCCGCCCCAAGTCGCCGTACACCATCAGCCTGCCCATGCAGGTCCGGCTCACGACCAAGAGGGCATACCAGCGCATCTGGAACGACAAGTCGGCGACGGCCTCGCAGGCCATGCTGAACATCGTAGTCGCCCTCATCGTAGGATCGGTCTTCTACGGGACGGCGGATAACACGAGCACCTTCAAAGCGAGAGGATCTGTCCTGTTTCTTGCTGTTCTCATCAACGCCCTGTCTTCCATCTCCGAGATCGTCAGTCTATATTCCCAACGGCCTATTGTAGAAAAGCACGCCTCGTATGCCTTCTATCATCCAGCGACCGAAGCTATCGCGGGGATAGTGGCCGATATACCCATCAAATTCACGCTCGCGGTTGCTTTCAATATCGTCTTATATTTCCTCGCAGGACTACGTCGAGATGCCGGCCCGTTTTTCTTGTACTTCCTTATCACGTTTATGCTCACCTTCGTCATGAGCGGTATCTTCCGAACTATGGCGGCCGTCACGAGAACCGTCTCACAAGCGATGTCCCTGGCTGGTATTATGGTACTTGTCCTAGTGATATACGCCGGGTTCGCCATCGCCGTTCCTCAGATGGGCGCATGGTTTGGCTGGCTCCGCTGGCTTAACCCCGTGTTCTACGCCTTCGAGATCCTGATCGCGAACGAATTCCACCACCGGAATTTCGCCTGCAGCTCATTCATTCCTGATTACCTCCCAAGGTCCGGTAGTTCGTTTATCTGCTCTGCTGTCGGCGCCCACGCCGGAAACACAACTGTCAGCGGCGACGATTACATAGCGGATAGTTACGAGTATTCCTACGCGCACGTCTGGCGGAACTTCGGTATCTTAATCGCGTTTCTTATATTTTTCCTGTTTACGTACGTCATGGCGACGGAGCTCAACTCGTCTTCCGGCAGCACCGCGCTCGTCCTCGTTTTCAGAAGAGGACGCCGCTTCGGAGGCCAGTCTGATCAAAAACGCGAGCAGGAAGTATTGGACGTACAGTCTTCGGCGGATTCTCTTATAACAGACATGGCCGTTCCTTCAGAGCACAAGATTATGGGGATTGAACCGCAGAGAGACATATTCACGTGGAGAGATGTAGTGTACGATATCGAAATCAAGGGCAATACTCGCAGGCTACTCGACAACGTTGCAGGCTGGGCGAAGCCAGGAACGCTTACAGCCCTCATGGGTGTGTCCGGCGCAGGGAAGACGACTCTCTTGGACGTGTTGGCGCAGCGGACTACCATGGGTGTGATCACCGGGGATATGCTAGTCAACGGCAAGCCCTTAACTCGTAGTTTCCAACGCAACACCGGATACGTCCAACAACAAGGTAAGTCGGCTCACAAAAATACCTACCATCAGGGAGCACCAAGCTAACCCGCCATCTAGATCTCCACCTCGAAACCGCCACCGTCCGCGAAAGCCTCCGCTTCAGCGCCGAGCTCCGCCAACCGCGGCACATCAGCAAAGCGGAAAAATACGCCTTCGTCGAAGAAGTGATCACGATGCTCAGCATGGAGGACTTCGCCGACGCCGTCGTCGGCGTGCCGGGCGAGGGTCTCAACGTCGAGCAGCGCAAGCTCCTCAGCATCGGCGTCGAGCTCGCCGCGAAGCCGAAACTGCTGCTCTTCCTCGACGAGCCCACGTCGGGCCTCGACTCACAGAGCTCGTGGGCCATCTGCTCGTTCCTGCGCAAGCTGGCGGACTCGGGCCAGGCCGTGCTGTGCACTATCCATCAGCCCAGCGCCCTCCTGTTTCAGCAATTCGATCGCCTGCTCTTCCTAGCGAGGGGTGGTAGGACCATTTACTTCGGCGACATTGGCCCGAATTCGCGCACCATGCTCGATTACTTCGAGGTTAGGGGCGCGCGGCCTTGCGATGACCAGGAGAACCCTGCCGAGTACATGCTCGAGGTCGTGAACAAGGGCGTCAACGACCGCGGCGAAGACTGGCATGAGCTGTGGAAAGCGAGCCAGGAACGACATGCCGTTAACATGGAGATCGATCAGATCCATGCGTCGAAAGCTAACCAGATGTCGGGTGCTGGAAGAGACCATGATGATCAGGGCGAGTTCGCTGCATCCTTCCTAACTCAACTTAAGGTTGTCACATACAGAATCTTCCAGCAGTACTGGCGGATGCCCAGCTACATCGGCGCGAAATGGGGACTTGCCACTGCCGCGGGAATATTCATCGGCTTCTCCTTCTGGAAGGCAAAGAACACTCAGGCCGGAATGTCGAATGTGATGTTCGGCGTGTTTATGATAGCGACTCTATTCTCTCCTTTTGTCCAACAGGTACGTAAACGCATTTAATGGCCAAACAACCAAATCCCATATGCTAACTAGTGCTTCCTAGATCCAACCCCTATTCACAACCCAACGTTCCCTCTACGAAGTCCGCGAGCGCCCCTCCAAAGCGTACTCCTGGCAATCCTTCCTAATAGCCAACACCATCGTCGAGCTACCCTACCAAGTCCTCGCCGGCATCATCGTCTTCGCCGCCGTATACTACCCGATCACGGGGATCCAGTCCTCGGACCGGCAAGGCCTGGTCCTGCTCTTCATAATCCAATTCTTCCTCTACAGCAGCACATTCTCGCACATGACCGTCGCCGCTTTGCCCAACGCCGAGACGGCCGGCGCCCTCGTCACTCTCTTGGTATTAATGAGCCTCATCTTCTGCGGCGTCTTCCAGACCCCGGACGCGCTGCCCGGCTTCTGGATCTTCATGTACCGCCTCTCGCCCTTCACGTACTGGATCGGCGGCATCGTCGGCACGCAGCTGCACGATCGGCCGGTAGACTGCTCGCCGGCCGAGACCTCGGTCTTCGACCCGCCGGCCGGCATGTCCTGCCAGTCGTACATGGCGCCCTTCCTCGAGAACGCGCTCGGCTCCCTGCAAAACAAGGACGCTATGACGGCGTGCCGGTACTGCAGCCTCTCGAACGCGGACCAGTTCCTCGCGCCGAGCGGCATCTCCTGGGACGACCGGTGGAGGGATTTCGGGCTCGTCTGGGTTTACATCGTGTTTAATGTTTTTGTGACCGTCGTCACGTACTATCTCTTCCGCGTGGCCCGGTGGGGGAGGAAGTAGGAGGTTAGGTTAGGTTAGGTGCATAGGTACATAAGCGCAAACACATCCATAGCATGGCATTCACGATTTAGGAGGAGTTATTTGGAATTACATTTTTACTTGTTTATTATCTACCTAATTTGAAAAAAGTTATAGAGGCTGGCTCGGTTTAATACAGGTAGATCGGGTACCCAGATAGATCAACGGAATGAGAAACGCTCGATAGCGGTATGTTTAATGAAAATTTTGAATCGCGTATGCTTCCCAGGTACTAACTAATTCGTGTTTGTGTCTAATGTAGATATCGCAAAAGTAATCAAGCGCTCATGAGACAAGGATACGACGGAGTTTGTTGATTTAGGTACTTTAGGTACAGGCTGCTGTACAAAGTCACACCGTTGAGGCTGGGTTCCATCCAATGTTCTAGATGTCCGGTTTGTAGAGATAAGGAGCATAAGCAAGAGACAAACATGTGGACAATTATTTCCGCCAAGCTGATCCTCAACACACTGGCACCATGCTTATCTCATCTACGTTCGGTGATTTTATGGATAACGTCAGAGTGTGGAATCGCTAGATGCACCACGCGTACCTACGACCACCGGCCCGGTAAGAGTAACAGTTCTGTTGGGGCGGACAACGTCCTTGTGTACACCACCACAAGATCAGCACGGAGTGTAACATGTAATGAAGAGAGAAAAGTAGAGATCCTGTTAATCTAAAGAGTTGAGTCCCGGACCGGAGAAACACCATTGTAAGCTTCTTGCTCCGGCCCCTTCTATATGGGTATTCTGATGTCTTATCATCGCCCAAACGCAATCTGGGGCTGGTTCCCGCATGTAATAACCGAACGCCATCCCATCCCAACCTAGCTCTACATGGCTAATCAGCCCATGATAATGCAAATGCGATGCAAGCTCAACCATTTCTACGCCCCTTTTTGTGCCATTGTCCGTGTTGAATTCAACGAAGTTACGAAATTCTGCAGGACCTCTCCCCCACAGATTTACATAACTTCTTCCCGCTCATAGCCCATTGCTTTTAGGGCAGGTCTAGGCGGACCCTTGCCATCCTTATACTGGCTGACGAAGGGGTTGGGGTCTTCATTCTGGTTCAGGTTGCTGAGAGTGTGGTTGACGCCTCTGTGACAAGCTTCGTCGGCTCGGATGTAGTAGATGAGGTCTTTCATCGAGCGCTTTCCCTCGGGCATATGCCAGTATTGGACCGCAATGTCGGGGATTGTGAAATTCGGGTCCGTCCACTTTGGTAGATATCCTTCTTCTATCTGTTTGATACACATGGTATACGTGTGGACCGCTTCTTCTTCTAGGTAACCAACTGAGCAAGAATTAGTATTCTTAATAGGTATCGAGAATGATCTAGATGTTTTGCTTACCGAACCGATGTGTGATCTTGGGCGATATCAGATACGTCAGGAAGAGACCGTTGAAGTAGACGCCCTGAGCACCGATAAGCAGCATCTTCATGAACCAGCCTAGTATCGATGTAAGTAGATGAACTTCAGTATATATCCATTGGATGATTGCCCACCTGGCTCGCACATCTTCATAAATGTTAGAAGATGCATGCGTTCGTTGTAGCTTTCTTCGAGTAGGGTCTCGATCCAGCCATTATCTCTCTTGAGTCGTCGAATACTGTGTAGATGTCGCAACATTCCAGCAACCATGCCTGGAACTCCGGCAATGGACTCGAGAAAGAGGAATCGCAACAGCCATTGACTTTCTGTCAAAGGCTGAATCGTGTCGACGGCAGTGGTGGGGTTTGCCTTGTCAACTTTCTGGTTCTTCTTCATGCCGGTGAAGAAATCCATTCCCCATCTGCATGAACGCATGAATTTCCAAGCAGCCCAGTCGCCCCATGTCTTCGCCGGACGATGGGAAGGGACGACACTAAGCATTTCCTATATTAAGTAGACCAGTTAGTGAATTTTCCCACATGCTTTCCCTTGGGAGAACGGGTTTATAGTGGTAGATATCAGGTCAATGCCGAGAAACCAACTATTCACAACCTACAAGACAACAATGGAAAGCTATTAGTACTAACCTCTTCGGTGTAGCCATGATGCGGCCATGCTGGCGGCGTTTGACGGATGTGTTCCGTCTCCTTGATCGGAAAGAAATCTCTGAAGTGGTTTGTAGGGGTCGTAGAGAAGGCTCGTGAACTAGAGGCAACAATGCCGATACGGATTCCAGCTGGATATCCAAGTGCAGAGGTTCGAAGCAAAGGAGCCACAGCTCTAGAGAGCCTGGCAGCTTGTTTCGATGTGCAAAGGTTGGGTTGGACCTTGACGGATAACATCGAGGGCAAGCTAGTATGAAAGTACCACGACCAGTGGAGATGTGTGAAGGGGTAAAACGAAATGAAAATTTTCAAGTGACTAGACTTGAAAAAAAAGATGAGTAGACAATTTTCTTTCTAGGGTGGCTTGAGGACAACAAAAAGAAAGGTATGACTGTTGCCTCAGGAAGAAGAAATACTTATACTTGGACTTATACTCCGTACACATACGGCCGGGAAACCACAAGCGGCAAGACAAATACCTCAAGTCTCACTGACCTGTTAGTGGTCAATGCCCCTGGGCTAGAGATTGTAATGATAAAGGTTTGAAGGTTGCCGTCCGGCATACCTTGCCAGACGCCAGAGAGATCCAGACGCCGAACGCTGTCGGCGAAAGGAGCAGACAGTTTTTCGTCCCATCCTATCATTAGCGCGTACCGACTGTGGTAACAATCCTTACTCATATCCTTACAGCCTCATGCTTGGCAAAGAATGGCAACTCTTGTACCGCAGTACACAAAGCTGATTACCTTTTCGGTCATTGGATATTCGCTAATCTGTCAGGTGGACTTGAAAAGTCGGGAATTGAAGGAGAAAAAGGAGATGATAAATGGGGGCGCCTCGTTGGGCTCCGGTATATTTTCGGAACAAAACAATCTCAAACGGCCTCAACTCGTCGGTTCTCGGCGGTCCTTCGGGGCCATGTACCTATTCCCTTATTATAAAGGATCACTTTGACATCTCCTGGAAACCCGAAACAAAAAGATAAACTCTTGAAAATTGAAGTCACCGGATTCTATAATTCTAATACTAGAACTTCGAACTGCTCCGACTTTTTTCTATGGAAAAATATTTTCTTCAAGGGCCGCTAGATAATTGTTGCACGTTAGTGAATACTTAGAAATACGCCAATATTTCGGCGGAGCTGATTCCTTTTTTTTCATCGTAAAAAAAAAGCTTTAGCAGGTCAAGCGCCAGACCCTCCCAATGACTCACCAAGAATTAGATACGTTAAAGATACGACAATGCTGTGTATTGTACTTCCACGGACAATCTAATAATGCAAATACCTAGGTACCTACATCCATGCAAGATGAGAGCTGTCGAATATGTAGTGCGACCGGGTACTGTATCCTTAGATGCAGGTGGCTTACAAGATTTCCAAATTTAGCATGATCCGGACGTTCCAATCAAGATTCGACGATATCAACCAGCATGGTGGGATACCTCCATGCTGAACTTTGGAAGTTGGGTTGATGGAGTATATTATCCGTGCAGTTTAACGGCCGAGAGACTAACTCGAGCCTTTTACCAGTGAAGACTTGTTGAGGCCGGGGATATCACCAGAGAGATTCCGCCTAAGCCTCGAACCGAGCCGGACGGCTGCCGGGGACTTCCAGGGCCAATCCTGACCTAAGAAAGCAACCCCTTGATCCGTCTTGGGAAAGCCGCCACACCGCGTCACACGAAAATCTCCTAGGACTAGACAAATTCCTCGGAGTACCGTAGACGTAATCTGTGTCGGGTGCCCGCATGACACACAATCCTTATTCGTGTTCCTGGATCGTGAAGTCATCCATATAATGATAGAGAATGTAAGGCGCTCCACTTGTATCTGCCCTAGGATAAAGTAAAAACTTGGGAACCCGTGATCAGTCGAGACAGTGAATGCCGACTGAAACAGATTTGGTTATAGACAGTGGTCCACCCGTGACTTGAAATATATAGGTACCTAGTCTGGTTGGTAGAAAATGGTATTTTACCCGTCCGTAAGGCTGATGAGGCTGGTTGCCTTATTGTGTCTCTGCGACGCGTCCTGAGTGCCTTTGAGACATGCATACATCCTAAGCGAGTATTGTGGCAGGATTATTCATCTAAATATCAAAGAAAGCGATGAATTGTAGGTCCTTACAAGAGTTGCGCAAGATCCCTTATTTAAGACAAGGAATCCTTCTCTTATATTGATATTGTACAGCAGAGTTTCGGAGAGGAACAAGGGATTAGCGTATCGTATAGTGGGACCTTTACTAATGTGGACGAAGAAAGTTTGTTAAAAAGCAGATTCTGTCTTTTTCGTTTGCATGGTAGGTATGTAGGATAGTTGATGAGACTTGAGACTTGAGATGGAAACAAACAGATAAACTCATAGGTTGATAGAGCTTGGTTATTTTAAAGTTGAAGTCGCGGGAAATTATTAAAGTTATGTCTTTAGAGTTAGGCACGTACCTATTTGCATGTGAAGTAGCCACAGCCTTGGGATTGTCTATTTTGAGAATTAAACCTTCCCTTGCATAAAAATGGAGTTTACGTCATCAGGCAAGAACGGATTTTCTCAACGATAAGGCCGACATGTACCCAAGTATTCATCTTATCCAATGCCCCGCCTCACCCCGCGTCCTTTCCGCTGCTGTAAGTCTATTCCAGTTCTTGACACAAGTTGTTACTGACAAAGTGCCCTGTGGACTCGAACCGGATAGAAGCCGTTAGGCATTAATATCCACTGCGACTGCATTCTTTCAGGTGTCCCACCACGCACAACGGCGCACAATAATTTAGGCAAACCTAGAAATATCTCTCAAGCCGATTTTTAACCTTTGTGCCCAATCTCCGAAACTTCTTCCCGCTTCTAAATTCATTTTCCTTCTTACTAACCTCAACTTCAACTATTCCTTCGACAACGCTTCTTGCAATCGACGACCGCTTCTCGCTTGTCGCACAACTATCATACATCAACCAACCTGCAACTAACCTACATTCAACGTCAATCTTGTCACGATGCCTGCCCGAAAACAGTGGGGTAAGTTAATATCTTCCTTGTATCTACCTAGGCGCAAAAATGCGCGCGTTCCTAGTTCCTTTCGAGTTGCCACATCTACACCCTGTATCACCATCCAAGGGATTGGTGGTGAAACGCGATACCAGCCCTTAGGGATCAAGACGAAGAGACGCGCGACAAGTCCTAGTGGATCTCCGTCGCGTCTATTCTTCTTGGTCTATTGGGCTATTCTAATTCCCGTTCATGCGACATGCCTGCGCATCTTGCATCTGTGATAATGAACCTTACTGACCGCTCTTTCGGATGTAGATGACGAGGAGTCCGATTCTAGCACTACCCCTCCCTCTTCTCCACCTCCTGGTGTCGGCGCCATTCGTCGCAACAAGTTTGAAGATGAAGAGGGCGAAGATAGCGATGTGAGTTAACCCCTTGCTGGCGGCTCTCTTTCAGTTGATGTGATAATTGACACCATGCTCCTAGGTTCTCGAGTCGTGGGATGCCGCTGAAGATTCCGAAGTAGAGCGAGAGAAGGCCAAGGCGGCTGCTGAGGCCAAGGCCAAGGCTGATGCCGAAGCTGCTGCCAGCAAGAAGTCCAAGGCTCAACGTATCGCCGAGAAGAAGGCCGAACGAGCTCGCCAATTAGCCGAGTCTGATGAAGGGTCTGAAGATGAGGACGAGGCTCTACGTCGTGAACGAATGCGCGCCAGTGAAAAAGAGTCCGACTTGAAGCACGCTGAGGATCTGTTCGGTGATGCTGGCATCAGCCTTAGCAATGGACGAAAGGCCACCACTGTCGGCTCTGCCGTCCCTATCGATGCTAAAGACCCAACCAAGACCGTTGACCTTAGCTCCCTCCCGCTGTTCAACCCGCAGACCAAGCTTCAATTTGAGACTCTCCGCAATACTGTTGTCCCAATTATCGGCAGTAACTCCAAGAAGGCGCACTACTCTCTATTCCTCCAGGAATTCGCTAAACAACTCGCTAAGGACCTACCCAGCGATCAGATCAAGAAGGTTGCCAGCACCCTTACAGCTCTCAGCAATGAGAAGATGAAGGAAGAAAAAGCAGCTGAAAAGGGTGGCAAAAAGACGAAGGCGCAAAAGACCAAGACCACCTTGGTAACTAGCCGAGCTAACACCGCCGACGTTGGCACCTACGACGACGACTTTGGGGAGTAAGTTAATCCAGTGATTTGCGATGCGTATACCTTATACTAACATTCTCCCTAGTGATGACTTTATGTGAACAACGCGGAGCACATACGAATCCCTTCATGGTCATCACGACACCTCCACACATACCATCCCACTTCCGAGAATTCTTGCGATCATGGCGGACTTTTTAGAGCTATACCCCCGACTTGCAGCATTCAGCATTTGGCACTTCTAGATCAGGCTACAGGTGCTGCGTGCCCTATTCCCCCTCTTGGAGTCATAGAACGGTGTAGGCGGACAACCGACTGGAATAATGATGACGGACAGGCGGTAATTACTATGGGACTACAGCTACGATGGCATCATTCAGGCTGTGTTTCCTGGCTGGGTGGTCAGCAGGGAGGCATTATCTGGCATTTGCACCGGTATCCCACTAAGTTGCAACGGTCGAGCCGAGCCGTGGCTGGGCTGGGCTAGGCTTTGGGCTCTATTGACGGCGATGATAATGTGATGCTGGATTTGCACACTGTTGGCTGGTTGGGTTGGTGCGGTTGGCTGGGATGGTGCAACATCGGGAATGTAGATACACAAGAATGATACTTTGCGAATTACCTCAAGACAGATCACGTTACAAAAGTTCGGACGGCGCAATGCTTTTTCTTTCCCCTTCTTCATCTGATACCCTACCTAGTAAGGTACCCAGTGAGCAATCGACCTAGATCTCCCTTCAAACTATTCCGTGATCATATTTGGTAAGCTCAAGGCAAGTAGACCGACGCTAATGTTTATGTATTTCTTGTATATTTCTATTGTATTGTATTGTATTGTGCTGCCTAAGGGGGGTATTTCCGGCTCGAAAAAAAAAGGACAAACCCCAACCTGAGACCCCAAAACTCCGTACGTAATATCTGTATGTATATACCCAACCTATCCCGGATAATAAATCGTCAACCGGCGTTCGCGTAAGCCATTTTCCCTGTTCCTCGTAAATCCACCCATGCGTGCCTAATCATTTTGTTTTATTTACAATAGAGGGGTGGGGAAAGGGGAGGTTAGAGAAAGTGTAGGGAGTAAGTAGGAGTAAGGCCAGAGAGGCGATTTTAAATGACATTCCCCGCCATACCCATGAAGAGCGCATGCACAGCCAAGCTCAAGGTCCAAAAACCGACCTTCTTCAGGCGGCGAACGCGACTCTGTTGGTCTTCCACGTCGTGGGCGAATGCGGCGTATACTTCAGCTGAGGCATCGTCCATGAGCCCGCAATCGTAGATAGTCCAAGAGCCGTCGAAGTCGGAAGCACGCTTGACAATGCGGCAGTTAATAGGAATGTAGGTGCGCTTGGCGTTGATGTAGGCAACGATAGGTCGTACGAGAGCCTGGTTCACGTAAGATAGGTTGGAAGTAAAGACGGGGACAGTGGCTTTGACATCGTTAAGGTGGATTCGCAGGTCCATGACTAGGTAGCGCTGTCGTTCTCCGTTCGACTTCGAAGATGATGGGACTATGACGAAGCCGTCGTCAGTTTCGGTATCTGTATCTTCATCTGCAGGAGGTGCATCAGCGGCAGTCTCTTCCGGCACTTCATCGGACCCGAAATAGCTCGGCGCGTTGAATATGACTTCTTCGTCACTGCGGGGCTGGTCTAGGATACGGAGGTATCGGTTTGATGTGACAGCTTCTTCAAGCCGATCGTAGAAGTCTGAAACCACCTTTGTGATACCATCATTGTCATCGGCCGGGAACCTTATGTCGGATACGATATCAACATTGCCTTCGTAAATCCAACCGAAGGGACCTTCGACGCCACGGTTGAGGTGATCTATTTTAAGCCCATCTATTCGAATACGGCTAAATTTCTTCCAGGCGTCCGGTTCCCCCAACGGATCGCAAGCGACGTGTTCGCGGCCGGCAGGGACTCCATGTATCTGTCGAGGATGTATGGTGAATAGTGATCCATCATACGATCCAGACATGTGGTTGGCGGACAGAAAGTCGTAGAACAAAAACTGTTTCCTCAGCTGGGGGAGTTCGCAGGAGTATATGCTAACTGGGAAAGGTCGGAAGCCGCCTGGTTGGTGGACAGTGACGAGAAGGTCCTCTAATTTGAATGCATCGATCTCAAAATCGCCGGGATTGTGCTCATGACGGTATGATAAGGGGTCGACTCGTTCGCCAGACCATCTAACCGATGTCCGATCCACCACTCCTCGTACGCCTTTGATCTCAACATCCTTTAGTAGACCTCTACCATTCCACCACTTGACGAACGAGAGCGTGACGTTTACTGTATTTAGCGTGATGTCAAACTGTGTATAGTTGCCGTCGTCGACCTCAACGACAGGTCTCTCTTTGTCGGTCTCTCTTCCAGCAGCAGCTACGGCCGCAGCGTTCGAAGAAGATCCCTTGCTAACAGTAGATTTAACTTGGCCTGGTCTGCGGGAGACGAAAACATTTCGGAACGAAATGACGCCATCTTTCCATCTGGGAACGATTGCTGACTCAAAGACTACCGTAACACCAGCAGACTCAGTCAAATAATCGCCAATCCATTTCGCAAGTGTTTCTATAATGAATAATTTTAGCTAAGATCTCAGGCATTGCGTAGCAAGTGATATTACCTTGTGCGAAAACTGTATTGATAAAGAGGATGGCAAGCGAGAAGAAAGTAGTTGTGCCGACTAGAACCCAGACGAGATGACCGAAGAGAAACCATGACACAAAAGCGCCCCACTCATCTATATTCCATGGCCTCATGCTTCTGATAGAAAACCACTTAAACCGAACTTTTAGGCGCTGCCAAAACCCGGTTGCGGCAGCCAGGAACTCTTCTTTAGTTGGTCGATGTGGTAGATGCGGTAGCTGAGGCATCGCAGGTAGATGGAAGTATTTGGACACAGGCGAAGATGCCGGTTCTCCCTCGGCAGGCTTGACGCTGGGCTCCGCGTCAGGCTTTGAGCTTTGAGGAGGGTTTGAAGGAGGGTTTGACGGAGTCATATTCTTCTGGTGGGCGGCAGTCGGGCTAACATTGTCAGTATTAGATTTGGAGGTTTTCGTCCTCCGATGAACCCTTATTATTCTGCCTCGACCACTTCGAGAGGAAGTATGCATATCCCTAATCCACGCTTTCCTCGCTAAGTTGCCAATGTTGGACGTCTGAACCGCACTTCCGAGAATAGCTGAGTCCGCAGCAGCCGAACACGTTGCTGTGACTGCTGAGGTGGTTGACGTGGGTGATGCAAACCCAATAAGCAGCAGGCCACTGGACGTAAAGCTCCGTCGAACATGATTGCCGGGTGGTTTTGGTGTTCGAAAGAATGACCACGGAGATCCCGTCGATCGCGGCCTTGCGATCGAAACATAGGGCGCTGTCTGATGAGGCCCAATGCTATTTATCGGATTTCGTTTCCCGGGCACTCTCGACGTAAAAGTGTCGATGCACTCGTAGAGGGATCGCCATGCCTGGCGTCCCTGGCCTAATATTGTAGGCCTAGCTGCTGAAGACATTGTATAGGTTCATGATGGTGGTGTGGTCTTTAAGCATAGAGGCAAAACCACAGGTTGAAACCCCGAGGAGCACCTGGGAAACCAATATGGAATAATTCTAATAGTTGATCAGCAGAGTTGTTGAAACTTCTGAAGTCTAATTGATACAAGAGACCACAATCCAAGCGAGGCTCATCGTTGAATTCGAACGACAAACAGCATGGGGTGCGAGGGGTACAAGCATGTAAAGATGGAAAATCATGAGAGAAGCATAAAATCCCAATCAAGAGTTTGCTCGGCTTCAACCTTTAAAACTTTCTTAGGTTCGTCATTGGCACATCAGTACATTTGTACCACACAAAAACCAGCGGCGGCTAGAACCGATTAAGTTTAATGGCTTTTTGTGCGCTACGATATGCCGCTTTCGCTGTTTCGACAACGCCACTTACCCATGAATACCAGGGTACATGGTCTGTGTAACCCCCTCTTTTATCGGGGCTGGAAATCGATCTTATCGATAACTAATTGCAACCCACCAAACCACTTATCGTTATTTTTTTTGAGTCCTCCAGAAAACCATCACCAAATTGGACACGACACTCGCGAATACATTTCGAAATTGACCTCGAATCCATCCGGTACCAATTATTCAACTAAACATCCGCGGAAATCAAAAGAGATAATTAACCAAAAATGCCGGCCCCGACAGCCTTGCTCAGGCAGGCCGACGACAACCCTCCGACGGAAGTCCCGCTCCCGGAGGCAGACCAAGATGAAGATTTCGAGCTAGGAGGCATCAACTCGCTCCCCGAGGACGCGAACGCGGTCCTCCAGCCGGTAAAAAGGACCGAAGAGTCGGATATGGAAATCGACGAAGAAGACAAGCCGCGATTCGCGCCCGCCCAGAACACCGTATGTCATTCATTATCACTCTTAACCTACCTACCTACAAGGCTAGAGAGAAGAGGAGAGCCTAACAGATGACCTGCAGGATCCCTCAGCACACATCCAATCGCGCAAGGTGACCATTCCGCCCCACCGCTTCACGCCCCTCAAGAACAGCTGGCCCAAGATCTACCCGCCGCTGGTCGAGCACCTGAAGCTGCAGGTGCGCATGAACGTCAAGCACAAGCGCGTGGAGCTGCGCACGTCGCGGCACACGACCGACGCCGGCGCCTTACAAAAGGGGGAGGACTTCGTGCGCGCCTTCGCCCTCGGCTTCGACGTCGACGACGCCATCGCCCTGCTGCGCCTCGACGACCTCTACATCGAGACCTTCGAGGTCAAGGACGTCAAGACCCTGAGCGGCGACCACCTCGCCCGCGCCATCGGCCGCATCGCCGGAAAGGACGGCAAGACCAAGTTCGCCATCGAGAACGCGTCGCGGACGAGGGTCGTGCTGGCCGATTCCAAGATCCATATTTTAGGAGGTGAGTTCGGTCGAGTGTTTCGAAATTGCGGCATATGATTTGAGACCCGCTAACTTTGTAAATTTGCAGGATTCAAGAATATCCACATAGCCCGCGAATCCATCGTAAGCTTGATATTGGGTAAACCACCTGGAAAGGTGTACAACAATCTCCGGACCGTGTCCGCGAGAATGAAGGAGAGATTTTAGTTTTTTATTCGATCAATTCTCACATTTTCACATGGGGCGGAGTTCCGGTCTGGAGTCAAAATAGGGGTTTATGTGTAAACGCACTTGATAGATTACGAGACGTGAGAAGTCTCTTCTGAGCACCATTAAGTCATTAGACAACTTAAGGGTATCATGAAGTATATAAGAAAGGATATTTCATGAGACTCGTCCTTTTGTCGCCCGGTGTATTTTTCCTGCCTTTCTCCCATGTCCAATATGCTCCTAGTAGTGACTTAAGATATTTTCCGTAGTACAAACGCTAATTCCCAATACCTTGAAAAGATACTCCGTCCCATCCCTCACTTGATATGGACTTCCAACGAGTCCATATCTTCGATGTCTGCCTGTTCCACGGTTGTTTCGTCATCCAGAGCCTCGCCATCCCAATGGAGCTCGATGGTCTTATCTTCCGGAATACTTGCGAGTCGCCGATACGCCTTTACGAGTTGGGCGGCCGTAGTACTAGGACGCACCGTTACCTTCGTAGGAGGTACATCTTTTGCCTTGAAATGTACGCGGATTTTCTTCTCTTCTTGTGAGTTTTGAGGCGGCTCCGGTTCTTGACTTCCTTCATACACCCCTTCCAACTCGTTGAGGTGCTGTAACCGTTGCCTCTCCTTCTCTTCCAGATATCCATCGTACAGTTGTTGTGTCCATGCCTCAAAGAGCACTTTCTCACGTCCTTGATACCCCTCCTGGTCCGACTTCCAGTCTGGATAGAGTCCGCCGTCTCGCTCTGGCTTAATGCCTAATGTCTTCAGAGTTGTGTGTGGATACACTTTATTTCCTTTCCAGGTGAAGAACATAGACTCCAAAACCGGACGCGGCACATTGCTGTTCTTAACTATTTGCTGTTCAACCCAGGTCTGATAAACCACGTTGAGTTTCTGAGATAGTCTACGACGGAAGAGTAGAGGAATAATGCCCCGCATATGTGAATGGACGAGGATCTGTATGACAGGATCGTCTTCATCAGCAGCTGTACTATCCCCTCGTTTTTCTCTAGCTTCGCGTTCCGCCTTTTCTTTTTCTGCTCGTTCCCTGGCAAGTCTGATGTAGTACTCCGAAGGATCCTCCTCCTCATCCTCCTTTGGCTCTTCGCCTGCGCCAGCTTGAGTATCACTGTCATCGTCCAAAGCAACCACATCTTGTTTTGACTCTAACTTAATAGATTTCTTTGAATCTGTACCTTTGGCTGGGGGAGGCTCAAGTGGAGATTTTGGCACAAAGGGATCATCGTCGTCGTCATCTAAAGAGATGACGGAGGTACGTGCTTGGGCGCGTGTGAAGCGGCCTCCTGTACGTGGACTGGCGAAGGAGCTTTTGCGTTTAGAAGTTGGTGTGGGAGGTAAGGAAGGCGACCTTTGCTTTTTTGAGGGCTTGTATTCGCGGTCGGAGGTATTGTCATCCTCATCTTCGTGGGCGATCGAAATGTGACGTCGCTTCTTCGCGGAACCTGGCTCACGAATAGGTTTTTCATCCAGTAGGTCAATCCGTTCGATTTCAGATTCCCGGGCTAGTCGCTCTTTGCGCTGCTGTTTGGCCTTCGCCTCCTTAGCTTCCCTAGCCTCTTTAGCAGCCTTCTCAGCCTTCTCCTTCTCGGCCTTTTCCTTTTCAGCCTTTTCTTTCAATAATCTTTGGTGCTCTTCAAAGAAGTCACCTGACCGACTGAAGAGAGAAAGGGCATCATCATTGGGTACTTCGCTTGATTTACGCCTAACCGTGCGCTTGAATGGGAGCTTTTTCTTAGGGGGCGATTCCATTATGCATAAACAGAAAAGATGCAGCTAACGTTTCTCAATTGTAATGGAGTGTCAGCACATTATTCAAGAGATTATGAGCATGCAATAATTGAGATTGATCGATGCAATCCGAGATGCCTCAGAAGAAGAATTGTGTCTGAGAATAAAAAAATAATAGAAGAAAGGGGTCAAGGGTGGGAACTTTATCAACAATTAACAATGAAAGTTAAATGTGCCCGCAACGCGTGGTGGTGAACTTACAGTGAAAGTCTCACGCGTCTTTCAGTGCCCCGCTTCTAGTCGCTGTTTCCAGCTTGTTCGACTTTAAAAAGTGGATACCGGGACATCCCACATCACGCTAAAACCGGACAACACTTTACCTAAAGCTAAACAGTCGCAAATACTAACGCCATTGAATATCAGTCAATTTTTCAATTCTAACCCAAACCACGTCTCCACAACCAACATGGAAAACGGCACATCTACAAATACCCAGGGTGAGGGTAAGGACCCATCCGGGTTTCTCTCAGATATCATCGGCAATCCCGTCACCGTCAAGTTAAACTCCGGTGTCGTTTACAAGGGTCAGCTCAGATGTACCTTGAATTATGAATTTTCATACCAGCATACTGACACCATGTCTATAGGTGAACTACAATCTGTTGATGGGTACATGAACATTGCGTTAGAAAAGACCGAAGAGTATGTGAATGGCGTAAAGCGAAGAACATACGGAGATGCCTTTGTCAGAGGCAACAATGGTAAGTGCTCTTAATTCATGAAAACGAATGATTATTTCGATTTACTACTATGCATACTAACAAATCCTTGCTCAAGTCATGTACATCTCAGCCGACTCATGATGGATGACTCTCAGTATTTACTCATTGGGGCCGTCTTTAAGAATACCACTTAAGACATCAGGGATTCCGAGAGGGCATATCACACTGTCCGTCCACGGTCGTATTTTACGCCTTGCACTTCTCATTCGGAGGCTACAAGTATCAGGCGAGGTATGCGTTTCCGTTTGATACATACTCATGGATATGGGAGAAGTTTAGCATCATGATGACTACGAATTCCTTTACCCTTAAATCTGATCAAGAGCAGCATTTTGTCTCTGTCGCTGGGCATCTTTGTGACATGAAGGCTCTTCTACAGTCGATCCGTCCACATGAAGAATGTGATGCCATGTACCGCAAATTGACCCTTCTCATTCTTTTCAACGTCATCCCCCTCAAGAACTTCTTTAAAAAGCTTATTCCAGGCTTCTCGTTCGTCACCCTTGAGCACGGCAATTTGGCTCAAAGTGTTGAGTCGTAACGACAGTTCCTCTTCGCTCAACCAAACTGTCCATTTAACGCTATCTTCTCCACGAGGAAGACTGAATTTAGGCAAGCTGTCGGTGAACGTATCTTTAAGGGCCTGAAGTGGGGTGGTGGGTAATTGTTGCTCGAATACGTTTTTCCATTTCTTACCAGAAGATCAGCTTTGTTCGGAATTCACCTTCAGGCAGAAATTACTAACCTGGTGTCTGAATCGAGGAAGACCATCATCCAGTGAGTAGACAAAGTCATTTAGCTTTTGCTCCCACTTTGTAGTTGATGGCCAACTCTGAGGTTTATTGTCTAGCCGCATTAGAACTCCTGATTCACCAATTTTCTTGTAGTAATTTGAGGTAAGCTTACAGTCCTCGATATTCCATATGGCTCCAAACACAGCACCTGGTCTTAACACGCGATGAATCTCTTTCAATGCCTCGGGCGTAGCGAACCTTGATCCATTAGATGAGGGAATCCAACCTTGTCCCAAAAACTCAGTCTGGCAACTTACCAATGGAATGCCTACATGATGTTAATGTTAGCATTGTCTCATGTCCGAAGATAATTGAGCGAGTATCAACTCACTTGGGCGGCAATACAAGCATCGCCCCATTCATCATCAACAGGCATCTTATCAGCCTTTCCATCGATCACTTCGACACCGGGTAAATCTTTTTGCACAAGCTTCTCCCTCATAGTGTGGTGGGGTTCGATCGCCTTCACGACAAATCCTTCAGGTCGCTGGGCCACAAGTTCTGTGAATTTGCCAGTGCCCGAGGCAATCTCCACGATTTTAGCAGAAGGTTGGCCTGCAATCTTCAGATTCGATAGGAATTTTTCAAGGGCTTCTGGTGGGTAGGAAGGACGGTATGCGTCGTATGAAGCAGCATCTTTGAACCCTTCTTCCGCTGCTTTTGGTATGGTGTTATTTTGGGATGTCATTTTCGAAACTGGTAGCCGATTTTAAAGATATTTCTATGAAAAAAGAGTTGCAAGAGATTTCAGTATGCTCAATATCGCGGGCACCTATCTAGACGTATCCCTTTTGTTGGTGTCTGTTTACAGTATGATTGGAGATACGTACCCCACAATTGACTACCAAACCTGAGCCGTCCCGTCCCTAAGCTATTGCGTCAGTCTAAGTAGCTCTACGCTTATATCCGGTATGACGGTAGAGCTAGGTATTAGCCGATGAGGTATCATCGTAAGTACATCAATATATATGTGCCATACAAAGTAATTATCCTTGTAATTGTCTAGTATTTTTGAAGAACATATATGTCTCGTAGTTGTATACCTACTGTAGGTAGGATGATAGATTAATCGCAGGTCGTACCCAGGTTAATGGATCGCAAGACAACATGCATAGGTATGTATTTATGCATAACTTGGATAGTCGCAAACTTGTAACCAAACTGATCGTATGGTTGCACTCCTTCCGTCTCACTGCATACTAGACGCCTGCTGCACCTGCCATGTAATACCTCGCCTTACCTAAGAGAAAACATTGGATGTGTCGCACAGAAAGATGGATGTGCTTTCCAGGCCAGCCTCAGGTCCAATTCTGTGGCAGTTGCTCAGATCCAAGACCCCCCAGATTTCAGGGGGCGTTCCGTCCCCATCTAAAAGGGCCATGGATTAAAATAGCTAGCCAAGTTACCAGGATGGGCCAAGACTCTTGATCTTCTCTTTAACAGTTTAACGCATCTTCATTCGGCGCGCTTCACACACCTAGCATCTCCTAGTATCCAACTGCATACCTGCACACGTAGGGACGCAGCCCCTTAGTTCTAAGTCTCGGCGCATCCTTATTTATTCCTTATTTCTTATTCCTTATTCTAATATCTCCAATTCTTTACCAATTCCTCCAATGCTTCCTATATAGTAGGTTATCGTCGAGAACCTCATGAGCCTCTCTCTTTGTTCCGAACTACTTCACCGAGACCGGGGTTGAAGGAGATCACTGTCGTTTGTCTCGAGAATGTCATGGTCTCTCTAGAGTCAACCTAACTTCTCTCTTTTTTTCCTTTATGTGCAAGCATTTTATTAGTCGTATAGCACATTCTTTTTCCTAGATGCTTCTTAGATACCGCCGCTTCAGGCGTAACTATTTGCGCCCGATACTCCTCGTCCTATTCTTCCTCTTCACCATCGATGCCATACTCCTCGTGCGCCATCGTCCCAACACCTACCGAGCGAACCTAAACGACATTGACCGACGATCCCCGTCTTCTCCGTCGGGAAACACCACCGTCTTCATCGCATCGGTACATCGGAACACGGAACTTATACAGAGGTCAGCATGGAACAAGGCCGTCCTAGCTCTAGTCGACTACTTGGGTCCAGAGAATGTCCACCTGTCGGCCGTTGAATCGGGTTCGCAGGAGGGAACGAAAGAGGCGTTGATGGATTTGAAAGCGGCGCTCGACGAGAGATCTGCTTCGAATACGATCAGCTTGGGATTAACGGTCTGGGAGCAGTTGGAAGAAATTGATGCGAGGCCACCGCCCGGTTCGCGGGAGCCCGGATGGATCTGGAATGTTGCCGAAAGTCAATTCGAGTTGCGCCGCATACCTTACCTTGCCAAGGTTCGCAACCAGGCCATGGAACCGCTCAAACAGCTGCAGAGTGAGGGGAGAAAGTTTGACAAGGTCCTTTGGCTGAATGATGTCGTATTTGACGTAAGACCCTCAGACCCTCACGTTCTTCTTAGGCGCCCCAAGAGTGACTAGACCACTAACGGTGAATAATCTAGACCGAGGACATTGTCACATTATTCAACACTCGCGACAATAACTACGCAGCCGCTTGCTCCATGGACTACAAGGTATCACCTCTGTACTACGACACATTTGCTCTTCGAGATGACATGGGTCTTAAGACGATATCCCTTTACTGGCCGTGGTTCCAATCTCCTACCTCGAGGGCCTCTGCCGAGCGCAATGCGCCCATTCGCGTAAAATCGTGTTGGAACGGGATCGTAGCGTTCGACTCAGCGCCTTTCTATGCCAACCCGCCGCTAGAGTTCCGCGGTATCGACGACACCCTAGCGGATTTACACTTGGAGGGTTCGGAATGCTGTCTGATACATGCAGACAACTACCTAACATCCGAGAAGGGCGTATGGTTAAATCCAAATGTTCGCGTCGCTTATGGCGTGAAAGCATATTATCAGGTCCGGACGAACCGGTTTCCCAACCCGTTCTGGACAGTGGTGGGCGCGTGGGTCAACCGGCTATACAGCTGGCACGTCGGCATACAGAGCCGGCTTGAGAACCGGGTAGTTCGGAGTAGGATGGAACAATGGCAGCTCGAAACGCCGGACGGGGACCTGCCACGATACGAGCCCGGAGAGGCATGTCTCATCAACGAGATGCAAATAATGTGGTCGAATGGATGGAAACACTTGTAAAATACGTTCCTGGCATAGATAAAAAGGAATTGGCTAGAAGGAAAAGGTTTTTTTGTAATATACCCAAAAGTCTGAGCATTGCATCGATCTTGATTTTGCCCCACTTCGAACTCACAGCTTGAATACAAATCAACCACGTCGAGAGATGTAGTACTTAGGTAGGCATAGTAGATGATGTGACACTTCAGTATCGTCATTTGTCCTTTCTTATTGCTAGTTGCTGCGTGGCCGATACGGTCATGTTGACTTTTGACTGAAGTAATAATAGACGATGAAGTTGCTACTTGAGGGTATATAACATCGTAGTCTGCCCTGTCATCCACATAAAAGACGACCGTCTATCTGCCTATCGCGACACCTGCTCTATAAATGCGAGCCTATACATTTGCTGCCCATCCAAAAATGCACGAGTTGTACACTTCAGCGCAATAGTGTGTACCTGAAACCCGAAAAAAAAAAAAGCCAAGAAATCAACGCAGAACGCCTTTATACATCGTGACATCGCAGCGACGAAGCCACCGCGCGCTCTTCTCACAGCTCGAACATGCTAACAAACAAACTCCCTTTTGCCCGCTCCGCCTCCGGAAAGACCGAACTACCACTACTTATTGTGCCAGATGAAATTCCGCAGCCCGTCCCAGCTATCGGACTGCTGGTAGATATACGTCATGCTGCTCCTGAGCGAGGACTGCAGCTCCTCCGGGTGGTAGCGGAACAAATGCATGACGGCGCCCCACGAGGCCGCCGCGAACACGGGCCACGCGTAGTGCGATATGCGCGCGGACACGTCGGGCCGCGAGACGAAGGGCAGGCCGCCCGCGACGCCCGCGGCCGCGTCCGCCGGCTTCACGGCCAGCCGCGCCAGCGCCAGCACCACGCGCGCGAACACGTACACGACGATCTGCTGGTTGACGCTCGGGATCTTGCCGCTGCGCTTGCCCCTGCCGCCGAACACCGCGTACCCGCCCACGAGCCCCGCGAGGAGCGTATCGTACGGGCCTTCTTTACCCGGCCCGCCGCGCGAGCCTAGGTGCTTGAGTACATAGCACACGAGCTTGTAGATGACGGCGAAGCGGGCGAGGTTCTGCGCGTGCGTGCGCGTCGCGCGGAAGACGAGGGATGCTTTTTCGGAGAAGGTGCCCGGTCGGAAGAGGAAGACCATGACGAGGGCGTGCGGGAACCGGACTTTGGCTCCGTAGACAGCGCCGTTGCGCGCTGCTTTGACGATTGCCAGGAGGTCGTGGTATGTCGGGTCTAGGATTATGCGCTCCAGGGCTGCTTTGGCGCTTTCGAGCGCCGTGGGCTCTGGAGGGGGGATTGGGGAGGACATTTTGGTGACGGATTTAAGAGTTTGGGCTGGATGGGAGGAAAGGGGTGGAGGGCGAGATAGGTCAGTTTGCGTCGCGAGGGAAGCGACGTTGTCGAAGTTCGGGGATATTACCGGACCATTGATATTTCCTGGGTATTGATCAAATCGGTCGGGAGACGGCAGATGCTACGATGTCGGTACGGAATAGGAGAAGAGCATTTTCCCGTGGAGGTTGGAAGGACGGATTAAAGCTGACGTTTCTTTTTGTCGGCCTCGGCAAGTGGCACATGTTGTTTTCTCGGCTCAAATGAAAGCTGGAGCCGGGAGTTCAGGGATTCTTAGATGCGCTAGCGGGTCCCCTACAGCTATGACGCAGTATAACTCGTCCCTGCCCGTCCTGCCTAACGAATTGAGAGTGTGCAATTGATTCAATTGAGATATGCAAGCTGCATTGTTTTGCATGTGATCGCGATCCCGATCTTAACTTCGAATTCATGACAAATTAACCTAGCATTATTTTCTTATGAAACTTACCATCTATAAAGTCAGCCATTAATAGATATAAGCTTAAATTGAAGGAAAGCTCAGCACTAATGCAGCGACACATTCCAAGCCACCCTACCTGTCGTACGATGTAAAAATCACCCAGCAAAACGCAGATGGCACTGAGTGCCCTAAAATGTTAGTGAATACCCAGTCATGCATTTTTGATTCGGCAACTATTTCCACCGCCCAAAACAAAGACTCTAAAGGAACTGTCTCTATATTTATACGAAGCCCACTTACTCACCTATGTGAAATCGGGACCTATAAAATGCAGTGTAAAAACCGAGACATAATCTATTGATACGATTTTTGTCATTCACATCCTTGCCCCTATCACTCGGTTACATATTCTACTGCGCAGGTAGCTGAGGCTTTTACCCAATCCATACTCTGACTTGCGGTAGGTGTCTATGAACTTAGTATTTTGCTTCATGCTCTAACACTTACTAAAGCATACAATTGCTAGAAATCTGGTCGCCGAGCTCCACCCGTTTTATTAACCCCTATTCGAAAATAATACACCTAGGACATTTACATAGCTAGTCGTAGCCAATGGCAAGAAGGAATAGCTATAAACATACATAGTTAGAATCTGGGGAACCCTGCTCTTGAACCAGTTAATTTGAATAGGGCTGGCAGAGCGTAGGCAAGGCGCAAGCAGAGCTAAGTGATAAATTGCGGATACCTAGGTAGATAATTATAAACGTGATAGCTAGTCAACGGCTTGCTGACGACAGCTCTCCTAGCGGTCGTTTGAACCCTAGGCGATGTGAGGAAACAGGACTTTTGTTTATCTTAAATTCTCACCATCTACCTATACTAAATGAGGAAAAGTGATTATCTCCGATATATCCAATAAATAGCCCTCAAACTTCATTTGACTGGGTCGTTTGGACTTGGTGCTTTTACTTCAGGCGTTGATAGATCTACGAGGAAGCTCTCCTACCTACCTAGGTAGGTAAAGTTGGCAAGATTGACGCTGTGGTAGATGACAACTCGCTAGATCAATCCAGATCTAAGTGAATGATCTTCAGATTGTGTATCCCGCACCAATATAATCTATAAACAACATTGACGAGTGAACGTATTGTGGATTGCCACGATCCTATTGCAGACTCACCACACGGGAAATTGTCCAATGACGACGCCCTTGGCTGCCGTTTTGGGTAATGCAGATCTGTAAAACTACCGGGTATCCACTGAACCTCCCGGAAGACGGACGAGAAGATCACATAGCGTAGCACTGCCATTCAGCTTGCATTCAGCTTGCAGCTGAGTATCTTAGCCTTCTGGGGCTGGATGCTGCGATCAGGCCCTGTCGTAGGGCTATTAGTCCTAGACTTCGACCGCCAAGAGTTGCCAACAATGACGGTGACGCCATCATGGGTTACGAGCCTTTGGGTCGGATAGAGAGCAGCACTAGACTACAGACATATCGGAATGGGTATATAATATACCAGACGACGCCTCAAAATCATGTAGAAGTTTTGTCCTGTACCGCTTGGTCTCTTCATCCATTTTCCTAGTATCTTTTTCCTTTTTATTTTATTTTATTTCCTTTTCGTCTTTCTTCTTCCGTTGACTTTCATCATGTACGCGACGAATTCCTCGGTCTGTCTTTCAGATGCGTGTATCAAGGCATCGTCCACCTTATACTCCAATCTGAGCCCCAATTTCCAGAATATCGACCCGTGTACTAATTTCGAAGAACGTAAGTATCTGGTAATCCTAAAGGGTTACAGGGAGAATGTTACTAATATCGCATTATAGTGATTTGCGGAGGTTTCAAGCAACGCTATGCATTATCAGAAACGACAACTTCGGTCAACGAACAAACCTTGTTGACCGGTACGAATTATGTCTTCATGAAGAATATCCTCGAGGCTCCGTACGATACGTCTTTGGTGAGGAGACCATTTGATTAACGTACCCTGATATAACAATCCGCTAAGTAGCCGTTAAAGGGTTCCAATCCTTCGGTAGATGAGATGAACTTCGAGAAGTTAGTTAAGGGGTACAACACATGCTTGAACGAAACTGCAATTGCCGAGCTCGGCGTTCAGCCATTGGTAATATTCCTTGAGAACGTTACCGAGACCTTCCCTGTCACAGCGGCAGAATACAAAAGCAATAAAGCTTTTGGACCAGGCGATCATAAGTCGTTCAGCGAGACTGTTGCCCAATTCTTCCAATATGGAATGACCCCCTTTTTTGAGATGAGCTCTGTCCTCGATGCGTTTTATCCCGTATGTTCCCTCGTTCTGACCCTGTTTAATAATCCTGCTAACTTAGCAGGATACTTATATCCCGGCTATAGCGCCGTCAGGTCCCATAATTGGGCAAGCGGTCTTTGCGAATAATGAGTCGCTAACAGCGTACGAGAAAGTGGTCGCGGAAACATTTGCCAATATTCTGCCAACCAATGAGTCAAGGTCCGCTGCCAAAGAATTGGCTCGTGGTTTAGTCGAGCTTGAAGCGAAGGTCGCCTCGGTAGCAGTGGGTACCGGTCTTATAGTAAGTGGACGATAGAGTGCTCTTCCTAATGTATAAACCCGAGACCCTGCTGCTGACTTGAAGATAGGATCTGGTGAATGTCATGACCTTGGACAATCTTACGCAGCTAGCCCCCGCGTTCGACTTTGCCTCAGTGGTCAGGACTATCGTTCCAGCGCCAGTGAACCGAACGTCGTACCCTCATCCAGAATACTCTGCTTTGATTTCACAAATCTTGGCCAATTCCACTAAGCCGGCGGTTCAAGCATACTTCTTCTGGCAAGCGATCGTAAGCTTCGAAGACTCACTCGGTGGGCCGGAGCTACAGCCTTTGAAGCAACTTATAGACACCATTCAGGGAAATGTAATGACGCGCCCTCCTTTCCCCCTTCTTATTCCCGTAATATCGTGTCAAGATTCTAATGCTTTTCCTAGGACCCCAGTCACAGACCTGAACGATGGCGTGTTTGCATGGCTGACGTTGACAAAAAGATGGCCTGGCTTCTCAGCAAGCCGTTCGTAGAAGTTAAGTATACGGACGCTGTCGAAAAGACCCTCAGGGAGATGACAACCAGAATCCAGAACCGCCTCGCGAGAAATATCGATCAAATCGAATGGATGACGGACAAGGTAAAGGCGATCGCAAAACACAAGGTCGAAGCCATCACCCAAAAACTCGGGTATCCGCAGGCAGTAAGTCAACCAGGACCTTGCCAGACCAATGTAAGGTCCACAATGATCTAACAGCCCAACGTAGTTGCCCAACCTAGACGACGCCGTGTCTCTAAGGGACTACTACTCCGACCTCCAAGTCACAAACTCATACTTCGCCAACGCCATCTCATACCAGAAATGGTACACCCGAAAAACCGCCCTCCTAGTCGGCACCAAGCGCCAAGACAAAGCGTGGCCACAACCCGCGACCAGCTCCGCGCTAACGATCAACGCCTTCTACCTCGCGCCCGAGAACTCCATAACCATCATCGCCGGAACCCTTCAACAACTCCTCTTCGACCCTAGTCTACCCGCGTACATGAATTACGGGGCGCTGGGGACCGTGATCGGCCACGAGTTCACGCACTCGCTGGACACCAACGGGCGGCTGTGGGACGACCGCGGCGCGTTCGCGGGCTGGTGGGACGCGGCGTCGGACGCCGGCTTCGCGAACGCGACGGCGTGTCTCGTGCGCCAGGTCGGCGCCGACACCGTGACGCTTACCAGCACGGGCGCAAGCTTGCCCGTCAACGGCACGCTGACGCTCGCCGAGAATATCGCGGATACGGGCGGTATCAACACGGCGTACGACGCGTGGCAGGATAAGAGGCGCGAGGATCCCGCGGCGGATTTCGATATACCTGGATTTGTGGGAAGGTTCACGCGTGAGCAGCTGTTTTATGTGTCGGCGGGCCAGTTCTTCTGCGACCGGTCGACGGATAAGGTTAGGGAGGCGTTGCTGGCGGCTGATGTGCATGCGCCGAATCCGGTAAGGATTAAGACTATGATGGAGAATTCGCGCGGGTTTAGGGAGGCGTTTAATTGCCCTGTTAAGGAGCCTACTTGCGTGATCTATTGAGGGTACTAGTGAGAGGGCGGTTTTTGGTTTCTATAGACTACCTAATTGTTAACTCCTGCTATTGTATTAATAACATGTCATGATTAGAAAAGGGGTAGATATGGGTTCACGCAGACATGAATAATACTATTCTACGTATCTATCTCGCAAGAATAACAGTCCGGAGTCTCAAGCGATGGTGACCTCCTATATCGGATATGATGCAATTTTCTGCAGCCACTATCCCATCCCGTGGGCTATCTCGATAGTCCGGCAGCATGATCCGGCGGAGATGGAGCTGTACGGATCTATTTCCGTCGTTGTATATAAAAAGGACCCACGTGGGCAAGATTAACCGGGATCTTTCGGCTTATCCGATATGCGTCTAATATTCACCAGTCAGTGATCTTCTCATGATTGGCTGTTGCCGTACAGAGTCAATCAATCTCAGTGGTGCGTTTTGAGGGTCTCAGCTGCAGCTGGAGGGTAACCTAATATAAACGCGACATTGATGGTTTGTCGCATTGATGGCATCATACTTCACCCCCTAAATGATACATCAATGGTGAAATGAATCACGTTTATATGTAACACTGTTTATATCGAACTGACAACATATATGCTACTATGAAACATATTGTACTGGCTTATGGTGCAGGGAGGTATCCAACCATACAAATTACCCCTGGATTTTGTTTAACAAGTATACCTACCAAACTATAGTTTGGCGGCTTCCTCCTTGAGGAACTCAACCTTGTTAGTCACAACCCCAACGTTCTCAAGCTCAACCTCAACCACATCGCCGTCCTTCATCCACAACTTAGGGGTACGGCCCATCCCGACACCGGATGGCGTTCCCGTCCAGATCAGGTCTCCTGGAAGTAGGGTGTGGCCCCTGCTGAGGAATGAGATAGTTTGCCTGACGTTGAAGATCTGATCCGCCGTGTTGCTCTCCTATATCTTGTGTTAGCCAATCTTTCCAAATTTGTAGGCACGCATTTTATCTTCTTACCTGAACGGTTTGCCCGTTTAACCTAGTGCTGATCTTCAAGGTTTGCGGGTCCTTGATGAGGTTGCTCGTCACGATACCCGGTCCGTACGGCGCCCAGCCGTCGAATCCCTTACCCAGCGACCACTGACCACCGCCACGGGCGACTTGCCAGTCACGGTGAGATACATCGTTACCGATGGCGTAGCCTAGCACGTAGTCGAGCGCATCCGCCTCCGATACATCCCTGGCCTCCTTGCCGATTATGACTACAAGCTCGCACTCATAATCTAGGCCTTCCTCCTCCTGCGCTATCGGGTGCACGGGAATGGGGTCCGTGGGCCCTGATAGAGAAGTGACAGGCTTGAACTGTCCGATATGTTTAGCATATCATATCCTAGGCCTTATGAAAGAGCGGACCGGTGTTACTTACGAATAGAACTGGGTATTTGGGCAACGGTAGACCGGCCTAAGAAGATATGTCAGTATGATGGAACCCGAATAGCGATGCCGAGAAAAGACCGACCTCCTTAGCGTGTAGCGCATAGTTGAGGCCTAGGCATCGGACTGTCTTCACGTCTTCTAGTGCGAGGGGTGCTAGTAGCAATCGGACGTCCGCAACCTGATCTGTGACTTCATGTTTGCCAAAGATATCCCCCTTGATGACTTTTGCTTTTTTCGTTTTGGCAATGTCTGTCACGCCCTCAGGTAAGATGGCGTCTCCATAGTATGTCTTGCCGTTTTTGGCGAGGAAACGGATTAGTCGCTATTGAGGTTAGTATGTTTCCGTATATGGGGCTACGTATGAGAATTGAGAATACATGAGAATTGAGGGGTTTGGCTTACATTAAAGGCCGGCATTGTTGAATCTGCTAAATGGCAATTGAGTTGAAACTGAGAAGAAAACTTGAAGATGAGCAATAACCAAAATGTATAAAAACAGGATATTCTAGATCCAGATCTATGTAATATATCGAGTACGTCGAGTCTATTATATGTCTTCACAGAAACAAGTGGAGTAGAAGGTAACTGGGGCTGATGAGGGACAGTAACAGAGATCGGGGTTTCGGATAACTTCGGACGGTACTGTTTTTAGCCTATCGTAATCGCTGAAGCAAGCACCGAGTACGGAGTTCGGGTTCCCCACCCAACGGCAGTTCGTTAGCCCCTTTTTCTGCTCCCCCCTTTTCAATCGTTATAAATACCCCACTATAAACTCCGACATTAATGATAGATCATTATTAATATATCACTAACCAGCCTCTCTTACTGCCCTCATCCGTTCCTTGTATGACGAAGGCTTTCTCAGCATTCGCACCCGGTCAGCCCAAAGTAATTTTCAACGTTCCATTGGCTTACAGAGATGCCTTTCCGGATGTTTACAGTATCTCGTACGTCGTGGAACGATAGGTTTTCGATAATGCTTAGGAATTTATATATTAGCTAGAAAGACGCGCGTCAGGCTCTGAATGAGCACCGATTCAAAATAACCTCATGTTCAAACATCTTTTCGCAAACTTAACCAAATCACTCCTTTCGAACTCTCAGACGACCCAGATCATCAGCTTCAAACCTAACCGTCATCTTGTCTGCTATCTTATCCAACTTCTCTCGTGTTTAAGGTCTTGGCATATCCAACTCATCTTCAGACCATCCCCCTAACTCACCCACTAATAGAGCCATGATAGAATACTTCAAGAGAACCGCTTTTGCGTGAATACAATTGACACGGAGAGAAGGGATAGCAGCCAGCAACACTTCTAATAAGGGCAATGTGATCCATCTCCAGCGCGCGTTTATATACGTCTCTTCAAAGAAAGCCTCGCCTTTGATGGTTGAAGTGCTATAATTGCCGCCTTTTCTGTTTTGAGGCTGATTAGTCATTGGGTGTCTGTGATGTCTGTGAAGACTTCTTCATATTTGAATGTTGGAGAAGCCCCTATCATGAGTAGGTAGGTGCTATTTGTTACCTGATATTACGTCCTCATGTATGCCTAATTATCGATAGGTAAGAATCGACTCATCAATATTATTCCCCCAGGCATTGGCACATGAACACGATACGCCGAATCGGAAAAAATAAGCTGTATAAGACTATACGTCGGGGGTGAAGTTGAAGTTGCTCACCAACGACTTTTATCATTCATCAAGTCTTCAAATGCGATAGCCAACCGGCGCATGTGACAATAACATTACTTACCTGAACATGTTTGCGACAGCTCTGAGCTACGTTGGTTATTCGACTACACGAGGGCACCAGATGTGCAATACGTTTACTCTATGGAAGCTCGACTAGATAGGTAGGTATATACAAAGGCAACTACCTAGGTAGTTGTTCTACTGCACTGGTGCGAAGAAACTGAAACGACCTTCAGGATCATACTTATTCTTCAATGCTTTGAGGCGATCCTGGCGCCATTGTTCGTAGCCGTACCAATTCTGCGGCGTCTCGTCCCCGTAGGCGTAATTTACGTACGTGTGCAACTCGTTGCTGCCGGTACCTTGATGGATAATCTCTCGAAGCCTGTTACCAAGCTCGGCCGCCTGGTCATCGAGTTCCTTCCCGGCGGGAGTGTAAGTGATAAGCGGGGCGGTCAGGATGTTGTCGCTTCGGAAGGCGAATGCTGCAGAGTCACCATCGATTGCCTGTACACCCTGGACAGGGTAGCCCTCGAACATGTAAATGGAGGAAGAGAAGGGCGAGTCTCCCGATACATTAGCTGCATAAGCTTCATATGCCAGCTTCTGAGCTGAGATGTTGTACTCCTTTATGTAAGCGGGGAAGCGGGGATGGGCGAGCCCAGCTTTTTGACACGGAGCGGAGTCGACGGCGATTTGGACCCACGCGGCGAGGTCCTTGTAGGTGCCCGAGTCGGCTTCGACCGAAATGGGCCCGATGTCGTGAAAGGGCTTTGTGTATGTTGGGTCGACGGATGTTACTCCTTCCTGGATGATGTAAAATAAGATGATAGGCTAGAAAATAAGGTAGATCAGCGGGACATCATCAACAGAACAGCAAAATGCTTCTTCATTTACCTTGTTTGGGTCAGCGGTAGGAATGTTAAGCCAGTATGACCAATTAATCAGATCGACGGGTATGTTAGAGAAGTGGTCATTAGCGGCTTGATAAAGAGCCTCGACATTGTCGCCGTCGAATATGAGGGTTTCAATTGCCCAATCGGTTTGAGATCTATCGTAGATCTTTGAGGTGAGAGAGGTAACGATGCCGAAGTTCTGGCCGGCGCCCTTCATGCCCCACCAGAGGTCCGAGTCTGCGTCAATTGTCTGCAGAGTACCGTCCGCTAACACAACGTTCATGGATACGAACTGATCTGTTACAAGGCCGTAATGTCCCTGAAGCCATCCATGGCCACCCCCAAGCCCGGGACCAAGTACACTCACACATTCACAGGTGCCCGTCACTGTGGCTAAGGTGAGCATCTAGCTTTATGAAAGACATCCGGATATAAGCACTAACCTGTTTCCTTCCCTGCGCTCCAAAGGGTATCGGTCACATTTTTGGATAATGTGCCACCCCCAACTGTCACTGTCTTATTATCTGGGGCAATGTTCACACTTGATAATTGGCCCAGATAGATCTCAATACCCCCATGCATGCGCCCTAGCGTGGTAATAGCGGCGTGAGCACCATTGAAAGCTAGGATGGGCAAGTTTGCCTTATTTGCATACTGGACCTGTAACGAGCGAGCCATTATGTCAGATCCGGGGTTGTAAGTGACTGAGCCTATGCCAAGACGGCAGCCGGCGCAAAGGGTACATGAGACATGAAGATAGGAATAGGATGAAGCCAAAAGCCGAACTTACAATTTTCACAACATCATCCTCTGTAGCAGGAACCACAGCAACGTTTACGATAGGCTCTGCTAAGGAGGACCATCTTGATGTCAGTGTACTGAACTCTGTCGAATTAGGAAAATAGACCTTGGCCTCCGGGGAAAGTGCGTCGATGAGGGCGTTCGCGTGTCCTTCAGACGCAGAGCTGCCGAGGGCGTAATCCAGACAGACAGACAATAGAGCCGTCACGGATACGAAGATACTGGTCCTTAGCCAGCGCATTTTGGCGGCGGATGGAGGTCTTTGCGCAATACTTGAGAGGCCAAAACACTGGTAAGAATGAGGTCTGCGATCTGAATATCACCTGAACCGATAGTGATATTGTTTTGATCGATGGATAACCCAATGGCTCGGTTTTTCTCTCTCTGCACCCCACTTCCATGGCATGGCCAACGTCGGAACGAACATGCTCCCGATGAAGCTCGTTCCTGGGCAACACCCCTTGTGAAGTGGCATAGTATCGGTCTCGATTCGATCCTTTTGGGCACATCGGTTCATAATCTTGGAAATAAATGGGCCATACCCCTGTCTTTCTCCATTTAATTAGCATTAGCCCCGCATCTAACCGTAGCTTTGGGACTAGAGCTCAGCCTAGGAGAAGACTAAGCCAGGATGAGCTTAGCGTTGTCCCATTATCGAGCCTCATCCGTGTACTTTTTGAACGGATTATAGACCTAAATGGCTAACTACAACCATAATAAATCAATTATCTTTATACTACCAGATTGCATATATAGTACATGTTGAATTTACCACATGTTCATTTCCCTATTTAATATCCTTCGCATTGTAAAACTCCAAGTAAGGGGGATCTGCCCTGACAGAACTGCTTTTGCATTTCCTAATTGTATCTTTAGCAAAATGATATATGATGCTGAATTTAATTGGTACTGGGGTTACACGAAGGTCCAAGATGCAGGATTGAGTTAAAGATCTCACGTACCTTTGGCTCTCATTCTAGGCGGATGTGTACTAGAGATAGGGTCCTTTCAGGGAAATTACGTCTAAATTCCTTGCTACCGTCCTAACAAATTTAGATCGCAGCCTGGCGTAGAACCAACTCGGCGTAGATCTAGGATTGTGAAAAACATGATATTGTATTAATTTACTGGCTGTTCTGTGTTCGATCTACCCGGCCTGATCTGCGGCAGCGGCCGCTGCCCATGTGGGCATGATCCGATTGTGGGCCCTCTACTCTTTCGGCGTATCGGTGACGATCCTCGGAACCTCATACACTCGTATCAAGGCTATCGGAGCGAGAAACCTCCAAGCAGATGTTATCTTGGTGTGGGTTGCTATAGTCTGCTCGCTCGAAGACATTGTGTTATCTCGACTCGGACTGGACCTCGTAGCTATTTTACAGCGCCCAGACGGCGCTGGCGCGTAATGTAGCAGCCGTTGCTCACGGTCTCGCCGACGATGGCATGGCTGATGTGCAACGTGCTACAAGGTCCCCTAGCGAACCGGATTATTAGATGAGGTGAGTCTTGTTCTAAAGCAAATGAGAGAGCGTACGTCTAGGCTCTATCATTGGGACGAAATTACTAATCTACCACGTAGAAAGGGTTAAGTCGACGATAAGATCTTCTAATACAGATAGACTTTGCCTTCGTCATCGGGATTTCTCTTGCTTCGATCCTCGCCGTTCCAAAATTGACAGATTAATCCGGATCCAAGAAGTGTGTAGTTGGACCTAGTCTCCTCAACTAAACCTCCTTGGTGCTGTTTTAGACCACTGTCAAGCTCGATATTCCAACATATTATCCGGGCACCGTCTACCGTCAATGCATCCACCGATGTATACCTGGTACTTATACCTATACTCATACTCTAGGGTTCCTCTTTATGAAGAAAGTGGCTTACCTCGTCCTCAGTGCTGGCATGTTTATTCTTGACAGTGCTATGCTAAGAATTATTGTCGTCATCGCGGCGGATTCCATCGTGCTCGACTACCTCTTCAAAGTCTGGTTGGAACCAGTGTTCTGCGATTGAATGAAGGTAAGTGAAACATAGCGGCCTTAATACCATCGGTGGGTGGCAGTGGTAATGGCGTATCTGCCAGTCGGAAGCGTTACTTGGGAGGACCTTCTGGCGTCAATTCTCTTTACCATGAGTAACGATAGTCTCGAACACGTAGGGTGCAGTATTTCATTGCAAGAGCTAAAGGCCTCAGGAGTGTCTGTAGATCCAGGGCATCCTTGAGAAGTTGAGTGACAAGTAAACGAGGAAAACATCAAAGACGAGCGACGTGCTGTGTAATATAAGAATGTCATCCTTGCATTGTAATGTCGAGGGGAGCAATTAGCCCGAGTTGATTTTCGGATGCCATATAAACCCCACTGGGAAGAGAGTAATTACTGTCCCATCTGTTGAAATTGTTAAAGTGGCGTGAATGGAATTATTCGAGAATCTCCGAACCCAGCCCGTCCGAGTCCCTCGCGTGGAACACCCAAACCACGCGATCTACGGTAACGCACCGGCTTATATACCTAACACAGCTTAGGAGTGGGGGTACCTAATCTTACAGTGCGATCCCCATACGGAATTTTGTACCATTGAGTTTGTCTCTGCGGGTTGACGCTCCATCGGAATTTGTATTGCTTACCATTACGTACCTTACAATGTGAGACTCCTTTTGGTTGGCCATAAGGTGAGTTTTCGCTCCTCTAAATATATACCTAGGTAGACACCCTAACTTTCAGTAAGGTGACTAAGCCACATCGTTAGAGTCGAATAGTGAGACTGTAAAAAGTACATGGATATGCGAGGCTTTTCAAAAGGCGACGACGAGGTTTGCGATGGTTCGTAAAATAGCCGTTGCCGGTTTGACTACCTACTACGTAGAGTTCGCTGGGTATTCATATATGTTGATATAGTATAATTAGATTCTTTTAATTGGTTACCGTTGTTCATGATAATCCACTCTTAAGACTCGTATTTTTCCAGCAAGTTGTCTTGCGAGCTCGACATCAAACTGCTTGACTGTTAGGTGGTGACATCGTCGTTGAATTCAACGAAAAAAATGTGTAGGAAATGGCTGTCTTGCAAAGACAGAAGAATACTGGCCACGCCGCAATTCATCATATATGTCATAAAGTTGATTCCGAACGAATCTGTTATCATGACATAAGAGAAGTCCGATGAGTTCGGCGTTCTGATGTCCGAGATTGAAAGGCGTGAGCCCCCACGATTATCACCAACCACGTCCGAGCGTAAGGTAAATAGCCGTGCGCGGGATGTACGTATGAAAATATGGCAACACGGTGACATTGTACGAAATTATTTATTCATTCCTTTATGTCAGGGTAATAATTATGAGTCTTCTATTTTGTTTCTCCCTTCAGTTATTCTGCAAGTTTGATCACATATTTGATTTTGCTTTTTTAATATCGTACCTATGTATGCACGCCCCTTTTCATAATATACTTACCTACCGATTTACCAGATACGTAAGCACGCAAAGATAAGATCATTCTATTCGAAGCGCATAATTGATCTATGATTGATCTAAGAATGTTCCAAAATTTCTTCCCAAAATGGTAATATGTTGGCATGAAGAAACACTGTTTCGACATGGTAATACCCCTAAATCCTGGATGGATTAGGAAAGCTTCAATCATTACTATGTTTAGACAAGCCCGGGCCATGCAAGCGACGCTTTGTGTTTGTTCGGTAGGTCAAATTTGCGTTGTCGATCATGGCCGCATTGGAAATGAAACACCCCAGCTCTCGAGCGGGACGAAGCTGACGGACCACACGTGGGGATGAGCTGACAGGTCGCATCGAGCCCCTTACGACTCCGGAGACGAGCAACCATTTCATTCGGTATTCAGCATTACGGCGTTCGTGGTGCAGATATGGGTATTACTCGAAACGGTCAGCATAATAACTTGGTAGTCGGGAAACCCGTAGATCTCTTCGACAAGAGAGAGCCACCCAAAATTTGATCTTTGAAAGGCAAGAGATGGACCCCCTCTCTTCGCTTGAGCGGGACATGCATGGTCCTACGGCGCCTATGCAGCACGGTGACGATATCTAAGACCGGATAAACCAGCATGCCTCAGACTCGCCTCATCCTTACATTCAGCATATCACACCTGAGCTTGCAACAATTAAATAAGGGGGCCAGGGCACCGTACATATGGTAGGACCCCAAATGTCGGATACGTACAGTCGACCCATCCCTGTACGATAACAAACAAAATAATTCATCAACCCTTGCCGCCCTCGTGCTCTCCCTGGCTGGAACCACGTAGATTCTCGAGAACGCCTGTCTTGGCCTTTTTTTGTTTTTCATTCTTCTTTTTCTTATCTGTTCTTTTTTCTTGTGTCGTCACGTCCCTTGATTTAGTGATTCCTTTTCGTTTTAACCTACTAGTTAAAAGGGGGGGAAACTCGAATGCGACCTTCAACAGGAAATTTTTCGTGCCGCTGCGGATCTCGGATCGGGTGTATGTAAATGCTCAACGACGAGTGAGGAGAGGGTACCTCGCTCTTTCGATAGTGGAAAGCGACGGGTGGTGCTCGGGGACGACGAGGGCGAGAGAGAGAGAAAGGGAGAGATTTGAGCCCCGATATGTCGGCCGCCTATGACCGGCTCACGATCTTGCGAAAGGACCTCGCGACGCCGACTGTCGACCGTATCGAAACCAACTTAGTGCCTCCCAACACCGAAGGCTTGAAGATCATCGTCTCGGGCGTGGTATTAGTCTTCCTCGCGGCGCTATGGACCTACTTGCGATTCTGGAGCCTCCGGCAGAACGGCCGAGCGTGTCTTCTCGAGGATTGGTTTAATGTCGGAGCGGTGGCTTTGTTTTTTAGCCTCGTGGCTACGGATTTCGTTATGGTACTCGTAGGTGGTATGGGCCACCACGTTAGCGAACTGCAGGAATGGCATATAGTCCGACTCTTAAAGGTTAGTAAGCCTTGCGAGAGGATATACGGCGACGCGCCTAATCCCAGTTTCTATGAATATGAGGATCAAAATGTTAACGGGAGCCGATGGATATAGGCTATGTACGCTCGCCAATTCCTATACGCGGCGTCTTTAGGTCTCATCAAGATCAGTGTTATCCTCATGTTTATGCGGACTTTCTTCGGTACCCATTTCATGCTGGCTGCTAAGGCTACGATGGCTTTAACTATCGCCTGGATGTTATTGATCGTGCTCGTCAACCTGTTGATGTGTCACCCGATCAACACATACTGGGACCTTCAAACGCCTGGTGGGTTTTGCGGGGATCAAAGGGCAGCCTTCGCTTCTGTGGGAATAGTGGACATCACAAACCAGTTGATGATACTGATGCTGCCCCTGCCTATGATCTGGAAGCTTGGGGTGGAAATCCGGTATCGAGTTGTCACCGTCTGTATATTCACGATTGGCATTCTGTAAGAAGAATTCTATCCTGATGACTGGATATCTCGACTAATCATTCCTTGCCAAATGTAGCACACTAGTATTCGGCGCCATTAATTTATGCATGATCCTACAGATCGACTACAACGACGTATCGTACACAGCAGTCCAGACAATGCTTTACGGAGCCAGCGAAATCGGCGTTGCCATCATCGTATCCAACTCCCCGCTCCTCCGTCCCGTTTTCGACCGGGTGCTCCCGGCCTGTCGATCCGAGGCTTCGAGCTGGCGAGAGAAGGGCAACGACATGGTTATGGCGAGGAAGCGCAAGAGCACCAAATCCAGCGGGTTCACTCAGATGGTGGGCGAATCGCAGGAGGATCTCGAGTTGGGCAATATGGGAGCTCACAGAGCCCGGCGAAACACGCATATCACGGTTGGCAAACGGCCGCCGTCCCGCGACGACGATGACGACTGTTCCGTACACAGGATAGTGGTGACGAGTGAGACTATCGTCAGAAGAGATAAGGGGGAACTCTGATTCTAAAAAGATTTCTTTTCATTGGGTCCTAGCGCGGTCTAGAAAAAAGAATAGGGAGTAAAACCGGGCGGCGAGGCTGGTAGACTTTATCCATACGTTTACAACGAGGTCTTTAGAGCTGACGTTCGGACCATTTTCTCGCAGACGGCTGTTTAAATTCTAGGCGGCGCCCGATTTGCGTGAGATTTTAAATTCCCTACAATTGTTTCCGGTCATTGCATGACATAAGCATACCTAGTCTCCAGCAGTTTCTACATGTTCTAAACTAGGTACTATAAACTAAATCAACATACGGACGGGTTGAACAGTGCCTGCTAAATACCACCAGCTCAAACGGTCGGGGAGCTAGACGGGTGTTCCGGGGAGATCGTACGATAAGAGCAAATCGAGTTCAAATGAAAATCGTGAGTACAATACCTAGCCAAGTTTCTTCTATAATAGAACTAGATAGGAAGATAGATAAATGTTGGAACGCCAAATCACCCATTTTTGGACCCGTCTCGATAGCAATCTAGTGGCATATCGAAATATTCATAGCTGAGATAGTCCTCCTTTGCTTGAACCCCATCAAATAAGACGTAAAAAAAGGATGTTGTATCGCAATGATATAGATGGGTAATTAACGATTGAGACATCATCACATCAGCTGAGCGTAATTTCAAACGCTTGCTCTCCTCTCCAGCGTGAGGTTTTCTTCAGACAGCCGTTTACACCGAGTCTTGAGGTCAGCACTCCTATTTGACTGGCAGTGATTATAGAGAGCATTGGTTGATGGCGCCTCGGGGAAGACTTTCCTTATGATTGATGGTAGCCTTCCCAGAGGCCACCGAGTCTTCATTGCTTGCTTAATCATCTTCGTGGTAATCTGGGAAATAAATTTGAGCTCCTTTTCTGTTTTGAATCCGGGGAGATCTTCCAAAGCCTCGCAAAATGTGCTCCAGCCAGTGATCATACAAAGCGGTAAGTGGCTTGAAGCATCCCCAGGACGCAAAGTCAATCCGACTGTCAAAACACCTAGGTCCGCTCCGTACTTGAAGAAGTCATCCAGTGTTTTAAGATAAGGACCAGGAGCAGTAACTATTGACGGGTATTTAATACCGAAACGAACAAAGTCAGTCCAGGCTGAAGTGAAAGGTGTAGGGTGCGCATTCGGATCGGCGCCGTGATGGAGTAAGAGTGAATAAATACCATTCTCGAGCGCAAATTCGAGGTAACCAGAGAGGCCCAAACCAAAGGTTTCGCAGTGGCGATCAATCATGCTTTCTACTCGGCGTCGAGGACCGAAATGTCCGCAAATACCACAGTTCATCAAATAATCTGACCAAGCAGATGACGGTATCAAATGTTGTTGACACATTGCAGGCGCGTATGGGAAAGAAAGGTATGTAAAAGGGCGGCCCGCCCAAGGGTCTGGCCCAATGTCTATCCTGACTGTATGACTGCAAGCTGGGACACATTGGGTTTCATTCGGATCGTAACCATTTCGGAGAAGTAGGTGCAGGAAATTTCATCCATTTCTGATCCCTTTGCCTCGAAAATGAGCTTCGTGGTGGAGGGGAACACATCAATAATAACCATAATGCTGGTGGGTTCATTCCCTGGAAGTATCCTATGTTGTTAGAAAGCTTCATAGCAGCATAGTCAACTGCCTGCACCTCAAGCAAGCATTGTTTAAATTGTGAACGTTGCCCAAAACCACGAAGCAGTCCAACGGGCGTCAACAATACGTTTTCTTGGGATTCGTTCTCGGGGTATATTACTGACGTCGATATGTGCTCGAGACAATCGATTAGTTTGAAGACTTCTTCATCTCCCACTCCACGGCTTCTCATGACTTCCGCTACCTGAAGCGCTTCAGCAAATGTGGGCAAAGGTCTGAAAAATGAATTATGTTCGAGAGTCGATTCGTACAATTGCCCCAGGTCCGACATGTTTTTTTTAAGACATGCCACCCAAGCCTTTAGTATCGAGAGCTGTCCATTAAACCCTTCAACATTTCTATCCTGAATGTACTGAATCATTTCGGGGGGTTTTAAATAATCCGACGCAGTCCGGTGAATGAATTCGAGCTTACTGCCACATATCTCTAGTATGCAGCAGCATTTTGCATTTAATCGGCGGGATGCTTGGCCGCGGAGGGATTGGACTTCGGTAGGGGTCAGAGTTGTCCGCGGCATATTGATCGCGTAATCCGGGTCAGAGTACTCGTGCTCATGCAGCAGAGCCACTACCCATAGTAATTGAGATCCCCCCAAAATCCTGCGCAACCAACTGCATTTGCAACAAGTTCGCCGATTTGCTGTGATACACCTGATCTATCGAATCAACATGGACCTATAGAATGCCTCCAAGGTGGTTGGCCAGCGAGGATGTCCCTCCAAACGACTTCGGGCGTAATTTATGATATCTTCCCTAGTAAACTCGTGAACCTGAAGGACGGATGACTTCTCAGCGCCAAATTGGTCCTGGAATTCATTCAAGGGTCGACTCGCGACACACAACTTCATCCTCGAGCATTTGGCGATCTCTGATAAAGTCTGGGAGATTTCCATGTAGTCTCCATCAAATTCGTCCAGTCCATCGATGAAGAAACAGAATTTCACTGTCGACTTGCCATTCGTCTCAATGGCTTGGAAGCAATTAACCAGCTCCTTGAGCTTCCAATCTTTCTTGGTGAGATGGGGTAAACTGCTCTCCCACCGGGATGGGCATGATTCTGCCATCAGTTCCGGGCACTGCCTAAATATTTCGTAGAGGAGAGATTGGAATAACCCTTCCATGGATTTCTGCATAGAAATGCCCTGAAGCCAGAAAAAATGGCTCGCGACAACAACTCTTTCTGTTGCTGCCCATTGCTTTGCTGCTTCCATTGTCTTTGCGTGGCCAGCCAGATATTTCATCAAAGTTGATTTCCCGCTACCCGGTTTGCCTGTTATCCAAAAGACACCGCCTGATTCGCGGAGCCACCTGATGAAGCCATTGTCGTTCGTCGCCTCTTGATTAGATGACTCGAATATCCAGCTAAAAGTCCGAGCATAAGCTTTAGAGATGCTCTCGTGTCTCACACTCCTAGAGCTATAATCTAGGCTACTTAAAAACACTTGCTCTCTAATAATGTCGCGATTTATTAGAGATAAATGTGATACCTTGTTCGTCAGTTCGTTGGGTTCGGTGGATGAAAACGTGAAGCTAGACTTGGATATCCTTAGTCCGCTGATTTGCAATTTCACTGCTCGAAGGTCGGATGAAATTTCCTTCAGCTTGTCTAGTTGTTGAATTTGCAACGCTGTGTTCTGCTTCTCAAGATCCCGCAGATGTTGATTCATATTTAGGAGCCATTCGCTAGACTTCTATAAGTTTTCCCCTTGATACAGGAAGGATCAATTTCTTAACTTACTTTGATATTGCGCATATATGTAGCGTCATCATTGACTGTCGGTCCCTAAGCTGACTTGTCAACCTTTCGATTTCTTGCTCCCCCTTCCAAGCAAGTTTGAGCGCAGCTCGGAAGCTCTTCCAAGCGCGATGGTCTCCGTTAACCTTTACGCCATTCAAGACCGTCAGAAGGCGAGTACAATCGGCGCTGCAAGAGTCGGCAATGCTTCTAAGGGCGAGTTCGTTAGCTGACAGTCGTGTACTCCCTTGGGTAGCGGTAAATCCATCACTAAAGCTAGATAGCTGCTGATATATATCTTCCAATGCTATTGTAGAATCTGACGCCCCTGCGGAAGATTTATAAACTTCGACACTTGATGACAACACTTTGGTAGTAAATTCGATGAACTGAAGAACATTTCCTGCTAATGACAAGGCCGACAGAGGCTCCATACTGCCTTCGTTTTACCTGAGAGTACTGATATGATAGTTCCTTTAGAAAAGAGAAGAAATGTGAAGAGGAACTATAGAAAATATAGCTGATGCGTCGGGAAGTTCATTTCTACCTAGTAATATCTGGCATCACCACTGCCTCACTAGGCATACAGATGGCCTTCGCCTGGTGAGGCTATGTCAGGAAGACATAGAGGTTGCTTTGAGCTGCATGATCACGAATCAGGACGTTGACGTCGCACACGGAAGAGACAAGAGGGAGTCGGCGTCCAATTATACGCTGTTCTGCGTAGTCCCTATCGGCAAAGAGGCCCATCATTGGAGGTTACAATTTTTCATTGAGGATGGGGGCACAAATTAATATGTAATAAGTGTCATATTAATTGATGTTGTAGTCCAATTAGACGATAGCCGTATTATATGCAATTAAGTATACACTTCGCATTAGAAAATATTCGTTATATCTTCAACCAGTATCGACTTAGACGGGACGTTCCCACGTCACTATTTCGTAGTCTTGTCATGATTACAGAATATTTTACCCGCAAAACATCTTTAGTAATAAAGTTCGTCGCATGCACTGGGATAGATTGCTCTATTAGATACCCCGAATGATGAATTTCTACTTATACAGTACTTTCATACTTATTACTTGCATAAATTAGAATGGGTTGTAGTTATGTACCAAACGGAAGGCGGTGAAAATGCATTAGCGGTAGAACCCCCACTGGCGCAAAAAAAATAATTTGGAGCTGCATTTAGTTTTCAAATGCTTCCAAACTTTTTGACACCAAAATTCTTTTTCCACGGCGCAAAACTTTACAATTGGCGCAAATGGCTTCGACAAAGCCCAGTTTAAAGCGCAAAGCTTCCTTAGTTGAAGCTGACCAAAAAGACCAATCATTATCCGACGATGACTTTGGAGATGGTCTCCTTGAGGGTGTGCTAGAAGACGAATCAGATGAAGAATCCGAGCCAGAAGACGATGACGACGTTAACGAAGATACCCTTGGTGCTGATGACGACGAATTAGACAGCGACGATATACTAACGGATGATGAAGACCTAGAACGAAAACAATCAACGAATGGAGCTGAATCGGACCAAGAAGATGTTGGTCCTCATTATAGAATCGAGACCGACGCCAACGGGGGAACCCGGTATGTCTACGACGATGTCGACCCCGTATACGATTCAGACGATACAGACGCACAAGAACCCGCAAATACGATCGGCAACATACCCCTCTCATTCTACGATTCATATCCTCACATCGGGTATGACATAAACGGGAAGAAGATCATGCGTCCCGCTACTGGCGAAGCCCTAGATGCCCTACTAGACAGTATAGAGGTTCCCAAAGGATGGACTGGCCTCACCGATCCCGCCACCGGCAAGCCCCTGAATCTAAGCCAGGACGAGCTAGAATTGCTACGACGGGTCCAGATGAACGAAGTTCCCGAGGAGGGATACGACCCATATCCCGTAAGTTTCACTGTTTAATCCATTGCCTTCTTTTTATCTAATGTTCCTATAGGATACCGTGGAATGGTTTACAAGTTTTGAGGAGACAATGCCATTGAGCGCAGCTCCGGAACCGAAACGACGCTTCTTGCCCTCAAAGCATGAAGCTAAACGAATTATGAAGCTAGTCAAGGCGATCCGGGAAGGTCGAATTTTGCCGTACAAGCCTCCAGAGGAAAAGCAGAGAGAGGAAGAGGAAGAAGAAGAAATTCATTACGATTTATGGGCCGACGAGACACCTCGGCCACCTAATGTAATGCATATTCCAGCTCCCAAACTCGCTCCTCCTGGCTATGATCTCAGTTACAATCCGCCTCCGGAGTACCTCCCTACAGAGGACGAAAAGAAGGCTTGGGAAGAGACGGAGCCGGAGGAACGAGAAAAGGAATACATGCCCCAAAAATACGACTCATTACGGAGAACTCCAGCATATGATCAGTTTGTCAAGGAACGATTCGAAAGGTGTCTTGATCTCTATCTTGCACCTCGAATACGGAAGAACAGATTAAATATTGATCCAACTTCATTGCTTCCTAAATTGCCACGACCCGAGGAGTTACGGCCATTCCCAACAGTCGCATCGATAGAATTTACCGGTCACGAGGGCAGAGTACGCTCTGTTGCTGTTGATCCATCGGGGCAGTGGCTAGCCAGTGGCGGTGACGATGGCACCGTTAGAGTCTGGGGCCTCACAGATGGCAAGCAGCAATGGCAAGTCAAACTTAGTAGTGAGGACCCGGTAGACGTAGTACGATGGCGACCAGGCCAAGACACGTCAATCCTTTCGGCAGCTGTGGGCGAGGATATTTTCTTTATGATCCCATCTTTCGGAAATCCGGAACTAGAACAAGCTAGTCGCGATATATTGGATGCAGGATTCGGGTATGCGACCAACGGCAAGCAGCTTACGACGGCCAATGGAGCAGCACGAAAAGACCCCCCTGCGAAATGGGCTCGCCCTGGAGCTCGATTAGAAGAAGAGGGAGTACTGTTGAAAGCAACAGTTCGATCGCCAGTGAAAACTATCAACTGGCACCGACGAGGAGATTTCCTCTGCACCGTATCTCCGAGCGGACAGAGGAGCTCTGTGGCTATTCACACGCTGTCTAAGCATCTGACTCAGATTCCCTTCCGGAAACTACCCGGGTTGGCGCAGGCGGCGTCATTCCATCCTTCGCGTCCCATGTTCTTCGTAGCCACCCAACGATCAATACGCTGTTACGATCTCCAAAAGCAAGAGCTGGTCAAAACAATTCAACCCGGAGCCCGCTGGATTTCTTCGTTCGACGTACACCCCGGCGGTGATAACTTGGTGGTTGGATCGTATGATCGTCGTTTGCTTTGGCACGACCTTGAGATGTCAAATCGGCCATACAAGACCATGCGATTCCATCCTCAAGCGATCAGGGCAGTAAGATTCCACCGGTCTTACCCATTATTCGCGGACTGCAGTGATGACGGAACTTTGCAAATATTCCACAGCAAAGTTGTGAGCGACCTCATGGAAGGGCCGACCATCGTTCCCGTCAAGATGCTCAAGGGGCACAAGGTAGTCAACAAACTTGGTGTGACGGATGTCGACTGGCACCCCCAGCATCCTTGGTGTGTAAGTGCCGGTGCAGATGGAACTTGTAGACTATGGACATAAGCCCGGCTTTGTAGGAAATAACAGGTGGGTGCCTAGTGATATCCTGGTAGGGTTGGCAGGGTGGTTCACTAAGCCTAGGACGTTATAGAGAGCCATATAGCGACGGCGTTTTTAGAGAAAATGTACCTCTTATCACCCGGGATCCTTGTACGTTCTTCCAAGGTTCTTAGGGTGGGTTTTACATACAATCACGGCCTTGTTTCATCCAATCGAGATACAGCCTGTTGGTCTTCGACCCACCGTTTCATCATTTGTTTTACTATGGCACCCAATCAACTAGTACAGTGATTTCCTGCCCTACCATTCGCCGTGAATCACCTGCAAATCATTCCTCGACATCGTGAATGGCTAGTTCTAGGGTATTGGCGCACATATATGCAGTACACAGGTCCAGGACTAACACCGCTAACACACAGACAAGGCATCATGCATCCGCTCGTTACTGCCCGATGGCTCTTCCCCCCTTTTTATATCGCTCTGCCTAAGATATTGCCATTCCTTGCTTCTATTTCTCTTCTAGAACGAGTCCTCTTTCCGTCCATTCGTATAATCCACAAGATCAATACCAGGGGCCTCGAAAAACAGTATGGATTCTGATTCTAGCTATGAGAACCAATGTTGGATGTCGAGGCTCTTGTCCCTATCGCTTACTCAGGCTACCTATTTGGATTTTTGGTGATCAATGAACAAGAAAGAATTCGAAGAAAATGACAAGAGTCTACAACAGCAGTTAAAGAATCTGGATGCCTAGGGACCTAGTTGCCTTAGAAACAGGATTTCCAACATTGATAGTGACGGGCGGATCCTCTATCGGTCATGAACCCTCGGTCTTTTATACCCGTTCCTAACGATAGGCGAGCATCAACACCTATAACGAGTCTCGTTCCAATCATTGTCGCCAAGACGAGGGATGCTAGAGAATACGTGAACACCCCAGCGTCTCAAGAGACAAGAAAGTGGCACACCCTTGATGCTGAGGGTTTTTCCTATTCGCTTGTGATCCCCTTGCCTAGCTGTGTGACATATTTAACAACTCATACAATAACATCAAGGGATAGTACGACGAATCAAGAAGTTAATCCAACCAATATCCTAATTTATCCAGCTACGAAAACTTCCAAGAGACTTATAAGAGTCTCAATGATGTCCATCGATAACAGTATTGCGTTGAAAGAAAAGTGAAGTGCCTTTGTAAGCCTACCAGCGTCAAGACACAGGTGTGACGAGAACATACGCTAGTACATGGCTAATATACTCAAAGTATAAACCCTAGCCTAACATAAGAAAGCTCCCTTACAACTTAACATATCCTTCGAAGCCTTACGAGAGAAACGCATTGCTTCGCCCTTAACGATCGACACGGTGTTAAGAAACCCTAAGGTGAAAAAGCTATTACTTGTTATGCATGAGCAAAGTCTCATCACCGATTCTACTATAACCCTAGGAGAGCGGTTGTTATGCCAGTTCAGGGAACGATTCAAGGGGTCTTGATACAATCATTGGCTTGAGCTGGTCAGGCTCAGCATGACAATAAATAACCCACACGGGGATAATGATTTTCATTTGAAGAAATCCAATGGGAACTTGATGCCATCAAACATTGCTTAGGAACTGCGGATTCGATTCATCGACTAAAGAGTGAGCCATCTCAGTGATGATGAGGCTTGGGGACACCTCCGAGAATCACATTATCGCTATGGCACTCCCTTGAGCAAAAAAATGATGTGGGGGAAGTACAAAATCCCAGAGGGATGGGAAACAACAACTTGAATAAAATCAACGTTACGATACGACGCAATACTTACCATAACATGTTGAAGGTGAAAATCCTCAGTTTATCTGCGCGAAACTTGGCCAAGTCCACAAGCCCAGATCGATCACCATCAACACCAACAAGGCACAGAAGCAAAGTAACCGAGAACCAAGAAGCTTAGTAGCCATAACCTCTCCCTCTTTAAACCCACGAAACCAGAACGTATCCGGTACGTAGCTCGCCTCACGACGTTAACGCGACACAAGACATTGCAGTACCTAGCAGCGCTTCGCTTCACCTTAAGACCCCACAGCGCCGGCCTTTTGCCCCTGACGCCACCATACAACTCTTCTTCCTCGCCGTACCGGTACAAGGACGCGGACGGAGTTACACTAGCGAATCGAGGCTTGGCTGGCCCGGCGTTCTCTCGGTTACACGTCAGATACGTACCAAGAAGGGCCTCGACGCGCGAACGAGTGATCGCCGATGTAGACAGACGAACGCTTTCCCAGCTAGCTAGCTAGCCAGCCAGACAGACAATCGTTCATCGTCCGTCCATCGACCAGCATACCGCTTCTCACGGAAGTACGCTGCCCACGTACTGCGCGCGCCCTGGATTCATGCCCCCTATGAAATCCAGCCAAACCTCGCGTTCAGTTTCCTCCGCGCGCCCAGAGCCAACGAGTCCCAAGCCCCAGGTTGAAGTCAGAGGGCGCGAGCCACCAACTCCCCATCGTCCGCCTCACGATGACCTGCTTCGCTGACCTCAGGTCAGTCTTAAAAAGGGGGATTTTTAAAAAAAAATCCGGCTCAACCGGGCCGAAGATCGCCTGTTGATGATGATTTGGCCGATCTATCTATTTACTTACTTGCATAGCCGGCTAGGTGGTCTCACAGATTGAGGCTACCTAGTTAATCTGCCTACGTTGTGGCACGACAGGTTTTGACAGCTTTTAACAGGTTCGTTGGCAGGCTCCTTTCGGGGTGCGGCCAATCGGGCAAGTTTTATTGTCACGGAAGCGCAGCAATGGCTTATATTTCGATGCGGTGCTTGCTGGCCAGTGAGTCGTACGGGGCGAGCAACATCTGCAAAGAGATCTGTGTATGTATGGGGGTGGGATGGGGATGGGATAAAGATGCGTAAGACGAGGAGAAGATGCAGATCGAAAGGACCCCCAAGTCTGCCGTTTTTAAGAACCCCTGACAGATGGTCTATTGATCCGGCAATCAAAAGAAGAGATAAGAAATACCCGGTTGGCCGGTGCTGATCGATCTCGCTCGGATTTACGGGATGGTACGACAATCTCCTGGTTCGACAAAATATTTTGGTTTGGTCTGGGCTGTCTGGGGTCGGGGAAATGCTTCCTGTGCTTACGTCCCTCGTTTGCCTTGGGTTGGGGTTGTGTTGAAGGAAGGGGGAGATGGACACGTCAAATGCAGGTGCCGTACCTTTGCGCAGATCTTTGCATGTTCTGGAAAATTTCTTATCTTTTTCATCCCTCCTCGGGCCTTCCCAGGCCTGCCGGCATCGACGGAACGGCGCGCGATGCGGAACGTGCGAGTGTGCGTTTCAGGTGGAAGACTTTGCATTTGAGTTTCCACCCTGAGTTTCCACCCTGAGTTTCCACCCGACGAAAGGACCCTGATGGCCAGAGAATGCACGCCGGTGCTTATGCGGCGGATGCCCCGGGATCGTGTTTTCCCAAGGGGTCCACTACTTTCTCTTAGTCTAGTGATTAAAGCTACTGTTTTCTTTTTATTTCTTATCGTTTTTATTTCGGACTGCTCTCCGGGCGAATTATCCAGTCGCTTCCTGTCTCACCCTGGGGAAATCTCAGCTACTTACATACCTACCTAATTACTTAAGTTGCACAAGAACAAGCAAAGTGGTGCCGGGCTACCGAACTATTGGCCATGCGCATGCAATGCAAGGTCCGAGTGGATGGTTGTGGCATGGCCATGCCGGGTGGGCGGACATGGGGAAAGAGAAGAAGGGAAAGAGAATCGGGAATGGGAATGGGAGAAAAACCGATGACATGAGAATGCCACCCCGCATAGGGCAGGCCCAAGTCGGGTTATATTCTCCGAGTCAGAATGGGGGCATTTGTAGCGGTGCGGAGAATCGAAGGTGAAGAGACTTGGAGTTAGGCGGTGATTGATGGTCAGGGATGCCGGTGCGATGGAAACACTCACCGTTCCCATCTGCGGTGGAATGGAACACGACGGCATGGTGGTCGCGCAATGCAAGGCCGGCCATGTTCGATCAGGCAAGGGTTCGCAGCCGAAGGGACCGAAGGCTTGAATCTAGAATCTAGAAGCGGCTATTACGACGGCATGGCTTTGGACTTGGCAGCGTCACCGTCGTCATTCCTCACATTCACTAAAGATAATGAGACTCAGGGCGACTTGGGCATCCGTTGGGCCTCGACGGGAGGCCACCGAGGAGTAAAAGTGTGTTGCGAAATAGGAAACAGTTGCATTATTGGCATTAGGTACCCTATCGTTCATTATACATGACCCTCCTAACGAGCAGCTGCCTTAACGCCCCGTGGAACACCGCGTGGCTGCTTTTGATAAAACGCCAATCTCTGTCGGACCATCCGCCCGAGTACCTATACGTTTTGTGGCCGCGAAGGGGATAATGGGGAAGTAGAAACAAGATGGTTATGAGGACATGAGAATCATCCGTTCAAACCATGAGCAGGAAGAATTATTTCCGCCATATCAGTCAAAATACGCCCCGCCAAAGTTTATAAACCACATCTAAATCACTATTATCGTTACAGTCGTCGCCATTAAGCACCGGTAACATCTTCGTCCGCGATGTCGCTAGCCAAGCTAGCGTGGGAGGCTGGAATGTCATCCAGCCAGCTCCCGGCGCTTCGGACCATATCCGCCGAGGGATCCTCGGGTGTCGACGAAACGAGAACATAATTGTTTGTCGTCGTCGATGCCTTACTCCTGGGGCCCGAAGAAGGCATCATGTGGCTCGTACTTAGGTCGTAGCCAGAATCGGCGTGGAAGTAGTTGTATCCCACCCGGTAAGGTTCCTCCCGGCCGTTAACGCCGCCGTAGTACCCGTTGGCATTGTCGTGGTCGAGGGCGGCAATGGCTTGCGCGGTCAAGCCTCCGCCGTTTCCTCCATCGGAATAATAGTTGTAGTTAACAACATAAGCCAAGTCGGGGCGAGCGACGAAGGGATCGCCAGCTCTCATGGTACTCTCCGTATAAGCCGTTGAAGGGGTATAGTGCAAGTACGTGTAGTTGCCATCGCCGCCGTCGGTCACGTGGGGGAAGTCGGACATAGTATTGTCTGTCTCGATAGACCTGGCTCGCCTTGGTTGGGTATTAGAAGCATTAGGTTGGGCCGACGAGAGGTTCTCATTAATAAACTGAGGTGGGCGACCCTCGGTATGGTTAGGAATATAGTAGTATTCCTCAGTACTCTCTCGGTGTGACTCCGGGGCCGAATCGGTGGGCATGTTGAATAATGTAAATGACGGAAAGAATAAAAGACTAAGGTGGTTGAAGAGTGACTACCAGGTAATATGAAGATGAATGTCTACTTGGAAGAAAACGTTAGTATCAGACCGGATGCTGTCTCGATTCAGACCAAACGTACCTGATTTGACACTGGGCTTGGCTTGTTTGCATAGAGTTGAAGTGGAAGACAACGTCTTGGGAAAGATACATCCACGGAGCACCACCTCTATTAGAGTAGATGGGCGTAATACGATATGATGTTCGTGAAGCCGGGTAGTCGGAGGGTATAGTAAAGGTACAGTAGAGGTAGGTATGTTTGTGTAAGTCTTCGAATAGTATAATATAAATTGGGTGCCCGATTTGTTTTCGACTCTCGAGGGAATGCGTAGGTACTGACGACGAGAATCCAGGAAAAAAATCAAGCGGGCGAGGACCGGGTTATGTAGCCGGAGGTCAAGTGTCAAGTAACTATGCCCTGGTTTTATGCTCCTCTACTCTATTTTATTTTATCTTCCTTAAACTTGCCATATGCCAACGACGGGTCTTCGAGCTTTTATTTATTTCCCGCGAACCCATCCCGTCCTGTGTGTGGCAGTCCAAGTACCACAGTTCAACATACCTAGGTGGGCTGTGCGACAAACCCGCATGAACTGGGCAGACACTTGCTCGACAAGAAAATATTGTACGTACACGTACCTACCTACATTTGTTGTATACAGTAGGAGTTCTTTTTAACATACTCCTTCCAGTGTCACTTCTCAGTCTCGTACTTCATCAGTATAGGTATCTATGCATACCTACTTACGCACTTATATACTTAGGTAGGTACCTAGGTATGTAGAGTACAAGAGACCTCGATCATCTAGCAGGCTACCTACCTCTAGGAGGATCTCGAACTAGCGGGAACCAAACAATGGATGGATACGATAGCTGGTCTAGTATCTATCCCGCCTCACTTTCCTTGTACCGTTTTGTTTCTTGTATGTAACATGTAATATGTAATTACCCCTGATATTCTATTCCATAGTCTTGCATCGATGGTCATCTGGATGAGCGTTTTTTTTTCTTCCTCTTTTACACACTCCGTCTCTAGGTGCCGTGGCCAGGTAAAACGGCCAAGCACTGAAGGCGCTGACCCAGAGACAGGTATGTACGTAGTACCGACATATAGCCATGGCATAGTACCTATGAAGTGGGATAAGGCCAGACCGGTGGGCCATCATCCCTGCAGCACCTGGGGGTCTCATGAGCCCCGACCAGACAGGAGAGGACGCATCGCGGAGCTTAAAAAACCTTTAAAGATGTCGGTAACTTGCAGCACCATACTTGGAAGCGTGGGGGAAGAGGTACGTAAAGCACAGGTCAACAACACACTTCCCTAGGTAAGTATGTAACCTTTGGTTGACAGTAGATTATGTTGTCGCCAGGCATTGACCCATGCAAATTGTACCAATACATAACCGGGTGTATTATGTCAACGTCGGGCTAGATTTCATACCTATATGTACCGAAGCTTACTATATCCCCGGATGGAGATCCGTTCTGACGGATTGGCTCTAGGTAATGCAGCAAAGCTTCTTATGACTGTATCATCTGCTGCTTCACGAATTATATATCTGCAGCCATTGATGAAATGACCATGTTGGACAAGCATAGTATGAGCAACTATGGGATAAGGCAAGGCGCAATACGTTCGAAGTATCTCGTCCGAACGGCATGTTCGGTTCGCGAAATACAAGCATGAATCATCCAACAAGGAGGAGGAGATTGTATGCACTGATAGCCTGGTGATCTGGAAGAGTTTGAGACTAATACGTAGCTGTGCGTTTCGCCCAAAGTCGATTCTAATCACAGACTGCTAATTTCTTCATTCATGGTACATGCCGTACCTACCTGCATGTCCCAGGAACATGGTAGGTCAGGGTGGTAAGTGGTAGGTCGGTATCCATGTCTCACCATAGGCCTCGGGACAGCACGCTGGAGAATAAAGATGTAGGACTTTTTGCTGGCTCTACTTTCCGACATCGGAATTTGCCTAGGTTGTGCTAATTCTAGTTCACTGTATCCAATGAATTATTAATGAAGAGGTAGGTTGGGCAACTGACTACCCAGACAGCCCAAATGTGCATCCGCGCTATGGATTAGCTCAGACGCTAAGCTACGGGTAGGGGAAGATGAGAAGGGAGGATGAGAAGGAAGGATGAGATGTAAGAGTCTTCAATCCAAACAGCTCTCTCTCCCATTGGGGAAGCGACTAGTAAAGGCCGGGAAACAGCAGGGATTATTATTAGCTTACCCGACAGGGTCAACCACAACGATTTGCAAGATTCTAGTTCCAGTGATGTGGCACCAATTTTTTCATCTCGATCACCCATGTACCTACAAATTTATGGTGACTTTTTCGGCAGGATACGACTATGAGTTAGATATAGATACCTACCTACCTTAGGTACCTAGGTAGGTAAAATACTACGTACTAGATAGTCAGATAACTATTCCACTGTTGCAAGGCGAGAGGGGAAAAGCCCCGGGTGGTCGAGATCGTCGAGCAACGCGAAACGTAGCTAAAATCAGTTCACCGAGAATGCACGTATGAACACGTTTCTCTCCACCTGTAGCGAAGACGTAAAATTACCGGGATGTACTATCTCGTGACGCTAGATGATGCATAAGAATGGCGATTAAAAGAAATCAACAGTGACAATAAGATCCAGGTTTCTTGGTTGTCGAGACATATCCCCGTAATCACTTTGGTAATCATCCTTTCCCGTGCTTGGGTCCGGTTTTTTTTAATCTACTTGCGATACCGAGGTGACAAGTTTACACTACGATGGCAAGGTAGCATAGAAGAACATCATAGAACACATAAAGAGCTAGTACTAGGTATCCTACGTGAAAATGTGCGTGATGGCACACCGCTTCATCGCCTCGACAAGTGTAGATATACAACATTTACTTCCATGTGCCGTCCCAGAGCTTGACGCTCAAGTTCCGAGGCTGGTCTCCACGCTGCCCCGGATGCCTTGTGGATAGACTGCTTACCCCCTTGTCCGGCAGCTAGGGTAATGTGTCAAAACATCCCGCATTCAATGTGTGCTATGTGTAACATTCACCTATTCATTCAAGGCTGTATAAGCGCGCGCTTTGGAATACCTGCTGTTAGCGTCAATCGTTCGTCCCATTCTTGAGGTACATAGTAGGCTTTATGTGGCGATACTATAGTCTACCTACGTTGTCCACGAGGCGTTATTAGCCGCCTAGCTGCAACACGGACAGGTAGCTCTGGAAATCCAGTCTCGATAATATGTCCAAGTACGTCACTCCATCTATGATTATCATGGTAGATACCAATCTTTCTTAAAGGGGACATTGAATTGTAGTCAAGAAGCATAGCACGAATATAGAGCCCGGTGACCATTTCACGTCAACTACCGCGTAATAGAAAACGAGGATTAGGGGTTGGGCGGGCGAGGACTAACAGAAGCGGAAATCCCAGCGGCTTGTGTTCTTTGCGGGGCTATCCTAGGTACTGCAGCCAAGGATTAATAATATGTAGAGACTGATATGGACGGTTAGCTCTTATTCCTACGCGCAGCTCCTCATATTATCTAAGAGCTACGCAGTCTTCCCAAATCAGGGCCAGCATGCTTAAGCGAACCATAGAAGAACCGAATTCTCTCGACTCTTGCGATTTCAACCAAGAGTATCTGCTCTTTGAAATAGGTAAGGGTCCTAAAGCTTCGACTTGGCATGTGGGAAATGATACCTTGCCGTGGCGTTCACTGACTGCTACGCTACTACCCAGCCGGAGCTTTCACAAGGTGAAACAAAGCTGGCCAAGTCCTACTGTAGGACTCGAGGGGTTGCACAGTAACGTTTAATGGTATCCATAGGTAAACCTCTAGGACTAGCTACTCACCTAACTAACCTGTTCCTTGAAATATTCTCTGGGCACAGCTAGGTGGTAGGTAGACTCGTCATCTCGACTGAGCACGGCCAATCTTTGTAATTGGTTGCCGACGAGAGGCAATTAATTTAATTCGAAGCTATAATCTTGCAAATATGTAGGTTCTTCAACGATGCCGGGTGACATACTAGGTAGCAACCCACGACGGATCTGTAGCGACAGGGTGCCCTTGTCTTCGCTCCCCCCTTTTATTCTCGGCCCTGTCAAACCATGTATGCGGCCAGTTCCGGACCCGCCTAGCCACATACCTAGGTAGCCTTAAAACAGCGTAAGATGCACCATGTTAGTTAGCCCAGCATAGGTACCTAGTCCTACGCCCCGGTGTAGCGCTTCTAGAATATTTCTAGAAGACTTCTGATCGTACAGGGGTCGAAATTCAGATTCCGATTTCCTTCTTTGCTAGGTACATGACACGGCAGGGCCCCCCCCCCCGACACTGTCTATCGTCAACGCTTGCCCAAAGTTGCGCGACCCTGCTTGCGACTGGGGGGAACTTGAGCTTATTATTGGTACGTCACAGCTTGCCACTCGACTGGGCGCAACTGGGCGCACTAGAAAGAGATAGATAGCGTTATTGTTGTCTTTCTGATGGTTTTTTGTGCGTCGAGTAGTATTTACCATGAAATCAGCCTTTAAGGAACATAATGCTATCATGTGTGATGTGGCTGTTTCTGCGGTTAAGACATTACGATGAAACCTACATACGTACCTAAGTAAGGCGGACTTTATTCTCAAATTCGCTGGTGATAAGTAGGTAGGTAGTGAAACATACGAAAGGGGTAGAACGCGACAAGCCTCATTTAAAGATACTAGTAAAGCTCGAAGCTATCTGGGTACTTAGCTAGGTACTGCTTTTTATCAACTGCCCGAGTATGTAGGCACTTGCAGATGAGAAGCTAAGAAGTCGAAAAGTTGAGACAAGCATAGGTAGGTACCTAGTAAACATCAAGCAGGGCAACCCACTAGTTCTCGACTGTTCGTTGGATTCGCTTGCCATTGAATCGTTCTCCACTTCATCAATCCTGGGGGTTGTCCTACGCAGCTAAGTCCGTGATGATTACCGTGATATACCCTTGGCTTGACGTTTAGAATGATAGACGAAGAGGTATACGCATACCCCTATTCCTGTGTGGTTCTATTTACGTACATACCTACATACATACATCCAATGTACGTAGGTATGTGTCATGTAAATGGTGGGTAGCCCACATGTAGGTATGTAATGTACGATCACCCCGATAGCTAGGTAGTGGAGGTTATGTACGTCCGATTTCTTAAACGCCACTAGAATCTGCATAGAACCTGCAAGGAACCAAACAAGACGAAAAACTGGAATTCGAGTTTTTAGTAGCGCCGCGCAATTTAGTCGGGCGCACTGCATGTAAACGGGCCAAGAGATTGACGACTAATACAGTACATAGGTATGCGCACCTCTAAGATCGCGTCATGATGAAATCGCGATTTCCAATATTACAACGCAAACCATCGTCGAGCCCGAGTTCTCTTAGCTAAGACTACCTTTTTCCCACACCAACCTGTCTCCTACCCCTTTTACATAACCCCCCTGCTTTGTGCGCCCCAAGCCCCTCTTCCGCGACGGCCACGTCAAATAGGATGTATTCCACGCGGAAGCGTAGCACAAATAAACACGCATGAGGTAAGACGAACGGATCGACGGAAGGGGTGGCTGAAGTTTCCGGACCTTGCTTTTTTTTTTGAAGATTTCACCCTGTCGATTATATCACAGACGCACCTACACACAGATTTGGCCACACATCGCACAAAAAATCTGACGAGTCCGTAAGGGGAATGCTTCTCGAAAAAGTTCGAAGCGTTCTTTCAGCTGGGGCTGGAGGGCCGGTAGAGCAATGCCAGGCGAGGCCGGCTTCTGCGCTGCAACCCCCTCCAGGATATTCGGCGAATCACGTCGAGCGCAGAAGATCCGTGGAAAAAACTTTGAGCTTGAGTAGGTACCTACTTAGAGAAAAATGCGACGTAAGGGTCGTAAATGGTAACCCGTCGATGTCGCTGATCCCGTTACCTTCCTCATACATCTTTCTCACCTACATAGTAGACTAGCTAGCACCGTAACGGCGACTCGACGATCCAACCTATGAGAGTCTCCTATGCCGGTATGTTGTATCGTACGTAACCGCCGACCAATGCATCTAAACTAGATCCAATCCCATGGCATCCCGACCACATGTCTATCCCCATTCTCCGTGTCTCATCTCGTAATAATCGCCACCCGTCTTCACCGCCACAACCTGATTGCGGCTCTGCTCCAAGGTCCGACCAGTCCCCTTTCGTGACCCGGCACGCGTCTCTCCTCTTTGGGCTCCGAGGTCATCGATTGTGTCACGCATCGCATTTATAGTATTGCGCGCATACCTACGTTACGTCTACCGTTCAGAACTCATTTAAGGTATACGCACATACGCACATATGCACACATACGCATACAGCATACAGCATACCGCATACCGCATACCGACGCTGCTTTTCCCTCACCCTAGGTACTTTTCCTCACCCTAATCCCCAACACCAAGATTGGCAAATCACCTAACCTAGCACAACATACGCAACCGTGATTCCACAAAAGCGCAGGAGGATCTAAAGGCCCAAGCCACGTCAGAAAACGGCAGGCTTCGAGAAGGTCACCAGGTCGGTTTCCATGCATTAGTGGCCATGCACAATCGAACTAGCGTAGAACTCTCTGCATACCTACACTACACTAGTAACGTCCTACCCCGGTAACCCATCCTGCCCATCCCATCCACTTAATAAACCTTGAAAAAGTTCCCTTTCGTCTCTCGAAACTACTAATAGGTACCTAGTATACGCGCAGTAAATAAGTACCTACGGTTCGCGCCCCTTCCCAATGCCAATTAATGATCGCCGTTGTATGTATTACGCCTCCCCCGTCATAACTTTGATGGATGGGTCCCTCATCTACGTAGCGGCCTAGGTAGTAGCCTAGGTAGGTTACCTTATACCGTGGGGCAGCCGAGGCTGAAATGTTTACTCAGATATGCGCTTGTCCCCCCCTTTTCGTACTCCCTTCTCCCTAGCGCATCGGTACATACATACGTACCGCATACAGCGCACAACACACAGCGTACAGCATACAGATAATCTACGCCGCCGTCGTGCATACACATCCGTACGCGCATTCGGGCAGAAGCAGACGCAGCAGCAGCAGCACCGTCCGGGTGACCAGCCGAGTCAAGGAGCTTGCGTCTTCCATTTCCTGAGGCTGACTTGGGCGTTAGCATTAGCATTAGCATTCTCGGTCCTTGTCTCGTCTCGTCTCATTTTTCTCTCTCCCCTACCCCTACCCCTATCCTTTTCCCTATCTCTCTCCCTCGGTCACCCATCTCGCAACGCAAGGACGATATCGGGGCAAGTCTAGCTCTCCTTCTTCCTCTTACCCGTTTCTCTTGGCCGTGACCTTGGTCATCGCCATCTCCTTCCTCCACCTCCTCACCCCATTCTTGCCATCGCCACACCCTTCCACCGGAACCGCGCCTCGGAGCCCCAACCCCTAATTCGCGCTCGGCGGACGATCCTCTCCTTCCCTACCCCCTTGCCACGACGAAGCAGCACCGCCCGCGCCATTGCTAAGCGCACCACTGCTAGCGCTCCTCCCACCTCTCTCGCCAGCCCCCACTCCAACTCCCACTCCCACTCCCACTCCTCCTACCCCCAGTTGGCCCGGCGCCGGTGGCGCAGGACCCCCCGTACTCGCCTTCCTCCTCAGACCGCCCGCCTTCAAGCTCCTGGCGCGCTGGTACGCGCTCTCGATCTCGTACTCGACGGCGCACCTGACCGTGAGCGCGCCGACCGCCGGCCACACGCTCCTCTCGCCCCTCGTGATCCAGTAGTCCAGCGTCTCCCTTGTCGGCGTCTCGAGCAGCCTCACGAAGTCCCTCGCCGAGACCTCGGGGACCAGCGTCGTGCTGCTGCCCGACGGCACGTCCTCGTCGACCAGGAAGCGTCGGATGCCCGCCGGCAGCACGCCGAGCGTGTCCAGCTGCTTGAGGCGGTGCCGCGTCTCGAGGCCGATGATGCGGAACAGGTGGCTCGTCACCTGAGACCTCTTGTGTCGGGCCGTGAAGAGCGAAGGGCCGTGCATGTCCGACTCGAGGAAGGGGATGAGGTAAGGCCGCGCCTGGCTGACGACGAAGTGGTTTACGTTGAACAGCTGGGCCACGCGCGACAGGGGCGCCTTGTGGTGGTCCTTGTCCGAAGTCGCGCGGGCGCCCCTCGGCCGCAACGAGCTAGCCGGCGGTGCCCAGGGGACGATCGCGCCGCTTACGTCCTTGCATAGAACGGTTGTGCGCCTAACGCCGTAGAACGAGGACGTCGAGGCGTTCGATGCAACAGCGGCGGTCCAGATCAGCTACAACGCCACCGATCAAAAATGTCTCGTTAGCACGCGAGCTCTTACCGCTTTTGCGATATGCACTTTTCCAAGAAAAAAAAACAAAAGGAAAGGCCGCCTTGCGCTAAGCGCCGAAAGTTTGGGCTTGGGCTGGGGAGTGGGGGTTCGGGTTGGGGAGACGTTACGTACCACGTTGGGGGCGGTGATGTAATTCAGGAGTGCGGGAATTCCCTCGTTCTCCGCCGTCGCCACCGTGATGTTCAGCACCCGCTTGCTTCTGTGGTATGCTTCTTCAAAGGTCAGGTCGCCCACGTTAGCCTTGACGCAGTCTTCCAGCACCTTCGCGTCGAGGAAGTGACCTTCGCGCCAGAACCTTTGGATCCTACGCAGCAATGTGTCCCAGCTGGCTCCGACGAAAGGCGCCCAGTTCTCGTGGCCACTATGCACTTGCTGTTTTTCCTTGAAAGCGGAGAGGTTGATGCCGTCGCCTCTCAGCACACGAGGTAGCTCTTCCTCGGTATGAATGGCTACTAAACTCGCGATGAGCGCGCCGGTTGCAGTGCCCGTGATAATTCGCGGTAGCAGGCCCCGTAAGAAAAGCGCCTTCACGACTCCTAGATGACACAATCCAAACATGGCGCCGCCCTGCAGCACCAGAGTGCTCCGCCCAAAAGCCTGCCTAGAGTCATGTAGAAAGTCGAGCTTGCGCTGGGTCGAGAGGGTGTAGGTATGGGTGTACTTGTCGTGGGCCGGCGTCGCAACACGGTGATTGATGTCGTCGATGGCACCAGCCACTTGCGCGATGTACTCTTCGATCAGGTATTTGGTTCCACCAAATGCCCGGTTATACAATCTCGGAGAAGTGATGTTTCCCAGGTTGCGAACCAAGCCGGAGCGCACGAGGTCGAGGAGAGCTTGCAAGTCATTCTTGTCGCGTGCTTCGATGATGGAGTTGAGACGATTGTTTATGAGCATCCAATCGTAGTAATGGGATGCAGGATTATTGCGCCTACAAACGAAGGGAACGTTTTACTCGTTAGTCTTCATTGATTATGGCTTCCCTATTGATGTTTGCTTTCTTAGGACGACCGATCGCATACCAGAGATTTAGTTCTTTGAGATTATCCAACTGTAGCGCGGCGTGTTCCCAATCTTCGTATACCTCGGCATTGCGTAACGCTTCGAGCCATTCGTCTACCGGACCCTTCGTCGTCCACCGCCCCCAGAGTTTCTACAGCGAAATATCGTCAACGGGAGATGATACTTCAGGCGTTACAAGTAAGTACGTACTCTATACCAAAACAAGAATACCTCCAATAGCAACGATAATATGGCGACGGGTACTCTTAAAATGGACTGCATCCTCTTCGTATCGAGATACCTCGGCGGGAACCATCGATAGGGAACGACGCTGACCGGTCAGCAAGGGACACGTGCACACGAAACAAGTAAGGGATGTAGGTGAAGAAGTAGGTAAAACTAAAGTAATACGGCCTCCGCCATTATATATCGCTCTCCGTTCACGACGCCACAAAAAAGAAAAGCACCTTTTGGAAGGAGTCGCCGAGCGTGCTAGAATGCTAGAGGCGTTGTCTAATTGAAACGGATTCGATTCGATCCTTCTCTACCGGACCGAGCTTATTATTATCGGAAGCTACCCCAAGCTACAGATTCGGGGTGCATGTGAAAGTCGATGATGACGACCGTTGGCCAGTCAGAGTTCCCCGATTATATCTGAGTTACCAGGATTCTCCATGTCGGCGGTTATTGTTTGCCAAGCCCGACTTGGTGACACGAACAGGTACTTAGCTAGGTACATAAGACTTCGTTCCTTTTTCAATACGGTATGTGAAGGGATAGAGAGACGAGGCATTTGACAAGTCAAAATGTATCGATATGGAATACTACGCTGCAGTGGCATGAATAGATGATAATTGAGGCCTTATCTTGATCTCAGTGATATTTACTGTTATACTTTCTTACCCACATGAATTGGATGAGTGACAGCTACAATGTAACTTATGGGACGCGAAACTGAGACTTTCAGACATTAGTATCTCAGAATTAGGGGTGCATTTGTGCAATGGTATTCGTAAACTACCTAGGTAGGCATCGTAGCCTCCAGCAATGACTAGCAACGGCGATGAGCAAAGTACAGACCGAAACTCCTTTCCCTAATCAAGTTGACGTCCAATTTTCCTTTACTCCTCGTCGTCCTCATCGTCGATGATGTGTCGTCTTCGTCGGTGAGAAGACTCGCCGGCCGGAGCAGGCACGTCCACGTCATCCAGGTCAGCATCCGCATCAGCGTCAGCATCTTCTTCCGCTTCGGCCGTCTTCTGTCGTTTCTTGCGCGGCACCTCTTCCTCCTCGTCATCATCTAGGAGATCTTCCTCTTCCTCATCGTCCTCACCACCTCCTTCCTCCTCTTCATCACTAGACGCAATAAAGTCATCCTCGCGGTCATACTCGTTCCTACGATGAGCACCCGATGCAAAGTCGTCGTCCGAGTCATAATCTGCCCGGCGTCGCTTCCCTTTGGATGCTCCCGGTGCGCCTCTCTTGCGAGAAATGCCGCCTCTTCGTCCGCCCTCTAGTTCGCCGATCGAAAGGCCGCTCTTGTAGTTAACAGAGGAGCCGATAGCTCGACTATCTATGCGTGCGGACGCGTTCTCTCGTCGTCGCTGCGCCTTCATGCGCTCCTTCTCGGCCGCCTCAGCCTCCCTCTTCTGGAGTTCCGGATCTTTATTAGTAGTAAAGATCATATTGGCACCTCGTCTTTTAGCGCGTTGCGCTTCCTCCATGGCAATATTGAATTTGAGGATAGCCTCGTCCTTGATTTCCCTGGGCGGGTTGACGGTGTACTGCTCATTGACGTGGCCGACAGTCACGAATAGTTCGCTCGTGAAATGTGCGGCGGCGACATAGTAGTGGGCGTCATCTCGCTCTTCGTAGTGCGGCTTATCAGCACCCGGCGCCATTATCTTCTTCTGTATCTCGTAATGTTCGGCGCCGACCGACATAGTGACGGATCCATCGTCCCATCGGTAGATGAGCGCGTTACTTTTCAACTCGCCGGTCTCGGGATCTCGTGTGAAACGAACAACGTTCTTGCGTTTATCGGAACGCGCGTTTTGGATATCCCACTCGGTCGCCTCATACGTGTCAGGCTTGTACTCTTCTGCCTGTAGCTTAAGGAAGGAAGGGATTTTCAGGGTTTGCAGCTAGAGTTTCCAAGGTTAGATTCGATTAGAATTATTGCAACAGGTAAGGTGAACATACGAAGCCAGAGCCATCCTTAGAGGTTCTAGGAATCCTGTGTCGATGAAGCGTAACACCCATAATGCGCTTCACCTTGACTTCTTGATCCTCATCACCGTTGTCCTCGTCGCGATCCTGGTCGCGTTCGCGATTCTCACCATCATCTAGGTCCGATCCGAGATCCTGATCACTAAGCACTTGATCTGGGGAACCAGCTGATCCTGCCTCGTCGCCGAAGAGGTCACCACCGCCCTCTGAGTCGGACATTGTGGCGATGATGGTGTTGATGCACGCGAAAGGGTTGTTCAAATGAGGTGAAAAGGGTTGTTCAAATGAGGTGAAAAGGGTTGTTCAAATGAGGTGAAAAGGGTTGAATTAAAGTATCGCGATGGGAGAGATCGCGTCGAGTTGCGATGTGATCGCCGTTAGAAAAGGTTCCAAGGTTACAATGTTAAAAAGGAATTAACTCTTGGCGGCGTTGTTCAAATTGAAGGAACACCTACAATGATACCAGCCGCACTGAGGTAAGCTGCAGCTTCCGAGTTCAAGTTTTAGCTTGGTATTCTTATCGATTAATTGCAGGGGTATCTATCGATAATAATGATTGGACTAAAACAGATTAGCGTCGGGCGTCTAGACGAGCATCTCCTGAAACAGCGTTCAAAATATCATTGGGTCAAATCAAATGTCCAATGTGGGAAACTTCCACACATCGTAAAGACTCGACATTAACGTGACACCTTCCTCGCCCCTTTTCTTCATCAGACAAATCGACAATTGGTTTTACCGTCACCGCCCGGCGCGTGCTCTTAGACGAATTTTATTTAACAAAGTTTACCGTACTCTAATTTTCACCATTACCACCCTATAGTATTCCACCTTGACTACTATTTCTCGGTTTACCATCCCTTCGACGTGACGGTCGTTAGATTAAGCAACTATGTCTAATCTATTTTCTGGAATGTAAGTAAATTGAATTTTTTTTCGTTACGTACTCCCCGTCCCATATATACCTATTATCCTCCCCTAAGCACGACCTGCACGGCTACCTTCGAAATATCATTGCCGGGGTTCACTCGTGGCAGCTTGCGTAAGCTACGAGGCATGAAGTCATGAAATCGAGTTCAAAAGTTCAGAAGATTGGCCATCATGATATACTGGCAGTACGAAGCGGCTGGGGTGTTATTTATTTATTATGGACGACCCTTTCGTACCCTAGTCTCATACTACGGTGTACATGTACCGCCTAACCTGATCAGCTTGATCTAAGAGCCCTGACCTTGGACTGAGCCGTTGAGAACGGATGGTTGGGTAAATTTGGATTCCCGTGGAGATCAAATATCGCCCTCATTGGCTTCAACAAACCTGTGAACCATACGATGTCTCGAACCAGCGACGTTGCAAGGCAAAGTGCGGATATGTTCAACCACGAACAGCACGAGGTCGTGCACGTGTGCTTTTACTATCCTGGATAGCGTCTGGCACCACCTAAGCTTGTCATGGACAGTTATCCACCATGTCTCACGTTCTTTGTGGGAAAGCTTTTGGATATGTACAAGCCTATGTACGAGCCTGGAGACGACAGGATTCGATTCCCTTGAAAATGAAAGGCCAAGGAGCTTAAGCAAGTTGTCCCTGGAGCTATTTCCCCATACAGGACGATTCCACAAAGAAGCTCGTGGCGGTCTGGGTCTTTATGGGTCAATTATATGCAAGCGCCTTTATTTGACCACTGTTGCCGCAGTTTCACTTCTGTACGTCGGATACGTGGCCGAGGACATGAAGCTTCAAAAACTCGGTAGCTCCGACTACTTAGGTACTATAAAGCTGCAGCCTTGTTAATTCTTCCCCACTACTTCTTTCATCTTCATGTGATGCTCGACACAACAAAAAAAGAATTAGAAGATGCTAACTGTTCATCACTAGAAACGCTCGATTGAGAGGGACTTCGACCAAAGCTCCAGGTCAGAACAAGAGCCCCGTTTCAACCAGCAACGGCCAACCCAATTCTCCCAACCTGTCTCACGGGAGCCATTCCTCCACAAGTCTAGCACCAAAGATCCCTCCACTTCCAAGCTCACCATCCCTAGCCCAGAATATCGGAATGGATGACGCTGGCAACGCGGACGCCAACGGTGGCGATGACATCCTCGATGCTTATCGCCTACCTCGACCACTTCCGCTCTGGCTTAACGCGCAATATGCCAAGCACATCGTGAAGGGTAACTTCATGACCCTCAGCGCCCGCCCCAAGACCGTAGAACAGGGTGAATGGATTGCCCACCAAGGTAAGCTTAACCCTTTCCCAGCTTAGTCAGACATAGGCACCTAACGTGTTACAGTGGTCGAACACTACCGCAACCTGTGGAACTTCGTGCGAGTGATTCACGAGAAGGAAGATGACGGTACCACGATCTGCAATCCTCAGACGTGTCCGCGCATGTCGGCTGGAATGTAAGTAAATGTGCGAAGGTGAGTAGCCTGTCGTTGCGTCTAACTCTGGGAATAGCAACCATTCGTTCACGTGGCTGAACTTGCGACGAGAGCCCGTCGAGTTACCCGCTTACGAATACATCACGCTTATGCAGCGATGGATCTCGGGAAAGATTGATGACACTAATATCTTCCCTACCGATACCAACGGTGTTTCCTACGCGCACAACCCGTCGATCACCACCACACCTCTCTCTCAGTTGTCGAATCCCGAGGACAAGGATTGGATCGGCAAATCTAGTGGATTCCCCGAGAACTTTGTGGAGGTATGCCAGACCATCTTCCGACAGATGTTTCGAGTGTACGCCCATTTGTATTGGGCGCACTTTATCGAACCGTTCTACCACCTGAACCTTGAGAAACAGCTCAACAGTTGTTTCAGCCACTTCGTCCTGACGGCTTGCGCGCTGGACATGCTCAAGCCTCAGGAGCTAGAGCCCATGCAGCCCTTGATCGATCTCTGGGCGGCCAACGGTACCTTCCCGCCCGGCTCGAAGGCATACGAATACGCGAACCACAAGGCCGGAGAACGATTGATGCAACTTGCGAACGTCGCATAAAGGATTATTACCAATCTTGCCGCGCAGCAATGATACCCACATAGGACATGTGTCCTAGCTCGCGGAAAAACACCAAAGAACAATAACATAATGGCATTCGATCATTCGTCTTCACCATGGAAATGCATATCCGGAAAGATTCGACTAGCAGGCACAAAACGGCGTTTATTCACATTGATTTTTTCATCGGGAAGACTCACATTGACGGGGCAACTGAGTTGAAGAGATGTGTGGTATTTGGCTTTTTGCTTTGGCAAGTTAACGACGTCTATTCGTATTTGACGCCATCCGAACCTCGATTAATACGGACACGACACGATATGATGCGAGACTTGATCTCGAGATTTCCCATAGCAATGAATGACAAATGAATTGAGCTGCATAACAACTACTATTGTGTTCTTCGATTTTCGATAAACGTGAATAATGTATAAATTTAACTTGATACAAACCTACCTTGTACGTAGGATGTTACGTAGATAATATGTACGTAGCAACCTACCTCGGCCAAGAGCTTAACTGACGGTGGGCTGATGAGCTTCTGAGCTTGCTTGCCCCGCATCAGCTTTTCTCATTGAAACATGACAGGAAACTTCAATTGCTATGACCTTCAGCTTGTCATCCTTCCAAGCACGACTTCTGGTTTCGCAAATCTTGTGTTATATGTGATTGTATGTATAACAAGATAAAAAAATCACATCGAAATCAGACACGATTTGCGAGTCACTTCATATCACAAGAGCGTTTTTTTATACATAGATTGTAAATTAATCTATTATTCCCTGCCAATCCGTTCAGACAGCCAACTACCTGAACATCTCGAGCTGCGATATATATACCATGAACATAACCACCTTCGCCAGCACAAGTCCGGCGGACGACGCGCATCTGATGCGGTGCTGGAGGATCCAGAACTGCAAAGACTGTCTCACGACGCAGCCGGACTGCAGCTGGTGTCCGTTCGTACGTGTGCCACCTTCACTTCAGCACATTCCTTCTGCACATGTCAAATATGTGCATACGTCAAGTAACTAGATAATTGGGTATCTTAAGACTTCCTCTAACATATAACAACCATAGTCGTGGACCTGCGTACCAAATTCCGCCCGCGTGCCCCTCCTAGCACCGGCATGGGATGAGAACGTGTGTCCGCACTGGGCGGAGCGGTGGGAGATCCGCACACGACCGCTGGGCTGCCAGGTCTCGACCATCACGACTCTGACGTCGCTCGTAAGCATCGCATCCACTCTCGTCCTCATCCTGCTCGTTACATTGGCCGTCTGGGGATTTCGGAAGTTGAGAGCATACGGGAAGAAGAATCCCGGTTGGTGGAGAATTTCGAGGTCCGATTGGAAGCGACTAGCTATCAGGTGGCGGTCGTGGCTGCTCGCTAAAGTAGGGACTAGAGGCGCGGATGCGAACGCGCGGGAATCTAGAAATGAAGGGGACCGGGAAAGGGAGCCTTTACTGCCGTCTTAAAGACCATAGGCTAGAGGCAGCGATTGAGCGATAGGCATATTTGTGGTTTATTTGATTCCGAGCTCGGGTCTCGTATGTAAGCCTCAGCCCGAGCTTACCGGTGGAATGATAGCGACCTCGTCACCCTCATTGATCGTTACGATTTGAGCAGGCCCATCATCGGGCCGAGGAACATCCACATATTCAAGATTGATCGTCACCATGGACGAATTAAGGATCTTCTCTGTAATACCATTGTACATTTCTTCTAATCTAAGGAAGAGCGCCGGAAGAGTGAGCGGAGCGGGAAACGTATCGAACTCTTTCGAGGTGAAAGACTTTGCACTTGCGAAGTACAGAAGGTTAAACCAGCCGTCCTTTGGCTTCGGGATGGCACTCATGGTTGGGTCTAATCTGATAAACTCCTGTTAGCTTCAATGCTTTTGATAAGAATAGCAACAAGGAGTTGATAAGTTGATGTTGGGTCAGAGATCTTGGTGATAATGGTAGAACATCAGTGATGGTCAGGTAATACATGCTATTTTTATACATCATCCAACAAAGAATTGAATATTCAAGGAATAAAGAAAACACTTACCAAGTTTTGATATAACGGATTGCTGTCGCCGTCGTCCAGGCTTGAATATTTTGAAAGTGATGAATGAGAGGGGAAGAAGAAAAAAGCTGGTTAAAATCATAAGGAAAAACCGCTTCGGTGCCAAGACATAGCCGATGACTAAGCGGAACCACCAATAATCTACCTATTGAGAAATGTTAGTAGCCCCATCGGAGTTTACTTTCAATGGCGTAGCTTAATGATAATCTCGCCAAACTTTCAGTCGAGTCTTCGTAGCGAGAGCTAAGAAGAGTTAGGATTTCTAAAACAGGAAACATTCGGATCACGGAGAGGAATGGTCGGGGTATGAATTGTTCTTTATTCGCAACGCAAAAGGCCCATCATAGTCCGGTGACTCCTGTAACAAAAGGAATCATGAGTGCGAATGCCGTATCATGCCAGGCTACTGCTCGTAGACCGTAGTCATCAGCTAGTAGCAAAAACCCGATTCTCAAGCTCTCATTCCCTCCCAAGCGAACTCCAGTTTATCGTAATCGTCGGGCCTCACGTTCGGACTCGAGTAGGCAGAGAATGTCGTCCTCACGAACTGTAGAATATTGAAGTTAGTCACCACGCTGTCCTATCGCAGCCGGTAGATATGGATGGATTCGCACCTGGTCCCTTGACGTTTCGGATAATGCTTCGGGTCTGGTCGTCCATGAATTCGACGCGGACTTGGGTAACACCACCACGAGAACCTATAACCGTCAGATTTTGCTCAGTTTTTCCCGCGTGGCGTCGCATCTTTCGCATCGCAGACATTTAACAGGGAAATCGTACCAGTTCGGCCCAAGACGCGGGTGACCTTGACAAGCTTGACGGGTTGCTTAGAAGATTCCATATTGGCGATCTGAGTATTCTAATTAGAATTAAGTCTCGAAGGTGTTTCGGAGGTGTTGAGCGTACTTGTGATGAGGTTTGCAAGGGTTGCTGCTACTGAGTCGCGAATATGGAAATTTGTCAAAAGGCGGGTAGGTTGAAATTTTTTGATCAAATCGAAAAGATCCAAGTTTCGCTTAAGCTGTGCTAGTTGTGGGTAGGGCTTTCTTTCTTGAGCATGGACCACTATCCTTATCGATAAGTTAAACATTACTAGTGGAACCTTAACCTTAAGGCTTCATCTTCACTACCTATACTCTCATACACCTTTAGCGCATAGGTATTATTAGATGCATATCTATGGTAAATTATACTCCTAGTTGTATGACAAATAGGAGTAGGGCAGTGATAGAAACTCCGGCACGTCAACGATCAATTGTCTTCAAAAATACTTAAATATCACATTTATCATTGATTCAATAGGGTATCAGAACTAATACGTCACAGAACACCAAGTGGTACCTCCACTATTACGACAACGTAGCAACCTTGGCCTCCAGGTCTTTTACCCATCCTTCCACCACCTTCATGTTAGTAGTCATGGCCGTCCCTCTTTCACCCATAGACGATTCAATCTTCTCCAAGGCTTCTCTCCATTCCTTGATGTCAGCTGCCATTTCACTCTGCGAGTTCTCGATACGTTCTAGCGTATCAGTTGCTGTTGCCGCGTCAGCATGAATAGCCCTTAACGAGCGGAGCCGGTCTAATAATGGAGGTAGAAGAGGTGTTAAGCTTTCAATAGTTGGTAAAGTGCCGTAGAGCGCATTGACCTTGGCTGTATGCTCCGAATCATCCACTTCCACCGGAGAGGCGCCTGCAGACGCCAGTGAGTCTTGTGCAGCCTTAGCAGCTTTTCTAGACTTCTCTAGCTGCTCGGCCTCTTGGGTCAGAGTCCGTACTCGGCGACTAATGCTGTCGAGAGACGACGTAGATGCTTCCGACAACGTCAAGATCTGGTTCTGAAGCGTATCTAACGTAGGCATGATAGCTCGAGGTAGGCCGTTGCCCTCTAACTCGGGCATAGATGACGAGGTAATACCAATCGCCTTTTCGAGCAGTACAAGTCGTCGATCAAAATCGGCAGCTGTGGCAAGAGCATGGCTCTGTTCGTAGTTTGGCGCATAGGTGACAGTATAGGTTGCCCCATCCACCGACCGAATCGAGTCTTGGTTCTCATCCTTTGATTGCTTGCTGGATTTCTGGTAGTCCCGAACGGCTATGTCCCTCTCTGGCAAAGTTGACATCTCTTCCAAAGCCTGGCTAAGTGACACAAGCTCTTCATCCTGATCTGAGCCGGATCCCTTTGACTCTGCTTTCTGTTTACCATACTCTTCTTTGGCTTCTTCAATCTCGCGCTTCAGACGCGCAATCTTTCTTGCTAGTTCTTCGCCTTCTTCCTCATCGCTCAGATCACCAATTTGTTCAGTACCATCTGCCAGTATTCGTTGTCTTCGACTAGAGGTTTTGTATGATTTTCGTTTCCCATTTAGTCGATCTGAAAAATCCACGTCTCGGGCGTCAACTTGCGAGGGCATAAATCTAGATCGAGCTTGATCTATTCGGAGTCTCGAGTGGGAGATCCCTGGAGCATCGTCATCATCGTCATCGTCGAACTCATTGTCTGACTGCGATCGACCGGCGGTAGTCTGAACGAGTCACTTAGGATTAGATGCACGTCACTGCCAATAATAATCATATTCTTACCGGAATAGTGGAGTTATCATCCGTCAACTCGGGGGTCTCGTAGATGTCAGGCGCAGAGTCCTACACACCGATTAGCATGGCATATAGAGCTTCGAGAACTCCAAGAGCTTCGACGTACCAAATCTGGCAATGCAGCATATTTTCGGTTTAACGCCATGTTCAGGATTCCCCTACGCTAATATCAAGATCCTGTGGTTGGTTGGAACGTGATATATCTGTACAAACAACTGTAAATGTCCCGAAGCTCTTAAGTTAAGGTTCGGTGGAGCTGAAATGAACATAGAGGAGGCAAGATCCACCTGGTGCTTGTTTCTGCCCATTTGTACTCTATGTGGCTGAAGCTGTGGCTGCTGCTTTCTGCAACCTAACGCGTCTTAAACGCGTCGTTCTTGCTCACTCATCGTTAAGGAATTATTGTTCACTCTTTCATTCACCATTTGTCAATCCTGCAAATCCAACTGCTAAACCATGAGGCTCATTGAGTCACCAACAACGCGAAATTAATTCCTGGTGCATATATTCTAAGATCGTCTCATTATTTCTGTTCCTTTGTCAGGCTTTAATCCCTATATAACATATGCTTCATCCACTTCTCACTCATTACTGGAGGCTAACTCAATAAGCTACCGATCTCCTACCTCGGTTATACTAATTTTTACGCACTTTCCGTCAAGGCATGGTCGGGAATCTCAATCAAATCGATACTTTCATGAATCGGATATATACTTGAAATAGACCTGTGACGGAAGGTCCAATGCCGATTATCAAACCAGGACAAAAGCAACAAAATCAACAAAGACGTATTGGACTAAGTGCAAGACAACAGCCAACTCGCCTTTTATCGCAGATTGGAGGTCAGACCACTGCAGTCAAACATGAGGTCCCCGCCTCTCAAATGAGAGGAGGTGGGAAGGTTCGAGAACCCAAGTCTATCGATGCACCACCTGAGAGCAGTAGTGATGAGGAAAAGGACTACCGCCGATTGCAGGACTCCGATGATGATGACAATGGGAGTCAATATGTAGATATCAAGCCCACTACTTTCAACAGTTCCCAGCAACCTTCTTCGCAGACAAGGAATCCGCGGGGAAGTGCACGAGAAAAACCCACACAATCATCAAAAGGGAAGAAAGCCATACGCAACTCTCAATCTGACGAGCCCTCGAGCTCAGCTGGCTCGAAAAGGGCTGCCGAGGAGGATCCCGCCCCCGAAGTGAGTAGTCATTTAACGGATGAATTTGGTTTCACAGGGAAGAAGACCAAGAAAACCAAATCTAATACAAGACGTCCTGCGACTTATTCCTCATCCCAACCGAAGTCTTCACAACCGAGATTGTCACAGAAATCTGCCTTTAGATCTTCGGCTACGCGACCTAGTAAGTGACGTATAGTCCTCACCTTCTGTGAAGATTGCTAACGTCATTTCCCACCAATTCTTAGATCAATCACCACCACCAAGCAAATCATTCAAGACATACCAAGATAGTCCAGGTTCTACAATTGATCCATCCCCTCCAGCGAAGAGATTCATTAAACCTGAAAGTCTCAGCCCGGAGAAGGTTAAGTCCTCTAGGTCATTCAAATTACCATCTTTGAGTTCAAGTCCAAGTCAAGTCAAACCCTCGTTTCGACATGCTTCTTTGCTTTCAGACGAATCACCAGCAAAGAGCAAAATCAGAGCACTTGACACAGATGATGAAGCGAATGTGGCATCAGAAGCAAAGTCTAGCCAGCAGCCCAAAAGGAAAGCACCAAGGAAATCTAAAGCCAAGATACGACGGGGATCTCCTGAAGCCAAGTCGGAGGAGCTTACCCAGAGACCAGCGTTCAAGTTGCACGCATTGGACGAATTAGACTATCTAGATGATGGCGACGATAAGCTCGGCGCTGTATTTGAGGATGATGAATGGGACGAAGAAGTAGGTGACATAACCATAGATGACCCAGTAGCTACTACAGCGAAATGTCCCATGTGTCACGAAGCAGTTGATGCCGAGCTGCTGGCGAAATATTCAGACCGTGGCAGGATGAATATTAAGAAACAGACGGCATTCTGCAGGCTGCACAAACGACAAACCGCGTTGAGTTCTAGAACTCAAAAAGGATATCCCAAGATCAACTGGGAAACCCTCGATGGTCGACTCAAGATCCACCAGGGCTTTTTGAAGGATATCTTGGAAGGCACCCATAAGTCGTACTATCGCGACATTCTTAGGGAGAACGTCGAATCTGGAAAGAATCGAACGTTGCTCACAACCGAAGATAGTCTCACGCCTGGCTATTACGGGCCACGGGGGCTCCGCGCAATGACTGAGTACATCATGCGGACTTTGTCTTCCGTCGTACGGAAACGCGCGATCGAGGACAGACTTGTTTCCGCAAGAGGTTATACCGGATATGTCCAGGCGGTCTTGGTGCCTGAATTGGCGGTCCGCCTAATTATGGAAGACATGGATGCCTCAGAGGAAGATGCACGGAAGATCATGCAAGACAGCATTGAAGTTGGAGAACTTCTATATGAAGACATAGGAGACGTTGTCGCTGGAGTGAGTGATGAAGAGGAAGAGCCTTAATAAATAAGAACCTGATGAGCTTCATACGAGAACATCTTATAGACCGATTTCTCTGTATTTTTCAGTCGGTCCTGATGCGTAACAGATTCGTGCAGAACACGGAAGCTGTCATATTTCATACCTACATATAGATGCTACGTGCTGTTGTGAGCTACCTAATCCATGGATGTACGATTACAATCCGACCACAATCTGATCAGCACAGAGCCTCCATATTGATATATGCAATGCGCATCGGAATTTTAGATACCCTGGACTATCTAGCATACGTCAGACGCTAGGCAAAGCGCAATCTATCGTTTATCAATCACTAAGGTAACCTAGATCGTCATCTGAGTGTTCCCAAATTCGAATCACACATAAACCCTTGTTCATTACCTATGTAAGATACAAGTTTGAGTACGGCTTATCAGAACGATATTGGGTGATCGACGGAGCTCGGATATCCCCTAACCACGGATCGCATTATTACGGGATGGACGTTGGCGCTAGGCGGGTTGCAAGGCCTGTCCTGTCGTACGTTTCGTCGCAAGTCGCGCACGTAGTCGCGTATGTGTAGTATCACGGAACCTTTTACCGACCCTACCGATAAACGGTTATTCGTCATGTGAGGAGCACTATCGCAAACAAAATTAGTTGATATGAGGTCTAACGTTCTCATCACACACACGCACGTTTTACGAAAAGCCAATGACGGTAGAGCTGGGTTGGGGGTCTTGACAAATAACCTTAGCTTTAAAAGCACATGCAACGTTTGCGTGAGAAGCGGGAACTTGCCGCAACAGACTTCCCGGGCGCGGATTGGGCGCATTCCCATCCACTATCATCCTATCCCCGCCCCCGTGACATTTGACAGGAACTACCTGGACCTACCAACAAAGGTATTTTTAACTTCAAACAGCACTTTAATATGAGTTGACAAGCCTTATGCAAGCCGGTCGGACCGTGGGTAGGCGGCGGGACCTGTCCCCGGGAATAGTGCCTAGGTAATCTCGCAATAGCTGCGACATGCGGACGAATCCAATTTTCTTTGCTCCCATCCAGAGAATAGCGCGGAGTGACAGGTCGACTTTTCGAGGAAAGATTGGTGTTCATGTTATTAGATAAACCTGGAAACGGGGGCTAGGAGAATTTACGATGGACACTATCCTCTGAATGCGCATCACTATTGCTTAGCTGTCTTCGTAGCTACACGCTTACCCCAAACCCCAAACATACATGGATCCAGCAAGTATTTGCTATGTAGATCTAACCATGGGTGAGATATTTAATATAAAAAGAAAGTCTTGTGAACGTGAATGAAATTGGCAGGGAATCAGGGATAGGACAACGCATACCGTTATATGAACTCGAACAAACTAGCATTTCCAACCGATTACCTACACCTAGCCAAGCTGCCCAGGACTTTTTTGAGACTTATGTATGTACTATGGGAATATATTCCGCGCTTGTGAACAAGGATCTCGGGAGCGAAGCTAGGGCTTTCTGGGGGTGTCGACATCTGTGGAGCATAACCCGGTTTTGAGGGCGGTAATGTATGTACGCAAAGACCTTGAGGTGGTCAAAGCCCGTTTAAAAGCCCGCAATTTTGGCTTTCACCGAGGCCATGGCCGGGACACTAAAAAGGCGAACTTTGCATGTAAGGCGCCTCACTTGTATGAACCACGGATGGGATGTAGGTAAGCGATTGAGGCTCTGGTCCGAGTCGCGGGTCCTCCGCACTCGAGCTGTCGAGTCATAAGCGACACAATCGACAAGATAGAGAGCGCCGATTCATGAGTGAGATGTAAGATTGAAGATCGGGCATGACTCTTTCGCCAAGTTAATATCTCTTTGTTCGGGCTGGGTAATTGGTTAGGAAACGAGCTGCCGTATTTTGCCAACACACGTAGAGAACGACGTATTAAATTCGTTTATATACTAGTAGGCATGTGGTGAGACTCGGTATCCTTAAGCGGCATTGCAATTCCACCGCATCTTACTACTATGCAGAACGATGTGACTGGACTTTGACGAGTAACATTCGATACTTTATAAAGTCGAAGAGGCGACAGGTTGAGTTGAACCTGCATATCGCGAAACGGCAATGCGGGTTGGAAAAGCTTTTTCTTTTCAATTTTGTCGCTAATAACGGGTCTTCCCACTACGCCCGTGTCTTCTAGTACGGCCAAACGATTAGGGTAGAGGCTTGAAACGGTGACGACACTCCGATACTTATTATTAATCCACGAATCGTTTTATGATTCAGCCTTCGAACTCGTAGACAGCTAATTAAAGCCTCAAGATAACATCGGATTGTTTAATGGCTTGACGTAGTTACAATGTCAATCGAGATCTGGAATCTGCATAGTACCTAGGCAGACTAAAATTTAGATAGAATCGCTGGTGAGGCCAACTATTGATACTAAGGTATTTTGATATCCATAATGTGTGACAAGTACAAGTTGGGATGTCTTCGCCAAAAAAAGATTTAGTGGTTCCACCGATCTAGTCGATATACATTAATGCACCTCTAGATGTACTTTGCTAGGACCAGCGGTTCCCTCTAGTTCCCTCACGCCGTCCTTGTACCGAAGGTTGCAGCCGTTGTAGCCGTTGTAGCACATACCACACCCGAGCCACTGCCCCCAGAGCCACTTCCACCTGAATCTGACACCACATGCGTATTGTACTTTCGTACTTGGTACCCGCCGCCTGCAAGAAGTCGCAAAGTGTACTATCCATGGATGGCAAATGCAAGTTGTTGCAAGTGCGAGCAGGAAGCACCACCTGCCCTGCCTACCGCTCCGCCCTGCTTTGCTTGACTTTTTTTGCTACATCCAATCTAAGTCTTGCTTAAACCAAAACCTTTCAGCCCTCACTTTCGGCGTCGGGCTATACTGTGTATCCTTCGTCTTTGGTTAGCCCACCTAACTGACTTATCTCTCTGCCTGCTATATCCTTTTTTCTTGTATTTTTTTTTGTATGTACACCTGCTAAGGCTCTGGTTTCTGGCAAACATCGGAACGCTTGCTGTTCTCCGCGCAGTCTGGATCACATCCGCCGCATTAAGATACATACCTCCACCTCTAGCTATACCTACCTCCACCTAGCTTCACGATTTACGATACGAGACATACGAACCCTATAATTCTTTTTCTTTTTGCCGGGAAATGTCCCACCTTACCTCCCTTTGATGGCGCCGCCCTATTGACCTAAACTGCGAGGACCGTCGTGAAGGTGAAAAGTTACAATGACGAGGGATGACGGCCGCATCACCTCCTTCGCGAGTTCCAGCAGTGGACACTCAAACATTACATTGAAACCAACCGTTCCTAGTCGTTCGGTTTCCGTCTCCTCGGCCTCGACTAAAGCTACGCCGAAGCCCATCAAGACTGGCGACCATGTCAAAATCAGGTACGTCATGCCTTGTCCTTTCTCCGTAATATTATAATCTCGAGTTCAATGAAATATGGGGAGTACATGGCCCTGCCACATTTTAGTCCGAAACCCATCGAGTATTTCTCACCTAGTCAGATTAAGTGGGATGATGGGGAGACCAATTGAAGCTTCTTTTTTCCTTTCATTAGATCGATCACTTCATGCACAGAATGCTTCCTAGCGAAGGTCTTTACAACTAACAGCGGGTGCCTGTCGCGCCCTACACAGACAATTTAAGGAAGACATCTCGCCGACAGCCTCCGGTCATCGCATTGCCTTGTCGCCCTCCTCGACCGCATCTAGCAGTTCCCTCCTCGACAGTCGCCGCATGAGCGACCTTACGAACTATCGTCGCGATCTTGCCGTCCTCGATCCGTCCGGTGGTCGTGTTCCACAAATTCAACGAGATCCCCCGATGGCTAGTCCGAACGCCCAGAATATAGCTCCATGGATGTCCGTGAACGGCGGCGCGGCCGCGTCCCCGACCGGCTTTGGTACGAGCTTCTATAATGATTCGAGCGACAATGTCTCTACTGCCTCACAATTATCGCCGGCCCTTAGAATTGGTTCTTCGAGGAATGCTCAAGCTTCGAGTAATGATTCTCCCGATGCGGCGTATTTTACTGATGATAGGCGGCCATCGGCGGCCAGCGTGACAACGGCTAGTAGCCAAGGTTCGAAAAATAGTGGTAGCAGAGGCGGGTTCAAGAAATTACAGGGGTTTTTCGGGGAAGATTTCCCAGGACGCGACTCGTCCGAGACCAGCCTTCCACCACCACCATCTTCCCAAAATCCAGGAAAAGAACAGCGCTCTTATTCCTTTAATCGGCCGCGTCGAGGAAGAAACGATTCCAACGCCACTGACCACACTAGAGAACCGTCCCCGTCATCCTCCCGACCGCGAACGCCCGTGCCATCGAGCGAAGTAGTCCCATTTTTATATCAAGAGGCTAATGATATTGCTAAATACGGTGAAGCTCCAGTTCGTGATATGTTAGCCGGCCCGGACAAAGAGCGGTATCAGCAGGAGGCTTTCGGGCAGATACCGCCGAAGACTTCCTCCTCGCAGCGCTCCGGACACTCTATCGTGCACCTATCTAATCATCATCGTCATCATAAAAGCAATGATGATCCTAACACGCTCAGACCTGTAGCTAGCCGCGAAGACTCGATCCTGAGCACGGCTAATATGAAGGACAGAGGAGGATCCATGCCGACAGCGTCGCGATCGCGAGCACAGAGTCCTACTCCAAGCAGCAATAGTACCGGTAGTAGGCTCGCATCTATCGATGGCCAGACGTCGCCTGGTGCACCCGGGAAACGGGGTATCTTCGAACGCTTACGACGCCACAAGCATAAGGATGACCACCGCTTACGAGGCATGCCTACTTCCACACGGTCTCTCGCGCCATCGTCGTCGCGACTTGACCTATCGAAAGCTCAGCCGTCGTACGATAAACCGCTACCGAGTCTAGATTCTCCAGGTCCTCCAGTCCGTCCAAGCAATCCTCGGCAAGCGACATTTAATAACAAATTTCCTTTCGCTAAGAAGGGGCGTCCGCACAAGGCCTACGATGACCCCGATGAGCACATTGGTCCGACTGATAGAAACGATAGGGGCATGGTGTTCCATCTCGATACGAATCTTAACGATATGGAAGGTATCTTGGCACAACCGCAGCCTCTAACGCCCATGGATAGTTCGACGATGTTCCAGCAATCGGATTTCGAGCTGGTGGAACCAGTTTCGGCACAGGGAAATGGAGCATGGAATGCGCCAGACAGCTGGGCTGTCCGTCGTAACGCAGAAGAGAGGGATGTTCATGCGCCGGAGGTCGACGATGTTGGAACACCGCCTCGGCCAGAAGAGAAGTTGAGCCCTCACTGCATACGAGTATTCCGAGCCGATGGTACCTTTGCTACAGTGCAGATGCCCTTGAACTCGACTGTGACCGACGTTATGGCGCAAGTCGTTAAGAAAACTTTCGTCACCGAAGGCCTTGAGAACTACCATATTGTGTTAAGGAAGCATGACTTATCCCGAGTCTTATCCGCTCCGGAGAAGCCACTCCTGATCCAGAAGAGACTGTTGCAGCAGGTTGGATATGAAGAGAAAGATCGCTTAGAAGATATCGGTCGAGAGGACAATGGTTACCTATGCCGTTTCTTGTTTTTGTCGGCGAGGGACAATCATTTCCAAATGAGTCCACAGGACCTCGGATCTGGTAGGGCCACGAAGTTTAATCACGTTGATCTCTCTGGACGAAACCTAATCACGATCCCGATAACCCTCTATTCTAAGACTGGCGATATCATCTCTCTGAATCTTTCCAGGAATCTTTCACTCGATCTCCCGCGAGACTTCGTCCAAGCATGCCCTCAACTACGCGACATCAAGTATTCTAATAATGAAGCCCGGAAACTTCCTATCAGTATTGGAAGAGCAGGTCGGCTCACATATCTTGATGTGTCTAATAACCGCTTAGAGGACTTGGATCATGCTGAGCTTGGTCGTCTCACGGGGTTGTTGAAGCTGAGCTTAGCGAACAATCGTCTGAACCGCCTACCTCAGGAATTCGGCCTTTTCAAGTCTCTCCGGTCTCTGAATCTATCTTCGAATTTCTTGGAAAAGTTTCCAGTTTTCTTATGTGACCTGGAAAGTCTGGTAGATATCGACGTGAGTTTCAACTCGATCTCATCTCTCCCCGATGAGATCGGTAAGCTCCGGAACCTCGAAAAATTTGTCATGACCAACAATAGGCTCGCGGGATCATTGCCATCCACGTTGAGAGACCTCATAAATCTCCGAGAATTGGACATCAAATATAACACGCTAACCGCCATTGACATCGTATCCGAATTGCCCAAGTTAGAAATTCTGTCGGCAGACCACAACACGATATCCCAGTTTGTCGGCTGTTTCGAGCGAGTCCGCAATCTGAAGTTGAATTCCAACCCCATCACTAAGTTCGAAATAACCAGTCCTGTGCCTACTCTTAAGCAGCTCAACCTGTCGAACTGTCAACTTGCGAGCATCGATAGCTCGTTCAACAATATGATCAACTTAGAGAGACTTGTTTTAGATCGCAATTATTTCGTGTCTCTCCCCAATACCATTGGTAACATGAGAAGGCTAGATCACTTCAGCATCGCCCACAATTCAGTGGGCGAGTTGCCCCCAGAAATCGGTTGTCTGAATGAGCTAAGAGTCCTGGATATCAGAGGGAACAACATTAGGAAGTTGCCAATGGACATATGGTGGGCGAACAAACTGGAGACGCTCAATGCTTCCTCCAATGTACTCGAGAATTTCCCAAAGCCTGCTTCACGTCCGCCTCAAACGCCCGGGGAATCTTCAGGCACTCCTACTCCCAGCAACAAGACGCTAACGGGAGCCTTGTCTCAAACATCCAGCTCCGAAGATCTAATGCCCGATGGGTCTCGACGACCTAGCCAAGCTTCAAGCACTTTGCTCAGTGTGGGGCCTTCTCCTGTCCCTAACGGCGCGGACCGTAAGAGTTCTGTCGTATCAGTCTACGGAAAGGGAGGCCGGAAAACTTCGGTCGTCTCGAGAGCCACGACGGCTGGTAGTAGTATTAATGGGACCATGACTCCGTCCGCAACATCGAGAAAAGATTCCGGGCTTTCCAATCGGTTGACCAACACGTTCGCCGGCTCATTAAGAAATTTATGTCTTGCCGACAATCAGCTCGATGATGATGTATTCGAGCAGCTTATACTCCTAGCAGAATTACGCGTTCTCAATTTGTCATATAACGACCTCAGTGATATGCCACAACGCTGCATTAAGAACTGGCCTCAACTGGTGGAACTTTACCTTTCTGGTAATGATCTGACCAGCCTGCCGGTTGACGATTTGGAGGAGTATAGCTTGCTTCAGGTGCTTCACATTAACAACAACAAATTTACTAACCTGCCGGCGGATATCTCACGGGCTAAAAAATTGGCCGTGTTGGATTGCGGAAACAATTCGCTAAAGTATAACATTTCAAACGTACCATACGATTGGAACTGGAACTTGAATCCAAACTTGCGATTTCTCAATTTGTCAGGAAACAAACGTTTGGAAATCAAGCAGACAAATCTTGGTCCAGGGGCTGTCAATCGCGAGCAATACACTGATTTCGGACGACTGCTGAATCTCCGTGTGCTCGGATTGATGGACGTCACTCTCACCAACCCAAGCATTCCGGACCAGAGTGAAGATCGCCGTGTCAGAACATCAGGTTCATTAGCTGGCCATCTACCATATGGTATGGCTGATACTTTAGGGAGGAACGAGCACTTGTCAACTATCGATCTAGTCGTTCCAAGGTTCAATTCTTCCGATTCGGAAACGCTTCTAGGCTTGTTCGACGGGCAAGCGCTATCTAGCGGTGGCTCTAAGATCGCCAAGTACCTTCACGAGAATTTTGGTCATATTTTTACGATGGAGCTGAAGGCTCTAAAGACACGCCAGAATGAGACTCCTATGGATGCGCTCAGGCGTGCCTTCCTCGCCCTGAACAAGGACCTTGTCACCGTAGCTATCGAGCATACCGAGAAGAGGTCATTAACGTCGCACCGTGGTTCATCAGCACCAGTAGTCCTTAGCAAGGAAGATCTCAACTCTGGGGGAGTTGCCACCGTCGCATATCTCCAAGCTCAAGAGCTCTATGTTGCCAACGTTGGTGATGCGCAAGCAATGCTTATTCAATCCGACGGTTCACACAAAATCCTGACTCGGAAACATGATCCTGCTGAGCCTAACGAGCGTCAACGAATACGGGATGCTGGAGGCTGGGTGTCGCGTCAAGGGAAGCTCAATGATTTACTCGACATCTCTCGTGCCTTTGGCTACGTCGATTTGATGCCGGCTGTGCAGGCAGCTCCCAATATCACACAGACCTCGATCACGCCGCAGGATGAAACTATCTTGATAGCCACGAAGGAGCTATGGCAGTATCTTACCCCCGGCTTAATTGTTGACGTGACCAGATCAGAACGAGGCGATCTTATGCGTGCCGCGCACAAGTTGCGAGACCTTGCTATCGCCTATGGTGCAAATGGAAAAATCATGATCATGATGATCAGTGTCGCCGATCTCAAGCGACGCCAGGAACGGTCGGCCCGTCTGCACAGAGGGCAGAGCATGTCACTATATCCTTCCGGCGTCCCAGACGAATTTCAATATCCGATCAAGCGAGGCAGAAAGGCAAAGGGCGAAGTGCAAGACTCTACACTACATCGACTCGAAGCCGAAGTTCCCGCTCCCACTGAGAAGCCTTCTATTGTTTTCACTGATATCAAGAACTCGACTAATCTATGGGAAATGTATCCATCTGCTATGAGATCTGCGATCAAACTACACAACGAGGTCATGCGGCGGCAACTCCGGAGAATCGGTGGATATGAAGTCAAGACTGAAGGTGACGCTTTTATGGTCTCCTTCCCTACTGCCACCTCGGCTCTATTGTGGTGCTTCGCCGTTCAAACTCATTTGCTCAACGTTGATTGGCCCTCGGAAATTCTCAACTCAGTTTCCTGCCAAGAGACCTATGACAAAGATAACAACCTTATATTCAGGGGGTTATCGGTCAGGATGGGTATCCATTTCGGCGAGCCGGTAGCCGAAATTGATCCCGTTACACGCCGCATGGATTATTTCGGTCCGATGGTGAACAAGGCGTCTCGTATATCTTCCGTAGCCGACGGGGGTCAGATTACCGTGTCAGCGGATTTCATTTCGGAAATTCAGCGCTGTCTTGAGACATATCAAGAAGCTGATCGTGTCGGGTCTACGGGTTCCGACGATACATTCGATGACGATGTCACATCGTCATCAATCAGAAGGGAATTAAAGTCTCTTAGCTCGCAAGGATTCGAAGTGAAGGACATTGGAGAGCGGAAACTCAAGGGTCTTGAAAACCCTGAGTACATATACTCACTCTATCCGCATGTCCTCGCCGGCCGTATCGAACATCATAACAGCGCTGCGACGGCGGCTGAGGTTGCTGAGAAACCTGCTATGCTTCAGGCTGGAAGTAATCTTGGAATTGATCCGGAGATCATCTGGCCGCTCTGGAAAGTTAGCTTGCGCTTGGAAATGCTTTGCAGTACCCTGGAAGAAATGTCCGGCAGAGGCTTACAGCCTCCCGAGACTGAACTCTTAGAGCGTATGATACAACGCGGGGGCGAGGTCACCGACCGGTTCTTATTTAACTTCATGGAACATCAAGTGAGCCGTATAGAGGTATGAATTTTGAATCCAAAAATTGTACATTCGTGTTTGCTAACCTACAACTCCGAAGACCTGTATATCCACGCTTACGATGCGACACATTGCCATGGGCAGCGGCCCTATCCACTCACTAGACGATCTCCGGACGCCAATGGCTGTCGTACTTGACAATCTCGCTATCCAGATGGCCGAGCTCGAGAGATATAAGGCCAAGTTTGGAGACCTCCCCACTGATAGCGAAGATGACGAGAGCGACGTCAATGAGGACTGAATCTAACTGGCTACGCCCTTGGCACCCTTCCACACTTCTATTCCCCTGTATTATATTACTACAACATTTGTTTCTCGTTTCTTAACATCATTATCACCCTAAGTTTTTACTCGACGCATTCGAATGGGACTTCAATACCCATCCTATATATAATAAATGGCTTGTAATGTGCTACGACGAAGATATCGCTATGACTGCTTCTGGAGGGGGCGAGGTTCTTTGTCTTTCATTTCTGCATTTCCAAGTCTTAGGCAGGTTGGCTAAATGTCGACAACGGCGTCCTGCGAGCAACGAAGGGTTTAAAATGCGGGGCTCTTCGACGGCCATACCTAACGCCCGAGAGCAACTCTACTACGTTATGCGTTACTTGGAATATCCGAAAATGGTGTGGTTTTTGTTAGACACGAAAGCCCTTCCTGTTACTTTGGGCATGGCATCTGTGGGGGGTTTACAGGCATAATTGGCCGCGCCGTCGTCTGTCTAAATTCACACAGACGGTCGCGAGTTGGCGTTATTATCATCTTATTTTTTTGAGGGGGGGAAGGCAGTTGGGAACTGCGAAACTGGAAATATGGGAAAGAAGCGGGAGAGGACGGATTCATTCCCTCTTTTTTTATTTTTTTTTACCCCCTCTAAAATTCCTATCGATTTTTCAGTGACGGGAAATGTTCGACATCGACGTCTTCTTGTGCTTGGCACGGTGTGGCGTCGTTATTACGGCTGGTTGGCTGGCCGGCTGGCACTTCTTTATCTGTCCTGTGCTTCGATACAGTATGCTTACGTACAATGAACGAGGTTGCCTCGAGTAGGTAGCTAACAAGGCAAATCCAACACGCGGAGCCCCCTATGTGGGGCAGGCGGTTGGAGTTTGTCGATGGAATGATTGCTTTGATTTATGTGCTGTTTTTCGTGTCTTGAGATGTGTGCGAGTGAGTGAGTGACCTGAGAGGGATGTGCTTGTTGATATTTGACGTGTATGCGCTACGTGGGCAAGAATGTCACATGTGGAAGGACGATTCGATTTGTGAGAATAGATTACTCGATCATTAGTCCGGATGGATGGCGGGGGCCGAATCAGTATCTATAACTACCTACTTGTATATGATAATATGTACATGTGCATCTTATATCTAATATTTCAGAATGTTCTCGATTACACTGCGACGTCTACAGTAGTAGGGACAATCGCCTGTTTTGGTTCAAGTGAATCTCACCATCAACCGATACTCGGGATAATGCGACCAGATGTCACAACGATAAAGATGAATACACGGCGGCATTTACACTACAGAAATTCATTCGATATTTACTTTGTACCTGTCCTGAATCAAAAGGGGCGGGGGGGAAGAAGAGGCAAAAAAAGAAAAGGGAGGAAAAAAGAAAAAAAGAACTTTGAGCCCGATTCGAACCTACGACAAAAACTTTGATTCGAACGCCTGTTGATTACACCACTTGGACTTACCCACCGGGTTTTCCCCGGCGGGTACTGATCAGAAGTTTGTTACTCCTTATAAGCTTGAAAACTTTCTGCAAGTGGTTGCTGGGGTTTGGGTGGTTGGGTGGTTGCTCTCAGAGATGTGTTGGATAGGGGGTGGGCGGGATGGTTGCTAGGGGGAGATGGCATGTTTAGGGGAGGATGTTGGGACGCTGTCCGGGAAAAAAACGTGGTTGGTGAGGAGTTAGAAAGGTAATAAAGGAGCATGTGAAATGGATGTCAAGAAGCTGTTCGTTTATACCTACAAGGTAGGTAGGTAGGTAGGCAGGCCTTCGATCTGATAAGGAAAATGGTATATGAAGAGCAGGATGCGAGGCAAACGAGCATGCAAGGAATCACGGATACGTAAAGTACTACTTGAAGTCAGATTACTAATAGAAGATGGAATCATGTGCCTGTCCGCACTCCAGCTTCAGGTACTTTCTAAAAAGGAGAGTACCTACATAAAGATAAAAAAAGAAAGGGAGAAAAAAGAATTGCACCCACCGGGATTCGCACCCGGGTCTTTCCCTTACCCTTCCCCGGATCGCCGGGGCGTGGGAGGGGAATAAGCTAAACTACTGCTCCATAGGTGCCTATTTCTTATCAATCCTTTCCCATCTTCGTGTGCTTGAAGCTTTGACAAAGGTGTCTTATAAGCCCGCCGGCTAGATACCGGGCAATCGGCCGGAGGAAGGAACGGGACGGCAGTGCGAGGCAGGGGGGCACGTGCGGGACGCGTCTGAGACGCGTCCCTGCCTTCTTCTCCAAGGTACCTATCCGAGTAAAGCAGTTCCAATGGGGTATCTATGACGTAGAAGCGAGGCTAGCCTTGTGTATGGTCTTGTTTGATGTGGTGGTGACTCCCTTATACGGTCTACCTCACTCAGTTTCTGTCTTCTGTTTCTTCAGTTTATACTTGATTATCCAGGGCTATCTACTTCTAATCTCCCATCACTAGATTACACCATATTACTTCTTTACGAGACTTTGGAAATAGCAAGTTTCCTATCGACACATACCTAATTAGCCCCATGCCTATGCAAACAGCGCTGTCTATACTGGCCTTGGAATTCCGGCTATGTGCTTAAGGGGTAAGGGATATCGCATACATATATGGAGACAACTTCACGTGAGTGGACACAAGATATAATAATAGTGTATGGATCAACAAACGCAAACGTCTTCAACTCTTTCATTATTCTTCATTCCTTATATAACGAGTGATGCTATGCTACGCTATGCTGACTTAAATTATTCCATACCCAATAGATCGCGAGGCTATAAGTTAAGGGGTATATCGATTTTGTATCGCTCAAACCACATATCAACCAAAAACTCCTGCTTTATGTCGTTCCCAACGTACATGATAGATATGTAAAATCATAAATGTGACCCAATCGGGTGGGGTCGGGTGTCGTCTGGGGTAGGAAATCCCCATCCCGCTCAGCCTTGCCACGTCACTCGTACATACTGAGACGTAGCATACTCAAACGCTGTACATCCTACACCATACAATACAATGACCTAAATCAAAACTAGCGAACCTTTTGGCCGAGAAAAAAAAAAGGAAAAAAAGAACAAGGGCAACGAGAGCCAATGTTAGGGAGCTGGTATCCTCAAATGTATATGAAGATAACACGAGGACCAATCCAAGAATGATACAAGCCCGAGCAATGCCTTCGAGCAACAAATTTCCGCAAAGACACATCTGAGATATTTTACTCCACCGGCCAATCAGGAGGTCATGCCCCGCTATCCAAAAATTTGAACCTCAAGAACCAGTAAGCTTCTTCCACCAGCTGCTTCGAGGAGTTGAGTCAGTGAAGACGGTCTCACGCGGCCCTCCAGCTCCACCGCTACCATCCGAACCACCTACACGGCGATCTCGGCGGTCTCGCTCCTCGCGACGATCTCGTTCTTCACGGCGGTCTCGTTCCTCACGGCGTGCGCGACGACGTCTTCGGTCGTCGTCCATCTCGGCCTCGACATCGCCATACTTCGCGCGGCGACGAGCAGCTCGGCGAGCGGCCCGGCGGGCCTCTTCATCATCTTCCATCGGAGGTGGGTCGTTAACAGGGCCACCATCCTCAGGGGGTGGCCCAGCATCAGAGTGTTCCTTCACCCAAGAATCCGTACCTGAGTGCGGCCAAGCAGCAGGTTTGCTTCGCCTACGCTCATCGACTGCGTATCTCGAAGTCCTTTCCGGGGGGTAGACATACTCGTCAGCCGGCATCGTGCGTCTGCGGCTAGCCTTTTCCTCGGAGCGTCTGGCTTCGTGTCTCCTCCGCCTGCGCTCTTCCTCGTCTTCGGAAGCCTCGGCGTACCGCGCCCGCCGTCGTTCGGCCCGGGCTGCGCGACGAGCTTCAGCTTCCGCTTCCTCGGCAGCGGCAGCTTCTTTTTCAAGCCTGCGTTGGCGACGTCTCTCGGCTCTCTCGACCTCTTTAGCTTCGGCAGCAAGCCGCTCCGCTTCGCGTTCTCGGGCGGCTCTACGTTCAGCTCGTCGAGCCTCACGCTCGGCTTGCCTGCGTGCTTCGGCATCGTCTTCCTGTCTCCTGCGCCTCTCACGCCTCTCTTCCTCTTTTGCGAGGCGCGCCTCTTCCGCAGCCTTCTCTTCAGCTCTCCTTTGGCGGCGAGCTGCACGACGAGCCTCCCTCTCCTCATCTACCGGGTCGGCTTCCATACCACGATAATCCCGCGCCTCTCGTACAGATCGCCTAGGTCTCTTATCAGGCCTGACCTCGTCATCTGTGGTATAATATGTGCTACGGCGACGTGGCGCTTCGGGACGTGGTTCGGGGCGTGGGGTCTTAAGCCCACCAAAAAGGCCGGCAAGTCCTTTCTTAGCACTCGAATTCGATCGTTTGAGAGGTGTCGGTTCGGCAGGGAATCCATCGGCCATGAAAACGTCTTCCTCAACTTTAATCTGCTCCATATTAGCGATGTCTTGCTTTGGGAGAAGGTGCGTCTTTACCTTTGCTCGCCTACGAATCGGCTTTTCGGGGCTCGAAGGCGGTTCGGCAGCTCCAACCATGACAATATCTTCTTCGTCTAGAGCGTGTGGGTTGGAGCTCTTGCGCGTGCGAGTCTTTTGACTCTTGTCAATACCGAAGATTTTCGCGGCTTTAGAGGACATTGCAGGTACGTCTTCTGGTGGAGGCGACGCTAGACCACTTGTCATCTCAACCGAATGACGACGTGAACTTGATTTGCTAATGGGCGGACGCTTCTCTCGGGTCGATATAGAGCGAGAAATCGGCGGGGTGCTTTGAAATAGGCTGTTTGTGCGCTGATGTTTGGAAAGTGACGTAGATTTCTTTTCTCGGCGTTCTTCTGCCCTGTTGTCCCTGTCGGATGAGGAGCCCTTGGAGGAAGATGACTTGTCCTTCTCTTTCTCCCTCCTAGGTCTCTTCTCTTCAAACCTCGGTTTAGGCTTCTTCTCCTCCTTGCGAGGTGTCGCCGACCACACCCCCCAAGACGCGCCAGCATCGCGACTAATTTTTGGTCGTTCTTTCCTAGAAGACCTATTTTCCGGGGGAGGCGTGGGGGGGGCTTCGGGCTCTTCGGGCTCCTCTTCGGGTGCAGCTGGTGGGGGAACGGGCACCTCAGGCGGTGGAGGGGGTATCTCTATAGTCTTGGATTTGCTCTTCTTGCTCTTCTTTTTCTTCTCTACCGGCGCCATATCAACGATTTCAACAATTTCGTTCTCGTCTTGTTCATCTGGGAAAGCTCCTGGAAGTAGATCTTTGGACGACCTTTCCTCGGAGGATGGAGCGACAGGAACACGTGGTTTTGGCGGCGGAGCAGCCAGCGCATCAATCAGATCATCGTCTTCGTCTTCTTTGGCTGGTTCAAATTTCTTTAGCTTCTCGGAAAGTTTGCTACCTTTAGTCCTGGTTTTCTTGGGTTTCATCCAATCGTCGTCAGTTGTGGTAGCCTTGTAGGATGATGGCGCATCCTCGACTGTCGCATCTTCGAGAGACTGTGATGACTCAGCACATCTAATCTCGCTTAGACTAGATTTCTTGGTGTTACTTACCTGATTCGGTAACGAGCTTTTAGCCTTGGACTTAGAACCCCAGAAAGAAAACGCATCCGATTTAACAGGTGGGGGCGACGGCTTAGGAGGAGATGCAAAGCCTGACAAGAGTTCATCCACTTGTTCGGGAGCTAAGTCGATATTGTCAAGATCAAGGTCGTCGTCGTCGTCGTCGAAGCTCCTGCGATTATCCTTTTCCTTCTCTTCCCTCTCTTCCCTTTCTCTTTCTTCTTTCTCCCTTTCCTCCCTTTCCCTTTCCGCCTTCTCTCTCTGCTCCTTCTCCTTCTGCTCCCTCTTAGAAAGTTTATCTTTACCGCTGGACTTGGACTTCTTCTCTTCGGTCTTAGAGCTCTTTTTCGACTTCTTCTTGGCGGCGGCCTCAGCCTCTTCGCGTTCACGCTTGGCTTGTTCTTCAGCTTCGCGAGCTGCCTCTTCGGCTTCCCGGGCGGCTCGTTCCTCTGCTTCACGCGCAGCCTCTTCTTCTGCCACCCGTGCCGCCTCTTCCTCAGCCTCTCGTGCTGCTAATGCCTCCTCCTCCTCCTTATCTTCCTCTTCCTCATCGTCTTCCTCTGCAGCTTGTTCCTCTTCAAGAGCAGCCTTCTCATCGGCACGCGCTTTGGCTTTCTCAAGAAGTTCGTCGAGTCTCTTCTGATCATTTTTGGTAAACCTCTTCTTTTTCTTGCTCTTGGCCGTTAGCGCAGCGATCTCGTCTTCCTCGGCGGCAACCTCAGCTTCAAGCGCTTCAGCAGCAGCTTTCTCTTCGGCTTCGCGAGCTTCAGCAGCGGCTTTCTCTTCTGCCTCCAAGGCCTCAGCTGCCGCTCTTTCCTCGGCTTCTCGTCGCTCGGCTTCTTCAGCTTCCTTAGCAGCCTTCTCTTCAGCGCGACGTGTGGCGTTCTCAGTGAGCTCGTCAAGTCTCTTTTGGTCGGTCTTTGTGAATTTCCTTTTCTTCTTCACACTCTTCGTTCTTAGCGCCTCAAGTTCTTCCTCTTCAGCGGCGATCTCAGCCGCCAATGCTGCTGCATCAGCTGCTGCTTTCTCGTCGTTCTCGGCCTTTGTATCGTCCCAAACGTTTTCTTCGAGTTCTTGACCTGATAAGCTCATCGCTAAGGAAGGTGGCGTGGGTGCTGGAGGCGGAGATGACTTATTTCCTTTATTTAGGGCCCCCCAACCCCAATCATCGTCGAGTCCTTTGCCCTCTTCAACAGAATCGGGTTGAACGCCGTTTAGGTGAGAGCCATTCTCAATCTCGATCGGGACATTCTTGCTTCCTTTTTTCTTTTTGTCCTTCTTCGAACTAGTGGAGAGACCCCAAATATCATCATTCTTAGGTTCCTCGATTGAATCAGGCATAAGATTACTTCGATCCTTGTCCTTGCCGGCACCGAAACTATCCCAGAAATCGTCGCCATCCACGGCATTGGGTGCCTCGGGTACAGCGGGTGGTGGATTTTCGTGGTCGTCGGATTCCTTGTCTAGTTCCACTAGAGCGGTCGAGGTCTTGAGGTTCTTCTTACTCCAGCCCAGCCAGCCATCGTTTTCTTCAATCGGCGGAGGTGAAGGCTCCTCCTTCTTTTTAACAGGTTTTTTAATTGCTCCCCAAAAGCTCCAGACACTAGAACTCGGTTCCTCGGCAGCGGTTCGACGAACCGGCTCCGGTTCTGGTTCCGGAGCCGGTGGATTCTGTTCCTTTTCCTCGGTAATCTCCTCGATAGGGGTAGTGATTTTGCCTTTCTTCTTTTTCTCCTTCTCTTTCTTAGAAGGAGTTGAGCTCCACGGGTCATCGTCGAGGGCGGAAGGCGACTCTGATTCCTTTAGAGCGAGCTCGTCCAAGATGCTTTTCTTGTTTTTCTTGTTTTTAGTAGTGGAAGTGTCCCAAGTGGCCGCCCAGTCGTCCAAGGCAGGTTCCGCCTTAGTTTTCGGCTCGGGTAACGGTTCTGGTTCTAGTTCTGGTTCAGGCGGCGTCTCTTCGACAGCACTCTTCTTCTTCTTTTTCTTGTCTTTCTTCGAGGAAGCGCCTAGTGCTGTAGAGAACTCGTCTTCTGTAGGTTTCTCTTTGATAGGCTCCTGTTCTGGTTCTGGTGTAGGCTCTCGTACTGGTTCCGGTTCTGGATCAGGCACAACAGCACCCTTCTTCTTTTTCTTCTTCTTTTCCTTGGGCGTAAGCGTGAAAGAAGGGAAATCTTCGGCCTCATTTTTGGCAGGCTCAGGTTCAGGATCGGGTGCAGGTTCAGCCTCGGCATTTTTGGGCGGGTCTTCCTCAACGATGCCGTTCTTCTTTTTCTTGTCCTTTTTGGAGGTGGAATCACCCCAACTAGCCCAATCATCTTCCTTCTTCTCGGGCTCTGATAGAGGGTCGGGAACAGCTTCCGGTTCGGGATCCGGCGCTTCGACTTTACTTTTCTTACCTTTCTTCTTGGTGGAAGTTATACCCCAAGCACCGCCCAAATCATCGTCCTTCTTTTCTGGCTCGGCTGGAGGGTCAGGTGCTGGATCAGGTATTGGGTCTGAGACGATTTTACTCTTCTTGCTTTTCTTCTTGGTGGCGGTAGGCACAGCCCAGTCGTCTTCTGACTTCTTCTCAGGTTCAGGCTCAACCACTGGTTCAGGCTCCGGGTCCGGTTCGGGATCAGCCACAGGCTCGGGATCAGCACTGGCGGTCTTGCCCTTCTTCTTATCCTTCTTTGCAGTTGCGGTACCCAGGGTACCCCAAATGTCAATTACTTCCTTCTTGTTCTCGGTCTCAAGCGGAGCCGATTCTTCCACCTTTTTCTCTGCAACCTTACCTTTCTTTTTATCCTTCGTTGAGATACCCCAGCCCCAGGCGTCATCAGCAGCAGATTCAGGTGCAGGTTCTGGCTCAGGTGCGGAAAGCCCGGGCTCTTTAACTTCTAGACCACCCTTCTTCTTCGCCTTTGTGCTCTTCTTGGTCGAATCCCAATCGTTAGCCCAAGGGTCTTCGTTCCCGGGCTCAGGTTCAGGTTCAGGTACTGCAGGTTCCGGTTCTTTTACTTCCTCAATAACACCCTTCTTTTTCTTCTTCTTGCCTGTGGTGGGCGAATCGTTTACCGTGGTGGGAGGAGCCTCAGCCACGGGCTCGGGTACTAATATTGCAGAACCTTTTTTCCCTTTCTTCGCAGTTGTGCCCCAGGCATCAGTGGCCGCACTTGACCCCAAATCCTGGCTTTCGACAAGCAGTTCGTCCTTCTTCTCAGCCTTCTGATTGGCCTCCAGCTCCTCCAAGGCACTAGACTTTTTCTTTTTCTTATCCTTCTTGGTGGTGGTAGTAGTGGTAGTGACAAAGCCGAAGTCGAAAGTATCATCCTTCTTTTCCTCGGGCTTGTCGAGGGAGATAATAGGCTCTTCAACCTTAGCCTCTGCTTTAGCATCGAGGCCGCCAAAACTGAAGCCTGCCTTGTCCTTCTTAGTAGACAGAGACTTGCTGAGGCTCCAAGCACTACCGCTGTCGATGTCACTTTTCTTTTCTTCTTTATGTTTGTCAGCGTCTTTGGATCCAATCCAGCTGCTCCATGTGCCAGTAGCCAAACGACTACCCCACGTACTGAGAAGGTTGGACTTAGGTTCCGGCGTACTGCCGCCAAAATTGATATCTAGTGACGGTCCATGGTCATCTAGCTTGATCTCGTGGAATGTTTCAGGAGGCCTAGAAGGTATGTCCACAGGTTCTGTCTTCTCCTCAACCAGATTCTTGCCTTTTTTCTTTTTCTTCCCAGTTGTTGTTTCAAAAGAGCCCCAAACATCGTCGGGCTTGTTATCGACTGGTTCGTCCTTCTTGATCTCCTTTTCCTTCTCCTTCTCTTTTTCTTTCTCTTTCTCTTCATCCTTATCTTTCTTATCCTTATCACCACCTTTTCCGTTGTCATCTCCATTGCCATCGCCGCCTGCATCTCCGCCGGACTTTCCTGTGTTGCCGTTTTGATCTCCGCCTCCACCTCCATCTCCACCAACAGCATTTTTATCTAACTCATTTGCCCAGTTAAACGAGTTTGGTGCTGGGGGGCCCGCCTTCTTCTTCTTCTTGGCATGTTGGATGATGCCAGCCTCGGACGAGAAATCCAAGTATGACTCGGTTAACGGGTCACTAATCAGCAAGCTTTGGCGTTGCTTGGGACGCCGACGCGAATCATCCGGCGCTGGAGGCGAGCAGTCTGTTGAGTGAAAAGGATTTCGCTGGCAAGCGGCATCGCCACTTCTAGTTGGATCGACCGGGGTTTCGGGAGGTAGAGAATCTTCATCGCGAGATGCCAACAGTCGTCGCGATCGTTTCGGAGTGGGATCGGGTAATACTAATGGCTTGGAGAGGTGACAAGACTTGGAGTTTTGTTCCTGTGCCGAGCGTACCCGTCAGCTTATAGTTTCGACCGGTGCCGTAATTGGCTGAGGATTAAGCGCTCTCAAAGTTTACGCCAACGACAGGTAGCGCTATGAGGCCGACTAGTTCGCCGGTATATCCATAAAATCGTCGTGGTTACAACACTAAAAAAAGAAAAAAAGAATAGGAACATCGAAGCATAGATACATACCAATGATGGTGCAGGTGCAGTTAAAATCCACGCTCTCGCAATAAGTTCCAATCGAGTCTGCAAGTCTAATTCATCCCACAGAGGGGTCACTGTCGCTGGGGAAGGTTGGATCTGTGGCTGACCATAGACGTTTCTTGTCACGCCTACGCATAATTCCGTAACCGTGGCCGCAGCCATATTGAGATGGAAAACTCGACTGGTCGCAATAGGATAAGAGACTCATGGACGCTGAGATGTCGTCTTCGAGAGACCAGGCAAATGGCAATGATTGATTTAAGCTGCGTTGTTAGTTCAATGGTTAGGGGCGGGGGGATATTTTTCAAGGTAGAAAGGCAAAGTCGAGAATCTGTCTATTCCTACAACCTTAGGTTTGGGTACTTATTAATGTCTAGCCGGGAGAAAGGTGGTGGTATAAATCGAATTGGGGGTTTCGAAGACGTTGCAATCGTTAAATCGCTGTCGATTGACAAGGCGCAATTAGACAGCCCATATAGTTAGAAGTCCCGAGCTTCTAACTTGGTGCAGAAGGTCGCAATCTAGGTAATTAGGTATCTTGGTCTCCTACCCGTTCAGCCCTCTTGTCTGTGCCGGGGGAGAGAAAATGACTGTCTCTTGTGCAACGCAAAGATGGATATAAAAAAGCAAGGGGTAAATACAATAGGTAGTACAAGAGGCAGGGAGGTTCAGTGGTGATAAGCACCAATGATGTTGAGGTGCGGCAACGCAGATGTTAAGGTGTGTAAGAGAACGATGCCGAGGATTGATTGGCCTGTTTCGCGGTGAGTTTGTGACGAGACATACACAGGACATACACCCGGGCCAATTCAGACGCTTCTCTCTGGTTTTCTGATATAAAGACTCCCTATAAGTTGAGAGAAACCAGAGAGCTGGTAGGCGAGTGGTGGCCCCGTATAGAATACCGAATCTGCACAGGCGGGAGAAAGCAAAGTAGGTATCAGTAGACGTAGCTCGCCCCGAGAAGGCGAAGCGAATACAATGCAAAGTTCCAAAGTCCCGAAGTTCCTCCCCTCTCTACTCGTAGCAAAAAGTACAAAAGGGGCAAGAGGACACCAAGAGGACAAATAGATTGGACGTGCTGAACCTATTATGTATGCATGTACGGATGTGACCCAGCAATGAAGGAACAATGTAGCAGCATGATGCAGCTCAGTGGACGAAGGGGGAGAAAAAAGGTGTTAGATTTGGAAGACGATAGGCGATAGAGGGGAAGTTAGCCGTTTGTGGGATGGCTGGTTTTCAAGATCATTGGACAGCCGCTGATGTGATGTGTCCACAATTATTTTACCTCACCCCATGTTACATGGATGTGAATGATGGGAACTGCACCCCTTCAATGTCTTCGACGTTGCTACCAGCCATATTCTTCCCTAATTGCTAACCTGCCAGGTGCTATCCTTCCTCCGGGAATTGTAGGTATATCCTTGTGCGTATTCTTACGTACAGATTTATGTACAGACTGCGGTGCCTTCCATTTTACTCCAATGTGTCATGATGACAACCTTGACAACCATGAAAGTCCCCGGCGCTTGCTCTTATTCTTATCCATTCTTGCCATTCTTATCCACTTTAGGCCGCGAGACACTCAGGTGACATTCCCGAGTTTATTCTCATTTCGTCGCAAGTGTCTCGGTCTCGAACTTTGAGTGGGTTATGACCGAATAGAGTTCTAACTATTTACCTACCTAGTATCTAATTACAAACATTAAAGTCTAAGCAAACGACATATTCGACATAGGTATGATTGAAATGCCTAATAGAATACGGTACTACATACATTAAAATTGATAAGTCAATTTGGTTGCATGTACATGCTGCCGGTCCCTGCGTTCGCAGCTTCTGTTGCAGTAAACTTGCGAACGATCTTCACCATTCGCGTCTCGATGAAACCCCGCCACATGAATCTTCTCCTCCCATTCTCATTTTTCACTTTTCCCATTTTCCGCTCCTACAGCTTACTGGCCCCCCTCCCCTTTTGCATTTTCTGTTTGGACCCCTCATCAATTTTTTTTCTTCAGCTTTTCCATTGCCTAACCAATCCAATCCCCAAAATATTTTGTGTATCCAGCCCCTGCAGCTTATGTATTATGCCCTTATCTATTCTTCGAACTGGATAGGTTCCAGAGCGACGGCTGAGCCATCTCATTGTTAAGGACGCGTACGATACTACATACACACTGCGTACGCTGGTAGGGCACGGTCGACCGCTTGCTGTGTGGGTGGGCGAATCGTATCTCCAATTTGGAAAATTTGCACTTTACTTGCTTGCATAAGAGTCTTACCGTTCCTTTTTGCGCAAAAGTTACGGAGGCGAGTAATCATTCCGTTTGCCTGGAGATAATTGCCTGTTTATGTACAATACCTAGCCAGGCGCACTGTATCCAAATATCTAAATGCGATACGCGGACAAGCGTCCAATTACCGAAGCATTCGCTCACGCGCAGTAAAGCGGAATGATCAATGGTTCAATGGAATCGAGGAAATCCTCCGAGTTTTGCTCTTCTCGGCTGCACTGGGAAAGAGTCCAGGTATTGATACATGATGGATGGGCAGCCATGCACCTATTAGCTTGTATCTACTCCTTGTCCGGCGCGTCGCCATTCTTCCACGTCGTCGAGGACCCATTTGAAAGTGGACGGTGCTAAGGCTAAGGCATGCCAGATGCATCTACGTACTGCATCTTACAACCCATGCTTACCACTTGATCACTTGGGTGTTCAGTGTCTTATGGTTGCTATGGAAATACACTGATACATTATCAAAATACTACATACATTCATACAGTGAACGCGAGCTGCCTGCTCTGCTACGGCGTCGCTACTGTATCTTACCGTCAAATCCCTGGCTTCCCGCAACACCCGCTGTTGGCCCAGCCAAATCAAATCGGCAACTAACGTCTGATGTAGGGTCTAGGGTCACTATCGCCACTCCTAAGTCTGTTTTGGGCTGATGCACGTTTTCTACGCGACACTGCCCCCATCTAAATGGGTAGTGGTTGTTCGTTGTCCAGTCCTAGCTTGCCGCGGCGGATCCTCCCCATGCATCATCCCACAGATTATCCACCGAAAGCGGCATCGCGACCTCTTCACCGCTTCAAGCTCATATCGCCCATCTTCATGCCAACGGGGCTTTACGGACAGCAAAAAGTGGAAGCGATTTGCAGAGAGCAACGGGACCCGACTTGACTGGTTCTTTGCAGAGAAAATTTTCTCCAATTGACCAACGGACTGTCTCATGAATCACTTGGCTTTCGAAATGACTCTAGACTCTTTCGAGGACATTCCATTAACGACAAGGCGGCAAACCATAGATCGCATTCAAGGCCCTCATGGTACGAGTCTGTACCAATCTTTCCTTTGTTGAGGAAGATGGGTCAACCCCATACGTGCGTATCAATTCCAAGGTTCCTCGTCGCGTCTGCAAAGGATCGGACATATGTACACCCTCGACACGATGGTCGAGGTCTGCATAAAGCATGGACAAGCGTGTCCGCGTTTTCGCGTCGTCTTTTCACCATCATCGTCATCATATTTCCTAACGCTATACACCCTTTCGGGAGCAGTCATTTTGCCACCCTTCACCGCAATGTCCAAGCGGATATGCAGCACTTCCTTCCCCTTGAACCAGCTAATTCACATTGCGGCCCATCACCACAGCACGTGATCTCGTACACATAACGTCTAGTATATGCATGTCATGTGCATCGGTGCCAAAGACTATTACCCACGGTTCGGAACTTGTGTTGTTATTGACGGGAAGTGGATGCTAGTTACTCGTAAATATGTTACTGTGGATAGAGATGGATTGAGAACCGTACATAAGAATGAACCACGTCGCCTTCCGCCGAGGACCGTTCTAAACTATGAATCGATACTCAGACGTGTTACAAGTTGTCTCGCCTGATAATGGCCCGTGGCAGAAGTATTAGAACGAAAAAGTCACATGTAAGTATGAATTGGTAAGGCGATACTCATTCCGGAGATATGTTCTAGTCATGGGATGTCTCTTGATACAATAGTTCGTACGGAGCACGATGCTTCGTGGACTCTCCACGGCATAAGCCAGGGATAATCATGAATGATATTGAGCTATTACTGCTTATACACACACCTAGGTTACAAATTGAACGCGTTACCAGGCTGAAGGACAATCGAAGTAGGCTCCTCGATACTGTGTCGTGGGTTATTGCTTCAGGCTGTGTTCCTACGCAATGCCAACTGTAACCTCAATATCAAGTACCTTCTAATCGGGCTCGACATTAAAACTCCTTCGACCACACATATCAAAGGGATATATAACGATAAGGCTGAAGGCGCAACCCTTCATCTCGAATATATTGCCACCGGCTCTCAGCTTATGCGGATAGCCGCTTCGTAATGATCTAGAACGGGCTCAACGGAAAGACACATCCGGCCGAGCAGGACAAGCTTGCGTATGTAGGTACCTACATAGGTGAGGCTCCGAGCCTTGACCGCTCCTACGCCTCGCCTGGATTTCGGCCCAAGTACGACGTAAACTTTCGAGGACAACACGGCGAGGAGACAGCGAGGCAAGTTGGGTGTGTGCCGAGACGGTACCTAGGTAATTAATTGCTGCCTTCGTGCTACGCATATGCGAAGTGGTTAAAAGATACCTAATAGTTCATGAACCCGCCCCTACCCATCCATACACCTCACCACCTCTTCACAGGGGAGCAAGAGCTTCACCTCAGAGCACCCATCCATCCATCCATACATCCATCTAATTGTGTGACCACGTACCTAACACAGTGCAGCACAGTACACCCTTACCCTGCCTTGCCTAGCCACCCACAGCCGTAGTCTCGTAGCCTCGTATGTAGGTACGTATGTAAGTACCACCTAGTATCGCGGAGAAACAACGCGGGTCGCGGCGCGCGCGCGTCACGGTCACGGTACCTCCTCGCCGCGCCGACCCTCCCACTACGGCTCGATGACGTACTCGTTCAGGATCGGGTACAGCAGGCCCAGGAACCCGAGCGTCACGGCGTAGAACTCGGGCCGCTTGTAGAAGGGCCCGCGGAAGAGGGCGCGGTTGCGGGCGGCGTCGCGCCGGCGCGCGCGGGTCCGCGCCTCGTCCTGGAATACGGCGCGTTCGTGGGAGGCGCTGCCGAGTCTCGAGTAAGATACCGAGTCGCTGTTGGATATAGGTAGGTGGGAGTTGGGAGGGAGGGAGTCGGGATAGAGTGGTGTGGCTTGGGTTGATCTGTGGGTGATGTAGGGATATAGATGAGGATATAAGAGAAGCAGAGGGGGATATAATGGATCGAAGTCGTAGTGCTTTATGTAATATGCAATGTGTATGTGTATGTATCGGCAATACCGGCGCCGGATATACCGAAACGACTTGTTTATAGGTGGGTATTGTTGTAACGGAGTAGACTCACAAAGTGGCCCTGTACGCCTGGTCCGCTGCCATCCTCTGCTGCTGCTTCTGCTGCTGCTCGTACTGCTCTTGCTGCTGCTGTTGTTGCTGTCCAACACGCTGGCCTTGGTCGAACGAGGAGGTGGATGGCTTGGATCCGGTGCCTTGTTGGAAGGAGGGGCGACGCGATGAGGTTGATGGTCGTATATGCGAGGGTTGCTGTTGGAGGAAGTGGCTGAACGATTCGAAGCGCGCTGTGGGATCCATGGTATGGTCTGTTGATGAATTGTGGTGTGCGTGTGTGTGAAATGTATGTATGGTATGATATAGTATGCTTGGTGGCTTGAGATGTATCGATGGATGGATCTGTTCTGAGTGGTTTCAGCGAGTGTGTGCCTTAAGCTGTATATATGATGTTGCAGAAAAAGAATATCTCTTCACAATCGAAGTTAGAGATGAAAGTAATGTCTCCTCGTCAAAGTTTCCATGGTGTATAATCGGAGTTAGTCTCATTCAATGTCTCGATAGTAGTTTCCTTCCGTACAGGTTTCGTCGCTCCTGCACCGTTTTCGATGAATACTTTACCCCTATTCACTCGCAACAGCTACCACAAAGTAAGATATTCAGAAATATTTCTGTTATTTGGTCAACTCCTTATCGTATGCTCGATATAATACACCAGAAGTATGGATGCTAGCTAAGCCTGCCCGGTATTCGACCAAATCAAGCTAGGAAACAGTCCTAGCATCGGAGGCTGCCGTAACGCCTCCTGCGGTATCTCAATATCAATATCCTCAATATCCACGTCATCAAGCCCATCGTCCTCAAACCAAGCATCGATATTTTCACCATTCTCAATCTCATCGATCTCCATGTCGTTAAGCATGCGCTCGCGTTCCGCGATCACAGCATCCACCCACCGTAGCTCCGCAGCTTTTCGGCGCTCGAATTCGTTCTGCCTTTTCCGCGTATTCTCCGCCAATCTCCGTTCCTCCACCTCCTTGTGCTCTTCCTGAATAGCTAGCTCCTCCTTAGCGGCCCAACGGCAAGTCTCTAACTCGTTATCCCTCCATTTCACCCAGCTCCTAAACCCGTCATCCATCTTGCGCCAGAGCTCCTTCATCGCAGCCTGAGCCCGTTCTTCCCGGTCTTCTTTGCGGGAGCGAGACCAATACGCCTCCAACTCCGCCTGGTACTTTTCCTCGATGCGACGCTCCGCGAGCACGCGCGCTGCGTGTTCCTTCTTGAGCGCCTCTTCGCGTTTAAACAGCTTAGCCTTCGCCGCATCTTTTAGTTTCTCGTGGTCCTTCTTCCAACTTTCTTGGAATTCTGCTAGTGCTTCCGCGCCTTTTCTCTCGAGATCGGCCTGTTCTTTATCATGCGTTTGCTGTACGTCAGCGCGCTGGATCTCGTGTAGATTCGTAAACACTTCTCGGAGTTCCTGGAATTTGAGTCCTAGAACTCGTCGTCTCTCGCCCTCGAGTTTGATCCGCTCTTCAAGCCTTTTTGCTCGGCGCTCTTCAGCTATTCGTTCCCGTTCCCGTTGCAGCAGCTCAGCTTTGAGTGCTTCTTCGCGTTCGAACTCCGCCACTAGACGTAAGGCTTCCTGAATCTCAGCCTCTTCCCGAGCTTCTCTGTCCAGACGAGCTTGGCGCCGTTCATCCGCTGTTCTTTTTACAGCAGCTAATTGTTCCATACTGCAACCGCATGTTCTCCAGCGTGCGCCACAGACGTAGCAGAATTCAGCACCGCATCGGCAGGTCATATGTTGGCACGCTTCCCTATGCTCGACGTATGCGTTACAGCCGTAGCAGCGCTTCCATCCCTCTGCCTCTGCGAGCTCGTCGGTCCTCATCATATCCCTGTCCTGCGGGCATTCATTCCCCTCGTGTTGGGGACCGCGGCAGATGATACAAGACCAGTGGCCCGCTGAGCATCTCGCTATACTTTGGGCACGGATGATCTCGTACGGTCGAATCCATATGCTACATTCTGCGTGACTACAGTACACCCGCTCGCTCACTGGTATGTCCCACTCAGCCGCCCTGTCGCGATAGGTCTCCTTCAACTCGTCGTCGATGTTGAGAATTATTGTTTGTGTGGGGATATTATTTAAGCAGCATTTAGGTGGCCATTGTTGTTCATTCTGGCAGGTTGTCGATATGAGGCGTAAAAAGCAGGGCTTGCAATAGCTATGGCACGGAGCCTTGACCATCTCCTTAGGGCTGAAGTCGTCTAGACAGGAGACGCATTCGCTATATTGATATCAGTATTGCAGGAAAGTGAATGTCTTGCTCATGATTTGAATGCTCACACTTCTGTATCTCTAACGGAGGGACTGCTACTGCTGTTTGTTGTCGTCCTTTTCAAAACACCAGACACGATCTTCTTTGTTGCTGCTTGAGTGCTCTGTTCGATGCTGCTCCAAGATATGTCACGCTTGTGACGAGCCGCTCCAGTCGCGCTGGACTCGCCTTTCTCTCCAACGTTGTACAATCGGTGGAGGAGATTCATCAGCCTGCCTTTCTTCGATTTCGCCGGCCGCTCTGGTAAAATAGCTTCCGCTGGGGTGTCGAGTGATGCGCCTCGTGTCTCGTCCAATGACGAATTCAAAGTTTCGGCATACTTTGCGTCCTCGTTTTCTTGCCTAAGCCTTTCTTCCTGTCTTAATTTCTTGACTTCCTTCTCTGCCTCCCGCCTTTCTGCTTCCTCGACAATCCGCGCTTTAACCCTATCAATGGATTCCTGTATCACTTGAATGACAACATCTGTTGTACAGCCAACAGGGTCCTTCAGGCCGTCCGGAGGATCATATTGGGTCCAGTCGACGGGAGCCTCACTCTCAGTCAGGTTGTTTGACGTGGACCCCGCATCGATCCTTGGCACGGTAGCCTTTCCTTTGCCCTTCCATTTTGGACGTTCGTCTTCATCCTCTTCAGGATTCTGGACCGCGATGCTGGGCGCATCAGGAACTCCCTCCGCGGAGGAGGAAGTCGACTGGACAGACAGCATACGAAAACGAGAGCGAACCTGATACGATATTACGGAAACAAGAAGAAAATATATCAGAATCTCCTCGAGGTGCATGTGAAGCTCTTCAATGAGCCTGCTTGAGCCGCAGGATTCCCCACGTTTCGTCTGTTATGTATGTCCTGGAGCTTGGCAAGCCTTCGTGCAGACCGTGTAACACAACCTTGAGCGGATATGCATGAAAAAACAAGAGAGCAAATACATATCCTGCGTCAAGGAAACATGATATGTAGGTAGAAAAAGGGGTGATCAAGGCAGAAGATGCCTTGCATTATGATGGAACGGCAAACCTACCTAAGCATTCGGCCTGCTAACTCACCTAGAAGGACCCTTCCTATCTCAGGAATCAGGTAGGGCTGAAGCTAGGCTTCCTGACCTTTGTGTAGCTATTTACCTACCTAGCTGTTTGCTTCAGCCCCGATCACCGAACGTGGGCCGTTTTGCCATATTCTCGCGAGAAGCATGTATGACATAAATAAATACATTTGACATATTGACAACAACTTAACTATATGTAGGTTGTCTGCGTGTGTCACGATCACAAGCTGATTGGTGGGTTTAGGAGGAGGTCTCACACCTGAAGGCTGGACCGCGGCGCAGTTAGTTGTTAACCAATGGCATCAGAGGTCCCTGGGGGCTAAATCCCATTCGCTTAGGCATCTCGTCCGGTGTCCGTGCAGAACGCCTCGTGCTAATCGAGCTAATTCTAGCTCAAGGCGTTCAGGGCGTTTCGCTGTGTGGGGTAATGAGATGTTTAGTCCGATCTAAGACGATTGATACGGACGTTTCGATTCATACAGCAGTAGATGTGGTGAGAATAGAGCCTCGTTGCTTAGGGTTTAGATATAGGTATTGGATAAGTTGACACTCGGAGAAAATGAAGCTAGGTTAAGTATACCTACTCGGGGTTAACAATATTTAGTAGATCGACTCGACGTCGTTGGCGAAGGTAGGTACCTAGAGAGGTATCTCATCTTCTCAAACGGCCGTGTTAGAAGCTAATTTAGCCCAACGGAACCACGATAATTCCCACCTGCAACAGATAGGGGGCCATATAAGGCGCGTACCATGTGTGGTGGAGAACCTTCCCACTACGACACCGAGAGGCTACCCAAATATTTTAGGATCAAGCGAAGCTATGTCAATTGGGGGTAAGGTTACGGGGAAGGATTCCGGCAGGTCGTGTCCGACTTCTAACGTGAGATAAGAGGCTGACCCTGTCCGAGTCACAAGTTGTCAATTCCTCCTGATCTGATATTTGGTAGGGCTCGAACTCATCACCACGAAAGCCGGGCGTCGTCGATTGTGACATTAAACAGCTCAACACGCATATTCGGTACCGAATTATAAAGAACTCAACGTAGTTCTATTGTATAATATGCCGATATCGTTTTGTGATACCAAGGAGTCATGAAATCCTGAGATTTTGTGCATATAAGATAATCCGACTGCGCATGCATAGCTCGAATATCCGAACCATAGTCGGCGATATAGCAGTCGCGTCCTACAGTGTCTAATATAATCGCCATATCCGACTATCATTCGTTTTACAAACTGCGAAGCATCGTCGAGCATCCATGACTATACTCGACCACTGTTACCTGTCATGGTGATGCAGCAATACCAGACCTCAGTCCAGTTCAGGGGCGGCTATCGTATAATTTATTGGGGTCATCATTGAGAAGCCCAATTTGGGGTTCTTTGTCTCCTTCTACTATCAGGTCTTCAAGGCTCAGACTCTTCGAGTCGCCTTCCTGAGCTCGAAGTAGGGGGGCTTACCAGTAGCACTCGTGCTTAGTTTAATGGCGATTCTTTGAAGAGCAACTTTAGGCACACTGGACATATAATCTGATCCCAGGACCAGTACTGGTTTGCCCATCTATAGGTACCTGTTAGTGGCTAACTGAAAGGTAAGATTCTCGCTACGTCTTGACAATTCGACATAGCCCAATTTTCCTCCGGCGGAATCGAAACGAGACATGTGTATTGCCTACACCCTTGAACGGCTCTCAAACAAATTCGCCTCGTCATTATTATGTGTCCGAGACGGTCACACCAATAGCCCCCAACGAGCCTTATCAATCGCCGCAGTGCCTCCATACTTTAGGAATTGGTGGGACTTATGAAGTATGCCTTAAGATCCCTTGCATGGGATTTTCGATGAGCATCGAGCAAAGCTTTATGTGGCAGGCGAAATCAGTTGGCGGAATTTCAGATTCGTAGGCCCCAGGTAGCCGTACAGCCCGTAGAAATATTTCGCCACGTCATTACACGAGACTTGATCGACGTAAAAGGACAAACCTGCTTGACAACTAGCATGACGTCACCTTCCACGCGCGACAGCTAATGAGATGACAGTATACTCCGTACGTGTCTCATCGTTCAAAGAACCCATGGACTCGGGGGTTTGGCTTTGGGTCCCCTTTTAAAGGCGAACGTGTAAGCTCTCGACTACCACAAGATATCATCTTTTAGACATTTTCAGACCTATATCGAAAGTTACGATAATATAAACATTCCATCATACTCTTATCGCATTACGCCAAATTCCATTTCAATTGCATAAACATGGCATTCACACGCTCCTCAACCGGCCACTCCAAGCCGCGCGTGCAACTCAACATCTCGACGGAGCCGGAGCGCAGACGCACAACCACCAAGCACACCACCACAACGACCGGGCGCCGCGGCCACCATGCCGGCATGACAACGCAGCCGGCCACGCACCACCACCGCAAGCCGCATCTGAGCGACAAGATCAAAGGTGCCGCCAAGAAATTAAATGGAACGTTGACGCGCAGACCAGGCAAGAAGGCCGCCGGCACGCGGCAGATGCGCGGCACGGACGGCAAGGGGAGTCGGGTTACGAGGGTTTGAAGTGAAAGATGTGGATGGTTTTCGGATCATTTGAGATACCTTCGTTAAGTTCTTTTGGGAATTATGATTGGGTATGTATGGGCGGTTACTTGCCACGTTAGATGGTCTTGAGGTTATTGGACTGGGTATATATAGGGGATACAAATGGGAACCGGGCAACGACATATACCATGCGATGACACTGGATTGGATAAGGTTATTCCTATGCATCAACTTGTAATTGTCTTTGGCTTCGAGGCTATCTGTCGTATAAAGAGTCATTTGGAGGCAACACTCTGAATGAGATCAACTATACTCTAACCCTGGTTCGGGCATTTTCATCTTGCGTGAAGGGGCTGTCGTGAATGCACACTTTCCAACTCGACCCCTGATTTCCACGACTCCCCATTGGACTGGGAGAAGATAACCGTCTTCTTGGTCCTCTTTGAGGACGTGGCAAGCGGCGCTGATTGCCATACTATTGGTTGAGACCATGCTCATAGTGCCGTCGTATGTGCGAAACCCTAGAACCACAATGGCTAACACGATCACTGCCGCGACAAGCAATGCTGCTGTTCGTTAGCATAGCGGTGACAGATGCGAGCAGTTTTCAGGCTTACTAATAAAAATAGCAAACGGGCTGTAACCGCAAGTTGAGAAGGAGTTGGCAAGGTCGACTTGGCCACCAGGGCACACCTCTGGATCGCCGTCTGCGCATATGGCCGTTATCCGAGCCAGAAACAAGCTCTGGGAGATTAGCCAGTGCAATAGGGCGAATATCGCATAGAGGGGTATCCCGTAGCGGAGTGGAAGAGAGATAAAAAAGCTGGACCGTTGAATCCCTACGGGCTCTGAGACGCGGAGCGGTTTTCGTTTATCCAGATACATCCGACTAAACTCTAGTTGAACCAGGAAAGTGCTCAGCATGGCGTTGTAGAATGTGTAGAGGATGGATATAATTAGCTGCGGAAGATTCGCCAAGAGCACATTCAAGACCAAGCCTTTTGGATCTTCCCGTGGAAGCCCGATGACGAGATAAGTGTACGGCGTTAGTTGACCGAATCCTAGGTCATAGAGTGCCGGTATGGACGTGGAGAAGTTTCGACGATGTAGGCTCGTGAAAGATACCCCTAGTAGAATTGCTGCTACTGAGATGGTTAGACAGTACCTATGAACAAGTCAGAAATCTAGTAAGGCGATATTACCCCAGCACACAGAACATGAATTCTTGTCAGCTTACAAGAATATCAAGATAACCCATCGTCGAATACTACCGGCAGTAAACCAATACTTGTCTTTTTTTACCCATCTTCTGGGGTTGCGATCCAGTTTGAGGGGTTCTTTTACGAGATGAGATTTCCAAGTACGTCCGCGTATGAAGTCATCTTTAGTAGCGAGGCCCAAATTGATAGTGGTTGGGTCCGGCTTCCGCATGAAGGAGGCGATAGCATCGCCAAGCGTATATAAAATCGTCTTACCCTCATCGGAACGCTTTGTCTCCTGCCATCTCCTTAGCACCCAGATGAAAAGCATTACGGATAATTTGGTGAAGTTAAGCACGCAGACAGTGAGCATTATTCCTGACGAGTACTCGAATCGACAATGATTTACGATCGTATCGGGAGATTGTACTCGACAAGAGGCCACTTCGTAATGTTTAGGTCCGAGAAACCATGTGGTTACTGTATTGTCGGTGCCTCCGGCTATGAACGCCGACGATCCGTTCAAAGCCGCCCACATATTCTTCGCCCAATCGTCGGACCGTGGTATGATGGAAACATACATCAATAGAGTGTCGTTCTCTGAGCCTGTATCGTTTTTTACGAATATGACGCCATTGCCCTGAGCGGTGAAGTAGTCGTTATACAATGCGTAACAGGCGGAGATGTTCAACTCCTCCCATCCGACACCCATCACATTATCCTGCATATATTGGATGATTTCCGTGTAGTTGCGGTTGACCGGATTTACCCTGCTTTCATCCCATCCAACATCTCCTCGTCGGTTATTTTCGGCCGTGGCGAGGTTCCAGGGGCTTCCGTTAACAAAGGAATCTTTCACTACCGCGATTGTATAGTCGTTCGACGCAAGTGACTGAAATACAGCGGAATTATACCTGGCAGTCCCGAAGTTAGTCTAGGTGGTTATCTATAGAGGTCAAATAAGTGCCCTCCAAATGACTTAGGTCGTAGCGGAATAAGTGACCTACATCAAGTGAATGGGGATAGAGCTTAGAGCTAAGAGAAACCAGCCAAATCGCCTCCATGGGCTGACATAGCGGAGATTTCGTAAACTTGGTACGCCTATATCTAGCCATCGACCCTCTGTATGATCGGGATTTTGCTCAAAAGCTCTGGCCTCATGGGCACGATCAATATCTTCGCGAGTGGGAGCAGCTTGAAGCTGCATACAATAGTTTGAGGCTGTCAGCATGCCGGTCCCAAGGAAGTTGATCAAGAGATGTAGCCATTGGTCGAGGGTTTTGACCTTGTTGCAGTCGCCCTCATAGATAGTCCCCACTCCGTTTTGGCTCTTGTAATGGATATTCGCAAATATTGTCAAGCCCAAATTGGCCGTGAATACTAGACCAATGAGTACGATTTGTAGCAGAAGAGCGCAGCCCCTCCGCGAAAAATATATGCGCCTGCTGTCGTGCTCGTCGTATTCAATCTGTGGAAACCATTGGGAGAGGGCGCTCTTCTTCGCGAACCGACTCGCACGAAAGTTCCCTTCTCCTGTCGACTGTTCACTATTTTCGCTATGAGGATCATCCGTCTCAGACAAAGAACTAGGCTCGGCAGTTTCCGTGGATGTTGCGGATTCTGTACGTTCGTCCCTAGATGGTGGTGTGTCTTCGACAACGCTTCCCTGATTAGTGCTCGATCTACAACGGGTAGAAACTTCTTACCTTGTTTCTGCGGGTATATTGCTCGTCATTTTGATGACCCCAACTGTTTGTTAAGGGCTTGGCCTTGAAAGCAAGAAATACGTATAATAAAGCAGCGCATTATTTTGTTTGCATGTTTGGCGGGATGAAGGGGAGATATTCCAAAAGACAACTGTATAGTGAATTGGAAAGTTCTAGATAATATATGTAAACGTTGACGACGAAGCTTGTACACCATACCTCCTAGATAAGACCGGCACAGAAAGCTGAACGATGTAACCTGATAGTTACACGAAAATGATGGGCCCGAAACTCCGCCAACGAAAACATATTGACGCCACAATAGACGCTGTGAGTAATCGGCATTTAACAAGGTCCCTTTAACTGGCACTGTCTAGGTTACAGCCAAGGATTAGGAGGGAGGTACACCTAATCACCCATAAAAGCTTGGTTTTGATATCCGGAGAGCACCACTTGCAGTAGAACCATGTACCGTTCATGCTCTATATTCTGAGTCTGGTCCACCAAGTCCTGTGCGGCCATGTTTTAGCCTTTCCCCCGTAATCCCTAGCTGTAGACCATTGCTAGTTGAAGGGATATCACATTGAAAAATGTTTCCTCGTCGTAATGGCGAGGTTTGGCACGTCTGGCATGGCCGATTATAAGAATAAATCCGCTCATTACACCCGCTCACAACCACCTTGGGCTCTTTTTAAGGGAACTTCTTTGGTAGGATGTTGTGAGGTGGGGACCGCTGAGTATTACTCATCGATCCGAGCTGCGTGAGGGTAGCCTAAGTATTGAACTGTAAGAACTAAATGCGTGATTCTCACAACTTGTAATTACCTAAGCTTCAAGAATATGGCGTTGCAGGATTCTGAGGTCGGAAATTAGAATTTTGAATCGACAATAACTCCATCATAGCATTGAAAAGGTATAGTAGTTGTTTATTGATTTGTGTATGTGGCTGACGATAATGATTCTTTTTTCTACTTCAAAATCCAAGCGTTGATCTTCACCCCTATTGATTACCTAATGTATTTCAACAGCCAAGTGGGTCTTTTCGGAATAGGGGGAAGCTTATTCCGATGTCACGTGGACCCCCAGCTGGGCTCACCTCCGAAGGCCCTCGGAAGCATAGTACGTACGGAACTCCCATCACCATTCGGTGAGTACACTAAACTATATCCATATCTTGGGATACATATTCCCTTCAATTATAATGGATTTGAAGTCACAATAGACATGGGTAGAGTTTTTGAAGTCTCTTTAGTGAGCGATCCTCACTACTACACCACGACCTTAGGATCTAGGGTTGTGTTAAAAGCCCTTTTCTGAGTGAATAGAAAATATATCTGATTGGTAATATGCTAGTATTATTCCTTCACTCCTTTGAGACCTTGAACAGTTTGTGGAAACAACTGCTTGTCCGATCTAGGACTTATTTTTTGATCGGTCAAGTTTCAATGGAAAATAACAGTGAGAATATTGCCTATAACCTCATATAATATTAGCCAGACGTGAAAACTCTCTTCGGGGATTTACAGATGCAAACCAGATTTCTGATCCCAAACATTACCTAACTTGGTGAAGACAAACTCCAGAATCAGCACCACCAGTCATCTTCACACTATCTTCCTCGAAATGTATCTACTAACCAAGTAGATACACACCTCCGAGACCACATGTTCAATGAAGTTTCCACAAAAAAGTACATTTATCATTGCTTGAATGCAATTTTTAATTTTTCTCAGCAGAGTCGTTACATCTTAGGTACCGATTGCTCATCATAATGTCCAACCTGGTATCTTTGTATTGTCATCTCAAGCGCACGACAGTTGAACAACAAGCGACAGGCTTCCTCACCCAAGCCTACATAAGGTGGCAGTCGCGTATGGGATTAATGCTTCCATCCATATCTATGATTTATATAATGCCAAGCTACATCCAAAAATAATAGCGGTCAGTACAGGAACCACGAGACCCCGCCCCTGAAAGGTTAAAGATTCAAGTACCAATAGGCGCTTTTCTCCTTCACATGCTAGGAATCTCCTATGACGAAATTACAAGACGCTATATCGGCATAATAACCGAGAATTACCTATTTCATCTCAAGCCTTACCGTAGAGAGACAGATAGCGCATACAGCAGGGGATCTAAGTTTGTTTCCAGCATACAATCAACACTCCCCCTCTCCTGTTCCCCTGGGGCCCGTGCTTGATCGGTACCCGATACCGTGGAAGGGGTCCCAAAGGCAGGGCTGGGTTGTAATTAGATCCCCCAGGTTTCCCCCAGATCTGTCAAACGAACCACTGTTTAGAGTCAGCAGTGGGCAGGGTGCTTGTAACGGGATCTCTATCTAAACGGTCTAGACCTTGTATCTAAGTAGTTTCATCCTACCATTGTCCCATTCCCCTTCCACGCCAAAGTCTCTATTATCTCACTTGATGTCTCTTTGTATTAGGCGCCTAGTTGAAGATACTACCTACTGCCCATGCGACCCTGGAATTTGTTAATGGGATACTCTAGTGCTTGTTCCTCTGTACAGTGATTGTGGGAACTAGAGGGCTATCACTCCTTCCCTAGTAATTTACCTATTACCTATTACCTATCAACAATTTCAATCTTCCACCCGTCCCGTTAGTTAGCAAGCTAACGGCCTCGTTGACTCCACCGGCGACTGCATTATCTTCAACAATATCAACTCGAGGCGTGAAGAATTTTTAATATTCGTCCGTGAAGGGCAGGCACAGGAAGGTAAGTCATAATCTATTATGCTTCTATGAAATAAATATGGAATAGCGCCATCTCTATTGGCGTTTATCGGCATGTATCTGCGTCTAGAACACAATAGCCGTTATCTCAACTTCCGTACCTTCCCCCCCTTTCCCATCATCCCCTCCTACGTAGCGTCATATATATAGCATTCCTTCATCCCATACCTCGTCTTCCCACCTGATGGCAGCGAGTTCCTTCCCAGTTAATGAAGACATGAATAGTATTGGTACCGCCGCCTACTAACTGTTTCCCCCTCAGTTGAACCTTGACCGGACCCTTTACCCTTTAAAAGCAGGCGTCGGCCAACGATTTCCAACCTTTCCTCCTACAACTCACTTCTTCACATCAGCTACTTCAAGCATTCCTAATTCTTCTCCCAACTTTGTTCTTCCGATATCCAACAGTCAACCAATATTTTTAGAGAACATCGTCTAACAATATCAAGTTTGCCATACGACCATATCGTCTGTCCTCAAAGGTATCATCAAGTTAACTGAGACATACAAGACATCTTATCAAATATCGCTGTATGCTCACTTGATTTCGAACGCACGATATTTCTTCAAATATCCTATCACGCTCTTTCTTTCATCCTCATCTACTTGAGCTTCATAAAAATAGCATCACAACACCCGTCAAATATCACCAAGCGCCTCGTCAATCCAGCCACAATGTGCTTCACTGAATTCCTCGGCTACACCTGTGGCCATACCTCTATCCCCGTGAAGCGACCCTGCCCCATGACGACACAGTCGCACGTCAACCCCATCTGTCCCCTGCCCGCTTGTCGCCCGCTCTTAGCCTTCACGATGTGTCCATCTTGCGCACGAATCGTACACGGTCGCTGGGTGAATATTATTGTGCATGAACATGAGTTCATGCACGCTCGCGGGGCGTGCCACTGCCCACTTCGCTTCCCGCACCTGCAGCAGCCTCGCGTCGTTTCGCAATATGAGGACGCCGAGGACATGAAGGACATCAGCCAAGAGGCCTTCGCAGCGCGCTTCCGCGCCCGTGAAAGGAGCGCAACGATGACGAGCCAGACATCCGCCGCCACGGACGGGCAATCCAGCGGATCGGATTCCTCCTCCCCCACCGTCATCCTAGCACCCATCGTGAAGCAAGAGCCACCCTCGTCACCTCGCGAATCTTTCCACTTCTCTCCCTCAGCGGCGGAGTTCACTCCATCTACCACGGCCGCCGTGAGTCCTCACATACCCCATGGCCCCCTGCCTTCCATCAACGAGATCTTTGGCATGCCCGCCGACTTCGACTTCGGCATGGCCGGTCTCGATCTGGGCGCCAATGCTAGCTTCGGCCGTTCTAGCGCCGGTCCTAGCGAATTTGAGCCGCACGGCCGTCCCGCTGGTAACATGGGTAAGAACAAGGGAAAAGGAGAGAGCAAGGGAAAGGGCATGGAAAGCAAGGGTAAAGACAAGGAAGTCGCAGTGAAGAAGGAAGAGCCCGGTGATCTTAGTTACCACCCGCATCACTTTAACAATGACTGTTTCCACCCGCAGCAGTACGTGCGGGGTGAGTCGGTTGCCTCATCTGCCACACTGGCATCATCGGCAACAGCAACATCCGGGGGCTCACACTTTCCCCCCATGTACGAGACTAGGGAGGGGCCCGACAGCAAGATCGCAGTCACGACCCGCATGATGAGCCAATACGGAGCGGAGTGGATCGCCGAGCACAGCGAGCGCCACCAGAACGGCCAGTGCAACTGCCGCTGCTCGTTCGACAAGTACCCGGCGCAGTACGCGCACATGTTAGATGAACTGATGCCCGAGGACATAGCCAACGAGATGATGAACAACGACTTCTCTGACTTCTCTTTCTCTTATGAGTACGCACCCAAACAAGAGGAGCATGAGGACACTTCTTTTGGTATCCACAAGTCCCAGAGCAATGACGACTTGCAATATGGCACTCCGGGCTTCCACAGCGATGGATATGTTCCCGCTCCTACCAACACGCCGGCTGAGGCATCGACCCAGCAACCTTACCAGTACTCTGGTAACTTCGACGAGGAGCTATCGCAAGCTATGCGACACCATTTCCCATCCGTCTCCTCTGTGCCAACCCCGTCCATGCATGGTCCGACACCCGTTCTGCCCATGCCAGCACCCACGCAGAGCCCATACGACGCAGACGCATGGAAGTTTCACATTCCTCCCGACCATACCACGCCCTCCTTCCCTCGCGGACATCAGCCTAGCTCGTTCGGTGAGCCCGCACGTTGGGCCTGCGCTCCCCCCAACCTTAGCCATACGAACGATGGTAGCACCCATGGCGACACGATGCCAATTCCACGCCCAGTCGACATGCAAGTGATTGCGTACAACGTGAACGACGTACCCATCGTGGGTCTCCCTATCGGCGCCGGCCCCGAGGGCGACAGCCACATGCCTCCTTTCGAGGACTGCGAGCTGTATTACCCGAAGATCCATGATCATCGGCCTGCCACCTTTTAAGGCGGTCCACCAAGAATATTCACGCCATATACATGGCATTATTAGGGGCGAGATACGGTGTGCACACAATTAGCTTATCCTAAAAAGGAGAGAAACCTAGAAAAAAAAAGGATTCGGTACCAACAACTCGCTGAGACGCAATCTTTTTGGTAGTGAAATATGATGGAAGCATAATGAGCAAATGTGATCGTGAACAAAACACAAAGGACGGGAAAAAGACTTAATAAGATCTCACGGCATTTGCAATGTTCATCATATTTACGGAGGCGCCGTGACGCCTCGATGCTTTACCTTAGGTACGTTGTCCCCTCAACGACGACTATCATACATGATGCTTATGAAAGTGAATTCTAAGGTTCGCACCGAGCAATTCCCTTTTTTGGACTTTAGCCTGCCATGAAAGGCTATCACCTGTCAACCTCACCTGCGTTGACATATTGGTTAGTACTTGTTTTTTGCTTTTTTCAACGCTTGGGAGGCATTTCACTTACCGAACACCAGATCCATCGTACCGATAACCGCCACCGCATCCGCAAGTAAATGTCCTCTGGAAACGTGGTCGAAGCCACCCAAGTGTGCGAAACCAGGGGCACGGATCGAGCAACGGTATGGTCTCTCGCTTCCATCGCTCACCAAGTACACACCCATTTCTCCCTTTGGTGCTTCAATCACGGAGTACGTCTCGCCGGGAGGAACGGAATAACCCTTGGTGTACAGGAGGAAGTGGTGGATCAAAGCTTCCATATTCTCCTTCATTGCTGCTCGTGGAGGTGGCGATACCTTGTAATCCTCAACTCGGACAGGGCCAGCTGGCATCTTATTAAGGCATTGGTGAATGATTCGGAGAGACTGACGAAACTCTTCCATTCGGCATAGATATCGGTCATAGCAATCACCCTTGATTCCCACAGGGACATCAAACTCAACCTGGTCATATGCGTCGTACGGCTGGCTCTTGCGAATATCCCAAGGAACACCAGATCCTCTTAACATAACACCCGAGAAGGAAAGGTTAAGAGCATCCTCAGCCGTGACAACACCGATACCCCTCAATCTTTGATGCCAAATACGGTTGTCTGTTAACATCTCCTCAGTTTCATCAATTCGGTCACCGAACTGAGTAGCCCATTGGTAGATATCGTCAAGGAGACCAATCGGGATATCTTGGTGAACACCACCAGGTCTGACGTAGGCTGAATGAAGACGGGCACCAGAAACACGTTCATAAAATTCCTATGGAGAAGAGTTATCATGTTAGCTTTAGCTTTTAATTATTGCAGTACAATGGGTGCATCACGTAGATAGACATATAGCTACAAATCGCTGTGCTTTATCGATGAATTTAACTTACCATCAACTTCTCTCGTTCCTCAAAACCCCATAAGAAAGGTGTTAAAGCACCAACGTCCATGGCGTGTGATAGAACGGACATGAGGTGATTAAGAATTCGTGTGATCTCTCCAAACATAGTTCGAATCCATTTGGCTCTTGCTGGGATCTCTATGTTTAGCAGCTTCTCAACGGCAAGAGAGAAGCATTGCTCGTTCGTCATCATGGAGACGTAGTCTAGTCGGTCGAAGTATGGTAAGGCTTGTAGATATGTCTTGTACTCGATTAACTTCTCCGTTCCTCGGTGTAACAGGCCGACGTGAGGATCGGCTCGAAGGATCTCCTCTCCGTTCAGTTCGAGAATTAATCGCAACACACCGTGGGCGGCGGGATGCTGGGGACCGAAGTTGACCGTGTAGTGGCGCATCTTTCGCTGGGTGACATCTGGCTCACGCTCGGCCTCTGTGCGCGGCAGGCCTTGGATGGTGTTGGGATCGATGGGTCTGAGGATAGTGGGCTGGTATTCGGGGATGTCGGCGTTGCGCAAAGCGGACTGTGAAAATGCGCGTATAGCTGGTATCGCGGACTTTGCTCGCTGCAGACGCCTGGCGCCGCAGCCGGCAATGCGATATAGCGACGCCATATCCGTTGTGTTCAGTCCAATTGGGAATTGGTGTCTGGAAGAACGGGAAGCTTTAGTGGCGATTGGGAGTTCCAAGGTTGAGGTTAATCCATGATAACCGATACCCTGGACGGCACCTTACAATTAATGTCCTCGTCATTGGATCGCTGCGTTATTTTTCCGCCCCACCGGTATTCCATAGGAATCCCTGCACATCATCTTTAAGCTCGTGCCCCCACGTAGTGGGTAATTGCATATCTGTGAATGGGTGACAGGATACATAGATTATGACTCTAGAGATTATGAATCTAAACTCGAAATCTATTCCAGTCATCCTACGACTTGTCACTGACCAGCTTGTCAAAGTTATATACTATTCTACAATCAAATCAGGCACCAGGTTAAACAAGGCGTTCTTCCAAGAGCATTTCTGATATGGTGTAGTTGGTTAGCAAACTGTGTTACATGTCATACCTCTTGAATTCACCTCCGTTGTGGATTAGTAGCCAGCTGCATCATAGATGAAGAATTGCTCCGCGAAGTTGCTGGTTCAAGTCCAGCACCTGGTAATTTTTTCTTTTTCTTTTTCTTTTTTTTCTTTTTACCATTATCTAGCACTACCTATCCGAATGTTCCTTTGGACCTTTCAGGTAACCCCTATTTTTACTTACGAAATCAATATTTTGACTCCCCTAATCATTGCGCATTGAAGTTTCACTACTAAGCTAAGGTTTTGAACAGTTTGCTTCCACATCACCACTCATATTGCTAGCCTTGAGGCCCGATTACATTTGTGCTATGTGCAAACAGATGGGTATCAACTACACAAAAATTATTACTGCTCATGATGCTTATCTAGTCCCATTTCAACAAAAATGTTCTATGCAGCAAGCCCCTATTGCCGCAGTTCACATTACTTGAGTGTTGAATAAAGGAACCGAGCAGACTCATACCATGGATAACTTCTTAGCCACATTGTAATTTGATAGTAGCTCCGAGATATGAATACGCCCAACTTCTTAATCAAACATGTAGAGCTCATTCCGCAGTAACCCCAAGTATCACCACCAATGTGCCAATTCAATAATAGATTCATATAATTTATCAAATATACCTATCCTCCAAAATGCCCATCTCTTCCATAATACCTAATCCATTCATCTCTTGCCTAAATACTTAGCCAGGGCCCTCCACCAAGACAGGCCGCTAGACCTTAATCCCAAGTCCTCGGGTATCACTAATCCTTCGGCAGACTATCATAGTACACCTTAATCACCTCCTCGACAATCTTGCTGACCTCCGTCGCCGGGATCTTCTCCCTCCTATCGAACGAATACAGGCCGTTGACTTCCTGCTCGACATCGGACCTACAGTCACACAATACGTATTAGTAATCAGCGCTCAACACCCTCAACCCACCCCTATTTTTCCTCTCCCCTTCCTTCCCCTTAAAAACGATCGTAGCGGGTTGGTAGGTAGGTACTCACAACTGCGTATAAACAACCCCACAAATATGCCCCGGCTCCACGACCGCCCTAAGAAGCCTATCGAACCGCTTCAGCAGGTCTCGCGGGTCGCTCGCCGTCGTATATCCCCAATCCCTCTCGCCGCCCTCGTCCCGCTTCGCCGGCGCGATGTTCACGCCCCCGAACTCGGAGCAGATCACCGGCGCCCCCTCCCTGTGCTTCGTGCCCTTGTCCTTTCTGCCGTCGGGCAAGGTAGTGGGCCCCACGAAGAAGTCGCGATCGCCGAGCTTCTTGCCTAGGATGCCTTCTAAAGTAGAGCATGTCTTGGCTAGCTCCGGCGCGTCCGAGTAGTCGTGGAAGGTGCTTAGGTCTGTGATGACGTGCTCCCAGCCGCAGTTGTCGTTGATGGGGCGCGTTGGGTCTAGGGTTCTGTGATTAGGGGTTAGGGGTAATTTTCTCGTTGGGCTCGATGAGTGATTGGTTGCTGGGGTTCTTACTTTGTGAGGTAGTAGAGCGAGCGGATATGATTTCGCTGCTCCACGTTGCCTTTCAGGTCAGGGTAGGCCCAGCTCTCCTGTTACACATTAGCATATCTCCAAAACCGAATGCTTGAATACCGTCTATAGAAACATCGTCCGAGTTCGAGAGAGGAAACAATGTAAATGCAGGTGAAAAGCAAGAAATTTGTAGACATACTGTAACCAAGTTAGCCCTCACTCCAAACAGCAAATCATAACAGGGGTAATTTTCACACACCATTAACAGGCGTCCAAGTGACGATCGAAGGGTGATTAATATCCCTCTTCACAGCCTCCAACCACTCCTGGCTGAACCTCTCCGCGTAGTCCTCGTTGAACTCGTACGCGTTCGCCATCTCGCCCCAGACCAGGTATCCGAGCTTATCAGCCCAGTACAAGAACACCGGGTCCTCGACCTTCTGGTGCTTGCGGCACCCGTTGAACCCCATGCGCTTCGAGATCTCTATATCCTTCTTCAGGCTCTCCGGCGACGGCGGCGTCAGCCCCGTTTCCGGCCAGTACCCCTGGTCCAGCACCAGCGCCTGGAACAGCGGCCACCCGTTGAGCCGGAACGTGCGGTCGCCCTTATTCCAGTCCAGGTGCCGGAACCCGGTATACGTCGTCACCTCGTCCAGCAGCGCGCCCTCGCCATCATACAGCCGAATCGAAATATCATACAGCGTCGGGTGCTCGGGGCTCCACAGCGCGAGGTTGCCCCTCCAGCTATGGGTATCGTAATACGGCGCGCACTCCGCCAAACTCGGCGGCGCGCCCGACTTCTGCTCATCACTGAGCTCCAGCCCCAGATTCACAAACACGTAATCCTTATCCGCCGGCACGTTCTCTTGCTTACTCGCGACCTTCACACCGTGCAAACTCCCCTCGATCTCAACGGCATACGCGTGTCCCGCACGCCTTCCCAGCACCGAGACCCTTGCCTCGAGGAGCCCTTCTTTAATATTATTAGCGCGCAGCACGGTGCCCGCGGAGCTATCCCCCACACGCGTCGGCGGCACGACCTCCAGCCACACCGGCTGCCAGATGCCGCTCGACGGGTGGTAGAAGATGCTTTCCGGCTGCGGCGCCCAGTACTGCTTGCCGCGCGGCTGCGCCAGGTCGTGCGGGGAGTCGCGGATCCTCAGCACCAGCAAAAATTCCGTCGATTGCGCGGCGGCGGCGCGCGCCAGCGCGTCCGAGATGTCGACCTCGAACGGCACGTGGCCGCCGCGGTGCGCCGCGACGGGATACCCCGCAGCCCAGACGGTGACGTCGTAGTCCACGGCGCCGAAGCGCAGCAGCACGCGGTCTCCGGCGCCCCTCTCCGCGTCCGAGCGCGGGTCGGCGACCGTCCGCTCGTACCAGAGCACCTCGTGCGCGTCGTTGTCGTCGATGTCCGAGGCCTTGGTCTGGAAGGTGAAGGGCACGTTGATGGGGCGCTTCTCGTACGTGCGGTCCCGGGGGGCCTGGAAGCCCTTCTCTTTCAGTTCCGGGAAGGCGGCGAGCCGCTGGGCGAGCGCCTCCGCCTCCGCGTCGGTGGCGGTGGGTTTGACGGACACTTTGTCCGGGACCCCGGCGATGTGCCACTGCTCCCTGAGCCCGACGTCCTCGTCGTCGAAGAGGATGGACCAGCCGTCGTTTATGGGCGTCCACCTGTGATTTCCGTGGACGAAGTCCGGGCGCGGGTAGTTATCTTTGGAGTTATAAGCCATTGTGGCGTCGAAGTCCGTTCGTGTAATCCTTCCTGTAATCTCCTTACGTATGCCTATAGCCTATAAAAAGAGGGGGCCGTGTGTAAAGAACGAAGCGTATACTCTACTCTAGAGTACCTACGTAGTTAGACCAAGGCCAGAGAAACAGAGAGGAAAAAGAAAAGCGAGCGCCCCTAATCTATGAAGATCATCGCCAAAACCTGAGGTATACGAACCGCCCGCTTTCGATATCGGCGTATCGTGGTCCATTTCTTTGAAACGTGAGGAGAAGGGTTGACGTCACTGCGCACCAATGACAGTTGGTGTAGATCGACAAAACTGGACTCCAGCTGCGAGTCTTGCATAGTGTAATATTTGGAGAGCTCTTACAAACACCTTTTGGGTTTTCTATAAACAGAAAAACCAGGTCGCTTCCTGTAGTCCTCGAGTTTAATAGACATCGTTACGTTACGTAGGACAAGCTATCTTTAGGGGGCTCGTTACATGTAGCCATTCGGGAGTTGACTTGCCGAGGAAAACGACGTAGTTCAGCCTTGAGGCTGCCGAGATAGTAGCACAAGCCGAAAGCAGATATTTACATGTTTTCATCAGATGTTCAATATTTTCTTAATTCACTCCATCATTAATTCGTCACACTTCTGTAGCTCATGTCCAGTTCCTTGAACGTTTAACCATATCTAAGATGCCAGCCAGCATAGACGAACTGCCCGATGACGTTAACCCCACAACTCGTACATTAGTCCAGGAACCAAACCTGATTCTCGTCCACTTCCCGTCCTAATTACGCGACGCTCGTCACACGTCTCACGCTCTTTCTGGCACCCTCACCCGTGATCATTATAGAACCCTCCATCTCGAGGGCCCTCATTGTCTCGGCAAAATCGGCTGGCTCAACCGGAACACTCGATCCTTCGTTTAGCTTCCTGCTGATTTCGCTCCATCGCACACTCTGTCCGCCACTGGTCAACTCGTCGAGAAGACGTAGGGCAGCTTCCTTGATCTCGGTCTTGCGTTTCCTTTCTGCGGCACTAGTACCTTCCGTAAGAAGACTCATATCAATGCGGCCCTGAGAGTCGGTAGCCGCAGTCTTCAGCGCCGACTGGATAAGTCGCTCAGCTTCCTCAACATCGCCTTTGGTGACCGTCGTGGACAGTCTCATTTTGGCATGCGCTTCGGCGAGACGAATCATCGACTCAAGCTGACGGGTTGTGGCGGTAATACGCTTCTCAGCTGAACGGACATCTTGTCCTAATTTGCGCATCTTGACGTATGCCTCAACAAGTGCATGCGAGGCGTCTTGAGAAAGGGTTGGATGGACGTGATTACGAGCATATGAGATATAGGATGTCAAAAATTCCACAGGCTGAAGATTCTGTTAGTGATACATTTTCTAATGAGTTCCATTTAATGAACTTACTAATATCTCGTTATTGGTCGGGGCGGATTGAGGTTTATCTTCAAGATACATAGAAAGTAAATGGCGAGCCAGCTTGCGATCTGTCGACTCGTTGACTCGATCGAGAATTAAGTAAACGAGATCGAATCGTGATAATAGTGTAGGTGGTAGATCAATATTCTGGGGAACAGGTAGGTCCGGGTTGTATCGAGAACCAATCGGATTGGCTGATGCCAAAATGCTGGTTCTGGCGTTCAACGTCGTGATGATACCAGCTTTAGCTACTGAAACCGTCTGCTGTTCCATCACTTCGTGAAGAACAGAGCGGGTAGAATCGGACATTTTATCGAACTCGTCGATGCAGCATACACCACCGTCGGACAAGACCAATGCACCAGACTCGAGTACCAGTTGCCGAGTCTCGGGGTCACGACTGACGTACGCGGTGAGACCAACAGCAGAAGATCCTTTGCCGCTGGTGTATACACCACGAGGAGCAATCTTGTGGATATATTTGAGCAACTGAGACTTTGAGGTCGACGGATCACCGCATAGCAAGACATTTATGTCACCTCGATATTTTGGACTACCTCCTTTCTCGAAAGTCTTGTTCGTTCCTCCAAACATCTGGAGGAGTATGCCCTTCTTCACGTCGTCCATCTCGTAAACGGATGGAGCCAGTGATCGAGCGAGAAGCTCATAAATATCCGGACGAGCAGCGGTAGCCTTAATCTTCTCTTCATCCTCAGGACTGATCTTTCGTACCTCTTCGATATGGTTTTCCGAATCGTCAACTTCAATATCGAGAGTGGAGGGATCCATATCCATTCGCTTATTGTCGACTTTGGCGACGTGAACAACATCGACGAACGTCTTGAAAACACTCTTGACTGAGCGTTGCCGCGGATTAACCCTCACTGGGCTCACACGGTAGATACCCGTAATCTTGACGCGGTCACCAGCCTTACAGAAATCCACCAGCTCGTTATAAACACAGACTGACACTGAGTGCGGTGTCTGTCCAGCAGGCACGGCATCGGGTGTTTCCTGCAATTTGATGACTTGCTTGTCTTCAAACTCACATCTGTTATGGATGATTTGCATAGAGTTCTTAGAGTCGCATAGGTATCGTGGACATTCGGTAGGCTCTCGAATCTTGCCTCGGTCGAGGCCGACTAGAAGAGAGTGACTGCAGACGCTACATCGGAAAAAGGCCTGCTTCATGTCTGGGATAACTGGCGTTGTACGGATCACAAGACCTTTAATACAGATGAGCTTATCCATGTCGGAGGGATTAAGATCACGTAGATTTATGACTTCATCAAGGCCATAAGGCCGGGTCATGTAAGTCTGATCCATGACCTTTTCTTCTAGAGTAGGCCCTTGTGGAGGTCGTTGTTGCGAAGGTTGAGGCTCATCGCCGTGCTCTGAGCTCGGGAACTGCATGTCCGAACTTGGTGCACCATTACGGGGCGTTGCTGCTGTCGCATGGCTCTGGCTCCTTTGCCTAGACATTTCAGCCTGCGCGAGCTCTATCATGATATCATGGACAGACTGGTCCATGAGGGGCACGATTTCTTGTGGGTAGTGCTGGATTTGGTGCCACATCTTCCTGGTAGGCGGGTATAGTTTGAAGTCCTGGATGTTGACATAGAGAATTCGTTGACCAAGGATGAGCATGTTATTTAACTCTTCCCAGTACGGTTTGGTTGTACTCTCAGGATCAGCATCTGTCTGCTCTGTCGTCATTCCCTCACCCCACATGCGGTACTTCTTGGTGAAATTCCGCAAGAAATCCTTGAATGCAGCGTATGTATCGTCGATGGAGACGGTAGTACCCCATATTGTCGCATTGTCCTGGCCGCCGAGAACATTGGCATCGGTCGTATTCGGGTCTAAATTAGAAAAGGTTGCCGCGTCGGAATGGATCTCTCGGACTACGCGCCCAGCATCATCCAAGATGACACGGCTGCCTCCTCGGCCAGCACTACTGAAAATCTCGGAGTTGATGTCACCTCTTCGATTAACCCTGTTGGCCCGTGGGGTATCAGTTGGGCCAACAAATAAGTTACTGCTCTCGCTTCGAAGGTCGGATTGTGGGTGCAAATTACGCCCAGGTCCAGGGCTTGAACTCGGTTCATATCGAATGGGTGATGATTCTGAGGAATTGATCAGTATATTCGTGATTTTTCACCAATGATGAATCTATTCTCACCACCCATAAGTGATCTACTAGCTCTGGGTGTGCGATCGCCATCGCTTCCCATGCGGCGTAGCGGCGAACTGGGCGCTGCACCGGTGTTGGCATTGGTGCTCTGGCTGTCGGTGTTGTGGCGTATGGCAGGTGAACTCCTATCATTTCCAGGGGCCGGAGATGACTGATAAAATAGGGGGCTTGATGCTAATTGAGATGGGGGATTGGGAGCCAAATTGTTCCCATTCTGCGATCCATTTTGTGACGCCCCCCCGTTGGCGGGACTGCTTTGGGGCACTTGAGAATTTCGTGCACTCCGACGTGGAGTTCCGGCTTGCGAGCCTCGCGTACGGCGAGTAGAGGGCGACGACATCTTGACTATGATATGGTCAAATGCAACGAGAAGACAGTACTTGGTTACGAAGTGGAAGTTGGCTTGAGAAGAAAGTGGGTGATGGGGAAGATCAAGCCAGGAAAGTGGGATATCCAGATACCGCCCTAGAGAAATCGCGTAAAACGGGGACGCGTCGAAAGGGGGTTAGCGCGTTCTTTCGCGTAAAGTGGAAATTGTGCAACTACTTAATTGCTCTATTTACTTTTGTACAAGTATAGTATAATATTATGCTGGCTTGTGTATAGATTGTGCGGGGGACCCTTGACTGCGGTTCCGCTAAAACAGTTTATCCATCTCATTTGGACCCACTCTAGCCAAATGCCACATGCACTCCATGTACCTTACACCTTGAACACTTCCTATGCTGGCATTGGTACTTGAAATTGACATTGGTGCTATAGACAATTACTAGACGACGTCCTGAAATTTTATTACACAATTGTTCTCTATCTAAAACCTAATACGTACCTAAACCTTCAAAATGGCGCCTGGGATGTCCCTATCCTCGGTGAATGCCATCATCATTCTTAACATCGATGATGGCTCTAGGATATTCGCGAAATACTACAGCTCTCCCCACCATGCGCCCACAGCTTGTATGCTCGACCTCTTCTCGATCTTATGACTTTGAGGTGTTGTAGCTGCTGACAAGAGTCTCTTATAGCATCAACTCCTCATCACCAACCTAGCGGGCCATTCGCAGATGTGAAGTCGCAGAAGACGTTCGAGAAAGGTCTACTAGAGAAGACGGCAAAACAGACTGGCGACATCATCCTTTACGACAACCGAATCGTTCTGTATAAGATGGAGTCAGATGTGATGATGTATGTTGTGGGTGGCGTGGACGAGAACGAGGTCCTCCTATACAACGTCATCTTGGCACTGCGAGATTCGCTACACCTACTATTTAAGTATGTCGACTAGTTTAGGGATTCGATTGGATTTAAAGCTAACTGGGCGCAAGGCAATCGGTTGACAAGCGAACGATAATTGAAAACTACGACTTGGTATCACTCGCTATCGACGAGATTGTGGACGATGGCATCATCCTAGAGACCGACCCAACAATCATCGTACAGAGAGTCAGCAAGGCACCGACGCAAGATGTTAACCTCAGCCGCATCGACCTTAGCGAACAAGGAGTGAACAACCTGGCGCAATTAGGAAAGGCCAAGTTGACAGATTGGTTGAGGCAAGGCTTGTGAGAGGCGCAGTTCAGGTAAAGATTATGAGATGGCCTTAAACGTAGACTCTGGCATGGCGTTGGTTGAAAAGTCGTTATTTTATTCTTAACGAAGTGTTGGCATTGAGATAGACGGCGTGGTCGTGCCGGCTATGATCTACGACCTAATCCGAGAAGCTGCCTTGCGCAGCCGGTTCATGACCGCCGCGCCGATATCTTCATCGTCTACTGTACCCTCTACAAATATGATATCCGCACCTCGTCTATCCAGTTCCCGTAGCGCCGAAAAGAGTCCTTGCGCTATGCTCCTAGTGTCCGCCCCTATGCTTATATCCATAAGCTTCCCGATCGAAGCTCCACTCGTGGTATCATAAAGTGCTGTTTCTTGAACATCAAGCTCAGCTGCCTCCTGACTCCCCTGACTAGTCTCCGTCTTTACCGTTTCCCGCTTTTCAAAGTCACCGCATTGCAGTCCAGCAGCAGGTTTCCAATATCGAGTTCGTATTATACCGACATGTGGGTCTTCCTGTGATTGCCGATTTTGTACGAACGCATCGAAGTCCTCGGACTGAATGCCGTCTTTAGCTGCGGCGAAACTCGCCTCGTACAGAACCACCTTCGCTTTGGGACTATAATGTTTGTATTTCATTCCGGGAGCTCTTGGTGCAGCTTTGCCTGACTCGCTCTGGTCTTTATACCCCTTTTCGATCTTCTCCCATCCGGCACAGCTCCGTAATTCATCTATGCTGACTCCGCCAGGCCTTAGAATTAAAGGAGGATCGCATAAACCGTCTACTACTGTGCTTTCAACTCCAACGTGACAAGGGCCACCATCAAGGATTAGTTCGATACGGCCATCTAGATCCTCGAGTACGTGCTCAGCCATAGTTGGTGAAGGTTTCGTAGAGGCATTTGCTGATGGAGCTGCTAGGGGTGCACCCGTTAGTTTGATAAGTGAGAGGGCAAGCGGTGACTTCGGCATCCGAACACCAAAGGTCTTCAGCCCGGCCGTTACTTCAGGGGCTAACTTGGACGGAGTTGGATTGGGAAGCAGTATCGTCAAGGGTCCTGGCCAGAATCGTTCTATGAGAGGCTTGTATATCTCAGGTATTCTATCATGGATAGTTTCCGTTGTGCCATTTGTTCTAGCGTTTGTTTTGCCATTGGTCGTACCGTTGGTCGTATCCTCAGGGGTTAGGACCCTTCGAAGCATGTCCAAATCTGAGACGTGAATGATTAGGGGGTTATCTGCTGGCCTCCTCTTCGCAGTATAGATCCCCCTAACCGCACTGCTTCGCGTTGCATCCGCTCCAAGCCCATAGACGGTTTCAGTTGGGAACGCAACTGGTGTATCCTTAGTCCTCAGATAATCTGCAGCCTCATGAAGGATTTGGAGACTGGGTGATGGAGTTTGAGAGACCTCCCATAATCCTGATTGCTCATATTCCTCGTCTCCTCTAAATTTTCCTAAATCCTTCTCTGGTACCCTAAGGACGCGGGTCTTCATTCTCGGGAGATCTTGAGACATTGTGCTGTAGGAGTGAAAAGCAGCTCGAACAGTTTTCAGTCTTAGACCCAAGATCTTAGGCGCCAACTTGCTTGATTGTATAGGTATTTGTGAAATTCTGATAGATTAAATATGTCCTGGTTATTGTACTTCGGTAAACCAGTTAAAAGATCTCAAGATCTCTTAAGAACCGTCTATAAGTTCTATTTGCTATGAAAATAAAATTTATGGAAAGTGACTCATAAAAAAGTACAGGCGACAACGATGACGATATAGGCCCTGAACTAAAAATTACAATTGGAAGCTTATCGATTAAGACTGGAGGTGTACTCAATGTACCCCGAAGCTTAAATGGCGCTATAATTATTTTTAGTTCAGGGGATTCAGGGCGTAATTGCTTTGCATTTAGTGGTTAAACTCTTCCACCATGTCGCTAAGCCCTATCGGTTTTGTATCGCTTAGGCGGGGTGTAGAATCGACCACCACTGTTGGTTCAAACTTGGTTGGACGAACTGGCCAACTTCCCAGTCCACACTTTACAACTTCAGGCTAGGCTCGACATCTTACGTCGCTCGCTATGCGCCTCCCACAATCGATGTCCCAATGTCCGCCAACAATATCCCCAATGGCAACTCCTCGGGGCCAACAACGCAGAAACCGACTAATAAGCTGAACGCCAACTCGACCTCAGGTTCAGGTCCTTCTATTCACGATGCCTCCACGCTTTCCGACGTCCGCGCCGCATTGGCTGCCCTACACGTCCGCGAGACCAGCGTAACAAGTCGCCTTAATGCGCTTCTCTCCTCCCAAGCAGACCTATCTCGAGAGTTAGGACGGCTCGATCTACTCCGTGCGAATCTAGGCTCCCAAGTTATCGCAACAAGATCTATTAGCAATGGCATGCTTTCCTCAGCTGCCGACACTGCAGGTCGGCTTTCTAGCCGAGTTAAAGATCTCGACTTGGAAAAGGACAGAGTGCAGCAAACACTGAAGGTAGTGGAACAGGTTGCAGAGCTCAAGGCCTGCGTCCATGGAGTCGTCGGTAGCATGGGTGCGCCGCAGGACTGGGAGGCCGCGGCTGGTTACATCTCCCGCGCCAGCAAGGTGCCCGAACCCATAATACGCGGTGGCTTTGCGGCTTCTATGGTACCGAGTGTTGAAGTGCCAGATGCGCCGTGGGTGACTCTTGAAAACGCCAAAGAAAGCTTATGCGGCCTGTTCCTACGGGAGTTCGAAAAGGCGGCCAAAGACGGCGACGGCGCCAAAGTCACGAGATTTTTCAAACTATTTCCTTTAATAGGAAGAGGCGACGTTGGATTAGATGTATATGGGCGATATGTATGCCAGGGTGTTGCTGGCACGGCTAGGGCGACTCTCCGGGCAGCACCTGGAGATGCCGGGAAGAAAGATGGGTTCTTCTATGCTAATGCTCTCACAAAGCTATTTGAACACATAGCTCAGATAGTTGAAAGCCATGGTGGACTTGTGGAGAGACATTATGGTGAGGGCAAGATGGTAAAAGTTATAGAGAGGCTCCAGATGGAGGCTGATGTGCAAGGCGGCATTATTTTGGATTCGTGGAGTGATGAGAGAGGTGTTGATAGGAAACTCACAGATGCAAAGAGTTATCCGTTCTCTTTCCTAGTACAGAGCTTCCTTCCACCACAGAGAACGCTTACAGGTACACCACGTATGAATTCGCCAGCGCTAGGCGGCGGGACCAACACACGGAACAGCGAGGACGAAGGTGTGGATATGAAGGAAGTGGACAGTCTACTCAGTGAGATCTCCGTCATGCTTGGACGATGGGCATTATACTCGAGGTTTCTTGCTGGGAAATGCAAGGTAATTAACTATTTTTTTATGATTTCGAGACGCCAATAGCTAACCTCAGTGTTTTATAGGACCCAAATACTCCCGAAGATGCTCCTCTATCAATACCAGAGGTCGTTACGAAATCTAATCTTGGCCGAAAGATCTCAGGAAAGCTTACAATACCATACAATTCTTTGGCCATGTTCTTTTTCAGGAGGTCTGTTGAGAAGGCATTTCAACTCGACGAATCACCTAGTGGCCTTTCACTCAATATCAACAAGTCTATCGACGGAAATGCGCCTTATATAATATCAGCTGTGGATGATATTATGTATATCGTCAGTACTATAACCCAGAAAGCTATATCAACATCGCAGCGCGACGTAGCAGCCTCGGTCATCCCGGACGTCGGAAGAGTATTAGGATCCGATTTCATCGGAATGGTACAGCGGAGAATGCGAGATGAATCCTACCCCCAGCCGACAGTCCAAGGAGGCCTTCCGCCCGAGAACAAAATTATTGCTTTCATTGTGCTCATCAATAGCTTGGACGTTGCAAAAGATTACTTGGCTCGCATCATTGCATCGCAGCTGGGCACTTCTCCTGATCAACCTAATGAGACATCTCAATCTAACCCCTTAGCAACAAAATTCCCGTTCGAACACGACGTCACATTCGTAACCTCAGCACTCAATACACTGAATTCCACGTTCGCTATTAAGACTGGTGAACTGATATCAGATGCCTTGAAAGTGCTTTTTACTTTTGTTGTCAAGCAAAGACTAAAGCCCGTTCTCGTCGAAGCCTTCCGCGATGCAGATTATTGGCGGTCCGAAGATGAACTCGCCGAAATCGCCCGTCAAAATGACGAAGACGAGGACGAGATGATAGATCGCGTCCAGCGGAGGTTTGAGCGTGGATGGGACGCACTAATGAAACCAATCGCGCGATTGATGACTCCTAAAACGTTTACCGCACTTGTGGATCTCACGGCGACGGACCTGGCCAAGACGCTCGAGAAAAGAGTATGGAGCTACAGCGGGAAGACGAGCGCGTACGGCGCAATACGCATGGACCGAGATTTCTCGGGTATAATCAGCACCGTCTCCAGGGGGAACTGGTCTGTTAGAGAAATGTTCGCGAGAGTAACCCAAATACTTATGGTCGCCAACATGGAAGAAGAGGAGTGGGAAGAGCTAAGCAGTGAGGATGGGGAAGACGGCATTCAATGGGTACTCAACGAGGACGAGAGGCGGAGAGCTAGGAATTTAGTGAAAGCATGATGAAAAACCATTATACGCTTTAGATCTATGGTATATAGCAAGCGTAGGATGTGTCTTGGTTGTATGTACAAAGTCATGATAGACGACTCAAAATAGGGGGCTGTTAATGAGCCATATTCTTCCCAATTACAAACATATTGAAATTTGAAGTGTTCATATTGATATTTCATGAAGACATTTTGTCGATGATATGCCAAATATCTTTTCAAGAGCGATGAAAAGGAGTATTATCCAGATAAAACATTCTGTGCCCAAGTACCTAGGATCGCGCTTAGGTAAGGAAATATTGATATAAACAATATTCATTTACTGCAGCTTTTCCATTGAAAGGACGGTGACATCTATCGATAAGAAAATAATCGATAAGCCAACCGCGTTCAACCAAATTCCATTTCCAACATTCACAGCTACCCCCAGCTAAACTTCAAACTTACCTATTCACACATCCGCCCAACCTTTAAATTCCACACAATAACTACCACCTTCATACCTTTTCTATCGTTAACATCGTTGGAATTCAATATCCCCATATCATGGCATCCCAAAATTTCGGGCTCCTGGAGGAGCGAGAGGAAAACGAGCTTCACAAAACCCGCCTCCTTAACGTCGAGGAGAAATCATTCAAACGGCTCATCAGACGCCTCGTCCACCCCAGCGCCTTCACCAGCCCAGCCAAGCTGCTCACACCACCACCCGAGAGCACCACCACTGCCAACAACAACGGCGAGGCGGGCGAAGCGGCCCCGGCCACCATCGACATCACCGCGCTAAAAGAAGACATCATCCTCGACTTCGAAGCCTTCAACGCGCAGATCCTGCGGCTGCAATTCTTAGGAACAGCCAACGCGCAAGAGCGGGAGCGATACGCAGCGGACCGTGTACGGATCCTCGAAACGATGGAGTCGGTGCGGGAAGGCAACGCGCGGCTGAAAGCACAGCTCGAAGAAGCGCGAGCGACGCTCGCGCAGCGGCGCCGCTTCGACGAGCTCGCCGACCGCATCACGAGCAACCGCATGCTGCGCCCCCGCGCGGAGCAGGCCGCGAACCTGGCGAAGCTCGGCGACGAGTGCGAGGGCCTGCGCCGCGAGAGCGAGACGTACGGGCACACGTGGCGCGAGCGGCGCGAGCAGTTCGAGCGGCTGGTCGAGGAGGGCAAGAGGTTGCGCGCGCTGATCCGCGACGAGAAGGAGGAGGTTGAGCGGCGCGAGGGCATGGATTCGGATGCGGAGGATGGCGAGGCGGCGCCGACGCCGGGGAAGGGTGGGGGAGGGGGAGGGTTGGTCAGTGGGAATGCGACGCCGAGGCCCGAGAGCGGCGCTGTGTCGGTTAAGGGCGATGCGGGAGGTGCTACGCCTTTGCTTGGCGGGGGCCGTGATGGACGGACGCCTCGACCGGATAGTCCTGGTGGCGCGGCGGGTAGTACCTTGAAGCCTCGCTTAGGCGATAGCGGCGACTTCTCGCGTGCCGGTAGCCAGGTCCCGAGTCAGCGCGCGGGCAGCCAGCAGCCGAGAGACGAGGAGCCGGAGGAGGGCGAGGATATCGAGATGAGCGAGCCCGGAGCGCAGCAGCAGAACCAGGTGCCGCAGGGCGATACGCCGATGGCGGAGAATGAGTCTCAGGAGACGCCGCAGATTACGGTGGAGGCGCCGGATGGTATGGATACGTCGTGAAGGAAGATGTGGTGAGGGGTGGTCGGGCATAGTTCCTGGGGGGGTGGGCGGGGGGTGCTTAATCATGGCGAGGTTCAGCTGTGATGTTTTGGAGACTCATTGCCACTGAGCTATGAAGTCTAGTCCGCGATAGCCGATCACAACATGCAGGCGGGAGTTGTTATACCCAGCAGAACAGCAGAATGAAGGTTGTCTACACAGATAGGCATGATAATAACGAAAACCCATTCACGAATCCCTTCTACTCGAGTGAACTTCTCGTAATCTTGAAGTCGATGCTTTAATCTTCATTTTGTAATAAAGGTGGTATCACTATATTAATTCATAAAGTTCCTCTTCGTAGTCGTACACGAACCACCAAACCCCTAGTCCGTAAGTCCCCTCCACATGTCTGGGTACCTGGTACATTATGCGGCAGGCGGCTCTTCCACAGATTTCCCTAGCTCTAAGGCTTCCTTGGCCTTCTTGAGCTCCTCGGGAGACCCCTCCTCGCTCTCGGCCGTTGCGATCTGTTCCTCAAGGCGCTGGACGGCTTCGGCGATGCGCTCGTTCAGGGGCGCGAAGACGGCTTTGGTCTCATCTCTGGCTTTTTGCTGTAGTGAGGACTAATTAACATCCATAATATCCTAATTTTATATATATATTGGGTCTAGCACTTCCATGAAGGAAGTATAGGTACATATAAAAGGAGGGAGGAGTTGTTGGAAAAGGGAAGGCGAAACATACCTCCTGCTTCAGCACGTATCCGGCATTGCCGTCTGCGCCTTCACCTTCGTTCTTGATGTCTGTCTCGAGCTTCTTGACACGCTCGTTTTGCTGCTCGAGTTCCTTCCGGTAGTACTTTTCTTCCTTGACGAGGCGTTGGACGGATTGCGTCGCAATGGTGAGGGGGGTTGGGGGAGGCATTGTTGATGTGTAGGCTGTTCGTGCGGTGCTTGGTGCCTAGGTATTTGACGTTGATGGGAGTATGATAAGGAAGTCAAGAAATCAACAACAGCAGCTTTCTTCCTGCTTTTAAAGGGGTTTGTTATGTAGTTGCCTAGATCGAAGTTGCTAGTTGATATTTATTTATGTAATAGTTGCTGAAATCACGTACAAATAATGTATTGGTGGGGGTTGGCGGGGCAGGAGGGGAAACGGTATTAATATGCGATTAAGCAGAATATCAATCCATATCTTTTCTCTTCACTCGTCCCATCGCTCTTATTCAGGGGCCATTTCACTTCGGTACGGTTGATTATAAAAGGTGATATGTTGGAGTGAAACAAAGCCTCACTGTCACGATGATTATTTACTTCCCTAACGTGAGGGACGATATCAAATAAGGTAAAGAATCAAACAAAAAGATAAACAGCCAAGGGACGGCGGACGATAGTACCGAATCCGCCAACCCGCCAATTCATTTTATGTACTGCGATGTATACAGTACAAATGCACAGTACTTTAGATAACCATTACTGTATTTCTGAGCTTACAGGGACTACAGCGCTAAAGAGCGCTATAAACTACAGCGTGCTATAGCGCGTAGCTCCTTATAATTTATAAGGGATTAATCCAATTGAATTGCAAGCTTCACCTGGCTATTCGCTAGGCTTAAATAAACATTTGCAGATTAAAAGCGATCTAATTAATTAATTATTTAATTGATTAATCAATTAGTTAGGTTCAAACGTGGTTAAAATACGTTGTATAAAAGGTAAGTATGTAGGTATTGGATAGGTAGGTTTACCGACATTACCTATATTGTACCTAGCAAGGGAGGTCATGTGACACTAGTCATGTGCCATACGTTGAGTGTCGTAAAGTCACGTGTCACCTTGGGGCTGACCTTTAAACAGTAATCATTGAACTTATTAAAGAGCTATTAAAATAACTATTCAATTAACTGTTCAATTGACTGTTCAATTGACTGCTCAATTGACTATTCAATTGACCCTTAAACTGATTTAAGGATTAATTACCTGGGTAGGATTTAAGGGCGCTGTGATAACGAGAGTGTGCGCTATAGCACGCTGTAATTTATAGCGCTCTTTAGCGCTCTTCAGCGCTATAGTCCCTATAAGCTCAGAAATACAGTAATGGTTATCTAAAGTACTGTGCATTTGTACTGTATACATCGCAGTACATAAAATGAATTGGCGGGTTGGCGGATTCGGTACTATCGTCCGCCGTCGGAGGGTCCCAATTCATGGAGTGGAAAATTATTCAGTTCAGCTTTTGCAAGCCTACCAATGTGCCGAGTTGTCATCCCACTACGAGCGCTTTTAGGATAGTCCATTAGATCAACTCAACAGCCACAAGAGCCCATCCCTAGTATCCGCCTCATGCTTCCTAGTCTGTTCCAAATCCGGAAGTCCCAGAGCCCAAAAGACATGAGGCATGCCAGAATAAATATCGAGCTTCGTTTGGACGCCGGCGTCCTTCCACACTTGCTCCATAATCAACGTACAGTCTCTCGTTGGGTCTAGGCCGCATGCCTGGAAGTAAGTCCGAGGCATGATCGAGGGATCGGTAATGGCTATCGGATATGCGATGGGGCTCTTTGGGTCCGGCTTGTAGAGCTCTGCAAAGACGAGGCAGACCTCATTTAGCATGGGAATACTACTCGATGGCCTTTTCCACAGTGTGGTGTCTGTCTTACCTTTGATACGCTCAATGGCTGCGATGTCCATCACAGGAGCGCGGGCATTCTGTTCCATACTTAGGAAGAAAGGTCTGTATCTCTCAGGTACCGTCTCTCCGGTTGCCGCCGAGTTGGCGCTGCTATATATGCCCGTGATCCGCAGGGCAGCATCCTTTCTCTGAGTCATCCAAAGGTACGATACCGCGAGTGCCATATTCGCGCCGGAGCTTTCGCCCGCGACCACAAACCCCTTCGCCGGGTCGATTCCGAGGTTTCCAAGATTCTCCGCAACCCAAGCCAGGGCATCGAACGCATCCTCAACCGGCCCCGGGAACGGATGTTCAGGCGCGAGCCGGAAATCAACGTTCACGGCAACGCCGCCGAGGCCCGCGAATACGCGGCTTAGTCGGGCGCCAGTTTTCAAGTCGCCGATGCTATACCCGCCGCCGTGAAGCATCAGCATTCCTGGACGTCCGTCCTTATACTCAGTCCGCTCTTTTAAGCGATGCATGCGCACCGTAATAAGTTCATCATCCCTCGTAGGGACTTGTAGGTCTTTCTCTTCAAAGCGAGGGTCTACTTGGTCCTTCTGCGTCTCTGCGATTTGGGATAGCAGAGCGCGGACTTCGTGTATGTTTGTGTCTTTGTCCCATGATGGAGGCAGTACGAGCCCGTTCTTGACCAGCTAGACATATACGGTGAGCTAATATGTAGGTATGAATTTATAAGGAGGAAGTATGTAGGCTATGGGTGCGACTCACCTGCTCGAGTTCAGGGTCAATGGTCGAGAGAGCCCGAATCTCTTCGATCGACTTCATTTCATGAGTATTGATCTATAACATAGTAGGTTAATACATAATACGACGACCGTTAGGTATATATCTTCGAAATCGGCAGTACCCTTCGAGTATGAAGCTGGCTGGGCAGGCTGGGTTAACTATGAAGTCATAACCAATGGAAGCACAATTGCCTTTTTAGGTACTTCGGTGCGATCCGTCTGAGAATTTATCGAAGTCCAGAACAAATTATTTTCCTGCAAATCTTACAGATCCCGCGATCACGAAGTCACGAGGTCTAAATAGTCATAACTGTTATGTATTATTATCTATTATACTAATTCTTTTTGGGGGTATCGTCCATATCAAAGCCTTCCAGTCTATATACCAGCCGTCCTCACAAGGTGTAAAATAAAATATAATAAACGAGCAAAATATGGGTTCCCTCTCTTATAACTTTCTAATGAGGAATCCGTCGTTCTGTAATTTCTGGAATATTTGTCCCGGGTCGTATTTGGCTGCTATCGCTTTTATGGTGTTGACATTCTTCGAGCCAAAACTACCGAGCACGTTCTGTTCCATGCCCGCCGTGTTCGTGAAAAGGTATGGCAGGGACGCGTTTTTCGCCGCGGTAGCAGCGGTGCATCGTTGCGTTATTCGTTGAGATATATTCCAGATGGCCTGTTCCTGTGTCAAATCGGTCCATGTGATGAACCATTCATACCCTGTTAAGAACAGATTATTAGTATTAATGTTTTATAGCAATATGGAAGGATAAACGAACATTGTTGCGGAACCTCCTGTAAACCAATTAAGTTTCCCCCGTACTGCTTCCCAACGGTAGCTACGCTGGCAGCGATTGGGTTCGGCACCCAAGCCCCTGAAGCACCGCTGGGGAGGTTGGCTGTCTCTTCGACGAAGATGTTGTACAAGTCCACGTTTAAGTCTGCATTAACTTTGTGGGTAAATGTCTCGCCGTACGTGCTAACATTTCCAGTCGAAAATCGTGATCCGGTTAGAGCCAGCACATCGATGAGTGAGCCATTGAAAGCTGCGATCGATGTGTACGACCCAAGATTGTAGAAGGCATCGAACGCCTTAGCCGACTGTACCGGTTCGTTGTAGAGCAGCATGATCGTTGGGCCAGTCTCGAGTACTTGGATACTAACGCTTGACAAGGGGTCTAGTTGTCCTTCTTGCTGGTACTCGGCTATAGCGCGTAGGAAGTCATCGGTCTGGTTCGTATTATACGCTCGTGCATCGACGGAGAAGTTCCCAACAGGAAACGTGTAGAGTTCGTAGTTGGTGACTATGCCAAAATTGGGACCGCCGCCTCGTAATCCTTTATACAAATCCGAATACTGGTTGTTGGCGGAGGCATTGACGATGGAACCGTTAGCGAGGACCACCTCGTACGACTTGACGTTGTCAAACGCGAGACCCCGTTGGGTCGCGAAGTAACTTAGTCCACCTCCTAGCATCAATCCGCCAACTCCGACAGGACCGACACGACCACCGACGACAGTTACCCCTTGAGGAACTAAAGCCCCATAGACCTCCTCCCATCTGTTTCCGGGGCCAATTTTGGCGGTCTTCTTGTCCGTCGACAACACGGTGGTGTTTAAATTCGAAAGCGAGACCAAAACTCCCGTTTCGTTAATACTGGCGAAGCCTGGAATATAATTGTGGCCGCCACTTCTAACGGCAAACTTGGTACCCGTCTGGGAGAGGATCTTTATCACCGTTGAGACTTCCTGCGCGCTCTTGGGGTTTACAATACAAGCAGCCGGTAGTCTACACGCCGCAGAGCTAGAAGTGGAACGGGATTAATTCAAGGCCTCGCAGGTTTATTTGTATATGAAATAACTTACTAGTTCTCTTCCTCAAAATCTTCATATGTTGCTCCATCTGAGGGAAATAATGTGCCATTTACGCCGGTTAAGGCCTGTTTAAGTTGATTGCAAGTATCTTGTTGAGAACGTAACACAGGAAGTGTCGTATCACCGCCTCTCACAGGAATATGCGCAACGGATCGGGCCGTTGGTATCACTGAGAGAGCGGTTAGGACCGCATTGCGGATGCTTGCGGGCATATTCGATTCGCCGTATGGACGATTTCCCGGTAGTCTGGTTGACAAAACGGCCAAGGCGGATAGTCGTATATACTAGATATTAATATTATAGAGAAAGACACAAAATTGATACTAATGATAATTCAGAAGCTAGTTCGTTACTGCATGAGCAGTTTCGATGGTTTATATCCATATGAACAAGGTACTTAAAATCAAGAAAGCACGACCCATAACTTCTAGAAGGCAGGGTGAGTGGTCTTTTGAAGTGGAAAAGGCGATAGTGTGATGTGGATGCAATGTTCTTTGATTTCGACTATCGCATGCCCTGTCACCGTATCCACAACGCTTCATGCGGGACCCAACTGTGTCAGTGCTAGCCATTGAGGCTGATTCAGCTATTCCAGCTAACAGGTACTAGCTTAAGATGGTGGTCGACGCTAGGAATCCCAAGGGCCAATTTTGATGGATCCGTTATGAACAGGACCTATCAAGGTCATCGGTCGAACCACCTGTTAGGTATGTTCTCGCTTGTCGTTCCAAAAGGTACACTCATAACTTGTTTACAATGAGGCATCGTCACATACTTGTGTCTATGATTAACATCAGCAAAACGTTCGAACCGACACTATTAGAAGCAATGAGGCTATGCGTGGTCTGAGCAGTGAATGACCACTTGAATCTCGGAAATAATCCGTATGGATGAGCATGTCGCTTGGAACAACCTTAATGAGTATGGTAGGCTAAGTTGCTTGATTCTCGGTAATGAGAGACGGCGTTCTAGCCAATCCAGGACTCAAATCCCTTTTGTTTTGACCAAAATAGGAATTATGGAACTTTTGGTCGTTTTGTTGTTTGGCGATAGAAATTGCGCTAAAAACGATTGAAACGATTATCTAAGCAATCATCCGCAGCCACCCGTATTGCTGGGACTTTTGGAAACAAGCAGACAAGGTTTCCGTGGTCTTGGAAGGTTCGGGGCTTGTGGGGCGCCACATGGTTTCGGAATTTAGATAAGGAATGTGGCCGTGCGGACAGTAGCTTATCGTAACCTAGGCAAATGCACCGTTACTGACAAATCACGTCATACTAAGGTACATTGTCCAATCTTTTTTTTTTTTGAAGATCATTTAGACAATTAATAATTCCATGGACAATTTCCCAGTTTGCGACAAAAAACCTCACCGTTTTACCTATATCGTAACACATTCAAGAATACCTTCAACGCTATTAGAATGGCTTGGTTAGGTATCTCATTGCGTGAGACAACACTCAAGTCACCTTCTTTTTCAATCTTTACTAATTTGATGTAGCTTGGATCTCGAAGCCCGAGGCCAAACCTGCCGTGAGCTCCGGCTCCGATGCGCGCGCCGTGACCAAGCCCAAGGCATGAATGCAAACCCTTGATATCAATGATACTCTTTACTGACTCTTATCGACGAACAAATAGCCTTGCTGCGTTTGCAAGGATGAGAAGTCCAAGCGCGACGAGTGCATGCTTTTCTCGAAAGCCGCCGATCCAGCTTCCGATTGCAAGACGACAATCGACCAGTATCGAACATGCATGGCCGGGTTCGGATTTCAGGTTTAAAGGAACACGTGAGAGGCACATCCATAGAGGTAGATAATCCCTCTCTCGGGGAAATTCAAGGATATGTATATAAGGGGCCGATTGAATCACGGCAAACCGGCGTTCCGGATCGGATAGAGGGCGAAAATACCCTCTGAATGCATGATGCATTGAATGGCGTTACGAAGATAGGAATAAACAAGAATCCACTCCTCGGTGTTATTGTTCGGTCTATTTAAAATACGCAATCGTGCGAGCCGTGAGAGAATTATGTGGCCAATGGGTGGTCAACAGGTTTCCATCGCTGGACAATGTGTACGGTGGGAGGTGGACTGGCGGCGGATATATGTCTTGGTCAGGCTGAATGCGATTCGATCTCATAACCGAGAGACTTGGGCGGCTCGATCGATGCAATCAATCTACGAAATAGCCTCAGCAGAATGTTGGAACCAGGACATTGCATATGCTGCTTAGCAAGGCGTCCAATCAGCCATAGTGGCTCGTTCAGCTCTGTCTCACCTCAATCGTCTAAATATTCGTCCCTAACGAAATGTTTATTGTGTTATGTTGACATCGTACAGAGCCTCTTCGATACGCCCGACTTGTCTGGCAGGTTCATCCGGATTTCCAAATCGCTCGGCTTTGAGCCCCTGAGGTAATAAGGTAGGATGGACTACGTGGGCAGTCTACTCTCTGACCAATACTCAGAATATTCCTAATGATCGCACTACTGGTGGATTTGCGAGGGTAGCCAGCATGATATTCCGGTAGGATTTCCCTTACATCGTGGCGGCTTTGACGTAGAAGCTCGCTTATGACTCTACCTTACTCGGTAGCGAATAAGTCTATTGGAAACTAAAGACCAAGTCGACGCTTGCTACTAATCGTCTAGCTGTTTCTACGACTTCCTCATTCGTGGGACTTTTTGACCATCTTCAATGCGCCCATCGGGCTGGACCACAAGGCTAGCAGCATTGATGTCAGGATGAGATGCAGCTCTGAGAACTACATGATCCCGCGCTCATGGCCAAGCTCGCATTGCCTCGGAAGCTTCCGCCCAGAAATATCCCACCCCTCCTGTAAACTTTTGCATGGGAACCCTGGCGAATTCGCGACCAGGCATTTTTGCCGCATTCAGGCTAAATAGCTGCAATGTCAAATAACCTACGACGGTCCACCGGCCTAGACCTTGCACCTGACAGACCTGGACAAGCTGAGAGCCTATGATATTAAGAACATTTGCCCATTGTTCACGTTTTTAAAATACGTAATGGATGCGGCGCGTTGAGGCGTCAGTTCGGCGCCTTGCTAGTAACAGCGGGTCTGCTTTAGTCGTGTGCGTGTTGTATGATGCTAATGTAGCGAGCACAGCTTACGGCTGCTCCCGAGATTTTCATTTTAATGGTTATGGAATGTCCATCTCGTGAGTCGTGAATGGCGGTCCGAAGAGCCCAATCCTTCGAGTCCGGGAGGCCATAAGGCCAATCATCGAAACTAGCCCCCAATTCCCCAGATCTGGGGCGGACTAGACGGACTAGAACTTCCCAACTACGCTGCTGTTGGTAAAAACTCACGAAGATCTTCAGCTCCCCGGAGACAGATATCTAACCACATAATTAGCATTGTTGATAAAACCAGCATGCCGAGGTCTAGTAAGACGACTAGCTAGCATCTTTAAGCGATATGATGATGCTTCGGCATAATTCAATGGCGAGAAGGGCAACGAGAGTTTAGTGGTTTTTTAGAACGAGTCTACGGACTTAGACAACTCGACGAACACCTCACCATCACCCAACTAGGATAATGAACCGTTGTGGAAGTGATATATGGCTTCCTAGAGCCTAGAAACGTCAGCTACCACAATTACATCGTGGTGAGGCTCGTCAAGAATCATCAAATTCTTGCTTCACTCGACACTTCACATTGTCCGGCTTTGCGGGACGTGACTCCGGGATGAGTTATCTGCTGGCTGACAGCTGCTGCGCTCTTAACCATGCTACCATGCAACAAGCTGATTTCCGAATCGAGAATCCCTGCTGCATACCCGGTTCCATCTGAACTCTTTCCTCACTCACTCACATATCTGGATTTCTTAGGCTAGGTACCTACTTGTCAGCTTATGTATCACAGTTTGCATACCATACGAAGTTGACGGGTGTGGAGAATTGACATCCAACGATGGTTGGTCTCAACTGCTGCAGAACACCGTATGATTAGTTATTCATCAATAATCTACCCGATAGGGCATGTCGTAAGCTGTCGACATGACGAGAGCCATTGGAGATCAAAGAAGGCAAATGCCAAGCCGTATTAATTTAACTCTGTTACTACCGCCGCAGCAGAGTCCGGATCAGATATAGCACCACCCCAACAATAGCATATTATTCTGTGTAATGGAGCAGAAGTTTTGAATAATAGTTTCTTCTCCTGAAGACTTTTTTTCTAAGTATCACCGATCTCAGTGGTCAGATCTGCTAACCACATGAACATGTACGCGTCCGGTAATGGAGCTCCTCTCCTGCGGCCATTCCACGTTACTTTCGCTGCACTGTAACCTCTCTCTCTTCTCATATAAGCGGTAGATCGATATGTTCTAGCCAAGCTGTGACTGACAGATTCCGTTTTGGTAACAGCTGAACCGACAATCAGTTTCCTATTTTGCTAATAGGGGACTTGACTCTCGACTCTTTAGGGTTATACAAATATTATCTCATTCAGAAAGAAAAGCGAATCTCTAACGATTCTGACGTGCATATAACTGATTTTGCCTAATATAAAAGTCGAGATATTGTATTCTAGGCCGTCACCGACACCGCGGAACCGCTTAGTCTAGGCTGGGGTGAGAATAGTCGATCATATAGACTTACGGCATTCGGAACACGAGTCGTTAATAGCTCTGTTGTAGGGCCAATTTAAGAAAAGCATGAATGATCATCTTGAAACAACGACGCTATCCTACGCAGTTTTATCGCTAGAATAGTATAACACCACTAACTCACCACCAATAGGAGGAGTAGGCGTTCTTAGACGTGCTTAAAATGGGTTAACTTACACAACCCAAGCCTTGAAGTTCCTCTTTCTCGTCCCGCGGTGGGATCAGATCCAGGATATCGGTGTTACTGGATGAGTATTTCCCCGCAAATCGATTATATCCAACCAAAGACAATTCGCATCGTACTCGACAAGAACGACTAGTCACACACGGCACCTACTATGGTACTATGTTTATCCAGAGCAGATTGTAATGCGTTCTGGAAGAGTTCCAGCGCTTCTGGGCCCCTAGTCAACCCGTCCGTTTATCATATCAAATCGCGACATGGTCGGCCGGTCGACAGTCCGGCGATAGCTACCCTCCTGCAGAATTATCCCGGGCACGGTAGAAGATCTACTACTACCTCGACCTACCTTGACGGTACGTAGGATGAGAGTCTATGACAAAAAATAATATCCTTCCCGAATTCGAGTGCACTACCGAGCAATATCGGGAAACGAGTACCCTGCTGCGAGACATACCAAACGGGTCGCTGGTCGACATGAATATTACGGGTGGCGTTGCTACTCGGCCGGGTTCCCAGCCAGATCGCTCGCGCTCGGCGGATCCAGAATTTGGTTCATTAACCGAAATGGAATTTTTCCCTCTCTTTTCGTTTTCTTTTCCTCGGACCCCAGAATTCCCTGAACGGTAGGTACCTAGACGTCCACGGGCTGATCCCCTGTCCCAACCTAGGTGCCTCTACCACCCTCGTTCCCCCCTGGGCCTTGCTCCCCTTCCCCATGGCACCACAGGGGAACTAGACATGGGGCAAATTGGGGGTTAATGGGGTAAGGTAAGGCAAGGGCCCACAACCCACTATCACCCACACGGTACATAGTAGTATAAGCATCTCACCACGAGAAGGGGTCCACCAATTCCAGATCTCGCGTCCTGGGGATGTGAGATGGGCACTTGGGGGAACGAAGCTACGGGCTCGGTGCAAATTTCTGTTCAAGCGAACCACCTCTACCGGTCCGCTCGCCCGCAATGGCACCCTTGCTACGGGGCCCTGGCCTCCTCTTATATGAGGGTAGCTGTTCCCTTCGAACAGTCTTGTTCTGGGCTCTCGCTACTTATATGTACGTAGTGTAGGCGTGTCTGTCTTATATACATACACGTATCTCCCCCCTCAACTTTGGAGACCAAGCTTCTTAGCAAGTAAGACGTACGTATCGGAGAGCCAACAAGGAGCGTGCCTCTTGGCTCAACACCTCGATATACCTAGTCGCTAGCTAGCTACCTACCTAGGCACTATCACATAGCTCGAAGTCGCGACCAAGAAATATCCGTCACAATGGCGATCGGCGCCATCGCAGCGAAGGCGCCCCGGCAGGAGGAGATAACGCACGCGCAGGAGGAGGCGCCGTCCTTCGAAAAGGTCGACTGGAAGCGGGACCCCGGCCTACGGAAGCTGTACTTCTACTGCTTCGTGCTGTGCGTCGCCTCGGCGACCACCGGCTACGATGGGTACGAACACCTCCCTACCGCTTTTCAAGGAAACGGGGCTAAATGGGAAAATGTGCTAACTTGGTGTTGGTGGTGGCTCGCAGCATGTTCTTCAACTCGGTGCAGGTCTTCGATACGTGGAAGGCGTTCTTCAACGACCCCAAAGGATCGCAACTGGGCCTCTTGGCAGCACTTTACCAGATCGGTAGCTTGGGCTCGATTCCCTTGGTGTGAGTAATGATTGCCTCGTCTCGCGTTGTGGTGGTGGGAAGAAGATGGATGGGCTGACATGTTGCAGACCTATACTCGCCGATAACCTGGGCCGAAAAGTGCCTATTATTGTTGGATGTGTCATTATGATCGTCGGTGCTATCCTCCAGGGAGTCGCCGGCAACATCAATACCTTTATGGGCGGTCGTGTGATGATGGGGTTCGGAAACAGTTTGGCTCAGATCGCTTCGCCTATGTTACTTACCGAGATCGCTCACCCGCAACATCGTGGCCGTCTTACAGCTGTGTATAACTGCTTGTGGAATGCCGGTGCTATTAGTATATCCTCCCTACCATCCGAAGCATCACGACGGACGAGAATTGCTGACATCCAACAGTCGTCACATGGCTTTCCTTCGGCACAAACTACATCCAAAACGACTGGTCATGGCGTATCCCAGCCATCCTCCAAGCGCTGCCCTCCGTCATCCAGATCATCTTCATCTGGTGGGTTCCCGAGTCGCCGCGATACCTGATGGCCAAGGACAAGCACGACCAGGCGCTCAAGATCCTCGCGCACTACCACGCCAACGGCAACGCGCACCACCCGACCGTCCAGTTCGAGTACCGCGAGATCAAGGAGACGATCCGGATGGAGATGGAGAGCAAAAGCAACAGCAGCTATGTGGACTTCTTCAGGACGAAGGGGAACCGGTACCGCTTGGCCGTTCTCCTGTCCTTGGGTCTGTTCTCCCAGTGGTCTGGCAACGCGATCATTTCCAACTTTGCGAGCAAGTTGTATGACCAGGCCGGTGTTACGGACTCGAATTCCAAGTTTGGCGTGAGTTTTCTTCATTCTTTGAAAACCTCTACCTATCCCCTATTTGGAGAAACCGTTTTCTTGGTTGACCTATGCTAACACCACCTAGCTCTCCGGCGGCCAAACAATACTCTCCCTCATCGTCTCCGTCACGATGGCCACGCTCGTCGACCGCTGGGGCCGGCGGCCGATGTTCCTCACGTCGACGGGCGGGATGTTCGTCGTCTTCATCTTCTGGACGCTGTGCGCGGGCCTGTACGGGGAGCACGGGGCGCCGGGGGCCAACTACGCGATGATCTTCTTCATCTGGCTCTTCGGCTTCTTCTACGCCATCTCGTGGTCCGGGCTGCTGGTCGGCTACGCCATCGAGATCCTGCCCTACAAGCTGCGCGCCAAGGGCCTCATGGTCCTCAACATCATGATCCAGGCCGCGCTGTGCCTCAATTCTTACGCCAACCCCGTCGCCTTCGACGCCTTCGGCGAGTCCCACGGCTGGAAGCTGTATCTTATTTATACGTGCTGGATCTTCTGCGAGCTGGCGTTTGTGTACTTTATGTACGTCGAGACGAAGGGCCCGACGCTAGAGGAGCTGGCGAGGGTTATCGATGGCGATGAGGCGCCCGTGGCGCATTTGGATTTGGATCAGGTGGAGAAGGAGGTTGCGATTGAGACGCATGATGATGTGCCGCATAAGGTATAATGAGGGGGGAGGGCTCTAAGTCTATCGGTGGTCATCATAAGTGGGATTTTCTAGCGACATCTTGGTTTAATGTTGTTGCTCGCTGCTGGATGCTATTAAGTGAAACTGTTGCATGGATGAGACGAAGCTGTTTGCATGCTCGATACCCTCACTTTTGCGAAATTGGCATGCATAGGTACTACCTCCCCTCCGTCATTGTGGACTGGGTTTTGGGGCATTGGGATGGATCAATTGATTTTTTAGGTACGTATGGATGCGCTCTTCGTGGCATCCTCATCTGGCGGGTGGCTTGTTCGGAATAGCTAAAAAGAATGATTCTACTGCACACCACTTAAGATCGTTTACGAGTGACCTTCGTCAAATTGTTCTCAGTTACGTCGGTGGCTTCTCACCATATCTCCTCTTTGCGTATAAAGAATAATAAACCCGTCTGATACGATTGCATTTGATATCGTTATTCCTTATTTCGCATCGTATTAATCGCCCTAGAAAGTGATGGTAAATATTTGAGTCTTCTCCATGATGCTTAGATTCTTCGTTGAGCTTTGAGAGTTGAGCTTAAGAAGGAATCCACATAATTTGGTACTGCGTACTAGAATAATTTTCACTTTCCATCAGCCAACGTTTTCAAACTCGCCATACTCAACAACCAATAACGCTCAACCTTAAGGACAGTTACCTGATACGGACGTTCATTCTTAACGGCAATACCTAGACGAAAATTACCAATCGAAATCATCTTGAGTCGAAGTACAAAAAGAGACTCGGAAAGTGCAAATTGAATGGAGTCCTTTTCACTCGCGGCGCAGCACGGAGGCGCTATCGAGCATGTGCATACGATCCGTCTCGATCCGGCAGCTGCGGCTACAGTGCGTGAGGTACGCATTATAGTGACAGTCCTTGTTGCAGGCTGGGTTGCTATTCAAGGGCTGAGAGCTCTGCAAGCCAGCTCATATTTTCGGAAGTGATAGACACCGATCTCTTCGCTGCGTTTGTTAGAAACTCGGACAACCCCACCTCTCGGATGGATTAAGTGCTTCTTAGAGAGCCATGACGACAATTATATGAACAGATCGGCCGGGAGAAATCTACGTTATGGTGGTTAGAGGTTAAGGTACTTACACTTAACTATGTACTACTACTGTATGAGTTCAGAGTCTCTACTCACTTTAAGACTTGGGGAACGGCCATACATTGTCGAATGGATCATCGAATTCATAGTTCATTTAGAACAATGTCTTAGATAGGTACTGGTAGATCTTAACAAATATCAACCTTAAATGCTTCAGTTTTTCTATGCTTAGATATTTGCTTTTTGAATAACTCCGCTTTCGAATATTCGCTATGCGCATAGACATGATTATGTAACAATGAGTACCGGACCTAGCGACCCACACTGTGAAATTGAATTTTTGACGCCGTCCTGAGATTTTCATACCGAGGTAGAAACAAGCTCTATTCTCATTCTATGTCTTTCCATTGGACTGTACAATCTCGTTATATAACGTAGATTTTAATGAGTACTATAAATTGTTAAAAATGCGCTTGTCAGGTCTGCAAAAAGAAGTACTGTCTCTTTACCGGAATTGCCTCCGCGAAAGTCGCAAGAAACCAGCTGTTCGTGAATCAGTCTGCCTCATATAAGTCGAATGGTTAGAGCTAATAAGCAACAACAGACTGCGCGGCCGCACTTTGAATCATTCGCCAGGTAGTTCTTATAATCAGGCGTAAATATCATATTGTTTACCATCTAATTTCGAATTTAGATCAGAGTTTCATAAGCACATCAAGGTGGACAAAAGAGATTTCTCTGCTATCGAGTTTCTACTACGCAAGGGGCGGCGTCAGTTAGAAATGTATTCGTCACCTGGTATCAAAGATGTCAGGTGATGATAACCTTGGAACGATATCAGAAAATGAGCAACTACAACACGAAGTACCTAGAGATGGGTTACGCCTTACTAAAGTCTACTCCTGGTCTGCCGAGTCGCTACTGCAGAGAATGGTTATCAGCTGAACCGTCGTGAAGTCTCTTAAGGCTGTTGTTGTAGACTACGATCAGGAAAGAACATCAACTTCCTTTAAAACCTACACGAAACGCGACCATCCAGTACGACTATTCACAAAATAGCTTTTACTTTTGGGAGTTTTGGGGACCCTTTTTGGAATACAGACGATGCCTAAGCTCAGTTTACCTTAGAAGGGAGATCCAAATCGTCGACCGAAAGCCACATATCCGTCGACGGCGCAATTAGGCGAAAATCTTTCACATCGAGCCGCCGAAGCAGTATTTCGTACACCGTTACCAGAGCACCTAGTAAGAGAGCGAGAACGCCAGCGACAACGCAGGATCAGTCGAAAGAAAAATGGCGTCCGAGTTAGCCGACGCCTCCCTTCACGAGGGACAAGATTGTCTTTGGGTGATGATAACCAATATTCGCTGATGCAGGTGTCCGAGTTCACTGAAGATCATCCATACTGGGGCACTCTGCGGGAATCCCAAACCCCAATTATGAACCCCGGAATGATTAAAGCCGTAAAAAATAGACCTGTATACGGGGATCATAGTGCTGCTCAACACACTAGTAGCCATAATCAGCAACCCCCCAAACCACAGCAGGCTGGGCAAACGACTGGAGGTCGACGACCAAGAGGTATGAGTATCTCAGGGCGGAACCTAGGCCAAGCTCGAGAAAAGAGGTTTGGTCTTGCAGACCCTATTGTCTAGGATGCAATCAACAGGTCGCTCGATCAGCAAGGACGACTCTCTACTCTGGTTGTACCAGAGGATGCATTGGGAGAAACCAATCACCTATCAGATATACCATCTCGGACGTCGAGTCAGCGCAAAACCCTGAACCGCTTCACGAGACAGCTTACGAAGTACGCAGATGCCGCTGAAGCAGCTGGTACGGCTCCAGCTATGACACCCAGCGAGTCTGAGTCCAAGGTGTCGTATCATACAGTCCAGCAATTATTACCATATCGAAAGGAATTCCAGAAAGCTGGACTTGCGGTGACGTCTGCAGAACAAAGCCGCGGATCTCCCTTTAAACCCAGAAGTAGTCGAGAACCCATGATATATCCACCAAAGATCGTGGTGGAAGCGGTTACCGATATTGATGAGCAATACGAGACTAAGAGCGAGGGATCATGTTCGAGTTCTGGGACGTTTGTCGACTTTAACCCGGGTGGTTATCTAATAGCAACATTACCAGGCACCGATGCTACGTCGAAGCAAAAGTCACTACCCAAAGATAAAAAGGGAATCTTTCCATGGCTAAAGAGAAAATCGCCAGTTGAGGAAATGCCTATCGAGCAGCATAAGCCGCAGCAACCACGGCCACCTGCTAGGGATGGCCAGGTTCAAAGCCGGGTGAGAAATATAGACTCACAGAACAAGTGTGGTCTTCGTAAGTCCTATGCTTCCAAAGACCTTCCGGTTCTGCCTCCTGCCCGTCCCACGCCTGCGAAACCCCCAATAAAGACGACTAGGCCGTTCGTCAATGCTGTTACCCCGGGAAGGCCGCTACTACGAGCACAGCCACCTGTTGATGTCAAGCAAAATTATAGCGCACCACGTTCGGAATTAGTAAATTCGCGAGCTGGGCCAGGACCTGGGTCTAGGCAATCGACAGCACATACCGGCTTACGCAGGCGCGATGTGGCCACTCCTCGCGTACCTCGCCCCGAAACAATCGAGGAAGAGAAAGAAAACTCGTCAATTCATCCCATCCACACAACAGTTCAGCTATATCCCCTACCTGAGCCAAAAGGCACGCCGGCGCGTAGTACTACGATTGGTCAACAGTCACAGGGCGCATCGCCGCAAACAACTCCCTCCACAATTCCTTCGTTACCATACGCAGCACGACATGCAAGTCGTCGGCCATCATCATTAGAACGAGCTTTGGACGAGGTTTCTGAGCAGCTCGAAAAGATGGAACGGCAAGCCGATAGGCAGGATCGGATATGCGGTCGCCCTGCGACTTTAATAGAAAAGACGAATGAGAAGAAGCCGCATTCTTCCCCTCTGGAGCCCAGCCGGCAACCTTTGAAGGCTACTCCTTCACATCGAATCCGGCCAACGGAGAAAATCGTGTATGCGAGTAGGAAAACACCGCCTATCGAACCCCCTGGTCCGAAGCCGAAGAAGCCCTTACCGCCTAAACCTACTCGAAATTCGCCAAGTCCGCCGCCTAAACGGCCGCTACCCAGTCCCCCGGTGGACAAGACACTGCCTAGGTTGCCTAAGACCGAAGACCTCTTAAATGACTTGGATGCCTTCTTCGATTATGACGATGCAGATATCAACGACAGAGATGTCATTAAGGGGCTCCAAGTCGCTATACGTGCGGCAGCAGATAACATGTATGACGCATTCATACGGGACAAGACCGGGCTGAGGATTCGTCGATTCTTAGCTGACCTGAGAGCGGTTGGTGAGATGCAGCAGGAAAATTCAACGGATCGACGTGATAGGGGAGTCGGAAAGAGTTCGATGAAGACGTGATTGGGGACTAAGCATCAACCTGATTCTGACGAGTTTTCTAGAACTCTTTGGAATTTGGATCCTGCGTGCCAGAAGTCGGCTCATAGTATGTGCAAGTAATGATCATTAATTAATGTTACTTGACTTGACTCGGGGATGAGGCTCAATTTGAGATATGCCCCATCTGTAATATTCATAACTCGAAGATGTGAAAGAGTCCGCGATGTCACTCAAGGCAGGGGCTCGGCTTGTACTCTAGGGATGATCTAAGATACTCCACCTACGTGCTATATTTAGGGATAATTCCAGGTATTTTGAGCAGGTTTCGAGGTACCTGACCTTATCTCCGGCAGCCCACTTGCCTAATGCAGGAAAGTGAGAAAGGGCGACAAGGCAAGAGTCAAGCTTACGAATCAGATCGATGGAAAGAATAAGACCCTGGACACCTTGGAAGTCAAAGCCCAAGAGACTTAATACAACCCCGACAGTTTCACCGCATGCTTCACTTTCGTTCGATTCTTTGACCATAAAATATCTGGCTAAGGTATAACCTAATAAGAACAGTACCGAGAACATAGATACAATTGCGAGTGAAGGTGTAGAGAAGGTGTAGTGAAGATATATGTGGAAGTTTACGATTCACGATGTCAACGACGACCACAACTAGCGTCGCCAACTGCGGTCCCAAACATAGGGCCTGCGATGAATGTCGTATGTTGGGCACTTACCTTCTCACCCACGTCTCGAATCTTCGTTCGGACTTACAATTGCCACAGGCACACGTAAGCTAGCTTGCACCAAAGAGGCCGACGGCTGCTCGCGATGCAAGCGCGAAGGCATCGCCTGCCACTACTCCCCGCAGAAACCCATGGGCCGGCCGCGGAAACGGCCCCGAGACGAGACGATCACCGAGAATTCGGTCGCGGCCCCGGCCTCGAAGAACACGATGACGGAACTTCCGGCGGATACGCCGGATCCCGGGCTGGCTTTTATCAATCTGCTAGCCGGAGACTTGAGTTACCTTAATTACGATAGCATGGGGAATAGTAACGTAGAAAGTAATAATGTGATAAGCCGACCGCAGGACAAGGGCTACCAGTTCTCGTTCGGGTACACGGGGGATAGTTTGGGGGACATCGGCTACGACCTGGCACCGCAGCACACGCCGCCATACTTCAACTCGAACATCGACCCCTCCCTCTTCGCCATCGACCCCCCTCCCGCAGACCAAGTCCCCACCTTATCCCCTAACACAGCAGGCACGCCCGAGAGCACAGGCAGCAGAAGCAGCAGCTCGTGCAGCAACAACGACAGCGCCGCGGCAGCTGCCGTCGCCACACCGCCGACGACGACGCAAGGCTGCGCGCACACGGCGGCGCTGTACCTCGCGCTAGACGCGATGCAGAAGGTGCCGTCGGGAGTCGAAGCAGCGCTCCAGCACGCGCGGCGCGCGACGCGGACGGCGTACGACGTGGTGTACTGCCCGGCGTGCTCGTTCAAGCTCGACCCGCCGGCGGACGCGGACGCGGCGGACGTGACGCGCAACTTCCAGAACCTGATGCTGCTCGCGGCGCTGATCCCGTCGATCGTGCACGCGTACGAGCGCGTGCTGGCCGCCGTGGACGAGGAGACGGCGCGGGCGGCGGCGGAGCGGCGGAGGTTGGTTTTCAAGTTGACGGGGTTCGGGGGCGTGCTTTGGGCGGACGGCGGAGCGGACGAGTGTGTTGGCGCGGCGGGGCTGGATTACCGCGAGATGGAGCCGGCGATGTGGAGGTTGACGGTGCGGGCGCTGTTGAAGGTCGACGTGTACGGGCTCAGCGAGTCGCGGGTGGATGCGCAGGCCGAGGCGCTGCCGCTGCATATCGGGTTGAAGGATATCGTGCTCCAGATGGAGCAGAAGAGCCGCGCTAGGCACGCGGTCATGGACGCGCTGGTGGCGAGCGGGGCGTGGAAGCCGCCCGCTTGCGGGATGAAGATGCATGAGCCTGGGGAGACGCCGACGTGTCTTAGGGTTATTGCGATTGCGAAGGCTAGTATTGATTCTTTGATCATTGCGTGAGGGGCTGGGGTTTGGGTTTGTCGTATGCGCGGTTGTGGATCGTTACCTGTTACGAGGAGTGATGAGACGGGCGTCTTGCGACGGCTTCGTTTATGATGGAGCCATCATCTCCTATGGAGATTTTGATTTCCTCAGGTCGCCGATTCTCTCACGACTAGTCTGCCGGATGATTCGGAGAGATGTTATGAAGTCATTGAGCAAGAGAGGCAGTTCTACATACGGCCAAATGCTCGCCGCCTACCTAGATTCTAGCAACGTGCTGAGCCAGGGCCGACTCAGGTGACGATGAACTGTATAACGCCGTCATTACCCGCGCCAAGGAAGGCTGGCCGATGAGAGGCGCGAGGGGGCGCGCTTCGCGTTGTCAGGTTGTTCCCCGTATCTAATACGTGTTCATCCAGCACGGGAGCGGCATGTGACGGTTGGAGGACCTATGACGGAAGAGCAACAGAGCAATGTCACGTTGGAACACGATATGGTAAACTTACGAATGCTACGACTAGGTGAATGACATTATATACGAGTAGGATCATTCTGCTCTACAATTACGAATAAAGTTGTTAAATGGATGTTGTTCGCGTTTGCTGTGGTTACAATATATGCGTGCCTACATGCTTGCTTGGCTGTATTTGCCACAGGTTTTAAGTTCACGATATCTATAGGTACCTATATTGCCTTGTCTAGCAGAAGACCTAATATATATAAACATATTATTGATGGTTGATGGGGATTTGTTGAGGTTAGTATAGGTATGTCGCCCATGGAAGACCTACATTATAGTGGGTTGAGTTAAATCAACACCGAAAGTTAAGGGGTTCAAAGTCTTCAATTCAAGTACCACTCGAGAACCTACACAAAGTTCACAAATCAGTTAGATGAGACTAAATCAGCCTCCATAACTTTGTGCACCCATTCTAGATGCTTGTGGGATTTAGGAGTTTCTAGGCGTCTTCCTAAGGCGCAGTAATCTATCTTGGGCACTTCTGGAATGGTAACGCTGCTGATCTGCAGGAGCAATCAGATTTATTTCCCCGCTTCGTTTGGCGATATTTCCAGTTAACGTCTTTGCAATATCCAATCAAAGCTGGGAAAGGGCCATGTTTGGCACGGCGCAGCTGAAGCTTTGTGTTCTTCAGTGTACTCTGTACCTGGCGCATTCGCCAGGAATGGTGAAAAGGTTGTGCTTACGTCAAAACGGAGGTTTATTTTTGGCAGCTTTGCGGCGAAGCGTAGTGTGATTCCAAGGTTCTTTTAGGTTAAACTTGTGTACCACGGCAAGTCCGCTAAAAGCCGCCAGCTAAAGCAAGTAACAGTCGGTTGTGGAAATACGTGTGGCCGACATATTTAAGCTTCAATGGATGCGCTAATCCAAGCCTCATCCCATAGAATGCTAATGTACCTAAGTGGGGTTGGAAGATGAAACGATACTTTGACTTGCTAAGGCGGTTGAGTTAGAGGTCAAGTTCCCTCTTAACTCAAGGGAGCTTTCGGAGAACCATGAAGGGTGGATGGTCAGTGCGGAGATACCATACCACTTCTGGTGTTAGCTGAGTCAAAGTCAGCGAAGCAAATGAACCAATGAACCAATCTGGCATGTCGGAAGTTTGGCCTTGCATCACTTTATGTACTTTTCCAGTACTTATTCAATTGAGGACACGGTTGTCTAGCACACATTAAAAGCGAAGAAACCGATCCGGGACATCGAATTATAATCACATCATACGAAAGGCGTATAGAATCGCCAGCTTTCCAGCTTTCTCTTTTTTAACTCTTCCAACACCTACCATCACTAACCTCGTCAACCTCACCAAACTCGGAGTCGACACCTAGGTATCCTCGGCTTGTCTCTCTCCCACTCCGTCTCTCCCTTTCTACTATTTGTCGATACCCTTTTCCTCTACTTCCGTCTGACCACCGTAGCCCCCAACCTTTCTCTACTACACCTCCCACATTGATATTTACATCCACATTCTTCGCGCAACCGTCGTCCGCATTCTCGCCGTCTCGCGCATAAACAGCTGGCCTGGGCGACATAAAACCGCGATCAACAAACAATGGCCCAGATCAGAGGTACAGCCGGCTACCACCTCGGTGGACCGAACCCCTTTGGCGGCCCCAAACCCGACGTCGCCGACCCGAGTCCTCTCGACGCGATCAGGGAACAAACCAGTAAGATCGAGGATGTTTTGGATACCATCAGTGAACCCATTAAGCCGTATGTTGAAGCGTCTTCGCCCCTCCGCACGCACTTGCTATATAAGAGCTATCTATGCGTTCTTATATTTAGCTGCTCAAGTCTAAATGGGTTGGGAAGACTAACGCGCGATTTCTTGCAGATATCTACCAGCAATTGGGCGATTCCTGATTGTTGTCACATTCCTCGAGGATGCCCTGAGAATTATAACGCAATGGAACGATCAACTGGTATACTTGAACTCATATAGGCACAGTAGGTGGTATATCAATCTAATGAGCAGAACACTCTTGTTAAACTTACCTGAATCGCCAGTCCCCAGCGGCCTGACGCACCTCTTCCTCATCGTAAACGTCCTGACAATGTTCGCCTGCTCCACCATGGTCATCATCCGAAAGCACTCCGACTACGCCGTCGCCGGTCTCATGGGAGTCGTCGTTACCCAGGCCCTCGGATACGGCTTGATCTTCGACCTCAACTTCTTCCTCCGAAATCTCTCCGTCATCGGCGGGCTGATCATGGTGCTGTCGGACTCTTGGGTTAGGAAGACCAAGGCGTTCGCGGGCCTGCCCCAGCTCGACGAGAAGGACCGAAAGATGTACTTCCAGTTGGCTGGTCGTGTTCTACTGATCTTCCTGTTCATCGGCTTCGTTTTCAGCGGAGAGTGGTCCGCCTGGCGAATTGCTGTTTCTGTCATTGGTTTGGTTGCTTGTATCATGGTCGTCGTTGGATTCAAGGCCAAGTTCAGCGCCACGCTTTTGGTTGTCATCCTAAGTATCTTCAACGTTTTGGTCAACAACTTCTGGACTGTGAGTTTCTACGCCAAAGAGGAATTCCTGTCAGTTGGGTATGCTAACATTCTGCGCAGCTCCACGAACACCACCCTCACAAGGACTTCGCCAAATATGACTTCTTCCAGATCTTGTCGATCGTTGGTGGTCTTCTCCTGCTCGTTAACAGCGGCCCGGGCCAGTTCAGTATCGACGAGAAGAAGAAGGTCTATTAGGCGACCACAGAGTTCGCTCCCGACGAGAAACTCTGCCGATGGCACTTCCGCATCGCGATCACACATGAGCATGAGCTTTAGTTAGGTTTGTCTTCCGCCGTGTGCCGATGCCGATTGGGGCAAAACACATTTTTTTGTGGCGTAACGGGCGTAGAAGCGAGGGTTTTTATTGAAGAAAAAAAGTTGATTTTTTCAGCAAGCCGGAAAGACTTGGCTGAAATTTGGGTGCGGCAACCCATATATTGCTCTCACTTAAGCTCATCATGAGAGAGGGTCTTGGCTGCGAAAGGGGACAAAAAGAACTGGGGAAGTCTATACAAATTAAGGAAATGACACTACTAGGATTATTGATATGTGTGCGTGCATCTGCATCTGTAATGTGTAGGTTTAAGAAACCATTGATTCGATGACTACCTACTTGACACTGCCCTACTAATGGAATTTCATGCGCGCTTGAAAGTATGGATCGATTGGGGCTTGTATTATATTGAAAGATAAAACGCCGCGAGGTATCGAAGCATAATGGGATTGTTAGATTGGGTACTTGATGAGTTTAAACGTGTCGCAGCTATAGCTCGAGTAGCGCAACATGGGGGTTTTATTATTATTCTTGAAGTATTGGTAGATTCGCCGCGTAGCCCTTTTCCCCCTTTCCTGCGGGAGTCTCCTTCTCGGTTTTGTGCGAGGTTCACCAGTTCGTCCGATGTTCTCATTCGATTGGTGTCGAGATAGCGAGGATACGGGGAATTTTATATTAGGCATGAGCTACAAGACATGAATATCCAGGGTCGTCTAAAGTTGAGAACTCTCGCGTGTATGTCGTGTATTTGCCCTTAGATAGGTCCTTAACTGACTCCAGCGCCACTTACAAGCCGCCTAGCTTTACTTCACATACATAATATATTAATGGTAGGATAGTTTTACACGACGATCCAAATAACAAAACCTTTTAATTATTCTATAATAATAGTAGTAGTCTTTATTGAACATAAGCGGCAGTGCTATTCCTAATAATATAAGCTATCTATAATGAACAGTATCGATAACGCATGCTTTCGTGCAGGAATAATACCCTCTCATGGAGGATCATCGTACCCGTTACGATACTACATCCTGGGTACATCCTGACGAAAGCAATGCTTTGCGATTTCGGCAAAGCTACTCGGGAGGGTTTAGATTATCACGAGTAGCTCGGACGTAGATGTCGACCGTATTGGCGGAGACCTGGGATCAAGTCCGCGATCAGCGTCGTTCTATTCTGTGCTGGGTTTAGAAAGCCGCAAAGTAGATGTCAGATAACATCTCCAGATCCACCAAAAGTTTTATCATCACGTATTTTCTCTAGAGGGTGGAGTGGTCCGTGTGGGATTCTCTAAGCTTGATATGTTGGAGATATCTTTAATCTTTGGTTACTGAGGTGACTTGCCTCGAGACAAGAGCGTGTTAGGGTTTAGAGAAAAGTTTTCCGTTTGTAGAGGCTTAGATTTTCTTGACAATGGATGGTTCGCTCGCCAGGCAGGTAGAGAGGTTGGTGGTAGGTATATCCGCGACGGTTGTTGTCAGATACACTTCCACAATTTTCATAATTTTCTTGTTATCAGGTGGTCTGTGTGTTTTGATGCCTTCAAATCTTTGGATTTCATGTGATCTCCTCTGAGACACGATATGGAGACCGTTGAAGATTTTGCAGTTAGTCTTGGCTAGAAGCTCTTAGATTTAGAAGATAGATTTTTCTTCTAAGAATAATTGAATTATCAAGCATCACATTATTCTGACAATTTCCTACCACGGATGCCGGCAAGGGAGGGAGAAAAAAAACCGCAGCAGTAGACGAAATTGCTTGGGTTCAATTGGTTTGCCGTGAGCAGCCCGAGGTTCGTTTATGTTAAAGAACTTGTCGAGGACGCTTCTTAGACCAGTTTCCCGCTTGTATGTTTGTTGCCTTAGACCGTAGCCCGTTTTTGTAGCCGGTACAAGAAGCGTTGGGTGTACTCCGTGTCGTTGCCCAAGAGAATTAACTCTGCGGTGAAAGACTTTCTGTTAGGGCGGCCTGAAAGCATGATGCTTGGTTTCAATGCTGTAATCAGGTGCATTTCCGACACGCGCAAGAGAACGATACTTGAATTGCCTTCGGTGGTTGGGATCCTCGTTGGGAGTAGGTGAGGGAACGGTGGAGGCACAGAACGGGAAGAATGTTCCTGAACGTTGAGGGAAGAGTTATCCATGGGCCATCCTATCTCGTGTAGATCTCAAAGTATGTTTTAAGAGGAAGAGTTGGAAATTCGACTTTATGCCTCTTGCAATGGCTAAGATAGGGGTTCAGGCGAATCTGTATCGATCGTAAGACAAGATGCGCTTGGAGTAGGTAGGTAATGTATGGGAGTGAATGTCTCTAATAAAGGCGATTATTTGTTGAATTCCCTATTTGAGCTTCGTTTCTTAGACGATGTAGGATTTTAGGCGTCCCGGATACGTTATTTGTCGTAGCCGGGGCTGGGTCGAACGGCAAGTCATTTCTAGTTACCGGATTCCGGGTTAGGGTTTGATATATCATTCGTTTCTTTGATATCCATGGTCGAGAATCGCAGCCGACTGCGACTCACAACTGATCAACCTGGTAGCGATTATTAAGATCTTATCTTAGGAACCGTCAAGGATTTTTGGAATTGCGGGAATAGGAAGTGTGCATAGGTAATATAATAAATAGAGTTAAGATAGCATGGCTTCTGTTTGGCAAGGAAACAAAAGAATGGATGGTGTATCGAATTAAAATGAGTTGAAGGAAAGGAATACGTGTAGAAGTAACTACACTTTATGTTATTCAATGATATAGTAGAAAGAAATCGTCGACGGAACCGAAATGAAAGTAAGAAAGGAGTGAAGTTGAGGGTGAAGAGGAAGAGGAAGAGAAAGCAGAATATCGCGGAGGAATAAAGACAGTATATAGTCGGCTGGTTCTAAAGCACATTGACGAAAATATCTTCTCGGAAGACTGGCCAAACCATGGAAATCGGAGCCCTCAATCCCTAGACGTTAACCCGCTTAATGTCTGAGACCGAAGTTGACAGCTCATAGCTAAAGAAGCTTGGAAACTCACGAGACTGAAACTTTGAACGAGCGGAGATGTTATCGTTGACGTAGCTCATAAGTAAGATCCCGATGAAGACTTCAATAGCTTCTTCGACCGCCTCTCTATGAAGTTCGAGCCAGCATCTAAAAGCGGCAGGCTGCTTGGTTGAAATTAATAGTGATGTCAACACCCTTGAAAATATTTATTAAACATACATCTCCGGGGGTACGGCGACGGCGGGGTGCCGGTCAACTGCATACCTATTAAGTTCCGGAAAGTGAAGCAATAGCTACCAACGATATCTCCCCGAATACCGTGGCGAATCCGGTTTTACAAGCGGTAAGGCTGGATGCAGCTATTTTAATAAATGACTTCCCGTTATAGGCGGGGTTAAATAACAAGTGAAGTGGTTGAGCCAGACTTGTAAAGTGGGCTTAGGCCTCCCTGCAGCGCGGGTAGATGCACTACGGATATATGTCCTTTTTTCCATGAGCGTAGCAGAAGGCTGCATGTCGGAAGAGGCGATAGCATCTTGCTCAAACGGGCGGGTAACTGCCATGCTGTTAGGCTCTGCTATAAGACATCTGTCAGGTTTCAAAGACCGTAAAGTGCATCATGAATCTATATGGTCCATAGTGAAGTTGTACGAGGTGTACGTAACCTCCCAGCCGCGTCCCTAGGCGCATACATCATCACTATAGACGTACCTAGTCAATGCCGATATCACCCAGGAAGAGTGACCCCAATATGGACTAAGACACGTTGGAGGCCGCATTTCTTTGCTGCCTATGTGAGGTAAACTACATCTCAAACGACGTCGGGTACTCGCAAGGCGAGCTGTAGAGAACATAGTTATTTATTTGTAATTGTTTTCTATGGTACATATTAGTGGCACGGCTATGGGCATCTTGCCGACTCATGTCGTTTTGACCTTAGACACCGGGGAGATGAGTCCGCTCTCCTGGACCAACTTCCACAGGCACCACAAGTAGCAGAGCGAGAAGCCGGCGGCACCGATGCCGACGTTGGCAACAACCCAAAGATCGGGTTTGTCAGGGGGTGGCGTGGCAGTGGCCTCTAGAACATGCCAAGCACCCATGGCGATGTAGAAGAAACCGTGAGTAATGGCTGTTAACCATTGAACCCATATGTTCTGTTCTTCCTCGAAGTAAGCGCTAATAGATACAGGCGGTAGGCCTAACAAATATGCCCACAACAGTGTCAGGACTGCATACGGCACGCGTAGGTCAACCCTCTGTAATAGTGGGAACATTGTCCACACGCCGACAAGGTTACCGAACCCAACCCAGGCCCTAATGTCCTTTCCTAGTCCCTGCTTTCCGGCAAGGAGTAGAGTCATAGGGAGAAGAGGAAGAAGAGCACTCTTCTCGTGGACTTGATAACTAAATAAGAAAAAGCCCCATGCGGTGGCACTGAAAGCGTATGGTAGTAATTCCTTGCGCGGCTTGAAGAATACGACCGCGCAGGGTGGAGTGATAGAGGCGAGGGTAGCCAAGAGCGAAGCTCTCTGTAAAAGTTCTGTTGGATATTTTCGCAGCTTGATGACCACGTTAGCTGCACACCAGAAGTTGGCGACCTTATCTTCGAAAAGCCCCCGCGCGAAAGGGAAGATTCGGTGAGCCATTTGGACCACCTGCTCAACCACTGGATAATATGCTGCTTCCGTATTTAGGTAGGCCGAAATAAATGTCAAGATGGGGAGTGGTGGTCGAGGTCCATCGAGATCGGGTCTTGAATTGATACCTCGGCTGGCATCATATAATGTACCTAATATTATCGGCAGTACGAGCACTGCGAAGGAGGCAAGAGTTACAGCTGCGATACCTGTGAGTCGTGCGATGTTTATTCGAGGAAATGTACAGCTTCCTAATAGGAAAGCGAATACAGCTGGCGCATAATACAGCGCCATTTGCTTGAAGCCTAGAGCTGCGACGAAGAAAATAGACGCCCACATGTATCGGCCTGCCACCATGCTTGACATGCTCGCCAAGACGAACCCAAGCATCACAGTATTGTATTGGAAGTGAACGTGGTCGATAAGTATAGTAGCCGGCTGCATGAGTATAGCGACAAGAGCTACTGAAGCTGTCCATTGAGCAACTCCAAAGAGTCTGCTATATCTCCTAACGAATATGACCGCAGCAGGTATATAAATAAGGTATTCGGATACAATGACGGTAGCTCTCATGAACACCTTGAGCGTCGGATCCTGCAGACCTCGAGAGGTGTAGAGTGCGAACCACGAAGGATTAATGAGAGAACCGACTTTGCCGAGTAGCAAGCTGTGGTATGCTGTCAAGGGAGGGTAATCGAGGCCCCACCATTGCAGGTCGTGAAAATACCATTGTGATATTGGTAGGTGTGTAGTGATCTCCATCCAATGCCTCTGCGCTTCGTAGTCTCCAAACATCGGCGGTTTCTGGAAGCCTGTAGTTAGGAAAGTGTTAGCTCAAAGCTCAAGTCTGACGCGACCATAGCTAGAGAGGCGCATTGGGCAAAGCTGTAATGGCCTTACCTGAATATCCCCATAGCCCGGCAGCCCATCTAAACAGTCCAACGACCATAAGTATGAGGGGCAGAACCTCCCATTGTGAAAGAGAGCTTCGAGCAGGCCAGAGGAAAGCCGCTAGAGGAAAGGAGGGAGTTCGGATGAGAGCTTCGGTTTTGACATTAACGGAATTGTCGAAATGCGCCGTCTTCTTATTCTTGCGCCGCGGCTTGTGCGGCGATGGTGAAGCGGAAACCATGGTCCTCACCGTCGAATTATTATGTGCTGTGTCACTGCTGAAGTCATTTGGTCACTTAAACAAGCTCTCTCTTAAATCTGACCAGGTGGCATTGAATGTTGTCGAGGTCAAGCTGAATTTGGTGTAGTCCACATTAATTGACCTTCATAAGTTCGTACCTGAGTACTTTTTTAGACAGGGGTTGTTTTCTTAGGTGCTTGTCATGAATTCAAGGCAGGGGTTGCCTTCTAGAATGAATGGAGAGGATGAGGTTGTGGCTGACGCTACGGCTAAGCATGGTATAGTGCATAGTTCAAGTACAGACCCATTTATTAAAGATAAACGGTGTGGCTTCACATAACGTCCCGCTTCAAGCATACTCCGGTTTCACAGCAGCAACTATATCCTGTTTGTTACATATCCCTTAGCATGTATTACAAAGGCATAGCAATGAACAACTCAGGCTTAAGCCAAGTCACTTGGCTTCGGTGATCTTTTGTAACAAATTCAAAAAGGCCATTTTTATGTGAAAAGAGGACTGTGTCAGTTTGAAATCCCTTCACTTGAGGTGTTGAGATTTTAAATCATATCATCGAGTCGTAAAGGTTCTTCAAGATGCCTTTCCCATTTATATTACCCACTACATCATCGTTCTCCTTCTCCTCGAGCTTCACATGCGAGTCTCACCCCTCACTACCTCTAAGTACGAGTACGCACCGAGGGGTCGTGAAAGATTCTTTGAAAAAGCATAAGCGACTTCCTGCAGCATCTCAAGGTCCTAATCTACCTTCAATACTCTCCAACTTGAATAACTATCTCCCATATCTCCTCGCCATCGATGCTGGCTTAAGTAATAAAGCGATCTCCGGAGAGGAAGTCAGTGTGGTTTTAACTTCTAATCCCACTATTGAATGGCGACCTACTTTATCAGATCATGCCGTGCCGGGCAAGGAAATAGCCAGAGTCAAAGTTCAGTCTATAGAATATGAGTTGTTCTTTGCTCTCTCCGCTGTGGGCTATACCCATACTCTGCTTGCTCGCTCTTCCCTGCATCCACTATACGTTACCTCAGGTGTACCACTCAGTGCGCAAGAACGGACTGCTGCCATAACCACGGCTACAAAACACTTGTTAGACGCCGCCTCGGTGCATGATTATCTTGCTCGTCGAGCGGAGAGTCTAACTACAACACCCCCATGTGCTGATATTTCGCAATCTACCGCCCGTGCCATGTCCTCGTTAGCCCTGGCCGAAGCAACGCTGCTTGCTGTTCTGAAGGATGATCCGTACCCAGCGGTAGTGGTGCAGGACCGGAGTGCGAACGACCGGGAGTGGATGTACAAAGCGCCCGAGATACCCAAGGTCCGAGCCCACCTCTTCGCTCGACTATGTCTCGCGGCCGCAGACCACGCAGCCCAAGCATCTTCCTTATGTCAATCGCAAGGAAGAGGTCCATCGAAGCTCAATGAGGGGTTGCTACGTTATCTAGAGGACTTTAGGAAGACGAGCCGAGCAAAGGCGTGCCGGTTCTTCGGCATAGACGCCGAGCTGGGAGGCCAGACCGGAAATGCTCTGGGTTGGCTCCGATGCGGTCTTCAGGAACTCGGGGTCGAGTCAAAAGAGACTAAGAAGGGACTTAGTTTCACGCGGATGAAGAAAGACTGGTCCGAGAGGAGGGAAGACAAGAAAGTCGAAAGGGGCACAAATTGGGGCGCGGACGCAGGTAGGGTAGAGGAGACGAGAGTGATTGAGATGCTAGAGGCGAAGTGGACTAAAATCAACGATACCGTAAGTTTAGCTGGATGAGATTTGGTGCGGTTATGACTGATTAAAAGCAGATGATGACCCAGACTATCCCGCCACCTGGCACTTTACTAGCTGGCCTTCCGTCTGGGAGAGACATGCACACTATTAAACCATACCAACTCCCAGAGCTTGGAAGGGAATCTCTCGAAGCGATGCGTGCACCTCCAGATCGGTCAGACGATTTTGGAGACGACCAATTCAGCTCGGACGACGAGACCGCCGTTGAGACGCCGGTTGGCGCATTTCCAGGCACGGCAAACGAGTATCGAAGCACGAGCACGAGGTCGTATTATTAGAGGTGTCTGTCTCTTAGTGAAGCAGGGAGGAACATAGCCTACATCATGTCGCTCTTCAACCAATGCATATGTTTAATAGAGTCCAGGTAGGAATGGGCGCATAACAGCATCATGTTCCATGTTGGCATAGGTATTATATACAGATAGCCTGAGAGGCAAGTATTTACCGTGCACTTTGTATTATTCATTTGTTTTCTAACGAGAAAATAGCATACAGGATTTATGGTATTTAGGAAATAGTTATGCCCACTTGGTTTTGGCAACATAGAGTATGGTCGTTAGCTACGATATAGGGAAGCAAAGCCCGCCTTAGGTTTCCTGGCTCATTTCATAGTAACGGCTTTTCGAGCAAGGATAACTCATGTAGACCTTGAAAGTAAATATCGAACAATTTATGAAAACAATGCTTGAATTATCTCACTTCTGACACAAAATTGCTCCGAAATTTCTATCCAGAGCTGCCAATAGCTGAGGCCCGACTCATATGACACCCAAGCATTGCAATCTTCAGTCGTTAACAGTCCTTGAAATTTCTTATGACTTTCATTACTCTATTGTCCCTGAGTAAACTAACCATCCCGGTACATTTTCCCATCAAACGCCGTTCGTCGGAGGTGTCATGAATAGAACTCCCTTCTAGCATGCATATACACCTCCACATGCAAAGCAAAACCCCCTATCTCACCTCACCCCTTACTTATCTCTCCTCTTCAATGCCAGCCACATAATCCCGAATATGAACCCCCACTTAATAAGTGTAGACCATATTCGTGACCTGCGGCCTCAACACTTGGCACTTCTTCTTCAGCGTCTTGACCGCCTCTAGGAACAGCTCGTCACTATCCCACTGCCCGGTACTCTCGATCGAGAAAATGAAGTGGTCCCTCCGCCTGCCCAGCTTAACCTTGCCCTCGAACTCAGGGTGTCTCAGCACCTCCCGACTCACCGTATCGCGCATGGGATCCTTAACGACGGCCTTCACCTCGCCCTCGCGGCCCTCGTACCCGCTCCCCTTGACCTTCGCCTCCTGGCGCGTGACGCGCTCGAGGTCCACGACGCCCGGCATGAAGCAACCCGCGAACTTCTCCGCGTCGTCCCCCAGAATCGGCTTTGTTATGGTGATCGTGGGCATGAGCCGGTAGCTGGCGGTCGCGACGGGCGACCACTTGGCGTGGTCCCAGCCGAAGCCCTTGTGCATGTGCATCTCGATATCGACCTCCTGGCCCGGCCGCAGCTTCGCGATCAGGATGTCCGGGTTGCACGGGCGGATGCGGTCTTCGGCGCTCGAGAAGTACTTGGGCTGGCCGCCCAGCATCTCGCACGTGATGTCGCGCGCGTACAGATGCGCGCTATGGTACAGCTCGCGCGGGTCCGTCGATCCGGGGGGCGCGGACTTGTTGTGGCTGCACGCGGCCTTCAGCTTGAGCGAGATCGTGTTGTTGTCGAAGGTCGTGTCGTAGGTCCCCTCGCCCTCGGCCGGCTTGCGCCAGAACCCCATCCACTCCCGCAGCCCCTTCTTGCCGCCCGTGAAGGGGATCAGGCCGAGGCGGTGTGCGAGGACTTCGTCTTGGATGACTGAGGTGTTGTTGTGGATGAAGACGGTGTCGATGGCGAGGGTCGGGATCTCGGCGATCAGGATGCGGCGGAAGGCGTTGGCGATGGAGGCGTCGACGCCGATGAGCGAGAACTGCGCTTCGAATTGCTTGTTCTCATGCCATTGGACCTTGAAGTTCTTCCGGAAGACTTCCTTGTCCCAGGCTTGGTCTTCGTTGGCGTAGTTGTCTGGGTAGTCGTTTGAGACGGTGTTGGTTATTGTCTCTTTGTTTATGCCCACGGTCTGGTTTTCATGTTAGATCACTTAAGTAGATGCCGGTGTCATAGGAAATGGTAACGAACATTTCGCTCCTCCAATTCTTCCGCACTAGGCGGGTGTCGCCGTCCTGACGAAGGTGCCATGATGTGTGATTTGTGAGTGAACGAATAGCTTGCAGAGGCAGATTGTATGTCTTGAGGAAAAAAATGCGATTGAAAGAAAAGTTACTATCTTATCTTAGATAGCGGGGAATTGCAGTGTCTTATCGGTTATCACTAGACCCACCCTGTCATTTTCGTAAGCCACCCCTCTAGCTCCTGCTGTGCCTGGCAGCCACGACTGATTGTGCCCCACATCCAAAGGTATAAATACCCAGATCTCCTCTCGCCTTTTTCCCTTTCTCTTCCTTTCTTCTTCATACTTACCTTGTTCCGCTAACCTTGGCTCAAGAATCAGGGTTAGCAAGTGGGAAGACCTGCATTGCACATCGCGGAGTCGGCCCTCTTCTATTATCCCTCGTGGATCGTAGGGAGCGCAATTTTTGTTTTCTTCTATTTTCATTGTGAGCAGTGCCTTGATGCATTGCCATAAAGAAGATGGCCTGGTTGGAGCTCCTGATGAGAGTGATTTTACGCCTCTAGATGGCTAGACTATGTTTACGGTTTGCGATCAATCAAGCATCGTCGCAAGTCCAGCTTCTAGTAATCTCACATGGTATTCGAAGCTGCTGAGTTCATGATTTCTACCATGTACACCAGAGCGCGTATATATTTTCAACCCAGACGCCATCTTCGTGTCTTCTATCACAGCTAGAGTGTGAAATAGCATAATATTACACAGCATACATAACCCATCGCCAACGACGCGTAATACTTAACTAGAACCGCTCAGAACAGCTTTATCCCATTCCCAGCCGCCTGATCCATGAAGAAATTCTTGACGGGCCCCAGCGCATTAATCGCATTCAAACCCAACGACCTTAACGGCACTAACGGCCCGCTACCCACGGAATACACCTTATGCAGCTTATCGCACACGCCCAGCAGCACATGGTTCGGCCCGTACCTCTCCGCGTTATACGGCTCGAGCGACATCCGCGCGCCGATGTCCTGGCCGTGCGAGACCGCGTACTCGATCGTTCGCGTCAGCGACTCGACGTCGCCCTGCCCTTGGTTGAGTCCTTGTCCCGCGAGCGGGTGGATCGAGTGCGCGGCGTCGCCGACGAGCGCCACGCGCTCCCCGATATACGTGTCTGCGTGCCGCATTTTCAGCGGGAATGATGCTATCGTGCCTTCCTGGACGCCGACGACGGTTTGCGGTATGGCCTGGTAGTTGAACTGCGTGTGTTGCAGCCTCCAGGCTAGCTCATCGACTTGTCCGGAGCTGAGGGTGTGCATGAACGCGAGGTCCACGGGGTTAAGGCGGAAGGCGGCGTTGACGAGGGCGATGAAGTCTTTTGCGGAAAGGGTTTTGAGGAGCGCGGCGTTCGAGGGCGTGGTAGACCAGACGAGTGTTGACAAATTGCCGGGGAGAGGGAGCATGGCAACGGGGCCCGTAGGTAAGAATCTCTGGTATGCGATTTTCAAACCATCTCCACCCCAACCCTCTCCCTCTAACTCCAACGTCGCGACAACACCATGTCGTTCGTAATCCCATCCCCTACTCTCGATCCCAGCGAACGCTCTCACAGGACTATTAGCACCATCCGCGCCCACCAGCAGCCTCGCCGCCAATTGCTTCCCCCCAACCAAGTTCACCACCGGCCACTCGCTCAAATCCAGGTCCTCCGTCTCCCCACCAAACCCAATCCCCTCAACCTTCGCCCCATCGAAAACCTCCACACCCCCCAACTCCTCCAACCTGCCCAGCAACCCAGACGTCAGGTTCAGGTTCTCCGTCATATACGCGATCGTGCCTCCTCCGCCGCGGCGCTTATTATCCCTAGCCCACTCGAACTCGATCCGCGCGTCCGTGACGCCGTCCCAGACCTGCATCTCGTGGTACGCCTGCACGCGCTCCCTCTTCACGTGCGCCCATGCCCCGATCCCGTCGAGGAACTTCGCCGAGGCGGGCGTCAGCGAGCTGCACCGGTTCGAGAAGCGGTCCGGTGGCATCTTCCAGGCGCGCACTTTGCGCAGGTCCTGCGCCTCGACGAGGGCGACTCGCAGGTTGGCCGTTACCGGGTTCGCTCCTGTTTCCTTAGTATTAGCCCAAGTTCTGGCATTGGCGTGGGGAGGTAGGTAGGTAGGTAGGTAGGTATAGGTGGACTTACTCAACGCGGTAAGAAGACTGAGACCGGCCGGACCGCCGCCCACGCAAACGACATCGTAGATTTCGGGTTGCTTGGAGCTGGCGCTGGCGAAGGATCGGGTCGCCCGGGGCGCGAGTCGACGGATACAGGTCCTACATAAGTTCGGGAGTGGCCGTCGGAGCTGGCGGCTGGATAGGACGACGAAATCCATTTTGTCGGAAGTCCGCCGTGCGCAAAAGCTGTTCAGGATGGAACGATGACCGTCACTTTTTGGAGGAGCTTTAGCATGGGGAAGCAAGGGTGAGTTTAGCCGGAGATTTGCCGACCAAGTATAAAGGCAATTTCCTACACCACGAGAACTCGATATTCTTTGCTACGATGGTTCATTGGAAATCATTCGGGTGTAAAACAATGTATTCAAACCAATCTTATAATTATCCCAATATCTGCTATTCCGTACACCCCAAATAAAAGCCTGGTTTCCCAATTTCCTATGACTTCAACGTAGGTATACAAGCCTCCCTGATTTCATCCCAGCCTGAGCAGGATATAAATACTCTACCTATGAAAAACAAAACCGGCCACCCATATGATAAAGACTATACTAGGCCTCCGTTGCACATCTACGATGTTCTTAATAGTAAGTGGTCGAGGTTACTATCACGCCAGTTTTTATGGCGCAGGGCTCCTCGTGTGATCTTGAGTATCATAATTCGAAGTTGGCGTGGGGCTCACATACGGCGGCTCGGCAGCAATTGCTTCGTTACCGTCATCATTAGCTTCACAAAGAACAGCACAAATCTCAGGTCATGAAGGGTAGCTCACCTCCATCTCCAGCCTCACTAGCAGGAACACCGGTCCCAGCACCCGTCGTCGTCTCCTCTTCGACGAGGGAGTACGGCTCATCCACGTTCTTGTCCCAGGCCTTCAGGTCGTCCTCGGCATCGTTCAGGACCTGGCGTGCCGCAGCCCCGTTCTGGTAGGCGCGGCGGGGATCGCCAGGCGTGACGGGGGAGTCGTCCAGGAGCTCGAGGAGCCGCCGGCCGTGCTTGGCGAGGATGATCTGTTTCTCGGCGCGCTCGATGACGGCGGCGAATTCGGTGTCGTAAGATTCCTTCAGCTTGTTGCGAGTCTGTTTCCGCGGACAAACCACGTCGCATTAGCACGTGCCCCTACCTACCTTTCTAGCAGTCTATTTCCACAAAAAATAGCAGAAGGGGAAGGACGAAAAATGAAAAGACAGGAATGATAGAAACATACAATATTCGTCAACTGCGCCTCGGCAACCAAATTCTCCGCCTCCGCCCTAACCAGCTCCTGTTCCAGAATGACCAGGCGCGGGCTCTGCGGCTCCTTCAGCTTCAACCTCTGAATCTCGTCGGCGATCTTGCCCTTCGCGTCGCGGCTCGGCTGCACGCTCTTCTCGGTGTTGCGGATGGTCTTGAGCACGGCGCGCGCGTCGTCGAGGCCGTGCGCGTACGCGTCCTCCTGCGCGCCCAGCTCCGACAGCACGACCCCGACCTTGTCGCTGATGTCCGACACCCCCTCGTCGCCCGTCTGCTCGCCCCACTCCGACAGCTGCTTCGCGATCGACTCGCGCTCGCGCCCCGCCGCCTCGTGCGCCGACACCAGGTTGTTTGTCGACTTGATCAGCTGGTACAGGCGCCGCGAGAGCTCCGGCTGGATCGACCCCCGCAGCGAGGCGAAGGAGAAGCCCTTGCGTTTGGAGGGGCCCGGTGTGCTTGCCGTGCCGGGCGTGCCGGTTTTGGTGGAGCGGATGGAGAGGGAGCGGTTCCTGGGGTTGGTGGTCTGGGTTAGTTTATCTCAATCCTCGTAACTGGGTATGTTGGGGAGGTAATTGGGCTAGTAGAAGGTTTACAAGTATGTTGACCCCAGAGATCGAGTGCTCTCCTGACGGCGGAGCTGGGATTTCCTCTCCAGCTCAGAGACGCCTCTTGAATTGCCATTGAAGAATGTGAAATCCATTTTGACCTACATGATGAATCCCAGGAAGAAGAATTTAGCGTATCTGGTTGGTTTTTGCTTTTGTTCCTAACAGCTGCAGGTTGTTAGCTAGGTAGCTACTTCCGTTATTTTTCTTTTCATGCTTTCGCCATTTTCGAAGCGGTGATTTCCTATTTCGGCCATTATAGTCCTACGAAACCCCAAGTGCTTCCCATTGTTTTATAACGCAGTTACACAAAGCTAAAACCTTTGGGTAAGGCACGAAGTTCCTTATGTCTATTCTCTGGATCGCAGCTACATTGGAATGATATAAGGAGATATCCGTTGGACTCACAGAATATTTCCTAATCGCTGTTGCAGATGTCCGACGTTACCTATAGGGTGGGGCGGAATATGTATCGTGTAGATCGATCGGTATACTGGAGCCGGGGTTTATTACAGGAACAAACAAGAATCAGCTAATAGTATCAATTTATTCGTGTTGTACATTCAGAAATTCGACAATAGTAATACAATGGTATATTTTCAAAAGATAGGTAGTGCATTAACCCCTCTTCTAACCGATCTTACTTAGTACCACACCATGTACATCGCATCAATGATCACATCCACATCCAGAACGAAAGTGCAGAGCCTCGAATACGCAATACGGGAGATGACGAACGAAGGGAAGCTAAAGAACCATTCATGATGTCATTTTTTTGCATTTCTCTAGAATGTGCTTTGGAGCTGTAAACCGACACCCCGCTTGGTCCGAGCGCCAATATTCGCTATTGCCCCTTATCCCCTTCCCCTTTCCCCCTATCTCTCCCAATGCATTCCAAACATCCTGTACTAAAAACTCCCAGGATAAGAAAACTCGTCAATCGTTCAAGTGCTCGTTCTAGAAGCGAATAATTATACCCAATATTAAATATCTTTACGTCGAAATATGTATTCCCGGCCCGAACTTTTACTATGTGTTTTTATGTGTGCATTGTATTATGGTGTATGTGATGGTTTATAGTCGTCTTAAATGACGGTTGGAATGTGTTGGTGCAGAGTGTTTTGGCGGCAAGCTCGCTTCTTAGGTGTACCTCGTCTGGCTGGTCCTCTCGTAGACCACAGGAGCGCTACGACGGTAGCTAGTCGTACTGACGCGGGGGCTGTGAGTTGTGTGGTGCGAGTGATAGCTAACCCTTGGCGTGGAAGAGCGGTGGTGGTGATGGTTGTGTGCTTGTCTCACTGGGATGTACTCCTCGTGGTAGTAGTACTTCCGCGAAGGTTCAGCTCGGAAACACATCTTCTCTCTCTCGGTCGTATGGATGGAAACGTGGTAGCTCATAAGTCCTTTTGTCTTGGGTGTATATTACTGAATTATACACAAGACCAGGGCTTGTTGAAAGTTCCGATATAATATGTTGTATTGTACTCGAAGGGTGTAGTGAATAGGTAGTTGAAATTACCGGGTAATGGGAATAACGTCTTTATAACTGGATCGAACCGAGTGTATGGATGCAGATGCAGATAGAATGGATGGGATAGTAAGTTGATTCTAGAAGTCAAGAGAGCGGAAGCCATAGGTATTTATGCACCCATCTTCAGATGACCTATGACTATGACTATGACCCAACTATCCAACTCAGCCTTGCTGACCCAAAAGCGTCACGAGGAGGTCGCTTCGGTGTAACCGTCCTACGCTTACACATTGAAAAGAGCATCTTGGCATGCGTCCTAGATCATTGGCGCCGAGTTCCCAGTTCTCGAGATCCTCGAGAGGATCCTCGCACCCATCCCAACTTTCCATGCTGTAATCCCTGCAGCCGATTTTCGATATGCTAGCGATATCGAAAGCTGGCATGTATCATAAAGCAGGTAAAAAAGGAACTTGGTCGTACGAGGAATGCAGGAGCCTTGACATCGTCTGCGCCACACACGCAGCCTATCACGATCTAGAAGCGGTCACTGCCGGAGGGCGGGACAGCGGAAGAAATCTTGCCAAGAACACCGTCACTCTGGTTCTTGCGACTTGGACTTACACTGCTTTCGCGACCTCGACACGAACAGGTTGAACCCGGTCGTGGCGACCTATGATACGGAATGGATCGTTGCATTCTCTGCAGCTGGGCGAACATGGCATCTCACCCAGCTTATCTGGACCTCTCGTGTGAAGAACCGGGGGCTTTTGACACTCTGCTGTGCCTTATTTCGTGTCTACGGGCGCATATCCATCGTGATGCCGTGCTTAACAAAATACCCACCAAGTCCACCTATAGCACATCACTTAATTCCGCCTCAATAAATCCTTGCAGATACAGTCCCCATATATAGTGGAATGCGATCTCTGGTTTACTGGTCCATCTGAACCATTATCATGCTTCTTATTGAGATAATCACATTCTTTTTTAACAGCCGCAGCGATGTCCCGGTTCTGCACTTTTTGCATTCCCGTTCCGAAGATGTCTTAGTAGTATGACCTATGATGCTGTGCCTACGTCAGCCTGCAGCTTTAATCACAAGCCAACTCCCACCAAAATATCATCAAGCTAATTTAGCTCCGTCGTATAGTGCTACCACCTCAAATTAGGACCCTTGGACCCTGTAAATCCAGGTATTTGCCGACAATTCCTTGTTCTAGGTGAGTATCTTGAGTATACCTGTTCACCGGAATGGAGCGATGAGCTCACCTTGGCGGGTCTGATAATATCTGGTTTAATCGCCTTTGCCTACGTAGGTAGTATTTCTTCGGCATGAAGAATGTTAAGTGAAGTTGGAAATTTTCAATTCATTTCAGTATTCATCGCGCCGGAGCTATGCTCTGGGCTACTCTAGAATTTTCCCAGGCCACCATAAAATCCTTTTGGAAAACCTGTAATGTACACACATACGCATATGTACCTAGTCCCAAAAAGAACCAAACGCCCTTTATTTCGTCGAGAACTTCACATCCACCTTGGAGATCGCCCACATCCCAACAAATAACGCCACCATGCTTGAGAAGACGATCAATGGCTTGCGAAGGCTGGCCGCCAGCGAATAATCGTAAGATACGATAAGATCGCGGCTTCGGAAGTCGTCCACCAAGTTCCTCGCTTTGATTGTTAACACTGTGCGACCGATAGTGTCCAAATATGTCTTTTGCTTATCGACTGTGAAATCGGTAATGGACGACTCAGGAACCGTCGTATAGAAACGAACGTTACTACGACATTGTTAGTATATATTTAATTGAAAAAGTCACTAGTGGACACTCACTCAGCACCCTCAGGTAGAAGTACGCGAACTTGGACTTGTTCATACGCGGTTCCTTCAGGCTGCTTGGGTCCCTCAATGAAGGGCACATTCAATAGATAGCTGTCACCAGACTTCTTTCGCAGAAAGCTCTTAGCATCTGCGTTCCAGCCAATTGTGAATGGATACTTCCAACCGCCGAAAACGGGATAACGGGGCTTGAGTTCGAGCAAAGCCTCTCGTCGGTTAGAACGGAAGCGCGAAGTCGACACGTTACCAATCGCATCCGTAAAGTAAGCATCCTTACTTCCAACCCGAAGGGGAACCTTAATGTCTTTCAAGGCGTACGACTGAGGGTTGAAGTACTGGGATTGCGCAAACTTGACCCTGTTAAACTGAGATGAGAGATTTGCGCCGTGGTTGTAAAGAGTGTATCGCTCTTCGAATGCGACGTTTCCTCCCCAATGGCTGACTTCGACGTCCCGCTCATATAGCGACACGTGGGTAACGGGTTTCGTAAACTCGAACCTCACCTTCGCTGGGGATACTGCGCCGGCTGGGACCTCGGGGAAGGGGCCGTAGGTAAGCTTGGAGCCTTGCTTTTGAGGGAATTCCTTGACATCGCCGCTACCAGCAATCTTGGTATAATCGGGAATATCAGAAGATGGAAGCTTAATCTCAGTCTTCTGCTTCAACGTGGGATAGGCTGACGGGGCATATGCCGAGAACTGGTAGACGAGGTATTGCTTATCGGATTGCTCGATCGCAGCCGGTAAGGGTGAGTAGGTGTCAAGGTAGTAGAACGTGATACCTAGGGTCTGTTGACCCTTGGCCGGCAAGGGTGCGGGTAGTCGAATGCGATAGTATTGGATATCACTAGTATTCTGTCAGTAACTAGAATATGGCGACCTCAAATGAAATGCAAGTCCCCTTACCTCGATGGGTCGAATTCGACAACCTCTACGACAAAGCCAGATATGCTAGAATCTTTTCGGTCCTTCACCTCAATACCACCGGCTCGTTCTAGCTGCGCATTCGTAAATGGGAGGAAGTATTCATCTTGAGGTTCCGATGATACGTTCTCGATCAAAACATTGATAGCCTCCCTCGCATAATTCTTTTCTAAAGAGATGACATGCACCAGGTTTGCATTCTTAAAGACCTGGGGTGGCTTGAAGGTGGCCGGAAGGATGACTTTCGACGACGATGGACCAGCTGTGGTAGCTTCACCAAAGACCTGCGAAAAGAAAGTGAGGCAGGTAGCTGCGACCGCAGAGAACTTCATGACGAATAAAGACCGAATGGGCTACTCATGAAAAAGATGAGTAGCGCCAATGGATGTAAATGATCAACGGCGTTATGGTTTTGACTTAGACAGCTACATGTGGCTTTTCGACGTAGAGCTTCCAAGGTTCTAAAAGGTAAGGTACACCTTTCAAAAAGTTACAGCTTACGTTGCCAATGCGCGTCTGAGCCGACTAAACCGGGATTGAGGATGTACGTTATTCCGTGCGCAGTCACAGATGACGTTAGACCGCTTTTAGTTAGAGCTGCACGGCAGGATACGACAGGGTACGGCAACCCCATATTTTTGATGGAGCCAATTGTCCGGACCTGTCACGTTTTGATAAATTTAAAGCTTCGGGAACCTTGATACTTTAGAAAATTGAACTTTCTCTTCGAGTTGTACATGCTATGCTGTATTAAAGACTCAACATCACATTACCATCAAATAATCACATGTGATATTTCTAATTAAACATACCAAAGAATACCATCTAATATTACGGATATAACAAATAAATCGCTCAAATCCCTCTACAGCCTTATCTATCCCCAGTAATCCCCCACGACGGCATGGTCCTAAAGGATTGAAGGAGACGTGACAAACTTTCGATGTGGAATGCGGGGTGACAAGGCACCAAGCTTTAGATTTGAATAATCTCAGCTTACACGGGGCTTGGTACCTCTTACGGAGTTCCATCCTGATTCTTGACGGCGCCTATGTATGTCCGGAGCTGCGTAAATCACACGTAGATACTTACACTTACACATGTACATTTGTGATCCTTCTGGAATCGCCCATTGTCCCGAACGGACGGATGGCGTTATGAACTTAACTTTAAAATTGAGCACACCGCTGTTGTGGTCCACTTTCAAAGAGGCTCTTTTGATAGGAAGATCAAATGAAGGAAGTTACATCTGTGTAATGCCATGAAATTGTTGGAAGGCGTTCGAATTAGGTACAATAAGACGGGCAGAGAAGCTACGGAGATACGCATGTACTTACATTGCGCCAAGTGAGGTAACTTGGTGGGGTCTAGCTCCACTCAGCCAACCCAAGCCAAGCATAGCATTCAAGCCAATAAAAGTTACCAAGATTGGCAATAAACCAATCAATTAATGAAACCTAAGTTTGTGGGTCGATGATGGAGGGGCAATTGTCGTCAAGCTTAAATTCCCCTCATTATTGAAAAGACCTTAAGCTCCAGTAGCAATCTACTACGACGTCTCGCTTTTCTCTCTTGTATGTCAAGATCATGCTGAGCTGAGTAAGTTTTACCTCCTTGACTCGGGAACGGCCGTCTCCTATTTGTCCCAAGCTCCGGAACAACCATGCCTGCCCTGAAAACCCTCACTATTTATTAGCTAGCACATGGCACGGCCGGGATTGTTTGCTCAACATCTTTTCTTCTGACTTCATTTTTCCACTCTTATATTTGCTATATCGTCGATCACGCTAACACCGCAGTTCAGATATCTAAGTTATTTGAGGTATTGTATCTTGTCATCGACATTTCTTGGATATTATTAGAAATTTATTATCAAAATCAAAATGGTCGGTCTCGGACCTCGAAAGCCACCATCCCGAAAGGGTATGTATAATGCTGTCTTCAATATTTGATTTCAGCTTCAACTTTAACCTTGTCTTCATGGATTTTTGAAACCAAGGGCGGAAGTTACACCAGAGACACTTTAACACTTAAGATGTTTAACTGGGGTATACCCCTTTTGTTACTCGTTGCACCTTCTTTCCCTGAGTAACCAGATGAATGGGATTCGGTTTAGACAGTTGTACTGTTACACATGACACCAAGCATCTATGAGCAAAGTTGCTCCTTCCATGGAGAGTGCAAACATTACTATTTAACGCTAGACTGGGCTAAGACAACGTGAGCTCATCAAAGTCTACGTGTTTATATGAGCCTCAGTCTGATCTATCACAAATTTCAAAGCCATATATTCCACAAGTTTTTTTCCCCCTACAATATAACTTTTCATAATGCTCTGCTCTCTCCCCTAAGATATTCTTATTCAACCTCTCTTTATCTTACTGAATTCATCTATACTATTTATTATTACTACTTAAAAAATCATTATGGAGGCTGGACAGAGACCATCTGCGCTTGGTCTGGGAACGAAGCTCGGTTCATACCACCATCACCATCATGGAAAGTCCCAAGATGGATTAAATGGTTATTCACTTCATCATGAGTTAAATTGGTCCAGTATGCTAATGTTGAGTACTGTAGGATCGATGGCCGATGTGCCAAAAGACCTTCTCTCCGAGATTAAGAAGCTGGAAGATCTATTCACTGTCGACAAGGCCAAGCTCAAGGAAATCACCACGCACTTCGTTTCGGAGCTTGAGAAGGGTATTTATTATTCCTATTTTAGCATGAAGCCAGTACTGACAGCTTGATAGGTTTGAGCGTAGAAGGTGGCAGTATCGTAAGTTCCAGGCCTAACAGATATACACCTAGAAAAAAATTTCATGGGCAACTGACCTATCACATAGCCAATGAACCCAACATGGGTTATGGATTTCCCAGACGGATCTGAGACTGGCACCTACTTGGCTCTTGATATGGGTGGTACCAACCTGCGTGTTTGTGAGATTACCTTGACGGATAACAAGTCGGAGTTCGATATTATTCAATCCAAGTACCGCATGCCTGAGGAGCTGAAGACTGGCGAGTCTGAGGAGCTTTGGGAGTACATTGCCGATTGTCTGAAGCAATTCATCGAAACTCACCACGGCGAAATTCCTGCATCGCAAGGAAAGATCCCGCTTGGTTTTACGTTCTCATATCCTGCTACTCAGAACTACATTGACGAGGGCGTTCTACAACGGTGGACGAAGGGGTTTGACATCAACGGTGTTGAGGGCCGCAACGTCGTACCGCTTCTAGAAGCTGCCTTGGAGGCGCAGGTAAGTTATATCAGAGAATGATCACAGGTTATCCAATCACAATATTGACGGAAACACAGGAAGTTCCTATCAAGGTGTCGGCTTTGATCAATGATACTACGGGTACTCTTATTGCTTCTGCCTACACTGACCCGAAGATGGCCATCGGATGTATTTTCGGAACTGGATGCAATGCTGCATATATGGAGAACTGCGGCTCCATTCCTAAGTTGGCTCACCTAAACCTGGACCCGAACTGGCCGATGGCTATCAACTGTGAGTGGGGCGCTTTCGACAACGAGCACAAGGTCCTTCCACGAACTCCTTACGATATCATCATCGACAAGGAATCCCCTCGACCGGGACAACAGGCTTTCGAGAAATGTATAGCTGGTCTCTATCTCGGTGAAATCTTCCGACTGATTTTGGTCGATTTGCATGACAACAAGGAAGTTCACATTTTCGAGGGACAAGACATCAAGTACCTTCGAAAGCCGTACACCCTTGATTCATCCTTCCTCTCGGCCATTGAGGAGTACGTCATCATATGAATTTTATTTGATCCTTTTCAGCTGACCCTCGGCAGTGACCCATTCGAGAACTTGCAAGAGACTGCAGATCTATTCCAAGAGAAGCTCCACTTAACAACTACTCGCCCCGAACTTGAGCTGATCCGCCGAGCTGCTGAACTTATCGGCACACGTGCTGCTCGGTTGTCTGCCTGCGGTGTTGCCGCCATTTGCACCAAGAAGAACCTCCAACCATGTCATGTGGGTGCGGACGGTTCCGTGTTCAACAAATACCCGCATTTCAAGGCCCGAGGCGCGCAAGCTCTCCGAGAGATTCTTGACTGGCCAGCAAAGAAGAACTCGAAGGAGGAAGATCCGGTAGAGATCCTCGCCGCAGAAGACGGAAGTGGTGTTGGCGCCGCCGTTATCGCTGCTCTGACACTGAAGAGAGTGCAGAAGGGTAACGTCGCCGGTATCCTGCACCCTGAAAACTTCAAATAAGCAGTAGGGTTATTGGAAGAGACAGCGTAGCTTATTTACAGGAAAATAACGGCATGTCCCTAGAAGGTTAGACATAGAGAAGGCGGTCCAAACACAACAGAAAAACGATTGGTGTCTGGCTACGGGACTAGAAATAAGATGTGGTATGGAGTTATCCCATAAGAGTGCAGGTGGGAAGTCGGTATTCTGTCACGAGTTAGCTTGCTATTAAAATGGAGGAAGACAAAAAAAAGCGTGGGTTGACTCACTGTCCAGAGTCCAATAACGTCTCTTAACGTCTTTCCATTCTCCTTCGCCTTCATTTTCTAGATCCTTCATGTCTACATCTAACTCTTGCCATTCAACATCCATACCCGCATCGCTGAGGTGCATCTCAACAACTTGAGTATAAACATCGTAACAGATCTTGCGATCAGCGCCCAAACCATTGAAGAAGCCGAATCGGCCTTCCTCCTCGAGTAGACTAGGGACATACTCGGTGAAGAATAAACGCAATTGGTTGTAATCCTCGCCGAACGTGTCGAAATAGATAGCATCGTATGTCTCACCCTGCTCTAGCAGCTTAGGAACCACGTCTTGCCATTTTCCGGCGTGGACCTTGTAAGCACCGTCACTTGGGCCGCCAGCTTCCCATTCCTTTCCGAACTTTGAGTCGGAGCCGTTAATGTGCTCTAAGACGGCTGGATGCGCCTCGATGATGTGGTGTTTCGAGGGTTTCGTTTCAGCGAACATAGAGTCGATGATACCCATGCCGAAACCAATGTTCAGGATCTTGCGACCAGCTGGAAGGTCTGGCAATAGGGCGTCGACGGAAGCGCGCATGATGGATGTTTCCCAGGCCACTGATTGGAAATAGGGGTTAGCGAATAGGCATTTCTTAGAATTGGACTATCTTGGAGAACTAAAAGGGAGTGGGTTAACCAGCACGTACTCATTACGCCGTTCTGAGCGGAATCCACCAGCTTGCCATCGCTATACGTCAAGTTCGAACGCAGATAATCCTCACTGTTGACATTCGGCCCCTGAGCACGTTTCGACACGAAGACATGCTCTTCCTCCCCTACAGCAGCAGCTTCCTCCGCACCGCCGGCTTCCGCTTCGGGCTTTGCACCCTCTCCCTCTTCCTCGCCTAGCACCTCTTCGTTAGACCCATCCTCCTCATCCTCCTCATCCTCCTCTCCATCGTCAGACTCAAGCTCCTCATACCCATCCAACAACCCGAACAACAGCTCGGCCCGCACGCCCGCCTCGATGCACAGCGTGTACAGACCCTTCAGCCCCAGCCGCGCGGCCACGCAACCCGGCGTCTCGTCGTTGTCGTCGAGCCCGTTCCAGATCCCGCCGCTCATGAACAGCTCGTGCACGACGGCCTTGGCGTGCTCCTCGACGTCCGTTGCCGCGTCGCTGCCGCCGCCGAGCTCCCCCTGGTTCGCGGGCGCGCAGGACCGGACCGCGGCGTGGAGGGGCGATTCGCCGGTCGTGGGCTCTTGCACGCGCGCGCTTTCTGGTGCGGTGAGGAGGGGCTTGAGGCCGGATAGGTCGTGGTGCCAGGCGTGGTAGAGAATTTGGGAGATGGGGGCTGGGCAGGAGGCTGGGATGCGGATGTCTATGCTGTCGTTGGGGGGTTTGGACGCCATGGTGCTTGAAGTAAGGAGGGCGATTGTGAAGCTCTCACGTATACTCCTTATAGTGGTGTAGCTTGTCGATGGCGGGGTAGTGAAGAATATCGAGGGTTCGTAGCTAAAACGGCATTTTGTTGGTGGGGTAGCGGAACCAATTCCACTTTATACCGTGCAGTAATAAGAGATACTGTATTTCCTCGGTCTTTCCAGTTCCTACAGCGATTGTAGACGCTAAAGTCTGTCGCTGGAGCCGCTAAGATTTCAGCTTGAGTCTGGACTTACACGTGCTTTTCGAGTCGTGGTTGATTGGCCAATGGCAGCTGAAAAGCTTTTACTGTGGAGGACTGCAGGTGGGGTCATTTGGCAAGTACTACGTACCTTTACCATGTATCATGACGCGAGGTTGGTCGGGACTTTCCAAGCTTCATCCTATTCTTTTGCTTCCCATCCTCAACCGATCGTGCAGCTTTTCAATTGCTGCGCATATGTACTACTACTTCATTACCCACGCTACTCTGTATTTTATTACGTACCACACCTCGTAGATATAGTGTTGGATTAGTTTCATCAAGCGTCATTTTCTCTTTGCAATTTATTATTAATTTTTCCCTCTCTCTTTTCTATTTTGGTTGTAACCATACGTTACGGAGGGCACGCGATACACCCGGACTCGATTCGCTGTAGGCATTGGACGGTTAGGATAACCCCCTCTCTTATCAATTCAACTGCTACTCATTTCGTATGTTAATATGACGCTGATAAGATCAAATTCTGCCCGTATATATGTCTCCCCATGCTAATTATTGAAGATTTGATAACAAGGAGGACCTCTTGGATTTCAACTCGACGCGGCGAAGATAAGAATTGGCGCGCGAAGCCTGGATTGATCGTCATGAAGTTCGGAGAGCAGCTGCGGTCTAGCATCATCCGCGAGTACCAATGGTACTATATCGATTACGATGGACTCAAGGCCGAGTTGAAGACCGCTTCGGGACCGCTCGTAGACGCCGATGATAACTCTTCGAGGAATAAGAAGGGTAAGGGAAAGGGAAAGATCAATGGCCAGCAGAAGAACAGATGGACCGAAGAGGATGAGCAACGATTCATCGCCAGGCTCTACGCGGAGCTTGACAAGGTCTATACCAAGACGAAAGTCAAGCAATCGGAGATCCAGCGCCGTATAGCTGTTAGCGAACGAGAGGTCAAGGAGGTTGTTGCCAAGGTTACCGAGCGAGGCCTCACTGAGCAAGGACCTTCTGAGGAGGAGTTTATCCTGCTTGAAGAAGACCTTAGCGACATCATTGCCGACGTCCATGATCTTGCAAAATATGTTCAATTGAACTATACCGGCTTTTATAAAATAATCAAGAAGCACGATGTTTGTGGCCCATCTCATGATATATACCTACATATACCAAGACATTTATCACATTGTACAGAATCTAACTGATAAAAACAGAAAATGACCAATTGGCACCTTCGACCCTCATTTGACACCGCGCTGAAGAACAAGCCATTCTACAACGAGGATTTCGATGCGGAAGTTGTGAAGCTATCTAACATGTACAACAATGTCAGAACACGCGGAAATCCCATAAAGGGCGACAGCGCTGCTGGTGGTACGCAAGGCAGCTTCGTTCGTCAAACAACTAAATACTGGGTGCATCCGGACAATGTCACTGAATTAAAGCTCATCATCTTGAAGCATCTTCCCGTGTTGGTTTTCAACGCTAGCAAGGAATTTGAAATAGCAGATTCCGCCATCTCTTCTATCTACTACGATAATCCCGAGAAATGGGACCTCTACGAAGGCCGGTTAAAGAAGACCGAGGGAGCTGAGGCTATCCGTCTAAGATGGTATGGTGGTATGCAAAACGACACTATTTTCGTGGAGCGCAAAACGCATCGAGAAGACTGGACGGGTGAAAAGTCTGTCAAAGCTCGTTTTGCCATGAAGGAGAAGAACGTCAACGCATACCTGAGGGGTGATCTACTGCCAACGGCCCTCTTCGAAAAGGCTCGCAAGGATGGTAAGAAATCCGAGAAGGCCATTGCTGAGGATGAGACGCTTGCAAAGGAGGTCCAATACTCGGTCTTGAAGAACGGGTATAAGCCCGTCTGCAGATCGTTCTATAACCGAACTGCGTTCCAGCTGCCAGCCGATGCTCGTGTTCGAATTTCCCTCGATACCGAGCTTACGATGGTTCGAGAGGATAACTTGGATGGTGTCAAGCGATGTGGTGATAACTGGCGACGAATGGATATCGGCATTGACTATCCGTTCTCACAATTGCCTCCTGGAGATGTTGTCCGTTTCCCATACGCGGTCTTGGAAGTAAAGCTCCAGACCCAACATGGGCAAGAACCTCCGGAGTGGGTTCGCCAACTCATCTCCAGCCATCTCGTAGAGGCTGTTCCCAAGTTCTCTAAATTTATCCATGGCACTGCTTCCCTTTTCCCTAGCAGGATTAACTTGCTTCCTTACTGGATGCCGCAGATGGACGTGGACATCCGCAAACCGGCAACTCACAACTTTGGTATTCACCGCCCGAATCATTCGCATACTAGTGGCACGACATCAGATGACGACGATGACGATGATGATATTGACTCGGATGCCGATGATGAAACCACCGACAACGGATCTGCGGGCAATTCTGGTAATGGAAATGGCTTATCGCGGGGTGCTCAGGCGCTTGTGCTTGGAGATATTGAGGGGCAGACTGTCGAGGGCACGGTCACCAACCAAGATTACCCGCTATATGACTCAGATGACGAAGTAGACGAGGAAGATGCACTTGAGGAGGCACGGAGAGTTGGCGGCTGGACGTATTACTCGGCGTTGGCTAAGAAGTATGGAAATGCTGTCGGCCACGGTGCGTTCAATGTCTTGATGAGCATCATACCGCGCCCTCGCTCTACTACAGTGCCTCGTAGCAACCGAAACCAGATGTTCTTCGGCAACCAGGAAATCCAGACGAAGAAGTTTAAGGCCCCGAAGGGTAAGAGGATCTATGTGCCGGTCAGAGTCGAGCCCAAGGTCTACTTCGCGGCGGAGAGGACTTATCTTAGCTGGGTATGCCTACCCCCATATCCCCTAAACTACTTTTCCCTTACTAACTGGTGTGTTTAGCTTGAATTCTCGATTTATATCGGAACCATCGCCGTCACGTTGCTCAACTTCGGCACTCAACCGACTAAGCTCTCTTTCCTTGTATCGGGAATATTTACACTCTTGGCTATTCTGTCACTGTGCTACTCGGTTGGAATCTACTTGTACCGAAGCAAGGGTATTCGCGAGCGCAGGATTATTAAGTATTACGACAGGATGGGCCCGACTGTCTTATGCAGTGCCCTCTTTATCGGTGTTGTGCTGAACTTTGCGTTCGAGGGGAGGGATAGGGAGCTCTGGTAGATCGGATCATATCTCCCTAATTGTACAACTATGTACAGTGCATATAAACGCATGCGAAAAATCTGGAATTAGTTTGTTTATAGTTTGTATAAGAGCAACCTGCGAGTACTGTATTTTGTCAGATGTAGCAAGTAGCAAGTAGCTGTACAAGTAGCGAAGCTATGCAGGTAAAAGCCGTATTTCGGCAATGAGAACGACTGAAGGATAGTTTGGATGGGCTGTAGGTTGCATGGGGGTAAATAGGTAGTCAATGGGCATTGAAGATTGCATTGTATCTATCTACGGAGCGCCAAATCAAAGTGAGAATTCAGTACATTTAAGGGGCCAAAGAAATTCAACGGACGGGTAAGTAGCCATTGAGTAAGTCCATTTCATATAACGTTTTCCATTTCTACGTGATGTCGTAAGTCCTTAATCCACTTTGAACACAGTCGCCTTTATAATGACGACGCCTTAAGATTTAAGGGGTAGCATTCCCCTTCCAAGAGACTTAGAGATTGTGGCCTTAGAAACCCAAAGCGGCGTTGAACGCATCGGCGGTCGTGGCGTCCTTGGTCCCGAGGGCCTCGGTGCTGGCCTGCGCGGCCTCGCACGCGGAGACGGCGGCGTCGTTGGCGTCGCATACGTTGGTCAGCTGGTCGCAGATGCGGTTCATGATGATGCTAGTTAAGGCGGGACTGGTTAGACCTACCGAGCGCTTGAAGACGGACAAGACGTTAGATGTGGATGCGACATACCTGGGGTTCAGAGCATCCTGTTGCCCCTCGGCGACTAAGGGGTCGGTCGGCAGGAAGGTGCCCTCGTCGGCTTTGCGGCCGGGACGCCCGAGCTCGAAGGACATCGTTGGCGTGCATTGGCCGAAGTCTGCTGCTCCGTTCGCGTCGGCGGCTGCGGCGCCGTTATTGTTATTGTTGTTGTTTTGGCGCCCCGTGATGGCTGCTGCTGAGGCGGAGGTGGCCGCGAGGAGGGCGAAGATGAGGGATTTGGTCTGCATTTTGGTTATTGGTTGGGTGGAGTGAGTGTTATGTGTTGAGTAGGTAAAGTAAAGAATGTGTAGATATATTATATGTATAAGAGAAGGGAAGAAGTTCGCAGAACTTGTGAGTGAAGGTTGAGATCAACTCGTAACGAAGGTAAGATGAATAAGGTGAGATGGGATGAAAATCATAGTAGATTGGGAAAGTGATGGCGAGGCTTGTTTATATATGCAATAAGATCGTACGCCGGGTTTAGGTTGAGATGAGCACCCCAGATTAAGGTGAGAGTCTCGCGCGGTGCTTCGTCGCATTCGTTGTAGATCATACACTGATCCTAGTTGAGACGGGACGAACACCCGACGAAGCGGCGATACTCGGCTCATGGTAGATGTAAATAGCGTCAAGTAGACTTAGCCAAGAACCGGATCTTCGGTATCAGACTAAGATGCGTTTCAGAATGGCATTCCGACAAATTCGCAGTATGGCTAACTGAGATTTGATGGCATTGGATATTATGGGCGAAGACCTTGGGTTTGGGCGCCAAGCTGTCTCGTGAGTCTGAGGGTACTGTGTCAACCCAAATCTCGTGTGTGCAGGTGTAGATCAACACCCCGTTTGCAGTCCGAATCGTATCTTGAAAGTTAAGACTGTACAATAACTCGCCCACCGGGTTTAGAAGGTGTATCATGATGGAAGGGAGTTGTTATCGCAGATATTACGGTTCTGGATTCATGCAATCGTCGAGGAATCAGTCATATTCCAGATGCGGCTATCTCTATCGGGCCTAATTTTGACCATCGAATATGAGAGTCCAGCATAACAAAGTAAGTTGAAGTAGTTAGCTTGATTATATTGTAGTAAGACATTGTTTGTGTATTAAGTGTATCTGCTCCATATGCCGAGAGTTGCAGACATTGAAGACGTCCTTAACCTAGGTAACTAACGTCCTACTGGAGTAACTAATGGCCCAGTCGTCCTCCGAATAGGGGCTGTAAAGGATGCGGTCGACCCATTTACATCCACGACACCAGAATTGCGTTGATCTGAACCTGTACGAATGGCTTGGTTCTCTTCATCCCTGATTTCCTTAACTCTCGCCGTACACTCCTTGACGACAAATTGCGGAGTATTACCTGGCTTTAGGATAGGCTCAACGTCCACAAATTTGGTCGTCGTCTTCAAGCTATTGAATAGTTGTCCCATTCGTGCCGGTTTAGCAATGGTTTCCATCTTCCCGTAACCCAATTCATAGCAGAACAAGATCATGGCGGCGGTCCCGGCCGCGAGAGCCGTCGCCGCCGAACTTCCAGTAATCGTCTTCCCATCGTTCTCGAGTACAACTTCACCGGGGAATAGATAATGCACTTTATCCGTATCAACAATGTTAAGCGGGTGACCGGTTGGGTCGGCGGCACCCACGATCCTCAATTTCGTTGTGTCTGATCCCGCGGGATATACCTCGACTTCGGAATTGCCTAGCTGGCCCTTGTCCTGTGCCGCGCAGTACATTATAATATTACGGTTCGCCGCTACCTTGATCTGAGATGCTAGAGCATCGATGTCCGCCTCGTTGGAACGGTTTCGCTCAATGTTCCACGACATGCTGATTATATCCACGTTCTCGCGAATCGCCCACTTGACCGCCTCGGCCGCGTCCTTAGCTGTGAATTGCGGGTGTGGCAGATCTGGATCTTTCCAGCCGTCAAGTTTGGCAACGTAAAGCTGGGCGAACGGACAGGCGTGGCAGATGAGCTTAGCCATCTGCGTTCCGTGCCCTTTCGTGGACGCGTAAAACGGTTCAGAACTAGATTTGGGCTCATCGGGAGGCCAGCCATGTGCGATTCTCTGGCCTAGGAACTCGCTCTCCGGGTTGACCCCATCATCAATGATAGCAACCTTCGGCTTACGTTGCGTGTAATTAACCCCGAGCTCTGTCCTAAGCTCTGCTGCAAAATCTCTGATATTATTCATCCACTGGTGACGACTGTAAGGGCTTAATTTTAGTTTCTCTATTATACTTATCGGGATAGATATATGGACGTACTCTTGTGACCTGGCATCGAAACTATTTTCAAGGCGAAGATGGGGCCGTGCTTTCGGAGGCTTCTCAATGGATTCTATAACCTTGATCTTGGACGATTCCAAGCTATTTATTGGCTGTCTTAGGCGCTCTTTGAAAGTTCGTACGTTTTCTTCATTTCGTTTGTAACTCTCTAAACCTTTTCTTGCATTCAGGTAAACTTGATTTAACTTGGAATCAAAGGTTAGCTCTAGCAATACGAGAAATAGGGGTAAGGGGGAGGGGTTGGGGGTAGTTGTGTTACCTTAGGTAAGCTTCTAAGGCCATTGCTATCCGACCACGACCAAAGAACTCAAAACAATCCAAAAGTTAGCGACTTCTTCTGTCCATCTTTATTTTATCACGAACAATTCCTCGAGATCGTCATGATGAGGGCCACTTACCCGCATTACTTCCACTAGAGTGAAGCCATAAATGCACCACATTAGGCGCCTTTTTACGGATAGTGTCGACGCACATATCTGCTTTATTCCAATCGAGATAACGAACATCGAATCCATCAAGACATGACTCTATAGTCTCATCGCTGCAGTTTCGATCTGGATTATCTTTTACCACCAGTTTGACTATTTGCTTCACGTTTTTCTTTCTTAACCATTGAAACGTAGCGCAAAGAGCTTTCGAATCCTCTTCCCAAGTATCAAAGCCCTCTAGTTCATCCTCAATTACCGAGCCGGTTCCTTGTATGAATGGTCTTGGCCGTATGTCGAGCTCGACATAGGCAAGCATCTTACCAAACTCGAGAAATTCGTGGTCTTCCGGGGTATGCTCTGAGAGACGAAGCTGAGGCCGGAAGACTGTCCGAACTTTTGAGTCAGCGCTCCGGTTTCCAAAGAGACATTTGCAGGCCTTCTCGAAGTTCCCCTGAGCAAACGCCATCTCTCGAAGATATTCTTCGACTTTGGTCTTTTCTGCTAGCTTATCAGACCTAGGCAGACGCTGATGAGACTTGGAAATCTTAGGGCCTGGCTTGAGGGGACGTGCTTTGCTTTGTGAGGGATCCGGACTTTCGGACTTAGGGTTTTCGGACTTGGGATTCTTCAACCGTTTCCCCTCCTCGCCTGACCCATTGGATGCTGATCTAACATTTGCTTTCGGTTTCTCAGGTTTGCTGGAGACCGTTGTTTTATCTTTTTCGACTTTAGGGTTCTTCGGCGACCGTTCTTGGCTTGCACCAGTGGACTTTTGTTTGGCTAGATCGAGAGTTGCCCTGACTTCCTGGCGCGTTGTTAAATAGTAGACATAAGGAGACTGTCCAAGTGCATTCAGAGTAGCAAGATTCTCTGCGTCTCTTTCGACGAGGGCTTCAACGATTTTCCTTAGTTGGATGCTACTGCTCTCTAGCTTCTTCTCGGCCTCACGACATCGTCGACATTTTGGGATTTTCTCTGGCGGGCACGTCGCAGCCTCTGCGATATAACGAGAATAATGGACTGCGTCATGCAAAGGGGTATTCCCGGCACCTTCTCGTAATTTCTGGCTTCGCTGTTGGCGGAATGTTACGACGTGAGCCTTCTTAATCAGATACGGGACTATGTCCAGATTTTCTTTGATGGCAAGATGCAGACAGGTCTCGCCATTCTCATTCTGAAGCGATATGGCCTTTTCGGCTATAGTGGGGGCAGATTCACACATTAGCTGTGCGAGTTTCTCCTCTTTCCGCTTAATCGCTACGTGTAATGGAGTCTCGAGTGGTCCTTTGGTCTGACAAGCTAGATCACCCGGTGATTCCTCCAGTGTTAGTTTCACGATGAAGTTCATTGCCTCGTGACTCTCGTGGAAGATTAGGATACTGAGTACAATGTAATGGAGCAACGTCGGCTCTTCAGCATTCTTGTCATCCTTAAGGCATAAGCGCACTCGAGCACGATACCTTTCAAGGGTTTCTGGGTCGTCAAACCTAGCCTCCTTACTGACATCCGTAAGGAGCTTGGTGCGTTCGGTCCTAATATCGATAGTATTTGACCCGCCCACGACGAAATCCGGCTCGCCGTCGTCAAGCTCATCGTCATCATCGTCGTCTTCACCCTCATCACTCTCGGTTTCGTCCTCGTCATCATCACCCTCTATGCCATTTGTTTCGTCTAGTTCGGTTCCAGAATAAGGAATAAAAATTCTTTCCCCAGCAGTCATTGGTCTGTCTGGGTTCTCTACCACAGTGAAGTCTTCAGGCGCGGTCCGATTGTGCGCGTCTTCGCTGTCCATGGCTCTGCAAGTCGTTTGGTGTCTTAATTAACCGGCGGTTCAACCTATCCTCTTACATCGCAATTATGTCGATATTGAGAAGGAAAAGTTGCGAAAATACTTGACTGAATCTCCTCGGGGGATGAACTTGAAAGGGAAGAGGCGGCTGAAATTACTCATCCCACCTATTCCGTCTGTACACAATCCTCTTCCCTATTCCGTGCTGTGATAAACTTAGCCTCCCGCTGACACTACCTGACTAATTATGCATTAGGTAGTGTACCAGACAGGGGTTATAGGGCCAAAGAAGTAATGTAGACGAGGATGTGCTCTGATTAGCAGCTGACTACTACGGATCGAGCAGGTCTCCGAGACCTGAGCTGACCCAACTCCCTGTGACAAAGTTGGGGGCCAAAAGGTGGTCGCCCACTCTTACGTAAGTCCCATGGTTGGCTGATTACTGCGATAGTTTGGGGCGCGTCGGTATACTGTACATGAATTAGGGCCTTAAGGCAACTTGATTACTGACTTCTGCCCAGTCACTATTATCTCGAGATAATCTCGGGTTTAGTTTTATCAACTCCCTTTTCGATGCCGTGGCAGATCTCAAAGGTAATCTTTCCCCGAGAACTTGAACTTAAGGTTTTTTTTCTAGCTGCTGAATTGCCTCTTGCTACTTATACCTATTTCAGCCTCAGATCAAGCGCTCATTCTCTCAGTCCAAGAAAATTGGAGAAATCCCGTTATTGGCCATCAGAAGCCTCCATGGACACTTTTTTCTAACGTTATACTACTAATCTGGCCGATTCTTCGTAAGAATCAGTGTAGCAATGGCAGATTCAAGTAGCGAAACTGGGTCCTCTCTCAAAAATGAAGCTGAGGTAGACTCAAACGAGGAACAGGATGTCGTGGAAGAGGAAGTTGACCAACAAAGCGACGCCGAAGACGAGACAAATTCCCAGGCGGAAAGTGAGGGTTCAGAAGAGACACATCCGCCTTCGCGTTCCCGTGAACAGCGCACTATTATAATGATATGTCTCCCAAGTCTTAGTACAGAATTCCCTGTCTTGCAAACCAACAGCAGCTTGGAGAGGGTTGCGAAAATATATACTTTTCCGCTGCAGCCGAGAAGATTCCTGGGCGAAAAGGGGTCAGTGGAGAATTTGGATGATATAGTAGAAGAATTATTGGCATTTGTTCATGTCAGCGCAGGAATTGTCGATGTCGTGCGTCTCTTTCATGAAGACAATTGCCAGGACTCAATTCGCTAACGGTATATATTATTAGACCTTATCTGAGATCTCTATCATATTCACGGCATCTGATCTCAGCGGAATCTTCGTTAAAAAGGCATGTATGACCATTCCGATATTCTAGCAGGTCTAAACTGACCCTAACCACTGCTCTTAGGCTTTATTACGGGCAGCGACAGACGTTAAGTATCGACCAATATTCGAACAGACCTCGCTTTTGGTAAGCAGGTCTCGGAGACCCCTATATTTATATTGGTATATTAATCATCATAACTAGTTCTTTTTTGGGACCCCCCATCACGCTTCTGAGGTGTCTAGTTGGGAGGAGACGATATTGAGAATCGTCGAAGACACCTACCGAGGATTACGAGGACCGTGGTTTCCGGACCGCATACACCAATTGTCACGTTATATTGAGCGGCTCCGGCTAGACTTTAACGGCATTTTGGACCATTTTAATATTATCAATTATTTCCAAGATATGCCCGAGTCTAGTCCCGAAGTTTTGGTAAGTCGCAACCCCTTTTGCACGGTTGCCATTGTGTGTTATCATGATCACTAATAAAGTCAACTAGACCGTCCACAAGTCCTGCACAGAGCTTCAAGGATTCAATGTTACGAACATCGGAGTCAACGCAACGCATTATGAGCTTCATTGTTTCATCTCTGAGACTGCTGGAGAAGACTTCATCGTTGACCGAGTCTGCAATGCTCCAATATGTAAGCTTTGAATTCTAGAAGCCTTGGTTCGTCGTAGTTGCTTACTTGAGTTTAGATTTGGATGAAGATTTCCGTCAATTCGTTGAATGGCTATCTTTGGAATCTGACGGAATGGAAACGAGCTTTCAAATCTCGGAAAGCCTTCATAATCTTGCGAATTCTATCGTTCATTCGGTAGAGTTGGGAGACTTCGTCCGTAATGGGCGACCGCAGGCCATTCTGTTAGAACTTGGCGTTGAAGTCGACGGAAGAGATTTCCTGTCTTGCTTCCGTGACGAGATTCGCCAAGCTTTACCACCATATCCTGGCTCCGTCATTGCATGCACCCTCATCACTGCTGCCCAGCCCTCTTCCTTAACCGAAACCGGGCTGTTATCATCCTGTCTTATCCAGCTACTCAGGCAACGCCCGAAGCTGTCTAGTTGGCTTAGAGTGATCAATGAGCGGCTGACGTACGCTTTACGTGTCCGAAATACTGAGTTGAAGATCCGAACCCTCTGGGAATGTTTAAGACTCGTATTTACCCATACGTCTCATATCCAAGGTTTCTGGCTCATTCACACCACTGGCGGTTCTGATCAATACGAACTTATCCTCAGGATAATAAAACGATTGCAGTATTTTGATGAGTTAGATGAGATCTCCTGGAAGGTCATCATCGTAAATGACTCGGCTTTTAACATCGACTTACCCTCGTCTAAATCGCTTTCTAAAGCTAGACTAGATCACGGTACCATAATATCGTCCATCGAAAAGGATGTTACAGCGCGACTAGATTCAATCATGAAGATGAGGTCATTAGCCCCGAGCTTTAAGGGGAAAGCCTTGCGGCTATTTCGCACCTATCCCTCAAGCCAGAAAGTATTAGGGTTCTTCATGGATGCCTTGCAAAGCGTTAACCCACCGATCCCGGAGGTTTTAGCTGATCTTACGGATTCATTCCCTTCGATGGATATGGCATTTCGCGCAATCCTGGACCGCGTTCCGAAGCACTACCACGCTTGGGTTCGCAAAATTATGGGATTCTTGTCCTTTTCCTGTAGAAATTTGTCACTGGATGAGCTTGCAGTTGCCATAGTCGCGAAAGAATGCAAAAATTTCGAACAACTACGAGAGAATATCAATGGTAGGATTGGGGAATATATCCAAGAACTTCTTCCAGGAATCATACGCATCTCGTCGGAGGGTATCTTCCTAACCCACGACAACCTGAAGTCATTTCTTCAGCGAAGCCCACATGATGCTTGGTACCATATCAAGGATTTTCACTTAGAATTCACGACTACTAGCTACAACTATCTCTCTCTTCTCCTAGACCAACCTGTTGATACCATCTCAAAGTCGCTAAAATCAACGGTTGAATGGATGCGCCGTGCTAGGGCCGCCCCTGGAAATGTTCGAGAGAACTATGTTGCGAGTCGTGGTGCTGTGGAGGGTCGACACTTCGGATTTGCTCTGTATGCTGCTCAATATTGGTATGACCATTACTTGTCTGCCAATGATACCACCGCGAGCGAGCTTCCTAAGGCTTGGTTGACCAACCCAGATCGTTTGAAAGAGATAATCGCCCTACGGTATCACAGTTTGTGTCGATTCAACCAAGACTTCTGTGCTCCCAAGGAATTCATGCCACTTTCTGCGAAAGAAGAGCTCAATATGAGCGAGTCCGAATCATTAAGCCTGACGATGCAATTAATCGACCGGGAGCCAAGTAATAAGTACATCGACATCATGTATCCTCCTGATTCCGCAGCGACTGGAGTTGCGCGTAACTGGATTGCTTCTAATTTTCCGCCACTGTCTATATCAGACATAATTGCATGTTACCCTCACGAAATAGAGAGGCTTTTTCAACTTGAGGAAAATGCCATACGCGCGAACTTATCCGACATACTCGTTTCGCTTGTTGTAAACAACGACCGTTCTCTTCTCATCAATTTCCTCAAGAAGGTCGGCGAAGTGGGAGAGCTGGCATCCAAGGCGTTAAGATACGCAGTTGGCTTGAATTTGGAGCATATCGCAAAAGCACTCTTCGAATACTTAGAAATTACCCAGAAGGGGTTCTGGTTTAAACTGGATATCCTGGAAATCTTGTCTAGCGCTATAGCGACTGGTAATGGGGATATGGTCCAACTACTCCTAGACTCTGGCGCCAACGTCAATTCAAAGGGCATAGAGCATTATACGGACGACAACGCCACTCCGCTTCTACTCGCCTGCGAATTTGGTTTCATCAATATTGTACGATTACTACTCAATGCAGGTGCAAAAGTTGACCTGACTTCTGCGAGTGAGAGAACTGCATTGCACGTTGCAAGTGCACGCGGGTTCCCTTCTATCAGCGAGTTGTTAATCAAGCACAGAGCAACTATCAAATTAGATGTACTGAGATTATCGCCGCTACATAATGCGGCAAGATTTTCCAGGATTCAACGGCATAAGAGGGTAGCTACTATGATAATTCAAGCTCTCAAGGATCGATGGCCGCGTTATAAAGAGAGCGGCACTCAAAACGCTGAGGACATGTCAAGAATCATCAGTGCGCGTGCCGGGAAGAAGATGAAGGCTGCTCTGAATTATGCGGCTGTGGCTGGCAACGTAGACTTGGTGGAATCTTTGATTGACCTTGGGGCGGATGTAGATGTTATCGAGAGCGATGGTCACACTGCTTTATGCAGAGTTGCGATGCTGAACAACGCGGACATGGTCCGTTGTTTGTTAGACAATGGCGCCAAGGTTGACTATTCTCGCAAGGACGGCAGACAACCCTTACACGATGCTTGTGCTTGGGGTGCTTCAAAGGCGATCGAGCTATTGCTTGAGAGAAACGCAGTTGCTGACCAGCTGGACAGAGATAAAATGCCCCCTATATCAGTGGCTGCTACGTGGGGTTTACTTCGCGGAATAAGGCAAATGATTCCACATAGTTCTAAGAGCAGCATATCACGGGCATTGATCTACGCGGCACGGTACGGTTATCACGAGATAGTAACCGCTCTGCTCGATGCCGGAGCTGATATCAACCACCAAGACGCTTTTGGAAATACACCCTTACAGTTCTCCTGCTTCAATTCAAATTCGAGAGTAACTCAGATTTTACTCGCCCGGATACCAGACATCAACCTTCAGGATAATGATAAGTTTACCGCGACCATAGATGCAGCAAGGAGAGGCGAACTTGAGTGTCTGAAGTTGCTCTTAGACGCCGGTGCAGATACGGAGGTGGAAGCAGGATCTGGCAAGAGAGCTTGTGAGTATATTTCAGCAGTCTCTTCCTCCTCACGAGCATCTAAGCCTCTTTTCAATGCTGCACGAGAGGATGCATGCATTACTAGGAGGTAGTAATGGTTACTCAAGGGGTTTTATTAGATTCCCTAACATTAGATTGGCCCTAAAACATTCTATGGGGCCATGCACTAATTCTGATGTTCTAGTAATACGCGCAGCAGATGTTGATGAGGACTGTTTCCGCCTTCTCCTGGAGCGTGGAGCAGAGAAGGTCATACCCGAGTCTTATCAAACGCCCCCGGCTTTCACCTTCAAAAGCGGGCTATCCTTCCTCGGCGGTCTTGCTTACGGATTCAAAGTCGGCGCGGTGAAGGTTTACCTAGAATATCTAAAGCCCCGAATCAGCGAAGAAGCTTTTGCTGTAGAAATCAACGAGGCACTTGCTGTAGCCGCGTATGGCCCAAAAGTCGATACTGTACAGCTTTTACTCGAGTATGGCGCGGATCCGAACGCTATTAACCCCAGGTTTGACCATAAACACGGTTCCGCCCTTGGTATTGCCATTGCATACGATAACATAGATGTTGTGGAAATCCTTTTAGATAACAAATTCACGCCTGTCGATGTCAACAAGGTTGACGATTATCGCAATACGCCCCTCCACATCGCGCTGGATTGGGGCGTTACAAGTATCTTAGGCCGGATGATAGACTTATTGATAGCTCATGGCGCTGATCCTACCATCTCGAGCGGTACCTATGGTACGGTTCTAAACGCAACTTGCGAGACTGGAGACGATGATATCGTACACAAGATACTAAGTTATCCCGGGGTCTCTCTAGACATCCCAGACGACTTAGGGCGACTACCTCTCCACCTCGCAGCAGCACGCAGATCATATCAGCCGTCGCGGTTTGAAATGCTAATAACGGAAAAGTCCACGGCTAAGAGCACCGATAAGCAAGGACGTAATGCCCTTCATCACACTGCTACGAGTGGGTCAATGGAATTACTGGAGAAACTTGTGACCGAATATCCCGAATTAATCGACGTCCCCGATCGCGACGGCTGGACGCCGCTTCATTGGGCGTGTCGGCAAATCAATGGGGCGATCACAGAATACTTAATCGACCACGGGGCAAACAAGCAGCCGAGGACACATGATAGGTGGACGCCTTTGCGCGTCGCTATATACCATGATCAACCAGCTCAGATCGAGCATCTACCGGAAGAAGACGACGGGAGCGATGACGACAATATACCTTCCCAGGCGGCAGATAAGGTTACTGAGGATTATTGTGACTCGTGCTTTTGCGTAAGTCCACTGGATAGTGCTTACTCATTGAGGTAAAAGTCGAAGTCAATGCTAACTACGATATGTTTAGCAAATATACGGGACGGGGTACCGTTGCGGTACGTGCCCCAAGTACTGGTTCTGCTTCAAGTGCTACTGGCACGTCGAGGAGACTCACCCCGACCATGTGTTTCTGAGGTTCGATCAGGAATCGCATGATATAGGAACACCCCCGATTAGCGGATCTGAGAAGGAAGATACGTGATAGTTAGGCGGCGAGGAGTTGTGATATCTGCAGTATGCTAAGTAGATAGAGGTCAACAAGAAAAGCTGCCAATGAGCCCTTGGTAAATTTTCCTATATCCTAAGTACATAGCAGTTACTATCTCAATAAACGGGCGTGTCTAAGGCTAGATGAACTTACGAGGTAGATTTTTTATAATGACTTATCCTAACGAAGAGTAACGTTCATACGACCCCTTATACTGGCTCTGTAATGAAAAGAGACCCTCAAGATTTAGCACATACCTACCTACGCAGGTACTATGTACCTACGACCTAATATTTAGCAGTTTCCGGAAGAGTCCAAGGTAAATTAATATATCTTATATCTCAGTAATCATTAATTACGCGGCCATTTCAAAGCGCTTTCTTACCTCGAGTATCTTGTACGGTGCTTTTAGTACGTGGTCCGGGGAAAGGGGGGGTGATAAGCTTTCTGATTGGTCGACGGTGCTTAGGAATCGGCTTAGTCATTGACTTAAACTAAGCTATTGAGGCGGGAGGCGGGAGTCCACCCTCTAAATCCTTCCAACACCAAGTTGGGGGCCGAGAAATGAGAAAGTTCACCAATCCAAATAATGGCTAGGGAGGTGACGACAGCTTAATGACTAACATTTACGCTCACAAGTTAGGTATGGCCGGGACGGCGGTCATACAGACACCATGCGCGATATTCCCGAGCTATAACAACAGCCACAATGGAGATAGCTACACACCCGCATGTGATCTCGTGTCGACTTACCCTTTTACGATTCTAGCTACAGCAGCCTACCTGACGCCCCTGTTACCTGCCTGGATTAGTTTAATGGGTCTCGGCGATGAATCCTAATTCTTCTCTAGCATTGTCTAGGTGTGTTAGTACCTAGGTAGGTACCTAGCTGAGGAGGCAGTTAGCCCTTGACGAGGGCGTAGGTATCTAGCCACCACGTAGGCGGTCTATTTATAGGACGACATATGCGGCTGAATGACCTCATATGCCTGGGTTACCGAACAAGACGATCTCGAAATATTCTTCTTAATTGGAGTCTAGTAAATCGCGAAGGCAAGACAAGAAATATCTACGGCAGATTTCTAAATCAAATCTTGGTAGACTCGCGGGAAAAAACGAGTTAGTCCTGCCCGTAGTATCTAGACCATTAATTCGTACCTAGTAGAAACACCCACATCCCAAGACACACACCTAGTAAGAAAGGGGGTTGGAAATGGAAGAAGACGCCTTCGAAATCCTCCTCGTCGACGCCAACGACGACGCGGCGCACTACCGGCTGCAAAACGAGCCGGGCGAGATCCAGCGCGAATACGTAACAGGGTACGACCGAAAATCCACCCTCCGCGTGCTCGGGCGCCTAGCAGACGTCGTCCACGGGCGCTCCTCCCCGCCTTCCTCCGACCTAGACAGCACCCCCTGCACCCTCGCCATCTTCGAGTTCGCAGCCCTAGGCCAGAAGCCGTCGCGGCGGTACCGCGAAGTGCAAATCGAAATCGTATTCCGCGCCTACGGCACCCACAAACGCCCCAACTCCATCTCCCGCCATCGCGACCAGCGCGCCGCCCTATCGCGCTACGACCCCGCCATCCGGGCCCTCGCCCCGCACGGCCACAAGTCCCTCCTGCAGAGTAACTTCACGCGCTCCAGCACCCACAACATCGAAGCCTCCATCTCAGCAGGGACGGACCCGATCGCCAGCGCAGGCGCCAAGTACGCGTACGCGCTGAGCGAAAACGTGGAGCGCGGGGACAGCATGACGGTCGAGGGCACGCCGTCGTTCGTCGGGAGGTCGGCGGGCAAGCCCAACGCGGCGCGGTTCACGCTGCGCGAGAACGGGACGCAGCGGAGCGGGGTGCCGCGGCACCTGCGCGTGGCCGTGCTGCTGGAGCGGCGGGCGGGAGACGACGAGGGGTTGTTCTTGGCTGAGGTGAATGTGCGGGCCCACGTATCTGTGCTCGCGGACGCGGGGGAGCGGGTGAGAAGGGTTATGGGCAGTGTGCCGTTGGATGATGCGGTGTGCTTTGACCCCGCGGCGCGGCCGACGACGGATAAGTATCCGGTGGATCGGCTGGCGGAGGTGGTGTTGAGCGAGGAGTGTTCTATTCGGAGTGGGAGGGAGGAAGATTTTAGTGAGAAAAAGGACGGAGGTGATTCTAATGAGTAACGTGATTTATGACTGACCAGCCCTTCCGGGATAGGAGTTGACGGGTGTTCGAATTCCAAACAGCGATGCCAGATATAGAAACTGATTTAGAAACTACTATTTTCTTGCATTGGTCTCTGTGCTATGTACTAGTGAAGTCGACATAACCTATCTATACTCCCCCAACCACAGTCCAACCTCGATTCGGTTTCCCCCAGAAGACATTAGAGCCCTTATACGAATTATGGTACAAACCCATTTGGTCAGGCCAAGAATATTCCGCAAACCAATAGCAGGATGCTGTTAGTATGACAAACCACACCCTGGATTACGTCTCAGACGCAGGAAGCCGGCGACGTGCTCTTTCCGAATGAGAGGTTGATATACCCGTTCCGATACTAATCTATAAAAGGGATGCCACATAGCCCTCCATTCCGATACGTCCAATAATCCGATGAATATTCAATGATCCCGCAAAGAGTAAATAAGCTACTATTAGAGTTTACTACTCTGCGACATTTTGTCGCATTGGTTAGATCTGCTCGGCAAAGGCGTCATCAAGCTCCACTGGAACCCGAGGGCTGTTGCTTAGTATGTCAATATCATCGTCAATCACTCTTCCACTACCAGGCGTGAAATGGCGACTGCGTTTGATACCCTTCTCAGGCCGTATCAGACATATATCTGGGTTTGCGTCACTAACCGTATGTGAGTCCACATTCGATGCCGTGAAGACGTTGGCAACATTAGTAAGGTCACTACCAAAGTCTCCGGCCGAAGTAGATCGACGAGAGAAAACCCCCGAGAAAGCGCCCTGGCTAGGAGGTGAATTGGTCGTACTGGTGTCTCGACTGTCCTTGCAAAGGTTACTAAATGACGATTGCGACACCTTGCGCATGTCGACGTGGCTGATGACTGGTGCATCTTCACTTGGAGAATCTTGAAGGCGATTTTCTTTACGCGACTTAACTTCAGGGGCTGGTGGGGCAATGCTTCCGGCCTGAACTGGAAGCGGATGTGGTTGGTTTAGCAACGAGTGCGTAAGAGATGTAGCGAGCTCGGAAGAGAAATTTGCGTTGCTCGAATTGAAGAACTCGTTCATTGACGTGCCTATAGCCAAACACCGGTTAGTATTAACCATACTATCTGTGTCATGTCAAACTTTTTGACAGATGATGAGAATACTGAAGTAGAGTAGGGGAGCATACTTCCGGGCGTACCAATTTTACTCGCTTCAAGATTGAGGTCGTCAATGAAGTTCGACCCAGCCATCGTCGTTGGCGTGTTAGTCGGTGCTTTAGGATCATGGGCGCTGGAATCTATATCTCCTAGATGGGTCGCCGACAGATGTATGAACTGATTATCTGCCAGGCCTTGGGTGGTATTGCTGGGATCACCCAAACCGTAATCAGACATGCTAATATCGGAGCGTGACCCTTTGATCGCACCCCTGGCTCTGCGGCTGGCAACAGAGTTGTAACTAGACTTGTTACTGTCAGTACTCTGATTATATCCGATGGGTCCGAAGTTGGTGTTCGACCAGTCAAAGCAAGCAGTTGTTTCGGACTTCTGCGAACTAAAGGGGTCTGCCCAGTTCGAGCTGGCCCCAGCCCCGTTGCGCTGCAACAGTGCCTCGGTATTTGGCATAGAGCCAAGCAAGTTTTCCTGTGTGAAACCCGGAGGACACGTATTGTACGTGGACGAACAGGATGAGTTTTTCATATAGCTCGTTGCTCGACGACGAGGGGAGTGGAGGTGGGCATCCGGACCATCTTCGTGGTGCCGTGCCGGAACAGGCATCGTAGGATTGAACGGAGTACGGCGCCACATGCTAGGGTTTGGCCAAGCAATCGCAGAAGACTCGAGAATATCTATAATGCAATTTTTTGTTAGTCTCGGGTATCGTAATAGATCGTAAGGGGAGGCAGTCGGGTCTCTACCAAGTGGTGCATGTTGGAATGAGAATGCAACGATATTCTTGACTCGTTCGATGGGAACTGTCAACGAATCCCTCGGAAAGCCTTCGCTGATGACGATTCTGATCCGTCCGATTTCATCCGCGGGGCTCCAGTAGCTTTGCCGCAGCACTTCGCTACGAAACTGAGGGAACCTAAGCGTCTCGAGATCTCCGTTCTTGGTGAACTCTACTATTGTCAGATTCTAAACCCCTCTTAATAGGTATGGAAGACTCACCGAAGCTATGGTTGATTAGCTGAGGCCATGGTCCGGCTCGGTTAAATGAGGATGAACTGAGAGACGTGCCAGTTAGAGCCGGCTTAGATTTGAGATACCCAAATGAAAACATACGCAACCAAACGGCCATCAATCAAGACCCGTGCCTCGAACTTGACTAATTCGGTATGCTTGCTGTAGTTTCTAGTGAATTGACTGATATCGGGTGTCTTCCAGGAGTGAAGCGAGATGTTGAACGGAGTACCTGGGGATAATCCTGGCATAAAACAAGTCATAGTCGGCAGGCCGTAAGATCCATGAGTGAAGGCAAACTCTGAATAAGACGGGTTAGCCTTTGATCGGACATTGGTCGGACAAAAGCCTAACGGAGGGCAATATATCAAAATATCAAGATATTGGTAAGGATCAAGTCTGTCCCTAGATCTAGAAGAGCTGGACGGACATTGTGAGGAGAACGCTACTTACCATTATCATGAACAACGTGACAGTTAGTCCTGAACTCTTTCAATGGGACCTTGGAATCCCTGGGGAATAATAAGACATCCCAGTCCTCAAAACGCATCTTCACTAGCAGTGATGATATTAAACAGAGAAGTAGGGAAAGCTCAAAAAGAATAACAGGTTGATACAACGAACAAGCTTGGGGTGGAGCCAATTCCTGTCAAAGTGATCTTCTCAAGGAATATGATGTTGATGCAAGTTGTAGTGGTTGGATATTGGGAGGGAGTGAAGATTGAGGGGACAGGTTTGTTTAGTTCCATGTGAAGAATATTGAATTCATATGCTGTTGACCTTAGCCTTCCTATAACGTAATGAGAAGCATAACTGTAACTTCCCGTACTCATCAGGACCACGACTAATACTATAGTGAAGGTACGTAACTCTTTAAACTGCTCATGCCTATTCCATTGGCTGGAGTGGACCTTAAACTTTCATCTGGGGAGCACAACGGTAATACGTATCTCGAGGTAATGTAACTTATTGGTTCAAGAGAGAAACCTTTGCAAACTTTAGTATGTCACTGTGCTTTAGTGCTCTCTAAAGCTTCAAGGTTGACTTTTTGAAAGCCGCCTCCACTAGGATAAACTGAGCTGTTCCTTCCACCTACATTCTCTCCATAGGTGATGTGCATAACCTTGTAATATCTTGCTACACCCTGATTAGAAGGCGAGAAAGAGGATGATCTCAATGTTGGAAATGTGAGCTGCTGGAGAATGATGTAGTCTTAAGTAGACAAATGAGACAAGTTGAGCTATTGGCTACATGATAGTAACTCTTTCCATTAGACCTACAAGATCAACCGATACTCGTGATCTAGGTCGTAGTCTGTGTATTTGGGATAAAGATGCCCGTGTGTATGTACAAGATCTTTTATTCTTCCTCAACTTGGTATGGCTCTGGGTCGCCAGGAGCTCTTGCCTAAAAGTATTGTCAATATTGCGGATGTGTTAAATAGCTCGCTCCAATCTAACTTACTCTCAGTGCACCGGCGCCACCCAATTCACGATCTAAGCCACCCTCAAACTCCCGGGGGAAAGACTGCTTGTCGGGATATAATCGTCCAACAACCCAACATACTCCTACGACGGTAGCAATGAATGCGCCAACCTGCAATAATCCTTTACCTGGCGAGATCCAGGTGTATTCGTAGGGAGAAAAGATGCCTAGAAGATCATTGTCCTCATGAACAGGCTCGCCGAAGTTGCGCCTCTCCTGCTTGTCCCACCAGTCACCGTGCGGATCGCGGAACTGTCTCTTGATTGCCGGGGGATTGATGTAGCCGCCGTTCTGCATCGGTTAGTCTGTCGGCACATTGGCAAAGAATCGTCAGTAGCCCACTGACCTGGCCCGGGTCTTCCGCTTCTGTGAGAGTTGGATTCTCGGGATACTTCTCTTCGAGGACGGCGGGGTCGGTGTATGATCGCGGAAGAAATGTGCGTTGTTGAACGATAGGTAGCCTTCGCGCTACTAGCGATGCTGATCGGAGAGCCGAAGCTCTCGCGATTCGTTGGGGAAGCATCTGGAGAGCCTATGTCAGTCATGTATAAATCCTAAGAGGAGCTTTGGAATCAATTAGAACATACTGTAGGCCCTTCAGTTAGACCCTATCTCGACGCTGTCGGAGTTGTGTTGTTAAGGTGCATGCACCATTTACCTCATTGACTTCAATGGGAGGGCTAGGATGACTGACAGTTGACCATTGACGATAAAGGCTTAGTAATTTTATTAGCCTGAATTTTAAGGCAATTCGTTACAACCTAAGGCCTTGTGTTACGCACCTTAGTGAGATTGGCGAGACTGACCTCATTATGATTACGTAAAGCTAGAAAATGGGGGATCCAACTCACAACAAGGGTGCCTAGTGAATGCACTGACCACCGTACTTCGCTCCTGCCCTCATGTTGGGGGAGTACAGGGGGGGCACTCGGACCAAGCTTGCTATTCCTGTCTAAGACGAGGCGGAGACCCGACGAAATTTTTGAATCATCATCAAACTGCTGATGAAATGGCAATTCTCGACAAGAATCCATCATAATTGTCCTTTCAAAGCCGTGTGCATGCTCAAACTTCGTCATGATAATCTACCAATAATTCTCTATTCGTCGACATACTTTTCATCACCCCAAATGTCCATTTCACCGAGACCCGCGTCTTTTTCTTCTCTTAACACCCCTGGACAGCTATGACGGCTACCGCGTCGCTCGAGTCTGCGCCTTCACACGACACCGCAAATCCCTCCGATTTAAACGAAACAAACGACCAAACATCACAACAACAAATTCCAGATATTCCTGATCCATCCTTAGATGCAACATCCCAATCAGAGATTAAATCCGAGCAGGAGAATCCCCCCGTATCCCAATTGTCTCCAACGAAGCCTGACACAAATGGAAACAACGCGGAAGAACCTATTATTGAACCCCCCGTAAAAAACGGCGATGGCGGTATTGATGAGAGACCTGCTAAACGGCGCCGTGTCCGCGATGCAACACCCAATAGCGCATCCCGTAAACCCAAGCCAGAATCCCCTCCTTGGAAGAAAATAGAGGCAGAAGGGCCCACATCTTTTACTGAAAATGGCAAACGCAGATCCGGACGCACAAATCAGATACCTTTGGAGTTGCAACCTCTGGGTAACAGGAGAGTTACCAGAGGCGCTCTCCATAACCTTCAACCTCAGACTCCCGCCAAAGACAAACGATCTGCACCTAGCAGCCACGTAAATGGGTCACAAAAGCACGCGTCGACAGGGAAGGGAGCTCCCTCGAAGACTTCCACACCTACGACCAAGCCGAATACGCGGAAATCTTTAGCTAACGGCACTACTAACGGCCTGACTCAGGGCTCTAAGTCTTCTTCGAAAACTCGACGAGCCTCACCTACACCTACAGCCCAGATAACCCCGCCCAGACGCTCTACCAGAATTAGACGTAATTCTGGGTCCCTTCGAGACACCGTCGATACCCCCTCTCGCGAGTCTAAGCATCCTACTGATGATAGCCTCAACCTGCGCCCTACCAAAATTCGATTACGTCTAAAGGCCCCTACCATCCCCACCGTCCATCCTGCCCAAGTCAATGTCTTTCCGGGACAAACTATTGCACGTCCCAAAATCTCGTCTGATTTCCGCGAGTTTGTCGAACGTGCGCCAACCGTAGATGTCAAAGATGGCGGCTGGCTTGACCTTATCGACGAAGGCGAGCCATATACGGAAGAGGCCGCCGAGAGAGATGCGAGTGTTATCATGCGAATCGAGGCCGAAGTCGAACCCGGTGGATTGCTGAGCGAGGAACGTTCTACGCTATTTGTCCCAGAACCCGCCGAGGAGCCCCCGCGACAATGGGCACATATGGATCATCTTGTCAAACAGATGGCAAATTTCCGGAGGTTAATGCTGATGGAACACCAAAGACACAAGGCTACGGCAAAACGATTGGCTGAAGCCTGTCGGGACGAGTGGATACGTCGCCAACCCAAGACGGCCGAGCAAATCGAAGCCGAGGCTAGAGCCGCGTGGATAAGTCGTTATAAGTCTGTTATCAAGGCCGTTGGCGGAACGTGGGAGAATGTCAAGACCGAAGTTAATCGCCGCCGTCTAGAAGAGTGGGAGGCCGCTGAACAAAAGCGTGTAAAAGCCGCTTTGAATGAGGCCGTAAATATGTCAGAGCTCAAGTTGCAGGCCCGCCGTGCCCATTTCGATTCAGAGCTTGTATCTGATGAAGACGAAGAGCTAGAGGACTCGGACGAAGAAGCCGACGACGAAGACGACGACTTAGCTTCTATCGAGGACGTCTCTTTAGACCAAGGCTCCGACGAAGACGAGAACGAGGATAACATGTCTTCGTCTGACGACGACGACGATGCAAAATCAGATATTTCAGACGAAGGCCTTACACAAGAACAGTTGAGGAAGAAATATGCAAACATTCCAGATCTCCCGGTAGACGAACCAACGACTAGTCTTGACGGTGATCAACCCGCAGCAGGGTTAGACGACCAAGGCGAAACCACCGACGAGTCCATCGACATGGATGACGACTTAGGATCAAGTGATGAGAATATGGAAAGCGACGAGGACGAGGGCCAATCTGAGGACCAGGACGAAAATTCCGAAGACGAAGAGGAGCCTTCCGGGCTACTAGGTCTCTTCTTCGGCAAATCCGAGCTGAAGAAAATGCAGCAAGAGGCAGTCGCTGATGAACCGTCATCACCTCAACGCGATACTGAGATGACAGAAATCCCGGATGCTACGTCTGTTGATGGGGCGCCCATCCTCGATGAGGCTATAGCCGAGAGGGATGTTGAAAAGAGCACATTGGCAGAGGCAACAGATTTACAAGATAAACAACCTCTAGTGAACGGAAATAAAGGTCTTTCCCCATCATCCACATCTAACCAAAATCATGCGCCCACGCACCCGCCTAACACCGTAACTGTAACGACCGCACCGGGGAACCCTTATGAAGCTAATAACCCTGAGGTCCCCGCTCCAGTTCCAGAACCTCTACAAGCTCAAGATGTCGAAATGGAAATCATTGAAGCCGTTGAACATGTTAAGAAGGACGTCAAGGCGAACACGTCAATCGGTGGGGTCGAGCAAACAGCTCCAGCAATGCCAAGCGTTGAGATCGCAATTGTGCCAACAGACCAGCCACAGACAAGTCCGGATACGGAAGCAATCACGAACACTCCTAGCCGTGATCGAAGTCACACACCCCGGACATCTGATACCAAGCCCTCCGAGGTAGACACCACCTCTCTTATTAAGTCTGGTGCGAGCAGGTCTAATTCACCTCAGTACCAAGTGCCAAGGACGGAAGTTCCCTTTTTACTTCGAGGAACGCTACGAGAATACCAACATTATGGCTTAGATTGGCTTGCTGGTTTATATAGAAACCAGACAAACGGCATTCTCGCGGACGAGATGGGTCTTGGCAAAACCATCCAAACAATTGCCTTATTGGCCCATCTAGCTTGTCATCACGAAGTATGGGGGCCGCATCTAGTCATCGTCCCAACCAGCGTAATGCTGAATTGGGAAATGGAATTCAAGAAGTGGTGTCCTGGATTCAAAGTATTGTCGTACTATGGGAGTATTGATGAACGAAAACGCAAACGTCAAGGCTGGAAGACAGATGATATGTGGAACGTGTGTATCACATCGTATCAGATCGTCTTGCAAGATCAACAGGTTTTCAAGCGCAGGCAATGGCATTACATGATCCTGGATGAAGCTCATAACATCAAAAACTTCAAGTCGAAGCGCTGGCAAACGCTACTCACCTTCAATACGCGAGCGCGACTATTACTTACCGGCACGCCGTTACAAAACAACTTGACCGAATTATGGTCACTGCTGTTCTTCTTGATGCCATCTGAAAATGGTGTCGGCGGGTTCGCAGATCTAGCAGAATTCCAAGATTGGTTTCACAAACCTGAGTCCCAGATATTGGAGAGTGGTCGGGAACAGATGGACGATGAGGCTCGTGCGATCATTGCCAAATTGCACAAGGTGCTTAGGCCATATCTCCTGCGACGATTAAAAGCAGATGTTGAGAAACAAATGCCAGCCAAATATGAACACGTCGAATTTTGCCGACTGTCGCGTCGACAACGTGAGCTATATGATGGATTTTTAGCTCGTACGGACACTCGAGAAGCGTTGTCCTCCGGTAATTATATATCGGTCATCAACTGTCTCATGCAATTGCGCAAGGTCTGCAATCACCCCGATCTTTTTGTCGAACGTCCAATTATGACGTCTTTTCGACAACGCAGATCCGTCTTGTCCAACTATGTTGCAACTGAAGATATGATCCGGGGGAAGCTACTTGCTGAGAAACCTATGAGTGTTGTCAGCTTAGATTTCCTCAACTTCATTCCGACACGACACGAGAACCAGTCTAAAACAGTGTGCGAGCGAGTTTCTGAATTAAACGCCCATCGTCAACTAATAGAACGCCGCGCAGCTCAGGAAATCAGAGCTCAAAACGCCCGAGTCAATTTAGACCTTTCAACTGTGGAATCTGTTCTCGTGTGGTTGGAAAGCGCGAAACGATGGGATCGCTTTGAGGAGTTGCGGCATTGTGTCTATGTTAATGCCATCAGAAGACAACAACGCCCAATTTACGGCAAACAACTCACGGACTTTCTAACACTTGGTGTAAATGACAGGCCACATAAAGCTCGTCCTAAGGTTCCACAGAAGATCATGAGTTGGTTTGAAGAAGATTCGCCGGTGTTACGGTCAATGGTCCCGACGCTCGACCAACGTGCTGCGTCGATGAAGACTACTATCGCTAAGTTCGCATGTGTCACGCCGGCGGTTGTCACTCGAGATTTTGACCAAATTGTCCTTGGCACGAGAGGCGTTGAGGCTTTTGACGAGACGAATCTGCGATTGGCGGCTCCAGTACGTTATGCCCCATTCATGCAGAAAGAGGCTCCGATCGACCCGTGGCATGAAGCTCGCATGCGACTCAGCATTCAATTCCCGGATAAAAGACTTCTCCAATATGACTGTGGTAAACTCCAAGCCCTTGATCGTCTACTACGAAAGTTGCAGTCTGGTGGTCATCGTGCCTTGATCTTCACGCAGATGACGAAAGTGCTCGACATTCTCGAACAGTTCCTCAACATTCACGGGCATAAATACCTACGACTCGACGGTGCGACGAAGGTAGAGCAACGGCAAATTCTCACAGACCGCTTCAATCACGACACCAGGATTTTATGCTTCATATTGTCTACACGATCGGGTGGTCTTGGTATTAACCTGACTGGAGCTGACACTGTCATCTTCTACGACCAGGACTGGAACCCCGCAATGGACAAGCAATGCCAGGATAGATGTCATCGGATTGGCCAGACGAGAGATGTCCACATATACCGACTCGTGAGCGAACACACCATCGAAGCAAACATCCTACGCAAAGCAAGTCAAAAACAAATGCTAGACGATGTCGTAATCCAAGAAGGTGGCTTCACAACCGACTACTTCAATAAGCTTTCTGTACGTGACGTTATTGGCGCCACTCCAGATGAAGGTGATGTAGTCGGTGATGCCATGGATCGTGTCCTCGGTGGTGTGGAGAATAGCGACCAGCGAGCTGTCGGCCGAGTCCTTGAGCAGGCCGAAGACCGCGAGGACGTTGACGCCGCTCATGTTGCTGAGAAAGAAATACAAGAAGATGAAGCCGACTTCGCCGAGAAACCGGCGACCGCAAGCGCATCTGGGACCTCTAGCGCAAGAGTAGGTACACCGGTCACGCGAGATGGTTCACTCGCACCAGGCGTTGGGAGATCAAACCTTGGGCTATTCTCCGAGTCGGCAGACGTGGATCACGCACTTGAGGAGATCGAGAACAATGCATGGGGCGAAAAGATACAGACCATCGATGACTACATGCTTGCTACTATGCGCAAGCAGCTTGAGGGCACGGCTTTGGAATTACCAAAGGACAAGAAGAAGGGCAAGAGCAAGAAGGGGAAGGATACTCGAAAACGCTAGTAACGTACGCATGATCTTCGAAACCGTTCGCTTCGCTCTGCTCAAACCTTTGGTTAAGGCGTTCTAGCTGTATATTTCGCCCACCATTTGCAATTACGAGGTTTGATGCCGGCTAGAGATAAGACTGCTGTTTATGCCTACCTGGTACCTAAGAGCATTACGAGAGTACATAAGAACCTATAAAAAAGTCGATGACGAATATTGGGGATGGAAATAAAGAGGGGGTTTGCATTGCATATCTGGTGTTCTTGCGAGCGGTGAACTTTAGGGATGAAAGACGGCGTATCGAAGGAAATTCTTTTTTTGCATCGATTCGTTAGGAATGACGCCCGAGTGCCACGATTCGGAGTCAAGGTGTTGCTGCGTTTTATGGAAATAAAAATCGAAGAGAGCAACGAAAGCTAGAAACCCTCTTGTACGTGTAGGAAACAGAACCACAAATACAGATAGTATGTATCTGGTGGTTACTAGATAACTCAACGACGAAAAGACGAGAGATGACCGCTCGGGGCGGGATTCGCCACTTTTTTACACACACAACTTGCTTGTACGGCTGTTTTCAATTTGCGTTGCTTATGCGAATATGTCTAATCCACCCAAGTGGGTATGATATACTCACATACCTAAGAGGTATGTTGTTAACGTCTAGTAACAGCCTCATGGAAATAAGTGACGCCGGCAGAGCGCTACCGCTCTCCGCATCTACCTAGGTAAGAGCCGATACATTTCCCCGCGCTGGGGGGATTCGCGTCGGGATCCACCAGGGGGGAATCGTTCGAGCTGTTCGATTTCCATACGTACTACTTTCCATACAACGGACAGTCTCGGTTTCAGGAGTCGCGATCTTTGGGAATGTCTTACCGCGTTCTCGGGTCAAATTAATTACGATCGCTTTTATATGAGGCCGGTTCGAGATAGATGAACTGGTGGATCTGGGGAGGATTCACTATAACCTGAAAAATTCTTGGCTGAGTGAGAGCTAGGACTTGGCATTTGTTAGCTAAGCTCATCGGCTGTTGTACTTTGAAATATTTCTTAAGATTTTTTAAGATTTTTTTGGAAAAGGATAGCTTGTATATACCTGTATTGGCAACTGAATTATCGCCGAGAATGACGTCGACGGAGAAGCAAGACGCCCAGCACGGCGAGTTCCGGAAATTCCTCCCGGACCTGGACACGCCGCGGTTCCATGCTATCGCGAAGAACGATGCGTACGGCCATGCTAAGGAGTTGCTGGAGCATCACAGGCCGCCGTGGCTGTATGGGTTATACGTACACTGGCGGAAGTTGTTCGAGGAGCCGTTCAAGGGCGTGACGAATGATGGTATGTACTCACTCACTCACACGCTCACTCACTCACCCTTACCATCACCCTCACCCTCACTGCTCCCCTGTCGCCTATCACCCCAGTAAAGATACTCTCATAGCAAAACGCTTAAGGGGTGACGACCTCAACATCGCCACAACAAACACCCAACTAAACCTTCCCAGGCACCGTCCGCCCCTCCCTCTTCCCAATCCGCGACGAAGGCATCCCCATCGCCTCCATCGTCGCCGCCGCCCACGCCATAACCTCGCAGCTCAGCCCCGCGCAAGCCGCAAAGACAACGCTGCACATCGACTCGCCCGAGTGGCGCACGTGGTCGAACCCGGAGTTCCTGCTGAGCGACAAGGGCATCCGCCTCGAGTCCCTCACCCCTCCGCTGCGGACCTCCGTCCTCGCGCTCCTCGAAGCGACGCTGAGTCCCGAGGGGTACGCCAAGGCGCTCGCCGCGATGCGGATTAACCATTTTCTAGGCGAGTTGGTGAACGCGCCGAGGGTGATGAATGAGCATAGTTATAACTTCGTGCTGTTCGGGACGCCGGCGGTAGATAAGCCGTGGGGGTTTAGTTTTTACGGACATCATCTTTGTTTGAGTGTTTTCTTATATAAGACGCAGATTGTGGTGAGCCCGTGGTTTACGGGCGCGGAGCCGAATTGCATTGATGAGGGCCCGTGGAAGGGGACGAGGATTCTGCATGAGGAGGAGAGGTTGGGGTTGTTGCTTATGCAGAGTTTGGGTGAGGGGGAGAGGGAGAAGGCGAGGACGTATGTGAAGATGAAGGATGAGAAGATGCCGAAGGGGAGGTGGAATCATGATGACCAGAGACACCTGTGCGGCGCGTATAGGGATAACCGCGTCGTGCCTTACGAAGGCGTCGTCGTGGCCTCGCTGGGCGCGGAGCAGAGGGAGCTTGTGAGGAAGATACTGGGACAGTATTTATTGTATCTGCCGGAGAAGTCGCGCGAGCTCAAGCTGGAGGATTGCGAGGAATGGTTCGGCGAGACGTATTTCAGCTGGATCGGCGGGTACGCCGACGACGACCCGTTTTACTATCGGATACAGAGCCCCGTCGTCATCGTCGAGTTCGATCACCACTCCGGCGTATTTCTGGCCAATTCGGAGCCAGCTAAGTTTCACATACATACGTTGCTGCGGACGCCGAATGCGGGCGATTATGGGTTTGCGCTGAGGAGGCAGATCGGGGCTAGTGTTGCGCAGGAGTATGTGTGGGAGGGCTAACTTGGGTGAGTGTGTCTGCTGCTGGCTAGCTAAAGCAGAGTTGGATATTGTATATGCTTCACTTCAACATGTGTGCATACCTTACATAGTCACGATAGCGTTGGCGATGTATAAACCCTAGTACAGGAACTATGTCTGTTTTCGGTGTCGCTTTTGACATCATGGGCGCGATGGCTTCGGCTGTCGGTTAGCTGAACTAAGTCCTCATAGAATCTAAAACATCGTAACTTCAAATTTTGGTGGTTGAACCACATTAGCATGTCAACATCCCGAGAAATTCTGCATTTACTTAAGTCCCACATAAATTTCGTGTGTTTCCGTTGTTGCGCTATACATATCTCGACCTTTCTCAACTCTTCATTTAGGCTTGGGAGCATCTAATGAAGACATATCACCCAACAATATCGTCGTTGTATCCGATTTCTCGCTTATAAAAGTAACAATCCATAGCCAGTAAACCCTACGCGATTCAACAATTACTAAGTCCAAGCATCAAGCATCAAGCATCAAAACCCACAATCACAAGCCAAAAACCCACAACCTTCAACCCATGCCCCTTTCCCCCCTCCTCCTCCGCCACAACGCATCGAAATACCTAAACCGTGGATCCGTCAAATCGAAAGACATACATATCTAAATACACTCCCCCAAACCCAAAGACCCCAGACCTAGGTCAGGCACCGACACAGCGCTGACCCTACCTCGCAAAGAACCCGGTCGACGCATGCAAAACATGCAAGGGAGTGGGTACTGCCGGCATGCCGGGCGTCCCGTACCGTTCCCGGCCCACGCGAAAACTTGGATGGGCCCGCGAAGCGCCGGGTCCATTGGTTTGCTTACCTACCTAGTACGCTTCCTACTTACCTATATAGTAAGTATGTAAGAAGTAGCCAAGGTAAGACGAGGCCATGTCTGCACGATAAAATCTGGGTAATATTCGAACTTGGTTCCAAGGCTTCTGCATAGCTTGGGTACCCATATACCTAGGTGGGTATGTATGCATGTAAGTAACTGTCGTGAAAGGATTTGCTCGCGCACCTGTGTGAGGATCTGGATCCGGTACGATCAGATGAGTAGGTAGGTACAGCATGATCAGCCCGTGAAATAGGATCGATCACCGTCGGCCCACCGTATGTAGGACGCTGAAGAAGAATATGCGGAGATGTTCGTATTTGACAAGACTAAACATGTCAGGTCAATATTATACAGAATTGGCCTCTTATATAGTCAGCTGTCCTGTCCCTGCCATACAATCCCACAAATTCAACTCCAAAACCCTTTCACCTTATAGGTAAGCGTTAGGTCAAAAAAGCCTCGTTCGATTGTGTCGTGCGCAGGACTAAGCCCTGGGAGCCGATTTATGTAATGTACCATTAAAGTAGGTGGCCCTTTCGGGGCCGTTTATGTGGGCTACGCCGCTCGAACAGCTGTACTTTGTGTCCCAAACCGTTACCGCGCATATACGGGCCAGACGGGCCTCGAAATTCGGTCTACCCTTACTGTTCCTCTTCCCTCGCCCTATCCTTGCGTAGCAAGCAGCCCAGCAGGGCGACGGAAGGGATGACCTTTCGTAAGTAGGCTTTGTTCGCTTTAATTCGTGCTAATTAAACGCTTCTGACGGAATACGAGTTATCGTATACAAACTCGCGCGGAGCTAGCGATAAAAAAAGTAAAATATCGTGAAGTTTGATATTAAGTTTGATTGAACGGTATATAACTCTGTGCGCCGTTTAGCCGTAGGAAGGTTTACGAGGACTCGTACTACCACCTTCATATGGCGGAAGATACAGCGAGAGCGGCGAGACTCCGTCAAGCCAAATACTATCTAAACTGAGATAGTAGAGGGACATCGCACAATTGTTGTCTGCGTATGCGAGTTTTGTAGGGGGATTGTCGACGAAAGGCGACGCTCTGGCACGCGAAAAATGTAGACGCCAGTATTGGACTTCATCCTCCTGAGTGCCTGCTAAACCCATAATGTGAATCTGGTGCGACTGGAATGTTTAGCGCATTCAGGGCAAGCACAGCAAGATACCTGCTTCAACCTCGTAACAGATGATGATAATATATTCCATCGTGTATCAAGGTATATACCAAAAGCTCGCTCTATCCCTATTTACCATCTCTCTTATCTTCTACTTCTTAATAAAACCCACCATTTCTCACGCCCGTATAAATCCACGTTAGCGTCGCCGTCTCGAGAGCTGGCACCCTGAGCCCGGGGCCTATCGTCTCGTCATCCTGAAGCTTCTTCAGCCAACTCTCGAACGTTCCTTTCAAATCATGCACCTGATAGCCTCTTGGTTGGGGATCGTGCGCGCACTGTTTCGAATGTCTCGCAAACGCCGATAATGGTGATGCCGATTGTGCCGATTGTGAAGGCTGCGCCTTTTCCCTGTCATCTTCCGGTTCGTACCGCACGAGCCTGCTTTGATACGGGCGGCGCAGCCAGTAGTTGTCGAAATTAAAGTTGACGTTGAAGTTAAAGTGATACGACTCGTACAGATCGTAGTGACGCCACGGGAGCATATTCGCATTCCTCTGGCCCTGACTCTGACCGTGAATATGGTGTTGATTTTGGTGATATTGTTGATGGTGCGAATGATGCTGATTGTGATAGTGATGTTGATGGTGAGGTTGATGATAACGGTGATCCGGCACCGGCCCAAGCGGAGCGGGGCTGCAACACTTAAACCGGAGTCCGAAAGCCGATCGCTGGTACACTACCAAGATAATCGTCTCGAGCTGCCGGAACTTGGACACGTACTCCAGGAACCTCGCCATGTTTCGTTTCGTCTGGACGCTCCGGTGGAACATGCGTAAGTGCAGCCCCGTATGCAGACCCCAACTCGTACCGAGGGCCAACCTGGTCGCGCTGCGTCGGATGGGTTCGATCTGGCTTAGGAGTCGTATCACCTTTAGTAGCCTTTTCACCTGTAAATAGGAATCGAGTAAGATGATGTCTCGCCGGAGATCTAGGTGCTTGACCGTCCCGGAAAAAGCAATCGGTTTATAGCGACGCAGGACGGCTTGTCGAGCGTCACGGCAGACTCGCGCTATGGAGGGCGGCGGCTCGTTGCGGACATCCGCAAACATTAAACGGCCCGAGGGCGAGGATTGGGATTGGTGTGTAGACGGAGAATCGAGGACCTCGAACACTCTTGGTTCAGGAAGAGCATATCCCCATATCATATCCCGCAATTCCAATGGCAATTTGGAGAATTGCGGGAAGCTGGCCGGCGGAGAGGCCATCGTCAGCTGCACGAGTCGCGGATTTTTGCTAGCAGCCCCGATGCGTAGAATGTGCAGAATTCATTCAGAGGTCTTGGTTATCCACCTCTAAATAGTAGATCCGTCAGTCGACCGAGTTAGTTAGAGGCCGCAGAGGCCGATAGTTGGTATGAATGTGCCTCGCTGGCAGAAGCTAACACAAACTCCTGCCAGTCACAGCCTCGGGGCGTGTCCAGCTCTTTGATCTATTAATCTTTGGTTGCGAGGCCTCCTCTTCTCAGCCCGAAGATCCTTCGACCAAAATAAATAAATAGCTAGCTGGGGATCGCCCTGTATTATGTGTCGCGACTCCCGACAGGAAGCGGCGGTGGTCCGGATCTCTGTGTAAGTTGTCGACAGATCAATAATCAGCTTAATGTTGGGAGACCTTCAAATAATACGCCACTACTTCACTAGCTACGCCTCTTTCTTTCACTCTCCCACTTAATGCGATATGAATGGACTTGGCGATGGTATTCAAGGATAATAAAAGGTAAGCAGCCGGATCCAAGAGGAGTGGGAGAGAATAAAAAGGAGCGGAGCAGAGCAGAACAGATTCACACGCAGGGACGCAGGGAAAACCAAGTAGGAGTTTTAAGACCAGGGGAATGATGTAAGATGTTCATGACATTAAGAAATAGACTAATAGTAAGGTTACGGATGCAGCATGTAGGCTAGGTACCTAGAAAATGTAGAATGCTTCCAAGGTTGATCACATGGATCGGTGTCTCCAGAATATGAGAGACAATAAATCCGCATAAGGGAAAAGAGTGGCTTGCAAGCCATTTGCTTCTTTACTTTTATGGGAAAGGTTGGGGGCAACCGCAGATAGTTATTGACCAAGTGCCAGTCATGCGCGGGTATGCAACGGACTTGTGAGCGAAAGGGTCTTAAGGTCTTTAGGTCTTGAAGCGACGAGCAATGAGCGATGACCTAACGCTTCGCTTTTGCGAAAAAAGCACACTCGAGCGGCGGAAACCTTCCAGAATCAGACATTAGGGGTGAGAGATGTGGTACAATCAGCCATAAGTCGGGTCGCTGACGTACAACCAACGTAGCGAAGCAACTCCTGAAAAGGGAAGCTGAAGCGTGCAGAGCCTGCTAGAGAATCCTATGAGATGGCCCCCCCAGGTTAATAAGACTGCTACGATAGCTATCTCATGGATTAGTTTCAACACAAATGGGTAGAGAGCAGCTTACATATTACACTTTGTACGCATAGTACAAAGCTGTATAAACGAATAGACGAGACGAATAGGGCGAATAGGGAGTCGTGGGATGCGACGGTCGGAACTTGGTCTATAAATGGAACAATTAAGTTGTATATTAATGCTGCATACCACGTTCGATGGTTTTCCAATGCTGGTACGCCTTTTTCTTGGTTGTTTCTAGTTGCTTTAACTCGCTTTGGCTGCTACCGTGGGCTGTGTAGGTGCATACATAGGTGCGTAAGTACATGGTCGTTGTAGCGACCTAACGGAGCCCGCAACCTTTGAAGCTTGGAACTACCTTGGAACCCTGCTACCGTGGCACACGTGCAGATATCACAGACCGGAGGCTAGTAGCAGCTGACGTCGACTTAGGGGGTTCGTTAGCGCTGCTACTTTGCGAGTGCGGCTTCTGACGATTTTTTAATATAGGCCCCGTGCTGATGGGATAGTCCAGTTGCGTGACGTTGCATGAGGGGTCAGGGTCAATATGAGAAGAGATTACAACAAGGGACATGAAGGGAAAGGAAGTGACAGGAAGGAAAAACTAGGGCAATAGAAGAGCAAAAGTCGGGCTGTAAACCGGTAGACCTGTAGACCAGTAGACCTGTAGGGTCCTGTAGGCAAGGCTTACCAATGGTTGTTAAGACTCAATGGTTGCCAATGGATTAGACTAGCAGTATTAGTTGCCAGTTAGCAACATTAGCAACATCGTGAAGTATCTTTCTAAGCCGCCACCGGTCGACTAGGACGGGATGTGATGTGCGTACGTAAACCCCCTCCCACTTGGATTGGGCGACACATCCTGGCTTTAGGTATCGTAGAACGGGATGAGAGACAGAAACGGGTTGGGGGGTGTATGGGATGGAAGGAATCCAAGTGGACGGGGTATATTAAAAGCATGTAAAAGCATGTCTTTTCCGAGGCTAACTATTCCAAGGATTCGACAGTTAATGAGTGAGAGTGGGAACAGTGAAATAGAGTGTGTGTCCGCCCGTGGCGGTTTCATCAGGGTTGGCTTTCGGTGGGAATGCTAAGAGAGACTAGGAATAATGTGGGAGAAAAAGATGTGATTCTCTGTTCGTTTCAATTTTCTGTTGTGTGACTGGAGCCGGCAATGAAACAAGCGGAATACGGAATATTTTGAAAACCTTCCATCGTAAAGCGGGTCGCGGATAAACCCAGCATGTCCGGAAATCTTAGGTAATCGCCGACCATTTTCCGCAACGCCTATCTGACAGTCTACGAAAAGTCAGCTGCCACCTGGCGATCTAATCTAACAGCTGCTAAAGACGCTAGCGGAGCATATGAAAATTCGAACGCGATCGCGACAAATTTTTATTTTTTCTTCTTCTTTTCTTCTTCGTGCGGCTGGCATGATATAACATTTCCCGTGTTGCTCCGATCCCTTCTTCCTTCAGTGGAATTCCCATGGATACATAGCGTCAATCATGCCACAGAGTAATTAAAATTGCAAGCCGGCGACCTCACTTCTAACGTCGGTTCGAAATCAAAGCCATTGATTGCTTCTTCGAACCGCAGTGAGGACGCTGGACATAAACCTCTACCCATAGATGCCCGCTATCATAGCTATATCGGTCGACGAGCAGGTATAATCAAGTGTGTCCGCTGAGACAATGTCTAGGTGGCGCTTCCGTAGGATGCTATCCGATCCAAGTGAATTGAATATTTGGGCCCTTGCTCAATGCTGTGGCACTTTTATTATCCAATGCGATCCGTTTTGATGTCGTCCACGTTGGTAGTGAAGGGGGTAATCGGCGAGGTGGCAATGATGAGGTCAGCTTAATATTCGATTACCAACTGCATGCGCAGATGAATCAAATCCAATGAAAATACCATTTAACGTGAGACTCGAGTTTGTCCTGCATTTGGTCATATTAGACACGTAAATGCATGCATGATACGCATTCCCTACCTGACAGCTGTCCGTAGAGTATGCTACTATTGTAGCTGTTAACAATGGAAACGCATTCACTACTAAAAGCATTGCAGCCATCAATTGATCTCATCTATATAGATGCGGTCCCAAGGTATCCCGAGTCTATAACCGCATTCCATTCGTTGTTCTCATCCATGATCATAACTGATTGACGCTTGCCTATATGAATAAGATTTTCTTTCGTAATAGAATTATTCTCAAGGTTCGTCGCCAATCTTCTCAAGCTTGCCCATTTCTCTTTTCTCACCAGACTCACCAATAAATCTTATTCGGTCCACTCGAACCTTGTCACCGTCACCATCACCGTCAACAACGAAGATCACGAGGCTCGTGACATTCTGGAATCGGACAAATCGTAAGCCTAGGTTCGCGGTGCCGTTGTCGTTCCAGTCGTTCTCGCCGATCTCAATTGTCTGGGTTGGGTTAATGTCATCGGCTTCGTCAAAACCCAGGTTATGTGGTCGGTTCGTGAAGAGTTTGAGCGTCTTTGGTCTCATTGGAACGTCATCGTCGTCATCATCGCCCGTGGGAGGTAGAGAAGTAATCTGATAAATATACGTTAGCTCGAAATAGCATCCTATAGGTGACTCGGTACATGTATACCTGTATAGTGTGAAGCTTGATGGCCGAGTTGAAAGGTGTGAAGAGCAAAAGCTGCTCATCGGTATCACTCTCTACCCAGTCCTTTTCATCACCTGTAGCCGCATCCTTAGATAGTGCCGAAGGCTTATTTTTGTTGAAGAGGTTTCGAACAGAGAAGTGAGATTCATCTGCATTCAAAAGTTCCAGTCCACGTACGTCGATGCTATCCGAGACGTCGGTGTAACCTCGAGGTAGGTCGGCTCCCTTCCATGATATGCCACTAGAGCTGCCACCTCCTTGAGATGCGTTTTCGATATCACCACTTAGCTTCTCAATGACGGTTTGAAGCTTCTTCGGATCGGCGCCCTTTACTTTATCCACAACGGAGCCATCTCGAAAGATGATGAAGGTAGGAAGCGATGAGACGGCATATTCGGTCGCGACGGCTTTGGCGCCGTCAGCCTCGACGTTGACCTTGGCAAATGTGGCCACTTTAGGGCGCGAGAGTTGTCTCGAGAGCTGCTCGTAGAAAGGAGCGATTTGGTTGCATGGTCCACACCACGTTGCGTAGACTACGCGTTAGAAAGATTTGTCAGCTTCGCGTCGCAAAAGGTTGTCACCATGACGATGGCGGGGCAAGTGGACAGGACGGATGCAGTGGTACTCGAAGAGGTACATACAATCTGCCACCACAATACGCGAGCTCTTCAGCAATTCGCTAAACTGCGCGGACGACCGAATCTCTACGGGCCCGGCCATTTTTACTAGCAAGTGATGCTGACGGTACTCTTGGTATTCTTGGTCGGTGTTAAGGTGTTGTAAGTTTAGAAGGTTGAAGAATTAACGAGGAGCATTTATGGTGGGGGAAGGTGGTAATCCCTGTCAGGTACGACCAGTAGACCGGTACGACGGGAGTCACGCAGTCCCACAAATGGGATAGCGTCATTTAGCTACGCGTAACTTAAAGTTATCGCTCGGAAGTTGCAACTTCGTCGTCATCAAGAAGCAGCTAGCATGAATTATTGTCTTGGAAGATAGAAAGAGCATTATGTGATACTATTGTCTACTTAGTTGCTTCGTAGTCTACTGTACCTTATACTAGCCGAAAGTTCCATGATTACCTTTTCCAAGCCATTCAAATTTCTATAAGACAATATGTAACAACTTAGACTTGGTTGATAGCCATATCGTCTTGTCTGGCAATTAGAATACATATGTAGACATTCTAGACTTAAAATCACCCAGAACATATATTCCAACAGCATCTAGAATCCTTTACTATTTATGATCGATCACGACTGCACGACACATACACGTGCTCAAAATTGTCTTGTTCAATGGAAACCTAATTGTCATGTGCAGAGTAGGAAGAACCTTCACCCCTGACCGTACCAGTCAGCAGTAACCAGCGCTTCTATGCCTCTATCAAACATAACCCCCAACCATCGCCTCCTTTAAAAAGCAGAAGCCTTAACTCCACGCACGGACCCCCTTAAGAATGCAGTCTATTCATATTCTCCCTTCGTCTCCCCCATCATCCCACCATCCTCGTTCCCCATCATCCCACCATCCTCGTTCCATTCAAGTAGGTAAAAGGTGTATCGTGATGCTTCATAATACCATGCCAACCGCACCTTCACCCCTCAGATCCCCACAGCGTGACTAAACACCCTCGTAGCAAGTTGCGCCAACAGCCTCGCGCGATCATCCTGCGGCAAGTCCTGAAAAACCGCATAAACGCTCTTCCCCTTCGCGTCCCGCACCGCGCCCAACCTGTTTCCCGCCACGGCCCCGGCGACCGCCCCCGGCATATTGCCGACGATGAACCCGATAACGCTCCCGCTCGCCGTGCCCATCATGCTCCAGAAAGTCGTGTCGCGGCGCGTGGCCTCCTCGCCCGCCATCCCCTCCTCGCGCAGCATCTCCTCGAACACGTCGCCGAACTGCGCGTCCTCGGCCTGCTGGCGTTCCGCCCGCGCGCTCTGCTGCGTGTTTGTGTTCCCTCCCGTGAAGAAGTTCCACGCCCACGAGTACGTGCTCTGCGCACCGCCGTTGCCATTGCCGTTGCCGTTCCCGCCATTTTGGGGCGGGACGGAGTCTGCGGGGTCGTCGAACGGGTCCGAGTACGAGGCTCGCCCGCCCCGGCGGCCCCGGTCCGCTTTCCGCGTGTAGTCGTACTCGCGCCGCCGGGTCGGGTCCGAGAGCGTGTAGTAGGCGTCGTTCACGAGCTGGAACTTGCGGGTGCGGGCCGCGCGGTCGGGGGAGTTGGCGGACACCCTATCTGGGTGGGTTTTGAGAGCCGCTCTGGTAGGGCTGTTAGTATGATGGAAATAGGTGCTGGCACTACTAGGATATCTGCGTGGTCATGCAGATAGGAAATGTCTAAGGAGATGACTTACCGTTTGTAGGCATCGCGGATCTGTTGGGTCGTTGCAGTTTCGGAGACCTCGAGGATCCTGTCTATAATGCCAGCACATGTTAGTGGGGTTCTATATGGGATAGGTATAAGTTATAAGAGTCACATATGACTAACAGTAGTCTGGAGGAGATCGATTGGCCATCTTGAAAGTTTGAAATCGTAATGGTAAAAGGTACTGAACCGGCAGTTAGGGTGAAGGTAAAGAAGAAGAATTCTAGGAGCACGAGTCGGTCAAGTCAAAGCATCGTCTTTAATCAGGCTTCAATGGGAGCTCAACTATTGCATAGGTGGATGGTGTATGTCCAATAGGGAACGTCATCGATGTGGCGGTTCCTAAGCGTTTAGCTGTCTAGTGCTTCCTTATTCGGGATAGTGGTTTTGCTTTAATCGCTTTTACAGTTTTAACAAGCCACGGTGGCTTGATCAGGTTCGGTTCCACAACCCACAACTAGGTACACTGGCAAACACAGCACACGCTTGCAGGTTGCAGCTTGTTGAACTGCAACTTGCCTAACATCGTAAACGGTCTAGCCTCCTAGTCAAGATTTTTAGTCTTGGCGAGACCCCAAGGCCCGCCTTTGATTTGAGTTGACCCTAGCTGACCCGCAGGCTCACCTCGGAACCAAGCTAATCAGATGCAGACTAGCGCTAAGCCTTAGGGCAGTTTTAGACTACGGCGATCCATCAGCGGCGGCCAGGGGGTGCGCCCAGCCACTTCAATTGTCGGTGAACGGCCGATCCCTCCCTTCTCATTCGCAGTTCCAATCATTCACGATGCCTTCGAGCCCTTCGTAAGCTGCAATATCTGCAATATCTTCTCTTTTCACTCACCCAGACCCGTCTCTCCTGTGGATAAGTCGTGCGTGAAGCTCCATCCGAGTGTTCGCAGACTGGCCGGTGCGTTGTGCAGCGAACGAGAAATCGATCATCCGACGGAGAATATAACAAAAGATCGTGTTGATCCTCCCACGATTTGATCTGCTCGGCAGCTTTGCTGTGAGATTCCTCGTTCCTTTTCTTAGTTTCAATTCTTGTCAATCTGCCCCGCTAGGTCGATTGAGAAAAGCTACGAGACTCAAACTTGAGAACAATTTGTTACAAGCTCGACCAAGCTCGAGTAAGACAGTTTATATATCTATCTTATACGTATCTACTTGCCGTATATATATTTTACCTCATACTACCAACACACGCCTCGCAATCATGGGTATCCTCGACAACTTTGACGGCGAGTCCGTGATCTCGAATTCGACCCGCCGCTCACGCTCGCACAACCACAAGACCTCCAAATCGCGAGACTCGTCGCGCTCCCACAAGAGCAGTAAGAGCAAGCGACACTCAGGACTCGCTGGCTTCTTCGGCGTCGATGGTGGCCATCACAGCAGCAGCCATAGCGTTGGCGGCAGCCATTACAACAAGCACAACAGCTCCCGCGGCTCATTCTTCGGTCTGGGCAATGGCAGCACCCGAAGTTTCTTCAGCATAGGTGAGCTCACCTTTTCCTCCATTCCCCTTTCCTCATTCTGTGCGCTCGCCTGGCACGACCTGCCCCGTTTATGTGCCGAATCACACGCGCGCACGTGTGGAGGCCTTGAACTTAGAACCGAACCCATTCATTCACCTATCTACACACGTAGCAGCTTCATGCATACATACACTTGCACATACACGCACTCATCTCCATCTTTCCCCCTCCCCCCCTTTCTCCCACATACACGATCACACCATTATCATAACGCGCTATACCTACAACATACCATGTTATAGCAATAGTGTATCTGTATCCATAGGTTAGCTAACCATGAAACCCCCAGGCCGTTCCAACTCCTACTACAAGCGGCAACCGCGCTCCTCCTTCCTGCAGCGCACCCTCAAGAAGCTCAAGCGTCTCTTGCGCGACCTCATGTACTACGCCAAGCGCCACCCGATCAAGGTCTTCATGCTCGTCATCATGCCGCTCATCACCGGCGGCGCCCTGACCGCCCTGCTCGCCCGCTTCGGGCTCCGCCTGCCCCCCAGCATCGAGCGCATGCTCGGCATAGCCGCCCGCGCCGGCTCCGGCGACTCCGTCGGCTTCGTCGGCGAGGCCGTCCGCATGGCCGGCGGCCTGGGCCGCGGCGAGACCGTCGCCGTCGCCCGCGACCACCGCGGCGACTACCAGTGGGAGCGCCGACGCGAGTACTACGAGGAACCCCGGCGGGGACACGGGGGTTTCTTCGACGGCATACGCGATTTCTTTTCCTAAGCAAGCAGCCTTTACCTTCCTTCCTTGTCTTACTCTTGCCTTGTCTTACTTTACGTTGCCTCATATACCTACCTCCCTGCCTACCTATATATATCTACCTGCCTTGGAAATTTGGGGGGTTCTCGTATATACTAGCTAGGAAACTGGGAATTACGATTTCACTCGTGACATGTCGGATGACGGGGGTTAATGTGGATGAGATGGATATGAATTAACGGATGGCGTCTGAGGGGCGGTCGTTTTGGATGATACGATTTTTTTTCTCGCTTCCCCTCTTCTTTCCTTACACTAGAAAAAGCTGGGTTACGATTGATGTCTTGTCAAAGAGGAAAAAAGCAGAAGAGCGAGTTGAAGAATCGATACGATACCCTAATGTCATGTTAGACTTTAGATTTGGAAGTCTCATTTCATATGAAAAAGTTTACTGGATATTCTTGAAATATATGTGAGAAGTGAGATGCGTACGCGGTTTTATTGAAGGAAGAGGTGCCCACGAGTGCATAATTAAAACCAGTCTATCAATGTTCAGGTATTACATAGGTGTATTGCTTCTCTCATTAAGATGATCGCAACGACTCCGCCCGGCTTATTTCCCTTTTCGCCTTTTACCAGCACCACTAGTTGCCTTCTTCTTTGCAGTCGGTTGACCAGGTGAAGACTTTTTAGCCTTGTGCCGCTCAGATTCCGGTGAAGGTGTGGCTACAACAATCTCCCTATTCCCTGCATCATCACTTGTTGTCTCGTCCTCTTGTTCTTCGTCCCTCCTTGCTCGGCTTCTGTGCCTCCTCGGACTGCTCCTGACGGCCGCAGCGCCATCGGCGTACGTCGCGCGTGGACCGGCAGTCTGATATTGGAAGGGATTTTGGGCTGATGCCGAAGATGAAGGTCTTCCTGAAGGATCAGAGATGTGACGTTGATTAGGAGGTGCATTCACATATTGATAGTCAAAGGGAGGGGAATCTCTTATGCGCGACCGAGGACGCTGCGTAGATGATGTCGACGATGTACCGGAGCGAGGACGGGAACGGCTAGCATTCGGCGGATGGAAGCGTCCCATAGGTGGACCCTGTTCTGTCGAAGGCAAGGCTTTGCGAGCCAAAGACTCGTTAGAACCAGACGGGCCTCGTGAAGGATCGAGCTGAGAAAGGGGGACGGCGTATCGTTGTTCCTTTTCTTTGCGTTGTTTTCGATTGCCGCCACGTTTTGCAGCCTCGGCTTCGGCCTGTAAGCGTTTCCTTCTGCGATCAAGAGCGGCGAGCTCCTCCTTGTTAAGTTTAACGTCCTGCCTGCCCTTACTCTGAGCCTTCCGTATTCTTGAAAGAGCTGACTGTACTAGAGCCTCCTCAAGTTCCCTCCTAACGACTTGATTTTCATCGTCGGTATCCTCCTCCTCTTCTGATGTAGCCTGTGTACCGTCCTCTGTCGAATTGCCGTCATCGTCATCGTCCTCTTCATCTGAATGTTGATAAGCATAACCGTTCCGTGCCTGACCACCACCGCCCAAATCTATACCAGTAAACCGAAGTGGGTCACTAGCAAACCGTCTCCCACCATTTTCAGCGCCTTGTGTGTCTGTACCCTCACTATCCAACAACTCCTCAACAACCCTGCGCCCGGTCCCCCAGATGTCATCATCCTCCTCTTCTCCATATCCCCTCCTCGGGCGCCTCGATGGTCTTCCCCATTGGGGCGCAAATTTGGGAGCTCGCGGCCGACCACCTAGACCGCCTCCCCGGAAAAAGCCTCATCGATAGGCTTGTCCATGAAAGAAGCGTGGCCAACGATGACCACGCCACTTGCACCAATCAACCATAGGACAGTGGAGAAAGGTGATGCAATTAGAAACAGAAGACCGCAGGTACAGAGCAAGCCGGTATACAGCTGTGAGGTCGTAGCCTGGAAGGTGCCAATGGTGAGATCTTGGCCGTTGAGTCGGCCAAGTAACCACATACCACCAACCAGGAGTACGATATCAAAGAGTAGTAGAGGATTTGTGATCAATGCATAGACGCTAAGGAGCACAAAGACCAAAGCATAGTTACTCGAGAAGGTGCCCAGGTTGTAATTAACACGCGACTGGACTTCTGCGAAGTTCGCTGGCTTGGAGAGACGTTTGAAATCGAGGAACTCGCCGACGGGACGCATATTGGCGAATCGACTTGAGAGGGAGGTGTTACGAAAACCTGCGAAGCGATCCTGAATGTTCAGGCGCGACGTCAGGACGTCGAGAGGGATCTGAATACGAGCCATTGTATCGGATGGGAAGAGTAGAAGGACTCAATGTTGTGAAAAGGGAATTATGTTTGTCGATTGATAAGGGATAGGAATCGCAGCTTTTGGCTTAGTAAGACGCCGATGGTGGTGATGGTATCTTAAAAGTTGAATAGGATGAGCTATTTAATCTCGATTTTTCGGGCTGGGCGCGTGTGAGTGCCGAGAAGGTCGCGAAAGGAATCTCTTCTTATGGGCTGTATAGCTCTCGTTGTGGCGATGATGGTTGGATAATTGAGTAAGGAAGATCTGTTAAAAAGGCTGATGGTTAGAACTTGACAAGTAATTTTTAAAATTAGATGCCCAAGTCCATGGATGCACCCACAAATAGGGGGCAGAGCTAGCAGCTTACGTATCTGGCTTTTTCCACCACCAATTGGCCAGCTGAGAATTTAGGCGATAGGTACCTTCAGGGCTAACAATTAGGTACCTAGGTAGTGACCTAAATGCTCGTATCGAGGGAATAAACTTGGAAAACCCGAGGCAGAAGGATTCCCAGAGAATTGAAAAATCCGATAAAACGCTTTCTGGAAGGCTTAGGAAGGTAAATTTTTCGTAATTGGCGAAGTTTTTGTAAAGATACTTTTCTTCTTCTTCTTCTCGTCTTCCCTGGTCAGCCGGAGTAAAAGAATGACGATCCTCTTGCGGTCAAAGGCCAGGGGTAATGCCGGACAGCACTATTCCCCCCCGGTCTTTGGGAGCTTCTCGTTTTAGAACGACACTCCCAATGACGTCCTAAGAGTGCGTGAAACTCTACTTGAGTACGCACGACGAAAAAGTAGAAACCTTCACCATACCTCCATCGGGATTGAAGGAAGATGGTGTTGAGGGAACGTGAAGAAGAGAAGAGAAGAAGAAAAGAGGAAGCGGAAGGAAGAGGTAAGAAAAGCAGGGCTAGTAATGGCTGCTCTTATTACAGATCCGTAAGTATTCTATCTAAGGCGCCACTGTGCACAACGGCAAGACAACATCGATGCGGTGTGAAATCTGGCGGCAGCTAACTGGCGGTAGATCTTGGTGTGGATTCAAGGATGGTGGAAAAAGTGGAGCAAAGCCTGCAAGCTTACTTGCCCCGGACAAGTTGACCCCGGTTAAGCGATCTGACGCACGGGCCATTGGATTCAAATCTGCAGAATTATGTTGGGTACGACTTCCTCATCTTCTATCAACTCTGTCCGACGTCACTTCTTTTCGTTTTCTCCCTCCATTTAATGAACCTTACTTCAAGCTAGAGAGTTGTACGACATATAATTCGAACAAGTAAGACCATGATAGCTTCGATGATTATCACATGAAGAAAGAGCTTTGGTCTTTGACGATACATATGTATTCGCAACACCATCATACAAACTAGCAAGAATCAAGAATCAAGAACCAAGACGACTCCAACGATATTCATATTGTAGCGCGTTCCGCGCCTGTTTTACATCGACCTACACTAATACACCAATCTCAACACCTGAACCACAAGTTTCTTGAGTCTGAGATGTTTAGTGTTACTGCGATCATCGCATCATGAACGAACGGTTACCGTGATGATTTGGTACACGAGTGCCACGCCCTAACTAGGATCGCTCCGAATATACTATTTTCATACAACGCTAGGTTCCACGCCAAAAACGTGGCCATCCTACCAGCTACGTCAGCGTGCTATTCGTGCTTCTCTTAAATAGCATCTGCCTTCACATGGAAGAGGATCGAACGGTCAAGTTTGCTACAACGCAGCACGAATAGTGCTTAGGTCGGATATTTCCAGCATAACACTCAGATTTCTTGTGTGATTCTCTCCCTGCATCGTCTACACTCCGACGTCTCTGAGGTATAGTGGATTCATCGGCAGTTTTTCGCCAATAGAAAAGGACCAGTTACCACTAAGTTGAGTCCCTGTCTCGGATCGGACCCGAGGAACGCGAATGTCTTTCGGACTCATACCTACTGTAAGCATCACTGATTGACTTGGTCATATCTAGCAAGAGCCGATTGCCAGTACAAATATCGCTGCCTAAGGAATAGAAGATATTGCAATTCCCTTTAGTCGGCATATACCAAACTCTTCAGTTGGAGTCGAGGTCAGGCATACAATCCAGGGAAAGCTTGACTAATCATGCATGCCAATCTTGTACGATTTAATTTTGACCCATACTGAAAATTTGCTGGGTTTGTGGAGATACTCGTATCTACAGACCTTTATTCAATATGACCATCTCTAATAGGACACGATTATTTCTATAATTATCGAGAAACGATTCATGACATCTTACATCCAGTGTGATCCGAGTTCTGGATTTAATAATTGGCATGGCCACCCTACCCAGATAATACCGAGTTGGTTAACTCGATAGGCACTCACTTGCACCAGCTCAACTTTACTATATCATTGACTCTCGGTATAGGAAACAAGTGCTTATGAGTGAATATAGAGGTTCCCAACATTGAAGATATTTGATAATAGTAGACTTGGCACATGTTCACTGGAGAATGAGTTCAGCCGAGATACACCATTCAGACTTAAACCATACGCGTATAACCCACCCCGTTAAATATGACTATACTCGTCCATACATACACATTCCACAATGAAACAAGACCTTGATCGATTGCTTACTGCTTATTCTATGTAATACATGTTGGGGTATTAGACTACACGCCTGTCGGGGTAGAGGTCAACGTTAAGTAGCTAGGTCTCGATGTTGCACATATTAAGATCGAAGCCCGTACCAATGATAAAGGAGCAACATATAAGGCGAGATGGAAAGCTACCTAGAGGTATTGTGTAGTTTGGAGAATTGGGTTAAGGGGTAGAAGTATTAGGGGCTGGTAGCAAGAACTGGGTGGCAGCACCCTGGCTGCATTCTGTGTAACCTTCGAGACGAATATATAAGGGACCGAAGGCTCCAAGGAGTTTTAGAAGAGGGTCAAGCGCCAATGGTCATTCTATTTTCACTACACACATGCGAGCCTACAGCGCACTACCTACTACTATCACTTCGTAACAGTCTTCAACTAGGTACCTACCTACTGTCCACCCCCTTGACAAGAAGGTATTTGGCAGCTTGTGACACCTCTTTATGATCTAAACAACTCCTAGGAACATGCACCCAAACATCAAGGACAATTTTTTGCCTCAATATCGGGAATCAAAATGGCTAATAACCAACCTTTATAGCTGAATATTCACACATAATCCAATATGGCCTGCCTGGTCTGCCACCCTGATATACCCCTTTCCCTAAACATGGCCTGTAACAAAGATCAGGCTCGTCACTACAAGAACAAATGATAGATTATTGAAAGTAGAGCCGTTTGCTTTTATCAGCGGAGCCAGCTGCCCGGTATTCATGACCCAGTGAGGCCTCTATCTCTAAGTAACTCCTAACTCCTATTCCACCACGAAAAACTACTGATATCACTTAGTTGGCTACTCGAACCTTTCGAGTTCCTAGATACTTAGGTATTCTTAACAATAGACTATAAGATTCGGTCGATCTTAATATGTTCATATATCAAGTCAAGCGGATTTTAAGTAAGAAACGAACGGCATCTTCATAAAATTCATCCTCAAACCATCTGTTAGTATCATCCACCATCACTACCTGTCAGGGTCTTCCAAGAAGCACGATATTGGTATACGATATAAATTTAGTTTACTTTTTTTGCGGCGAATAAATTCCGGTAGGTATGGTTGCGGCAGTAAGGGGATCTATCGTTTATCTCCGAAGAATGAAACCAATTGAGGTTAAAGTCGGCCTAATTGTTGTCCGACTTCTATCCTATAAGATAGATATGTTAATATGTATAGCGGTGATGTTTCCATGTTGCTTGGATGTAGTAGCTACAACCACACTAATGAGGTCATGTTGTGTAATGATATAAATAAGGCTTTAGCAGTGATAAATCAATGCATACTGAAATATTAAGGGTGAGCCTCCTAGTTTGCTGTAATGAAGATCTGTTCGGACTTTAAGGACTTAGGAAACGGCCTGGGGTTCTCTTCACTACCCCCATTTCTATATTAAAACCTGGAGGACTGCTGTCTTCAATAACTATTATTTGGATACTAGCATTCTTAGTTTGAACTAGGGATACTCCGGATCTAAAACTTCAATATGGAGACTTCAAGCATCTTCCGAGTAGATGAGATAGTAGCTGTTGTGACCGGCGGTGCTACAGGTGAGGAGTCTATATGTCCCATACGTCACCATCACTCCTTTCTAATAATATTTAGGCATTGGATTTATGATGGCCAAAGCACTTGCGGGAGCTGGGGCAAAGAAAGTTTACCTTCTCGGAAGGCGAAAGGCCGTTGTCGAAAGCTCAGCAGCTCAGCATCCAAGCTTCACCCCGATAGTATGCGACATCACTTCTAAGGAGTCCCTACAGTCAGCCGTTGACTTTATCACAAACGACGCAGGCTACATCAACTTGCTCGTAGCCAATTCGGGTATAGTAGGCCCCCTAAATTCCTTCAACCCGGATCTCACGATACAGGAACTACGCAAGAATCTGTTTGAGAGGATGTCCATGGATCAGTTCACAGAAGCCCTGCATGTCAATGTTACCGCAACGTATTTCACAATGCTAGCCTTTCTGGAGCTGCTAGATGCTGGCAACAAGAATGCTCTGAAAGGGGGATTTGGAGCTCCGATCGAGGGAGGCAGCAATGTCCCCTCTATACCAAGCCAGGTCATCATCACGAGCAGTGTATCCGCCTATAGTCGGGATAGAATATCAGCACCCGCTTACTCTGCTAGCAAGTCGGCCATAACCCATCTTGCTAAACATGCAAGTACCAACCTTGCTAAATACGAAATTAGGGTAAATGCAATGGCGCCTGGATGTAAGTACTGCCACCAATACCTTGGCACATGCCGCAGAAAGTGACAATATCTGATTTTTCTCTGGCTATTCAGTATTCCCATCCGAGTTAGCTGACGGCCTAATCGCCGGAAGAGATCCTAGCAAAGAGTCCCCTGATGAAATGAGATATATACCTTCTAGACGATTTGGAGGCGAGGAAGAGATGGGGGGTACCGTGTTGTACCTTGCAAGCCGGGCGGGTTCATACTGCAATGGTGTAGTTCTTCTAAATGACGGTGGTAGGCTATCAGTGACCAATTCAGAATATTAAGTGTCAAAGGGGGAATGGGATCTATCAATGCATTAGAAAAAAAATATAAACCTAACAAGGGCGTGAATCGAACCTGAGTGGATGGGGAGACAAAAAGATGGGCGTAGGGTAAGATATGCCTCACTGCAGAGCACCAAGCAATTCCGGCGGACTAGCTTAATGAGCCGATTCTTCGCCTCGGGAAAGGAATCTAGACAACCTCTCTTAGTGCACCATTACTAGTTACTGGAAGAAAACGAACAATTGTCGAACTCCCACTCCCCCATACGACTCTTAGGTAGCTGGTAGATATCTGCATTGCTTGCGTGTTGAATGACTTGGTTGAATAGGGGTATAATGTCATGTAGGCTAACTATGGACTATCTGAGAGCATAATGCCACAAACAGCCAAAGGCTTCTCAGATGGGAGGAGCATAAAACTTGAAAATCGACTTGACGATGTATCAAGGAGCATCTCCGATCTTCTAACAAAGTCCAGATGGGTGAAAGCCGCCAAGACGAGAAAAGGGGCAACTCAACAAACCACTCCCCTTTCGACGTAGATAGCTAGCACGACTCCATCAAATCTTCAATTAGCTCCTTTCGAACCAAACTGTCCGAGATCTAAGTACAAAGCATCTCCCCATCGTCACAAACTTCACTTAAGCAAGCTACCAAGTTCCCTCAACACGGGGTGTTCGATTATAAAACCTAGCTAGCTACTTCATATGTATGTATGTGGTATCAAAAACGAAAGAAAACCCGATGACCTATCAAAAAATGGCAAACAGGAATAAACAGTAACAGCGACCCAAAACCAGCTGCCCTTGGCCCTTTTTGTTTTCGGATATATACAAGCCCCCCAAATGCAATGTTTATATACCTGGCGAATATGCAAAATCGCCTCATCCCAATCCCTTACGTAGGTAATTATGTACCGTATGTACTCGGGTAAGGAGGTAGGTGATAGGTAGGTAGGCATGTAAGCAGCCCACCTCACCACTGCCACCACCTCCGCCTATCCACCTCCTCATGCTCGACCGCATCGCTCTCCTTAACCACCTTCATGAAAACAGACTCCATCGTCGCCGCGGAGATCGAATAGCTCTCCACGCCCAGGGCCTCCTTCTGCGCCTCCAACGTCTCGATCAAGAACCGCGTGAAGTTCTGCGTCGCGTGCGCGCGCGCCGGACTCACTCTCACCACGGCCTGATCTTTCACCTTCTCGTCCTCGTCCCCGTAATCGCTAATCGCATGCACGACCTCGATCTTATCCTCCTCTGCCTCACTGCTGCCAGAGGAGCTACTACTCTCCTCGCCCTCCGAAGCAGAATCCGAGCTCCGTCTTCCCGGCACCGCAACATCCGTCGGCACAATAAACCGAACCTGCCCGCCCAAGCTCTCTCCCTCGAAGCGCACAGCGCCACCAAAAGTGCGTCTAGCCCAATCCTCAAGAGCCCGCATCTCATCCGTCTTCGACAGCGGCGCGCTGCGCAGGATAAGATGGACATGGTACTCATTCGAATGCGTCTTGCGCAAAGCCTGCGTCGTGCCCACCGCAAGCACCTTCTTCGCCACGATAGCGGCGCGCGTGGCCAGCGCGTCCGCTTCCTCCATCGAATGCGTGGTGATCAGGACGCTGCGCCCGGGCGCCACGGCCTCGAGGGTGCGCCAGAGCACGCGCTTCGAGGCGGCGTCCATGGCGGACGACGGCTCGTCGAGGAGCAGCACCGGAGGGTCGCCGAGTAGGGCGATGGCGAGGCTGAGCTTGCGCTTGTTGCCGCCTGAGAGCTTGTTCGCGGGCTTGGCGGCGTGCGCGGTTATCCCGACGCGCGACATCACGTAGGCGACGGCGCGGTGGGCGTCTTCCACGCCCTTGCACCGCGCGTAGAAGGTCAGGTGCTCGCGCACGGTGAGGAGGTCGAGGGCGTCGAATTGGGGGCAGACTATTCATTCGCACGGAGGTTAGTTCATGTCGGTAGACGAGTAGACAGGCCAATACGAGTAAGCGCTAGGCAGGGGTTGGGGAAGGGATATAGGAAATACGTAGGAAACCCTCGGTGCGACCGCGGCGCGGGGGAAGTAGGATCTGGTAGCGATATTGGGGGGCTACGGTAAAGGAAGGAGAAAGAAGTATAATGCGTATAATGTACGGTGATATTAGAGAGTAAAAAATTGGAGATCGAACTTACCACCGAGGTGCCTCTGCGCCAGGCGCTTGTGATGCAGCACGTCGACGCCTTCGAGGTAGATCCTGCCAGTATCAGGGGTGAGATCGCCGCGGATCATGTTGATCATCGTCGTCTTCCCGGCGCCGTTGGGGCCCAGCAGCGCCAGGATCTCGCCCTCCCTCAGCCCGAGCGACACGTCCTCGACCGCCGGCTTGTGGCCGAAGCTCTTGGAGACGTGCAGCGCGCGCAGCAGGTCGGTCTCGGAGGCCGTGACGCGCGCCGTCTCGGCGTTGACGTCCTCGCGGTGGTCGGCTAGCGTCTTCTCGATGTCGCCCGCGCGCGACGGCGGCGGGATCGCCTTGGGCTGCTTGACCCACGCGAAGCTGCCACCCTCGATCCACAGCAGGAGCGAGAACAGGCCGATGATCTGCAGGATCAGGAGCATGATCGGCCCGCCGAAGGCGTAGATCGAGCCCGGGTTCGTCACCATGGTCTGCCCGCGGCACCGCACGATGTACATGTTCAGGCTGATGGCCATGCCGCGCATCAGGTTCTGGATCGGGAAGATGACGCCGAGGCCGAAGGCGGTGCCGTCGTTGGTCCGCTGGTTGGAGCCGTCGGTGCGCTGGACGATCAGGAGGGTGACGATCGAGAGCGCGTACATGGCACCCTGGAATAAGACATTGTAGGCGTAGGCCGCGGGTTGCGAACGAGCTAGCAGAGCGATCAGGTACGCGAAGAGGATGGCGGCGAGTCCGTAGAGTACTTGGATGAACCAGACGTAGCCGATTCCGAACCAGGGAGCTGCATTGGCGATCAGGGCGGTGCACCCGGCGCTGATTACTAGGACGAACATGAAGTCGAACATCCAATACGAGAATAGCAGGGGGAATGGTCGGATGCCGTTGGAGTATTGTAGGGCTCGTACTTGAGATCGGCGTTCGTAGGTCGGGTATAGGGAGAAGAAAGCTGGGTAGAGAGCCTGTAGCAGACAGAAAACAGTGACGTAGAATACGCTGTCGCCTCCTTCAGCTTGGTGGTAAGATTTGAGGTTTGATGTGTATCCCGCGACGGTAGTATTGCTGCGGACCTGGTTGACGAGGTTCAGGAGACTAGTAGCGCCTGACTGGCCAGTCATGGCATCGTGGGCAATAAGCGGGATCGTGTCGTTGCTGAGCCAAATCCCACCACCGTTCGAGATGTTGTAGGCGTAGTAATGAATGAATTTCACGAGATCCACCTCAGTATCGATGACAAAGGGTCCGTTGCCGATATCGTAGTGGTACGGGTTCGTCTCATCGATTACCTTCATGATGGTGCTATTGACAGTTGGAGGACCAACCGCGAGCACACCCTCGTTGCTAACGGTCATTCGGCTGTCGAAAGAGTTGAACGAGATGAGGCTGTTGCAGTCGGGAGTTTGGTAACCTTTCAGGAAGTCGTTGATGAAATGGGTCGCGACGAGAGGAATGGCAAGGCAGAACAAGTACGCCCACCAATTGTTCTTCAGAATCTGGACTCGCTTGATGAAGAGAGCGCTGAATTGTTGCGAATATGATTTCCATAAAGGTAGTTCGCCTTGCGGTGCCTTGACCCTGCTTCGCTCGGATTCGGTGGGTTGGATTTCAAGTGTCTCGCCGATAAGAGTGTGCGGTTCTTCCGAGACCGTTAGGAACACGTCCTCGATTGTTGGACCGGTGATGTATAGCTCAGAGTCGCTCGAGTTCTTAAGAGAAGCTAAGACGCCGGCAGCGGACTTCGAATCCGGCGTTTGGCAAATAAGCCTGTCGTGATGTTCCTTTACCGGGTATTCGATTCCAGTGATGTCTTCTGTCTTCGGGATGTGAACACGGTAGCCGCCTCCGTATTGGTTCTTCAGTAACGTAGGAGTTCCTTGACACTTCACCTTTCCAAGAGTGACAATAACGATGTGGTCTGATAGAACTTCACATTCATCAAGGAAGTGAGTAGTTAGGATCATTGTTCTCCGCGCTCGCTCACTCAGAACCACATTCCAGATAGAGCGGCGAGAAAGGGGGTCAAGGCCAGAGGTAACTTCATCCATCAAACAGACAGTGGAGTCACCAATCAACATGCAGGCTAGTTGCAACTTTCGCTTCATACCGCCGCTCAAGTTCTTCGCAAAGCTGTGCTTCTTGGCCGCAAGGTCGCATTTCTCGATTAGCTGGTCAAGGACCTCCGGGTTATCATCCTTGCCCTTGAGCGTGTTCCAGATCTGAAGATGTTCGTAGACGGTCAGGTCATCCCACAGCACATTGCGCTGAGGGCAGATACCGATTTGCGAAGGCAGAGCGTTAAAGTTTACCGAGCCACCAGTCGGTCTTTCGAATCCAGCCAGCATATCCAAGGTCGTAGTCTTTCCAGAGCCATTGGGTCCCAACAAACAAGTGATCTGATGTTTTTGAGAAATGAGATCCAATCCATCAACAGCCTTCGTCTTCGGGTCGCGTGCGAAGCAGAAGAGCTTCTTAAACCAATGAGGCTTGTAAAGCTTCTCTAGACCGGTAGCCTCGATAGCGATGTGGGAGTCGACTGCTTGTTGATCCGTGCTAAACGTTCGGCGCTTACGGTTGTTGCCATGCTTGAAACGCTCGAGGAGAACGGTGCAACTCGTGTATACAACGATTTGGGCAGCTAGAAGGATCCAGAGCCAGTAGGGACCGACGATGTTGGTCCAGTTCGTACCCTTTCCGTTGCCGGTGTCCAAGAGCGCTTTCGGAATCGGCTCCATAAAGTTGACTCGGATTCCAGCAACTTCGGCCTTAGCGATGAAGTCGAAGAAGTAGATGAAGTTCATGCTAGGGAAGAAGAGGGAACAGGAAACAACTTGGGCTACAGGAGGAGGGTTTGCGGCGGAGTTTTCCGAGAAGGCGGCCAAGATTGCCAAAAGCCAAGGCATTAGCGAGTTATAAAGACTGGCAATGTTCGAATGCTGGAAGTACGCAGTGTTGTATGCTGTAGTACTGATAGTCGCCCAGCCAGTGAAGATCTGCCACCAAATCGTAACGGCTACGCTCTGGCCAGGGAAAAGGAGATACCAGTACACTATTCAATGTTAGAGATAAATGACGTAAAGTGAATGGTGTATGAGAATAACTTACAGACTCCCATGATGATCCAGAGTGGCAAGTACAAAACGTAAAAGAATAACACATAACTCAGAACTCTCGGTCCAGCAACTCCGCCGCCCATAGCATCAATCAGAGCCGACATGCCAGTTTCACGTTCAGAAGCGATCATGCTCGTGAGGTGCTGGCAAACCGGAATGAATGTCACGTAGTAGATGAACGACAAGAGGTACAATGATAGGGCGATGTAAGTCTTCCTCGAGTAGTCATCCTTCTGTTCCTGTGTCACGTACGTGTAAGGCAAGAACGCCGGGCTAACCGTCAAGTTAAGCATCGCATTCTCAACAGCCGACTGAAGAGGTAGATAGACCATATCAGTAGTGCTCTTGTCGTCGTACACGTTGAAAGCCACGGAGTCGAGGGCGGGATCCGTCCTGATGGTGTAGTTCCATGTCGCATTGTCGTGTCCACTAAGAGGAGAATCATTGAAGATCACAACCGCAAAGCAAGGTGAGTTTCCGTGATAGTCAACCGGGCAAGTCACGTCTATCGCGTTCGTGTCGTTGAGGTGAATTAGCTTATTCGAGTCGAGAGGACTGGTAATCTTCTCGAGGACGGGCTGAAAGTCGGATCCAAGGCCGGGCTGCTGAACCAAGACGAGAGGCTTCGAACTCGCCGCCATGCTGTCGGCGAGGGTGGGAATAGGGTGAGGGTCGCCGACTCCATATCTGTTCTCGTCCTTGGCGAAGTTCTGGATTTCGAGTAAGAGTACCTGGAGAATTAAGGGAAAAATGAGAGATCGTAGGAGAGTCGAGAACCATTTTCGATAGACGGCGATGATGATGTTCTTCTTCGTCAAGGCCCAGGTTTGGCGCCAGAAGGACGGAATTTCCATGTCAGTGAGGGACCTCATGATGGCGACTTGAGATAGACCTATGTCTATGCCATACAAGAGATACCTAGGCTACTGAGATACCACAGGACGAGTCACTCTTTGTCGTCGACTATGACTATGATTGACTATGGTATTCAGTACCCAGGAAGACCAAGTCAATGGATCATGTAGATGCGACTGAGATCGTAATATACGATCGGCCATGCCGTTACCTAAGTATGGCAACTGCCCTTACGATACTCCATCATACTATGGCACTATGACCACACGGTATCTCTGCGGAACTTTTACCCATGCTCGATGATTGCATGTTGCAGCTATACTGAGCGGACAAATGAGCCTTGTCCAATCCCCCGTCTACAATAATATCATACTTTTACGCCTTCGAGAAGCCCGCCATTCCTGATATGCGGCACAGGGTGTGAAGGACCACAAGACGCTATACTAGTATAGGAAATGTTTCCTATTCAGGCAATGGGCAAGGGTCGAGTGAAACAGCGTGCATGGACGGATTCGGTAAGTTTTCGATAACGTTGTCAGTGGCACCCGGGGATGTAAGATAGTATGGGGTAGGTAGGGTGGCTTTTGCACCTTGGTGTGGTACTAGGTAGCAGAATTTTTATAGAACGGCATCACATGGAAGCCGGGGATTGGGTTACTGTCGTAACATGCTAAGAAAACCAGGATACGTGCACATAAGCTCATAGACCCCATGCTACCGCAATTGGAGCAGGGAAATTCGAACCAATAACCAATGGCGAAGGAGAGCTGAGAGGGGCGTTGATCGATCCTAATTACTATTAGCGAGTCTCGGGCGAGATGGTCGAAACCGGTAGTCTATTTTGACGATCCCCCGTGTGATACTTTAAAGTCTGCAGGATCCTGCCGGCTTTAGAGAACCAGCACTTCATACCCATTTTGCAATAGAACGAGGCGGGAAAGATTCAAAAACCTGCCTGGTTCTTTTCTGATACCTTACTAAGCCTCAGTCCGAACCTTGAAGCTGGACTATACACCTCGCCTATTCAAAGGTTCGTGACTCTCTTGCGTAATGCCAATGTTCGAGGACATGGTCCAAATGGGCCAAGTGAGCCAAAAGGGCTAAAATATGTGTCCTGCATATATCAAGTTAAAATAAGCAATCCGGTAGGGATACACATGGTAAAGAACCGGGACCGTAAGCACTACTCACATAAGCAGCGTTCATAGGCTAACATTCGATTGAACCAGGCTGGTTCTTGATTAGGTACCTCGCTGTTACCCATATTAACTGTTGAACTTTTCGAGATGTGCCGTTCCGTAGTATGTATTTTGATATGAACTATAAACCCGCGGTATATAGTTAATAGCAACCTTGATCCAGGTCAATTCTAGAAGCAGATCTGAAACTTGAACTTTTAAAAATAGTATATTCCTTTCATTGCTCATATCGATTGTATTTAGCGTTACTATGATACGATCTCTTATCATCAATAGATCTGATGTTGACCGCTTCCGAGCAGATTCGGAGATGATTGACCTCAAGGTAGGGATCCGGAGATACTGATCCTGTCAGAACGCCCACAAACTTCGCGCTTACAACGCTCTACCATACATTCACTCTATGGAAATGAGTTGCAACCAATTCAAGGTCCGCAAATCAGGTTTAGTCTTAGCCACCTTCTATGTACTATGTAATATTTGTACGCTTACGTGGGCCTGGGACTGAAGTTAGTGATTGGTCAATGTATGATAAAAATCGCTTCATAAATAAAAGGTTGACATATTATCAGGTAAACCCAATCGTTCACATCAAAGTCGATTGACTCAAATACAATCTAGCATAAAAAATTGGTGTTGTCATCATAACAAGATATTCTATACCCATTTGTAAAAGAAATCACGGACTTACCAGCTAGTTGATATGCTTCGAGCGCAACAATCAGACAATCTATCCGTTGTAGGTCGACTCGACTCAAAACACGCTGTTGACCCTCAGTTCGAGAGGGCAGGTGTCCATATTACATGAAGACGAGCTTGGAACTGGTGACGTCCTTGTACTGTTAGTCTTCGCCGCGGTGTGGAATAGTGGAGAGTATAGTAAGCTACTCACCAATTCCATAACAACGGGTTTGATAAGTGATTGTGTTGTAGTGTACACGTATTATTACTTATTTGAACATTGACTTGGCGGACTCAAAAGCGATCCTCTGGTCTCTTCCACCCTGCCATCCGGGAGACTTCTCCGATGACCGTGAGTACATTGTCAACTATCAATTTCACCATGCCTTGGCGCTTGTTCTTCCCATCGTCATGAGAGGATTGTTCGGTGCCGATTGTGGGTAATACATTGTCGCTAGCCGAAAGGCTGACAAATAAGGCAAAAGGAATAAGCCATACGCACAAACCGAAATAGGAGGCTATTTCAGTGAAGCTTGGTATATCCGGCTGGTCGTAGACGGATGACATGCGCGAGTAAGACTTGTGTTGCGCATCGGAAAAGTGTTGGAACCAAAAGTAATGGTTGACAAGGACCAAGACTATTTGATATTGTCAGCAACTCTCAACCTTTTGCCATGGCCAGTACAACCAAATCTACGCTAGCAACATACCACAAGAAGCAATGAACAAAGGATCCGATAGCTTCACAAACGGGAAGCGTCGCATATTACCCAGATATATCAAATGCGATGCGACGCCCATCAACGTCAAAGTGAAGGGGAAGCCGTCGACAACACATAGTATGACTTGAAGAGCAATGACGGAGTAGATGAGTTTCGTAAGGAGTCGTTTCGCAATGACGGTGTGTTCCTCGACGAGCTCTGAGAGATAGTATAGGCCGGAAGCTATAGAAGCCGCATATTAGCAACTTGAGATGCCTCATCCCTGAATAGGAAGTTAAGGGCGTATGGACTTGTGTACCTATAGCCAATGTCAAGAAGCAAAAGCCCACGATGGAGCCGAGGTAACCAACAAGAGGTAAAATCCACATGTTTGCAATTACAACGCAGCAGCTATGATGATCTTGGTGATCTTGATGATCTCATCATATGTACAGTAGGGGAAATGGGAAATTGAAAATGAATGTGGTTGCTGTTTAAGGGTAGCATTTCGATAAGCTTGCTCCTTTGATCGAAATTGCATCGACCCAAGTGACGCGACTTGAAAGCGTGGCCTTCCGTATTCGACGGCGGAAACGGTAATTAGATTACCCTAATTCTCCTATTGGCCCGATTAGTCAGATCTATCTAGGTTTAGGGATTGGAGAGGCCGAAGATTTCCCAGAGCAACATATTGATAACGATAAGAATTTATGTCTCCACAGAAAAGTTCCTCGTCGCATCACAAGCAATTGGAAATGCGATTCATTCCACAAATCGCATAAGTCTATATTCTCAGGTACAATTGGATCTGACGCTTCTATACACGAAATCCGGCTTATATTAACCTAACCAAATTTAAGTTGTTGACGAGATAACAATCGCACCATGTCGCGGCCAGAGGACACACTGTACGTAAAAGCAACCCCTCTAAACCCCACCACCAAAATCCATCGTCATTCCCAACTAACAACCACCCTCACCATCCAGGTCCGCCGACGTCCACTACAATGACTCCGAAGCGCGGAAATACACCACCTCCTCGCGGATCCAAAACATCCAAGCCTCGATGACGAACCGCGCCCTCGAGCTCCTCGACCTATCCTCGCCCTCGCTCATCCTCGACGTCGGCTGCGGCAGCGGCCTATCCGGCGAAATCCTGTCCTCCACGCCCCCCGACGAGGGCGGACCGCACGTGTGGATCGGCATGGATGTATCGGCGTCGATGCTGGACGTCGCGCTGCAGCGGGACGTGGAAGGCGACCTGCTGCTCGCGGACATCGGACAAGGCGTCCCCTTCCGCGCCGGCACGTTCGACGCCGCGATCAGCATCAGCGCGATTCAGTGGCTGTGCAATGCCGAGAGCAGCGACGTGTCGCCGCAGGGGCGGCTATCCAGGTTTTTTAATGGTTTGTACGCGAGCTTGAAGAGGGGTGGCAGGGCTGTGTGCCAGTTCTACCCCAAGAACGACGAGCAGAAGAAGATGATCACCGGCGCGGCGGTGAAGGCGGGGTTCGGCGCCGGTCTGCTGGAAGATGATCCCGAGACGAAGAATGTGAAGTTTTATTTAGTACTGACGGTTGGTGGCGGGAATCTAGATGGGAATGGAGGCGATATTACGGGCGTGGTTAGGGGCTTGGATGGCGTGGATGTGCTCGACTCGATGCATAGCAATAAGAGTGGGAAGGGCGAGATTAAGAAGGGGAGTAAAGCGTGGATCGTCAAGAAGAAGGAGCAGATGGAACGGAAAGGCAAGGTTGTTAAGGCGACGTCTAAGTACACGGGACGCAAGAGACGGGTTGCTTTCTAGAATTAGAGCGATACCCTTATTGCATTGCGCGGCGCTATGGAGTTATAAATTTGGGATTCAATGAAAAATTGCATTCAGCTTTCTAACATGTATCTTTTCTTCCCGTTGATATCCTCAATCTTTTAGTAGAGTTTCATTCATTATTAACATTCAACCCTTTAGTAAAGGGAATATTTCATCACCCACGAATATCAATGCTCCTTCAACTCATTCTCATACGCCTCCACCTCAGCGATGCGATCTGAGAGCACCTCCATACTCCACTTCGCATGATTTTTGTAATTTTTAACTATAGCTTGTTGTGCTACATCTCCTTCATTCTGGCAAACTGCAAACTCTCCGTCGAGTATTTCGCGTATGCGAAGCAGCCTGCCGCGCATGCGCCGTAATTTCGCCAAATCCTCCGTCGGTCCTCCATCTCCAAGTTTGGAGTCGATATATCGACCATAGATGCCTTTGTGCCAGTTTTCCAAGGTCATGGCGTATTTGGTATTTTCTGTCGCCTCGCGGTTGGCGGGCGCCTTGCCACCTGGAATGGAGCCTTTTGCGGTGAATGAAGAGGGTGGTGTTATTCGTTGATATATGGTAGTGGTGGAGAATTGATTGTATCTGTTTATCCAGTTCATATTGTCTGGGGCAGCAAACGTACCCAGGTTCTTTAGAACCGAACGGATGCGAAGGAGTCGACTCATTTTGGTAATGTTGATGTCTTTTGGGGCTGGAGAGGTAAGGCAGATATGTGTACCAAGATTTATAACTCACATTCTACAGCATCTATACTAATTAGTATTTATAGGATAGATCATCTAGCTACTCACCTCGAGCTTTGGCGTCTAGGTTCACACTCTAAAGCCATGGCTTCACTAAGAAGACCTTAACAAACTTTATTCTAAGCCTCGCTGACGGGACATTCTGGCTTTGAAACTAATACTAAAATATCACCTTGAACTGTTGGATCTGACAGACTCCATCATGTCCTTAGCAAGGTACTAATTTAACATGGATCTCGTAGTCCGATGTCTTTTAATTAAACAGGTTGTTACATTGGCCACATAGAAGATATAGCGCAAGTGAGTTTTATTAGCATTAGGATACGAACTATTTATATTTCCGATGAAAATGTCAAGAAATTTAGTTCTGGACTTGAAGAATTATATTTATGGAGACAGATATTGCATAACAATCGTATCGAGTTTATTGAGATATCCACCTGAGTCTTCTAGAATCCATTCTTTGTTGTAGTTTTGAACCACGCAGTTCTGGGTTGGCCCTTATCGCCAAGGGGATGCATGAGGACCTAAGAACTTAGGACAATATCTTAAACTACTTAATAGGATCTATGCTAGAAAGCTTTAAGACAACTGCTAAATTCGTATAAATACCTGGCTTCATATTCCCTCGTTATCAACTTAACTTTTACTCTTCTCTTCAAAACTTCAACTTAAAACAAACTTCGTGCAAACCAAAGCAAGTCACACTCGTTCCCAATCTTAGATCCTGATCCTCCTCGGCAGAACCTGGTACCCGGAGACAAAAAAAGGCGTAAAATAATGGCTCTTGTGTTGATTACAGTGCTAAGTTTATTGTTTACAATAATATTGAACGGGAATCTTTATATAACTTATAAGGTCGAAATAAAGTGGGTTATAAATGGGGAAACGACGTTGAAGTTGTTATAATATAGGCTCTGAACGAGGGTAGAAGCATGAACTTATATCAGTCCGACTGCTTGAAAAACGTATGATGTCGGGGTACAAGGGAATGACTGTTCCTCGCCAATCTCCTTAATTGTTTCTAGATATATCCAATATACCAATAGGACAATCAGTAAATGAAGTTTATCAACTAAGGTTAGGTCAATTGTAGAAGTGTGAGTTGGCATCAGTCGAATGAGCAATTACTTAGTTTTATATGGAGCATAGCCCCCTAACCGACAATTGTCCCCAGACAGGGATTAGAGGGTAGACATATTAGGTATCTAGCCCGGCAAACCAGAGCCAGAATATCAGAGAGCCAATAGCATAAATGGTACATGATTCTAGACCTATTCGCCTTGTATAGCTTGTACTAGTCGTACTCGTAATGTTCTAGCTTATAAGTGGTGCCCTCGATCGATTACAACTGAGCTTTTGTGGGTGGTATACGTATGTCTGGGGACAACTACCAATTAAGGGGATTTGTGTTAATAGTAACAGTACCAATTAAACGCTACTATTTTCCGTGCCTCTTTCTTCCGAAGCTATGTTACTCTGAGGGCCCATTTTTGGTGCAAGTCCTACATAACTTCCACGATAGTCTACTTGGCAAATGCTCCACTTACACATGAGGCTGCTAAACTACAAAGAGTTGTGCGGCGCAGAGCTGAATCTAGGTATAAATTGTCGTGAAGTCCCGAAAGAATTTCCCTTAATTAGATAGACTAAGTGTTACTACATACCTATAGACATATAGGGCACGAAGCGAACTAAGTTGATCGTTAACAGTCTTGATTGCCTTTTTGGGTAAATATTTCAGCTCTCAGCCAATCACATTTCGGATCTCCTGTTACACCAAGCCATCCCCTGTAGTAACCTCGAATACGAACCGACCAATCAGGATAACTCTGAATAGAGATATCTCAAAGTTAAAAATGGCATCCCAAGAGAAACCGACCATCCTCCTCATCCATGGAGCGTGGCACATTCCTCTACACTACCGCTCCCTAATCGACCCACTCCGGAGTAGCGGGTACACGGTCCTAGCGCCATATCTGGTCACAACCGGCTACGACGACTCAATAGACGGCAAAACGCACGCTGACAGCACTAATCAGATCCGCGAGTACCTTCGCCCGCTGCTGGATCAGGGCCGCAAGATTCTCGTAGTAGCGCATAGCGCCGGCGGCGTCGTCGCAACAGGGGCTGCCGCTGGCCTGACGCTCGAGGACCGTGCCGCTCAGGGTCTTCCAGGCGGTATCATTGGCATCGTGTATATCGCCGCGCTTGTCGAACCAAAGCACGGTCGACCCGACGAGCCCATACCGTTTCCGCCTGGCTGGACAGATGTAAGGGCTCTTCTCCCCCTATCCCCCCCCCTCCTATTTTTCGTCAGGGATTGAAAGCTCCGTAATCGACACGGAAAATAGTTTGAATCGGTTAGTTAGCTGACCCTCACTTTAGTTCAAGAAACGGCCCGTGCCTGAGGATCTGGCCCGGATGCTGTTCTACGACGATGTTGAGGAATCGAGGCAAAACAAGGCTCTTCAGATGCTCCATTGGCAGAGTGAGATGACTTATGACCCGGAGGAATCGGAAACGGTAGTTGAAGTTCGGACCCCTAAGACGTTTGTTGTGTGCAAAAAGGATAAGATTGTTCCACCTGACAAACAGTACCAACGTGCTGCTGAGATAGGTGCTACACTCGTGGAGCTTGACTGCGCTCATAGCCCGTTCCTGTTAGATAAGGAGACGGAAGTGTTGTTGGATGTTATCACTAAGGCCGCTAAAGTTTAAATTCTTCTTGCTATAATGTTATCATAGTAGAAGTTTACGCCGTTCATGTCGTTATAGCTTCTTTTCCTGATATTCTTATAGGATGAAAGAAGAATAAGACGACGAAGACAAAGGAGATCACGGGACATTACTACATATATCAAGATAGTGAACACTGTTAGTATTTATGAACTCGTAATCCTTTCACAATAGCCTAGGTGCCCCTAGACGCTTTGAGTATCGTCAGATTTTCATACTGCTCTTGATAAGAGGCATGGATTATCTCGTAAGACTCAGAAGGACTTCGACGTCGCCGACAAACTTCATTACCGAACAACGACCTCCGGCAATAACCCCTAGGGGGGAAGGAAGGATTTAAATACCTTAGAACATTCCGGACAATAAGACTACAATCAGCACCCGCCTAAGCATGAGAAACACGTACATAAAAGCTGTGATCCAAACTCCCCAGACAAAAACTCAGTTTCTTCCCCAAAACAACAACAACTTCACTTCCCTCCAAGCCAACCATTGTGGAAGTTGAGATTCATTCTACCATCAACTCTTCGCCCTCTCATTCTACCTATTCTACCCATCTACAACATCACTCTTCAAGAGACATAGGTATTCATTTTCTACAACTCAACCTTGGGTAAGTAATTCTTTTTTTCCGGTACCCTCTCGCTACACCTTCATCGCAGATGTATGTATCCTAGCCCATACTGAGAACAGACAAATTCTTCTCATTCCCTTCTCGTATCTACAAATTTCTTTCCCTCTGTTTCCTATCATCGATGCGTTCTTCCTTTTTCGAGCTGTAATGTAAGTATATTCCTGTCTTCACCGACGCGATCCAGCAGTTCCACACGCATCGATGATTAGATTGGCGATTTATAGGTATTGGACTAAAATCTAATCGAACACTATAAACTCTTTCCCTATTTCAACCGTACGAAATATATCGCTCATTTATTGTCAAATATGCGGTCTACTAATGCTCTATCTTTCCAAAGACTATCGCGATGGCCGAACTCGGACTTGACCTCGTCGAGGGCTTGCTCAACGCGTGCGGCGCCGAGGAGGCCGACAAACCGGTCCTCAAGAACTACTTTCAGCAGCATCTTCAGGGCCAAGACCGTCGTGGCCTAGCCTCTCACGTGCTCGAGACAGTAAGTATTACCCTTATACGTCATTTGGTATCAGCATTTTCTAACTTGCCAAGGTCCTTCAGCACATCAAGTCCGATGGCGACGTCACCGGCCTTCATCGCGAAGTCCTCGCTTACTTGATCAAGACGTTGGGTGAGGAAACCAATGGCCATGCTCCCCAGGTTCCTGAGCACGCCAAGGAGATTCATGAGGCTGGAGGACACGGAGTAGCATCTGACTCTGACCATGACGTTACCCCTAAGGCACCTAAGCGTGAGAAGTCGAAGTTGAAGCAGAAGCAGAAGCTTCCCGTCAAGCAGAAGGAATCGCCACCCGTCTCATCCGGAATGCCTGATCTCCATGCCTTCCCGCCCGTTGTCACCGAGCAGCAGAAGTACGCCGCTCGACGCAAACAATTCCTTCAAGAGATGTGTGGCGACATCGAGTCGCCTCCTCGCCAATTTGCTCAGAAGTCTACGATGAACTATTCCCCATCCCTTACGGCCGAGCTCGAACGCCGACGAGCGAGTTCCCCAGTTGATGGCCCGTGGAACGTCCCTGAATTCCGACCAGCCGACCGAGGCGAAGACGTCTAGTAATCGTTCTAGTCGGGGAGCTTTACATTGGTTGATAGTCGGCACTGCGTTTCCGGGATAAAGACAGTGTATGAACGCAGATGAGGATTTCTGATGAGAATGATGACGGACCATTGTGGTCATAGGATTCGATTCCTACACGTTCATGCTCATTTGCTCTTTTTACAGGACATGCTCCTCCACGATATTTCCTTTTTTCTTTCTTTTACTTCTATGGGTTCTATCTGGCACTCAAGTTTACATTAACCCTGACTCTAATGTGGCTGGCGCTATGGAATGCGGTCACCGTTGACAATCGTTGAGTTCGGGGGATATGAAAAGGGGGTCTACCGTTAGTTGGCTCACCACTGCCATCGATTCGTCAATACTTAGGCCTAGGATGTTTTTCTGTCTGTCAACCGCAACAGAAAACATTTCCCTGGAGTGAGATAGAAACCCAAATTGATACTTTGCCTTAAAACATGACTTGATTCTTTATTTCGATCTATGCGCCACTACCTACAATATGATGATTCCTACGTTTTAGAACTGGCCAGTTGAACAGTGTGTTCGATACGTCGAGCCAGTGGTTGGCAGTAGCAGAATACATGGCAACTTGGGTGCTACAATGTAGAAGGTAATGACCATAAAAGAGTGCATAATATTGTGATAATCTTAAACTAAAAGTTCACTAAACTTAGGGAGTGTACGGCAGCTAAATATGAATAAAGCTACCCACTGATCTAAGACATTCATCGCAATTATCCCTTCATTCTACTCCAGCGCAGTGTACTAAATACAGGGAATCAAACCCTGAATTCAACACTAGGTACCTACTCAATCTCAAACTTCCTCCGCTTGATAACATCTAGCAGTTCTCCTTTAGATGGCCCTCTCTTCTTACATGTGTTTGCCTGCGAGTTCGGTCCAGTATTTCCCTTGTTCCCATAATCGTTCTTTTCCATGTCATCCAAGCATTCCTTCCAAGTCTCGTCAACGATTTCCAACAGTCGTCTGTATGAGATCTCAACTTTTGGCCCCTTTTCATGCTCCGTGTCATCTTGAGACGGTCCATCCAAGTCCTTTGGATCGAAAACGAACCGTGCATTTGGTGCGCTGCGAACTTTGGCACGGAGGTCTGGTTGGTCTGCCACCAACACTGCCATCCATTGGCCCCGTTCATTCTCCTGCACTCCAAACCAGATTTGTAGTGGAACTCGTGACGGTGGGCGAGGAGCGTTGTCGATCTTGTACTTCTGCCACCTGCACTCTGTATTCAAACACACGACACACCGAGTACTACCCCTCCCAAGCCGCATCAACCTCTGAGCTCTCTCCTTTGCCTCTAGGTAAGGCAATCCAATCTCAACTGCTATGCAAGGGAATACCCGTTCATCATCGTTACTACCCTTAGCATAACAATATATGCAATTATCAACGTAGGTCATAGATCTTCCAGTCCAGGCATCAATCCCATAGTCGGTCTCTACGATATAGTCCCCCGCAAGCGTATCGTGAACATGCTTCAGCTCTTTGTAGAGATAATCGGTTATCGAGACTTCGAGCTTGGAGTGAAAAGGGGAAAAGATTTCGAGCCGGATTCGAAGCCAGTTGCGGTCGAGATCGAATTCCAAATCACAATTTCCATGAAACCACTGATGGATGCTTTCACGTTGGGAATAGAAGCTAGCCAGTTCAGTTGGGGGGTTATCTAGCGGAAGTAGTTCTCTGCTGCGAGTGTCGAAATTCAAGAATTGGTTGAAGAGTTCCCAACTTGAGTCCGTGATATTGAATTCAAGTCGTGGCCCCTGAATACTAGACTGTGGATGTTGAAAGCAAAAATCACCTGCATCATCCTTGGCTTTTAGTTGAACCATTGCTTCCAATATCTTCCTGACAAGCATAGCATCAGGACAGCTGATATCAGACTGTGCCTGCTCGGATTGAGATGACAAGGTCTGCGAGACATCGAATCTCGGCATTGTGGGAGATGGATCTTCCAGCGATATATTGGGGATTAAAGAGTTGATATGGATCGATGTATTGCTAGGGCATCTGTATTCTATAATATATGATTTCAAGAATAGAATAGAAAGCGACTTCGATAAACCCATACAAGCGATGCTGTTGAGAGGTGTGGTTATCCATGCTGGCTTCACTAGGCTATATATACTGCGAGGAGAGTGCCTAGGTAGTGTGTCAGGGAAAAGAATAGTCGTCCAAGAAAGACACAGGGTACCTAGGTATGTGAAAATATTCACACATAGACCAGTCGATTTTTCAATATTGAAACGGAGTGACCTCGCAAACAAAAACGCCACAGCATAATAGGAACTAAAAGTGATTGATAATGGTTGGTGGGTGGCTGACTTATCGTATAACTGCCTTGTATAATAGCGAGATTTATTACTTTCACTTGAATTATATGGCACTACATTGGTTGAACTGGCTACTTTTACTTTTTCATGTGCTTCATGTTTGCATAAGCTTTCGAGGTGTTATGACTCGAGAATGGGATTCACGCTGAGCAACTGCTTAGGAGATCATCGCTGATTCGTTGTAAAGGGCATGATTATGTACTTTAACCAGGCGGAATTGTTAAAACAGTTATACTTGTTATCAAACGCGCGTCATATATCATTATTATCATAACATTGTGGCTTGAGGGACCCTGTCTCTTACCATTTTATCCTTGTCTCTTCAACTGCAGGTTGCCGACAAACCTATAATAGACCGGAAATTACTTGGGTTCCGGAAGACAAGGGGTGAATTCCGGTGTCTTAGCGCACCGTCGTCGGTGGCGTCCAGGATGCTAGCCCGATACAAGCTTCACCGGTATATTGTTTCCCCAGCGCCACTTACCCTATTCATTCAGCTACGGGCCCCTTCTTCCGGCTAGACCTAAATATCTTCAACTAGAAACCTAGATCAAGTTTGTCAAGTAAGCCGGGATACATGAATCGAAAGATCTCAGCCATAAAACACATAAGGACACTTGTTAGATAATTTTAGAAGTCTTATTGGTTATACGTATAATACAAGATGTTCAGATCAAGGGAACGTCGATACTATACTTCGAAAAGGGGAGACACCTGAACGCTAGATCTAAGGTGGGTATATGTTGGTACAATAACGCATCGCAACTTTCACTCCGATGTAACACTCATCACTTCGAACCCAGGCCGAACCATCGCTGAAAAGCAGCCTTAGCCGCGTCCAAATCAGTATTCTCCTCAGCCGCCCAGGCAACAACGCCATCGGGACGAACCAACATGGCCGAGAGACCCAACTGCTCTTTCGCACTCGTGCTTAGGTAATCGACCTTATCCGAGTATTCCCCAGCGAGCCCCTTAAGCGCCTCATTCGCCCCGAAGTCCAGCAGCAGACCGCGCCCATCCTTCAGCCTAGGGCCCAGCCTCGACCCGTCGTCGAGCTCGAAGTCCGGCACGCTGGAGCCGACGAGGGGGTGCTCGTCGCCGAGGTCGTACCGCATCCAGAGGCCCCAGACGCGGTCCATGAACAAGTTGTTGCCGTCCCTCGTGTCGATAAGGTCGCGCACGATATTCCGGACCGCCTTGCCGTACAGGTCCGGCTTCAGCGTCGCGACCTGCGCGCGCGTCCACTCGAGCACCCAATCACCGATGGGCAGCCGCTCCTTCTCGTACGTGTCGAGGAGCGCGAGGTCCGCGTCCTCGCCCGCCTTCACCGTTGCCGCCAGCTTCCACCCGAGGTTCATGGCGTCGCCGAGCCCGAGGTTCAGACCCTGCGCCCCGAGCGGCGAGTGGATGTGCGCCGCGTCGCCGGCGAGTAGGACCCGGCCCCGTCGGTACTGGGTTATTTGCATGGAGCGGTCGGTGAAGGAGGAGGCGTGCTTGAAATTCGTGACCTTGACGTCGGTGCCGGTGACGCGGGCGATCACGTCGTTGAGGTGCTCCGGCGTGACCTTCTGGGTGCGGTCGAACGCGCCGCCGTCGAAGTCAAGCAGGAAAAAATTCCCCGCGAATCCGACGATGTACATGCCTCCCTCGCTAGGATGGAACCCCATCTTCAAGACTCCGGGCTTGTCGAAGTCGGCCACGACCGCGTAGCCGGTACACTCCGGCTTCGTTCCGACGAAGTCGAAGCCCGCGATTTTCCGAATTGTGCTTTTCCCGCCGTCGCAGCCTACGAGCCATTTTCCCGTGAAAGTCTCGCCACCCGCTTCCACTGTGACGCTGCTGTCGTCCTGCGATATTGCCGAGACACCTTTACCCCTGAGAATCTTCACGCCTACACTCTCGGCCCTCTCCGTTAGTACCTTCTCGACGACATCGAGCATGGTACCGTTAGGGGTTAGGGCCGGACCAGGGAGGCGGTACTTGTGCTTCTTCAGGTCGAGCAGTTCGGCATTCAAGACCATGCCGGCGAAATGACCGCCGAACTTGAAACCTTCCTTAATGTTGAAAGCTTTCGGGCGCTCGTTCTTGGTCACCAGGTGCATCATGTCGCGGCGGTAGAGAGATTCCAAGGAGATTGTGTTTAAGCCTCGCAAACCCAGAGGGGCACTCTTGAACGCCGACTCGGGAGAAGTTTCGCGTTCCAGTACTAGCACGGAAGTGCCTCTCATGCCAAGTTCACAGGCCAGGAAAAGTCCGATAGGCCCGGCACCTACAATGATAACGTCGTGAGTGCTCATGATGGGCGATTTAATATGGTATACTGGTGTGGTGTTGATAAGTATGAGTAGGAAAACTTTATATATTGTGATGATTAAAGAGTCTGAAGTCTGAAGATCGAATGGTTTAATTTATTTGGAGCATCTTGTGATATATGTATTCACAGGCAGCAGTCTTTTTCCCCGAAGTCCTAATGGAGGCCCCATTTCCAAGGCTTCACGGAGGGCCTACGCGTATTAGCATCAAGCCAGGCTGTCAAATTCGGACACTAACGTAGTCCTAGAGATTGAAGGCGCATCGCCTCAAGCCGTGGTTGCAATTGTTAGCCTCCTAATATCCCTGGCCGAAAGAATGGCAGGAAGATCCATGTGATTGTCGCGTGAGTCATGCATTGCATTAAAATCCATCAAAGTGCTCACCAGAAAGAGTTAACCAGTGGTTACATTGTATGGCAAAATCGGGAATTGTTGAGTCATCCTGTGTCTGGTCGGAACCTTCATTGAGACTCCCGGGACCGAAGGCGGGAACGGGACCGGGCTCGGGCTCGGACTTTCAATCTTGGCAACAGTCCGAATGCCGATTGACCCACATTTACCCCTATTCCGTTCATCAGCTCGCGGCTCACGCCGTATGATCCTTCGCAGGGTTGGAACCGGGTAGATTGTAATGTCATATAATTAAGCATAAGAAGAAGAGCTGAGACTGCCTCGTATTGCATCCGGGACATTCCAAACACAACCTTGACTTGTCCACGAGTGCGTTGACTCACGACAAGAGATGCAACGATATATCACTTGTCGATACAGCAATCGTGTCCTTGATTTTTAACCAGTTTTTTTAACCATAAGGAAGTAGTTCCATGGAGGCCTCCACTATCTAGCGGCTTTGCTTTGGATTTGCTGCATACAGTAGCTACATGAACGACGAGGACGATGTTTTCACCGACTTCTATCGTTACGATAGTCAAAACATCCCTTTTATTGCAGCACCCATCTTCTATTCAGCTGCCCATGAGTGTTGGGTAAAAAACAGTGGCATATGATGGGTCGAGAATGGGTCGAGATTCCTTTAGTGCTAGAGATAGCATGATTTGTTTCATTTCTCCCATATACGAAGTTCAAATAAATAAAACTCTAATCCCACTCAAGCATTCACCAGCATCCTCATTAACCTCTCCGTCACCAACCCCCTATACACCCTCGGCCACATCCACAACGGCACGCTCCAAGAAAAGAACACCAACACCCACACAAATCCCACCACTCTCCCGAGCCAACTCTGTTCAATGGAATGTAATTCTCTTTCCCACCCCAGCCTCCCTGCCGCCCACCACACAGCCGCTTTAACACCAGTCTCCAGCGCGCAACCCGCAAAATTCAGCATAAACCACAGCGCATCCCTCCACCAATCCCTCGCGCCTAACCTCCAGCTCACAGCCGCGTGCGCAAGCCCTGAGATCGCGAAAACGGTGAACGCCACGACCGCATTTGCGCAATTCTCCTTCCACTTCCACCGCCCCTTAATGAGCCCCTGAGCCCCCTGAACCCTTTTATCCCCCTTGACCTCTTTACTCACATTATACACCTTAATCGAAGGAATAAGTCCCAATGACTGCGCGACTAGACGTCCTATATTCGTATAAGAGCGCACAGCGAGCCTATGCCAGAACCCCGCCCAGAAGCCGCGCAGGCCACGGCACACATGCACCGGGGAGCCGAAGAGCGGGGGCCAGTCGCTAGGCTGGTCTAAGCCAGAAACGACGGCTATTATGGCTAACACGGCGTTAGCGCCGTCGAGGACCGCGAAGCTTTGCCAGATCCAGGAGCTGGCTGTGTATGCGCGTATGAGGACTCCACGGAGGGTCAGGTCCGCGAGACGAGGTATGAGGGCGGGCTGGGCGACGTCTTCGGGAGTGATAACGACTAGGGTTTCGGAGAAGAAGGCGGGTAGGATGTAAGTGTGAAGGGAATAGTATAGGAGGCCTTTAGAGACTCGCAGGATTAGAAATACGGAAAGTGGCTCTGTCGTGTGCTTCTCAACTGATGTTGGATTGATTGAAGGTTGAACTTGGTGAAGCTGAGGGTTGCTCCAAAGGCGGTAAGTGATATAAAATGCATAAGTTGAAAGAGAGGTTTGCTTCTTCTTGCTTTGCTCTGGTTGGGGGACCGGCCATCTCTCGATAAGGAGGAGGGACGTGATGTGTACGATGTTGAGGGCGACGGATTGGGCCCAGAGGCTAGTGACGCCAGGGAAAATATACAGCCTTCTAGATTCGACGAATGAAAGAATCGAAAACAAATAATACGTAGGAAGAATCCGGAAGCGAAACCGTTCGTTCTTCGCATGGAAACAAAAATGAAAGGCAAGGAATGATATCGCTAAATGTACGATAGGAACCACACACGGAGCTATCAGTCTGATGTATTGCATCATACTAACTCTTCAACTTCCTTATTCGACACTTCTAAGCATTGTGTTGGTCAAGGTCTTAACAAGATAGACAATCACAGATGTTATAGGAATTCGATATGCATTTGTGCGTTGCTAAGCTGATATGGAGTGTAGGTATGTTGTAATACACGAAGTAAGCGTTATGATCCATCTCATCGAACAAATATGTATGTAAGACGATGGTCTTGTCCGATTACTAGGTGTATCACAAGTACAAGCTAACTAGAGGTCATAGAGGATCACTACTGCCGCCTCAATTCGACATAGTACCATGACCATGACCTAGCACAATATTAACTATCAAGGGATTCTAGCCATAGCCAAAGGAAGAAAGGTATATATGAGAATTTATATTCCCGGAATCTTACCAAGCTCAAGTCAACGCCGGCTGCGACCCGAACGATCCATCTGCTCCTGGCCGTAGTGCTTCTTCCGAAAAGAGGGTTATCGATGGAGATCCTTTCAATAGTGGCGATTGTCGACTCGCCAATACTGATCATTGTATTCGCGCCGTCGACATCAATAGGTCGCATCTCAACCAGTACATCTACATTTGTGATAGTGTATACGGTAGCATTGACGACATAGTGTTCCGAGATGGTCGAGGTGGTCTGCTTCCTGTAAACAAGCGAGCAAATTTGCTCTGCGTTGGGGATCTCCGCCACCCACTCGTTACTAACATCCTCGTGCTTCTGTCGGAAGCCTAAGATCGGGTTGTCCTTCTCATCGAAGAGCCTACGTCGGAAGCTCGACGACATGGTCAACGTCCTACCCTTAATGTAGAAGATGGGCTGTTGGGTGATAGTGTCCGATATGGTAAGATCCTTGGATCCGTGGTCCTCGCATTCGACTTCTAACTCCATCTCTTTCTCCGTCTGGTGGCCCATCAACATAACTACTGGTTCAATCGGGGCGCGCAAGGGGACCTCCATTTTCTGCTCCTGTTAGATGAGGTGATATGTATAATGTTTCAAATCTGGGTGTAGAAGACAAGATTTAATCCCCACTAGATGAAACAGAAGACTTCTGTGCTGTTACCATTATATGTGTGATACCTGTCTTGCAGCTCTCATGTTTGCAGATGCGATGTCAGCCGCATGAAGGTTAATCTAAGTGCGCAAGCACTTACGGCCGCTAGTCATACGTATTTGTCTCCTTAAGCTTTCTTGTGTCGCCAAATAGGCACCGTAGCATAAATAAGTCTCGGAAACTCCGTCTCCCTATCTATCGCCCGGTCCGGGTTAGTCTTAAGGCATAGATAGGAGTATCTGGGTAATTGTTTAACCATGGGAGTCTTTCACGTGGAACGTACCATGTGATGTAACTACTGAGTACTGCATGTTGGATGTCTTCTAAAGACTCTGAGGACTTTATAGATAATTTGATCCTAGATCACTCAATCTTACATTTGCTGATCTTAGCATGTAGTGTTGCACATTGGAGATTTGTCTTTGAGGAAATCAAACCGGCCATCTTACTCTTAGGTATGTAGTGCACCTTTAAATGGGCATTCGATCTGGAAGTTGTGAAGGAAGCTGTGAATAGCAGCATTTTTGACTCTTGCATTTCATGTGTTCTGTTACGGAGCTTTCTCTCCCGTACTTCAAGTACATCAGCATCCCATCCAAAATATCTTAATTTGATACTTGCCCCTATTTTCTGATATTCAACTATTCCAGAGTCATATCATTTATGATGCTTCCCGCAACATCAGTCACCCTTCCACAAACGAGAGCCAGCAGGAAAACCAGCAAACTAACACATGATATACAAGGAGGTTTCTTCGGACGACTACGTCTGTTTCTCGCATCTGCGCTTCCTTTCATTCTGCCAATCAGCAGCACGTTCATGGCGTGGAAAGGGCTTTGCATATCGACCAACTCTCCGGTGCCAATAATATGCGTTATTTCAGAGTCGATGGCTCCCGCGTTCCACAGAGGCGACTTGTTGATAACATGGAATTGGACTCCATCAGCCGAAGTTGGGGATATCCCCGTAATTTGGTTTGACGGTCATCTCCTGCCCATGGTCCACCGAGTGATTCAAGTATACCCTGGTGAATCTAGTAATGGGGCTATCTCGTGAGTTGTTGGCAATTGAAAACGCATTAACGAATGCTGTACTGACCCATAGTCTTAGACATACGTTTTTGACTAAAGGAGACAATAACGAGCTCTCAGATGTTGCACTATATCCTATGCCACGAACCTCTGTATCTCGCAAAGAGGTGGTGGGGTTCGTTAGAGGATATATCCCATTTCTTGGTTGGGTTGTTATTTATCTGCGGGAAAATTATTGGGCGAGATGCATTATAGGCCTCCTCTTAATTTCAGCTATCTTTAGAACATAGCCAGAAAGTGCTCTACATCCTACACATACTACTCGGCATGCCTTTTTAGAACCCTTTCTTCCGACAGTCTAGATTAACTATTTTTTGCATTGAATAGCCCTTCTTCATAAACCATGATCATCTAACCTGCATGGATACTTATGGTGACACTTAAGTCGCCATCAGCATGATTCTGTGTACTGTTTAAGACAATGACTCCAGGATATTTTTGAAAGAGTGTCGGTGTGGATAATGATCAAGGATGTCAAAATCGTTTTCAGTCAGCTTACTGCATACTGCAGTACGTTTAGCTAAGGGTGAAAAAGTAACAGTCCTTAGTTCAAGAGGAGATCGACGATCGGCTTGTGCATCATATAGTGATAGTTGATACTCAGAGTGCCTCTAAGGCTTTTCAAGCATAAAAGTCCCATCTCTCGCCGATAATAAAGCAATTACTTAAACTAGAAGAGCATCTCAACCTCTACAAAAAGATTTATCGATATAGCACATAGCCATTCACTAGCCATTGCACTGACCCCCTCAAGGAAGAATCCATACCAACAAGATGTTTGGTCAAAAGAAAATCGGTTCTGCCGCTGCTCTAGTAGCGCTCGTTCAGCTCTGCCCGGCCCCTTTCCTTCTCGCAATCCCCGAAGCAGTTACTGCCGGGTTAGGAGGCGCTACAGCAGTAATCGGTGCGACAGCCGGCGTAGTTGGCGACGTTCAAAATGCGCATCACAACAGCCGCTCAGTGCCGGTGTTTCGAGTCCCAAAAACCAGGCGGCAGGGCCAGAATGAGCTCGCTTGGAAAGAGTGCCATGACCAGCTCAGCTCGGCTCATGTAACCTTTTCCGGCCCCTCCGCAGGCAGTATGCTTCTCCTAGCTACCCCTGAAAGATAACATGCTAATGTGGGATGGAATTTCCAGATGTGCTTGTTAAAGGAGTCCCATCCGCCTGCATGACACTCGTCACAGTCATCACCGGAAAATACGACGAAGGTAACCCGATTGCCGAGGGTTCAGACTCCATCATGTTCCAAAATCTTTCCAACGATGATATCAGCCAAATTGAGAGTGCTCTCAAGGCCCACTCTAAGATCTAAGCTGGGGGACAAATTCTTAAGAAAAGAAGTCTAGTCGTGTTTAAGGATATTCTGAGTAACAGATCAAAAATACGACGTGAGGATCGAGGTTTTGGAGTTCTTTCTGAAGTTTATTCAATCTATATTACCACCACTCGTTACACTTGTTATCAGACCTTCTTTCATCAATTCTATAAGCAGACAATTTAGCAATACTACGTCCGTACCCTGTTTTCGGAAAGGGGAGGTGAAAAATAATATTAACTTTGCCCTAAATAAGATTGCCTGAAGTCTAGACTCGTATCTTCAAATGTGGAAACAGTACTTGTAATCATTGATATTGATAATTGTAAATTGTGACTCTGACTCAGGAACAAGAACAAGGAATACTAGCACTAGCTTATGGCACCTTCCCGAGCTTTCAGCACTGCTCTTTAACTACTCCAGGGTTACCATGTAGGCAGTAGTGGAAGGAATCGCAGCTAAGGCGATACCCCGTAATTATGGGGCTTCCAACTATACAATAAAGGAACTTATCTGATAAGGATATAAAATATTAGAAAGCTAAACGTATTCATCTAACAAACATCATACCAGGCACTTATATATCAGTTAACATTCAGACATATCTTAATTATTATCACATCCCATTATTAAAACGTAATACTAGAGATATAGGGAAGCATCATAAGTAAGCGCTAGTACACATGCCTAATTTTCTATGGATTTCCTTGGAGGTCGCTCCAAACAAGGGGCATCTCATCTATTAAGGTATGTGATGATTACGTGAAGATAAAAATGGACAGATACTTGTACACGGCATATTAATTTCACTTATTATCCAGCTAGGTAGGTTATCTAGGTACCTGTTAAACAAGTTGACTAATGCTCATATAATTTCTTTCAACACCAACTTTCAACATCCTCAAATTTACCAATAATTTGTACTCACCACATATTTCGGCACGGACAGAGTGCGAAATATCCATATGTTACAGGTACTCAGGTATCTATCTTGAACAGGTACCGTTAAACCTCGCGACTTCCTTGTCAATTAACCCGGACTAATTTTCCCAGCGCCTAAGGACACGACCGCTGAATCATAATGCACAAAAAATTCGCACAGAAATCCTTCTTCCGTCCAAGTCTCCCCCACGCTGCCTAGAAAGTCAACTTTTTGGTTTTTCGTCATTCAATCTCCATCATTGTGCAGAAGCACCGACAAGATGAATGCTCAGGGTATGCAGCAACACCCTCAAGCTGCGGACCAGGTAAGAATACTGGGCATGCACAGCGTTAATTTTATGAAGTATAGTAATATTAACATTTCACTAGGCTCACGTGGGGCCTAACAACGAAAAAAACGCAGGATCAGAAGCACCTGTGCCTAACGAAAACCGCTTCCCGGAAATCGAGACCATCAGTACCCAAAACACTAATGACACTTTTGCTTATTGCGAGGCTCTCTGGAATCAATACCAAGCTACTGGAGACGCGAGCTGGCTAGAGAAGCGTCGCTTGACCCTGCAACGCTACCGTTTTGAGTCCGAGTACTTGGGTGTTCATCTGATGCAGGGAAAAGACGCCGCAGTGGCTGCACTGGAACATCCAGGGTCGTACATGGCAAATGTAGGGTCTTCGAACATTGCAGACGATGTGCCTGCAATCGCAGATGAGCAGGTCATGGCTGATAACCTCAATCCGCCGGCAAATTTGGAAGACAACATGCCTGTGAAGCCGGAACAGGTTACCCCGGCCACCACTAACCACTGTGGCGCATCTCTAGCTCATAATCCCAATGAGACCGCACTTTCAAGTGAGATTTTAAATCTGAATGCACCTCAGGCCATTGACGAACATCATATGGAGCGACTTTTTCGATGCACCCCACCCAAGGTCGAGCACACCTCTCCAGAACCGCAAACAATCTCAATACACGACAAGATCTCGCATTCTTGGCCTAACAATTCAGTACTTCGCTTCAACCTCGAGCATGTCGGCCCTCCTGGCTACGTGAGCCCTGCTCTCTACTTTAGCTGGTGGAACCGTAGTATCAACCAATGGCAGTGGAGACGCAACTGGGGTGGTGTCGACGTGAAGAGGCATTTCGTTTTGGCAACATCGCACAATCTCGCCATTTGTCGCAAGGCGTTCACCTATTTGGTAGACCACAAGGACACCCTCGTGCGCCAGCTAGCGGACGCCAAGAAGCTGCCGCTGAGACATCACCGACAGGACGTCTAGGAGAATCGTCCACTGGCTCTCAGCTGGGCTTTTTCTAGCAAGAAGCTGAAGCTGCAACTCATGGTTATCCATAACGGACAGAAAAGACCAGTCAGAGATCGTGGCAGGATCTTCTTCCGTGACATCAGCCTGGATGGAAAAGAAGAAACCTAGTGTCCCCTGTCTCGTGAGAAGGTTAGTCCGGACGATGTCTCTGAGCACGACATGGTGTTTTGGATGAATGATCGCGTCTTGCGCGACTTTTATCAGCTTCAGAAGGACTTATCGCTTGAGGTCAAGTAGCTACGACGGAACTACACGCAAAGTTTAGCAGTTTGTCTCGTGAGCTTCTTCCAGGCTACACGAAGACTTGTACCCGTACCTGGCGTTGAATAGGGCTTGGACAGGGTTTGCGAAGCATGGGGCATTGTTGGATTCACAATTGGCCTCAATAATAAAGGCTCTGACAAAATTGTGTATTTGTTTCTACGATAATTCAGTTCTACACTGTTAATGAAATTCATGAGACGTCGTCAGCTTCACGTGATCAGATGTGCCTGTCGAGTTCCAAGGCTTTAATCAGCCACATTTCACCTAGCCACAATACTTGCAAAGACTTAGATAACAAGTGCGCCCCGCGCTGGGCGGGGTATATATGAGACTTCTTGATCAAAGGTAACTAAACCAATTCATTATAGGCAAGATCAATGCTTCTATGTTGGTTGTCGAATGGAGCTGGCTCAGTTTAGATCCAGTTTAGTCGAACTAAATCTCTAGGAATCGGACACAGAGACCCCAAATGATGAAGTATCTATACGACCTATACTATGCCATTCGGGGAATAAGAAAAGAGTGTAAGGTTATCAACTTGCTGTATGGCACGTCAAGTGATGACGACGTAATTATTGAGGTAGACCTGATGGTAAAGCGGCCTCCTGGAGAAAGAGGAAAGCTATAGAGAAGGATGGCAATGAAGAAGACCCTGAATGCATGAAGTCGGATATTCGTATCAATGTGGATAATAGTCCATGTAGTGAGGTTGACATAATCGATGAAAACGAACGATGAATTCTAGGCATGTATAGGCTGGTTGATGAGAATAACAACGGGACGAAGCACTTTTAGAAAATTTGATGAAATTTACGCGATGCAAGCATACAAAGTATCCCATTCTACGTACAGTACACACGTCTAGGAACCCCCTCCTAACTTCGCCTTCCGTGACTCCATGTAGTCATGCTATCTTTCCTCCATTCCCTCTAGGTATCTATCAGAGTAACACGTAGGAAGCGGGCCGTGGTCTCGGGGTCGGGTTTAATAAAAGGTTGCGGGCGAGAGGGTCTGATTACAAGGTCTCCATCTTGTCGAGGATGGCTCGGGTGAATTCGTGCGTGGTGGAGTCGCCGCCCATATCGCGGGTGCGGTACTTGCTATAGGTGCTGTTAGCATCGACGAACATATCTACAAACACCAATACAAACATAGGTATGAGGATTGGAATAACTTACCCTTCGGAGATCACGCCATAAACGGCCTTGGAGATGCGGTTAGCATGCTCGTCTAGGCCGAGATGACGGAGCAGCATGGATCCGGAAAGGAGAAGAGCAGTAGGGTTGGCTTGGTCCTTGCCCTTGATGTCAAGACCGACGTGTCGGCAACCGGGCTCGAAGACGGCAACATCGCGACCCATGTTGCAGCCAGGAACGATACCGGGACCACCGACGAGAGCAGCGCCGATGTTGGATAGGATACCACCGTACAGGTTGGGCATGACCATGACGTCGAATTGCTGAGGTCTCGAGACGCACTGCATGCTAGCGTTGTCGACGATCATGTCGTTGGTCTCGAGCGTGGGGTACTCGGCGGCGGTCTTCTGGAAGGTGCTTCGGAAGAGACCGTCGGCCAGCTTCATGATGTTGGCCTTGTGGATACAGGTGACCTTCTTGCGGTTGTTGGCCAGCGCGAAGGAGAAGGCAAACTTGGCGATGCGCTCCGACTTGGCGCGGGTGATGATCTTGAGGGACTCGACGACGCCCGGTACGCTCTGGTGCTCGAGACCGCTGTACTCTCCTTCGGTGTTCTCTCGGATGATGCATAGGTCGACGTCCTTGTGGCGGGTGTTGTAGCCGGGGATGTTCTTGATGAGGGAGATGGAGGCGTAGATGTCGAGTTCTTGTCGCATGGCGACGTTGAAGCTCTGGTGTCCCGATCTACTGATGGGCGTGTGCAGGATACCCTTCAATGCGAGTTTGTTCCTCTTCAGAGACGCAACCGACTCCCGGAACATGTCCTCGAGGCTGCCGGGCGAACCACTTTCCACACCCGAGACGTCGACTTGCTCCCAATCGATGGGCACGCTATCGGCCTTGAAAACAGTCTTGACGCTCTCCGCTACCTCGGCACCGATACCATCACCGGGAATGAGGGTAACAGTGTACTTGCCACCATACTTCGTAGGCTTGAAAATGTCTGACTGAACTGTCGCAAAGGATCGGCTAGCATTTTGAATGTGGGATTGTTGGCGGGCAGCGGTCCGCGCCAGGCGCTATGCGAGGGAACTTGAGTTAGCGAACCTTGAAACTTATCTTCGGCAAAAGCAGCATGTGATTACGGGAGCTCGAGCCATTGGGCTCGGCAATTGGGAGGGAAATGTACCTGAGCGGCTCTGGTAGAGTTTCGCGACAGCATCGTGGTGTTCGGTCAGATGTATAGGGTCCTAAAAGGGGGAATGATGCGTCGGAAGTTGCTCTTAGGAGTGGAAATTCAACGATGCAAAGACTTGCAAATGGCGCAAACACAAAAAGGCTTTGGTGGATATCGTTCCTAGGATGGTTGGTGGAGGATTGGATAGCAAGCCGTGGCATTCCGATCGGGTGAACGGGCAAAAGCACGGTTCATGAAAAAAACCACCTAGATTCCGACATTGGCTCCAGAAATACTACGTTACTATACTACAAACAGGTTAGCGTCGATACGCTAGTAAAACCTGTTCAGCCATAGATATGCAAATATGCATCTAGATGTGGCTGTGTATCTTATCAGATCTAATCAATTGAGGCGTAAATTATAACGTCATCAGAACTTGAGCAGTTCCAATTTCGTACCTCACTACTTGCGAACAGAAGACAACGGATGTGAATTTCTGTAATGATTGGAATTCATTATCTCAGTGAATCGATTCAATGTACCATTCACTAGCAATGCGGTATTAGGGATAGTTTTCAATCTGACATCCGAATTCCCAACGGGACATCCGAAGGCTTTCACTCCTAACCCCTATTCTTTAAGCTTACTGGCCGAATTTGCAAGAACCAAGTTTTAGTTACCAATTGAGATAGCATATCAATTTGCTTCTCGGATTGAACGGCTATTCAGAATTTGACAAAATTTATATGTATACTCGAACCTTTTGAAGAGGGTCATGATATGTGATCTAGTACAGGTCGATCTTACCAATATCTACAGAGCTCTACCAACAGGATCCCTGTGTGCTTACCCAGCTTTACGGTTTCTATTAGGATTATAGGGGCTACCTAACCCAATTCATCGGCTCGTGTTTCCTCTTGATACGACTTAGCTGAGTATCCGGGTTGATCTTTCTGTATCATCTCAAAAAGTGGCAGAGAAATAGATATAGCTTCAGACGCACGTCCGTCATCACAAGTAGGCATTACCTACTCTTTGAATCTTCCATTCGCCTCGTGTCTTAATTCTGTAACCTATAATGCTTTATCTTACCTAAATGGCTACCAAACTCGAAACCGTGCCACGGGCAAGACCCAAGTTCGTCGTAAAACATATAAGTTTAATCAGTTTCTCTGTCAAACAATCAGCTCCATCAGTTTTAGCTCCCCTTGTGTCCTTCTACGTTCCCTCCAACGACTTCTCTAGTTCGGGGATCGGCACACGCCCACGAATATCCTCAGGTCCCCCCTAAAAGCAAAAACTTCCACGGGCTAAGAAGCCAATACACTTATTAGCAGGATTACCCATTGGTTAGGTAGACCTTACGAAGAGAGAAAAACGAAGAGGAAATAATCAAATTGTCATTCATATCCTCATCGACTAAAAGTTCATTTACTGTCTCACTTCCACCCGTTATGGGATCTCCTCAATCTCACTAATAACCAAACTCGCAAACCCCCCACTAGCAGCTGGCCACCCCGTACGATAACCACCATAACCAATGGCCGAATACGCGGCCGCAGCAATCACGGCTATCACAGCGACCGCCGCCATCGTCGGCAGCGCGGGTGCGTACAGGCAACAGGAACGGATCTACCGAAGCTGGGGCTCGGACGAGGATGCGCCATGGCAACCCTGGCAGTCCCGGGAACGTCCGCCGTTCTCGAACACCCGCTCCCGCCACACGTACGGCTACTACGGCCAGCCGCTGTACCACCCACCCAGCTTCCACGAGCACTACATCCACCACGTCGAGTGTCCGGGCGCTCAGTGCCACTACCGAGCATTCGTATGGTTCCCTCTCTCTCCCCCAATCTTACCAGTCCCTACCCAGACTAACGCAATCCCCACCCCCCAAACAGCTCACGGACTCCATCCAGCGATACAACGAGTCCCGCCGCGCGCTACGACAGACCTACATCTAGAACCTGCGAGAGCTGTCGCGCATCCACGCCCAGCAACCGCGCAAGAGCGCGCGCGACAAGTCCGCCGAGGCCGAGCGGCTGTACGCGTACTACGTCTCCAAGGTGCGGTCCGTCTTCGAGGACCACCGCCGCGACCACCGCCGCCTGTTCGGGCAGGACTACCTGTGCTGGGCCGCGCCCGAGCGCGAGGACCCGGCGCAGCTTCAGCTGCAGACGCACATGCGTGATCGCGTCGGCAGCCCGGATGATACCGATAACGGCAACGGGAACGGGGGCAGGGATGGGAGCGGCGTCGGGGTAGGGTTGAGAGATATAATCCGCGGCGCGTCGGTGATCGAGGAGGAGGGAAGGGAAGAAGGGACGGATTGTGAGGAGGGTAGAGAGGGTAGGGAGGGTAAAGAAGGCAAAGATGGGAAAGAGGCAAAAGATGCTAAAGAAGGGGGATGGAAGAGCGGGCACCGGGGGAGCAAGGGGAGCAGGAGGAAGAACCGATCCAAAACGAAGAGCGCTTCAACAGACTGACAAACACAAACAGACAGATAAAAACACCGGCAAAACGAAAAAAACGAGCAGACATACGTAACTTTGGTTTTCACCCTTTATATTCTTTTTCCCGACAGTACTAACCCATTAAACGCCCTCCTTGCGAATACACCGCAAAAAAGCAATGCCAAGTCTCAGCATCCAGAAAAGGCGGGACGGCAATTCCAGCAAAAAACCCAAGAGCGAACCAGAACGTGCCTAATTAGCTGTACGTAGCTCCGGGGGTTACGTAGTAGGGTGGGAATAAAGCAATGGGGGTTTTTAAGTACAAAGTAGAAGGAACCTTTCTCCATCCCTTAACCTCCTTATTAGATATATATTACACAATCAGGTTATCCTTCCGCAAGGCATTTTTGGGCCTGTTTTACTTTTGGTAACAAAGTGACTCGGTGCTTCATCATTATCTCGTCTAGTCGATTCATCCATTCGTTCATTACATCCCCTCGTCCTCGTCCAAAGGCTCGACGCGAACGAGTATTTCCTCTAGCAAACCTTCGAGGAACGTGCCGACGTCCTTGCCCATACCGACAGGTTCGCTCTTGTCGAGGCGATCGATCTCCTTACATACGTTCGCTAGCTTGTAAACGTGTTTACGAATGCGATCGTGCGCGGCCTCGGCGCGTTGACGTTGGGGGGTGATGACTTTTTCGTTGCGATAAATCTGCTGTAGTCGGATCTGTCGTCGCTTTAGCGCCTCCTCGAGTGCCGGGAAGATGACGTCGTTCAACGCGTCCAGTTCGCCGTTCGGGTTCGAGGGGCCCGGGGGTGGGAATGAGTCCGGAGCCGGCGTCTGCTGCTTGGGCTGCGCCTTCGACGTGAATGCTCCCGAGCCCATGTTGGGCGATGGCTGGGGGGTGGCTCTTTGTTGAAGTGCCTGTTGCGGATGCTGCGAACTGGGTCCGCGGTAAGGAGGTATTTCTGGAAGGTTGAATGGGCCTGGTCGAGGGATCCCTCGCTGTTGCTGAATTTGGGTTTGAGAGTTTTTGGGGCCCATGTTTTGTGGAGAATGGGGATATTGGGATTGCGGGTGGCCAATGTTGAGAGCTCCCATGTCTTGCTGTAGCTGGTCTTTCGCTGCTCGGTCATAATCTGTAGATGTCATAGTAGGAATTACGGAGATATTCTTCGAGACAGGTCGTGGGGTATGGTAATCTTGTGCGTGCTTTGGGGGCGAGGGAGGTAATGGGACCTTCGAAGGTGATAGGTTAGGCACTGGACGTCGCTGAGGCGATGATTTTCGCGGTGTTCCGAATCCCGGAGGGTTGGTAACCTTGAGAGTACTAGAGACAGATGTGTCCGCGAAGTCTTGTGCTTGAATTTTGTTCGGCGATGTCGCTCTAGTACTATCGCCGTAGTTGCCGTCTAGTGGTCTCGATGCCCTCGCGTTTCTAGCGGAGTCATCCATAGCATTCAATCCAGGCCGATTCACCATTCCTCCTCGATCATTAACTAATCGGACCGTGCCAAAATCCCACACATCTTCGTTAACATGTTGTGGCTCTGTGTAGTCTTCTCCTTCGTCTATGTGTTCCTCGTCTTCCGACTTGTGCGTTGCGCTCCATCGATGGTAACGCTCAATCAGTTCTGTCAAGCAGCTGGTCTTTTTAGCCTTTCGGATGAAAGGATGCTTCAGTAGATCTTTAGCTGCGGGCCGTTCCTTCGGGTCTCTCTGCAGACAGAGTTCGATGAATTCCTTGAACGCTTTGGTAAAGTTACCTTCTAGTCTAGGCGCGGGGTTCTTCGGTATTAGAAATAAGACCTTCATTGGATGAATGTCAGCATAAGGAGGCTCGCCGTTAGCCAGTTCCAGCGCAGTAATTCCCAACGACCAAATATCCGCCTTGTGGTCATATCCAGATTGTTTAATGACCTCCGGAGCCATCCAAAATGGTGTACCAACAAACGTGTTCTTCTTGGTCATGGTCGCCGAGAGCTGGCCAGATACACCAAAATCAGCCAGCTTGACTTGACCATTGGAACTAAGTAGGATGTTTGCGGCTATAATAATAGTTGTCAGTAACCAGGCAGCTATAACGCTAGTTGGAGACATGTTATATACCCTTGATGTCCCGGTGAAGCTTCTTGTCGGCATGCAGGTAGTCCAGACCCAAAAGCAACTCTCTTATGATGATCGCGATATAATCTTCTCCAATCATGCCGGGTTTCATCAGGTCGGCGCAACTTCCACCGGAGCAGAACTCCATAACGATCCATAGCTCTGCACCTTTCGCATAAGAACCGTAATATTTGGTGACGTAAGGTGACTGAAGTTCGGACAGAATAGCTATTTCTTGTATGATATCTTCGACCTCATCTTCGGCGCTCTCGATGTCGATAACCTTGATCGCGACGGCTTGTCCACTTCGCTTTTCGACACTTGCCATAAGATTAGCCATTGCTATTCCAACAATAGTGGGATATTGAGCACCATACCCTTTGAACACCTTACCAAAACTGCCTCCGCCTAGAGCGCAACAAGTTAGCATCGGTCTCCACCTACAACATCCCACCACGAGAAGGTTTCTAACCAATGCAGAACTCCTTGGTGTATAGGAGCTCCGGGTCTAAGGCCTCGTTACTCTCATCATAGTCGCGTTCCGCCATCTTGACATGTAATTCCCGTTACTCGTAATAGATTATTTCGTGAAGCGTAATAGAGCGAAGCTGTTTAGTTTAAAGCAGTCGGGTGAAAAAGGAGCGAGAAATCAAGTCGTGGTAAGCCAGGATTGGCGGGTTATAGAAAGTAGGTGAAGGGAATTCCAATTCTCCCGCTACTGAATTTCCACCGTAACAAAAACCAATTACTGAGTTCCAAGGGCTCCTAACAATTCAAAAGCCTAAGCAGTCATAAGATGGCCCGTGTTAGCCAACTAGAGGGGAGAAAATGAATGTAGATGCGATCGGTCGAGAGAATGTGTCTAAAGCGTCTAATACAAAAATCCAAGCTTCAAGGAGAGACTAAAGACGGCGAAAGTACCGGTGATTCGGTAGCGTGCATGCATAAATGCGACAAAGGGTAATGGCAATGTCAACAAACGCGGCAATGGGCAATCAATGCATGCCTAGAAAAAGGTGATGGAGTGGAAATCGAAATCTAGGAATAGGCAAGTTAGAAACAGAGTTAAGAAGGAGAGACAAGATGATTTGTTGATATGATCATTGGCAGTGGCAGAAGCTGGGATGCGTAGGATACAAAATACACAAAATACGGGTAAAAAAACCGCGTCACAGCTCGACTAAATTAAACAGGGCTACATTTGGATCGTGCAAGGTGTACAAGGTTTGCTCCACCGTGGGGTTAAAAGGAGGGACGGTGATCGATTGGATAAGAGCAATACGGTGAGTTTATCCCCCACCATGTATCCCCTGAGCAGTGTACGCAATAACTGGGCTGAGAATCCTTGTTACCATGTTACTTCGCGGTTTCTTCGTCACGTCGTCACGTTGGTCTTTCATCCGCGCTGCCCGCGTAGTTGCCCGTGCTGACAACACCTCAGCGCTAGATCCCAGATCCTTGAACCTTATTACTCCTACTAAAAAGCCACGATGAAAGGTACGTACCTAGATACGAAAATTGATAGGGATCCGTTGTTTACATATGATGTAAGCCACAGTAAATATTTCTCTATTTTCCCTTGATTTTTCTTTTCTCAAGCCGAGACATTCAAGCGAAGGTGTCGGAAACATGTTCTCAGATCAATAGTGTCATTTAAGGGAAACAAATATCACAAATATTAAGATGCTTAAATCCTAGTTGGTGCTCCTGCAATATTACATCTATCTATTATAATAAGCAAATATTTGATCAATCTGGTAGCCATAGCAAATTCGTAACGTTGTCAAGTTCTATGGTAAACATCACAACGCTCCAAGTGTCGTCATGTCATCATCCATTCAATGGCCTGCCAAACGAGAAGAATGACTGAAGAGAGGAATCTTGTGTTTTATCGTAATAGATCAATGGACCACCCCCTGAGTCTAACTCCGAAGTCCGGATCTTCAATCCAATCCCAAGTCTCACCAACTCCACCATCTGCAACACTCATGCATCGAAGATCGAACTAAAATCGACCTCGACCTTCTCTCTTCGCCGGATCAACAGTTTAGCTTGAGGGTTCACCATGCGCGCGTTACCAAAGTCCAAGTAGTTTGCTTCTAGTCCAGGTGCCAACTTCCACTCGTAGTTCGCCAATATATGGCATAGAACCACTTTGAGCAGGTTCGCGGCGAAGAATCTCCCAGTGCAGACATGTAATCCGTACCCGAAGCCGACGTGGTTGCGGGTTGAGCTTACCAACTGTGCAGAGCTGGCTCCTCCCGGTTGTGAACGGAGCTTGGCGAATCGAGTTGCGTCCCACTGTTCCGGGTTCTCGTACTACGACAATGAACGTCAGTAAATGATCCCGCAAGTAGATGCAGTTGCGGATGGGGATTAAGGAATTGAGATGAACATACTATTTCTGGGTCCTTCATGTGTGCTGTGTCCATCCAAGTCCTCGTACCCTCCTTTAAGAAAAGGCCGTTCGAAAGTCGTATGTCTCCCATCACACGACGACGTACCAATACTTCATGGGGAGGTCAAGTCAGTTACGGCTGTATTCAACATGTTGCGACATCAGGTATTACTCACGCATTTCGGAGGGTGTTATCCGCTGGGATTCCTTAAAAGCGCTATCGAGTAGGTGCATGTTATAGAACGACGCAGTGGACATGCCCTCGGTTCGAAGCTGGCCAAGTACTTCTTCGCGAATCTGTTCTGTGGCTCCCGGGTGCTGAAGAAGGTCCATCATGGTCTTTTGAAGTAGATCAGTTGTCGCGTGAGCCGAAACTAGGGCAATCATCAACTGCAAGCCCGTTGCCATAGTCGTATCATAAGTCAGTCCTCTAGCATTTGCTTCTTGCTCTAACCAAGCGAAGGCATCGTCGTATTTGGGGGCTTCTTGACCGGCAGACTCAGCAGCTTCTTTTTCATTACGACGTTTGGCCACATAGTCGGCTAGGATCTGTCGTTGCTCGCTCAGGGCATGCTTCATCTCCTGGCACTCGGGCATAAACCAATGCACAAGATGTCGAAGAGGCCATGGCCAATCATGGAGTTTCATTGCCGCGATAAACCAGCTGTGGTGATAGTGTTGAGAAGCCTGGAGCCAGTGCTCGTTCCTGCACATTTCGTCGCCAACGAAGATACGCGCTGAGAGACGACCAACCATGTCGGTTCCGAATTGGGCTAGGTTCAACTCGGTCCAATCTTTCTTCGTTAGCTATATGTCTCGTGATTGATTCAATATCCGTAAACTGACCTGAAGTGGTGCCTACGGTTTTTGAAAGAACATAGTCGGCTTCGTCGGACAGGCGTTTTGTTATGCTAGCTGAACGAATGGTCAATATTCCCATCCATAGTCATATTACAGGCTTCTCGGACGTACGGTTGGGTCTCAGGAGGTGCTTTCTAACAACGGCTATCAATATATCACTTCGAACGAAGAACTGGATGGTATTGAATCCGGGAAGACTGCCATGGAAATCCTGTTTGGGAACACCATAGGTGTTAGTAAGACTCGAGGCAATCTAGGGCAGGGGATTATATCTCAACATACTTCATGAAAAGCTTCAGTAAAGCTCATCTTAGGGTCATTGCGAATTTCCTCCATGAGCTCTGGAGTCAAGACAACTCTCTCCCCAAGGTCTGTCATGACACGCCATGGTTTGCGAGGGTGTTTTTCTTTAGCTTCGTTTAAGAGGCTCTCCGCGGACGCCGCCCAAGTTTTCTATTCACGAAACTCATCAGCTGCTTATTGCTGTTATCTTCGTCTGGCTTTTCTACTCACTCTGGCGTTGTTACTGGAGAATAACCCTGTAGTGTTGACATATGGAAGAGCTCTTATGCTCTTGTTCGACACAGCGAATTTGTACACAACCATAACAAGCATAATACAGACAACAGGGAAATAAGAGGGAAGCTGGACAGTCGGCAACTCCCGCAGGAGTCCATCATGTATCGCCGATGGCGAATGTGAAGGCGAATTCATTGCCATGGAGGAGGATTGGTATTCTCGGAGATCTTTTCTATGAGTTGCTGAAACCAGAAATGGCCGTCGTACCGACCGGTATTAAATATTAAAACAGTAGGGGGTAACGAACCCCTTTTTAATAGACTACATACCTACCTGACTGCATCGAAACAAAGACTCGGTGACGATGAGAAGTACTCTACACCAAGCATGTACCGTAATTAATATGTCTCACATGCGACTCTACCGGTTTTTCTGGCGTGTGATGGCCTGCATTAGAGTGAATGTAGCGAAAGCCACATTAGCCATAGCTACTTTTGTTTGGCTTAACCATGTTAACTGCCGAGATGACCGGGAAGTCTGCATGCCTGCAATTTCAATATTGCGAATGCTTTTGGTCAGACAGTTACCAGCCAGCCAATGCGTGCCCCCGGTGTCAGCCACACGCGCCCATGCCGGCTGTGTAACCGATGACGTTCACATAAGCATCGCCGGCTGATAAATTCTTATATCTTATAGATATATTTCTTATTTCCTACTGTAGGCCCGGTAGCATCGGGGTCCGACGACCACCTTCAAAGACCCAAGAAACCGACCCAGTCAAGGCGCCGACAAAGAAAAGTTGCTTCTATATCGCGTCAACAACGTCATTCCTAAATTCTTCAATTAGCCACTGCTAGCTAGTAGTCGGTGTCAAAGTCAAGTGGCTTAATTCAATTACGTTTCATGGCAGTTATGTAAAGTCTCCTTTATTCGCCCAGCGTCCACAACGAAGAATGGATGCGCTAGGTAACAAAAGTTGTACCTACAGATCCCAAACACGATTTACACTTGCGGGGAAATGGAGATATCCACGATAATACCTGGCAGGGCAGATCTGGGTGATTGTACCGGTCTGCCAGCCATGCATATTAATCGCATGACGCGGAAAACGGGCTGTATAAGTTACCCTACCCGATGTACCCGAGGTCTCGGACTTGGAGTTTATTTCAAAAAAGAACGCGTAACCATCGACGTCTGGGGATCAACCCATATGCGATGCAGGGCAAACCACTCGATTAATGGGTAGTCTCCCGTTAGCCTAATCGACAAAGGGATGTTCTCCAGGTATATCAATGCGCTTCATAGAAGACAAACACGAGAAAATATGCTAGACACCGTCAGTTTCTCAATGATATACTACCTAGTATAAATAATTGGAGGTAATTATTCCACCTTAGTCGCTCCCTTACATACATACTACTATAGTATGCCCAAGCGTTAGGATCGTCCTCGGACGTTGATCAGATCCCGCCCCGGCGCCGTGATGATCACATCTCATAAGTGATTGTGTACTCAATTATGTATTCGTACATGATTCTCCAATGACTAAAGCGCATCACCCATGTAGGGCTACTCGGCTAGTGTCGGACGCACATCTACATACATATAGCCAGGCATTTGTCACTATTCGAACCACCCCTCAAGGCCCGGCGAGATCTGCAATGAGCTGAAAGACATCATGGTATGACACATTTGAGAAAGTCAACAACAGTGGCGAATGAAAAGCCAGAGCTGCACGGTATCGTGTAGGGAAAAACTAGCCTTATATGAAGAGATGTTAGCTACTCAGCTAGACTTACAAAACTCGTCGTCAATTGCTCTTTTCCCGCTCGAGACCCTTGAAGGATCCAAAATTAGGGGATCTGGCTGGGTCTAACATCTGACATCTAACCGTTAGCTTAAACGTTCCGACCCACGGGGTTACGTTAGTTTTATAGAGCTTAATTGCCTAAGTAGGAAGCTTATCGCGGGCTAGTTTGGAACTGTTGGCTAATAACTACTGGTAACGGGTGACCGTTGAAAACCGCCAACGACTCAGCGTTGAAAACTCAACTCAACCCAATTAAAGTCTTTCCATTGGCTACTGCGAAATTTGTTTCTCTTTTTTTCTCGTCACAGGTCCATTGGATCAGTATACAGAAGTAATATCATGTTGTCGCTGCCACTGCTTTCGTTACGAATGAAGAGAGCTGACGAGAGCCTCACTTGTACCACGTGATGCCAATGAGACTTCCTTTTTTTTCTCCCCAGACTCTCACGTCGGGATCGCGCGAGGGAGGAGAATACTACGTAGTAGAAAATTTTCTGTACGTAAAAAGACCCACTTTCCCGTTGTAGCGTTATTATAAATGCGCTTAGAGTCCCATTCGTCAATTGAATGGGGGAAGGTGAAAAAAGCTTTCAGTGGATCTATTCTCACGATCCGCCACCGATAGGTCGAATCAGGCAGATTTTCCGCCGAGCTTATTATGGGCGGCGCTGCAAAGTGCCCGTTCGAATCATGAGATATTCTCGGCAAAGCCGTTAAGCCGTTGGGTAGTTCAAGTCTCGAACCTTGCTTGGTGCGGTTCGAAAACTTTTTCTAGAAGGAAATGCTACGATGCGCCTAATGGCATCTCCGTTCTCCATCCGTTCCCCATCCAAAATGGCGCCGGTAACCGTCACCGAGAACCTTATTTATATAATCCTCACTGCCCTGACCACTCCATCATGCTCCTCCCACATCTCGTATCCATCACCAAAACAACTCATTACATAATACATTCGTTTTAGCGCTTCGTCATCCCCCGTGGGCCTTTCGTTAAACCTTGGAACTTGATCCCAACTGTCGAGATGGACACTATTAGCGAAGCGGAGAAGACCCCGTCGAAGGAGGCTTCGTTGCCCTCCAACAACGAGAAAGATGTCGAAACCGGCGAGGACCAGCTGCATCGTGGTATGCACAGCTACCACTTGCAATTTATCGCCATCGGAGGCACCATAGGAACCGGAATGTTCCTCGGAAGTGGAAATGCGTTGGCCACGGCTGGCCCAGCAGGATGCCTGATCGCCTTCTTGTTCGTCGGATTGATTGTTTTCTCAATCATGACAAGTTTAGGCGAGATGGCTTCCTACATACCTGTAGCTGGTAGCTTCACCGTGTACGCGTCTCGTTTCGTCGATCGGTCTCTTGGTTTCGCCATGGGTTGGATTTACTGGTTTAGCTGGTCGGTTACGTTCGCTCTCGAGCTTGTAGGATCTGGTCTCATTATCCAGTATTGGGACTCAAGCCTTAACATCGGAATCTTCATCGCTGTCTTTTGGGCAGTCTTCACCGCCGTCAACTTCCTGCCGATTCGTTACTTCGGAGCTTTCGAGATGTGGTTTTCGAGCATCAAAGTTGTCACTATCATCGGTTTCATCATCTTCGGTATTTGCATCGACGCTGGAGCAGGTCAGAATGGTTATCTCGGATTCCACACGTGGGTGACTCCTGGTGCTTTTGCCGAGTCTATTACCACTGGTGCCTCCGGGAAGTTCATCGGCTTTTGGTCCGTTCTCGTTACTGCTGGATTCGCTTACCAGGGTGCGGAGCTTGTGGGTGTTGGCGCAGGAGAGACCCAGGATCCGGCAAAGAATGTGCCAAAAGCCGTTCGATTCACATTCTGGGCCATCGTCTCGCTATTTGTCGGAACCATCTTCTTCTCCGGCTTGCTCGTGCCATATGACAACCCGAACCTCTCCATCGGTGCGACAGACGCATCCGCATCGCCACTTGTCATCGCAGCCAACCTCGCAGGCGTTCCCATTCTTCCTCACATAATCAACGCTGTTCTGCTGACAGCCGTCCTCTCCGCTGCGAATTCGAACGTATACTCCGGAAGTCGAATTCTCGTCGGTCTGGCCTCGGAAAACAACGCCCCGGCTTTCTTGGCCCGCACAAACCGTCACGGAACCCCTTACTTCGCGGTCGCTCTCACTTCGGCAATGGGTCTCCTCGCTTTCCTTAACCTGTCGGAAAATGGCGGCGACGTCTTCGACTGGCTGCTGAACATCACTGCTATCGCTGGCTTTATCACCTGGTCCTGCATTAGCATCTGCCACTTGCGGTTCATGAAGACCTTGAAGGCGCGCTGCATCCCCCGACAGGAGTTGCCCTACTCGGCTCCGCTACAACCATACCTCACCTGGTTCGGTCTCTTCTTCTGCATTCTGATTATCCTGACCAACGGATTTACCGTCTTCATCGAGTGGAGCACTAGCGGCTTCTTTGCAGCGTACGTTAGCATAATCTTGTTTGTTGTGCTCTTTGTTGGGCATAAGTTGGTGTACCGGACGAAGCCTGTAAAAGTAATGGACATAGATCTCGACCGCGATAGGGTCAACTAATAGTCCCTCTGAAATCATGTATATAGATATATAGATAGATGGTTGGGATATTCCTCCTTTTTGATACCCCTAATAATATTATAGATCGTTTTAAGCATGTTTCTGCCTACCTTTAGTCTTGTGTTATTGAATGGTTAATATCCATCTGTTCATTCTCAGTATTTTCCATCTGAGGAAAAAATATTTGTTTAGTAAATTTTGTTTAATCTTACGAAGATGGTTGGAAGGAATCGAAAATTATATAAGTTATTTGTATGATGAAGGGCGCGTGTACCCTTAAGCCCGGAAACTGCCGCTCCAGCCATTTCTATAGCTACTATCACCATTGTGATATCCATAGATTAGATGCTTTCAATTTAGCTTTGTAATAAGAGCGATCTGTATGAGATATGTGTGTTCCGTTGCCATTTTCGTCATTATAGTCGTCGTCGTCGTCGTCGTCGTTTTTATTCTCCAAAAGTTTAAATAAGCCCACTTACCGTTACGCGCACATACCAGGTGCGAGCCACCCATTTTCCCATACAAAATCGCCAAAACAACATGTTCATAATTAATTATATAAAATACCTGTACAAATACGGTTTGGATATTTGACTTATTTGTACTGACATAGATTTATATAAAAAGTTTCAAAAATTTAGAAAATTTTTAAAGTGGGTAAACAAATTTTTGAAGTTGGCGTTTCTCGATTTATATGGGAATCCCATACATTTCGTTGATAATTCTTTCAAAAATCATAACTTAAAAACATTTCTTATAATCTTACTTTCAAGTATATTATATTAAGTAGGATATAAAGAACCTTCTGTGTAAACGGTTAAGCTGAAAATATTTTCTTTATTGAACTATATATAAGTAAAGTTTTCGTGGGAAAGTTTTACATATAAAATTTCCCTATAAAATCTTCATTTATTTTTATTTAAACGAATAAAATATATACAACTAAACCACTTATAAAATAGGTACTCTAAATTTTTAGAAATCGAATGAAACTGAGGATAGAATTAAAAATCAGGTTTTAGTTGAGTTATGATTTTTTAAAGAATTATGAAGAAAATGTATAGGATTCCCATATAAGTCGGAAAATCCGAACTTTAAAAATTTATTTATATACCTCAGGAATTTTGTAATTTTTTGAAACTTTTTATATAAATATATCTTAATGGAAATAATATAAATATTTAAACAAAATGTTTGTAGCTATTTTACTCAATTAATTATAGATATACTGTTTTGGCGATTTTATATGGGAAAATGGGTGGCTCGCACCTGGTATGTGCGCGTAACGGTAAGTGGGCTTATCAATCTATCACAATTTATATAACATCCCGTATGACTTGATGGCCGTTAATGTTAAAAAGCAACAATGATATTATCTATAATAGTTAATTATTATCATAGATTCCATTACATCGAACAAGCCAAACAATATGGCTATTAGGAACAGCGTATAATAACTTTACATATATCTATAGGCTCTTGTGAAGTTCTGTTCAAGAGAGGAAAATGCTTCTTTGAGTGCATGGAGTTAACGGCAATGTCACGTATTCCTCTGAATTGTTTCCTTGGCTTTATAACCGTCGACTCTACAACTACACGCGAAGTCTTCCCGGCCTCGGATACGAAATGGGACCCTACAAAACGTCAACTATGTAGCTCGTCGAATATACTACGCCAAGTATAGAGTTGTCGACTTCACTGATCGATTGGGCCCGGAAAGCTACTTAACTAGGTCCTTAACTAGAAGGAAATCTTTCGGGGTGGTTAAACTCCCTAACCTTTTCCACTCATCGACAATCCCCATAGGTACTGAACCTTCTTCAATTCACCTACCTGCTTTTCCAGCTCATTACCTATCCCCCAAACACTAAACTCTCACACCAAAAATATTCTGAGACTTCCAAGCCAGCTTTTCGAATTCGAATAAATCACATCATCAAAGATTCCATTTCGAAAAGCTATGATAAGAACCTTGAGCCTCTTACTTCCATTTCTATTCATCACACACCTTGTAAACAAGACCCTCTCGTTTTTTCTTTGAAGAACGCTTATCATTCGGAATCCACACACCTTTTGAACACTTTGCCCTTCAACCAGTTACTATTTACATCAAACACTTTCTGCTTACCCAGTACGTTCGAACTGGATCAACTCTAAGCAACGCAGATCATCGAGGTAAGTATTAAAAATTATTGAATTCTTTCCTCACATATTCGTTCCTCGCCCTTCCTCACTTTTTTCAGCGAACAAAAATCGAGTAAATATCCAGAGGGTTACGACTCGATTCAAAATTTCTCCTCATCAACCTACCTACCTACCTACCACCACATAATATTACATCTTCTTCATCACGCGCGTTCAAGTAACATCACTCTAACCTCAAATTTAGCTTGAAGTTGCCATCATGTCAACCGTCACGGCTTCTATCACCGCGGTAGCTACCCAGCCTGCGGCACCTACCCAGCCAGCGGAACCCACCTCCAACGTTGTGGGTGTCATCTGGGGACTTATGTACAAGAAGTCTTTCAAGGATGGCATTAAAAATCGTATATGCCCGCGTAAAGCTGAGAAGGAGCCTAAGCCGGCTGCTGACATGCCTTCTCCTGACGACGATGAAGGAACTCCACAGCCGCCACTACCAACAGCAACCCGACTTATGATTAGTTTCGATCCCATCCCATCGCAACGTATCATTCTACCAACTGGCGTTACCAGCTTCGATATATCGGAAGTCCTTAACATCCGATACCGCGTCAACCTAACCGCAATCGATTCCAAGGGTGAAGCTACTGGCTCGACCGGCCCCGGTTCTAAGTCCAAGGCTCGTTCCAGAGGTAATTCCGCCTCCGGCAGTGGTGCTGGACCCGCCGGGTCGGCACCGACAAACCCGGGATCTTCGAATGGAAGAATTAGTCTCCGTTCTCACATGGGATGGGAGCCGATTACCCAAAACGGACAGCCGTATCCCAGCCACGACAATCGAAATGTGTCGAGCCACAAGGTTGGGCCGGCGGTGACAAGTGACGCGCTCGACTGTGATATCGCTAATGATATCTTCGTATTCGATCGCAATGTGCTCGGCACCCTTGAACGTCCTAGCGGCTGTGACAAAGCTCAAGCCATCGACATCTTCCGAGACAAGGACAACAAGCGAGCGCAGGAGGGCCGAAGACTGAACAAGAAGGACATGGTTCTATTGCGCCCCAAGAACGTGGCATTGAATGTCAACGACATCGGTTCCGTTTTGATCTATCTCGACTTGCTGGTACGAGCACGCCAAGACCCAGGCTTCACACGCGATCTAGAAAATCGAACCGTGACGTTCTTCTCCGGACCCGAGTCGTGTAATCACGAAGATTGCCTTCCCCTGCGAGAGGCAATTGCTTCGGGCAATCGCATCCACGGGGCCAAGAAGATCCTGGGACATCCTTGGTGGAGTTTTGGCGACTTTTGCCTGCGCGACCCGGCGACCCACATCACGCTCAGGGACTCGGTGCACAACGACGATGAGATGAGCGGCCCCTCGCTCCCCGCCAACGTGCGCATGGACCCCGAGGAAGAGCGCCAGATCCGAACATGGTACCACGCGCTGCTCAACCACTTCCCCAGCGGCACGACTGGCACGGGCGAGGAAGCCGTGCCTTACTCGCAATTCTCGGTTCTCAACTGGAAGGGCAAGTTCTCTCATCTTGTGGACCAAGTCAACGCCTGCGTCGACATCGAGCGCGCTACGGGAGACAGGGACTTGTTTACCACGTTTATTGACCCGGTGGTGCTCGAATGCGTTCTGTGCGGTCAACCTGGCTTTGCCTTAAAGCACTACACTAATTCACCACTTCCGAAGAATGCAGAGACCGGACTTATGTACCTACACTATATGGACTGCGGCGGGGAGCACCTCGAAAAGTGTGACGAGCAGGGAAAAGGCAAGGGCAAAGAGAAGGAGGCTCCGATCGATCCCCAGGGTGCTGGTACTGATGCTGGTGCTGATGTTGGTGCTGATGTTGGTGCTATTGCTAGTACTAGTGCTAGTGCTAATACTTCCGCCGATGTTGGTGCTGGAGCTGGAGATGAGAACGGCGTCGACAATGCCATTGGCAATGGTGATTGGAATGGCGGCGGTTGGAATGGCGGTGATTGGAATGGCGGCGGTTGGAATGACGGCGATTGGAATGGCGGTGATGGCAACGGCGGTGGTGATTATCAGGGTTATGGTTTTGATGACGATGCCGATTTCTATTCGTGTTAGGAATACCATACTACGACTAATACGGCTCATTTCGGAGACTTATCATCGGCACGCTCTGAATATCCACAAATGGTAACACCGCGCGGCAACACCTTTTTTCGGGTGTGGAACCAAGATCAAGGAATTATAGGGGAGGAAGGCTAACGAGGCTATGAAGAACGGAGGTGCGGTTGATGCTTCGGTTGCTATTGCTGTACTATGGATTTGGCACGCTATGGAAGGCCACAGGGAATTAATCGCAACTCTTTCTATGGATATTATCAATGGATAAAGTGACATGTTTCTCGATCGTAGGTTCCGATTCCTAATAAGTCAGCTAGAGGTCGACTGACACTTCAGACTCTACAACAAGATGCAACTGCTAAGCATAGAGATAAATACGTAGGTAAATTCTTAGAGACTTGCCTAAGGTAAACAATTAAATTCAGGTCTAGAATATATACTCTGCCATATAATAAAGGTTGCACACGGGACATCTAAGGCCATACATTAGCCACTGCACCTGCCTTTGATCCGGAGGTCTTAGTCGGACCTGGACCGGTAACCGGCCCCACTTACGCCGGACACTAACAACCCCCCCCTTTCCCGAAAGGGCAATAACACTCAATTTAGTTACGGCTCTCCCCGAAAAAAATAGCTCACATCTCATTTCCCTTTACCAGAGCTAGTCGCATATTTCTTCAAGAAAGCATTGTACCTCTCGTAAAAGACCGGCGTGCTAGGATGGGTCATGATGACAGCAGGGAAACAATGGGGTACGCCTTTGTAACCATATATCTCGACTTCCACACCCTCGGCCTCGAGGGCCTCGGCGTACGCGAAAGCGTCGTCTCGGTAGATATCAACACCGGCACATTGTATCACTAGAAGAGGACCAACGGTTAGTCATGTATGGAACAAACAGAGAAAAAGTGGGGTCGAGAAAAGGGGTAAGCGAGGGTGTCCTTACATGCTGGTGGAAGATTCGCGTGTGACGCCGCAAGTAGGGGCGAGTGTCTGTGGTCGGGATTGGCATTGGGATTGTATGCGTCGAGGAAAGCTTCATTTCTGAGGATGTCTAGGACGCAGTTGAAAGCGTTCTGGATGTAGCTACCGAACTCATACTTCTCTCGGGGAAAGAACTTGGGATGGCAAAGTGACGGGAAATGGAGAACTTGAGCGATGATTCCGGTGATTCCATCGTCTCTAGCCATGATAGCTAGAGCGGCAGCCTGGTATCAATGTCAGTATAACACTCGGTATAGCCCCTATTATAAACCTTACAAGATTGGCTCCGGCACTGCTTCCGGCAACGATAATCTTCTCCGGGTTGATTCCAAGGGTTTTCGCGTTCTTCTTACACTACAATCAAGAGTTAGCCAAAGGAATATTTAGATCTGTCTTGGATAGGTCGGCGAGCATACCCATAACAAGCCATCATAGCAATCATTGCCCGGGGTTGGAAAGGGGAACTCAGGGGCTCTTTTTGATGTTAGCTAGGTTTCAGAGACCAACTCCCAATTACTCACAGTCGATATGCAACACTCGCGACAACGATGTTTGGATTCGTGGCAGCATAGATATTCTCCGCGCCGTCTATCTCATGTCCTCCAACCACATGGCCTAAATAGAATGTTAGCGCTCAAATCAGCGAAAAAGGGGTCTGTGTCCAGTTTTCCATACCACCGCCATGCATACGATAAACCAGCGTAGCACCCTGAAAAACATTTGGAGATTTGTAAATTTTCAGCTCGATCATATGGCCGTCCCGCGCGGGGAACTGTAGCAGCTCAGTCGTGACTTCGCGATATCTATCGGGCCCGCCAGGAGGCATCGGGGCATCGGCGTCGCCCGCCGCTTGGCGAAGCGCCACGAAATCGGGTAGTGCCCAGAGTTGGTCGTAAGCGGCCGCGATGGCAGGCTCGGCTGCAACGAACTCGGGCGTTTTCTCTGAGAGGTGGCCATGCTTGGGGAGAGGCTTGAAGTCGACGTCGAGGTCAACGTATTCGGGCTTGTCCTTGAGAAGCACCATGGTAGAAAGTTCTTGGCGCGTGTGAATTGAGAATATCGATGATTTCGAGCTTCTCTTGGGCTCGATAGGCTCGACGGGACTTCTTAAAGCATTCTTTGCACCCCACTGAATACTTCCATGGACAAAATGATGCTGTCCTTAATCATCTGGTGATAAAAAACGATTCCGCAGACATGCGCTCAACTTGAGGCGAAGCAGCCGGTCACCCCGCAGTGGATGTAAGGGACTTTCTCTTTCATACCAACACCCAGAAAGCGTCCCTAACCCTCCCCGGTTCATCTCATTCTGAATCATTTTTACTCCCTTTTCTAGGACTTGATGATAAAACGGAAGTATTTGCGTGCTTACCTACCTCCCTACTCATCGCAATATCGATATGTCAGCAATTGAGATTTGCTCAGCCCCTTGAAGCTGAATGCCTCCGCCATCCCATCATGATGAATCATAATGGCGCTAACCGTTTTCATTGAAATGCAGTACCTTCCCGGCTTGGCGCGGCGGGCTACCGGCACTGAGGGATCTGGTTAGGAAGGATGGGTTCCGGGATGTGGATCATAGGCCAGGTACGTTTGGTGAGTTGTACAGATACGGTCGGTTCACTGGGATTCGATTCGTGAAGTAGAGCGCATGCTCCCAGAACCGACCGACGAGGAGATGATTTACGCTACACCCACGACCCCGGCGATTCGCGTGGTAAAAGGAGGATAGGGGGCCGCGGTTGGGTATAGATAAAAGGGAACTTGTAACATTATATATGTGAAGTAGCATAAAGTCTAGAGTTGTTCATGTATGTAGTTATCGTGTTTCATAACATCCCTACAATAATGACATTCACAAGTTGATTATATCATCAGCACTTCAGAAATAGCTTAGTTTTACGAGGATTGATTCAGCTCTAGCGCAATATCAAGGCAACAGCAAACCTGAGCCATTGCAAATGTACCTATGACAAAGTCTATAACGCATTCCGTGAGCCGTTAAAGATGCAGACGATTCCTATGTTCCCCTAATCCCTGGTGTCCCCTTCCTCAGCAAAATTGATTTCCTGTGATGCAACCTCCTACGAGTCCTCTTCGATAAATTCGATCATCACCGTTCCTTGTTTCAACCCCGCCTCCTCGATGCTCTTCCCGAGCTCCCCAATTAGGTCTCCACCAGGTATAGCCTTAAGCTCGAATGGAACGCCCTCCTTACCCTCGAGGGGCTCGGCCTTGAGCCACTCGTAGATACGGCGGACGGGGTCTGTGATAGAGAATCGACGGATTATGCGACCGCCAGCGTGTCGGAATTGTATTCTAGTCGTAGTCGCTGGGTTATGGTCAGGTTCCACGTGAGGGTTGGTTGATGATATTTGAGCGAATGCTGATCCAGCCGCATCTTCTGTTTGAGCTGCGCCACCGGCCAGGTCAGCGGGCTCTTCGACGGCCTTGCCCTTGCCTTTTCCAATGTCTGGATTTGACTTCGTAAGAGCATCTGGGTCCAGAACACTGGGTCCCGATGGGCCTCCATCTTCGTCGAGACTGTTTTTAAGAGCCATCTCAAGCATCTCTTCTTCAGTCATGCGGCCAATATCCTTGGGCTTTGCCTTCGGTTTCGTCTTGACTACAGGATTCTTGCTATTGGCCTCTAAGCTGTAGCGGTCGAGAAATTCAACTAAGTCTTGGTGGAACTCTCCTGGAGAAGGGAACGAGTCTCCTGACCACACCTTGACCTGTTCTCCGGTACGAGGATCGATGATCGAAACATGCGGGTAGTTATTCTCGTCTTCGTGGGCCTGGTTGTGGAAATAGAATGTCGTGTACGACTGGGATAAGGGGTCGTCTAGGGTGTATTGTAAGAAGATGAAGTGCTCGCGCACTAAGGAGACGATGTTCTCGTTCTTCCAGTGGTCTCGGTTTAAAATCTGACATCTGAAGTCGTCCAGCTTCTGGAGGTTCACGAGGATCCATTTCTTCTCTTCTTTCCCTACATCTCTTGCGGCATCCAATGGCATACGACTAATCAGGCCAGTTGGGGGTGCAAATAGATCTCGTAATCTTCGCGTTGTGCTGTCTGGAGCGCCCGTGGCTGCCGGGAATCGTGATCTTGGGCTTGCGCTTGCGCCTGTGCCGTCCTCGACGTCGAACCAGTCGACCGATGACTGGTTGAAAGGATTTGTACTTCCACCTACAGAGCAATGTTAGTGATGCCTGTACGGCGAGTAGTATAAGTGATATTATTTACCCTGTGCTCGTTGTCGTCGTCGCAGTTGTTCCATTACAGCAGCTTCTCGGTCGTCATCTAAACCCCAGGATGGGTCGGGCGCAGCGAGAGTCTCTGTCGTTTGCGCGATAGGAGCTCGCACTCCGTCCCCTCCAGCCGTATGATTCTCGGAATACATCTCCTCTTGTAATCGTCTCGCCATAGCTGCATCCTCTTCCTCTTGTGCGTTTCTTGCTATGGCCGCGACATCGTCATCGTCATCAAAGTCGTTATCACCCATCTGAACATCATCGTCGTCATCAGAATCTATGTGAATGACGCCTCGGGAATCTTCGCGACCGGTGAAACTTTGACTTGATGTTGTGGCGGCGGGTGGCTGTCTCGTCGGGGCAGAGGTGGAAGCAGCTGGCGCGTTGAAGCTTGCCTCTAGTTCGGGATTCTCAAAAAAGAGTTGAATAGCTTGCATCGGGTCGCCACCGGATATCTCGAGGTAGCCGCGAGCTACATGCTCGGCTGCGACGCCGGTTATGTTCATAAACTGCTCTACCTCCTCGTCCATCTTGGGAGCGCAGCGAAACTTGACTCGTCTAGAGAAAAAGAAAGTTGGTACGGGAAGGATTAAATCGATCGTATTTTATTCGCCGTCCGGTAGAGATTGATGCGTAATAATATTAGGTTGCGATCGCGATGTCGGGTTACTGTTAAGGCGTAGAGGTGAATGAATGGAAACGAACGAACGAACGAGCTCGAAGTTGACAATGGCTCGGCCTAAGTAATTCGCCCGAAGTCTGCCTCTAATGAAAACGGAAATCGTATAACGGTCTAGCTTTTCCGGGAAAAACGCCTGAATACCTGTGGCGGTCGAGGTAAACGGAATGATGAAGTCGTTAGGTTAGTTTGATAGTGCAGAATGAGTGCTGCTGGATAACTGTGGATGACTTTGGAAATCGTTCAGAGGCGGCTACGTTGTGACGCAACACAATCTTGTGGGGCCGAACGCCGATAGGTAGATAGGGCTGATAAGTAGCGAAAATAGTGGATACAAGCCTTATCTTTTTGCCGGTAAATCTCCGTCGCTCTTACCATCAGCGCTTTGCTAACGTAAGCAGAAAAGGGGGATGTATGAAGTTGAATAGAATCAAGCTTTAAATAAATCCTTCAGAAGTTTAGATTTAATTAGAAAACTTGGATTCAAGGATACGGAAGTTTCGCATATAACTACGCAGGTAGATGCGTAGGAACTGCTATATTGATTACTGACTACATATGGAGATCTATGGCGGCAAACACGAAGTTTGTACCTACATAGGAGACCTCTATCATCCTTGAATAACGCAGTTATTCCACTGTTCACGGAATCGATGATTGTATATTTATGAAACAATACAATCATTCCCAAACGCCAATTCTTCGCAATGTTTCCTTCACCAAATCAGGCTGCCAGCTGTTGAGCGACCTGGCCCAAAAGCTTCTGCACGTCTATAGACCGATCTGCCTCCGCCATTGCCTTCAGCTTCTGTTCTATCTCTTCGCGTAACGAACCCTGTTCGCTAGTTGACCCAAAGACGCCTTTCTTCCACGCCTTTACGAACGCATCCAGCGCCTTGGCCCTGCTTGAACGCTGGCTCTCAAGAGCAACGTCACTCTCATTTGCCACCAAGAGTCGGAACCAGCGAGTAGCTACCACTGCGGCTGTTGAATCGGGAGAACCTTCCGATGCAGCTGCTTGGTTCATGATTTCGGTTATGCTGATAAACCATGCATCCTTAGCTAGCGAAATTGCCTGTCTTGCCCCTTCCATTGTAGTAACCACGTCTCCCAATACCGAAGTTGGGGTAGATCGCATCTTCTGGCGGTTATAAGCTGTCATAGCAGCTTTGAGTGCTGCTTCGGCCGTCCTTCGCTCCAACTCGGTGACTTTGTGTGCTTCGTCGTCAGGTTTCAAGTATTCCGACACCAGGCCGACTACCTCCGCATACATATCCAAGTCCTCCCGGGCGCTAGCGAACTCCGCGAGTGCCTCAAATGCATAGGGTCGGTATTCGTCGTTGTTCCGCTTTGCCTCGCGTATGGCTATCTTCTTCAGCTGAGCAGCGAAGACAGAATCCGTGTCCCAGAGCTTCTTGCCGTGAAGCACGAAGAGGGGATACGCTGTCACCAGCTTCTCTTTCCCCTTGAATGTCTTGAGCGCTAGAGCCTTATCTAGCACAGGCCAAATCTTTTGCAAATCCGCGTCCGTGAACTGTAGGTATTTTCCGACAGCACTGCTGAGAGCAGTGATCATGGATGCGATTGTCAAGGCGGCACCATGTTGGAGAGCCCACTTCGACGTATTCAAGCCCCGGGACACGATCTGCGTGATCTCATCAACAAAGCGCTTTACACTATGGCTCCCACCCGCGTGTTGACTCCAGGTGGCCTCAAACTCCTCCGAGACGTATTCATCGGTGTCATGCTTGGCAAAGTATGCAAAGGGCAGGAGACGAGCCTCCAGGTCGGTAAATGCATCTGGCGAAATTTTAGCAATGGCCAAGACTGCATCCGCAATTTTCTGGCGCCTGGTATCGTCCTCGGACTCGAAGTACAAGTCCAAGAGTCTAGAAGTAAACCGTTCTCGGGCCTCTACACTCGCAGATCTTAGTAAGTATGCGGCGCTTCTCGCATAGGCTTTGCTGGTTTCATGATTCCGGTCCAGAATCTGCATTTCCATCGCCTTAAGAAACGTTGCATTGTACGGCGGTAGGAGAATGCTGTGCCGTAGGGCTAAGGTGTTGAGAACTTCACTGCAGCCAATCTTCGTCTGCATCCCAATAGCAGATTTTATGGTCGATATCAATTGCGGAGCTAATTCCTTCATGACGTCTTCGTCGACGAACCGCAAACAGTCGATGACACATTCGAAAATGGGCGATCGTGTAGCAAAAGTACTTCGTAACTTATCGAGGCCTTCACGGTCTTCCTCGCTGACTCGTTGGTAGTAGTAATTGACCGCTTCATGTTCCACGGTGCTCAGCAGCCCAAGGCAATGTGTAATGATAGTTGGAATAAAGGGCTTCAGTGCATCACCACCATTCTTTACGACGTCAAGAACTGTAATGATCGACAATTGCTTCACTTCTTTGGCCGAATTTTCTATTCCCTTGTCGGACAACAGGAATGGGACAACTTGGGTAATCATGGCCTTAGAAGAAGAGGAAGCGTTATTTTCTTGGAGTTGCGTGACAAGTGTTTTCGACAAGCCCATGCATAACTTGAGCGCAGCCGCTCGGACCGAACCTTTCTGGTCGTCTAGGACTCGTAACGTCGATCTCCAGATTTCCGTGTAGTATTTTTCGTACTTGGGAAATGGCTGGCCGTAAATGAGTTCAGCAATCGCCGCGCAGCTTGCCTCTCGTACCCGCCACTCTCTTCCGTCTAATATGCTCTTCAACAGGTCGTTCATGATCGCATCAAAGTGTGTGTCGATCACGACCGTTTGGTCCTTAACGACCGCCTTCCAAATGTCGTCCATCGACCTTCGCACGTTTGAATTCGGATCAAACCGATATCGATATAGCTTTGGATAGATCTTGGGGTCCAATTCTGCATCTGATAGGATAGTGCTCAAACCAAACCGGCCGAATGCCGAACGAGCAGTCCAGGTTGCGGCGTTCGTAGCCAAAGCCATGAATTTGTAGATGAGACTTTGATCCCCAACTTCGTTAGCAAGGCTAATGATATCTTTATACGACGTGATGGATTTGCCTTCGCCGGTTGGTAGGGCGCCGGCATCGAAAAGCTCGGTGTCCTCGTCAACTTTGAGATGTGTTTTAGTTCCGGTGAAGCTTGCTACCAAGTCCTTAACAAGGTCACCTTTCAGCGACTCGTCACCTTTTTCATACACTAACCCAAGGCCACGCGACGCAGTCTCCTGTACCAATTCATCACGGGCAGTAAGCAGTCGCATGAAAGCAACTTGGCACTCGCGTAAACGAGATTGGATTTCAGGTAGATTTGAGCAGTATTGAATGACGCAGAAAAGCCATATGCCAGAAGCCTTCAAAAGTGAAGGCTTAGTAGTCTTGCAGTCGCTAATGAGTTTGTTGATCGTGGCATCAATTCTAGAAGGGCGCTTGCCCAGAGCCTCGATAATGTCGGATTGGCCAGTTCCTGAGGGTTCCACATCTAGACCAAGTTGTACAGCCTCAGAATCCCAACGGGAAATCGCACAAGCAATTGCTTCACCGGTCGCAAAGTGAACTTCTGTCCTCTTAATATCTGATAGCGCGAATAACTTGTCCAAGATCTTTGCTACCGGTTCTGTCTCACTTCCCGATGAATCAGCTGAAGAAGGGATCGCTAACCTTCCTAGAGCGGTGATTGCTTTCTCATTACCCGAAATGGCAAGTTTTGCGAGTGAGTCTAGGGTTTTACTCAATTCACCATCATTGAGAGGAAAATGGACGCTTGCAGTCCAGAGTTGGGAGATGGAGTCAAGAGCGGCGGTCTTGATATCCGTGCTCCCATTTTGCAATGCAGACATGACACTCTCATAGAGGAATTGAGCATGCTCGGATACATCTTGAGGCTGAACTTTACCATAGTAAGCAGCTCGAGAAAAGTAGCTGCCCAAGCAAGCAAGCGAGCCTTGATATTCTGCAGATTGAGAAGCCGATGGTTCTTGGTTAGACTCAACGAAGTTTCGTAACTGAGAAATAAGAATGGCAGACTCGTTGCTCCATGGTGCGAGTATACCAAAAGCTTTGGAAGCCAATTGTCTAACCTTCTGGTTATTTGACTTGAGTAAGGGAATTAATTCTCGCGTCCTCGTGGATAGGGGTGATATGACGGGTAAAGGAGCGAATGTCAATATCTCTGCAATACACCTAACGCTCTCCTCAGAGCCGACATCTGGGTGATCTCGAAGCCCATCAAGGGCTGCGTTAAGGACTGTTAGAAGAGACTCTGGGTTCACGCTTGCGAAATACTTTCTGATACTGCCACGGGTGGTTAGATTGTTTTCGACATTTCGTTCTAGTTGGGATTCCCAGTCCACTTCGAATTTATCCTCGTTTAATGCGGTAAGGAAAAGGATTTGCTTGACGAAACGTATCGCTATTGGAAAAGCTTGGAGATGGTTATCGGGGAATAGAGTGTACTTGGATGTCTGGTCAACGTCCATACGATTCTCGTCTTCTTCATGTTTAACATCGAAGAGTAGATCTACCAATCTTACCCAGTCAGGTAAGATTAGCGCATCATCGGGGTGTAGTTTAGTAGCCCACCAAGGATCGAGTCCTCGTTGTCCCTCTTCCAGCACATCGCGTCGTTCAGAAGATCCACCGCCTAGTGCTAGAATATCGATCCATCGAGCCTGAATATTGCTGTAAGGAAGGCTATTATTCGCAAAGCGTGCCGCTATATGTCGTGCAGTCCTTCTGCCTTGTCTTTCTGACAGGGTCATATACTCTAGAAGTAGTAATTCCAGGTCACGGGTTTCCGCCGAGTTGGTTGGTTTGAAGAGACCCATCATGCTAGACAAGGCGCTCTCGATGTAGACTACGATGTCGGGGCTCGGATCGGAAACAAGAGAGTCGAAAAGCCATTTTAAAAGTGAGTCTTTCGCCTTGTGTTCGAAGCGACTACCCCTAGCTAGAATACCAATAGTTTCGTACGCATTGGCCCGTAGCTTCAGCTCATCCTGGATCTGAGACTGATTTCCCTGGGGCGTAGGTTCCGGCCATCCTTGTCTTAGAATGTAGTCCTTTAGAATAAGGACGAGAGAAGGGCCCATGCCGTGGCTATCATTAGTAGAGGTAGAACTGTTTCTAGCAATCCAGCCTAAAAATGCCAATAATGCCTTATTCAAGCGCAACGCTTCGAGGCCGAGGACGGAAGCATTATCACCAGATCCAAGATCGAAATCTTGCTTCACAGCCTCCACTACATCCTCACTGAAGCTACAGGCAATGACCGATTTCGAAAGTAGCCTAAGGATTTGTATCCGATGAGCAGCTGGAAAGCTCTTATGTGCGTTATATAGAACCCTGACCACGCTTCTATTTTCGAGATCAACGTTTGACCGCTTCAGAGCATCATCGGCGATTGACGTAATTCGTGAATCTGCGGAACCAGCAGCGCAGATTGCTGGAATATGTCGTTCGGAGTCTGTAAATGCTCCACTGGCTAAGAAACTGACAGCCTTCAGTTTGCACTCGGGTAAACTTAGGCTAGATGGGCTACCTGGATGCCAGGCCTGGGGATTTTTGTTTCTTAGGAAAGTGACATCCTCCATGGAGAGGCCGGAGGGTAAAGCTCGTAGCTTTCCGTCAAGCTCTTCCTCTTTTGCTAAGGCCAAGTCCTGTCTCAGGAGAAAGAGCTTGCCGAGCCATTGCGCTATGTAGCCAGCATCTGCGGGGTCTGATAGACCCGTTTGCTCTCGAAGCGCATTATCCTCGTTGCTACCTCGACCAGGTATCTTAATATCTAGAAGCAAACGCAGGAAAATGTTAAAGAATCCGGCCGCACTAGCCGGGTTAGTTTCCTTTGAGATCCCTCGAAGGACAATCGGTAGAAGTTCTCGTCGTTTGGGTTGATCAAGTCTTAGGATGCCCTGCTTGATAAGACTCAGATCTAATTGCTTGACCATGGGCGAACTGGTCTTTTTGTATTGGTCTACAAGAGCAGCAACGGGCAGCACAACGCTGGTTTTGAGGTTAGCCAGAATCTGCGTCATCCATTAGAAGTGACACGTACCCCACGGGTTTAATGAAGTTATTGACGCTGATGAATGCCTGGAAGGTCTGTATGTTCAATTTAGTACTGCCTCAAGACTTCACACGAAGATGGGATTCGTACAGCATCTCGGACAGCCTTGTACTGACTACCAGCTTTACCGAGAAGGGGAGCAAGCTGAGAATTTAGTGCGTCGCTCAATTTCTTCTCATCTCCGGATACACTGGCAAATTTGTAGCGAATAGATGATACGAACTTGAGCTCTGCCCCTTCATTAGATGAAGCCATGGATGATATTGTAGCCCACCAAGGGCGAGATGAAGCTCTCGAGTGCACAGAATATGTGTCGCGTTAACGAAAAACCAATGCGCAAGTAACCCGAAGTTGACGATTCTAGTAGTGTACTTCGTGAATAAATCGATTATTAGCTAAGCAGCTAGGAATGCTTTTCGTGAATATTCTGAACGGTCTTTTTAAGTGAGAAATAAACGCCGGGCAGGGTACAGATTCATACCCTCAATTTCCTCAAAACTTCTAAGGACGTATGAAATAAAACGATCGCATCAGAGTCATCTAAAGCCGACGTATGCGTGACTTTTTAACGTATTCCTATTCCCATAATGCTTTTAGCCAGCAAGATGCGCACGTCAACACATCAATCACCTGGCAACGAGTAGAAACATGAAGAAGGCGGCGGTCGGTACAAATCCAATTCTCCCAATACATAATCATATTGCACAGCCACATGTGGCTGATCATCGCACGTCAGACTCGTCGCCTAACGAGGCAGCTGCGAGGTTACCTTGCTTACGTACGCCACTGTTCAATATTAATTCTTATCGAGGACAGGTTGAATTGTCTACCGTTGAATGCTACTACAACCTGTCCGATATATTAATGCGTAGGTTTAGATTAGTGAGCTTGTCGAGGGTAGAATCAGCTACAATTTCCCAGAGATATACGCAAGGCGCATTCCTCAAGAAATACCAGCTATTGTCTCAGAGGCGGCATGTTCAAGAAATGAAAATGAGGCATCGAACGAAACATTGACAGTGGAGAAAATCCCGTTATTGGTGAAGGTGGAGTCCGCAGCTTGTTGTTGCTCCTAGACGACAATTCGACTTTGATATATCAAGACTCAATGGCTATTACTACATATTGGACACCTTACTTACTCATATCTCGAGCTAAAGGAGCCCTTGACGGCGCTGGAAGTAACTCTGTCACTGCATACCAAGGGTCAACCTGCATGTTCTTCCTCGATATCTCCGTGGCGAAATCTATTAATAAATGCGGTCGCGCATGCGGCCATTAAGGTTATAGAACCGGAACGGTACCGAGTTCGGCTTGAATCTTTGTCGGGTATGCGTCACACTTGATGACAGAATCTAGTGATCGCGGTCCCGTGTTCTAGAAGAGCCCACACTGCCGAGTCGGTTGATTGATAGGCCTTCATCCTTCATCAAAGCTACACACTAGCAACCAACCAATCAGTCAACATAAATCCCTTCGGCAGGTCATGCACATGATAAACTCTGCTAACCGACAAAGTTAGCGGTAATCCCCAAACACGAGTAATATCTAGCTTACTATGATTGGGTACGATTCTCATGATCGAGATAAAGTCTGGCTAGGTGTTGCCAAAGTGCCTACGATGCGCGACATAGTCGCAGGGACTTGAATCTGCCTTAAGCGGATGGATGAATTGCTAATCCTCTAGCACGATTCAGTAAACTCGTGCATTAGGAGCTGGCTAGATGGCGAAGACAAAGCCCGGAAGGCCGGAAGATCCATCAAACACAAACCTGGCCGGGTCCCGCCAATTTTGACCTTAGCGCAACGACACTCCTCACCACACGCACAAATACGCTTTGAGCAACCGGATATATCGTCGGCATTTGAAAGTTTTAGGCAATGTTCAGGTGCATTCTAAGGTTATGCTTCTAGGCTCGTACCGTGCCTGAATTCCTGATGGTCAAATAATGCAGTGAGACTTGCAGTGATGAGCACCTTGTGTTCGAGAAAACCTGGACTTCTCAGTCTGTAGAAGTGAGGTTAGGTAGGGAACACGAAGAAAAATTCAGATCTTGTGCCTTGCAGCTTGAATAATCTTGTACTGTGTGTATATACATATCTAGTATGGCTGAAACAGAGGGGTCTATGTGTATGAAGGATCCTGCACGGTGCTTTTTTTCTATAAAAATTTGATTCTTGATCCAGACTGCGGGCCAAATGGTTAGTCGCATGCGCGTAATTGCTGGCAGGCCATAGAATCAACAAGGAGGTTATAGAAAAAAAAAGTTTGCTAGTAAACGAAACGGATAGATAGGGAAACCCCCTTGCTTGCCTGTAACTTGGTAGTTACTCGGATAAGTCGCGTACGACATTCACTTTGACCCCAAGACGACGCGACCTAAGACACCCCTGGTCAATTTTTGCGCCATCGATCTTAGACATATATCAGATACGTTATTGTCGAGAAGATTGGGCAATGCGTCCTCGATATATCGAATATTTATACGTGTCAAGTTCTCGACGCTTGAAGCGCAAGTACACACAATATCATCATATCTCAAGCGCCGCCAAGTGTGCCATTCACCGTACGAGAAATACTGTACGTACATAGCCTCCGTCATTTGATGCTTGTCATTTTTGCAATCTGCAAATAGCGCCACCAACCAGACAGGGGTCGTGCAGATCGTCGCATTTCCCGGGGTGAGAGCTATTTTCTGATTCGAGATCGGGTCCCAGATTTTTTGGCCTTCCCCCCTCGTACACACGTGCTGTTACGCCGTCTCACAACCAATCTCACCTCGTTTGCGGTAGTGTCCGAACACTGATACATACATGGTTGTTTAGAGGCTGGCTTTCAGACTCCAATTAAGTTGTCACTAGCAGATGTCAAAGAGAAAAACTGTCTTATTCTCTATCAGAATACTTCTCAAATTCGTTTAAGCTTCAATGAGCAACGAATGGTTAGAGCGGTTTTTTCTTATTGAGCAAAGGAGGCTTACTAGTTATTGACCTCGCCAGTCAAACATGGTTGCTCAAGATTACCTCGGGTGCAACTAGCAAACGTACAAGATCCGAATTAAGACAGCTAGCCGGTTACATGGCTGCATGGATAGCTGGAAGAGAAATTGGGCGTTATTTAGTTCTAAAGAAACGCGTTTCAAAACGAGACCTGCGGAACGACCTCGAATTATCGATCCCTGACGGACGGGGTGGTTGCAGCAAGCTTTTCTTCATGAATAAACACGGAGAAACGTCCAAGAAGCAAACAGGATACCCAGGTAAACTGTCGTATTCCTCAACGGCATTAAGCCATGCATTGGCCGAGATCGATATTGGATGTAGAAATCCTTGTAAGCATTTAGTTACCGAAGCTTTTGCTTTTTTCTTTATTAAGAAACAATATGGTCAAACTTGGAAGCGAATATTTGAATGCCTTGGGATTTACCTTGGTATACCTAAGCAACGTTTATAACCCTACTTAGGTATACACACATCTTATGGACTTGGAACATTGAGCGGCATGATATGCGATAGTAAGAACTTGGCAGTATGAGGGTTCTCATTTGCGCTGACGTTGCTACATATGTAAATGTTAAACTTTCTAATTGAGATGAGCTGACATCTTACGTTGAATTGTACCATGCGAGCAATGTTTGTGGCTTGAATAGAACTAGCCTCACATTCACTGGCATATAGATCCGGCTTCAGGTGAGGTCTCACAAATATTCATTGCTTTCGAACTAGGTAATTTTCAATGTTTCTCTTTCTTATTCTTTGAGCGCACGTACTCGACAACAAATAAATGAAGCATGCGTTGGTTCCCAATGCGATGGGCATTTCGAATGAAGCCAGTAAAGGTTACGGCGGTTACATATAGACGACCTACATATATGTATATTCAATATTATATTAAGATACAATAGTACTTGACACATTCGTACATGCCAGATTCCGTTCCGTCAGCTTCGATGTACTTCGCTGTACTATTACGTATGCGAGTAGGGCTTTCCCTGAGTGGTGGGGCGCTGACCTCACCTGCATGTACCTTAACGATACATCTAAAATTGTACTATGATCGGAAGCTTGAGGTCATACATCCAACAACAGTCAGGCACGGTACATGCTTGAATCCCTCGGCTCACGCCTGCCTAGAAATTTTTACATGGTGGAACATCCATTCAAAGTAACATTAGAAAACTTTACATATGTCAACTTGAGCAATGGGAACATTGAAGCGCATACATTCGTCGTTTTGTTGTCCGTATGCTTCGAACCAGTAGAACCGATTGTATTGCTCATACGTAGGTTGCATGTCATGTTGAAAAAAATAATTCGACGCTGAGAAGCAATTACGTACATGAGTGGCTCACGGATGCCGTACAGTACGTCTTAGATCTTACTGGTTAAACTGGCCTGACTGGTTGCCTGGGTAGATGAGTTCGTGGCGCCGTCTCTCAGTAATTTTTTAGTTGCATCTGCTAAATATTAGTAGCCCGTTCACGTTATTAGCGGCACCCACAGAAGAGGGCTTTTTTCCAATTTTTTTTTTAAAGTTTGAAATCGCAGGTGCGGCCTGGGTTCTTGTCAGCTCCACTCTGGGCACACTGATTTCGTTGGAGACTCCTTCCTTCCTCCACCCCAAGGGCCCCAACCTAAGCACCAAGTTCCCAAATTCCACCTTTTTTTCCACTCACACACATATCCACACTACGCGCAAACCAAACCAGCACTATCGTTGTCTGCTTTTGTGTTTCTTGCTTGCTGTTTTAATTCTCCTTCTCTCTTCTCTCTCTCGCTCTATCTCTCACTCTCCACACTGACACTCTCTTTTTTCCTTCTCTTCCTCTCTTCTCTCCAAACCCTAATTAACGTCGCGAGCTCAATCCTTCATCTTGCCTGCTACGCGAATCTGTTGGTTGCGTGCCTTTTACCCCAAAAAGCGTTTTCTCTGTGCGCGCGGCCTGCTCGGTATCTCATCATACACTTCGTCTATCGCATCGTCGCAACGGTCCGAGTGCGGGTTTTATTTCCCAGTTATCACGGTTCCCCCAATTATTGTTGCGGCGCAATTCGAGCTCTAGGAGTCTAAAAAAAGGAAAATAATCCTGTCATTTTTTCACGAGAAAAAGACATTACCCGGTGCCCTCGGATCTTGCTGGAGTTCGCGAAGGCGCTACATATCTACTGCTTTACTCGGAACCAAAAAAGTCTCGTTCGGTGTCTAAAAGTAAGTTCACCTTTTCTTCTTTGTGACTTTTTGCACTTTCGTGCTCTTCAGCATTCGAACTACCCCCCCAAATCTATGGATATCCTGGAAGTATTTCGATGTACAGGGTCTGCAGCCTGGAGATGCCACTCTTTGGTGGGCTGTTCGGCCGTGAGAAATGGATGGATGGGTCCGCACTGCACACCTTTGCTACAGCGACTCGATTGACCCTCGGATCCTTCATCCTCGAACCGAAGCTGCGTCATCGAGCCCAAACTTTCCCTAGACAAACAGGAAACACCAAATTAGATCTTCGTGACAACGAAAAGAATGTTAGTGTCATTGAGGAGCCCGTTGAGTATTGCGGTACGGGTTTTAAGTGCCCAATGCCCCGCATTGCACAGCATCTAGCTCTGCGCGCAAAGCCTCGATCGACTCGAGCTCTAGAAAATCCTCGGCGATCAGCCCCACCTCTCCCGCCAGGCGCCAGGCCACCTTTCAACCCTTTAACGACGGCTACGACCTTCTCGCTTTGTACGGATTTTCTTAAGTGACATTGTCGCCGAGGACGGGAAACGTTTGCGACACTATTGCGATTGCATGGAAACAATATGCCCGTATGAAATCGTTCTTGTCGTCATTCTTTTCTCGAATTCCAGTCTGCGCCTAGTTATCTCGCGTCATCCCAACGCAACTTGGAGTCTCCTCGCACTTAATCGCGGAGTATCGATAGCTTAAATAAACAACTTATTCCTACCAACCGCATCGTCGATTCATCCGTACCAATATACGTTATTGAAGCCACGTCGCATTTCACAGGTGGATATAGAGACACCTAGGGCCCGGCCGGAGGAAACGACCTAAGCTGATGCTTGCTCTCACGGACGAGTACATGTCAGATAGGGAATAATGCTTATGCCGAGAGCCAATCCTGCTGCTGCTGCAGCAAGCAAATTCCCCAAAGCTGCAAACATTCGAATCTCGAGTCGTCCTTCCGTACGTTTCGCGCTCGATACCGCCGGGGCTTTGCATCATATGATATACGCCTTGCGGAATAGACGCATGAGGGACACCGTGTTTCCGGACATGTCAAATGGGCCCCATTCGGCATGAGATATCCCAGTATGGATAGTCTTAACTATTGCGATTGACAGCCGAGTAATTGCGAACTTTCTGCGGCTGGCTGACGTCAAAATACACGAGGGAATTCTTCGAGGTGGTATGACCATTCTATCCCTTGCGATGGGAGGCGGCTGTGATCATATCTAAGCTATTTGCAAGTTAACTCGGATGGCTCGGACAAACTTACTCCAGAGTTAAGTTTTGCCTTCTAGCGCAATGCCACTCTTGGGGCTTTTGAAGAGCGGAAATACCATCTACGAATTTTCATTTTTCCGCAGTCTGGACGTTGTTGAATTGACGGACAACCCGATGTTGTGAGTGGTGTCCGACTTCTGCCACCTCAAATTTTCGGATAATACGTCGTGTTTTCTGCACACAACAACATGATCCATTCAACTTTCGTTGTTATCAGAGCTGGCCTCCTTTGGACAGTTTGTCATCAAGTACTTTCCAATTCGCGTGGTATTCGTCTTGCTCTTTAGCTTCAAGCTTCTGACGGATTCTAACATGAACTTGTATGTTACGCTCATCTTCCCTAATACGAAATTTTTCTTCTGTATCTGACCATTACAATAGACACAAGAACTCTGTTTCTGCGAATCACTATCGAATACAATTGCCCCATCTAATTAAGGCGAATTGTCTTGGCTTCAAGTCACTCGTGTGCGATTTTTCCAATGAGGAAATACTACAGTCACTCTTGTCCGTATTGGCTTCTTCATATGGGCACATCTCAACGCCCGTAAACTCTATCAAGTTTGAAACCTACGGTTTCATTCGGATCCGGCAGTTCCTTTTGACACTCTGGGCACCATGACAACTTGGAGTTCGAATGCTAAAGATGCTATTTGTTAATGATGGCCGTTGTTGACAATTATTACTCCCGAAAAACTAATTATGTGAAATTATAGGTTTTCCAGAATCTTGACCGTATCATCATTAGATCCTGTCACACGACTCCAAGGCTTGATTTATCATTCCTGTTGATCAAACGTCCATTAATATCACGGCCGGCGAAAAGGGGATTTAGGGACACAACTTCAGATTTCGACGTTTGCATTCGCACCTTCATCCGGACAAGTCCGAGGCGTTGGCGTTTGGTCCCTGGTCTCTGACTTACAGGATCTAGATATTGGGTTGGTGTTTTCCACAGGTGGGTTATTGTCCTCTCTTAGTTTCCTTTCATATCATGTTTGGTTCTAGACCCAACACAACCCCCTTTCCACCCGAAAATTACAGACTTTGATTCTCTCAAAGTTTGGTATCGTGAAAAACAGCCCTATGACATGGAAATGAAGTCATGCCAGTGAATGACTTCGTGAACTTTATTGCCACAATATTTTTCGTTTCCAAATCCGGCCAGCCTCATGTCTGATTGGTATTGGCCTTGCCATCAGAGGGTCGTGGCTAGCATCAAGACAAGGACAGCGTGCAGCGAGCAGTGATCATGGAACTTCTACGTTCTAATTCCCGTGAGGCTTTTCTCCCACGAGGTTTCAGTGGTTGTTAGGAGGTTAGCTGCCTAAAGCTGCGCTTCCTGATACGGTGTGAGGATTCTCTACTCTTCTATTGAGTACTTATTCCTACACGTTTCCCACCCTGTCACATTGTCGACCTAAACGATGTGTCAATTATCGTCCCGTTCCATTGAGGGAAAAGAGCGTTCTTCCGGGGCAAGTGCCTTCAACTTGTGCGTGTATGAAATGCATGAGTCAGACACGCGTTTGCAAAGCCTACGAAACTGCCACCGAGTCCAAGTTCATTATGGTGGTATAATCAACTAAATTATACTTGGGTGACCAGTTGGTTACCATGGTTTCCTACCACAGGGCAAACATCTGCATTTCCCTTTTTAGTCTGAGGACAACCTTTTTTTTTTTTTTTTTTTCAGTTGACCAATGCACTGTTTTGGCTTCTGCCTATCTTCCTTTTCACCTCATTTCATACTTTCACTTCCTTTCATCTAACCTTTGTCTAACTTCTTTCAGAACCTCTAACATCCGACTACTCCTTAACTCCTTCCAACTCTTACCATACCTGCTTTACTCAATTTGGATACCTGTTATCCAAACATTCGTCTTAATCGGTACGTGAATTTTCTGTGCGAAGTACCCCTATTTTACCCCTCACGCGCAACACTTTACACCACACATTTCCTTAAAATGGCACGAGGCATTTTGAATGCGAATAGCTTCTCCAGCATAATTCAGGACTTATCACACGATTTATCCTTCACTTTCAACTCAAAATTGATCACATGATTACACCAGAGAGTCTTTGCTGCATAGATATATGCATAAATGCTCCCGTTGTATACCCTTGATTCCCGTCTGTGCCATTTGAAGTTACGTATTCTGACCTTATAGTTAAGATATCTACGCTTGGTCACGCAGTGTCCACCGGATAAGGTTTTTTAGCCGTCATTACGTGAGTTGCCTTCACCCATTTTGTCATTACTCTCTTCGACAACTGTTGTTGTGGTCTACTAAGCACTGTGCACTGTATGCCAAAGCCCTCATACCTATCTCTCCTCCACGAAAAAGTTTTCACTTAGACAACTTTTACCCTATCAATATTCCTTCATTCTCACTTGATTACTTTTCCCAACTATTTTATGATAAGATTCTTGCGTTCGAGTGTCTTATATAATAGTTAGCTGATTCCTTTCTGCCCATCCGTTCCTTTCAAGCTGTTGATTTCTACCTAATAACTAGTCTATTCTCATTCCCATTCGTACACGCTAGTTCGTGGGATTATCAACTGCTTCTGAGGGTAATTGCTAATTACCAGTCGACTATTTAGTTGACCTTGATTGTAATCCGTTACTAGTTCAACTTGGTATGCTTATTCCACATCATCATATCTTTTATATCGCCGCCACACACGCTGCGGATTACCCTTCCTACACTTCTTAACTGCCTTATTCTCAAATTGCTCTTCATGAATTTCATTCTGACACGTCGCAGATTACCATGGATACTTTCAATCCATACAACGGCAAGCCCCCGTCGAACGGATCCGGCTCCCAGGGAGATGCTGGTTCTCAAGGCGCAGGCGTCGCGCCCGGCGTACCCCAACCTGGCCTTCCTATGGCCCCGACCAATGGTCAAGCTGGCGGCGACATGGCCCAGAACTTCTCATCTGACTCTGCTCGTCAGACCCTTTGGTATGTAACGTGTTACATATGTGCCTTGCCATGATGCAATGCTAACTAAATCATCGCAGGATGGGCGAGCTAGCCGGATGGATGGATGAAGGCTTCATCCGCACGCTTTTCCAGTCCACTCTTACCGAGAACGTTCAAGTCAAGATCATCCGAGATCGCCATTCCGGGTAAGAGCCTCATGTGATTCATACGCTACCGTCGACCCTAAATATCGCGAGTGCGGTTAATGGCCCTGATCTACTCGGTCCCACATTGGAATATGAACAATTGCTAATAGGAGAAACATAGAAGTGCCGGGTACTGTTTCGTTGAATTTGGATCCCCAGAAGCGGCTCAGAAGGCCCTCCAACTCAACGGAACACCCATTCCCAACACTGATCGTGTCTTCCGATTGAACTGGGCTTCCGGTGGAGGCCTCATCGATCGTCGAGATGACCGGACTCCCGAGTACTCTATCTTCGTTGGCGATCTTGGCCACGAAGTCAACGAATTCGTTCTTGTCGCCCTATTCCAAGCTCGATTCCCCAGTTGCAAGTCAGCTAAGATCATGACTGATCAACAAACTGGGCAGTCGCGCGGATACGGTTTTGTCCGCTTCTCGGATGAGCAGGACCAACAGCGTGCTTTGGTCGAAATGCAGGGTGTGTATTGCGGTAACAGACCCATGAGAGTCTCGCCCGCCACACCTAAGAACCGGTAGGTATAGTGAGCTCCCTCGAAATGATTTGTCACTAATAACATATATAGTGGTCACCAAGCCCCTCAGTTCAACCAGTTCGGCCATCAGATGATGCCGCCTGCGCAAGTAGCCCACCACGGCAACATGGGAGGCCAATGGATGCAGCAACAACCTCCCAACTACGGTTACCAACAGCCGGGCACGTTCAACCCTCTAACGATGAATCAGTTCACCGACCCCAACAACACGACCGTATTCGTAGGAGGCCTTTCGGGCTACGTGACGGAAGACGAACTCCGGTCATTCTTCCAAGGTTTTGGGGAAATTACCTACGTTAAGATCCCTCCCGGAAAGGGATGTGGCTTTGTTCAGTTCGTTCATCGCCACGCGGCCGAGATGGCCATCAATCAGATGCAGGGATATCCTATTGGAAACTCTCGAGTTCGTCTGTCTTGGGGTCGTTCTCAAAACAATTCAGGTGTAGGTACTCCCTATCGACCCGCACCTCCCCCTCCACATTACTTCCCTCCAGGCCCTCCGGGTCCGCCCGGCCCTGGTGCTGCTCCTTTCGGTGGCCCTGGCTTTGGCGGTGGTAGTGGTCACCAAGGTCCTCCTCCTAGCGGCTTGGGTCCTCAGGTATAGTTCATGTCAACCTCCTCATGCCTGTGTTTCGAATAGTCTAATCCGGACTATAGTAAACCGGAACCGGCTCCGCAACACGATTCAGCATACCCGGCATGATTTAGCATAACCGGCGTCCCGCGTTTCTGGCGTTTCGGCATGCTTCTCCGTCTTCTGCATCAGTCTATCAGTCTCTGGTTTCGGCTATTTGGTCTTCTCGATCCGTTTCCCTCCCTCGTGCGGTACTATCCAGTCATGGTTATTCGATGACACTTCTCCGCGTTACGACACATCTGGCGTTAGTGAACTCGATATGACGAATGGACGGTGCGCATTGGGCGTTGGGGTTCACATGCAATTGGTCCTCGTGTCAAGCGTTGACTTTATGATGATTCCGTAAAGTCAATGCTCATGTGAGGGCAGCGGTGTACGATTTGCATTATTTGCTACGACGTCAATTTTCTTTCACGATTTCTATCATCGGGCTTCGCCTAGCCTGACCGACCAAAAACTCCTACCTTATCGCGATTTCATGGCATATACGTTTCATGATGCCTCGAAGGTTGGCGATTGCATTGTGTTTTCTGCAGATGCTTTCCGTCCTAATACCTTGACATTTTGAACACATGTGCCTTGTTCGCCAATTGCGCAATCAGCCTCGTTCACCTTGGCAATGTCTTCCACGCCAGATACCCCTGTTCGTCTAAGTTTTTCAAGCCCCGGACAAGATAAAGCTGTAATTCACGCCATCCCAAGGAACCAGATAATGATGTGGACTTGGTTGATCATTAAACACCTATCAACTATTAACAAAAGCTCGTTACGCTATGGTCAACCTTCAAAGGTTTCGGGAGTGGTGGATCAGATTTCTACTTGGACTCGCCATGGTGGCGTTCTCTCATCACTTTGCACTCGCAAAATAAGTTTCATAGTCGGTCAGTTTTCCTTTAGTCAATACATTGATTTCCACACGTCGTGTCTTATATCCTTGTGAATAATGTGTGAATTGTGTAAACTAAATATCAGCGCATCTATATATGCTCGATTGTAAAAACCTATGTAATTCACAATGTGATCTCTCGTGACGTTACTGGCTATCTCGTACCTTGTGGTTCGCTTACGGATCTATTGCATGCACACAACCCACGAACAAAGGTCGAAAACGTTCAAGAATTGTCCGTTCACCGCCAATGCACCCTGGGATCTAAAACGGCACCAACGGTCCATCCGCAAGCTAGTCGGATACACAAGAAGCTTGCCAAGAGATCTCTTTTATCACGTAGCGTAAGGCGACCTATACTTATGTCCTAGGAGCCTATCAAATATACGCTTCGGCAGGTCTTTGAGATGGGATAGGCAGGTATAGTTGGCGCTTCTTAAGCAGCTTAAGAAGATGATACATGACCAAAGCTCGCTCCCGCGGCACGGTCACACAAAGCAAGCCCGTTTACGCGTCACCTCGGGGCAAGCAGTGACGTAATGCGCGACGGGCTATGTAGGCTGGTATGTAGGTAGGTAGTAGGTATACTTGGCGAGCGAACGGGAGCGAAAGGTTAATTGACTGATTGACTGATACCTGTAGCACATATGCTAGGCATGTTAGAGAAGTAGGTAGGTATGCGGTCGGGCGGGCTCTGCTGGTTGGCTGCTTGCGGGCTTCGGTCCCGAGGGGACCTCTTTGTTGGGCGAGCTATGTAGCTGCGCTGGCTTGGTTACCTTACCTACATATGTACCTAGGTAGTTGGTCCGGGGCAGACGGACGGGCGACGGGCGGCACGTCCCCAGGCTAAGATCCGAGACAAGACATAGCGCGCTCGACTTGTATCGATCGACTGTACCTATGGAATTGAGGTGCGCAAACAAAGTAGGTAGCTACCTACGGGAAGAGGTGGGGGTTTCGGAGGTTTTCTCGAATCGAAAATGATGTAACAGAGCACAGAAGAAGGACTTCTCCTTCTTGGTCGGGCTTATTTTTTCTCTCATTCTCGGTTTTGGGTTAGGTTCGGTTTGGCTTGGATCTGGTAGGGTATGGCGTCGGTGGCAGCAGGTCGTGGGGAAGCTGGGAACTTGGCTGGCTAGCTGGATGTTAAATGTAGGTATGTAAAAGAAGATGGAGGGTCGCCCATATTTTCGTTTTCGTTTTTCTTGTCTTGCTTTTGCTCTTGCATACCGGTGCTGTCGCCCTGCTAGCCTCCGAATTGAAATTTGGCTTCCCAAGCTTCAAGGTTGAGCTTGACTTGACATACCCATGACCTGGCTTCGTGTATTGCTTAGCCTGGTGTCGGATCGTATCGTATCGTATCGACGATCGTATGAATAATCTGATCTTATCAAATCATATCGCTAAGATTGAGTTGGATTAATTGATTTAATATTGGTTTATTATCCGGGAGTCGCACGTCGCTATGAAGGCGTCAGCTGTTTTAGGCTTATGTCTCGCTTTAGGTAAGCAGAAAATATCTAACGTCTTACGTCTTACACAATAACCCTCCTCCACCTCTCCAAAGCGAAACGAGGAGAATAGAGTAGCGAAGCATTAGTAACTAAATCTATACAGCGGTTCGAGCAAACCCCCAATTCCCATTCTATGAGGCCGGCGACGATGGTGAAGGCATCATATGGGGAGGCTGGGGTAGCGGCAGCGGAAGCGGAAGTAATGGGGGCGACTCTTCAGGAGGATACGGCTCGTCGGCCGGGTCGGATAGTAGCGGTTTCGACGTCTACCCAGACTTCGACGTCGAGAAGGCGATGAACTACGGGACGGCCCACGGGGTGATCGCAGCTCTATGCTTCGCCATCTTATTCCCGGCCGGCGCGATCCTTATGCGCATCATTCCAGGCCGCCATGCTTGGTGGATTCACGGCGTATTCCAGGTCATCGCCTACCTGCTCTACATCGCCGCCGCGGCGCTCGGCATCAGGCTTATCCAAATCATAAAAATCCCTCCTAACGGGACTAGTCTGGTGAGTGTCCCTTTTATACCTACGCTTCCTCATCTTCCCTTCGCGCTCGGGTCCCGTTTGCTCTGTTACCAGTGCCACCCAATCCAACACCCCTTACATCTCAAACCCAACCTAGCTTGCCCCCAAAGTCCCATAACTTTACTAACAACCCTGCGAAAACAGCTAGAAATGTCCTCCACAAACGCACACCCCATAATCGGCATCGTCATCCTCGCCGTCCTCTTCCTGCAGCCGCCCCTCGGCATTATCCACCACGCCAAATTCAAGCGCCTCGGCCGCCGCACCGCGTCCTCGCACCTGCACCTGTGGCTCGGCCGGCTCACGCTCACGCTGGGCATCATAAACGGCGGCCTAGGGCTCAGGCTCGCGCGCGCTTCTCAGGGCGTAATTATCGCGTACGCTGTTGTCGCGGGGCTTGTGTGGCTGCTTTGGGTACTGGTTGCTGTGCTGGCTGAGTACCGAAGGCGGAGCGCTAGTCGTGGGCAGAATCGCGGGCGTGGGCGCGGACGCGGGGCTAGTGGTAGTGGGGGGAGTGGTGGTGGTGGTGGGAGTGGTAGTAGGAGGAGGGGAGGAGGGGTCGAGACCCGCGCTTACGTCGCGGATCTTCCGCCGCCGCCGGGGCTGGCGCAGACGGCTCCTTCGGCTAGGGAGACGAGACGCAGGAATCGCGATGGCGAGGGCGGTGGGTATGGGTATGGTAGTGGTGGTTACGATTCTACTCACGGTTATAACCAGTATAACCAAAGTCAGCGCCGCGGCGGGAGCTCCGACGATCCGAGCCCGCCGTACACGCCCGGCCCGTTCCACGGCGGGCCGCCCGGGTACACGGGCGGCGCGGAGGGCGTGGAGATGCGGCCGGTGAAGAATTCTACGAGGGGGAGCGGGTCGATGTCCTCGTTCTCGTCGGGCGCGGTGCCGAGGGATGGGGAACATAGGGTCTGAGGGTGATTGGGATTTCGGGTGGGTATGCGAGTGGGGGGTAACGGGAAAAGGGGCTGGTGGGTCCGAAAAAAGGGGGTGGGGGGCTAGGGGTTATGGAAGTTATATGGAACGGTTTCGGCGATTTGGCGATTTGGCGCCTCGGGGACAATCAATTGGATGGACTGGAGTTGGTTTCTTGTTTACATGCTCTGCGGTCAATGAGATTGTGTGCAAAGTGCTTTGTATTAAGGATGGATATATATGGCTGCCTCGTAGGCATTTTACTAATAGAGATGATTCGAAGCTGAGAAGGGTTCCCCTTATGTACTGACTTCAACAACTATGTTTTTCCTTTTTCCCATCGTGTAGGACTTCGGTCTTAATTTCGCGAATGAAGAGCCATCCATGTAAGCCTATCTACGGAAATGCTTCTCCCCTAGCCCATTTTCAACATAACTGACGCGTACCGTAGGCTGTATGGGTAAAGTCCTTGGGCTTTCCCAGTGGCGTTTGCTTTGATACACGATTCTGTACCATAGAGCTTACCGTCGTGAAAGCAATGCGTTCTATCCCTCGAGATAGGTATGTCTTGATGCTGACCTTCGAGTGGAATTCACGGATGCTGGTAGAGGGGACGGTGCATGCTTTATGGGTTACTCGACCTTGATCTATTCACCAAGGATGCTTTGCTGTGCTGTGGTCAGCAGAACCGATGCCGACATGTATATCAAGGACGGTGACGCGCTAATCAGCTCAATTTACTGCGTTTCATGTCGAACGACGGTGTTGGTCCCAGAAAATGCTTGCGACGAGGTATCCGCTTCTAAGAAACCGACGGTTGGAATTCGACATAATGGGCCGGAACGAAAGACACCTAGACTTGGCGTATACGAATTTGGATATCTGGATGAGGGATGGTAACAGCGATATCTAGAGTTTCCAGTTAGCATTGAGAGGGTCGGAATGGAATGACGAAGAAATCTTTGGGCGAGCTATATCCGTGGTACCTAAGTGGAAAATTCAGCATGTGATGAGAACGGATTGACGTGGACATGGAACAGTTTCTTGGCTATGATGTTTTCTTTGGTGAGTAGAAGCTGGTTTATTTGATGGGCGAGTGCTTCTTAGACGGCCTACCCAGAGGAAGACGGTGGTGACACTCAGCCTTAGTTATAACTCGAAGCGGAAAGATAACTTCATGATAGATAATTTGTGTGGTTCGGGCACCATATGCGAAGTTTGATAAATTCAGTGACCAATTCGCCGTTTGAAAGGATTCGGTATATACATAGGTATCTATGTGAGTAGAACATGTAAGTAGCTGCTAGGCATATTATGTCATGGTCAAAGTTGGTTGCCATGGCCAACCTGACTCCTTACGTATAAAGCTGATAAGTATTTTTAAATGTATGGCTTCTAGTAACTGGCAATGACGCATTAATTATTTAAAAGTTTTTTCTTTATATTATCCTAGTATTTATTATCGGCAGCAACCTTCCTTTTACAAGTCCGTGTACGTTTCGCATCCCTACTCTTATGAATTAGGCTATCGTTCATCTATTCAGCAACTTGTTTGATACAGGTGATTTCCTACAATCTGTGCCATTTCTTGCACCCATACAGTTCTCCATCAATACCCTATTGCTGTTATTGTAACACAGATGGTTGTCCCTATCTTCAGATGAAGGTGTATAGGTGCACCGGGAGTATATAACGGCAATGGCGCATACAAATAGAGCTACACGGAGATTTCCCGTCAAGCTCGGTGACTCAATCCATCAATTTCCCATTTAATCGTTCACTTTTTCCTCGGCAACATCAACCTTTTCCTCAACATCGTGAGTCAAATTCGAATCTCCCGTTTGCTTGGATTTATCAAACGCGAGAGAAAACGTCGAGTCACACTGATGGAGAATGCCATCAACGTTCGCTCGCACAATAAGATCTTGAGGTAATAATTCCTTGTAGCTTCCAACATTCGTCCCTACTATAAAACTGTTAGTGAAATGTTTACATATGACCTCAAAACCGAGCATAACTTACCGAGAGTTTCCACGTACTCGTTAGAGATCCTGACAAACATATGGCCTGTTTTCTTGGCCATATCTCTCATAGCTGCATGGCACATGTCCTTCAATTGTCCCTTTACTATATCGGTGGCGAGGCGGAACATGGTTTGACGAGCCGACGTGATATGGTCCTCCATCACTTCTTTCATACGGCCGAAACAACCATTGTCTCTTTCGGCAGCACAAATCCGGTAAGCAGGTATCATAGCATCACGGATTGTTGGAATAAATGTTCGATGTGAGTCTCTTTGAGCCTGAATGATATTCCGACGCCAAGTCATAGACAGTTGGTCCAGTGCACGCTTATGAGCTGATACTTGACGAAGCAGCGTGGTCGCTTCTGCTACATTCGCACGTCGTTGGAGCTGTGTCTCGGTGGCTTTCGCGAATATGTCAAGTTGCTTTGATGTATAGGAAGAGAATTGTCGGAAGAGATTTGGCACATGGCGCTGGAATGTATTGTTCCACTCTTGTAGCATCATACGAGATATAGGTTGGAAGAGCTCTTGATTGAAATCGTGAGTTCCAGTGGCACCACGAAAATACCCATTTCGTCGACAGACTGCTCTGTATGTTGACCAAGCGAGGCCGCCTTGATTTTTGGGTGCTCCCCAATGCGTCACTGTTTCGGGGGCTGCATCGTATGCCGAGGATATAGCCCTCTCGAAAACGCGGAAAATATGGGTATGGAAGACACCATTAAGTTTGCCGCCGAATTTGTTAACAGCCGCCTTGAATTCCTACTCAAAATGTCAGGGGCCATCTGGAAAGCTATGATAAATGGAATTTAAAGCCACGCTCGATTTTCAAGATAAATAAATGTTCAACGTACCTCCTCAAGATGTGCCAAATGCTTTCTTAGATGTAATTCGTCTCGAATTTCATCGTCTGTAAGTTTCGTCTTACTCCCATTGCTAAGGGTCCATAATTTCATCGAGTTGACAAGTCGCATTAAGTCGTTGAGATACCCCTGGCAGTCAATAACTCGTTCGATTTCTGTTATCTTCCTGACGTGGTCTTGCAGTTGTGGAATTTCGGTATCCCTCGCAGATAAAAACCCACGGCTGCGGAGATCATGATCCTCGCATTCACCATAAAGCTTTCTGTATGCCAAGCTGCTGACACAAAAGGTTGCGGGATGGGCGACTTCCACAGATATCTTCCCGTATTCGGATATATTTTCACGGTCGAACCTAGACCTTGTCAGTAGGGTAATACACACAAACAGATATAGATATATTAGATACAGTAAATAATTGAGATATTTAAGGGTGAAGAGGTTAATATACGTACTTGTCAATTTCGGCGTCGAACTCCTGTTCGAGATTTTCTCGTAGATGCCCTTTGAATTCGTTGATGCCCCGGGCGCCAATTTCACCCATTTCGTCAAGGATGTGTTGCCGTTGAGTTTCGTATTTTTCGAGATCCTTCTCTACATCGTCAATTTGTGTATTGGTTGCTTGTAGTTCGTCGTGGATACTCCTCTCTTGACTCTTGAGAGATTCGAGCTTTCTTTCAAGTCCTCCCTTGCTGATTTGTTGGCGATCCTCAGTCGACTGCGAATTTTCCTATTCATCCGAGTCGTTGTTAGACGCATTGTGAGTTTCTTCTATTTTTATTCCGGATGAATTGCCAATCTTATGGCTCTTACGACTTTTGGCGGGGCTTTTGGAATGCAGTCGCTTTGTACGACTATCGGATTCGTCATAACCAGTTTCACCACTCGATGGGCGACTCATGTATCCCTCCCGTGTATTCTCATTGTCGTTGACCTCATCGGCTCGTCCCTTCAATGCCCTTCGCCGTATTCTTAGATCTTCAAGGGTCGACTCAACCTTTGCTTTGAAGTTCTCTAGTTTATGTAGCTTGCTCCTTAGCTTTAATAGTTCTTTTTTGGTATTGAGGTTAGGTCGGAATGTCGTGGAGTGTGTATCATCTGTTTTAGAGATAATGAGAGTGATTGCGGATTGCAGACCATCATATCTTAACTGCCGCTTGAAGTTATCGCTTAGGAGGGGGGCTACTTTGCCAACTTGAAGAACACGTGAAGTTGGTACTACGACCCATACGCCAATGCATGACTTCAGGTATTTCTCTACCTGGCCTACTTGAGCAGAATTGGAGTCTTGTGCGTTGGGCTAATCTGTTAGCATAGTTTTGTGATTAAATTAGAGGGACTTACTATATCCGCTAGGATGGCTCCCGTAGATAGTACCTCTGCCTTGGTGTAGATTCGGATTTCTTTGACGAGAGGGGCGTATGCGAGCTTTCCTTGGCTTGAATCAAGTGTTTGGCTGACATCCGTGTACAAACGTAGTCTGTCAGAGAGGGACTTATCAGAATCCGCCTTGAGCTGAATGATCTTTCCGAGCTTTTTTCTAGCGGGTAAAACACGTGCGAGTTCTGCTGCGTTCTCTTTAATCATCATCTCCTTGGTCTTATTTGGGTATAAGGCTTTGAGCATTGCGTAAGCGGAGTCAGCTTCATCCTCATATGATAGGTTGATAATAAGGTTGCGCAGCTCGTCAATTAATTCTCTTCTATCAATAAACTGCACCTCGGCTCGGTATTTTTCCGTTGGGTCATCCGAGTAGTTGTACGAGAATGTGATTGTCATCGAAGGACTCGCATCAGCAGGAACCAATCTGAATAATTGTTAGTATGAAACATAGGTACAGTAAATGGAAATGTAATACTCTTCTTCCTTGAGGATAGCATTGATAAGAGAACTTTTTCCGCAACCGGGATCGCCTACAACACCGATAACTGCGCGAGTCGGTCTTGCGCGTTCCTTCAGCTCATCAATTGCTGTGCGCCAACCATTTACTTCGGGTGTATCGGCGCCGTTCAACGCGGTCTTCAGCTGGTCTAGTAGCTTAGTACCAATAGTCACACCGCGTTCGAGAATTTCGGGGTCGGTATGAACTACCAATTTCTCAAGATAGCTTAGATTTGTTGCACCAAATTTTTGATCTTGCTCTACTTTGGCAACAGGATGGCTGTGCGGACCGGCGGCGGAAGCATTTAGTGGGGCGTTGGAGACCGAAGTCTCGGCATCGGAAGCCCGAACAGTGCCCATGATATCGGAGGTACAGTGCTGCATCCAGGTTAGCAGTGCATAGATTTCTTATGCGGGAACAATAGAACGAAGAGTGGAAGGAATCTTCATGGAAGTATCCGGTGGGTGGTGACAGAACTGGATGTAAAAGTAGGCAGGAGTGAAAGTAAAAGTGAGGTGCAAGTTGAGAAAGATGGCGGCTGTTAAGTGTATAGGTAAGTAAGGAAAGCGGTAGTGCCCGAGTGTACGTAAACAAGGTGCATAAATACTAAGGTACTTATGGTACGTACTCGAGATGTGGGTAGGGAAAAATTATCGAGGAAAATTACCAATGTGTATAGACAAAGGTAGTCAGTAATGAGAAGTGTATAATAAATTACCTTTGTGGATAATTCCGATAATCAAGCGTTGGAGATTCAAGGATTCCTTCGAATGGTTGAATTGAAGGTGGTGTAAGGAAACGTTTTTGGGAATCAATTGAGGGCGGACAATAGTCTGGTATGATACAATAACTAGGTACATGTACAGTAACCAGAATTAGTGGGGTTACCGTACTAAGCGCCTTGTCCATAGGCTGTCAGTACGTACCCTAGAGGGTCACAGACCACCTACACATAGATAGGTAGGTACCTTCGTACTAATAAATAAAAAGCACCATTGTATAATACCTATGGACGCCTCGATGTTATGGCTATCGTCCGCCGTTTATCGACCAACCTACGAACTCCAGATGCCCACCATTTAAAGCGATGTACGACTTATTCAGGCTGTTGGTAGGGCTTAGGTAGTGCACTAGTAACGTGTGTTGGGTGTATGTTGATTGAATTGATTATGCATAAGGTTAGAATTGTACTACGCGGACGGTGGGGGTAGATTTAAGTAATCTACCCCCAAGTCGCACGGGCCACAAAGCTTTGGCTCGTTGGTCGGGACCACGTGCTGTAGTCCCAACACAGGCACTTTGTTTATTTGAGATCCTAGAATTAGTTACGTATCTTTTCCTTTTTTTTGTGAAATATATATAAATTATAAAAAAAAACATGAGGGTAATTGCTCCAATCCCAGGCATGTTGCAGATTACACAGTGGACTTGTACGGAAATTATATGCTTCAGTATTACTTCAACTGCTTCAAATATGACGAACTAACCAAAAGCTCATAGTAATGCATGTCCGCGGTCAATTTTTACGTAACAGGTGAAATCCTGATATTAACTACAGTGCTCAGCACGGAGAGCATGAAAAGTCTACGAAGCTATCGTTGGCTGTTACATGGCCGGCACGTCATGCAACAGTAGCATCGCACTGCTTCATCTAACCTGCGGAGGATAAATAGATCATATTAGCATTCGAATCTGACAGATCTCTTTGGGTAGTGCTGGTGGTCGCATCTAAGATGCCATCTCATACGCGGCATTGCACAAGTTTGCCGAGGGGGCGGGATTCGTCACGTTTATATTAAATGCTCTTCAAACAATTTTTCGACGGGGCTCAGGTTCGGCAATCCTGCCCCCATATTGCAAACTCATGCAAGATGTCTGTTCTGAGACAAGGAGAAATGCCGTCCGTACAATCAATATCAGTACGTTGGCGTGCAAGCCTCCTAGCTTGGTGCGATTTATCCGGTCCACTCTGCTTCTACCTCTTCCCCTGGCGACGATTCGGATCTAGCTATTCCCCCGCGTATTATCACCTGCAGAAAAAGCTTATTCTATCGCTGAATGTATTCTGCAATTCCATTGCCCTATAGCCGCGCGGCGTTATACGGTTGATCCTTTTTTCCCGACTGGTTCTAGATTCCCCTGAGCCGTGATGTTGGTCGTCGGCCTCATATCGAACGTTCGATCTAGAGGTAAGATGCAGCTGAGCATGGCATGGAGATCTCTGACATGGTCTCTTCTCTTTCTACCATCGTGCTATGTTCTATTTTAATCCTAAGGGTATTGCGTTCTACTTGACACGATATATCGCCAGCTCGCAGTCCAGTTTGCCTATATCATCTGGCGAGCCACTTACCTGACTGGGACTTATCAATTAAACACCTTGATAGAGTCCAGAGTTTGCTATCTAAGAAAGCCTGTTGGCTCCAAACCTTGAATATGGCGAAAAGCTGGGGGTTTGCGATTGCGTTGATAGTCGTCTCATCGCTACTCTCCGTCGTCTATGCACAGAACTACCCCTTAGTTACGGATTCAAAATGCAACTGCTACAGAACGAACACGACCACTTCTCACTACTTCACTCACCACCGCTTCTTCGATTTCAGAGATATGTCAAAGTATGTGCGCGTACCAGCACCCATCAATGATGCTCAGCACGCTGCCGACGCCCCCGTCACGAATGACTACTTCGACGACCCGGCGTGGAGCAGCGTGTGGTCGATCCAGAACTGGAACAACAGCCTGCTCATGAACGGGAGCTCGGACGACACGGGAAGCGACGCCACGGTCCTCATGGTGAACTCGGCCAACAACATCTACTTCGACCGGAACCGGGACGGGGGCGCGGCGTCCGAGACGTACATGGTGATGCGGACGATGCGCCACGACGGCTTCCAGTCCGCGTCCGAGATCGAGTCCGTCTCGCTCGGGTACCGGTACGCGTCGATCCGCATGTACGCGCGGACGAAGGGCGCGCCGGGCGCCGTGACGGCCATGTTCACGTTCCGCGAGGCGCCGCGGCTCGCGCAGGTGCAGGAGGCCGACCTCGAGATCCGGACCATCGATCCGACGGACTCGATCCAGTACACGAACCAGCCGTCGTGGAACGAGACGGGCGACATCCCCGAGGCGACGCGCAACGTCTCGATGCCGAGCCGCGGCGGTTGGTCGGATTGGCAGCACCACCGGATGGACTGGACGCCGGGATCTACTAGCTGGTTCGTCGACGGACAGCTGATGTCGTCTATCAAGTTCCAGGCGCCCAGGGACGCGAGCCGCATCATGTTTAATAGTTGGAGCGACGGCGGCAGCTGGAGCGGCAACATGAGCGTCGGCGCGTCGGCGGAAATGCAGATCCAGTGGATCGATATTGTTTACAACAGTACGGACCCGGCTCCCGGAAACCCGTTCTTGAACCCTGGTGCCGGAGGAGCGTGTGCGAACACTTGTAGTATTGACCTAACCTCGAAGACCGGTACCCCAGTGCTGATTTCCGGGCCTTCAGGTACGAGATCTGTTCTGCCTTACGTTGCTTCTGTGTGTGATACCCGATTGAAACGATACTAACATGCTTTCTTTAATTATAGGCAACAATCCCGCTCCCGGAAATGGCGATTCCCCAGGAGCTTGCACTGCGGCCAAGTGGGGACAATGCGCCGGGAAGACGTGGAACGGATGTACGGCCTGTGCGGGAGGAACGACGTGCAAATTTCAGAATGATTACTATTCCCAATGCCTTTGAAGGGTCTGCTATTCTGCTAGCGTTTGTATTGAGTTATTAATCTTTACTTAGTTTTTACTAGTAATAAATACCTGTTCGGATTTAACTGTCACGATTGATTGCTAGTCTTCTATATTGAATAGGGGGGATTTGATTAGTTACCCCCTTTTATTTGTAGACTGGAATGATTTAGAGTGGTTGATTAACCTAAGTTAGGTAATTAATTGATCAATTATTCTATAAGATTCTATTTCCCTCAAAGTCTCTTTGTGATAAATCAGTTGCGACTTAATATAAATCGACCGACGAGCGATCTTCTTGTTTAGATGATGCCAAAATGACGTATCAGAAATGATTGGCGAACACCGTCGTGCGATGGGGATACCCGCAGAATATTAAGTGATTTGACACAAAATGGAGTTCTCCTCCAGCGCAGCCTACGACTCACTTTAAAACGCCTCAATTATTCTTACCGGTTATCTAAGGAGTTTGATGATCCTCTCATGATCCGAATAAATGAAGCCGATAAAAATCGGTGGTCCAACCGGACTTAGTTCATAGATTGAGGACGTGTAGCGATCTGCCCGGTTTTAAATCTCGCATGCATGTAATTGAACCAGACCAGAAGCTATCATGGGTGATCCTTCTATATAAAGCTGTAATTCTCGCCGCGGAGCTAGTAATACTTTGACGTGGTCTGAGGCGCTATTATGACCTAAGACCCGAAAACGTAGCTGCATGATCTTTGCTGCGAGTTGTCAACTCATTCCGCCCGTTTTCCGTAGCGGCCAATCTAGGCCATGTGGTGACGGCGACATGATGGTGGTTGTCTTTCTGCAGAGCCTCAGGCTTACGATAGTGAGCATAGATACACACGTACCGCCGGAGGTAATAGGTACAGCTACCCAATTATTTCGCGAGGAATCAACTCCGACAGTACGGGCGACCAAAACGTGGCGTGCGGGCGAGTTCGATAAGCCAAAGGGCTGGGGAGTTATAATCATTGCAGATCCAAGTCTGACCTTAGTCAGGCAAGGAGACACAAGGGGGCGTGGGGGTTTTCGTCCACTCTCGCTCAATCTCTGCGGGCGTGGGAGGCGAAATCCCGCGCGGGTACGAAAAGCCCAGGAAAAAAAAGGAAGCCACATGGAACCCCGGTTTCAAAGGACGTAGCTGCTGCTGCAGGGAGTTGCGAACATGGCTTTCTTGTCCTTACCTATTATCTAGGTACATAGTAATACATATTTGCCCTTGACGAGGTAGCCGTGACCGCTGTTGTGATTTGCTGGCACGAGAACTGTCAGACTGTGATGGTCCAATGGATGTCGTCGTCGGATGCTGCAGCTCGCGGCCTGCGGCCTAAGAGCCCTTACGTAGGTATGTGGTGTGCCTTTTGTGCTTCTCGAAACACGCGACGGGAGCATCCGCTGTCCAAGCCCTACTAACCCAGGGCCTCGACCGCCCGGGTTCCTCTTCCGGTATCAGGGGTCGTCAATCCCGGCAACGCTTCCTGCCAATCCTCGTCGGCGCCGGTGGCATGGTACTAGATACGGGACCCATGCCGTTATAACCGAACGAACGGTTTGGTGGCTAATCCGTCGGGTCTCATTCCTGGGGGTGGTGACGCAAGTGGTGATACAGGACTTTTCGACCTTCGATAACGGAAATTCTATATTATGTAATGAGTCTGATCAGCGTCTCGATAGGTAAAGAAACAAAAACGACAGGAGCTGAAAGATTGCGCGGCCTCCGATCAGCCCCTATCGATGAAAAAGCAAGAATGTGCTTCAACTGCTCCATCTAAGCGAGAGATAAGGAAAAGGAATGTTTTACATAGGTAGTAGGTAACCTAATCCACTGATGTTGGTGTTGCGCACCGGTCTCTAGTTGAAATTTCGTAAAAGTCGGGCGGAGCGGGCGCCTCAATCTTGGTTTCGGTTCACTAGCGAGGGAGACACATCATATCTCTTCTTTGTTTCACCCAAGTGAAACTGAAACCGAACCTGGGTCGAACGAAATAATTACTTAACCGCAGTCGCCTCGTGGGATAAAGGGCTTTCTGGATCTGAGACCCGGCCCCCCCCCTTTTCAGTGCTGACTGCATATGTATTCCAGCGCATCTCTTTCCAGGTTTCCCTCGCCACGCAGCGCAGCCGAGGCAGACGCGAACCCCACGTTATTCCTACCACGTACGTACACCTAGGTAGCTCAGCAGTCCGTTTGCCGGGTGCCGGCATGGCTTTTGCGTCGCATCGAGCGCCCGCCCCCCCTAACGGTGCAGCGTGCGATTCAAAGCAACGCAAGGTGTTCGGTTACGATGTATCAGCCATTTCTCTCGTGTTCGCATGCGAGAGCGTTTTGAGCAGGTGGTAAAGGGCATAGACGAGCGGGGTGAAAGTGTTTTGACGATCAAAGAGTAGACCACGGCCGGAGGACGGAGGGTCTATTTGTCACATTTATAATTAGATAATCTACCGTACATAGCGGCCCCGGCGGCCCCATGCCCATTTCAGGGAAACGTGGGGAAAGAGGGTAGCAAACCTCCGACGAAGTATACGCCCTGATTCGTCGTGGGGGTCATGGAATCCTGTCCGTTTATTCGGGTTTGGGGGGTTTAGATCGCTTGGTCACTGCATGATTATCTGACCGTGGTAGTCTGGAGAAGCTAGAAACCGCTGTGCCGTGTCGTGAGGAAGACCTGTGACGATCCGATGATGTGAGGACTTTGTTTGCTCAACACTCGTCGGCGTAAGCCCTAAGCTGCTTGAGTTGCCCAATCCGGACTCGTCGGCCCTGTTGTCCAATGAGAGTCACGCGACCAACCCGAGAGCTGTGCCGTATGATATACCTATTTCCTCAGCATCACATAATCCGTGTCATCATATCGCGGTCACTTATTGCCCCCTTCGGACGGCCTTTGGAGGCCCCTTTCGAGAAGCAAGCCTGAAACCAAACTAGGCAGCGCTGGACAGAAGAGGGGGAAAAATGCCCGACGTTAGATTCCCTTACCTACAACTGTCTTGCCACTCTCTCTTTTCGATATAGCACCTCCGCGATCGCAATATGCAGGCGCAGGTTCGTAGGACTTCAAGGCCCTAGGACGTCGTCCTATTACTAAAATTACGTTGCAGTCATGCTAGGCTCGTAAGATTGGAGCCCAGACCGATCCGACGCAAAGTTGGGTCAGCAAACAAGTGAACGGCCAAGGGGGTTCCTTTGGATGGGCCGGAAAACCAGGTCGCGGAGAGCAGCTACCGAAAGATCCTCCCATCCGTACGTACGTACGTGGTGGTTCTTTTACGGTGGTGGCGGTGCGCACTGTTTTTTTCTGGGGTTCGGTGGTGCCGTCGTTGGTGAAAATAGGTATGTGGTACTTTGGCATTACATACATACCCGAGGCACAGTAACATGATGTTACCTCCTGCTGCATAACATTCACCAGCTCGGGTAAATATTCGTTGCGGGTTGGTAGATTGGTAGGTAGGTTAGCAAGTAAGGAGATTATAGCGCGACAGACGCTGACGAGCGAGAGGATCGTAGCAGGTAGCGTGCATTATTCTTTGCATTCGCCCTCCGTACCAACCTAACCCCCAACGCTATCCCCCAAATATTCCAAGGTTGCCAGGCCACGCCCCGATTTACAGGACTAGCGCGGCATGGCCTGCAGGTCCGAGACTGCGGGGTACAGGGTTGGGATAGCAAGACTTCGGGTTGATCTGCGACGACCGACATTTATGACAGACTGACTGGCGATCAACCGTGGATTGACTCGAGTACATGATGCAGAAAGGTCTTGTGTTCCTGTCCTTCATGCGAGCATCTCGGGTGATGGACGTGTTTCCAATGGATAGATGTTGCGAAGATCGGCTACGTAGTACGCAGCATGCGATGTGCCGTCATGATGTGAAGCTGGGTTGGGGTAATGGTGGCAGCAAGGATCATGCGTGCTGCTGTGGCATAGAAGAATTGGTGGCGCTGCTGCTGCTCGGGAGTAGGGGGGCAATGATAACCGACGTTCTAACCGCCATAGTAGCCGTCGTCCGAACTTCGCGATGCTCTAGTCGTGCAGAGCATAGAGAACTTGGAAGTATGCCCGTACACATGCTGTATGTATGTCTGTTCAAATTCAGACTGAATCACCCACCTTCTGCAGCTGCCGGCACCTGCAGCTCGTAACGTTTCTCGTGGTGCCATGTGAAGGTGGTATATCCTATAAGCGACATGTGAATTTGGAAATCCTCGAGGATCATATTCATAGGTACACTAGCTGATAGTAATAGAGACATCCATTTTTAGAGCCCTCCATCAAAAGCATCCTGCACCAATAGTCGAGGGCTACTAGCTAGCAAGTTTAGCTGTTTCCACAATTTTATTTTTCACCGTTCCGTCCTGTTAACGCCGTTCAATCTCGTAAACGCCAAGTGCGTGGTCCACTCAATGATGTCCCATTGAGCCCCATGATCCTTACTGGGACCTAATCCCCAGAATTTCTCTAGGCCAAGCTCTGTTCTAAAGCTATCACGTCTGCGAATCCGTTTGTAATCATATCCATCTGTTCGCTGCTTGGCAATCCGCAGGGCTTCCTGGGTTCCCCACCATAGCCCTCGAAGTGCTGCAAAGCAGCCTTCACGCCGGCAAAGCCCGTCTGGATGGCGATCCAATCCGCCTTGGCAACGATCGCCTGCAGCCTTCTAGCCTCCTTCAGCTCACCAGCATGGTATAATTCGCAGATACGAACACATGCTCGAGGTACCAGGTTGGCAGTACCTGCGATGGTGCCGTTTCCACCTACGACGAGGCCTTGCAGAATAAAGTCTGCGCTGCCACCAGCGACAAAGAAACCAGGTTTAGCCCCATCAACGATGCGAGCCAACTTTCCCGTGTTTCCACAGGTGAGTTTGACACCGGCAACGTTGGGGTGCTTTGCAATCTGAAGGATTGCGTCGGAAGAGAGGTCTAGACCGGAGCAAGCCCCGGGGTAGTTGTAGATCATGACCGGAATGGGGCTAGAATCAGCAACATCGTGAAAGTGCTGAACGATCTTTGATGTGTTAAGAAGACCGCCATAGTACGCGGGAGGAAGTATGATGACATAATTAGCACCGGCATTCGCTGCATCCTGGCAGAGCTGGATCGTCTCGCGTGTAGATTGCGCTCCGCATCCGGCGATGAGAGGTACAAGGTGGTGGTCCGACTGGTCTAGAGCGGCTCGTGTAGTCTTAATAACGAGGCTGCGCTCATCCCGACTCAAATGGACGGCTTCTCCGTTCGAACCGTGTACAACAAGGCCGGCAACGCCAGCGTCGGCAAGGTGAATGGCGTGGCGTTGGGTTGCTTCTAGGTCGATGTCATCATTCTCCTTAAAGAAAGCAACGGTGGGAACATAGACCCCATCGGGCAGAGGGCGAGCTTGGCCTAGAGATTCCGTCATCGAGATTATTTAAGATAGACTTTAGTATAGTAAGATGGTTGGGTGTGTGAGTGAGAGAAACTTGATGGAGATGAGGAAGACGTAGGGTCTCGTTGGATGAATTTTTATAAAGTGACTGAATACGGAGGAAGTAGTCCGACCTACGCGAGGTACGTGGGTTTTATATAATGGAAACTGAATGTGACGGAGACGGGAACCTTGGAAAGGGGTTGAAGCAAGTGTAAGGGGTAGAAACAATGGGAAGTACTTGTGAACCGTCTAGTGGCAGGGGGGGGCAACAACGGGGCGACAACGGTTTAAATACCTTTTTTTAAGATTATGTCTTTTTTCTCTTCGTTAGCAAGAAGGGGCACATTTAGGTTGTCTATGACGGCTCATAGCCGATGAGACTACCTCAGCTAGTCGGGCTAGGTAGGCTAGGTAGGCGTAGGGCGAAGACAACTAAGCACGGGACTCAACTGGCTACTAGCTATCGGATCCTACTATTCATGTTGTTAAGACAATCCAATGAGCTTGTCCAATTAGCTTGCAGAGGATTCGGGATTTACCCAACAGAGCCTCGAGTAACTTGTACGACTCTCAATGGAACTGGTGGGCGTGTCCTGACTGGACAATGATGAAGAGGCTACTGACAAAGGCAAGTGGACGTGTGGCCGTGAGCAGCGTGAGGTAGCCCGATTATGGCAGGCCTTGGTCCGTGGGGGGTCATGTGGCAGTTGAGCTTTTCCCCTGGCAACCTAAGACAGTTAGGAACAACGAAAAATGGTTGATGGTACCACCAAGGGCTCGTAGGTGGCTTGGAATATGTGCTTCTGACGTTGAAACTCCAGGGTTTTTTTTCATTACACGGCTTCTAGAATGTGATTGGCGCCTCTGGTCTATTTCGGGCAGACAAGCATGAGAAGTCGACATACGGGGATGTAGATGCAGGCTTGACGCTCTAGCCTTTATGCTTGTTCAATGTCTCTGTCAGTCTGCGCAATCTTCCAGGGTAACAGCCAATCTGAAGCGGATGATGGATAGGCAGGCTGTTTTGACGGCGGACGATAGTACCGAATCCGTTAACCTGTTAATTCATTTTATATATTATGATGTATATTGTATAAATGCATAGTAAGTTTTAATTATTAATATTATATTTTATTATTTATAAGGGTTATAACATTAAAAGGCGTTATAAATTATAAAAAGTTATAACGTTTTTTAATTTATATTATTTATAACGCGTTAAATTTAAAATTATTTTATTTAAATTTAAACGTTTTATATTTAAATTATTTTAAAATAATTTTTAAAATTAATTAATAATTATTTTAATGTTATTATTATAAAATTACGTTTTAATAAAAAGTTTTAAATATAAAAATTAATTACTTTATTTATTTAATAAATTATTTATATTTCATGAATTAAAACCGTAAAAAAAATATTAATATATATTAAATATTATTATTTATAAAATTATAATTAACCTTTAACGTTTAAAACTTTTAATTTTATTTATTATAATAAATAATTAAATTTTTAAATTAATAATTATTTTAAAAATAACATTTAAAATATATTATTATTATTAAACGTTTTTTATATTATTTTTAAATATTAATTAAAATAAAAATAAAGCAAGGATAATTTTAAATATATTAACTATCCGAATACATTTATTTAAATTTATTATTATTAAAATAATTATTTTATCGTTAAATAAATTAATATATATTAAGTTAATACGAACATTTACTTCTATTATTATTATAATAACATTTAATATAAATATTATTAAAATAATTAAGTAAAATAATATAATATTAAAAAAAACTTTAATTAGTTTTATAACTTATATAAACGTGATTTAAAAATAAAATAATATTAATTATAATAATATAAGTAATTAAGTTTATTAAAAAATATAAATATAATTAAAAAATATTTATTAATTTAAATTTATTTTTATAATTATTAATTAATAATTAATATTATAATAATTTTAATTTTTAATAATAATATTTTTAATTATAAATTTAATTATTAAATAAAAAAATTTACTTAATTTAAAATTATATTTATAATTAATTAAATTTATTAAATTAATAAAAATTAATAAAATAAATATATATATTTAAATCTTAAATTATTAATATAATAATTTTATTAATAAATATTTTTTTAATTTTTATAAAAACTTAAACAATATAATCGGTTAAATCGGTATTATTCGTTATTTTCGGTTAATTATTATTATTATTAATAAACATGTTATAAATAAATAACTTAAATAAAATAAGGAAATGTTTATATTTTATTAAATTTTAATTAAAAGTTTTTATTTAAAATTAATTAAAACCCGGCTTATTATTAATGAAAACCTTTAATTTTTTTCTTAAAAAATTAATAAGTTTATTATTTTATTTAATAATATTAATTTTTTATTTTTAAAAATAAATAATTAATATTAAATTAACTTTTTTTTAATTTACTATTTTTAAGTGTAATTTAATAATAAATATAATAAAAATTTTAAATATTATTAATTATTTACATTAAAAAAATATAAAAAATACACATAATATAATAAATTTAAAATATTTTTAATAATAAAAATAAAACATTTAACACTAATAAATAAATAAAAGAAAAAAAAAGTAAATTATATTTATTTAAGTATTTACTTATAAATATATTTAAGTATATAATTTATATATTTTGAAATCCTTTTTTAATTTAATTAAGCTTTAAAATAAAATAATTTAAAAAATTTATTAAAAAAAATAATATTATAAAAAGGATTAATTTAATTTAATAACGGATGTAAGTAAATATAAGCAAATAAACGCAATAATAAATCTTATAATAAATCCGTTAATAACATGTAAAAATTTTATTTATATAACGTAAAAATAAAGCTAATAAAATCTTTAAATCGCGTTATATTTTATAATAACATTAATTATATATAAACCATTTTTAAATTAAACTATACTTAAAATTTAAATATTAATATAAAATTAAAAATAAAAACGTTATTTATTTATTATATATAAAATTTAATTAAGGAAATTAATTTTATAAATTAAATAATTAAAAACCCGAAAATAATTATAAATATTATTTAATATAATAATTTTATTATAATTTTATTAAAATTTTAATTATTTATTATATATTTAATTAAAATAATATTTATTTATTAAAAAAAATAAAAATATATATATATAAATTAAATATATATATAAATTTATATTAAAAAATAACAACTTTAATTAAAAAAGAAAAACAAAAAAAAACGGGGTATATACCTCGTTTCGATATTAAATAAACCCTTTAATAATTATTTATTATTATTTAAATAATATTAATATTAACTTTTTTAATTTTTTTAAAACTTTTATTATAAGCTTTTATACCTTTTTTATAATTAAACCTTTTTAAAACCCGAACCCTTTAAAACGGAACAACATATTATCCTTATAAAACTTAATTCCCCGTTTATAAATTTTTCCAACGTAATTTAATATTAAACCATTATTATTTTAAATAGCTTAAATATTTATAATATTTTAAATATATAACTTATATATTATAAAATATGGAAAAGGTATAAAAAATAATAATTTTTTATTAACAATATTAATATATATTATAAACTTTATCTTCGAAATATTTATTTAACTTATTAAAAATAACACCCCTTTTATTTAACTTAATATAAAAATAATGGTATTTTAATTACCTTTTTTATTTATTTTTTTTAATAATATTAAATAATATTTAAATTTATAATTAACCCTTTTTTAAACTTTAATATTAAAATAAATCATTATATATTATTTAATAATAATATTTTTAAATGCCTTATACCCCGTTTTTTCGTTTTATTTATTAATTATTACAAAGTTATATTTTTTTAAAAATATATTCTTATTATTTAAGCATACTTTTAATATTATAACCAAACTTTTTCTTAATATCCTTAATAAAATATACTTTATAATATAATTTTATTAAACCATTTTATAAGAAATTATTATCATTCTTAATTTAATATAAACATATAATAAAAACGATTTAAGTATTATAAAAAAAAAGTTAACTATTATTCGCTTATTTTTTTTTAAATAATAATATTTAAAAAATTTAAAATAATAAAAATAAAATTTTTTTATTTTAAATTTTATTTAATATAAATTATATTCTTAAAGTAAAACAAGAATTTACTTATTAATTTAACTTTATATCTTTAAATAAAAACTACCTTTATACTTATTAATATTTAATAAAAATATATTAAAAGATTTTTATTTTAAAATTAATAACCGGGAAAGTTTTATATTAAAAACAAAATTTAAAATAATATTAATAAATTAATATAAGTGGTAATTATAATTTAATTAAACTTAAAAAAATGGTTAATAATTATAACTTTTATATTATGAAAATAAGTAGGCCCGGTATTTAAGGAATTAAAAAATTATTTAACCGGTGTTTATTTTAAAAATGGAATTAATTATTATTTTTTTAATAACTTGTAAATATGTTTAAATGTTTTTTAAAGGTAAGAATATTTTTTAAAAAAGCAAGGTAACTTTAAATATTATTAAATTTATACCGCTAGCTTTTTTTTTTTATATAATATATAAGTTTAAAAAAGTTTTAATATTAATAAATCTTTTAATAAAAAATTTAACGGTATATTAATATTAATTCTTTGTAATGATTTTTATTAATTTATATTAAGGATTAATTTATCGTAATATAATGTAAAAAAGTTACGAATTAAAATATATAAAATAAATTAATTAACGAATAAAACTTATATTATTAAATTAAGGAATAATTTATAACGATAATATTAATTAAATAAATAATAAAATCCGATATAAATTTATTATTATATTTAAACGTATAAAAGGTAATATTTAAAATGTTTATAGTGTGGTAATATTAATTTAACGATTATAAATTAAAAGCCATTATTTTAAATAATAAAAAATAAATTAATTATACTTTTAAATTCGATATTATGTTAAATGAAATTATAATTTAATAACGTGTTTACGAATATTAAAACGTGTAATTAAATAAGGGAATAAATAACCGCTATTATTTTTTATTTAATAAAATGAATAATAAACTTTAAAAAAAAAAAAAAAAAAAAAAAAAAAATAAAACTTCCCGGTCCAGTAAATTTAGGT